TGTAGAAGGTGTGGTGACAAATCTTCTCCATGTCGTGCCAGTTGGTGACAACACCGTGCTCGATTGGGTATCGGAGGGTGAGGATACCACGCTTGCTCTGTGCCTCATCACCCACGTACGAGTCCTTTTGGCCCATACCAATCATGATACTGTGCTCTTGTTAGGTTGTACGTTCGCATGGAAGAGGAAGGCATTGATGATCATACCCATGATGGCGTGGTCGTCCGACGATGGAGGCTACATTGCCGTCAGTCCAAACCTATCCCACTCTTGTTGCCAGCTGGATGGAACTTACGAAAAACAGCGCGCGGCGCATCGTCACCGGCGAAACCGGCCTTGCACATACCGGAGCTGCCATTGTTGTCAGTATTGTGTCCATCTTATGCTCCTTCCGCGCCGGTGCCGTTGTATTATGATGATATTGATATTGTGCGAATGACGTCGTGGCGCTGCCGAGGGGGTTTGGAGAGTGGTGGTTGAGAGCGCATGCTTACCCATTGTCAATGACCAAAGCTGCAACCTCTTCTGTAAAACACACTCGAGTCAGTCATCATATCACATGGCATTCTCGTCGTCCTGCACCACCCATGGCCAGGCGGCCACCAGCGCTCATGGTGCGTCAATGAGGATTTCGAGCGTCTGCTTACCTTCCATGTTGACGGTGTTTGTATGTAGAGGTCGTAAAGGTATTGTAGTGAGAGATGAAACTCTTGGCTGTCACAAGAGCTGTCGATGAGGTTGTGTAGTGGTAGAGTGGCTGCAAGGTACCAAGAGGTGGAGTCTGTTGAAGGTGCAGTACAGCTATCGGTGAGGGAAAGTGCACGGCTGTTTCGTTGCGTTGCGTTTGTGTGGGCTGACGCTGACTTAGCGTGCGCTACGGGTCTTGCCGCTTTTGGGCCCTTTGTTGGGCAGTGCTGCGTACTATTTGAACGCCACGATTTGAGAGATGAAAACTAGGATGGAATGACCGGAAGCATATGAGGATGTTCAACAATTGTATCGGCTTATGTTTCTGCCTGATGTGGTGTATATACAGTAGCCTGCGGACAAATTTGCCTCTCGACGCGCAATGCTACGCCAAGCCGCTGACACTGCCTTCGCATTACGCAACGAGTAGGCGATAATCATCTCGCATCATCAATACCGCCTCAGCCACAGCATACAGTTCGCATTTCCTTCTCGCCACTTCACTGCCATTGAACTGCTCTCCAGCCCATGTACTGTATACAGAAATTCATGCACGAGCCTGGTGGGGTCGTGGCGGGGTCAGAATTTGCCACCAGCCTGCCAGAAATGGCGGGCAAAGTTGACCAGTGACCGAGTAACATATGATCGTTGTCCCTCCGCTCGTAAGCCTGGCTAGCGGCATTTGGGCTCATATCGGCAATGGACATGAACGGCATGATAGTTGTGGCGATTTATAGATCCAGTTCATCCCAGTCGATCATCTCCCAGCACTCACTCCCTCCCTCAACTTCCCAATCAATTCATCCACACTCTCCATATCACCCGCCTCCAACCCCTTCCTCTTCCAAACACTATCAGACAAACACTTCTCCAACTCATCCAACGCTGGCTGAAAATTCCTCACAGCACTACTCAGCGCCGAAATCGCCTTCTTCTTAACCGCCGCGTTCTCATCCCCTGTAGCCAAACCCGCCAGCTTAGGAATCCCTCCCACTGCTAACATCTTCTCCTGACTCTTGATATTGTTCTGCACAGCCGTACTACAACACCACGCCGCCATCCTCCGCATCTCTGGCTCAGAATTCTCAAGTTGTTGTACCAGAGGTGCCCAGAGACCCAACGGCTCCATGTTGTTCGCATTGTCCAGATTCTCAATCAACTGCTCGAAATTATCCCATGCTATCATCTTGTTATCCAGATCGATTTGATCAACTGGTGCGACGATGGCGCTCATGGCTTCGCGCATACGATCGGCGTCCGACGGTCCTCCTAACAGCTCAGCCAGCATCTTAGAGTCAAGACCACGGGTCGGATCTCGTGAGCCATTCTCGGTTGGCGCATTAGGGTCGTCGCGAGTGGCCGCGGAGTTCTCTATACCCCATTTCAGGAGCCCGTTCAGCGATGATTGTGTTCCGTCGGCCATGGTTGTGGAAGTCTTGAGGTAAGTGTGCTGTCAAGAGTCGAGGCTATATTCGTTGACGATAGAAAAATGACCTACTGTTTCAATCTACTTGTATCAAGCGTGTTTGCTTGCGCCGCGATGAACAATTCTCGCGCGCACTTTCCTCTTCTTGATCGTTCGCGCAACTTCCTACGGCAGCACCCGCGCTGCGTCAAACTCTGTTTCTCAAGCACAATTTTCTTGGTGACTTTGGTAGAGGCTCGGTCAAAGTTCCAAAGATTTGCTTGGCTGTAGATGTAGCTGTACATGTCTATGATCTATATACGTTCGTCGCCATCTATATCTATACGTCTCTAGCATTCCATTTTATGGTCGTACAAGCTAGCAGGCGACCGACCTCAAGCAAGCACGCCCTGCAAAGGCAAATCACGGCTCGAACTGCCAACAAATACCCTCTGCGTAGCATTCTGCCTGAACCAGTCCTGCATCACAGGGTCCCAGCTACTGACATCCCTCCGCGTGATATCAACGTGGAAGGTAGTCGTTGTATTCGGCTGAATCGAGAGTCTCTCAAATCCTCTGAGCTCACGCACCGGATCATACTGCCCACCGCGATTGATGTAGAGCTGGGGTACTTCTTCGCCAGCAAGAGATCCTGTGTTCGTGATTGTCGCTTCGACTTGGTAGAGGATGTCGTATAACATTGGATTACCGCCTGGTGCGCCACCTGCTCGTGGGATTGGCCGGGCGGAGCTATTCTGTGCGCCTTCTGGCACTAAGCCATCTGCACCGTAATGAGGGTCATTGGAGGCCTTGGTGAGGTCTGTGCTGTTCAGCCAGGGGTACTGGTACAGCGGTACTCTAGTGAAGTTCGATGGGAATAGGTGGGCAGAGGACGAGTAGCTGGAGTTGCCATAAGTTGGTGCTGCAGTTGAGTAGCCGCTGTATGGCACATAATCCGACACATTGAGCTTGGTGATACGCAGGTTCGAGTACTTGAATGTGGCATAAGACAAGCCAAAGCCGAATTCGTACGTAGGCGTTGTGTTATGCTGGTCAAAAGCACGATAGTCGATGAAGTTGCCCTCGGTGAATTGGATCTGTGGTACATCTCCGTTTGGAGTGTACAGGATGTCCGTGCCATAGTCAGTCCTGTTAGCCCCAATGGTGAAGGGCAGCTTAGCGCCAGGATTGACACGACCATATAGCACATCTGCGATGCTGTTTCCGGTTTCCTGACCTGGTACACCAGCCCACAGGATCGCAGTGATGTTGGGATGGTTCTTCCATCCTTCAAGCAAGACTGGGCCCACAGAATGGACGACGAGTATCGTGTTCTTGCAGTTGGCAGCCACGGTAGACAAAGCAGCATCGGCACCCTGCCAGAACGTGAGATTGTTTCGGTCGCCGAGATTGCCGTCGACTTGAATGTAGCCTTCACCAGAGTCGGCGTTGGCGAAGAAGATGGAGGCGTTAGCACGACGCGAGAGGGCGGCCATGGCTGTGATGGCGCCATTATCAAGGCTTGACTCGTACACGCCACCCGCATTCAGCACCGTGTTCTGTATGGCAGTGTCGGGCGTGATCAGGTATGGGAAGTTGGCGCTCCCTGATCCCCAAGCCATGCCAAGCGTGCCGTTGTCACAGCCCCTATCGGAACAGCTGTTCGGACCATCGATATTTGGGCCTGCATCGCTTCCAAAAACAGCAGTGAGAGGTTCGCGGCCATTCAAGGGCAGAGTATTATTGACATTCTTCAACAGCACTGTGCTCCGAGACCCAATGTCACGAATCAAGGCACCATGGTCGGCAATGACATTGACATGGCCGTTGATCTCCGTGTAGCCCTCGCCAACATGGTAGTGCTCGTAACCATAAGTGTCGGTAGTCCAAGAAGAGAAGTTGATGTCTGGTCGTGAGGCGTTGGTGTCGACAAAGTAGAAGCCAGCCATGATACGGACGGCCATGTCGTCCAGTCGCCAGGCTGGGACAGTTCCGTTGAGGACAGCAACAGTGAGGTTGGCGCCAAAGTAGCTGTCGCCTGAGTCGTAGGCGTTGCCGTCACCTGGCATGGTCATGTCTAGGCCGGCGAGGATGCTGGAGACGCCAGAGTGAGTGCCGAGCCAGTCAGAGACTACGAAGCCTGCGAGAAGAGTTAAGTTAGCATGAAGGATGGTTATCATGATCAGTGTCCTCACCTTGAAAGCCTAGCTCGCCCTTCAGCAAGTAGTTCAGGATATAAGAGTTCTGGCAAGCCTGCGAATTGTTGACTTGATTGTACGAGCACATCACAGACGTAGCGCCTGCCTTCACGCCATCGGCGAAGGGCCAAAGATAGAGCTCGTGCATCGTGACGTCGTCCAGGTTGGCTGAATCAGGCTCAGAGATGTTGAAGCCGAAGGACTCGGCATCAGAGGTTTGACGGAAGTGCTCCTGCTCGTAGGCAATATAGTGCTTCGCACTCGTCATCACACCTGCACTTTGGATGCCTTGGATGCTCTGCGCGAACATCTGGCCGGTGAGGACTGGGTCGGGGGAGAAGCCTTCCTGTGTGCAACTGTTAGTGGTGCTATATCAACTGATTATGGCGAATACCTTACCCAGTTCCTGCCACCTTCTGGTGTTCGGCCCAGAGGTCCAGCAACGGGGCCGAGTTGCATATCTATACCTTTGCCCTTGTGCTCTTGACCCATACCTCGTCCACGAGCATATGCAACACCTCTATCCCACGTCGCTGCCACGTTGACACCAGCAGGAAAGACAGAGTTGAAGTCTGTATCTCTGATTCCAACTGGACTGTCCTGCAGGCACATAGCGCGAAATCCAAGACGAGGGATTGAACCCGTCTGGCCTACACATCTATCCAGCTCCCAGCCAGTGCCTGTCGTCAAGTTCACCTTCTCTTCCAACGTGAGTTGGCTAACAAATGCTCTCGCCCTAGTATAGGCTGCCGTCCATTCGCCAGTGCCTGCTCCCCATGGCGAAGGATACTTTGGTGGACTCGTCTGGTTGGCCAGGCTGCCTGCTACAGCGTAGGGGTTGCTGGACTCGAAGCCCGGGTAGGTTGTGTTCGGAAACTGCTGTATGGTCAAGTTGTGGTCGTTAGATCCTACTGTTGGGGATACGTACTGGTGCTCCGAAGTTGCCTTCGTGTGAGAAGTCCTGAGCCACTGCTGAGCCAGCAAAGGCCAGCAGACCTGCAGTAACAATCGACCTCATATTGTACATCAAGCCAAAACACGATGACTTGACTGAGAACACAAATGAGAGAGGAGAAATGTTCCTACCTTACATCTCTACAGGTCAGCACCGTCCACCATGGTGGGCCGGTAGTCGTCGTTTGCTGATGAACCACGTCGTCTCGGACGGAGACCCGTGGGAGGGTGGGTAGAGTTAGGTGGGCCTCAGCAGATGTGAACCAGAGGACGCGCACGTTGTGACGTATTGCTTGTTCGATGCACGATCGTCTCATCGACATGCTCTACCAGCCCCTTCGCTCGTGGCTCCTAATTCAAGTATATTGTGAGCTGGTGGCAGTCGTTTGGGCCCCAGTCGACGAGCTCGTACATCATCTGCCCGTCTACTGCAAATTGGTCATAGTTGTGCTGCAGGTACCAAAGGTTGTGACGAAAGTAGTCCGCGACTCGCGAGTCAAGGGTCGGGAAGTCCACATGTGGCAATCCAGGCTGAGCAATTTCTGGCACTGCACACTTCACACTTCACCTCTCCATCACTTTCCATCATCAGCACGGAGGCGGAGGGTGAAGCTACATGTATGATATTGCACCACTTGTGTTCATACCTAAGGGCTGTCGGGGGATCCTATCGATACTCCAGGCAGAATTATGCAGGAGGCGTCAACGATACTTATCGCATCAGCACCTCCCTCTTGCCTGGTCTCAAGGCACACACTTGATCCGTTAGTGCCAGGTCCTTGGATGTTACCGGAGATCCCATCGGCTGCAATTAGGCTTGCTACACAGCCTCCGAAGCTAGTGACCTCTGGATCCTTTCTATGAGGCGACAACCGTTGTGCCGATACTCCCTTTCGTATGAAAAGCAAGACAGACGTGGGACTGTCGTTATGACTGCCTACAACGCTCCCTACGAGATGGGTATGCGTAAGGATATGCTATACACCCAGATACCTGCTTGTCCTGTTCAAGCAAAGCGAATCCTAGCAATCGAGGTGTCACCCAGTTTGCCAAAGCCCGCACCCGACCCCCTGCGATCAAAATTGTCCCGCTGATCTCGATACACGTAAGGTCTTATGTCATGGTTGTACCGTTCTAACACCTCCTTTCGTCTAGCGTCCTCTCTTTGCTTTGCGCTGTCACTCATCCTGCTCTGACGCACTCTGCGAGCATCCGAACGGGCAGCAGCAGATACACTAAGCTCTTGGTAGGTAACGCCCTACTAGTGACGAAGTTATGGGCTATGAATTCCTAGCTCTGGACTCGGTGCAGCGGAACGTCTATAAGACGGCACATGTTGGAACCCAGCGCGCAGCAAATGTACCGGCACACTAATTACTGCTCACCTATTCGGATGGCTGGATCATGGCGGTTGTCGCTCTTCACCACCTACTCGGCCGGACTGGAGAGGACTGGACTCGTGTGAGCGCGAGGCACGCATAGGTGTCTGCAATTGGTCTACCATCGATTAGTAAAGCATGCAACGCGCCTAGGGAGGGACTATACCTTGTGGTGTATTGACAAACTCGAAGATTGGTGGATACCATTACGACCAGGTCGATCAGAAACCCAGCCGTGGTTAATCACGATAGGTTGCGGTACGTTAGCCCGTAGGTCGGATCTGCACACAGTGTTAGACGCTCTCGCGAAACTCATCGGGCAAGCTACCTTTCAAACGCCGGAGGCACAGTCCTGCTGGGCTCAAGCGGACCCCGAGACTTTCTGATGTCGACTCGCTGAAGGAAAACCGTGACGGCACCGACGTGGGCGTTCCACGACGGTCTCAACTCATATAGAGCTAGTGGCGGGCCTCCACCTGTGCTTTGTTAACGATGCACGCCGATTCAGCAAACTCGACAGTAACTTACGAGCACATTTCGGCATCCGGTAGTCCTTGTCTCTCGTGCGCCGGCCGTGCGCGTCCCAATTCAAGAAGAACGGCAATTGTATTGCGCTTCCCTCCTGCCGGCGGATTGCTAGACCCGACAGAAACCATGCCTGAACGTTTGTCATGGTATGGGCCATCTGATCGCTTGATCCGATAGCGGTAGCAAGCTTCACCCCGTCCGCATCACGGAGGTCAAAGTCTCTAGGGATGCTGACATTGACTGTGAACCTCTGGCCTGGAGTCTCGGCGGTAAGGCAGCTTGTTCCAAGTTCACAAAAACCATCATATACCGGTATAAGATGTTCATTGTCGTGTTCTGCAATCTGGACGCCCGGGGTGTTGTCAGTGTTACGGCGCCTAAGAAAGACCCGAACACCATTGCTCGTGACCATGATTTGGTCGCTAGGCCACAGGCGCTCGGCGGAGCTTCGATTTTCAGTTGGTCGGGATAGAACCAGACGAGTGTGAGTGTCGCTATATACTCGGTTTCGGGGTCTGGTGTTGCTTGCAGTAATGCTTGCTTCAAGCACGTTTGCAAGTGTCCACCTGCGCAAGGTAGAACCTCTACGGTACGGAAACGCTAAACCATGCTCGGATAGCGTGCCTGCCTAGGAGTTTCGCATAGCCGGTTGCTCTTGCCAAGTAGGAGATTTACTCGTCGCAGCTTGTGCCCTACGGCCAACGCTTGTTCTGCGCTCTTAGATATCGGCAACCAGACATGAGCCATAGTTTGTAACCAGAAATATCTTACGACTGGCCAGTATCCAAGGGCGATGCGTAAGCGCAAGGTCGCCGCAAGCGCTGAGCCTTGTGTAATGAACAGACACTACGATGCATCAACTGAGGTTGCATCTGATCAAGGACGTCAATTGTGTCATTAGCTCGGGAGATACCAGAGAATGGCCATTCACTTTGGCAGCATCACGGACTTTAACCACGTGCTGCAGTCCAGTCTGGATCGCTGCAGGCGGCAATTGCCTCTCGATTCGTCCAGGAAGTCCATGTTTCAAGCCACACTGGAGCCCCGATGAAGGCTGTATTGGTCCATCACTCTGGCCTGCGAGGACGTCAGTCACAGCCCCTGTAATATATTTCACATGACTCACACTGCATGGCGCCCGTTCGAAATGTGTGTCGTCGCTGGTTCAGAAGGCTGCGCCAATATAATGATCAGATGAATTACCAGCTTGTGAGATTGAGCGCAAAGGCGGTGCCAATCGCTTACCCTTACCAGTCCGGCGATACAGCTTCATTGCTAGTAGTGATTGAGCGCCCTCGTTCATGGATTGCGAAATGTTGTTTAGAAAGATCATGCACCAGCCGGCTTCACATGTGTACCGGCCCTCGTGGCCTTCATGCGTTGTTAGGCGGACAGCCGATCATGGTTGGAAGTCTACCGATCCTGTCATCCCCGTCTCCCTTTTGGTCAATCGGTCGCAACAGCCACTAAAGGGACTAGGGAGAAGGGACGGAGGTGAGGAGATCTTATACCTTGGTCGTGCTCGGTTATATGCTCGCAGCAGCGCTACTGATGACAGCGACGTTCACCAGTGAAAGCTGGTTCATCACACAGGACATATTCCCATCATTCACTCAAGCTTAACTCCCACCCATCGCGTGACTGAGGCTTTAGAGCAAACTTGAAGCAAGGCATGGTAGTGCAAGATGGGAGGCGCGGTATATATGATCATGTAATACACTATGCATTGTACAATCTAGTCGACCTCTGCGTTTTAATTTGCCGACCAGCCGGATCTCTTGAAGCTGGCGAAAGACTTCATTGTCGCTATCGGATTGCTCGTCTTTTTGTCCGTACCCTACATCTGTCAAAGTACGCTGTATCGGCGGTTGCGACGAACCTGCTGGAGTCGGCAGTCTTGGCGGCTGCGATGCATCAGCATACTCGCGCTTTATATCTCTGCCTGCGGCTATGGCGCTATCGCCTTGGATCCTCGAGTTGGCCCGCTGAGCGCTGGTTACATTAGCCCCCGAGAGAGACCTCGTCGAGCCGTACTGGTCTCGATCAACCTGCTGTCTGCCTCGGTAAGGGCGTGAAGCACTAGTGAGATCAGAGACTGGCAACCTTGAACGATCGTCGCTCAACAAACCCCTGTCCGCCCTGCTCTCGTCATGCTCGTTCTTCAGATCCATACTTGTATCGCCATCCTCGAATGTGCCCGGATCATCACAATGTTCCGGCGTCGCTCTGCCGTCCGTGTCATCATCGTCAGAGATGTCAATTATCACCCGAGCCTGCGACAGCAGTGACCGCGATCCACGTCCGGTGCGGAAGATGGAATCTTGCGGTACCCTTCGTTCTCCACCCTGAGGCGCAGACTTTCTCGGAGCACCGAATCCCGTCTGTAGACTTTGCAGGCGCTTACTTTGTTGTTCTGGTGGTAGGACTAAGTCTTCCTCGTCGTCTTCATCCTCGTCATATGTGGGCTTGGCTGCTGGCTTAGGGACAGCCTTGCGGCTGCGGATGCCGAGGCGCGCACTCTTGTGTGGCTGCGTCTTGCTCGTGGAGTTGCGCTCGCGTTTCTTACCCGCACGCTGCTGCTTCTTGAATTTAGTACCACGAGTTTCGTTGCTGGTTGGTTCATATTGACTGAGTGTTTCTCCCGGATCATCCTCAGGCATGGCCTGTTCGACGTCCTCGTCATCGGCTTGCGAATGCGTGGAGTCCTTTATGGTAGTGGGCACTGTCAGATCGAAGTTGCAGCGAGTCCATGAGCTCAGGATCGGTGCCTAGACGAGGAAGCTCTCAGTTGTGCTCTAGAGCCTAGACAGCTGCGGGACCAAGCGAGTTGTGTATTGACGCGAGAGGGGAGCGCAGACTCACCAAGATTGCAGAATTGGAAGCCATACGGTCTGCTTCCTATCACCACGTTCTCAAGAGGCGAGAACCACTGCTGATCAATTACAGCGCCCGAGGGATCTTTGTACCAGCCACTACAGCAGCGCCGTCAGTAAGCAACAACTGAAACATTGAGCGAAGCTCCATACCAACACTCGTGTGGTGGGTTGGTCAATGAACGGGTCGAAGTGGTCTCGCCACGTGACTTGGCTCTTCGTACAAGTGCAGGTTGCATTTCTTTGCCGTAGCTGAGGTTGCCCCGCATGATGGAAACCGTGATGGTACCATCGGCCGCGCTGAATCTCTGTCGGAACAGTGAGACCGGAACCGAAGCGTCTGAGATTCATAATCAGCCTTGCAGCGTCTCCAGGAAGATCACATGATCCACGAACTAACGGGTGCTGGCACAGTGATATCCAGGGTTCTGTGATCGCTTTTGCGTTTTGATCGTAAGGCTAGGTCGACATGGTCCCAAACGGTCCAGGCTAGCATTTTGAAATACCATTCCTCCCTGCAGTCCTTCTCAGACAACCACCAAGCTTCCATATGCTCGATGCCGCCGGGTGGTTGTGCGCCATGACCGCATGCCAGGACAATCATGATACCTGAGGCGCCTTTGAAGTCGAAATCAGGCAGAGCCTTGACCCATACCTCAACAGGCATACGAGGTGCAACTGCAATATTGGCGGCCTCCCAGGAACATGCCATTGTGGTCCGTGGGCCATCTGTGGTGCTGTATTCAGGTAAGTACTTCTGGTCGTGATTCCTGAGGAACACCTCTAAGCCATCAAGGTGCTTCATTATTGGCCTAACGAAGTTGTGAAGGGATTGATCTTGTCGACGAGAGTGATTTGAAGGTCGACGAGTCTCATAACAATTGCAGACCAAGAAGGACGTGTAGCAACAGCACGGGCCAGTGTAGCCGTGCTGAGACAGGGATTCGTGCATATGCGTGTGACGGAACCACTCTGCCGGGCCAAACTTGATGCGCCGCCATGCCGGTCCAGGGCGTAAATCTACAGTAGAGATGCATTGCAGTCGTAAGTCTCAGCAATGCTCTCGAAGTTGCAAGCAGATACTGCCTGACAACGTTCCTCTACGGATCGCAACCAGAATGCTATCGCCTCCCAGCCCCCATGATCTGCTTTCTTGATCGGTCACTTTGACGTATGCGGTTGGAGCTGTGCTTCAACAATAATTTGTTACTTTACGTGTGATCTTCGTGTCAGGATCTTTGGGTCTGAGTGAGAATAATCATCGGCTGCTTCATGCATCCGCTCACTCACAATTTGACGACTTGCCAGTTTCCATGATTGAGGGTAGCCAGAACACCGCCCAATGGGCCTTGCACTTCCTTTCCACCCACCCATTCCTTTTGACCCGCCCAGTGCTTGACGAAACCTTCCGGGCCGGAGACTAGGATAAGCCGGGAGCCACCTGAGGCCCGTTCGGACTCAATAATCTGTGCCACGTTCGCAGCTTGTATGAAGGTGTCTTCTTCGTCCACGAAATAGTCTATGACCAGAGAGGTAGAAGGGCTAAGCTGCGATCCTGGTGCGTGCTTCAAGTCCTGCATCTGCTCCACGATGGCATTAGTTGCAGCCACATTCCCCACTGATGCCTCAGTTGGATCAGCGCGCGCTGCTCTCCAGCTGAACAGACTCGAGCCAAATCCTAACGACTTTTGTGCTTTCGTGTCACTCACGCCTCCAAGACTATCTTCTCTTTGCCGACTTGCCCAGAGTACATGTACGCTCGCCTTTCCAGCTAGTCGGTGAGCGACCTGCATGGCTGGCGCAATGCCTGTACCTCCAGCGAGGAATACCACTTCGCCAACATCCTCCGGCAATATGTAATCTACACCTGGTCCTCGCACTTCAATCTCTGCCTCGGGTCGCAGTCGATGCAAATATCCAGAGACCTCACCGTTCCTTTCCTTCCGAATGAGGAATCGAAGGTCATCTGGAGATTGATCTTTGGTTGGTGGTAGCACAGTATATGATCGCGCAATCTGCAATTGTGGCTGCTTGAATTGCACGCTAGTGAGAGCACAGCTATCGTGTACCTGCCTATGATCGATCTTGGCGCCTCCTGAAGACCGTAAAGTGAAGATGGCGCATGTCGTTGACACCTCCGTCTTGTCCACCAGCTTGTATTTGACGAACTCCGTGGGCTTCGCTATCTGTCCATCGTCACCGGCTGTGGAACGTAAGACCCATCCGAGGGGTAGGCCTAGCGCGAACATTCCCAAGACCTTGCTATAGCTGCCGCCCGGCCTTTGTTTCTTCTGCTCGTCATGGTCTCGTGACCTAGATGTAGTATTCGTGCTATCATTGCGGCATTGTTGGTATCCCGGTGGCGATCCACATTGGAGCGCGGTCAAATGAGAGGGTCGTACGTATCGCGTGGTGGTGAGCGTTCGTCGGACCAATGGCGAAAGCATTGCACGAAAGACGTGTCGCTGCGAAGTGAATGCTTTGGAAGATGCGACACACTTAGTCAGCCGTGGCGACAGCGAGGTCCGTGCGGCAGAGCGATGCACAGGTACATATGAGCGCAGGCTTCCGAACTTCTTCAGCTTGCGTCGACAAGACCCTTCCGAAACAACGACATCCGGAAGAGACAGAGGTGGCGATGGCAGACGACTGGCAAGACCTCGCCCTGAACCACCGCCGAATACCCCACGGGAAAAGCAAAAAGGGTGGCAAATCTGGAGGCCGCCACGGTGCAGGAGTCTTCTATCCTAATCGAGCCATAGCTAGCTATCCATTCAAGACAGGAAATCATACCCTTGGAAATGGCCATATACCGAGATTCAATGGTATCAGACCAATCGATGACTTTCGGGCCGAATTCGTGATCCATGGGTTTACCGAGTGTCCTGGTGGGTTTGTAGCTAGTATAGTCAATAGTACGGGGACGTTCAAAGCTGCTGTCTTCTTGGCTGGCAGTAGGAAGCTTCTTAGTGATATTGTGAGGGACGAAGAGGAGAAGTTGTCAGCAGAAGACGATTCAGATGAGAAGGATCAGAGTGAAGACGAAGACGAGGTCGGCGATGAGGACGAAGACGAGGTCGGCGATGAGGACGAAGACGAGGTCGGCGATGAGGACGGCGATGAACAAGATGAGGAAGCAGACGATGGCGATGAGGCACCAAAGGAATCGGAATTGGAAGCCTCCGATCGCTTCTACAATGACCGCTTCCAAGCCTTTACAAAAAACAGCTTTCGCCAACCGAAATTCTGGTTCCAATGGCAAGGCGAGATCATAGAACCCAAAATCCAAACCGGGGCCGACGGATCAACGACGTCCGGAAGAGCCATACGTGAACGGGATCTAGGATATATCGTCTTCCCTACGCATGAGTGCAGCAACTTCCGCGGCACGATCAATTGTCGAGCGCTTGGATGGAAGGATATGGAGATTGTTGGCGGGAGTGATCGTATTCAGGGCCCTACGCCACCGATCTTCCAGTGGAACGACTTTGCCGTGGAAGGCGACGAGGGCGATGATGATGAGCTTGAGCATGAGCATGACGGCAAGGGTGCGAAACCTCATGGCGATTGATCTGATCCACATGTGTCATCCCAGCATTATGTCCATATATACATATCCCGACCATCGGGTTTCGTCATCATCGAGCTCGTAAACATGACTCTAGCACTTCCCAGTGAACTTGCTCTGAACAGAGCTGAATCCCCTTGGGCAGGCCAGCCCAAGCGCAGCACTTCCACTCCGCATGTAACAAATCTTGGCCGTCACACAACCATCACAAGTACAGTTCTGGCTCGTAATGCTCGACTTGCCTTCATACGTATTGAAGGTGTTGACTAGACTGTGGTTGGCCTCCATGCCCTGCGTGACTGCGTGCCAGAATGTCCCGTTCAAGGGAGCGTCTGCAGGCCATTTGGCAGCGGCACCATAAGCCTCACGAGTGCTGTACTCGAACTTGAATGTTGGGCCGTGGGAGCTATTGGCCAAGGCAGGGAATGAGTTGACGTCTGCGTAGAAGGTGTAGGCTTCGTAGATGTCAAAGGTTCCTGTGTCGACCTCATACATTCGGAACCCAGAGTTCAAGTTGGTGAGGGGTGTGACTGAAGGACCGACCCAGCCCGTGTTCAGAGCAGTGGAGAGAGACTGATTGGTGCCATTGTGAGCGTAGTATATCATGACCTCATCCTCGTGCGTGTGGCCGAAGAAGATATTAGCAATGACATGGGGACTGTAGCGTTCTACGATCTGGTAGAAGAGGTTCGTTGGGTTGACGAGAGGGTTGGTGCCGTCCCAGCCACTGAGGACGTGAGCGAAGAGCCAAACGCGCTCGCCTGCGTCTTCAGCTGCTTGAAGTTCTTGAATGACGAATTTGAACGTGCCGCTGACGTCTGGATTGGAGGTGTTAATGAAATTGAGGAAGTTGGCTGTAGAATGTGTTAGTCGTGGTAGGCTACATGGAAGAAGCACAGCTTACAGTGGTACCAGAAGTCACTATTGAAAGTAATCATCCTCAGTCCATAGTGGTTCTTGACGGAGTAAGCACCGTAGGGAAGTCTCGCCTGCTGTGCGGCCGTAGCGTTCAACCATCCCTCATGCTGCCAAAGACCAGCTACATGATCGTAGTTCCAGCTGAATTGCTGACCGAGAGGACCGGGCAGAGAGTGTGGTGCATCGATGGCCTCAGGGTTGGAGTCGTGGTTGCCAAGGACAGGGAATACGGGCCCAGTCAAGTACTGCTTGAACATGCCATAGATGCTATCCTCGGCGTACTCGGTGTAGAGACGGCTCAGCTCGGTCTGAGGGTCATGGGAGACAAGATCTCCGGTATAAATTGTCCATGCCAATGGCTGAGACTGGGAGGTGCCAGTCAATGGTCCCACGGCCTGAAGCGCGGCCAATCCAAGATCATAGGGAGTATCACACTCGTATGCACCGTAAAGTGGGGCTGGGTACGAAACCGAACCGGTCGGGAGGGCAGTGTTTGCAACATTGCTGCGACAGCATAATCCAGAAGTGCAATTACCTTCTGAGCCAACCTTGTAGCGAGGGTCAAGATGGAAGTCAGACATGTGTAGAACCTTTACACGCTGGCCAGAAGCCTTTGGTGCGCAAGCATTGGCCGGCTTGGGCTTGGGGAAGTAGCTGGTGGTGTTGAGTGGGCTGACAGTCGGGGCTGGGCAGAAAGCTGAGCTTAGCGAGTTGCAAATGTACTGGCCGTCAAGGCCGCTGACATCCGCCAAAGCAAGGACTTGAGTCCAGATTGCGCCGAAAGTCGTAGCCTCGAAATCTTCCTCACAGGTGCTCTTGGAATGGAAGCCGGTGCTCGTGCAGAGCTGGACCAGTGCTGCTGGAACAAGGCTGGGAGCCAATTGAGCAGCGCTCTTGGCTACCGTGAGAGCAGCAATGCACTTGCTGCAGTTGCCGGTGATATAAGAGCCATTGATGATTTCGCCGACCTCCTGCAAAACGTTGTTGATCACTGTCTGTTGCTGAGCAGCTGTCAGGTTGGCTATCGGGGCAGGAAGGTAGATAGGGTCATCGTCGTTGTCTGGGAGAGTGTCGGGGTTGGTGAGATTGAGCGGATAGGTGATGTTCAGGACTGGATCATAGAGCGCTGGCTGCGGCTCTTGACCAGATGGTACAGGGTAGTATGAGGAGAAGGCTGATGTTGGGAAGCCGGCGGGAGCGACGTATGAAGAAGCACCAGGAATGCCAGCGCTGCTAGCACCATAACCACCTTGGGCGAGAGCGTACTGTGCAAGCACTGGCGCAAAAGCCATGGCTCTCCGGAAGTTTGCCATTGTGACTGCAACAAGGACGAAGCAGAAATCGTGAACAGAACGAATGACGGGTATGGGTTCTCCCAGACTCTTATGTCTGCAGCAATGCCTTACGCTTTCGGGTTACAAGATGCTTTTTTGCTTACCGTACCGCCTTCATTGAGGCAGCCTTCGGGGCTGTTTGCTCTTGTCAGAGCTTGGGAAGCTTATCCTTGCCCACGTTGTGCGCTTGTCCTGCAGCATGTCGTCGATGGTTCCTGCAGATACGGCTCCGTAAGATCGCTTGTCCTCAAGCCAATAGCAGAGACAAATTTGAACACGAGGTCGTACCGTCTCGACTGAGGTCAGACGTGCGTACAGCGGAGATTGCGGAGGTAATTGAGGCCGCATTTCGTCATTATTATTATTATGCATGAAATGTGAGGCAAGTCGCGTGTGGTCTGTAAATGGATGCTCATAGTCGTACGCGTTGTCAGTATTAACCATCATCGATCAGAATCATGTTCATCTTCAGACATGGCGGTCGACGAACTGTCAACAACGTTCAAAATGTCTTTATTCCGACTCAGCGCACCTTCGCCTCCCGAATCGACATTCCTTTAACACCACCACCAGTACCAGTAATAGAGCAGTGTCCAGCCCCAACGTGCCAGTGTCGAGATGCTCCAACAGGCCTGGATATCGAACGAGAGCAGAACATCAGTGGATCGATGCCATCGTACGCCGAGCAGATCCTTATAAGTACTGGAAGAAGTGATTGGCCGAGTCGGATAGAAGAAGACGAGAGTGCAGACGGAGCATTTGTGAGACAGCTGAAAGGAATGCTGCTGAAGGGCGGCAAGTTCGTCGACGTATGTACACAGATCCCGAAGATAGTCATATCGCCATACATCATCATCTCCGACCTTGATGGTCACCACGTGCTGATTCGTCCCGTGAGTAGCCATACCATAACGTCATGCTCACGAACTCCTCCATACCATCCACTGCATCTCCCATCCACCAATCGAAGCACTCTTCACAGTCGGCTGGGGCAGAGTCTCGATCTGTCCTTGTCTCCTCACCTGGCAAGGACCCTGCCATTGCTCGCGAGCAGGAAAACTCAGACACTCCACCAGCCTCTGCTTTCCTCCTCCCAAGCTTCCAATACGTGCCATCCATACCAACACACTCCACAGCCGTAGAGGACTTCATTAAGGCCTTTGTGCTTCCGGGGAGGCTACATCAGAGCCATGATGTCTTATCAAGAGCACAACAGAATATCCTCAAACGCCAACCAGAACTACAAAAGCAATTCCTCGGCGCTCGGAAGGTCGACGAGATACTCATTCTGATCTGTGGCCATGGCGCTCGCGACGAGCGTTGTGGGAAACTCGGTCCAATACTGCAAGCAGAGTTCGAGGACAAATTACAGCGACAGAATATTCCTGTCATCCGCAGTCCACCAGTAGCCGAAGCGGAGCAAGTGTCGACCGAGGTCGAAGGCTTTGTGCCTACTGCGCGTATTGGTCTGATCTCGCATATAGGCGGCCATAAATGGGCGGGTAATGTGATAGTGTACATTCCGCAATCCTTTTCTCGAAACCCGCTGGCTGGAAAAGGAATATGGTATGGACGTGTAGGGCCCGAACACGTCGAGGGTATCGTGGCAAAGACAGTACTCGATGGTAAAGTCATCAAAGAACTGTTCCGAGGAGGCATCGACCAGGAGAGGAACATCTTACGATTATGATGCTCCCCTGGACTGGATGGTGGCAAATGTAAAAATAGTGTACGGTCTAGGGATCATTATAGAGGATACAGATACAAGAACAGGCAACAGCCCAACTCACGCATTCGCCAAAAGCGATGTTCAAAATGCCTGATGCAGGTCGGTCTTCCATATCATAGCCATACGCTGGTTTCCCGTCCTCCTCGGGCAAGACTCTGTACAGCCTCGCAAAAGTATGGTACAGCCATTTCGTACGGCGAATTACTCGCACAGCTGCAACACTGACATGGAGCAGTATTTGCGGAATCCAGAGCAGAAGATGGGAAGTCGTAGTCGATTTCGAGGAGTTTTGCTGCAAGGGGCGACGGCGGATATTCGCGCGGAGAAGATCTGGTCAGAAAGTGCCAGAATGACCGGCGTGGCCTGACTGGAGTGGCGTGGTAGTGTTGGTGATGATTGAGCTTGCTATCGTACAGGATCAACGATGCATGCCCTGGCTGCACGGCTAGAGGCGGAATGGGGTCGTGTCTGTGGCGGTAATGCGAATACTTGCGCAGTAAGAGTTGAGGTGGCTCTGTGATGTTAGTCGTTCGTAAAGTACTGCTGCTTGACGTTCGATCGGAGTGTCTGGTTGCATTCGGTCGCGCATTGGCTGACTCTATCGCACGATTGATAGCCTGGGCGACTGCGTTGTTGCAAATGCGCTCGATATCGGCTGTTGTAATTGGCTGGTTACTTGGCGTAGGAGGCGATGCAGTCCGATGTGAAGATGCAATGTGTCGAGTGGGTTGCACAGTGTTGGTGGGCGCCGACCCGACACTCGTGGGAGAAGGATTCTGCGGTGGTGGTGAAGACATGCTGCTGTCGATGAGCGGTGTAGAGAGTGTCAGCTGTGCAGCGTCTCGAACTCAGACAAAAAGGCGTCCTGCCGAACCAAATATGCTGGATAGTGTGAGTTATTAGAGTGCTGGGTGTCGAAAAGACCTTGTGGAGTTACACATGCCCAGCTGGAGGGGATGCTAGCCGGGCTTAAATGTTTGCTGGTCCCCGACCAAACTTTCTTCATGTCGCTCGCCCTGTTGTTAAGAAGTGATACGGCGATTGTGAATGACGTATCTACGATGACCGCCATCATTGATAGGATGGCATGTACAAAGCCGCTGTACACCAGTTGCAACGAGTGCTTCGTTGGCGTCCGGCATTTCGAATGCTGTGCTGTCTATAGACCGTTCGCTCGAGGTGCGTACGTACGGGTTGGAGTAATTGAGTTCTCAAGAATCGTGGGAGTCTTCCGTCGATCACGTTGACGACTCCTCGCCGTACATGGTGCCGGGTACTTCCTTCGTAGAGTGATTGAGCTCGCACATCATGCTAAGAATCACACAATGTCATGCCCGCACTGCGGACTATGGAAGTCCTCGAAGTGTGCCTTGGCTCCTCTATGATCGCTTTCTTCGAGTCATGACGCTCATATGTATGTACAGCATGAGGGCGAAACAAGCTGCAGTATTAGAGCGTGATTCGGTGCTCGAGACTGTGGCTAGCTCTACGATTCTCAGGAGTATTTGCGTTATGTGAAGCCTGCGGTCTCGTCACGTCGCGATACTGGTACAGCGGTGGCCAGCTGTCCCTATGGATAGGCATTCTCGTGCTGTGTCTGTTGAGGTATACTTAAGCTCAAGCTGCGGAAACCGACATCAATCCATTGCGATACGCTTCACACCGTACTAATTGATATCCAGCCACCTCAGTCGGCACCATGGGTATTCGTGTTGTGCTAGTGACGGAGGCGTGGAGGACGATAGGAGAGATGGTTGACGTCGCGCAAGGTGAAGTTGGCACACGCGGATACTCCCGCCGGACAGGCTTGATACCTGCTTTCCAACACTTCAGGTGGGAGGCCTGATATTACTTACGTCCTTCCCTTTCCTCTGCTACAATACATCTCTCCTCTCGTCGTGCCTTCGCAATGGTATGGCCGCTTGGGAAAAATTCGTTAGATGTGTCCGCTCCAACAAACGGTAGTCGGCATGTCATCACTCGTGCCGAGCCAACGGCCAGTCGGATGCTTTGGGTTCCGAGCTATCGAGGACGTAATCAACCGACATTTGCCTCTGGGCGTGTTTGCCTTCGCGATACCGTACAGTATGTCCTTTCTTGATCATTCGTTGCATCAAAGCATTTGGAGTTCATCGTCTTTGGGATCCATTTGGTGTTCACTGTCTCACGACCACTTAGAGTGAGTCTTCCACTGGACACAGGCCAACGACTTCGTGCGAAAACCCCGAGCTGGATGTGAAGCAGCGGACCGCAGGCCACAGCTCTGGAATACCTTTCTCGAGATTCCTGGACGATACCGCGAACCGGGTCAGGGAGGGCATTCTTCGACGTACAGGCTCTGCGCCACCATACAGCGCAAATGCTGTTCTTTCGGCAAACATGGACACTATGCATGAAGACACTTACGATCGTCCTCGGAAGACACTTCCTAGGGGCGGTCGTACGTGCTTTGATAGCACCGGTCATCTTTATGTTTATCATATCATACGCCAAAAACTTCTTCGTGCCACCTAGCGATTTTGGCATTGGAACGCCGTCAACGCTCCGAAGTTTGAGTGATGCAGTAGCTGCATCTGCTGGTGGACGCGATACTGTAGCGTTTGTCAACAACGGCTTCACTGGCGGAGCGATCGAGAGTGTCATCAATACCGTATCACAGCCCATCAGAGCGCAGGGCAAGACGGTGGAGGTCTACCCCAACAGCGACAGCTTACTCACGACGTGTAAGAGTTCGATCCGTGGCGTAACGCCCTGTTTCGCAGCCGTCGAATTTCAGTCGTCTCCTTCAGAAGGTTCTCTACCTGCTTGGAACTATACTATTCGAGCCGATGGATCATTCGGTGGCAACATATATGTCAATACTCACAGCAATGATGCCGAGATATACGTTTTGCCACTACAGCATGCGATCGATCGCGCAATTGCAGAACTCAGTGGCACAACATTGCAGGATGATGTGCAGGAATATGTCTACACCACGCAGACGAATGAAGAACGCCAGCGCAACATCATCAAATTATACATGGGCAGTCTGATCAGCATCCTGGCCGTCGCTTACTTCATCGGCATCGTCGGAATATGCTACCAGCTCACGGGAGAAATGGCAAAGGAACGAGAACTCGGCATGTCGCAACTCATTGAGTCGATGATGCCGAACAGACAGCGGTGGGTGCCTCAAGCTGCGCGACTGGTCTCCATCCATCTGGCTTTCGACATATTGTACTTTCCAAGTTGGGTCATCATGGGCGCAATCGTTTCTGGACTCAACTATACACAATCAAACGCCGGGATCATGGTCGGCTACTTCATTCTTTCGGGTCTGGCACTTGCAAGTTGGTCCATAGCATTCGCTAGCCTGTTCAAGAAGGCGCAACTCTCTGGCATCACTGTCACGATAGTGTCGATCATCCTGGCAATCATCATCCAGGTCATCCCACCGGTATCGACTGGCGCCGCAATAGTGCTCAGCTTGCTATTCCCGCCAATAAACTATACGCTCATGATTATCTACATGGCCTACTGGCAACAGCAGAATCTGCCAGCACAATTGAGCTTGGCAGCCCCGAATGCGCCATGGCGAGTGGCTGGCTGGGTATTCTTCCTCTTCTGCTTGATCCAGATTGTGGTGTATCCGATTGTGGGAGCTCTGATCGAGCGTGCGCTTTTTGGTACTGCGTCCAAAGCAAGGAAGCTGAGATATGATGATAATCAGACGGATGAGACTGTCAGAATCAATGGTCTAACCAAGCTATATCCTCCCAGCTGGTTCCACCGCCGTATAGCACCATTATTCACCAAGACTCCGAGGCAGACGGTCAGAGCCGTTGATGGAGTGGACCTTGTTGTGCGCCGGGGCCAAATTACGGTGTTGCTTGGTGCCAACGGAAGTGGCAAGAGTACCTCTCTGGATATGCTGGCTGGCCTGCAAAAACCAACCAGCGGCACCATTGAGCTCGACGGCTCCTCGAGCCTTGGATTCAGCCCACAGAAGAACGTGCTGTGGGATGAGCTAACAGTGTTAGAGCATGTGCGAATCTTCAACAAGCTGAAAGCGACTAAGGTCGACTCGAAAGCAGAGTGCCGCGAGCTCGTCGAGGCTTGTGACCTCACACAAAAGGTCAACGCACGCTCAGGAACACTGTCTGGAGGGCAGAAGCGTAAGTGTCAGCTCGCCATGATGTTAACTGGAGGATCTACGCTTTGCTTGCTGGACGAGGTCAGCTCTGGATTGGATCCACTGTCGAGACGAAAGATCTGGGACATTCTACTCGCCCAGCGTGGCAAGCGATCCATGATATTGACCACGCATTTCTTGGACGAAGCAGACCTTCTCTCAGACGACATTGCTATCTTGTCAAAGGGCAAGCGTGTGGCCAATGGCTCCTCCGTAGCTCTCAAACATGAGTTGGGCGGAGGTTACCGAGTCAGAGTCTATACTGAGAACCAAAGAGCACTTCCAGCCCGGCTCGATGCAGTAAGCAAAGATGTGTTGCACGATCAGACAGTGTACTCGCTGCCCGACTCTGCAGCCGCCGCCGCGTTTGTCGGCGAGCTGGAACGTGCCGGCGTCCGTGATTACCAGGTTAATGGACCGACCATTGAAGATGTGTTCCTACGTTTAGCATCTGAGGTCAAGGAGGAGCTTGACAACGACAGAGCGCCCAGTCCAGTAGCAAGCGACTCAGCGCAACCTAGCGAGAAAGGCTTGCAGCTGTCTACTGGCAAAAGCTTATCATTTTTCGGTCAGACCTGGGTGCTCTTCCGTAAGCGCATTATTACCTCTCGAAGGAATATCTGGCCCTATCTAGCATCTCTACTCATTCCGCTTGCTGCGGCTGGACTCGTCACCCTGTTCATCAAGAACTTCGCGGCTCTCAGCTGTGATCCTGGCTCTTCCGTTTCGGTGGATGCAGCTGTTGGACTCGAGGGCTTTCTGGGCTTCCAAGCAGATATACCTCTTGGTCCAACAAATCAGGTGCCTATCGATTTTCTGAACCAAGTATTTCCGTTGCTGAATCCGCCCCCATTTCATTTAGTCGACACTTTCGATGCTTTCAACAATTACATCGCTGCGAATTACAGCTCTGCTACCCCAGGAGGTTTCTTCGAAGGCACAGTACCGACCTTTGCATGGCAAGGGAACTATCAGCTGTACTACGCTATCGCATCTCAAAATTTGCTTGATGTCAGCTTGACCAGGCTGCCCATCATCACCAACTTCCAAGCTTTCGCCATACCGTTCGCGCCATCCGCAGGCAAGAGTCTCCAATTCATTCTATACTTTGGTCTTGCTATGAGCGTATATCCCGGCTTCTTCGCGCTTTACGTGAACAGAGAACGTCTCCACAAGGTTCGAGCGCTACACTACAGCAACGGCATACGAGCACAATCGGTCTGGGCTGCATATACGCTATTCGATTTCATCATCGTCTTGCTTGTCAGCACACTCGCCATCATCATCTTCACCAGCGTCAACAACTTCTGGTTCGGTCCCGGCTATCTTTGGTTGGTGTTCGTACTATACGGTCTCACAGCGACACTAATGTCCTACGTAATCTCCATGTTCACTACAAGTCAACTGGCCACATTCGCATTCGCGGCAGGTGGTCAGTGCTGTTTCTTCTTACTATACTTCATCGCTTTCATGTGCATCGTCACATATTCACCAGCAGCCGATACCGATCGCAACATCAACATCGCAACTTACACTATCGGAGCATTTTTTCCGGCATCGAATCTGCTACGAGTACTCCTGTTGACCTTCAACGAGTTCTCGATCCTGTGTCGTGGCGGAGGCATTGCTTCCAGCCCCGGAGAGTGGAGCGTCTACGGCTCAGCAATCACATATCTTATCCTGCAGTCTGTCATTCTGATGACCTTCCTCATCGCATACGACAGTGGCTGGAGGCCTGCATTCTTGACGCGCAAAAAGCACAAGGCACAAGATGTGGAAGAAGTCGAGGACGTCGATCCGGAAGTCTATGGCGAGACCGCTCGTGTTGAGCAAAGCCGAGATGAGCTAAGGGTCCTTCACGCCACGAAGGCTTTTGCGTCGAATATTGCTGTCCAGGATGTGAGTTTTGGTGTACCGAAGGGTGAAACGTTTGCTCTTCTTGGACCCAATGGAGCAGGCAAATCGACAACGATCGGGCTTATAAGAGGTGACACTCGACCGAGCGCTGGACAAAGCGACGTCTTGATCGAGGATGTGTCTATCATTTCGCATCGTGCTGGTGCACGACAGCATCTGGGCGTCTGCCCTCAATTTGACGCCATGGATCAGTAAGTAAACCGAGACTTTCCGCACACGATAATACTTACTGAAATGTCTCACAGGATGACTGCCATCGAGCACTTACGCTTCTATGCTCGTGCCCGCGGCGTGCCCAATGTCGAGCACAATGTTGAGCAAGTCCTGCACGCAGTCGGCCTCGCACCTTTCAAGACCAGAATGGCCGGCAAGCTATCCGGTGGCAACAAACGGAAGCTATCACTTGGCATAGCGCTTATCGGCAACCCATCGGTAGTACTACTCGACGAGCCAAGCAGTGGCATGGATGCCGCCTCAAAACGTGTGATGTGGCGGACCTTGCGATCTGTAGCACCAGGCCGATCTCTCGTACTGACAACACATTCCATGGAGGAGGCCGATGCCCTAGCTGATCGTGCCGGCATCATGGCGAAAAGGATGTTGGCGCTTGGCACGGCTGACGAGCTGCGCAAGAAGCACGGCGATGCGTATCACGTCCACCTGGTGCACAAAGATGCTCCGCATACCACTGTCGCCGAAATGGAGGAGATCAAGGCGTTCATTCGACGAAGCTTCCCAGGCGCAACGACAGAAGATCGCATCTTCCATGGCCAGCTACGGTTCTCCGTGCCGAATGATAGGACAGCAGTGGATATCGGCTCAAGCTCGTCTTCCGAAGCTAGCGACAGCAAGGGCGCCTTGACGTCAACGACACACTCATACACCTCACCACGGAACGGTATTAGTGCCTTATTCGCCGAGCTAGAAGCCAACAAGGAGAAGTTAGGCTTCCAGTACTATTCCGTTAGTCAGGCGACATTAGACCAGGTGTTCTTGAGTATTGTCAACAAGCACAATGTTATGGAAGAGAACTATGCACGAGAGCACGGCAAGAAGCCGGAGAAGTTCTTGAGCAAGATGGGCTCCATGATACGAGTGGGGTTGTGCAACTTTTGAAATGTATAGGCTGTTGTGATATAAGTTATATAGCGATGCATAGCGAGGGGCGGAATGAAAGTATATCATAGATGGTACATAAACCGACAGAGCTACGAACAGCATCGGCCTATTTGGTCTTCAAACGTACGTTCATCTTAGTCGCCGACATTCAGCTAAGGCGGGCTAGGAAATGGCAGATAGCAGTGTGATTTCTTCCACCTGAGCTACCATTCAGCACGTTCCTCTTTGTTTCTCAGCGTGACCAATCATGAGCAGGTCCGGGGATCCACAGTTATGCTTTCAACGCATGATCACGAACGCTCATGTGACTCGCCTTCCACATCGTTCTTTCTATACGCCTACTTTATTGTCTTTGCCCATAGGGTTGTATTCCACTTCGTCCGGACAGCTGCTGATGTCAGTGCTGTTGCGCTGCTGTTGTCAGTCATCCCAAGAAGAAGCACTCCGGAACGAGGACCGGCTGATCCGAACACATATCTGGAATAACACGCTTTGGGCCTTGCACGTGAGATTGAGGTTAAGAAGCGCTTGAGAGGTGCGTGTCCCTTGATCGACGTCGCGACAACAGCCATTATTCCGAAGCGCATGGCAGACGACGGCCCTGCGCAATAGCTCTCGTGCCTGCTCATGCGTTATCGGTCGCATGTCTGCCCATCGCGCAACGTGCCCGATGATGCTGCCGGCCTTGATCTCGAGGCCAGCTTGTGCACAAGTCGTTGATGTAGCATTGTGGATGGCTGTCGTCAATTGATTGCATACTCGATTGCTCAACCACATGATCATGGCTGACGAGTGCTAGTAGATTCCAGCAGACGTCTTGTAAGGTATGCCTGGGAGAACTCCAACATCGACTCGACACCAGTGCGACAAGTGCACCTAACCCGGGATAGAAGAAGACTGTAGACGAATCGCGATGGCCGCGCTCGCAAGCAAGAGGAAACGGGACGATCATGACCTTGGCGGCATGCGCACCGCACCAGGCATGCAGATCCAGGCCAACGAGTACGACGACTCGTACCTCCAGGCCGACCCTAACAACATGGCCTTTGCCGACATGCTCTCCCACCACAACGTCGACAATAGCGGGGCAGTAGAAGACGATCACGAGGAGCACGAGACACCAGCACAAGCCGGCGGGCAAGTGGGCCAGCACGCGACAGATACCGCGGCAGCAGCCATGGCACAATACCACACCATGACAATACCCGCCCCAACCGAGCAGACCTTCATGGCGCAGAACCCCGAGACACCTCTAGATCGGCAAGGAAGTGCCTCAGGCGACGCGGGAAATACTCAACATCGGACATCAAGCTTCGGGGACTTTGATGCTAGCGGACCGCGAGACACCAACAAGGACCACGACGGCGAAGGATCTCCGACGGGCGACTCGAGTATGAATGCCATGATGGCTGGTTCTAAGCCGACTGTCGGATCAGATGAGTGGCACAAGGTGCGGAGAGATAACCACAAAGAAGGTCAATTTCGTCCATTCAAAAGCCATTTCATGACCATACACTAACACACTCCCAGTCGAACGTCGCCGCCGTGAAACGATAAACGAGGGCATAAACGAACTCGCCAAGATCGTCCCCGGCTGCGAGAAGAACAAAGGCAGTATTCTCGCCCGTGCCGTCCAATTCATCACCCAGCTCAAGGAGAACGAGAGCCAAAACATCGAGAAATGGACTCTGGAGAAACTCCTGACGGAACAGGCGATCGCGGAACTGAGCTCGAGTTGCGACAAGTTAAAGGCCGAATGCCAGCGTGCTTGGGCGGAAGTCGAGCAGTGGAAGAAAGCGGCACAGAAGGCTGGAGCGAGTGTTGACAAGGAAGATGCTGAGGGCGAGGAAGATTCATGATGATGATTTACATTTCTATCAAGGATTTGAGGTGATTGCTATAATGATCGACTTATACTGACGTGCTGTCTGTCGAATCTGTAGTGAGGTTGATTGCTTCAGAAGTGGAAGGAGCGTTGCCGGGGGCTTGATTGTTGCACGACTTCATGATATCCCAAGACCAGCCGATTTTTGCTGGCGTGGCGTTCTATACCGGGGCTGCGCGTTTTGATATGTATGGTTCTTGAGGGCTAACTGCCTATCTAGAGGGACGTTGCTTGATCTGTTTATAAGCACAACATATTCGATTGCCTTCGGATTCGACAGCGCTTGTCTCACATGTATCACGTACTATGAAGTGCTTCAACAACAAGCCAAGCACGGGTCAACTAGGAACACGACGCAAGCATTAACGGATAGAGGGAGGGCAGTTTGCATCGCAGAATTGAGCGAAGAGCTATGTGGCTAGAATGTAATACTTGAGAACGTTATATCAGAAAATCATCAAAGCATCTATGCGTCCCATAAAAGCAATGCATCAACGACAGCGAGCAGCAAGCAAGTCAAGCACAAAAACCGACGCGAACAACCAAAGTAACAACCGCTTCACAGCCCATTTTTGGCAAAATCATTAGGTCATTACAACTTTTTCCATCCCCTCCAAACCACCTCCCCTTCAATCGCGGTCAGAATCGTACAACAGGTTCGCCCATTTTCCCTTCACTTGCTTCCCTTGCCTTGTGCCGCGCTTGCTCGCTGAAAAGGTGCTGCTATGCTGTCTATATCGTTTCCAGAAGAACGCGCAAAAGGGTATAAATGGCAACGAGGGTATCGTGCGGGAAAACGCGAAAACACACAAGAAGGATTTGCTCTGGCCAGGAGACCCGTGCCGCCATCTCATGTCAGGCTTAGGCGGCAGCTGAGACGAGCTCCGAGGGCTGCCCGTTCTCCTTCGCACCGTGGAGGAACTCGTAGGGTGGGCGTTTGACGATGCCACCTGTGACTGGCAGGGCGGAACCGGTACCGGTGAGGAAGGCGTCGACGTCACGAGCAGCCATGCGACCTTCGTTGATACCCCAGACGATAAGAGACTGTCCACGACGGCAATCACCGGCAGCGAATACGCCCTCGAGGTTGGTGTTGTAGTGACCTGGTGGGGTCTTGATGTTCTTGCGCGGATCCTTATCAATCTTGCCACCCATGACTTTGTCCTCTGGGCCCAAGAAACCCATGGAAAGAAGGACAAGGTCAGCAGGGAAGAACTCCTCGGTGCCCTCCAGCTTCTTCATGTCCCAGCCACCGGTGGAGGTCTTGGTCCATTCAACACGGATAGTGTTGATGCCCTTGACGTTACCTTCGCCATCGTCCACAAAGTCGGTGGACATGACGCAGTACTCGCGAGGATCGCGGCCCATGTGAGTCTTGACCTCGGTGTGACCGTAGTCGACACGGTAGATGCGAGGCCACTGAGGCCATGGATTGTCGCGGGCACGCTCGGCAGGTGGCTGTGGCAGCAACTCGAAGTTGATGACAGACTTGGCACCATGACGAACGGACGTACCGATGCAGTCGTTACCAGTGTCACCGCCACCAATGACAACAACGTGCTTGTCCTTGGCGGATATGTATGCGCCATTCTCGAGTCCAGAGTCCAGCAGAGCCTTGGTGTTCTTGTGCAGGAACTGCATGGCCATGTGGATGCCATTGATGTTGCGGTTCGGGATGGGCAAGTCACGCGGGACTGTTGCTCCAGTGGCAATGACAACAGCATCATTGCTCTCACGCAGAGTGTCCAGTGTGATATCGCCCTCACCAATGAATGTGCTTGGCTGGAACTTGATGCCCTCATCGGCCATAAAGTCGACACGGCGTTGCACGACATTCTTGTCAAGCTTCATGTTGGGAATACCATACATGAGCAGACCACCAATCCGGTCCGATCGTTCGTAAACGGTGACGGAGTGGCCACACTTGTTGAGTTGATCGGCGCAAGCAAGACCAGATGGACCAGATCCAATGACGGCCACGTTCTTGCCAGTTCGGTGGGTAGGTGGTGTCGGTACCATCCAGCCCATCTCGAATCCACGATCGATGATGGCGCACTCGATGGACTTGATCCCGACAGGGTCCTCATTGATGCCGAGCACACAGGCGCCCTCGCAAGGAGCCGGGCATACACGTCCAGTGAATTCTGGGAAGTTGTTGGTCATGAGCAGCCTATTGAGAGCATCTTGCCATTGGTTCTGTAAGAGTGGTTAGCACAAGTCATCATTATCCCCAGCAAATGTCCTGAGGATATAACACGGGCGCGGCACTTGCCTGGAAGATTAATTCGTTCCATTTGGGAATGATGTTGCTGATGGGGCAGCCGGTGTCAGACTGGCAGAATGGCACACCACAGTCCATGCAGCGGGCTGCCTGATATTTGAGCTCATCCTCGTTCAGACGAGAAGACAGCTCACCCCAGTCACGGGTACGGGTCTTTGCGCTGCGGTAAGTCTCCTTGCGGCGCTGGTACTTCATGAACCCGCGGGTCTTGTCCAAGACAAGCTGAGACCTCTTCTTCTCAGCCTTATCGTCTTGGACACTCTCTTCAATGTCCATCAGCTCGTTCTTCTTGTGCTCCTTAGCCTCCTTTGCGTGTTCTGCCTTCAGTGAGTCTTGATGCAGGTCCCGTACAGCGTTACCGGGCAGGATGGGGAGAGGATACTGGTTCTTCTTCGCCTCAGCCTCCTTGGCGGCATTCTCCGCCATGACGCGCTTGTAGTCGGTGGGCAAGACCTTCACGAAGCGAGGCAGAGCGCGAGTAAAGTCGAGAAGAACGCGCGCTGCTAGCTCAGAGCCAGTGTAGTGGTGGTGGTCCTCAATGAGACCGCGTAGGAATGCGATCTCCTGAGGATCTTCGACACCGGAAAGCTCGACCATTTCGGTGTTGACCTTACCCTCAAAGTCGTGGTGTATATCAAGGACGTATGCGATACCACCAGACATACCGGCCGCAAAGTTGCGACCAGTGCTGCCAAGGACGATGACACGACCACCAGTCATGTACTCGCAGCCATGATCACCGACACCTTCGACAACGGCAGTGGCACCAGAGTTCCGTACAGCGAAACGCTCGGCAGCCACACCACGGAAGAAGCATGTTCCACTTGTAGCACCGTATAAGCAGACATTGCCAATGATGATGTTCTCCTCGGCCTTGTAGACAGCCGATCGTGGTGGGTAGACGATAAGGCGTCCACCGGAGAGCATCTTCCCGACGTAATCGTTGGCATCGCCCTCAAGCTCGAGAGTCACTCCAGGAGCCAGCATGGCGCCGAACGACTGACCAGCTGAACCTCTGATGTTTGCATGGATAGTGTCCTGCGGTAGGCCCTTCTCGCCATAACGCTTGCTGATCTGGTAAGAAAGAGTAGCACCAAGAGCACGGTCAGTATTGACGATGTCGCACTCGATGCGACATGGTAGACCCTTCTCCAAGGCCGTCTCAGACTCTGCGATGAGCTTGTTATCAAGACGAACGTGCAGTCTATGGTCCTGCTTGCGAACGTTGTAGGTTGCCACACCAGACCGAAGGGTGTGCGCTGGGGTGAGGATAAGAGACAGGTCGATGTTCTCAGTCTTTGCGTTGCGCAAGTCCTCACGAACCTTCAATACTTCCGTGCGCCCGACCATCTCGTTGACAGTGCGGAAGCCCAGCTTAGCCATGATAGCACGTAGCTCGTTCGAGAGGTAGTAGAAGAAGTTGATGACGTGCTCCGGAGTACCTTTGAACTTCTTGCGAAGCTCGGGATCTTGAGATGCAATGCCCACCGGGCAAGTGTTGACTAGAAACAGGTCAGCTAGGTCTCTATGCAAGGGTACGTTACATTAGGGTAACTTTGGACGACCTACGGTGGCACTTCCGCATCATAATGCAGCCCATGGCGATCAAGGGCGTAGTAGCGAACCCAAACTCTTCGGCACCAAGCAGACAAGCCATAGCGATGTCACGTCCAGTACGAATCTGGCCGTCAGTCTGTACCACAACACGACCACGGAGATCGTTGAGCACGAGCGTTTGATGAGTCTCAGCAAGACCCAATTCCCAAGGCAAACCAGCGTACTTGATACCAGTCCATCGGGAGGCACCAGTACCACCATCGTGGCCGGAGATGAGAATGTGGTCGGCCTTGGCCTTGGCCACACCAGATGCGACGATGCCGACACCAGTCTCGGAGACCAGCTTGACCGATACACGCGCACGTGGGTTCGAGCACTTCAGGTCGTAGATGAGCTGCTTCAAATCCTCGATCGAGTAGATGTCGTGATGTGGTGGGGGCGAGATCAAACCAACACCTGGTGTAGAGTGCCTAGTGCGTGCGATGGGCTCCGAGACCTTGTGACCTGGCAACTCACCTCCCTCACCGGGCTTGGCACCCTGAGCCATCTTGATCTGAAGCTCGTCGGCATCAGCAAGGTAGTTGCTGGTGACACCAAAGCGGCCTGAAGCAATCTGCTTGATCGCTGAGCGCATAGTGTCGCCATTGTCCATTGGCAGACTGCGCTCTGGGTCTTCGCCACCCTCACCGGTGTTGGACTTGCCACCAAGTCTGTTCATGGCCACGGCGAGCGTCGAATGAGCCTCCATGGAGATGGACCCATAAGACATAGCGCCAGTGACAAATCGGCGCACGATCTCGGTCCATGGCTCAACCTGCTCGATTGGGATGGGGTTGCGAGCCTCAAACTCGAAGTCAAGCAGCCCTCGGAGTGTGCAGTTTTTGATCTGCTCGTACTCGGACTTCGAGTACGCCTCGTAAGACTTGTCGTTCTTGGTGCGAACGGCGTCCTGAATGTTGGCGATCGAGGTGGGGTCGTTGATGTGAGCCTCGCCACCATCACGCCAGTGATATTCTCCAGTTTCAGACAAGCCCGGAATCTCCTTGATGTGTCGGCTGGGGAAACCCCTCTCGTGAAGCGCAAAGGCATCCTGAGCAATCAAGTCGAATGTCATACCACGAATGCGGGTCGCAGTGCCGGTGAAGCAGCGGTCAACAACGCTGTCGTCAACACCAAGAGCTTCGAAGATTTGAGCTCCCTTGTATGACTGCAGCGTAGAAATACCCATCTTGCTCATCACTTTCAGGATACCACCATCGCAAGAGTGCTTGTAGTTACCAATGAGCTCTTCGGGTGTCATCTTCTTGCGAATCAGACCCTCGCGGTGGAGCTTAAGGATACACTCGATCGCGAGGTATGGGCAGATGGCATCTGCACCATAGCCGACCAAGACACACATGTGATGCACCTCACGAGCTTCGGCAGTCTCGACTATCAGGGCAGCCTGGGCACGCCATCTGTTACGGACGAGGTGATGGTGGACCATTCCAGTGGCTAGCAGAGAAGAGACAGCAACACGCTCGTTCGAAGTCTTGCGGTCAGATAGAATGATGATTCGGTCACCACGCTCAATGGCATCTGTCGCAGCTTGGTTGATGTGGTCCAGCGCGTTCAGGTAGCCAGCAATGCCCTCGGACTTGGGGAAGGTGATATCGACAGTGGCTACGCTCCAGCTCGACTGTATCTGCTTAATGTTGACGAGTGCATTGAACTCCTCCACAGCCAGTATTGGCGAAGGTAGGTAAAGTCTCTGGCATTGCTCCTTGTTCATCTCGAGCAAATTGCCCTGGGGTCCGACGTAGGAGCCAAGAGACATGACCACAGACTCTCGGATAGGATCGATAGGTGGGTTGGTGACCTGAGCAAAGAGCTGACGGAAATACTCAAAGAGCAGACGTGGCTGGCTTGCCAAGCATGCTAACGGCGCATCGTTGCCCATGGAGCCAAGAGCTTCTTTCGAATCGGCTGCCATAGGAGCCAGCACCAAAGTGACTTGCTCCAGGGAGTAGCCAAAAGCCTTGAAGCGTGGGTCATCCTGTACAGTGTCTTTGGTGACCACTTGCGCGAGATCCACACCTTTGGCGGCTAGCTTTGCGTGCACCTTGGGCATCTCGAGCAGCTGCGAGTCGAGCCATGACCTGAAATCCTTTCGGGTCGCCACAGTCTTCTTCAACTCGGCATCATCAATGATCCTGCCGGCTACTGTATCGACCAGCAACATGCGACCAGGCTGAAGTCGACCTTTCTGAACAACAGTGGACGGGTCGATCTTGATCGTGCCGACCTCGGAAGCGCAGATGATGCGATCGTCGTCAAGCACGTAGTATCTGCATGGGCGGAGACCGTTTCGGTCCAGGTTCGCACCGCAGTATCGGCCATCCGAGAACGTGAAGAGTGCGGGTCCGTCCCAAGGCTCCATCATACAAGCAGCCCATTCGTAGAACGCACGCTTGGCTGGGTCGATGGTGTCGTTTCCCTCCCAAGCTTCTGGCACCATGAGCATGACAGCCTCTGGTAGCGAGAGCACGCCGTTGATGGTCAACAGTTCCAAGACATTGTCGAAGGCTGCAGAGTCCGAACCGCCGTCTTCAATGATTGGGTAGAGACTCTCCAACGCATCGCCGAAGAATTCAGACTTGAGCACGCCCTCTCTAGCACGCATCCAGTTCTTGTTGCCTCGAAGCGTATTGATCTCTCCGTTGTGTGCTGCCCATCGGAGTGGCTGGGCTCTGTCCCAAGATGGGAAAGTATTGGTGGAGAAACGCGAATGCACGAGGGCGAAATGCGCTTCGTAATCGACGTTCACCAAGTCGTGAAAGTAGTCGTAGACCTGCACGGGTGACAATTGTCCCTTGTATACGATGTTTTTATTGCTCAGTGAGCAGAGGTAGAACCAGTTGTGCAGGCCAATGGTGTGTGTCGCGCGCTTTCGAAGTATGTACAGCTGCTTCTCGAATTGCTGCTCATTGTATGCTTCATCAAAGTCCGCCTTGGGCTCTTTGCCCTCGCCGTATGCGGACTTGAGCACCACGAACGGCTGGAGGATGATGGGCTCTCGAGACTTCGCAGCAGGACCGAGAAGAGTGCTGTCCTTTGGCACCTCACGCCACCCGAGGACTCGAAGATCGAGCTGGCTCGCAATGTCTTCGAATGTGTCGAGTGTATCCTTGAGCGCCTCTTCCTCTGGCTTGAAGAAAAGATTACCGGCAGCGTATTTGCCGAGAGCTGGCAACTTGATGCCCTGCTCACGCTCAAAATTCTTCACGAAGAATTTGTGTGGCAGAGAAGTCATGACGCCAGCGCCATCTCCGTCTCGTGCATCTGATCCGACTGCACCGCGGTGGGTCATGTTGCAAAGGAGGCTTCGTGCTATGGTGAGTCAGCCTAGGACATCGGTTTTACAGTATGAGCGCTTTATAACATACCATCTGTGACGATCTTGTGGCTCGGCTTGCCCTTGATATGAGCAGCGAAGCCCACACCACAAGCATCTTTCTCGAGGGATGGGTCATAGAGACCCTGCTTCATAGGCAGGGCACCAGCCCAGGACTTGTTCTCGGGTCCATCCTGGTATTCGTACACGCTATACGGTTCCTGTTCGCTTTCCTCAATCTCTTCGATGCGTCGCTCTTCTACATTGTCGGCGAACGAGACTCGACCCATTCTTATCGGCGTATCGCCGATCTCGCTTTGCACGTAGGGCCTGATGCGAGCGGTGGCGGTCTCGTCGGTGGCGACGGCTTTGGGAGCTATGTATGCGGACTCTGGCTGAGAGCAGGATGTTAGTCTATGACTCTGCCGATAACGATGCTCAAGATGCTGAGGTTGCAAGGCAATGGGACTCGACTTGGTACAGAGCGAGACTCGAGAAGCACGCACAATGCAGTCGATAGAAATCGCTATTTTGTTGTTCTTGTGACCAAGACACTAATCGAAAGACCTCGCAGCTTCAATCTCCAGAGATATGCTTGATCTTCAGCAGAGCAGAGTCAATGATTCGAAGACTGCAGGCGATAAAGCTGCTTTTTGCCAGCCTCGCAAAGTTTCCAGGCAATATCGCGGGGAAATAATAAATGAATGCACGGGGGCGTTTTACCTCTTCGTTGATGCGTCAATAGCGTACGACGGTCGATGATCAGGGTAGGCGCTTGATGTGTGCTCGGAGGAGGGATGGTGGGCGCGACGAGCGAAAGACTTGGGGAGCAGTCAGAGTTTCCGGGTGGAAGGTGGTTCTTATTTCTTGTTAGAAGCCCCAGCGTGTGGATCACCTCCATAGTAGCGTCCGGTCTCGCCTCCCGCCTGAATACACGAGCACCATTCACTACTGACTAGAGCACTTATGGAGTAATGCAATGCCTTCGATTTAGTATGTACGGAGCGACTCGGTCATCCGAGTCGATCGACTGACTTGATTTCACAAGATTTGCTCATAGTTCTACAGCTCTCAAGCTTCATATCGAGGCTGTTACGTTCCTCGATCTCTACAAACATCAAGGACGCCAGGACATCGTTCTCATGATTTACGAGGTCGTCGTCTGCCCTCTTGATTGACGCCCGGTGGTGATAGTCTACTCTTGTCAGACCGACAAGGGCGAACTCATCTGCTTCTTCCACAGAAAATAATCCCACGCATGTGGTGACCTGGATATTTCCCCAGGCGACATGCTGCCGCTAGAGCAGCTTGGGTGTGCCAAGCGCAGGTCATCCAAGAGCATTCCTTTCTCATTTGTCAATTCGATTTCGTGACTTCACGTCGCAGGAAACGCCGAGATCTCTCCCAGATTGAGTTGCAGCCCGCTCATGCTTATGTTCGTTTGGGAGACGTTCATTGGGTGATTAGGACTCGGCCGGCATTCCCAAAAGTGAGCTGCCATAAGTCGCGGAGAGCGCATTTGTGCGCTTCATAGCCCTCAACGTGGACTCGAGCAGCATGAATATAAGGGATGTGGAAGCTGTAGGTCGAATGAACCGCAGTGAGATGTTCCTTCTTGATTGTGGTGGGATGCAACGTGTGACTGTTACATGAGACCAAAACTCCGGTGCTTTTGGCCTACTCCATTGAGTTGGCCTGACTGTGCTTGAAGCACATAACGGCCGATGGTTCGCGAAAGTCATAACAAGCTGTCAACCACACTTTTCCAAGCCTTATCGGACGCACATGAGACGTCGCGATTGTTGCCGCGACAGACGCAGGTGGGCGGGGCTCTGTGAATGCTCTGCTGAACTCTGAATGCACGACACATCGACCGACCTCGCTTGTGCACATGTCAACCATATGATCGAGTTCTTGCATATAATAGTCCGTACGCCACCGTGCCTCGTCAGATGTTCATCCTTTTGTCTTGAGCCTCGACCGTTCCACCCCGTCTGTCGGGTGAAGTCGGAGGAGTCCTGCAGAGCGGAGCACAATTTCGCGAGCGGCCACGGAATCTGGCGACGGCTATTGATGAGGCTCTGAGGATCGACGACGCTCCACCCAAGCAATACGCGAGACGCTGGTACAGTCAAATGGCGGGAAACGACTTTTGCTGGCGGTGAACATCCCGATATCGGCATAACGAGATATAGACTATGTACTACACTTCAGGCTATATTCGAAGCAGAAAACATCGCGTCGTTCGAGCATAACATAGAGTACTGTCAAACGCACTCACTCGTATGGAGTTCTCGATTTGAATACGTGAACGCCGTGGTAGAAACTTGGAGGCCGTCTTCCGATGGCCTCGTCAAAACCGTGTCAACATCTCGCCTCGCGCATTTGCAGATAGGAGAACAGTGGGCCAAAGTCTTCGACAAACTTGAGGCATGCCGTGAATGTGTCTTTCGAGGTCATACAAGCGTGATCTCTGCCACTGTGATTCTAAATACACCGCATATTCAGACTGCACGATCATTCGGGCGCCACGAGCATGCAGAGATCTACTCATTTGCATTCGTACGGCCTTAAGCAGCTTAGCACGACTTGGCATGTAGGCTGAGTGAATGCTTCTGCGAGCTGCGAGAATGGTCAGAAGAAGTCGAATTCATAAAGCTTTTCCGCGACACTCACAGAATCGATGCTTTGGAGTGTTTGCAAGACCTAGAGTCGGCGATTGGAATCACTCTACTCCTCCATCTTATCCTCGTCGTCCTCGAAATCACCATCTTCCTCATCGTCCTCGTCGTCACCTTGCTCCTCGTCCAGCTTCTTCGCGGCCTCAGCGTAGTCAATGTTCTTGCCGCGGGTACGTGAGTTGACAATGTTGTCCATGTCAATCTCCTCCATATTGTCCTCATCAGGCTCCTCGACTTCACCCTCGCCCTGCATTGCTATCAGTTTCTGCTCATATACTCGAAGGCCACCATGCTCACCTCTTCCTCATCATCATCCTCGTCATCATCTGAGGCTACTGGCACCTGCTCAGCGACCTTGCCTTTGCCCTTGCCAGACTCCATGGCTGTGTTGGCACTGTCTTGGTGGTTTGCTTTGGCAGCCATCTCGGGCTCGCCCATATGCGAATCGACTCCGTTGCTCATGTTGAATAGTTCTGTGTGAACTGGAGGTCGTGGTTGTGAGAGTGCTGAATGGTGAATGACAGCTTGACAGTTATTCGAAGAGTGTGTAGTTGCTTGAGCGCTTCGTTGCTGTGGGTGTCACAGTCTTCATCAGGAATAGCGCGGCGCGTTTCAAACGCCAAAAGTCGCGTGAAGCTTTGATTCGCGACTGCATCGTGGCGGAGAACATATATGCTGTCGAAGACAGCCAAACGATTACATCACGACCATAAGACTCAGCTGCTGACAGGAACGACCGAATACTGACTGGCTACGCTACTCGTTGATCTCGAGGCGTTTCAATGGCAGCTAAACTACGCGGGAGACCAGCTCGTAAGGTGACAGTCGACAAATATGCTTCACAGCCTCTGACATATCACAGACGCTCCTGGTCCGACGTACTTAGCATACACGCCAAGCGGACGAAAACTTGTGACAGCAGGAACGAACAGTGCTGTTCGTATATTCCAGCATGGCTCTGACGACGAGCCTGCAATCATCGATGTCCCGACAGATAACCATACAGCAGTGGTGGCAACAAATGACTTCTTTCTCATCGGAGCCGAGGATGGCTCAGTCACAAAGTACTCCCTCCTCACAAACAGCATGGAAGAGATAATTGTACGATGTTCGCTACCAGTACGGGACATCTCATTGTCTCGTGATGGCGAGTGGGCAGCTGTAGCAAGTGATGAGCTCGATGTCAAGGTCGTCAACACACGAGACATGACCAGGATCATGCACTTGCGTGAACAGTGTCGGCCAGTCAAGAACGTGTCTTTCGACGTCAGCGGAACTATGCTTGCAGTGTCCTGCTCGGACGGTGTTGTGTACATGTACTCACTGAGCTCCGAGAAGCTGCAGCTTCTGAAGCGTGTCGATGGCTTGATCAAGACGCTCGAGACAGATGCTGAAGCAAGTGCTATGGTGGCATGGCATCCTGATGGCCGAGCGTTCATTGCACCCACAAGCACTAGAGGTAGTGTAACAAGAACTCCTGATAATGCCTCCCACTAATGTGGTCTTACAGACATCCAATGTGTGGCAAGGAATGACTGGCAGCGGCAGAAGGCCTTCACTGGGGGGCACCGTGCCGACATCTCTGCAATGAGATGGTCACCTAACGGCGCACTTTTAGCGTCTGCTGGGGTCGACAACAGCCTTTGTCTGTGGGATACACGCACCCAGCGTCTTATCAAGACCTTCGAGGACGTCAGCAACACAATCATGGCAATCGACTGGCATCCGACGGAAAACATGTGCTCCTATACTAACAAGAACGGCGAGCTCTTCATGCGCGAAAATTTTGTCCCCAGTCCCTCATCTACTCTCCTCAAGGTCGCCCTCCAACCTTCTCCGATGAACAATGAGCCGCTGTCCGAGGTCTCAGGCAACGCGCAAAGGCGCCCCGGCGACGGGCTGAAATCGAATGGAGTTCTTCGCAGTGTTGAAGACCAGTATTTGGACGATCTACTGGGTCCGGATGCCATGTCAGAGGATGATGGCGGCTTCATTGAGGATGATGACGGTGCGGGCTATGCAGAGGTGCCAAACGGACACGGCAAGCGTGCTGCCGGTGGCATGACCAGCTTGCCTGCGAAACGTCACCAAGCATATTCATCTTGGCAGCCACGAATCCATGAGGCGTTCCAGCCCGGCAGCACCCCTTGGAGAGGCAATCGACGATATTTGTGCCTCAATCTGACAGGATTCGTGTGGACAGTCAATCAGGAGACACACCACACAATCACCGTGGAGTTCTATGATCGCCACGAGCATCGCGACTTTCATTTCACCGATCCTTACAAGTATGACAAAGCCTGTCTCAACGAGAAAGGCACGCTCTTCTCATGTCCGCCATCAACACAGTCTGATCAGCGAGCAATGCTGTATTACCGACCACACGAGACATGGACGACTCGAATGGATTGGAAGACGCAGCTGCCAGCAGGCGAGACAATCGTCTCGATGTCTCTCAGCGACTCCTGCATCGTTGCCACAACATCTGCCGGCTACGTGAGAATATTCAGTCTCTTTGGCGTGCCGCTCAAGGTTCATCGTCAGAAGAGCACACCAGCAGTGACTTGTGCAAGCTTTCGCGACTATGTCCTGACCGTCGGTAACGGCTCGGTCGGCGGCGATGGCACTACTCGGTTGCTGTACAGCATAGAGAATATCCGACGAGACGAGATCTACCAGAATGAAGACATTTTGGCTCTCCCAGATGGTGCTGAGCTCCGCAGTGTGTTTTTCGGCGACAAAGGTGACCCTTGCATCTATGATACTCATGGCGTGCTACTCGTCCTTCTCCACTGGCGGACACCTGGCCAAGCAAAATGGGTACCACTACTGGACACCAAAATGCTCGAGCGCCTTGCGAGCGGGAGGAAGGACGAGACATACTGGCCGGTGGCTGTGGCCAACAACAAGTTCCACTGCATCATACTCAAAGGCGGCGAGGAGTACCCTTACTTCCCACGACCACTACTGACGGACTTTGAATTCAGCATACCCGTGTCTGCATTACCAAAGACAAGCGAGGAGGACGAAGATAAAGAGCTTGTCCACCTCCAGGGCCTTGAAGAGCAGTACGTTCGTGCCACCCTGCAGCACTCACTACAACTAGATCTGGTTGAGAACACGAACGCATCAAGTGCCCAGAAAGCCGAAGTCCCGATGATGGAGCGCGAAGTGGACAAAGTGCTGCTCCAACTATTGGCCACAGAGTGCAGAGAGGGCGAGGAGCGCGGCATGAAAGCCTTGGAAATCGCGTCTCTCATGCGTGATCGGAGTGGCAAAATGCTTGAGGCTGCCGGCAAGATTGCTGCCCGGTTCCAGAGAGACATCTTGGGTGAAAAGATCTACCAGCTAGCAGAGCGAAGACTTGTCGGGTTGGTGGATGACGAAGAAATATGATTGCCTTCTGGTGTATATTACCGCTTTGCAATTTTAACGCATGTGTTATACAAGAAGTTGATAGCTTTGCGCAACCTCGCATCGTGGACTTCTCGATTTGCCGACGTCTTCGCAGTCTGCCACACCCAGATTGAGGCATCGGCCACAAGAGGCGCTGACGTGCGCAGGTACCATGCGTTCCTTTGCGAACGACGACCATGTGTTCTGACTACGCCGGTTGCCGAGCCGGGTCACTTCCTGCTTGGCCGCAATGCTCCCCTGGTCTCTGCATGGACGAGATTGTTCACGCCGGCATACTACCCCACCAGCGCAGGACGACATAGCCAAGTCTGCGGATCCTGTAACACCTCGCAACATGCTATGGCGGGGCTTCATGAGCACACTCCGTTGACCTGCTTGTTGCAGCCCACTGAGTGGAACCGCGGAGACTTGACTGCAGATGCATGCTGCGTCTACCCGTGACCTTCCGGTCAATCTCTGCTGGCTGAGGTTCCGTAGCACTGGCGGTTCGCATAGAATCAGAGCAGCAAACATCCGGGCGTCACTCCACCTGATCCCAGAGCTTTCATTGGGTGGATGCTTCGAGTCGCTATGTGGTGGCTGATGTTGAGGCGGTGTGCAGAGGATGCCTTCGGTGATCACCCCGGTGACGGATTCGAGCGTCGCTACAGGACGTGTAGTTCGTAATACCAGGCGTTTCGATCTGATGGTTGCACAGAGCCAGAGTGCGGCCTCATTCGACAGCATAAGAAGGCCATTGCCCTCATCTTCATCTTATCTTCTTCCGTCGAATCTGTTAATGGTACACAACGATATCACATAACGAACCGCAACACACACCCTTACCTTACGACCTTAATCTGTATGTTCAACAATCCCACACGCAGTCCACACATGCCCCCAGCTAACGATAGCTGACCCAGAGACACCTCTCCTCCTATGAATCAACAACTACAACTCCTCTCAAGCCGTAGCCCAATCGTGCCGCTGCTCGCTGGCGGCGGATGGAATGGCGCCTTCAGCTATCCGTTCGCACCCTACTACGGGATCGACCCTTTCGACTTTTACGACTACGATCCGTGTATCCTGGCCTGTTACTACCAAACAGGCATGATCGATGGGCTCTCGCAGGACATGTACCTCAATGGAGGTCGTTCCAGTGGTCGTCGTGGACGACGTCGACATAACATGCCGATCCTAGGCGGTATGAACATCTTCGGAGGCGGGTACGGCGGATTCGGAGGACCAGGTGGCTATGCCGGGCTCAGTGGCTATAGCGGACTTGGCGGCCTTGGAGGGTATGGCGGATATAGCAGCAGGACGACGCGCAATGGAGGTTGGCCGATGAACCCAAGGTACTGGGTCGTTGGTCCATAGACCGGATTAGCACACCAGCGACATGATCAGACGACGACTTTGTTGAATACTCGAAGCAAATACTGGCTTGCGATTTCAGTAGTCTTCTGTGAATGGAGTTCATCAACGGCCTTTGGGATCATGATCAGGCGCATGCAATTTCGGAAGAATATCCTCCTTCGATTGGAGCTTGTGGATGGAAACCCGCGACGAATATATTGGTATCTTGTATTAGCTATCACCACTCGTTAGGCATGCTTGATTGACATGTCAGATCTGAAGATCGGTATCGACCATGTAGATGTAACAGCTCCCAGCATACACGGAAGGAGTCTTGTCTCAGCTGTCTCAACGTGTCAAAGATGACAGCAGGTTCCGTGTTCGTATCAGCACATTTTTGCTCTTCCATGGTGAGGGTATGGAAAGTAATACAATAATAGGCAAGAATGAGAGCTTGATCAAGCTTTCCACTCGTGAAGACAAGCCTCGCCAAGGAATGCCATGACGCAAGAGCGTGGTGAATGGTGGGGAAATGTCGCGCGAGGCGTGCCTGTTTAGCCAGGAAACGATTGCAAGTGCCATGCAGGAACCTAGCTTTGGCGACGAGAAACATGAATGTAGTCTAAGCCCGAGGTAGGCAACTGGTGGCTTCCCTCTCAGCTTCAGCTTTCTCTACCTTTCAACTCCCTCTCCACATCACACTAACCGCAAGCCTCGCCACCACGACCAACCATGGACAAGCTCAAGAACGCCGCCTCAGCAGCCAAAGACAAGCTAAAAGGCGACAACACCAAAGACTCCACCACGTCCAGCTCCACAGCACCCACGACCCAGAATGTATCTGCCTCAAGCTCAGCAGCTAGAACACAACAGCCCTCACAAGAGCACTTCGACGCCGCCGCCACAACCCTGGACCAAATGACCAGCATGGCCGCCAAACCCGACGGCCACACAAAGGAGCATCTCCACGCCGCCGCCGACCACGCCAAAAGCCAGGCCTGGTTCCAATCCATCTTCCCGCAGAGCAGTCTAGAAAACATGGAGAACTCGTGGCACCTAGGGAATTACGTGATTGACCGACAGACGGGTACGGAATATCCATCTGCCCACAAACTCGGCCTGATCATCTACCGAGTAAAAAGCTGAAACACTTATCATATAGGCCAAAAAACCTTTGAGCCAATGTCCATCTACGTCCGCCTAGGAATGCACTTCCTCTACTACGGCACGGAACAAGAAAAAGCCCTCCACTGGAAACGCACCCAAGACCTGCTGAAGGACCAATCCCTCAAAATGGGCCGCCAATACGACGATCCGGCCTCCGTGGCCCACATCGAACCCTTCATCGACAGCTTTAACCTCCGCGGCAGCCTGGCCGAAATGGTCCAACCGGACCCCCAAGCGTATAGGACCTTCAACGACTTCTTCGCGCGCGAGATCAAGGAATCCGCGCGTCCGGTCACGGAGTCAGGCAACGAGAACGTCGTGTCCAGTCCCGCGGACTGCCGTATCACGGTCTTCGAAACGGTGGATCTAGCGACTAAATACTGGATCAAAGGCACCGGGTTCACGCTGCCCAAACTCCTTGGTTCCGAGGACCTTGCCAAAAGGTTCGAGGGAGGGAGCATAGTGATTGCGCGCCTGGCGCCGCAGGATTATCATCGTTGGCATGCTCCTGTCTCCGGGACGGTGGAGGGGGTGAAGGAGATTGAGGGGACGTATTACACGGTTAATCCGCAGGCGATTAATGTGCCTGGGACGCTGGATGTGTTTTGTGAGAATCGCCGGAGTGTGATGACGCTGAGGCGGAGGGGGACGGGGTCTCCCGTGGCGGTTGTGGCGGTTGGGGCGATGTTGGTGGGGAGTATTAAGTATAATGAGGGAATTGCGCCGGGGAAGGAGGTCAGGAGGGGGCAGTGTTTGGGCGCGTTTTATTATGGGGGGAGTACGGTTATTGTTGTTCTTCCGAGGGGCGAAGTGGTGTTGGATCGGGATTTGGTGGCGAATTCGGCGGAGCAGAGGTGTGAGACGCTGATTAAGGTTGGGTGGAGGGTTGGTGCTGGACCGCAGTGATGTGGAAAAGGGTGTCAGCATTCTGGTATGTCTGTTCTCTTTGATGTATAGCGTGACAGCTCGGGTAGCTGCAAAGAGTTCAGTGCTGCGCGGAAGATATGAAAGCTATGTGGGTATCTCAAACAAAGCTTAACGCAATTTGCTCCGGTTGTATTCATTGCTCATCACTGCGCCTCCGTCTGTCCTTGTTGTATGGCGACCGCGATCGAGATCTGGTGCGATCACGTCGGTGTCTCCTTTCACGATCTCTACTTCGACTGCGACTCCTCTTACGACCATCATAGTCCCTACTTCTCCTATCTTGATCTGCAAAGCTCCGTCTACGCTCTCGACTCCGCGACCTGTCACGTCTGCGCTCCCTCGATCGACTCCGTGACCGCACACTATGCCTATGCTTATGCCTTCTCTCCCGATCATGCCCGCGTGACCTCGACCTCGACCTCGACCTGCGTCTCCGCTTCACAGCCCTATCGTCCTCATGATCTCGCTCCCGTCGCCTCTCTCGACTCCCCTCTCTCCTCCGCCTCCTCTCCTCCCTCGACTTCATACCCTTCCCTCCCTCCCCCTCCTCCTCCTTTCTCTCATCATCCCCCAAAGCCTCCCTCAAAGCCTTATTAACCTCCCCCTGCTTCTCCCGACTCAACCCTAACGGCTCCAAATTCGCATTCGCATTCCCATTCCCCTCCCCCTGCCCCTCTCCACCCCGTTCCGGTACCGGCAACCCCATAGCGCGTAGCATAGCATCCTCCTCCGCCTCCTTCACCTTCTTGACCTCCGCCCTCCTCGCCTCCTCAGCTTTAACCCTCCTCTCCTCCTCCGTAAGCTCCGCATCCTCCCCCTTGGCATACCAACCTAGGTCCTTATTCTTCTGCCAGCGGCCCACGGGCGCCATGAGCGAGTGGCCGAGATAGTTCTCGCGGTGTTGAGAGGATTTGACTTCGTCCCAGCTGAAATTCACGCCGCCGCGTGAGCCGGACTTGCGGACGGATTGGAGGAGGTCCATGTTGGTGATGTAGCCAGGCGAGAAAGGGGTTTGGTGTGAAAAGGGAAAGGTGGTATTAAGCAATGTGTGGGTGACTTTTGGGGGTTGGAGATTGTGTGGCTGCGGGGCAATTGGAGGTGTGGCTGTGGGTGAAGCTTGATAAATGTTAAACGTGGCATTGAATAATCTTTTTATTAAGCATTGAAGTCGTTCTTTGCTTCGTTAACAAGCAAAGATGCCGTGGAAGCAGTGGGCAGTCAGTCTATTGTTATCCACCACAGTCTTGGCTCAGGATAGCACAGTCTTCTCCAAAGAAAGCAACGACACTTTGCTATGGGGAGCCTACCGACCAAACGTCTACTTCGGTGTTCGACCGCGACTACCAAAGTCGCTGACTACTGGACTGCTATGGTCGAGGGTAGAAGACTTCCAGAGTGTTCAGCAGAATGTCCGATATACATGTGAGCAACACGAGGGCATGGCAGGCTATGGATGGGATGCATATGACCCTAGGACTGGTGGGGTTCAGACCATCCATGACAGAGGCAATGGCATAGACATTGAGACGAGCTTTGTCAAGTTTGATGGTGGAGGAGGAGGATGGAGTGCTCGTATCAAGGGGACGCCACGAGAGGATGCCGAAGCCGGTCCTGGCAGCGAAGGTGGTGTCGAGAGCATGAAGACGGCAGTGTGGTTTACTGCTGGTATGGAAGGACTGGGTGGACTCGAGGTCGAAGGGGTTGAGGAAGCAGACGACACGGGCTTCGAGGGCGACATCGTACTCAATGGCCAGACCTCCGACCTAGGCGAGTTCAAGCTCACCCTCACCGACAACCCTGCCAACCGCCACCCTGCCCACAACCACCCGTCAGGAAAGTCGAAACCGCTATCAAACAGCTTCGTTCACTCCCTCCAAGTCCCCGAAGAAGCGATGTGGCAATCAAAAGGTAAGCTGCGCATGCATCGTCCAACCACCACACGACCAAGCATGCTGATTCTGACACAAGCCTTTTCCCAGCCATTCTCTTCGGTTCCCTGAAGACGACAATCGATGCATACGTCGAAGAGTACACCGAAGAAAAGATGCCGCCACCCTGGCAAACCTACACCATCCAAAACCGACCCGGTCAGGGCAACATGCACGTCGTGCAAAAAGTCTTCCAAGGTGCTTTCGAGTTCGACGTTTTCTACGCCCCGGCTGAGACCAAGCAACCAACATCGCAGGATCTGACCAAAGCCATCAAGGACGTAGTGGACATTTTCGACAAGAAGTACCGCTCGGTCCTCGCCCCCCAAGCTCCCTTCACAGCAGAAAAGTACATGCGCTTCAGCAAATCCCTCTTCTCCAATCTCATAGGCGGTATCGGGTACTTTAATGGCGACCAACTCATCGATCGCTCTTACGACCCTTCGTACGAAGAAGAAAATGAAGGTTTTCACCAGGAGACCGCCGAGGCGCGATCACTTAATCGTCAGGAACTCGAGGGTCCGTACGAACTCTTCACTTCCATCCCCTCGCGCCCCTTCTTTCCTCGAGGATTCTTATGGGACGAAGGCTTCCATCTCCTGCCAATCGTAGACTGGGATCCGGAGCTGGTAATGCAAATCATATCCAGTTGGTTCGGGACAATGGACGAAGAAGGCTGGATAGCACGAGAACAGATCCTAGGCGCCGAGGCCCGGAGTAAAGTCCCCCAGGAATTCCAAGTCCAATATCCACATTATGCTAATCCACCCACGCTCTTCATGACCATCCAAGCCCTCATCGACCACGCCCAAGAGACTTCCAAGGACGACTCAGCCAAGACGCTGAAGCCCTGGTTGAAGCAACTTTACCCCCTCCTCCAACGCAACTTCGCTTGGTACCGCCGCACCCAGTCCGGTGACCTCAAATCCTACGACCGACCCAAAAGCTTCAGCTCAAAGGAAGCCTATCGCTGGCGCGGCCGCACAGACCGCCATGTCCTCACCTCGGGTCTAGACGACTACCCGCGTGCCCAACCGCCTCACCCGGGCGAACTGCACACGGATCTCATGGCGTGGATGGGTATGATGGCGCGGAGTATGCAGAGCGTCGCAACATACATCGGCGAAACCGGTGATAGTGGAACCCATGCCAAGATAGCCGAGGCCATCCAACGGAATACGGACGATTTGCATTGGGACAAAAGTGCGAAGACGTATTGCGATGTCACGATCGATGAGTACGAGGAGAGTGTCAGGGTCTGTCATAAAGGGTATATTTCTATTTTCCCTTTCATGACCGGGTTGGTGGGACCGAGCAATGAGCATCTGGGTGATGTGTTGGATTTGATTGCTGATAAGGAGGAGTTGTGGAGTGAACATGGGGTGAGGAGTCTCAGTAAGAAGGATGAGTTGTATGGGACCGAGGAGAATTATTGGCGGAGTCCGGTGTGGATGAATATGAATTATCTTATTCTGACGAATTTATACGTAAGTCTACCCTGCCCGCCTGATAAACAGTCAGCACATCGAGTCTACACAAACACTTGGAGCAAGCAAGCTGACACGATTCGGTGTGTAGAAAACCGCACAATCCTCCGGGCCCCACCAAGCCAAAGCGACGAGGATGTATAATACCCTCCGCTTTAATCTGGTGAAGACGGTGTACCTTTCCTGGTTGGAGACGGGTTTTGCGTGGGAGCAGTATCATCCGGAGACAGGCCAGGGCCAGCGGACGCAGCATTTTACCGGGTGGACAAGTTTGGTGGTGAAGATGATGGAGATGCCGGATCTAGGGAGTGGGAAGGGCAAGGGGGGGCATGAGGAGTTGTAGGGCGTGTGGAGGAGGAGGGAGGTGTGGGAGGTCAGGGGGAATTGGGGAAGGCGGCCTTGGAAAAGTTGTCGTTGTTGTGTGTGGATGGCGAGAAAAGTTTATAGATCTAGCGAATGCTTGTTGCACCATGATCATACCAAGTACATATGCTGGACCAGGGCGATCTTCTCATTCGCTTCATGAGCATTCATCTCATCTCGTGGCTTATGCTCAGAGTGTATTTCCTTGAGGCATTCATGCATGAACCTCGGCACGCGAGCTCAAGGTCGATCAATCGCGTTTTCCCATCAAGATGTCGTGTTGATTTTCAATTCACATGGCCTTCTGAACAGCCATGTCCTCAAAGCGTCTGATCAAGGAGCTTGAGCAATATAACAAGGACCCTTCTCCAGCTGTACCTCATCTAGAAACCGTAGGAGGTGATCTCACCCAGCTCACAGCCGTCTTGAGAGGGCCAGCGGGGACGGCATACGAGGGTATGACTTCGTCTACCATCGACATGAATTAGACTGACTCGCTGATATTATGTTGGCACAGGCGCCAACTGGAACCTCACCATCTCCCTCCCCCCAACCTACCCCAACACCCCCCCAACTATCCTCTTCACTACCCCCATCTGCCACCCTAACATCGCCTTCCAAACGGGAGAAATCTGTCTCGATCTCCTCAAGACCTCGTGGACGCCTGCTTATGGGATCGTGAGCACGCTGGAAGCGATACAGCAGCTTCTCAGTGCGGGAGGGGAAGCGGATAGTCCGTTAAATTTGGATGTGGCGAAGTTGATGAGGGAGGGAGATGCGGTTGGGGCGGAGGGATTAATTAGGTTCTATACTGGGTTGTTTGCTATGGGACGGTGACCAAGACCAAGAAAGAGAGAGCCGGATCCGTTGCGTATGGTGTCGGTGATATGGTTGTGTGGATTGTGGCAGGCTGGCGTTGGCTGGCGAGTTCATGTGTATGATGGAGACTACAACCATTCATGATGAGCAGCACGATTGGTACGGGCAGCATGACATGAGCAACGACCATGGCGCAGAACTGCGGCCTTGTAAGAAGCACATTTGCTACTACAATGCAGAAAAGCCTGCGTACAATACACAATACACTAAAAACCCCTCTCGTCAAAAGTACATCCCATTCCCTCCCGTCCCAACATTTCCCATAAACCCTCATCCAGTCCTGTCCTATCCTATGCCAAACCAGCTTTGTCCCAGGGGGTATCTATTTCCATCCATAAGTCATGCCCAATACCCCACATTCGTAAATGCCACATCATATCCATCGTAAGTTCATACAGCGAAAAAAGTAAACAACCTGTCGCAATCCGTCCATCCATCCATACCTTGATACTCCTCCTGTAAGCCAAATGCACTGTGCGCCCCCCAAAACCCACTACACCCTGCCCCCAGATGCGTCCCGCTGTGCATCCCGCTATTCTTATGCAAGTCTTTCTGTAGTCTTATCCGATATATTCCGAGATCTGAAGATAAAGCCGTCGATGTGGGGACGAGCCCGTATCGTCTGCTCGCGGCACAAGCCAAGTCGAGAAAAGTCCGGTCTGTTGTCATCTCATTGTCCAAACCGGCCATCATGCTCCTGTCCACTCCCCTTCCTCATCCTCTCCGCCACAGCTCCCTCAACAGCATCACCATTGATACTCGGTAGTCCTGAACTCTGCAAGCTCTGCGTATCTGCCGTCAGAGGGGGAGGCGTATTGGCCGCCGAAGCAAACGTGCTTGCGAATAATGGCGGCGGTAAGGAAAGATGCATCGTTCCGTAGTGGTCGTGATTGTGTCCATTGTGTTGGCCATGAGTGTGGTTACTATATCCAGTATTCCAGCGTGGCAGCCGAGCGAACCGCTCCATCTTCTTCTCGATCGACTGGACCTGCTTGCCGCAGCCCGTGCGCTTAGCCTGGGACATAGCCGGCTGGAGGATCTCGACGAAGCTCGCAAAATCGTCCGAAGACAAAGTATCAAGCAATTTCTCTGTATCCAATGTCAGCAATCTAGCAGCCTCGATACGATGCCGAGATTCACTCACGAATAACATAATTCCCAAAATTATCCTTGATCAAGCCGACAAACACATCCTCGCCACCCTCCATACGGCGAACATTGTTGAGCTCGACGAGTTTGTGCACCACCATGCGCCTCCACATATCATTCGCCTGCTCAAGGCACTTCTCTACCACGTTGCTAGCGAATTTGTGCTTGCTGAAGCCTTCCAGGCCACCGAGGATGTGCTCGAAGACGCGCATGCGACAGGGACCATTATCTTTGACCACCACATGCTGGATGACATAGTTTCCGTACTGGTCGGAAATCATGGTTGGGATGCCTAGAACAGTGTTAACGAAGCGACCTGTATACTAGAATGGCACTGTGAACTCACCTTGCGGCTCAAGCAACTCCTTCAATATCATAGCCTTGGAAGGCGAGTCGCCCCTCTCCAGACACCTCTGTATAACCCTACATCCGTAAGAATGTATACTCAAAGACGCCACCTGTCCTCGGAAAGCCTCGAAAATGAAGCCAATGGTATGTGAGGGGCACCTTTCGATAGCCTTCTGAATGACATGGTTGCCATTCTGATCCTTGACACACAGAGTGACATGGTCCTTCAGCTCATTGATGAGCGAAGCCTGCTGGTCAACGAGTACGTGGTCAATCGCTTTCTGTACCACACGACAGCCGTACATCTGCAGACTCAGTTCCAACACTCGGCCACGCATGTTGTTCGCCAAAATCTTCTTGTGCGTCTGATCGCCATGCTCGAAGAATTTCTGGATCACATAGTTGCCGAAGACGTCCGTCATGAGTTGCAGGACATTCGGCTCGATTTCGCGAAAAACACGCTCCTTGTCGTCTGAGTTGGCCGTCTCGAGGTTCGTCTGGATGAAGCGGGAGCCATGCTGGTCGCCTGCGAATTCTGCGACGTGGCCGAAGATGTCCTTGAGAGTGAAGCGTCTGGACTTGATATTGCTTTTGAACTCGTACATCAATGCGCTCTGTACTCCCTCACCAGGCGGGAGGTCGCTCGGATTCGCGTAAGGGTCGGTGCCGTTCATCTGTATCTGCATTGGTAGGTAGGTTGGCAATTGCAGGCCATTAGCCATGCCGTACGGGCTGAAGTAAGGAGAATAGCCCGTCCGGATCTGATCGATCAGCATTTGCTGCATACGAGGATCCATATGTAGAGGACCGTTGGCCGCCAATCGTGCATTCAGCGATAGGTCGCCATTGGTATAGCCGTGGAGGCCGGGAGTCGGTCTCTGATTCTCTCCTGACCCAGACCCGTTGGACGGTGTACCATTCGGGGTGAATACAGAAGCATTGCGGGGATTCAGACTATTCGACAGGTGATGCATGGACGATCCAAGACCTGTCTGACCAAATGTGGGGAGTTCGATGGGTGTTGAAGACGTGTTGTACCCATTACTGCGATGCTGCGGCATACTCAAACGTGGCACATCTTCGATGTCATCGTTCCCGTCCATCCCAAAGATTCCTCTGTGGGAGAATGATCGATTGTATGAAGAGGTCGCAGGTGCGGTGTACTGGTCAAAGGCGCCGTTGAAGCTGGAAGTGGACTTGTAGGATGTCGAAGGACGACTGTTGCTTTGCAAGCTCAACTGGTCGATTTGACGACTCAGCTCATCGTCACCGCTGTACCCAAAACCACCATATCCTCCATTTGCCGTGGACGCAATAGAAGGTATACGCGAGTTGGCCGGGACAATGCCATTTGGAAGACCAGAGTAGTCTGATGGACGAGACCCTGTTCGCTCATCCTTGGCGCCGTTGCTAGCGTCACGAGACACCGGCTTGCTGTCCATTCGGTGATCAAGGCCGACTCGCGGTCTTCGCTCCTCGATGGGCGAGATCGAAGGGTCTCGGAACGAGCCAAAGGACGTCGCTGATGCGTTTGGACGATGAGGATTTGCAGAGTCGACTTTACTGGGTTCCTCTGGTCGGTTGAGCTTGGTGAATACTTGGGGAGGGTCATTGTTCGACTTTGACCGGCCGTTCATGTAAGGCTGCCCATAGATGGAGTGTTGCTGGGCTGCAGAACCGATATTTAGGTTGATCGGCGGTGGTGCAATGCCATATGGATACTCCAATCCAGCTGATGCCTGTCCAAGCGTCTGACCAGCAGTGCTGAAGCTTCGCTGTTGTCCCGCAGACCCGTTCATGTGATGCGTCTCCAACAGCGCCTTGCCAGTGCTCATATTACGTTTCTGACCATATGTAGGCCGTATGCCATAGCTCTCCAACGAGAAAGAGCCGTCGACCAACGATCCTGACCCTCGCTTTGGTTCATGCTCTTCTGTGGTAGGCGATATGGGTTGCTGAGATAGGTCACGCGAGCCCATGTTGCCTCGCGCGCTGCCTTGGAGCATTCCGTTGGACAGCCCACCATTGCCCCAGATGTTCGACTTGCTCCATAGCGAGCTGGTGCTCTCCCAGGTAGAAGACATCTTGCTCTGTACAGCTTGTGCACTCTCCGCTTCGCTTAGTTTGCTCCTTGTTGGTGTTGACAGTGTGCTGTAGGATCGCGGGATGGTCGGTGATACTCCAGGTCCAGTTGTGATCGTCTTGTTGATTGTATGTGCGGAAACATTAAAGTCTGTATGTAATGGGTCGTGATTAATGTACGTCAGCTCTAGTGAGAAAGATACGGTGTCGTCTATATGGAGAGAGATCTCTGGCGTCGTGCCGATGGTATGTCGCCAAGCTGTCTGTCGGTAGGTATCGTGCAAGTGCGACTGTAGGTAACCAGCAAAAGCTGATCGAGCTTGTCAGCATGACACACGAAACAACTATGTACCCAGCAAACCTTCAAACAGTAAATCTGTGGAGTTGTGGAGTCCGGGGGCTGAGAAGCGGTACGTACTGCTTATCGAACAGCTGGATGGATGTTTTGTGCGGTGGAATCGGTACAGCTGGACGCCAGACACCAATAATATACCAGACGCCAGCCAAGGAGTAGAACGGTATGTGAAGTACAGAATAGACAGTTATGTGCAGATGGCGCAGGGACGGGACCCCTTCCGTTGTTCAATCAGTATTGTCGGCCGATACGGCTGGATGGTTGGTGGTAGTGTGCGTGGAGAATCATCAGACTCCTGCGTGAGTGAAGAGGCGATGGAGGGCGCATTCAGGTGGTCATCCGTGGGAACCGTGAGGAGGTAGCCTGGGAGCTTTGTTGGGTCTATGCAAGGGACATCCACGACCAGTATTTGCTGGAATGTTGCGGTGATTTGGACAGTGTGTGCGACAGGAACAGAAAGGTTTGTGCAGGTGAGAAGAGTAGAGTGGAAGATGGAGAGAAAAGGATGACCTGGCTTACGGTGCTCCCAGAGCTGCAGTCGAAAGGGAGGGCAATAGTAAATAATTAAGGCAGGCTACACGTAGAAGCAGGTGGGCAGACAGGCAGACAGAGGGCACTGGTAATCGTCCCTCTGTCGCAAGATTGGCTGCATGGATTGCTCACAAAATTCGGGGTCCTCTGGCGCACGGGAGCGAAACGTCGTCCCGAGCACCGGTTCAAAAGCTACAAGATTTTGAAGACGCCATCCGGCAAAGCCTCACCCTCTCCCTATTCTGCAAAGGCCCAACTGAGCAAGCTACATCTCAAGCTCCAGCATATAGACTTCTAGCAGAGTATTACTCCACAGGAGCCAGCGAGCGAGACCGTCACGAATTGCCACATCACAACACAGCAGCAGCTTGCTGACCGCTTATTGCTGCCTTGCGAGACGCCCCTCACTGCTCAGGATACATAGGTCGAGACGATCCCCACCAGCGTGAGAATAGATCATGCATCCAACCATCGCCCTTCCGCGCCCGATCTCGACCTTGTCATACACGAGGAAGCGCCGCCTTTTCTTTCATCCAAGTATCGGATACGTCGCACAGCAGATAGCCAGAGTGGATCCACTTCGGCTCCTTCCATCTTGTCGGCTGCAGGGCATCGTGCAGTCGGGAAGATGAGGCGGTGCCACAGGATTGCTATGGTTGTTCTAGACGACGCCATGTGTAAGGCTACAGCTTCCATCATGATGCAAGTCATGAACGTCAGCCTGAAAATATGACATGTTTGCTGCATGGTCACAGCGGTCAAGCCTCTTTTCGAGCTTGTCTCACGATCCGCTGCAACGAGCCGACGTGCAGCACATCAGCCACGCGTAATTAGCACCGCTGTTCCGGTGAGTGCAGTCGCCTTGAATTTAGGCATGTGACCTGAACTCGACAGTGTTGATGAGATTGTCGGAGAGACCTAAGATTTCTGTGATGCTCCTACCTGCCCACAATAATTGCGGTCAGCACATTTAATACATCGTGCTATATGATCCACAAGCTAGACCGCTGGCCCGACCATGTCCGCCCACTGAACGCCTCGCTCAACGTAATGCCAATGAACCCCACAAAGAGTTACAGCACCTTAGTAGAAAGACTCAACCATAGTCTCCTTATTGGTCGTGTTGATTGCCCCTGGTGCCATGCCCTCTCCAAGCTTGAACACCGACTCAACAACACTAAGCTCTGTAGCCGTGGTATCAAGACCAGTCACAGCCATCCAGTCGTTGACAACCATGCCAGCTCCCACTACAGGGGAACCTCTGTTGACCGACCCAGCAACCAGTGGTACTTGAAGCAGACTCGATAGCTCATCCTGGTCCTGTATCGAAGTCTTCGGGTGCACGATACCGCCTTGATTCGAGAGAGCCATATATGAGCCAGTCAAAACATTATCCGCGATCGTCTGTCTGAAGACCTCTACCCCGAGCACGTCAGCTACAATCTCCTCGGTCTCGCGCTCCAGATCCGGGTGGACCAAAGCAACATGATCGTTCGCACATATGACATTGCCAAGTGCTGATAACCTCTCCTCTATCCTTTGAATCTTGACCTCATCGGGTATGCTATTTCGTAGATGCTGAAGCTCCTGGTCCGTTGTCGATGTGGGAACGAGTAGACCTTTGCGGTTTCCAGCTGTCAGACGGCCAATTATTCGTGTTCCGGCGATCGTGCAGTGGCAGATTGGGATGACGTCTTGGAGTTCGGCTTCGAAGATGGAGTAGAAGTTTTCCGAGGCACCGACGGCGACGAGGGCGTAAGAGTTCGTTAGGGTGGAGAAGACGCCGACTCTGTGTATGGATGTGTTAGCGATGCTCAAGTATTGGTATCAGTAGTGGTGGGGCGGCGCACTCGTTACTGTTTTCAAAGCTTGCGCGGACCGCCATGATGGACTGAAAGGTGGTGTTGATGGATGAGGTAATGTAGAGAATGATTACAGAGGTTTGTCTGAAATTGCTAGTACAGTGGTGGTCGAAAGCAGTGGTTGTGGATAATACTGCTACGGAGCTGAAAAGGCACGCGATAGATATATCTGCAAAACGTCACTGCTCCAAGTGGGCTGTATCAAGGACGCTAGTACTATATATGGTTAGTCTGCTTTCGACTCATTCGCTCTCACGCGAAAGTGACTCGACTTTCGTTTGCTGCCAGAACGACAATAGTTCCATACCATTGCCAGACGTGAGTCAGACGAGGTACTACGTGAGGCTCCCCTGGCTTCAGTCGAAGTAGTGGGTTGGGGGTGCGAAGGCCGATTTGCATTGTTGGGCGTGGCTCGACCGGGCAGGCTTTCTGTGCCGATCGACGCGACTTCTACGCGTCCAAGCCTACATTGATATATGGATCTTGATGGCGTGGCAAGGAGATATCATTCTCGCTGAGAATGCCGTACTTCGAGGTAGTGTTCAGTGCGGTCTCTCTGCTACCAGCTGCTCATAAATCTTTTCAGACATATCTTTGTCAGCCACCACGGGATCAACGAGTAGTCCAGCAAGGGATGCGACACTACGCTTCCTGTCGCTGGTTGACATCGACTGCCTACCACTACACGTTTTTGTTGGTCCGTCGCACGCTGTCACAACTGCTTGTGATCAGACCCAGGAGTACTTCAGCCAGATATTATTACCCGTCGAACATGGCAAAGATGGGTCTGATCCACAGTGGTGGCAGACTGCGTCAAATAATACCAGACTTGGTCTTCTCATGAAAGTTGAGCGGTCCAGTGGACAGCTGGATCAAGGATCTGGAGCTCCTACCGAGATGCTGTTCTATCCTGCCCTCGTCGCAAACACAGCAAGCAATCCAACACCACCACAATCGCCATCAGCATCTGCCCAAAGCAGGATCGCAGAGGCGATCGGCAACATCCACGAGCTCCGTGCCATATCTGTCTGCTCCCATCTACTTACCAGGTCTGCAAACTTAACTCCGCCAAGTTCTCCAGGCGCTCACGATGTCGACCAGGAAGCAGTGTTCCTGCCTAGAGTGGGCACAGAAGCCCAAGACATCGTTCATGAACCGCCCGTGCGGAAGCGTAAAAGTGTCAATGACACTTTTGATCAGGCTGCTGAGCGGAGGAAGAAAGCACGACGTGGTGGTGGAGGAGGAGTCGCGGCGGCTGCTGCGGTGAAGCAGGAATTCAGCTTCCCGTCCTTGGATCATCGACGAGCGGCCAGTGGTAGCGACAGTCAGATCACGGCAGCACAGTCGAGGCCACCCTCCGGATCGCCGAGCATCTCCTCATCGCGGCCAGGGACGGCACGGTTGGGCTCTGAGGCGCCCAAGCGTTCAGGCCTGTCACGTGTACATAGTGCTGCGTTGGCTGCACCTGAGGACACGATCGAGACCCGGAACAAGGAGATCATATCTCGTATAGTCATGGCAGGTATGCGATTGTATGGTGTCTCGCAGAGCAAACGGCCCAAATCAAGGACTGGCTCAACCCTCGCGTCACCAGCAGTCGATGTCACTTTCGAGGTTCTGGATGCTGAGCGACAGCAAGACGAAGAGTACAAGCTCGTCTATCATCAGGTCTACAAAGCCACGTGCTTTACATTTAGACACCACATCGCCATTGATAACCTATCTGCCCGGTCCGAGGCTCTTCGACAGACTGCGGACGACCTACTCGGCGTGTTCTGCAACGATCCGCTAAAAGCTGGCCTGCCGAGCATAGTAGACGAGTATACGCCTGGTGGACGCAAAGCGTTTGCACCCGCTGTCACTGGGACGCTGACCGGTATGGCCTTGCCATTTGTCACCGAGTCGAACAAATAGCATCCCACATGACACGTCGTGACCTGCCAAGCCATAGGAAGTTGCAGTGCGAAAGCACCATAAGGCATAAATGGAGAGCCACCGACGATCATACGCACACTACGGAACGTACCTCTGTGCTGAAGATGCCCATTTAAAGTGTCTTGTAATAAAGCCGAGTAAGCTGTCAGCGTAGTCCGAAGAATACGAAAAGCCATGCTGATGAGAAGCTAGTCGAATCGCGCTAGCGGAGCACAAGGCCGCTTTGACCGCCCGATTGTGCATTGCGACTACCACTTCGTGGGCCGCCTCTATGCTCTTATCCTCAGTCACGGTGAGGATGGAGATTAAGTTCAAAGCGTGGTCGTGCGCAAGGTCCTTCGACAGCCCAATGATATCGTTCTGCAGGGTGACAGCGAGGGCAACGTTCCTCTCAAGCTGCCACATAATGGAGGGGTGTACTTCGGGCTTCGAATCAATCTCACGGCACAACTCTGCCTGGAGAATGTCGAAGAATGGTGAGAGGCCGATTGTCCGCGACTTGAGGGATATATACGACTCCACATCCGGTGCTGGACCGTCCTTGACCACCCTCTCGAGGCCCATATTTTCCCAGACGTCAAGAACGTCGTTGGCCACCTTGATGAAGATCGAGGCGGGAACAAGCTCGCGTAGGTGGCGTACAAAGGTTTTGGTCAAAGCACATATTTGGTTACACCCAGGATTGACGAAACCTCCATCATAATCGAGCAATCTTCCTTGATAGACCTTTGTATTGGACTTGAGGATCGCGATACTGTCTGCCAGAGCGGCTTGTGCTAGATTTGCGTCCAGCTCCTCGATAATATCGTCCACTTGGCATAGCAGCGAGAACCAGGCCGCCATTGCAAGAATGAACCTCTCGGACCGGACCGCTGGGAAGGCCCGGCAGGTCGTAGTGATATCTCGGTAGGCGTAGTTCACAGCATCCAATCGCGTATCGAGGCTGGCTTCATAGAAAATGGCATGTTGCTCCGCCAGAGATTTCAGAGCCCCTTCATCAGTAATACCATGCTCTTCTGGCGGAGTGAGAGGCAGTAAGAGACCTTTGATTGATCGACCTGATGACACAAAGTTCGAAGCCTTAGAGTGAGCAACTTCAGTCATGACCGCGGTCGGCATTGGCGAAGCAGAAGCGGTGGACAAGTATTAGACAGTATCTGCAGGTTTGCGGTGGAGTTCGAAGAAGTGAGTAGCCACCAGGTTGATTGGAAACCGGGCTACGACGACTGCCGCATCGAAAACGTGTGATGAGCTGCGCTCCGAACGAACGAACATGATGCCTGCGGCTGAAGTAACCAACGGGAGACATGAACATCAAACGCATCAACCGTGCAGTAGTGTGCTTGCCATGAGGAGCGATACCCGAATGCGTGTTCTTGTCATCTATACCGACGAATCAGACAACGTCGCTAACATGATGTCTGCCCTACAAGTACACGGCCGCAGTCAGCATGGATGGACAAGAGGAATGTGATGCGCGAGCATTACCAACCCAACGCTTTGCAGGCGATATTACCATGCATATCGATATTGATCTTCTGTACATCGAGCACGGTTTCCGCCCCATTTGACAGCTAGTGCCATCTATGAACGACTCGAGCATCGGACATGCAACGTATCAACTAATCCTCTTTCACGCCTGTGCTATTAGGTACTCTGTCAGACGATCTACCATACGCGAATCGAAATTGTATTTGAGTAACTGGTGGTTCAGCAATCTGTAACCCAATTTGCTTCTCATCGGAATTTGGCAGCATTCGTAACACTTGGCCTACTACGTAGACTTCATCGAACACGACTCTCGACAATACACCAGCTCACTATCCAATTTGCACAGTTAATCGTTGTCTCATCGATGCTAAACCTGAGTGATTGATAGATAGAACAAGTCAAGCTGCTTTGCTTGCCCGAACTCGGAGCAGTGAGTGACTGTACGTAGGACTGACCGTTGATAGAAGACAGATCGATGTGCCAGACTCAGGTCTGATTGCAATGACAGCCGCAATAGATCTTCGGATGCTTAGAGCGATGTACTGTACTCAAATCGTCAGATCTGAACAGAAAGATTGAGCAGAAGGTCGAATTCACCTTCACATCTCCTTCTCGCCCCACTTCTCCAGTAAAGCCCCACGTGTTCGTCCAGCTGCCTTCACAAAAGTCCTCTGGCCATATACTTCTACTAATTATTGCCAGACATGGCCATATAATTCTAAAGACCCGGCATCACAACGATAAGAGCAAGATCCCGGCCCATCTTAGAATTCGCCCAACATGCCTGAAGCGGCAGCAGCAGGCGGCGGCGAACGCGAACAATCATGGGAGCAGAGAGCTTGGTCGATTGGCAAGAATGTCGCCATCTTTATTGCGATCCAATTCGCGATCAAGCAATTCATGAGCAGTGGTGGTCAGAAAGCAGCGGCGCCAACCCCCTCGATGAGCGCCATGGACACTCCCCAGGCCGCAGTGACAGACTACAGCGTCGTACCAGAGACCGTCTTCCCCCTCTGGCCGATCAACGTGAGCGTGGATGTCAGTCTTTATATCAGCCCTGAGATTGTACCTAGACCCGGTCAGGCGACTTTGGTATTGGAAGAGAAGAACTTTGCTCTGGACCAGAAGAAGAAGGATTTCAGGGAGGTTCACAAGACATTCAATGTACCGCCACAGGTGCAGGACAACGGAACGTTATGGGCACATATATTCGTCGCACAGACTGGAGCTGTAATGGACCCGGGTGCTGCGGGTTACGATCCTGCGAAGGCCTACCGTATGATTCGTCCATTAACTGAGTACTTGGCTAAGAAGAAAGTCCGCAAGACCAGGAATTTGCTCGAAGCCAAGAACGAGATGCCTTTGGAAGACGAGCCTACTGAGGAGACTGGTCCTACGCTCGCCTCTTACTACCATCCTAACTTCACACTCTCGTTCGTGCCAGATGCTGGAGCAGCGCAGTATGCCACTCTACACCCTGCTGTCCGCCAGTTCTACACTCTCGAGTCGACCGGCGCACGAGACGAAACGGGCAAGAATGGTTGGTACTATCCAGTCGTCTACGTCAATACTTTCTGGCAGCTGAAGTCGCACATGACTGAGCTCAACTCCACCGAACCCGTCTCTACACTGCCAATGAACGTTGGTCTCTCTACACTAGGCAACTGGCAATTTAACATCATGGCTAGCATGGATGAAGGCATGAAAGAGACAGCCCGTAAAACAGCACGAGGCGAGACCACGCCAGGTGGTGGTGACGGTAGTGAAATGGAGTTGATCAAGTCCACACTACTGGACACGAATCCCTGGCTACTGGGCACAACTGTCATCGTCAGCATCTTCCACATGATCTTCGAACTGCTTGCCTTCAAATCCGACGTTGGACATTGGCGCAAGAAGAAGGACAATGTGGGTATCTCTGTCCGCACGATCCTGTCCAACGTGGTGATGCAAGGCATCATCTTCCTCTACCTCATGGACAACAACGAAAACACTTCCTGGATGATCCTCTTCGGCCAAGGAATGGGTATAGCAATCGAAGCCTGGAAGATCACGAAGATGGTGAACGTGCGTGTTCGGCAGCCACAGGCTGGGACGTGGGCCGCGAAGCTCGGACTTCCGTACATGGTTGTGTTTGAAGACAAGCACCAGCTATCTGAGACGGAAGAGAAAACTGAGGAGTATGATCGCATTGCTTTCAGGTATATGGGCATCATTGCTGTGCCCTTGCTTTTGGCGTATGCTGCTTACTCGCTCATGTACGAGAGCCATAAGAGTTGGTATAGTTTCATCATCACGACTCTTGTGGGATCGGTGTATGCTTATGGATTTCTGATGATGGTGGGCAACGACCACGCTGCGGATGATCAAACAAAGTGCTAATGTGAACTCCAGGTCCCGGCTCTCTACATCAACTATCGCCTCAAGTCTGTCGCCCACATGCCCGGACGCGCCATGGCGTACAAATTCCTGAACACCTTCATCGACGACCTCTTCGCTTTCACCATCAAGATGCCCATCCTACATCGTTTGGCCACTCTCCGCGACGATGTGATCTTCTTCGTCTACTTGTATCAAGCTTGGGCTTACAAAGTTGACCATACTCGTGTCAACGAGTTTGGACAGGGTGGAGACGATGACGAGGTCACGGAGGATAAGCTTGCGAATCAGCCGCTCAAGGCACCTCCTGGTAGTGTCAAAGATGCAGAGAAGAAGGAGATTTTGCAGGAGAGCAGGGATGGTAGGGAGAAGGCGGATACTGCTGTCAGCACTGGTTCCCAAAAGGGCGGTGCGAAGAAGCGGAAGGGCTAGAGTCTGATTGGTAGACGCCCCTTGTTGGAGATTTGGACATATAGAGTTGTCGGTAGGTAGAAATGGTATGAACATATGTGCAAATGAGGCGCCAGCCAAACGTACAAAAGCAGCTGATTCAAGCTTGAATATCACGTCACGAGTATCGTTTGAATACGAACCAGAGCAAAGCCGACTGTTTCCATTCTTGGTTGCAGTAATATTCTCAGCGCGTAGCAAGAAGCTTCTTGACCAGGGAGGCCAAGAGCATGCGGACGGAGCACACATGTATACATAGAGACTCCGGACTGATGGCAGTCCTCCAGTGGCTGGTCCATCTTGTCCCGTATCCTCACCATGACGAATTTCTTGCGCCTGAGCATAGATATTTCGCCAATCAGGTCTCGTACTCGAAGGTCGAGAAGGGCAACATCTGCAAGCGCTGGCGCGAATATCATAAGAGGCTCTGCGCCAGCTCCCAAAGTGACGGGAGTGCGTGCCACGGCTACGGACGGATGCCGGGGATTTCATGTGTGGTGACAGCAGCTTCCCGACTTTGTGGATGGACGTCGTGCATTAGCGCTGCAGGTACCCTGACTGGATCGTGAATTGCACGAGGGGATGCATATATATCACCATGGTCCTGCGATGATTCTTGACACTGTTCGGTAGCACTGCTGCTGCTGCCGCGCCAAGAGTTACTGGATGAGATGTGCAGTAGCTGCGCGCAGATTGTTCTCAGATGGCGCTGGCATGACCGATCGGCTATCACGTCTGGCAGGGCAACTTTTAATACCATACACACATGATTCGTATCAGGCTCTTGGCCAGGTTGAAGGCGCTCTTGTTCTACGTCTGCACATTATCGCAAGGGCAAATCTGAAATTGGTGAACTGTGCAGAATCCCTACAGTCTGTCTGCTGTGGTCGGGCGCAAGCTTCAGACTTAGGCAGAAGTGAGTGTAATGCTACAAATCTCTGTATATGTGTTGTCTCACGCCTTTACCTCATGTTTCTTGACCCAGACGTGTTAATGCATGTCTTATACTGCTAGTCACTGTAGGTCGATATGCTTAAACCCGGCGCGGGAAACTCCGCTGTGGCTGACTTGCACCTCGCCTTTCGAGCACTCCTGCTCGGCCGCATTCATTCTTTACAGGCGACATGTCCAGATGATCCGCCACAGTCACAACAACCATTCCACCGACCATACATGGTGAGACCACAGCATCTGTCACTACTTGACGCGCTTGCGCACGCTTGAGAAGGAGAAATAGATGGTCACGAGTCAAGGCTCCAGCTCCGCTCGACTCGACCGTGCATCCCCATCAAAGAACAGGCCAACAAACATTCAGCGCCAGCACCTCCACCATGGAGGTCGCTGGCAACACACCGCCTGCAGCAATGCGGCAGCAACACGAGGCGCTTTCGCCAGCCTCACACGACGGGGTGAAGGCGACGACTGAGCGACCTTCGACCGATAGCAAGCCCACAAATGCTCTCACGCCTCCCACGAGTGAAGAGATGAACCTCCACGACCACCGTCAAGAGAACGAGGATAGTGAACTGAGTGATTTGGATCTGGACGATGATGACGAGGAGGACATCGAGCCGGATCACTACTGGGATGGAGGCAAGATCCCGGTCTTCAAGCCCACAATGGACCAGTTCCGTGACTTCAAGAAGTTCTGCGACAAGATTGACAAATACGGCATGAAGAGTGGCATTGTCAAAGTCATCCCACCTCCAGGGTGGTAGGTTATCGGCATTTGTTGATAGATGACGTAACGTTTGACTAACGTGACTTCACAGGCGTGACTCTTTACCTCAGCTGGACGAGTATGTCAAGCGCATTAAGATAAAGAATCCGATCACGCAGGAGTTCAATGGCGCATATGGTGAATACACCCAGCAGAACGTGGAGAAGCAGCGGTCGTACAATCTGCCAGAGTGGAAAGCTTTGACCGAGGAGACTCAGTATCAGCACCCCGCGAAGCGTGGCGAGAGGAGGCGCAACCAAGCGCAAGTCGTTCGTGGAGGTGGTAGCCTGCGTGGTCGTGCAGCGGCTGCAGCAGCAGCTGGCGTTGAAGCTGGAGATGACAGCCCGAAGCCGAAGAAGAAGCCAGGACGACCTCGTCGCAATCCTCTGCCAATTAATGACACCGAGTCTGGCGATGAAACTTCTGGGAGTGGTCGTAAGACACGAGGAAAGGTACCTCCGACCCCAGACTCGCCCGCCACCAAGCCAGCGAGGGTCAAGCCAGGGCCAAAGGCTAAGCCTGGTCCTAAAGGCAAAGGTGCTCAAGCAAGGTCGGTCACCTCACGTCGCCTCAACAACACAGCCGAGGCTGCTGATCACATCGATGAGGCGGCTTTCAAGAACTTCGACTACCATTTGGACGGCCTGGATGAGTACACTGCGGAGCGATGTGCCGAGCTTGAGCAACATTACTGGAAGAGTCTAGCATTCAACCAGCCCATGTATGCCGCTGACATGCCTGGCTCACTCTTCGACGAATCTGTGACCAGCTGGAATGTAGCACAGCTCCCGAACTTACTCGATGTGCTCGGCACAAAGGTGCCTGGCGTCAACACTGCTTACCTCTACATGGGAATGTGGAAAGCCACATTCGCTTGGCATTTGGAGGATGTCGATCTCTACAGCATTAACTACATTCATTTCGGTGCTCCGAAGCATTGGTACAGCATTTCGCAAGAAGATGCTCGCAAGTTCGAGGGTGCGATGAAGCAGGTCTGGCCACAAGACGCCAAAAACTGCGACCAGTTCTTACGCCACAAGACTTACCTCATCTCGCCAGATGTCCTTCAGAAGCAGTATGGTGTCAAAGTCAACAAGCTTGTGCACTATGAGGGAGAGTTCGTCATCACCTATCCTTATGGCTACCACTCTGGTTTCAACCTCGGCTACAACTGTGCTGAATCCGTCAACTTCGCCACGGAATCCTGGCTGGACTACGGCCGCATCGCAAGAAAGTGTAATTGCGAGGCCGACAATGTTTGGGTCGATGTATCTGAGGTCGAGCGCAAGCTGCGTGGCGAGCCTACACCAGAATACTACGAGGAGACTGACGATGATGATGACCTCAGCGACGAAGAGGACGGCAATCTGCCTTCGCCCCCAGCTAGTGTCAAGGGCAAGGCTTCACGTGGGAAGAAGCGCAAGCGCAACATCAAGGACGAGAAGCCGAAGAAAAAGAAGAAGATCCGCATCAGGATTCGTGCTCCCACACGCGAGCCTTGCGTCATGTGTCCGAACGACAATCCATGGGAGCCACTGCTCACCACCGACACTGCCAAGAAGGCCCATCGTGCATGCGCACTCTACACGCCTGAAACCTGGATCGACAAGGACGACAGTGGCAACGAGAAAATATGCGGTGTATCGACTATTGATCGAGCACGGCTGGAGCTCAAGTGCAACTTTTGTCGCTCGAAGCGTGGGGCCTGCTTCCAGTGTTCTTCGAAGAAATGTACACGTGCTTTCCACGCATCGTGTGCGGCAGCAGCCGGTGTCCTTGTCGATGCAGGTCTGGTGCCGACTTTCGGCGAGGATGGTACAGAGTACTTTGAAGAGGGCTTCGACTTCCGCTGCAAGTACCATCGGCCGAAGATGGATAAGCACATGAACGTCGAGAAGATCGAGGCTGACAGCAAGAGGATTTTTGCCTATGCGAAGAAGATCCAATTCAACGACGTGGTCCAGGTGCAGTATCTGGGCGCCGAAATCTTTGCTGGGCTTGTTGTCGAGAACAGGCCAGGCGAGCAGACTGTGATTGTCGATGTGCTACCAGAAGGGTATGTTTTCGTCCTCAACCCTGCGATGTGCAGACTTCTTACTGACTATGCCTGCAGTGAACGTGTTGAAGTGGAATGGAAGTGGCTTTGCCTCCTCGATCCTGATGATTCTCTACGACCCAAACCATCCGCGACTGCTCAGCCTATGCCCGAGGGCATGAACAAGAAAGCGCTGTCTGTCAACAACCGTCAAGACGGTGTGCCAAACCGGGATGATCCTTTCAGCGACAATCTGAAGTACAAGTGGCACGACTTCTACAACATGCACACACCTCCTCCAGGCTACACATCGAAAGCTCTTCAGACACCAGGCAAGCTCAAGGTCGATGTCAATCACCCTGACTCGTACTACTTTTACATGCCGGTGATCTCGACCGAGGCCAAGTGTTTCTTCACAGACAAGGCTGGCTGCCAGGAGATTGTTGCCAAGGCTAATTTCCTGGACCGCGTCGCCTCTCGACCAGTACAGCAATACAATGCTCCGCGTCCGCAACAGATTACTGCTGCTCCAGCCAAGCAGCCTATTATGCGTGCTCTACCACAGCTACCACGGCTGGCACAGTATCCACCAACGACCATTGGCAATCCTGCTAATCGCATTGAGAAGCCGTACACTTACAAGCCGAAGGAAGCTAGCAGGCCAAATCTCATGTGGGGTGTAGACCGCGACGCCTTGCAGACTCAGCGCGATTTCTTGGCGAGTGCCCAGCAACGTTCGACCGAGCAGTTCAATCTACCGCAGCCGAAGCCGCAGTACAACTACCAAGGCAGCGATCCAGCTCGCAATCAGCCCCTCCGGCCATTCTCGCGGGATTACTACTACTCCAGCGAGATTCTGCCAGCAGCATTTCCTGGTGAGTACTCCGGCTTCTCGTCGGTCGTGCGGCGTCAGTCCGTAAGCTCACCTAGCCCCTCAGCTCAGGACCAGAGCCCAGCCTACGTGCCGAACTATCAGTCCGTGAGCCAGCAGATGAAGCAGATCCATGCGCCGACCGTGCCCGCTATGGCTGGCGCGTCTACCAACCCGTATGCTTCGGGCAGCAGCAGGCCCACGTCATCTGCGCATAGTCACCAGAGCCCACTCGGCGCCCCGCTAACACCTGCGACCACTGCATCATTGCCCACCAATGGTATCAAGACTCCGCCAGGCTATCTCGAGAATTTGCAGAAGTACGGGTACCTTAAGAACAGCTTCTTGCGCAGATCTGCCTATGTCTCGCCTTATGCACCCGATAGTGGCTTCTCCGAAGTGTATCAGCCTCTGAAGCTCGATGAGCAATCAGTGGAGAGGAAGCATGCCAGCACGCATACGCCAAACACATCAATGTCAGATGTCTATGGCAGGCCAACAAGCCAGCAGTGGACGCCACCTTCACAAGCATGGCAGTCTAGTGGCTTCGGTGGTCCGAAGCAGGCATCGCCGCCGCCAATCCAGCAGTATCACGGTCCTCATCCGACCCTTCAACCAGCACATCCAGCTCGACAAGTCGTGCAGCCCACATACCAGACACCGCTCGAGTTCCGCAACTCTTTCCAGGTGCACCCAAGCACAGCCAGTAGAGATGGCGCCCAAGCACGTCTGATGCGTGATCAAGGTTACGGGTACGGCTCATACGCGCCCCATTATGCACCTGCACCCCACCGCAACAGCTTTGGTCAACAGTCTGCACCTGCGCCGACATACGATACGGCGAAGATGTCCTGGGACAGTCCAAAGGCGCCAATACCCAGCCCGCTGTCAGACCCGAACACGCCTGGCAATCAGAACTGGAACACGTTACCTAGGGCTTATGGTACGCCGACCGCAAACATGACAAGTGGACTACCATCCACCCTGATGCGGAGGCAAGGCTCGAATGGCGGGAACGGAAGTGGGAGTCTAGGCTATGGTCCTATGCTGCCGCAAATGCATGGAAATGAGACCTTCAGATACAACTGAGAGTATCGGTCAAGGTTGATATGATGTGAGAGCATGGGATGTGCATATGGGTCCGGATTATGAAAGTTGGTTTTCGCGGGTTGATGAGAAGGCGTTTCTGAGTGAAGGTGATTTGCCTGTCGTCCACAAAGGATGACTATGGTTGTAACGATGGACGCGATGAATGATGCCGCGTTGCCTTACTTTCTGTTGTATTCTATTACACGCCCGTATTGGCGTTGCCTTGAAGTCACTACCGTTACGTAGCTTGTAGCAAACACTCCACTGCTGCTCAGTGCTCAACATTCACGCGATCGATGTGCAAAAGATGCCGGGAATGTGTTGTATCATGATCTATCTGGGTATCTTCTCGAACAAATGCTGCTAATCAACAAGCTCAAGGCGACCTGCGCTATGTACATGTTTCCTCCTTCTATACAAGAATGACATCCATCTTTTCTGCCGTCTGATGCTCGCTGACAATATACGCTCTCAGAATCACGCTACGCTATCCTGGAAAGTCAGAGCCAAGGTTACGCTCGAGTAGCAGTACTCTGCAGATTACCTTACTGCCCACAGATGTTCAAATTCTCCCTCTTTGTCAGAGGATCGCCTTGCATGATGTACTGCACAATGTTCTGCGCGGACCACAATCCAGGACCCTTCAATGACCACAGGAACCAACCATTAGTGTTCTGCTCAAAGGTCTCGAGCTGAGCTTCCAAGAACCTGCGCAAGTCCGCCTGGAGATTAGTGGCGACGACGTTGCTCTTATCGATGTAATTGCCCATGGCGATGTTAGTGCACTGGCATCCACTCGGAGTGCATTGAAGACCGCCTCTCGTCGTCCCATCTGGATTGGCGCAAACGTCGATGGTGCCTGCGAATTCGCCGACGAAGATCGGTATGGCGGCATTGCCACCCATGAATTGTGTTTGCTTCCAACTGCATACTGCAGCGATTTGGCCATCAACGTTCAGACCTCTGCTCGCCGCGTCCTGGTTCTGGTAGAGGTGGAGGTCGACGCCGAACCGGGCTGGATTGTTCAAGTTGGCACTGACTCCTTCCCATTGTTTCGCGCCCATCCACGCATCGTGGGTGATGACCCACAGGTTCTTGTTCGGTGCGGCCGTCCTGATTGTGTCATATGCCTTTTCTGCGAAGTCTTGCGTCACCGTTGGTGTGTTCGTGCAACCTGCAGTGCTTGAGTCTTTGCACGGCTCGTTCACGATCTCGATGCCCATCACTACATCCTGATAGGCCATGGTGCCGTACTTGGTGGCGATTGTCTTGAGGACCTTGAGTGTGAGGTTCACATTGTCGTATGCTTGCCAGTTGACAGCCCCTTGTTGCCCGCTATGGTCCTTGCCATTTTGCGATCCAGGCGAGCCGTGCAAATCGATCATGACTCTCATCGAGTTCGCGCGGGCCCAACCAATAGCCAGCTCAAGGTATTCGTCTGCGCCACTGATATAAGGGCTGGCGTCCATAAACGCCCAGTAGCCGATTGGAATTCGTACAGCGTTGATGCCCCATGATGCCATTTGCACGAAATCTTGCTGTGTGATATATGTTGACCAATGATCCTGCAGTCGAGCCTCGGCATTGTAGGCGGTACTATCGAATGTCCATTGATCTATCGCGCCAGTGTTGTTGAAAACTCCGGGAACCATCCACTTCTCCAAGATGAGCCAACCGCCCAAGTTCACACCGCGAAAAGTTTCCAAGTGTGCAACCGTGCCGTTGGAAGTGGTGTTACTGGAGCTCAGTGGAGTCGACGTAGCATATGATACGCCTGCACTCGCTGTCTGCGTAACGCCGTACGACAGCCCAGCCGTCCCTGTAGGTGCAAGTGTTGCATATGAGGCGACTGGGAGAGCAGTATTGGAGGTTGTGTAAGTTGTATAACCTGCAGTTGCAAAGTTCGACGGCGCCGCAGTAGGCGCCGACGAGTCCGATGAGGAATCAACGGAATAGGTGGGCGATGTGATCGGGCCCGGTTGGTATTGTGATGATGGTCCTGGAGGGTAGCCGTACTGTTCTGGGTCGTAGTATTGTGGCAATGCGCTGACGATTGTTGCGAAGATGGTCGATGTAGCCAGGATAGCAAGCGAAGGAAGGCTGGGCATTCTGATGAGACTGCCTTCGACCTTGCGAGATGTACAAAGGTTCTACTCGACTGCTTCGTATTTCAATCGAAAAATCCTTGTGGTAGTTGATGTTGGAAAGGCGAATGCGCTGCTGTCTGCCAACGCAAAGCAAGAATCAGCACATGCTCAGCACCTGAACAATAGGTATTATCACCCACTCACAGATGGTCTGAGCACAGCTCTCTTTGTATCGATAAGATCTATCAAAGACCTTTGTTGTCTTGTCTCTCAGTGATAACGATGGCAACGTTAACGGTGACCGTTGATGGTGTGAAATGCGCGCAGCGCTAACAGAGCCAAATGCTGTCGGGGAGGATCGACTGTGAATGCACGAAGACAATGCCAAGATGCTATGAACGAAAGGACGTGGTCACTAGGACACACCTGAAAAGCAAGGGAAGAAGGCCGGATGAGAGGAATGCTGATGGGGAGAGAGTCCAACTGAAGAGGGGAGACTGTCTTAGTCTATGCTGTTTTACATGATACACGCGGTTGCGCAGCACCCTGCGCAGTTCGTTGTCCAGGGACGTGGTTGACATGCAATGTGGATACGGTTGCTGCTCCTGAATATCGATGAAACCGTTGTTCGAGACGAGAGATAAGGCCAGGCGGGCGTTTCTTTGGTAGTACCAAGAGCCTTGGGCCCAGCAACATGCCATGCCAACCTGCTCACTTGCTATGACTTGAGCAGGTGAATCTATATGCTTTGGACGGTGGCTTGGTGTGCGACGCGCCCGAGAAGCAATGGTGAACGTACGAAGGGAAGCGCTGAGGTCTCAAGTGGATCGCCAAACATCCGATTGAAACGCCCGCGCGGCACTCGGTACTCGGCACTCATCAGCCTTACCGACGGCCCGTGCAGTAGGCTATGGAAATAGCAAAAGGCCCACTTCGCGCCACCGTAGCAATTGAAGTGAGGTCTCACAAGCACGTGCATGTGGTCGATGGCTGGGAAGAAAGCTAGTAAAGAGCCGACAGCGAGTGTATTGTGTAGCTCTTCACGATCCGAACATACTGATATTATCCTCTGTTTTAATCCCGCCACAACGACTATTATCCCAAGCGTTGAGTTCCAAGGTATGGTAATAAACAGGAGGATGCCTTTGTTGGTTCGCCGTCATAAGAAAGAGCATATCGTACGATCCCATCGCATCGGATGCTTCGTCTCAGGGGTAGGGTTTCTGACATAACCACTGTCTTACTTTTCCACCACACATACCGCACTAATTCATGCCCAACCACACCCCGACAGCCCTCTTTGCCATCGGCCAGCGCTCCTTAGTGATGCAATAAAGATCGCACACTCTCCCCTCCTCGTGCTCATTGACCAGCTGCGATCGTCGCACAATGCCGTCTACAGTCATGCAAGTGTTCTTCTGCGCCGCCTCTCCTGTCTCGGGCGTGAGGGAACCAGTCCGATGATAGATCTTAGTCACCCCTTGGCGCTCGATACAATGTTGCGCGAGGGTATACAAGGTCTCCCAGGTCAAAAGCCCGTGGTGGTCGACGAAGACCGAGTAGGTGACTTCACGCTCTGTGTTGACGCCTTGCGATGGTAGGCACACAAGCCAGCCGATCGCTTGTTCGTCTTCGTAGGAGCGTAGGGCATATGCTGTGCCGTTTTCTACTGGATCATGGAGGTGGTTTACCAGCATATGGCGAAGATGCGACACGTTCTTCTCATATGGTCTGCCGTAGGTCTGCCGGAATAGCCTCAGGTTCTCCTCATGGTCGAGCAAGTGGCAAAGGTCGTTGGCATTCTCTACTGTTATGTCGTCTGAGTAGAATGATTGACTTTGGATCTCGAAGGGCACTGTCTGGCCCTGCGGATCTACATGCGGCTGCTCCATGCTGCGATCCAAGACTGTCGGTACTGCAGATTCGTTATTTGGTCTGGTACTGATCTGGTTCCTGTGCCCGGATGGATAGTGGCCGTGCTTATGTGCGACTCCCATCTCCTCAGGCTGCGTGATAGCTGTACCGTGAATGTATCAGGGAGCTGTCGTTCACACTTCGACTTGCGAGCGTGTCAATGTACAGCGCCGTCGCATGCGCATGGTGCCTGCGACTCGGCGACCACGGAGCTACGGTAGCATCTGCAGTGTTACCAAAGAAAACGTACGGGAAGAAGTAAAGAAGCCCTGCATGCGATGCGGAAGGATGCTTAGGTAGCTAAGCATCGTAGGGCACGGTACGGACGTAACAGTCCCGAACAACCACGCCCACCTTGAATGAGCTGCTCGAGCCTACATCGTAGGCTCACTCTGACACAATGCACGGAAAGTACAGAAGCGATGAAAGGATGGCAGACAAGTACCGACAGCATGGTACTTTTTCGAGAGCTTCGAGAGCATTATTATGCCTTGGTTGTCTGTCGGCAGCAGGTACTTTTTGGTCGGCGACAAAGTAAGCCATGACGATGGTGAGAGCGTGGGTCGCGGGACCGGTCGAATAGTCAGCCGTCGTCCAAGGAGATCGTCTTGGTCATTGCAGTATGGGAGTCGATGTCGAAGTTTATCCAGAGCAAAGATTTCGCAATAAGGTATTCAATACGGAGTAGAACTAGCGTAAAAAGCTTTGTCCACTACCGTCCGCTCAACACGCGATTCGACCAGAAAGCATATTACTGACCTTGGTTGGTTGCTGCAACTTCAACGATCAGGAGTGAAGGAGTGTTATTTGAAATCGTGTATGACTATGGCATGATGGCAATGGCGGAAGACAGTTATACAGCACAAGTACGGTAGCATCAATACTTGGGCTCAGCAATGCCCTCAAACTACACTTCCCAGTCGCCCGCGAGCCTGGTACCACCACGCGACTCCCTCGAGCTTGCGTCACTCGCCTCGTCTGACCACGACGGCAACGATCGCACGTCTTTCTCATCCTCCGATGCGGGTATCTCTTCATCTCGGAAGCTGTCCTTGGAGGATGGCGAGGCCACGAACGGCAGACCCCTAGCCGACAGAAGGAGCTATTCTGTCTCCAGCGCATTCGATTTCAACAGCGCTCTCTTCCCGCTATCTGCGTCAGGACCAGGTTATACAGCATTAGGGACACCGAGTACACCCACCTTTGATCTAGGAGGACAGCAATCTCTAGAGAGGAATAAGAGCTTGACCTTCTTGAATGGCTTATCACTGGTGATTGGCTTGATCATAGGGTCAGGCATCTTCTCCAGCCCTGCGAGCGTGAATAGCAATGCAGGTTCGCCCGGCGCAGCCCTTGTGATATGGGCAATATGCGGTCTACTGGCATGGACTGGCGCAGCGAGCTTCGCTGAGTTAGGAGGCGCTATTCCGTTGAATGGAGGTGCGCAAGTATACTTGAGCAAGATCTTTGGAGAGTGGGCAGGGTTCTTGTTTACATGGTGTGCTGTCACTGTGCTCAAGCCTGGCTCTGCAGCAATCATTGCAATCATCTTTGGCGAATACATGGTCCGTGCGGTCATTGGCGCAGAAGCGCTGGAAGTCAGTCCTTGGATCAACAAAGGTGTCGCTGTGCTCGGTCTGCTGGGAGTCACGGGCATCAACAGCGTGTCAACACGCCTGGGAACACGTAGTGCCGACATCTTCATGTTCCTAAAGTTCGTCGGTCTGCTAGCTATCACGATCTTGGGCATTGTTGTGGCAGCGACAGGTTTTGCAGTCAACAAGCAAGCACTATCTGACACGTGGCGGCACACGAACTGGTTCGAGGGCACGTCGATTAGCAGCTCCAAGTGGGCTGTAGCACTTTACGCGGGTCTCTGGGCCTACGATGGATGGGACAACACGAATTACGTGGTCGGCGAGATGATCAACCCTGGGCGCGATCTACCTCGCACGATTCACACTTCCTTGCCACTGGTCATTCTTGCATACCTACTAGCGAATCTGAGCTACATCTTCGTCCTCCCAGCAACGGTAATCAATGCGTCGAATACCGTAGCCGTGGCCTTTGGCCAAGTGGTGCTTGGCCGTGTAGGCTCGCTTATTCTCGCTCTCGTGGTTAGCGGATCTTGCTTCGGCGCCTTGAATGCCACAACTTTCACGGCTGGACGGTTGGTCTACAGTGCAGGAAAGGAAGGCTACATCCCATCAATATTCGGTACCATAGGTCTCAGCCACGGCAACCAGCGAGTACGACTACCACGCCGCAGCGCAAGAGCGAAACGCTTCACGCGATGGATAGCGGATGAGCAGGGTTTCTTTTACACGCCAATGTACGCCATGGGCCTCAACTTCGCGCTGACGACGATCTACATCATCATCGGCGACTTCACGACCTTGACAACATTCTACGGCGTGGCTTCGTATCTCTTCTACTTCGCGTCTGTGGTCGGCCTGATCGTCTTACGGGTTAAGGAGCCGGAGTTGGAAAGGCCATATAAGTGCTGGATTGTGACACCGATCATCTTTTGCTGCGTGAGCTTGTTCTTGCTTAGCCGAGCTATCTTCGCCAAGCCGTTACAGGCGCTGATCGTACTGGCTTTCATTGTGGCAGGAGTGCCTCTTTATTGGTGGAGGGTTGGGTCGAGGAATAGTGGACGCGGCAGGAAAGGCGAGGGGTTTGACTGGAAGTTTTGGAAACGATGGGGCAGAAGATAGAGTTGTAGTCTGCGGTATGGATTATCACGTGCAACCTGAATCGCGCCCTTCCTTCCAAATTCACTGAGTCGCAGCTCCTTGCACTTTCATGGGACGTGAGGGAAGCTGCCACTTCCGCTACCAACCTGCGACAGCTGTTTGAAGCCGCAGCTACTTAGATACGGCTTCACCGCATTGTGGGCCTGCAGCAAACACGCACAGGCCGATAAGTAACGGAAACCATCTCGCAACAATGTTGGTACGTAGTATCCGCAGTCCGAAGAAGCAGAGACTCCTAGACCCAGACATGAAAGAATCATCGGATTCACCGTCCTCGGCTGAGATCAGCACCCCATCGTCAGGGAACGTCTTCTCAACACCGCCCAGAAATACTACAAAAAAAGTGCCAGATGCAGACGCGCAAGTGGCCACTTATCTTCAAGGTTTCAACGACATCTCGTACGCCACCATCAGACACCTAATCGCCCCGCCAGCCAGGAGCAAAGACAGATTCATCCTCCCTTCATCGTATCAGCCAGGCGAACACATGGAGAAGTACATTCTCAGACTCAAGACGAAGGGTCTACTGCTTGATCATCGGGTTGATGCCGTGGAGGAGAAGGTGGTGTTTGTTGGTCAGAAGTGGCCGATCTCGAGTAAGAGTAGTAGAGAGAAGGCGATGGAAACGGCGAAGCGATTTGAGGGAGATCTGTTGAGGAAATTGCATGTTGTGAACGTCAGGCTATCACAGGCTCCCGGGCCGATCAGGAGATAAGATGAATACCCTGACGAAAATGGTGCGGACGGACGCTGTGATCTCGCCTGTTTGAAGATTGATGTGGGCATGGAAGCGTACTGTTGAGTACAGATATGCCGCTGGCGTAAATGAGAGGTGGCGAAGCCAGAGGACTGCAGAGGGCGGGACCGCAAAGTGGCACCAGGATAGACGTATGCTACATGCCAGCAAGACTCTCCTGGATCTCCTTTACATATTGTACACAATACGCCAGCGAGTTGTTTGCCAGAATAGTCATCTGCAGGCCACCTGATATCAGGAGACTTCTCGTGCTGGCAGGCACCTCTCGTCGTGACAGTCAACCCCATGTAGTACACCTCATATGCTTCTTACCACTTCACACTGGTGCGTAGGCCCGTAATAGCTCCCTCTTGATGCAAGCAGTCTGGGATGTCGTTCGGGTACGTGTGCTCTACATGCTAGAATTTGACCCTTGCCGATCTGTTTGTTTCGTGAGCGATCGAGGGTCCACGTCGGAGACATGTTCATGCTCTCCGTAAATATCATGAGCCGCCACCTTGTCCAGCAGAGGCACAGATTTGGCCAGTATAGTCGAGGACATCTGATTCTTTCGATTTAAGATTTGTAAATGGGTGATAAGCAGGAAAACTATTCCTCCCATTGGCCCAAATCAACTCCTGAAGACAACTCCTTCTTTACAAAGCACTCCATCGACAACATACTCACCAAGCAGTGTCCTCAGTGCCAAAGTATGTTACGGTTTCAAGTACATAAGCAGCAGTGTCCCACGTCCGACATGTAGATTCTTCGTCTCATTGTACCAACAACTGTGGACTCTAGCAACTTCGTACCCTGAATTCTAACAACCTTACCAAGCTCTTTAGCCCAACATGCCCAAAACCAACAATCAAGGCAACAAGTCAAAGTACCCGACCGCCGTCAAGACTTTCGACGCATACGACTTCGCTCATCTAGGCCACAACCAGCCCACAAAGGCACAATTTGCCTACCTCCTATCTGAAGCCCCTCGTGCAAAGCTCACCAAAGACGACGCCACGAGCTGTATCTGCTGTCTCAACGCGTGGACTTTCGATGGCAAGGTAACGGCTACCCGACTAGCCTGCAACCATCTCATCTGCCGAGACTGCGCACCACAGTGGTTCGGACGTCCGAAGAAGACATGTCCCACTTGTCGTGCGGTCTTGATGACGTGCGAGGAGGCATTGGAGGAACACAACATCGTTCCGGACATGCAAGACGAGAATCTCGAAGACGACGAAGAAGGTGATGGTGCAATCCTCGCCGACTCAATCGATCATCTGCTTAGCGGGACCATGAGGCACTTCGTCAGAACCCTCGATAACGAGCGTGAGAACAGTGCAGTCATAACGTTGCAGATGTTGTGCGGCGGTCTCTCGGCTTTCCTCGAAGAGATCAGGCAGACAAGACAGCGCATCAGAGACGAAGTCGCTGGACTTCGCAACGATATGACCCGGGTGGAGGGACCAGATGAAGAGCTTGAAGTCGTGTAAGACAAGAGCTGACCTCGCCTTTTCATGTAGAGGATGGCGAGTTGTAGACTGAGGAGAGGTACGGTCCGGTTCGCGATCAATTTCCTTGCCCTCAACTGCTGACATAGTATCAGATGGCCCTCGATATCAGCATGCGTGAGCACAATTCCCAGGGACATGTCTTGGAAGAGGGTGCCCTTCGCAGAACCGATTGAAGCTAGTGTGCTACTAGGTCGTGCTTCCCGTATATGCAGTACAGCAGTGTCTAGTGAGAAGCGTCCATAGAACTCAGCTGTCCTTCATAGCTTGCGTAGCGTATGGGCTCTCCTTGATTGGATTCCTGCGTTTCAAGAAGCGGTGTCTTCCGTGGACTCCAACGATACATCCAATCATGCCCATACACCCTTCGTATCATAAAGGATTTCATCCAGTAATCGTAGCATCTCAGCGGTCACAGTGGTCATTCACCATTTTCCTCACTGTCAGAGCCATCTTCTACCTGCCCACTACCATCACCAGCGGCATCTCCTCCCGCAGCCTTCGCCGCTCGCCCCTTAGCCCGCTTCTTCAACTTCTTCTCCCGATTCCTCCTCGCTCTCTTCTCCTTCTCAGCACTTCCCTTCGATGCAGCATCCGCTTTCGCCTTTTCGGACTGCTCCTTGGCAGTAGCATGCTTCACGCGAACTCTGATCCTGGCCTTCTTGCCAAGCCGCTTGCGCTTCCTACTACCTTCGCCACCCAACACGATGAGTCTTGCGAAGAGCATATTCTGTGCACTCGTTGACTTTGCCTGCGATGATGATGGAAGATGCAGCACTTTCCAAGGATATTCATTACCTGGGCACGGCTTGTGCGAGAGAGCTAGGACTTCTGCGCTTGAAAGTGCCGCAGCTTGGTACGTCTCAACAGAACCCGGTGAAGCATCTTGAAAGTAACAGCGCCGTGGTCTCTCCGGTATCATGAAACCAGGCTCGGCATTCTGCGGAGTGGGTGACCGCAGCCTGATCTTGTTTGCGACCGTGGCGGCGGCTGTGGCGTCTGCTGGTTTGCTGCTGGAGAAGAGGCGGAAGTCCAGATCATCGTCATCGACATGACCGCGCTCATCGTGACCAGGAGCTGCATTCTCTGTTTGCACATAGTCGAACTCCGAGATTTCCTTGATGTGCTTTACCAGCTCTAGATCAGACGCTGGCTCGGGCGAGCTTGCCGGCGACCCCAGCTCTCCACGACTGACTGCACGCTCCATCATAGCAATGCGAGCGCATCTCCCGGCCTCAGCTCACGTCTGCAGCAACCACTCGATGAGCAGGATGGGCTTTGTGACCAACTTTTGCGTATGATTTACTTGGACAAGACGCAGCGAATTATTGTAATCCGAAGGTTCGCGTCTGCGCTAGTCTACTTCAAGACAAATCTGGCAAATGGTCTCGTATTATATCTGCAGGTACGAGCTATCAGGTTCCTCTGATGGCCTGGCGGTATGATAGGTTACAGCTCTGATCACAGTCCTATACAATCGCGAGAACTCACTCGCCCTGAATTGAGATCTAGTCCCATCGAAGTTGTTTCTCTCCGCAACAGCACACTCCCCCTCATCGTCAAACTTCATCCTAAGCCCATCCCACCAGATGTCGGGCCCATCAGAGTGGTAGAGCCACCATCCATCGCTCTGGTCAATATTGCTTGCTCTCTTTGCAGTATGTGGGATGTTGAGCGTCACTGTCTGCTCATCATTGTCGACCAGACATGTGATATTCTGACAATGCCGCCCTGGCAGAGGTAGATCTGTCATGTAGACCAAAGTAAGTCCGGGTTCATTCAGAACATCGTCCTCGTACCCGGCGTCAAGGCCTTCAGGAGGTAGCAGAGGCACTGTGTGAGTCGCGAAGTAGTTTATTGGGGGATCGTACGGCAGATAGTAGTTTAGCCAGCCACTAAGCTCGCAGTACAACCACTTACGAATGGCTGCTTCCAGGTATGGGAACGATGATTCTGGGTGGTAGATGATGATGCGACTCTCGTATTTGCTGATGTCCTCCATGATTTCAACTTCCGACATTGCTGTGAGCACTGCAGATCTACATATAGCAGTACGTCGGTGCAGCCAGGGTCGATTAAATATGTTGAGTGGAGACTTCATCTAGATCGTCCGCAAGATCCAAGATGCACGATCAATTTGCCTCCAGTAAAGCGAGTAGCTTCGGCACTGCAAGCAGTGAAGGTGTACCGCATCACTCCTTGACTGGCATCCCCTCGCCCTCTTCCTCAGCATCAGGATCTTTCCAGAATGCCCTCTTAACAGCCTCCGTCCTAATTTCCCAAACATCCTCACTGCTTCCCCTCCCTTCACCCTTCCTCTTCTCATCCCTCAAACGGTAGTACTCCCGCACCGCCCTCTCCTTCTCCTCTGCCGGATACGTGCGTGTCCGCATACAGAACCAAAAAGCACCCCATTGCTCACCACAGTCCTTGACGTGGCCGAAACGGTAGATGTCGTTGAATTTGCCGCCGAGAGATTGACAGTAGAAAGCTTGATCGAAGGCTTGTTGGCAGGACATCGTGGCTGGATAGAGGGCGACAGGGTCGATGTTTAAAGTGCCGTCTGGGTGGTGTCGGAAGTAGGGAGTGAGCTTTGGTTCCGATGGTGTTTCTGCTACTGGATTGTCTGATGGTCTCGTCGCTCCAGCGCCTGTCTTAGGAGCTTCGAATGACTGTAGGAAGGCATCTAGTTCATCGGCAGCTTGCTTTTCCCGTGGGTCGACACTGTCAGGTTCCTTCTTCGGAGCGAGTTGGCCAAATATGCGACCTCGTTGCTCATCGGTCAGACCAAAGTCGCGTTTCGGTTCTGCTGCCTCTTGCGTAGGCACACTTGGCGACGGCGCCGACGAGAAGGGCCATGGCCACGGCATTCTAGAGAGGTTGTTGTATTACAAAATGTATGTACAGATTCATGCATTCATGGACAAGCTAGCTCAGGCACAGCCATCTCATTGGCTCGGCAGTGGTGGGCGCTTGTGTATGTGCAAAAGTTGAGTGAATCAGTGCTGCCTCCAAAAGTGCTTCATTCGTGACACTCCTGAGTCGAGATGATCCACAAAAAGGCGACATCAGGCGTCGAAGCATCTTTTTGAAAGCTCAGCGACATCGTCTACATCCTGGAACAACGCCGTGTCACTGTTGTCTGAGGACAACATAATTGTGCATGCTGTGCCTCAACTAAGTGGCGCCAATTCGTAAGCTTGACACTGAGGAACTGCCTCGCCCTGATTAACGATATAGTCGGGTGTAATACCGGGCCAAAATGGACAAACGAGTTTTCGAGCACTATCATCCGTCCCAAGATCATGCCTTTCCGCCAAGCGAATCTCGCCGACATACATCATGGAGCACATATTATGGCCACAGCTTTCCAGGATGGGCCGATCTTGGGTCGATATCTCCATCCGTATCGTGAACAACATCCAGACGGCATGTACCTGTATTTCCTCCGGAAACTTAGACTAGCCTACGCACGAGGGTTACCAGACGACATCTTACTCGTAACATATGACGTTAATTCATCTGACAAGGAGCAACAAATCACAGGCTTCGCACACTGGCACCGTAAACGAGCAGAATTAATACCACGATCGCTCCACAGCACTGCTATCTTACAAGCAACAAAAGCATACAACTACCTCACCTCCCTCATTTGGCCAAACCTTGCTATCGAGCCTTCCCGGGCAGGTCTCTTCCAGCAGATCGATCCTTTCATCTCACATCACTGGGCGGGTTCCAGAGCAGAGGTGTGGATGCTCGAGCTTATTGCCGTCGATCCCATGACTGGGAAGAAAGGTTATGGACGTCAGATGCTGGAATGGGGTATGCAGCGAGCGAAAGAAGATGGCTTGGCGTGTAGCCTTATCGCTGGTAAAGGCGCTGTAGGCTTCTATCGGCGTTGCGGGTTCGATATTGAGGTAGGCACATTGACTGATGAGGGTGGGGATGACAACCCCATGCGTAGGGCTGGGGTTGAGGGGGGCACCATCATGTTCTATGAGCCTTGAACTTGGTACCAAGTATTGATACAATCCTATCTCTTTGCCTCGTGCATTCTCCCCCTTGCAAAGATGGAGCAAACTGATAAACTTCGCTATCGATCGAGCCTTGGTATTGTGATGCCAGAGGTCAGCATGATACGTCAGTACCACAAATCGAAATCGTTCATTCGTCCTCGAGCTCCATCAATCCTGCCTGGTTTGAATCTCCTCAAGCTGTAGCTGCAGCCTCGCCTTCTTGCGCTGTCTTGCCTCTTACGTTTGAGCAGGCTCAGACAACTCGGTCTTCGGTATCATTGTGCATGCACCTTCAATGCCGTTCTCAATCTTGACCCTCTTGTAAGCCGCACTCCCTGCAAGACCAGGAGCGTTCTCATCAGCATAACGCTTCTTGTTCGCCGGCTCGAAGGCCAGTGCAGTCGTGGTCTCTTCGCCGCTCTCCGCACAAAGATCGATAATTCCAACAGCGTGTCGGGCCTCGACTAAAACTGGAGATGATGATGGAGATCGTGTACTCTGGCTGATCACGGCCTGCGATTCGGCAGGAGCAACAGGGATAGTTGGCACCACACTTTTGAGCTCGAGAGCCACTGCAAGCAGTCAGTACGGCCCGAGTAAATGAGAGTACCAGACATAAGTCTGGAAGCATAATAGAAGGTGAAGTTGATAACGCGACCCTTTTTGCCTCGAGCGGGAATCCAATCCCATTCCTGTTCGAGGTCTTCGAAGTCCCCTCCTTCCGTAGACAGCAGCATGAGTCTGCACTGCATTAGCAATGGTCCACCACTTGCGGTCAAAGGACATACTCGACTCCGTGCGATCGCGCATTGTCAATCGCAATCTTCTTTGAAGTTGTAAGACCCAATCCTTTGGGCTCGCGGTAGGAGTGTCCCACGTCTTTGAACTTGCTTCGACCCAGCTGCAGTTTCACGCTTATGCATCCTCTGTACTTGATCTCGTGGTCCGCATTCGCTTTGCTCAATTGGACGTCCTCGTCTGTGAGACAAAATGTCAGCTGGGTCGACGACATGCGTAGGTCACTGACGAACCGATTTGAAGCTCGCCGAATCGCCACCCCGCCGCATGCCACCCAGCATCGTCCTTCCAATTCGTGACACTCAGCCTGAAGAGTCCATCTGCGAAGTCGACCTCGCTCCTATAGGTCCAGCAAGAAGACTGATCCTTTGCTTCGCCTCCACCGTCTATGCAACACGAGAGGGAGAGTTCGGGCCGACCTTTGAAGTCGAACGATGCTGGCACTTTGACGCATATTTCGAAACGTTCGTCGGTCACAGCCTCGATATATTGCGTGCTCGACCTGCGAGTGTACAGCGGAGAGTGAACAGGCGCGGTTTACTCATGGTATTGCTCGTCTCCATCGAACGGCCGGATGAAGGCCTCGATTTCGCTTTGCCTGTCTTTCACGGTCGCAAGTGATATCTGTTGAAGTGAATATCGAGAGGTGAGAGGGAAGAGAGAAGGACAAGAGAAGGATAGAGGCCGTGTATAGCTGATGTACTCGTGCGGCCAGCAATCCACTCACTCGCAACCACAGAGTGAATGCTGCAAGTGAGCTGTCGAACCGTCGAATGGCCTCGCGGACTGTAGCAGACTTCCAGATCGCCACCATGCGCTATGCTTCACTTGATGGCGCAGTCCAGGCTTTTAAATCCTGAATGTCTGCATGTTCTTGAGACTTCATGCGCGTCTCCCATGTCGGACTAGGAACGCTGTTCCCGTCGATGAACTGGCCGAGTAAAGATCCTGGAGTGGCTCCTCGTAGGATTCAGCAGTACCGTTTGGCCTGGCGAAGGCTTGAACATTGCCTCTGTACTCCAGCATGTCATTTAATCACAGCCATTGACATGAGGCTAAGAAATGCGCAGATGGTACAAATGTTGTTAAAGTCAGGCTGCGCAGGCAGATCAAAGTATGCATCTGTGAGGCATCGATCAAGCCTGTCGTAGCCTCCCACGCCTATCTTCAACTTCATCCTCACTGCTACTATCCCTAAACCCCTGCTCCAACTCCACACTCGCCCTCCTCACGCCTTCTACTCTCTCAAACCCCATTCCACTCACGACCCTCCCTCCCCTCTCATCCCTCCCACTCTCATGACTCCTGATATCCGAACCAAACCCAACCATCCTCTCTCCTTCCTCCTCGCCCAAGACCCACTGATCCTCGTCCCCACCTATGCTGTTGTTCCTATACCCATCGTTCCCATCTACAACTTCGCGACGCCAGCGCATAGATTTCGGGATCATAAGGTTCGTTATGCCGTCCCATATTCGTTGGCGCAGGGTTGTGGTGTGTGAGGTTATGGTGTGAAGAGGCAAATACTGGCTGTAGCGTTCGTGGTGGCGACGCCAGAGTGGGAAGATGATGTAGACGAGTAGACCGTACAGGGCTGCGGCTATGATTGCTGGTAGGAAGAGGATCTTTGGATGCGTTAGTGGAGGCGCACAGCTAATGAGACTGTGTTGCGAACTTTTACTACATCGAAGAAGGTCATCTTGACGATCTCAAAGTCGTCCGTGACAATGTGCTTTACTTCTCGTCCCTCGGATGGAAACCGCAATGCAATACCAGATGCCGTATCAAGTTTGTCCTCGACCAGATACTGGCATAGCAATCCCTAGCATGTACGGCCGGAGCGGTCCAGAAGTCTCTCAGACGGCAGAATACATAGCAGCGTAACTCCTTCCCACGAATGTCGGAACAATAGTACAATGTCTTTGAGCAAGAGAATCGCATGTACTGCATCCTCGTTCAACAAGACTCGGGGGCAACGAATCGACTGACGTGGCGGAGCTGGGTGCGACTTGTGGCGCTTGAGCGCTGATACGCACGGACATACCTTTACGATGATGGTGAGGTACTGTCATGCTATCACGATCATATCGCCATTTCTCGGGCTCTATCAAGACATACTGTCCTAGTCGTACACTACATCTGGTGAAAACGTGCCAACAGTACCATCCTCATGCTTCGTAACAATAGTTATAGACTCTCCGTCCCTCCAGACTCGAAGCTCACACCCATGTCCATGAACATGGCTACCAAGCATACCCATCATCAGCATCATTATCGTTGCCTTCTTGCCAGTCTTCGTCTCCGCTTATCTCATCATCGAGGAAATCGCCAGCGGTGAACTCATTCTCTCGTGGTCGCTGGTTGTCAATACGAATGTCGACAATATTGCACAAGCCCTGAACGTGCAGACCGGTCTGATCCTCTTGCTCGTCGTCCTCATCTTCTTCTTCTCCTCCACTATCACTACCTGTGGCAGATAACGGTACGCGTGCCACAGACTCCTTGACCCTCGTGCTCCTCCTCACCTTCGCCTTGTCACCATCTTGCTTCTCCGGCGACGACTCACTGAAGACATCCGTATCTCCGTCGTGTCTCTTAGGTGACGACATCTGGACATGCGATATTCCTCTGCCGACAACAAAATCACCCGGAGCTTCTGGATCATCAGGTTTGGCACGGCCGTTCTGCTTGATGTCCCATCCGACCGCTTGCGCAGCTTTCCACTCTGCGAACTGTCTAAGCGACCCGAGATACGGATTTGGCGCATCTGCTCGGCGAGCATAGACTTGGTGTAGACGGTCGATCCACTGATCGCGAAACTCGGCTCGTTGGCGCCAGGGAATATTGATGTGGGAATGTAAGATCAGAATGCGAAGATCAGGTAGGTCGGCAGAATTGTCTACGACAGAGCGAAAGAGGTTTTGTGCCGCTTCTGCTTGCCAGCGGTTCAGCTGCGTCAACTCTAGATGGCGTAAAGTGGAGGGCCAGGTCGGTATATCCTCGCTGCCTAGCAGTTCTTCGTATAGTGGTTCTGCATCGTTGCTGTTGATCTTCTCGCTGAACAACCGCAGATCCATCTTGAGCACTTCCAACTTCGGGCAGGCAGTCTTCAAAGAAGTGAGGAAGGTAAGGTTGAGAGCGGGATTGTGATTGAGAACCAGCTCGCGAACCTGTGATCCACCAGTGAGAAGGTATGATTGCAGCATGCCACTTGTCAGCTCGAGGCAGTTCGTGATTTCCAGGCGTTCCAGGTTTGTTGGGAGACGCTCTAAGAAGTTATCCACGAGCACTTCGCAAGATATGAAAGTAAGGTCCTTTAGTCTTGGTATCAGGCCGATCGATGTTGCGAGACCAGGGGCTGTTGCAGCACTCGTGGCGCCACCTTCCGCCTCAGCCGGCTCAGCACTATCGTTCCAGTCATAGCCACATAACGTGAGCTTGGTCAAGTACTCGAAAGACTTCCCACTATGGGTCTTGACCATGAGGGCATACATCTCGCTGGCATCTATGATATTGATCATGTCTCTGTTCCACCTCCAGCTACGTAGTTTCGTGCCGTGCTCCTCTAACGATTCGAAGAAGTTGGCTGGATAGTGCCAGTTCTGGATCTTCAGAGGTCTGAAGGGAGGTTCGTCGACGGGATGCAAGATCTCCACCTGCTGCAACTGTGGACATTCAGCCACCAGTAGACTGATGTCGAACAGTCCTCTGCCCGTAGCAGTGTATGCCAGTCGTCTGACATCAATCTGCAAACTCTTGACTTTGGCGTTGTAGTTTATGCATCTTTTCTCCTTAGGTATCTGTAGTAATTCAAGCAGATGATGTGGTTGCAGGTTGTTGAGGAGTGCTGGAGACTGGTAGTATGCTTCTAGCGCCGGCTCAGCAAACTTACGACTAAGCCGTGCCGTCTTCAGTAGCCGGTCGACATTTGCGCTGGCTGTTCGTGTCTGCTCGTGCACAGGTTGCGATGCGAAGATGAAGATGTCCCGAAGTATGTTGATGGGTAAAGATGCCCAGTCAGGTATCTTCTTATCGCTCGGTCCTGTGAATGCTTGCTTTGGTGGAGCACCGACAGTGTTCCACCGTCGCTTCTTTCCTATACCACGCAAAACAGACTTCACGGCAGCCTTGCCCTTGTCACCTCTCATCAGCCTGGTCTGCGGTCGAGGCCGTGCCTGTACCTTGCGTCGCTTGCGTGGTGGCGCCCGGGCTTCTTGTCGATGCTGAAGCTGAGGCGGAGCTACGGGTACAAATTCGGCTTCGTCGTCGACATCGTCGTCGGAGTCTGGTTCGGCGTAGCTGGTGGCCGTTTGTCTGGTGAGCCGCCCAGATGACCGTGAGGATCTCTGAGCAGGTTCGACTACCCCTTCATCTTCGCTCTCATCATCACTGTCCGGCTCAACATATCTCTTTGTTGCCTGTCGGATCGGTCGCACTTGGCGTTGTGGTCGCTGTGGTGCTCGTAAGATCAAGCGAGGTGCCTTGCGAGGTGCCGGTGGAGAAGCTGGCTCATAATCATGGCCAAGCTCATCCTCATCATCGGTTTCTGGGTCGACATATGAGGGAGTGGCTGCTCTTTCGCGCAACGATCGCTTGCTTGACTCGCCAACGACTGCCTGACGAGTACGACGACTCGATGTTCCCGCCGAAGCCATCATGAAATTGCCTGTCATGCAGCATAAGACGTGCGGCTATTGTTAGGCGTGAATATCAGCGCGATGGGATATGTATCTGTGACTCTACCTCGCCAGGCGCATTGCAATATTGTTGTTTCCGAATACATTAATGACAGGTTCTAAATGACGCTGACGCACCCCACGCGGCTAGAACCGACGCTAATGTGCTTCATGCATATGGGCCGAGCACTTGCATGGCGATTCACTTTTTGAGCACGCGATGAATGTCGATAAGCAACGTGCTTGTAAAGAATGATACCTAGGCACTCGTAGACAACGTCAGCAGGTCAACTTCTGATTGACTTCAAACGGAGACTTGCATGCTTGATGAACACGACGACGGCGCCACTCCAGCTCTGATCTACAACTGTGGCCTGGCAGAAGACGAAACGCGCATCGATGGCGAGACGTGCACTTCATGACCTGAATCTCAAGTTCACCCCTGCTCCATGAGAACTTCCAAGCGTGATCAGCAAACCGAGCCGACGAAATGCGCTTCCGTGCTGAGATACGCAATGTCTCAACCTTCACCAAATTCACGGCCTCCCTAGCATCCCTCGGCCACATCGCATGGGTCCGTCTCGATAGCAAGGACGTTCGCTTCACCGTCATCCCAGAGCAGGGCACGCAAGTATGGAGCGTCCTTACACCCGACGCCATCTTCCAGGAATACACGATTCAGAGTGCCGCGCCGAACAACACAATCAATCTTGAAGTGCCACTCGCGCCACTGCAGCGAGCTCTGAAGTCAGCGCAGAATGCAATCGCGGCCAACATACGTCTCACTAAGAAGGACAACATCCCACTACTCAGCTTGACGATTACCACAATGGCTATGAGCAGCACGCAGCCATCGTCCTCCGCAAATGGACAAGATGGTTTTGCCAGCAACCACCACCCCACACCTAACGACAGTTCCGAGACTTTTCGCGAAGAAAGCGTCGACTTCTTCGGCTCCCGTCAAGATCGCGAAACAGTAATCACGCAAGACGTGCCCATCCGTGTCCTCGCACTCGCCTCGGTAGAAGGTCTCCACGAACCGCGCTGTCGGGAACCGGATGTGCACATCGTGTTACCCAATCTCCTCCAGCTGAAAAGCATCAGCGACCGCTTCACAAAACAAGCCATGTCGACGAAATCCGCACGAGGGACGGGTCTGGCCAATATCGCTCGCGGACCAAAACTGGAGCTGAGTGGCAATATGCATGGTTGTCTTCGCCTCGCGCTCGACACCGACGCCATGAAGATCAGCTCTCTCTGGACGGGCCTGGAGAATCCGGAACTCGATCCCGAACAAGTGGCTGAGGGCGAAGAAGGGCTCGCGAATCATCCGAGCACGAGGATGAAGGCGCTGGGTGATGCTTCGGGTCAGGACGAGGAAGGGTGGGCGACTGTGAGGATTGAGGGCAGGGATTGGGGTAAGGTGTTGAGTGTAGGGCGGTTGGGTGGCAGGGTGATCGCGTGCTTTTGCGATGAGCATGCGCTGATACTTTATGTTTTTCTTACGAACGATGAGCCGGGTGGTGGGGAGAGCGTTTTGACGGTAAGTTCTCATGCATCACGTGTGTTACTGGAGGTGCTCTGTGCTGACATATTTGGTAGTACTACATCAGTTCTTACAGTGCGTGAAGATATGCTGCGGGGACCTAGTATGATATGTCAATCTAGCGTGGCGTTCGGGGTATCTCGCATGAATCGGCCATGCTGTTTACTGTGGATGTATATCATTGTTGCTTGTAACACAGCCTATTCATGCAAGGTTCTCTTCTGCTACGAACATTACCATCTCGTTTCGAAAACGTGGTAGACCGTGAGATCCCCTTCCTTGCTGCCACTATTCTCCCACACCTTTCACGATCATCGATAATGCAGATCGCCCTCCAACACAAGTTACTAAAATACAATACATACAGATGTTCGTGCAGCCGCTTATTATATAACCGGCGGAAGGTTTGAAGCCACATGCGCCACATGCAACCCCTATTATAACTTTAGCAGGGGTTCTTGTTTGGGCGATCCCCAGACGTGCGTTGGCGGCACCCTGGACTTCTTTCTACTTGATACGACCACGACCACGCCACTTTCTCTAAATCCGAAGTGAGGTAAGTGACGGTTGTGTCGAGTGTATCTCTGCGCACATGTCAGGCTGGATATAGGGCTGGTCAAAGGTCTTGGATGAGACAAGAGGCAGGGCAACGTAGACTGTCTGGAAGGAACGCGGTTGGGTTGGCTTGTGCTGCGGAAGTCCGATAGGCAAGTTTGAGGATTGGAAGAGTGTGGAGGTGTCGAGTTGAGCATACGGTCATGAAGAGGTGACGAAGTTGGACACGCATACGCGAAACCTCACACGCCGGAGGAGAGCCATACTCGCACTGGCCACACCATCAGGTGACCGCGCGTGAGCGCCGGCCTGGGACTCGGACCTAAGCGCTGATATCAGCAAGTGCTCTACACCGCAGCCGCCCAGCTGGCTGCTCGACAATCACAATGTTCTCCAGCAACGACAAACAATCGCGCCAATCGAGCGGCGGCAAGTCCTTCTTCTCCCGCAGCAGCAAAAAGGACAAAGCGAACAATGACGTGCCGCCCTTACCGGAAACGCCTTCATTGCACGCAGAAAATGGCAACTACGCCGCCAGCACCCTCTCCCGCCACTCGCACCGAAGTAGTATCTCCACCGTCGACCCGAACTACGACGAGTATAACACCATGAATGGAGGGTACGTGCAGAGAGCGGGCCAGGATGGTATCAATATGCAAGCCGGCATTGTCACCAGTATACCATACGATAGCATTACCGCGAATACGAAGGCGCCTATCCGAGTCGATCACGTGGATAAGCCGAGCTCGAGACGGGAACCGCTACCGCATCATTTGAATAAAGGTGGTGGTGATTTTCATCAATATCCTGCTTGGGATGGTCAATCGGCGAATGGATCACAGGCTCCGCCTCGACCGCCTACACATGGTAGTGGGGTTGCAAATGGAGGCAGGGGTGGGACGGGAAGAAGCTTTGAGAGCGATGCGACGACTTTGAATGGGTTTTATGCGCCTAGTCGGGGGAGTAGCGAGCATGATGGTGGGAGTATCCGCAGCACATCTTCGAATGATAGGAGGCGGCCCACGAATGCGAGCCAGGCGAGTTTTCCGAGTATGCAGCTGGAGAACAGCGTATCGCATTTACCTCAACTAGCTCCGTCGGCGACGAAGGGGAGCCTGCATACTTTTCTAAATGCGAATAATCCTTCCGCCTTCTCAAGCACGACGTCTTTCGATCCCAACGGCTCGGCTTTACATCGTCCAACGGATGATAGGATTATCGAGAAGGAGTTTCTGGAACTGATGCTGAAGCGAGGATGGAAATCTTTGCCTGAGCAGGCGAGACGGCAGATGGAGGCTTATCCTATCAGCAAGAAATGGACACTCGTGCATCAGGATCGATTGTCAGAATGGCAGGGTGAGCAGAAGAAGCGCCAGAATACTAGGACGACTATGTCCAGTATGACGGATGGATTGGGTGGATACGCAGGTATCGTCGATAGAGCTGGCGAGGAAGGGAGTCCGGAGTGGTTCGTCAAAAGAGTTCTGGACAATACTATCACGCCCAAGCAACTCCAGAGTCTGGGCGTGAGTCTGCGCACACAGCCTATTGCGTGGGTGAAGCAGTTTGTAGAGGCACAGGGACAAGTCGCATTGACGAATACTCTCGCCAAAATCAACAAGCGCCAGCAGTCTGGTCCTGCAGCTCCAGTAGGAGGTCAGGGCAGCAATGAACGAGATCTGGATCGCGAGTACGATATCGTCAAATGCTTGAAGGCTTTGATGAACAACAAGTATGGTGCCGATGATGCTCTGGTGCATGATACTGTGATTATGGCGCTCTGTGGTTCACTCGTCTCTCCACGTCTGAACACGCGAAAGCTGGTCTCCGAGCTCTTGACCTTCTTGTGCCACTGGGCTGAGGGACGAGGACATCTCAAGGTCATTGAAGCATTGGACCATTTGAAAGCGCAGCAGGGTGAGAATGGACGCTTCGATGCTTGGATGAGGATAGTAGAAGTCACGATCGATGGGCGAGGGAAGATGGGATCGCTGGTTGGTGCGTCGGACGAAGTTAGGTCGGGAGGTATTGGCATGGAGAATCTGTTGATGGAGTATGCCGTCACCTCTCTGTTCTTGGTGAACAGTATGGTCGACGCTCCTGAAAGAGACCTGAAGCTCCGATGTCATATCCGGGCCCAGTTCGTGGCGTGCGGATTGAAGAGGATCTTGACCAAAATGGAGGGCTTCCAGTACGAGGTTATCGACAAGCAGATTGAGCGATATCGGACTAATGAGGCTATCGATTACGAGGATCTCCTGGAGCACGAGTCGAGCAGTATGAATGACTCCATGGATGGCGAGAGCAAAGATCTGAACGACCCTGTACAAGTCGTTGAAGCCATACAGCAGAAACTCGGTGGTTCGCGAGCAGCGGACTATTTCCTCAGTTCGCTCCAGCATCTTCTGCTCATGCGGGACAATGAAGGAGACGATCGCCTCAGGACCTTTCAGCTGGTCGAGAGTATGCTTTCCTACGTCGCCATGGATCGAAGACTACCGGATATGGATCTCAAGCAGAGTCTCAATTTCACGGTGCAGAATCTTATGGACAAGCTGTATACAGACGGTGAAGCACGACAAGCACGAGAAGAGGCTAATGAGGCTCGTCTTGTTGCTGATGCAGCAGTGGCGGAGCGCGATGATATGAGAGCGAAGGTCGAGCTTGGCGCTGAAGGTCTGGTGGCAAAGCTGCAGAGGCAACTGGACGAGCAAGCTGCGATCATCGATCTGCAGAATCGACAAACGGAGGCCTTCAAGGCTGAGCTGGCTGAGATCCAGAGAGTGCGTGCTCAGGAACTTCAGCGCAATGAGTTGGAGACCAGGGAGCTGTATCTCATGCTCCGCGATGCCCAAGATATTGCCGCCTCTTCTGCCAAGAATTCTGGCAAGAACGGTGTCCAGGGTACTGACAACCCAGCGCATCTACAAGGCATTTTGGATCGAGAGAGGCTTATGGATCGTCTTGAGATGCAGCTTGAGCGGGCTAAGACACAGGCGAAGCTGGAGGGTAAGGTGTGGCAGCAAGTTCAGGCCGGGCCTTCGGACAAGCTCAGAGAGCTCAGGGAGAAGATGGAGGGCGCGGGTCTACAGCCTGAAGGTTTGGAGGCGCAGATGGAGTATCTTGGTACTATGAACCCACGAGGCAAGAGTGGTGGGGTGAGGAGAAAGCCTGTGGCCGGTACTAGGGGTGGATTTGAAGACGAGAGCCATGTACGAGCGGACACACCAGATAGTGTTGACATGCTGGGTGATGAGGATGCTGTGATCGTCGATGAGAAGCCTCGGCTTGTGGATATGAAGAGGCCGAAGGTTCCATCGGGAATTGCCGCTCAGCAGCAGGGTATGCTCGCTGAATTGCAGAGGAAACGAGGAAAGATCAATATTGGTGAAAGCGATGATGAAGGCGATGGGATTACGACAGGGACTAGTCATCGCAGCCTCGAGAGTCAGAGTCCCAAGACGCCTGTCGATGCTGAAGCGCCGAAGGATGGCAAATTCAACGGTGCGCCCGCTCCTCCGCCGCCACCTATGCCGGGTTTCGATGGCGGACCACCGCCTCCGCCACCACCAATGCCCGGCTTTTCTGGAGGTCCTCCACCGCCTCCACCGCCTATGCCCGGATTTGCTGGTGGGCCACCACCTCCACCGCCACCTATGCCGGGCTTCTCTGGTGGCCCCCCACCTCCTCCGCCACCGCCTCCTGGTATGGCCAATGGTGGGCCGCCACCACCACCTGTGCCAGGTGCGCCTCCTTTGCCTGGTGCACTCAAGGGTGGCTTCTTACCACAGCAAGGTTACAATGTTGCAACGCCGACTCTTGGCTACGGCACACGATCCAAGAAGAAGCTCAAGGCACTGCACTGGGAGAAGGTTGACTCACCAGAGATCACCATGTGGGGCATGAACACCCCTACCATTGAGCAAAAAGAGGAGAAGTACCAAGAGCTGTCCAAAAAGGGTATCCTGGACGAGATCGAAAAGCTCTTCATGGCCAAGGAGATCAAACAGATCGGCAAGTCTACCGGCAAGGCCAAGAGCGACAAGAAGCAGCTCATCTCTCGCGACCTCTCCCACACTATGCAAATCGCCTTTAACAAGTTCAAAAACTCACCCACAGAAGACGTCGTCCGCATGATCATCCACTGCGACAAAGAAATTCTTGATGACGAGCAAGCCATGAATTTCTTGCAGGCGGAACATATGTGCTCCATTCCCGACAACGTGGCCAAACTCATGGGTCCTTACTCCAGGGACTGGACGGGTCCGGATGCGCTTAAGACGCCCCGGGAGCAGGATCCAGTCGAGCTGACGAGGGAGGATCAGCTGTATCTGTACACGGCGTATGAGTTGCATCATTATTGGAAGGCGCGGATGAGGGCACTTGCGCTCACGAGGAGTTTTGAGACGGATTACGATGAGGTTTCTACGAAGCTGAAGCAGGTCGTGGCCGTGTCTGAGAGTCTGCGAGATTCGGTGAAGCTTGTTCCTGTCCTGGAACTGATTCTGGACGTGGGCAACTACATGAACGACACGAACAAGCAGGCGCAGGGTTTCAAGCTTTCGTCCCTGGCGAGATTAGGAATGGTCAAGGATTCTTCGAACGAGTCCACGCTTATGGATCTGATTGAGCGTGTGGTTCGCACACAGTATCCGGCCTACGAAGGTTTCACGGATGATATCGCTGGCGTCCTGACCGCACAGAAACTGAATATCGAACAGCTTCAGGGTGATGCGAAGAAGTACATCGACAACATCACGAACGTGCAACAGAGTCTGGACGCAGGCAACTTGGCGGATCCGAGTCGTTTCCATCCAGAGGATAGGGTGAGCCAGGTGGTGCAGAGGACTATGAAGGAGGCGAGACGGAAGGCCGAGCAGATGGGCTTGTATCTGAGCGAGATGAACAGGGTATACGATGATATTTTGACTTTCTTTGGAGATGATTCTCGGGATGAGACGGCGAGGAGAGAATTCTTTGGAAAGCTGGCGAATTTCGTGAGGGAGTATAAGGTATGTTCTGCTTGTCTGTGTGAGTATGGCAATGTTTTACTAACATTGTGCAGAAATCCCATGAGAAGAACCTGGTGCTCGAGGAGACTTGGCGGAGAAATGAGGCGAATATGCGCCGAAAGCAGATTAATGCTCAGCAAGCCAATGCCAGCGCTATCTTGGCTTCGAGTGGTGAGAATCCTCCTTCGCCCGCGTCGACTGGAGCCATGGATGCGCTGCTCGAGAAGCTGCGACAAGCTGCGCCGCAGCAGAAAGCTACCAGGGATCAGAGACGGAGAGCTAGGCTGAAGGATCGCCATAACGTTCGTGTCGCCTCTGGTCAGCAGATTCCCGAGACAGGCGAGAATCTGGAGGATGGAGGGCTGCTCTCGCCTACCAAGACAGACGGAAGCGAGGAGAACGGCAGTGTTGAAGGTGCTGGTGCAGTGTCAGAGGCCGAGGATGTTGCTGATCGCGCAGCGACGTTGATGCAGAGTCTTCGTGGCGATGGCGGAGAGGGTGGACCTCTTAGCGAAGCTCCCTCGAGAGACGAAAGCCTTCGCGTGCGGAGAAGAAGAGAAAGTGCAGATGATGAGAGGGCGCGAAGGAGAGCTAGACGACGAGCGGCGGGAACGAGCACGGATACTAATGCTCAGAGTACCATTACTGAGGAGGCCGAAACGGAGACGAGTACGCCTGCCGGCGAGCTCGCCACTGCTCAAGAGAACGAGAGCAAACGCGAAAGTGTTGAACGAGCTCTGCCTTCGCCGCCAATACCTGAGACGATCGTTGTGCCCCCATCACCCACAGGCGAGGAGAGGAAGCCTGGTGGTGCTCTTGGTTTGGGCGAGGAGTAAGGGTTTACCGGTGAACACCACTTTTCGGTGTTCTGATGGCATGCCTGTACATAAGCTTAATTGTCGATCGACATTGGAGGGAGTCGCTCGGACATGGTCTTGGATTAGTGCATTCTTGATGTCAGCGTTGAAGCGAGGTGTTGTTCTGTTTTGAGGCTGGTGGAGCTCCTGTGCAGCCGTGGGTCTAGCATCATCGATTCATTAATCCTGAGACGTTACGCGCCATAGTACGTGCTACTGGCTGTGCTGTGTGTCGAAGCTGTGATGTGGGTTGTCTGTGGTCTATGCTAAGTACAGTCAAGATGGTCACAGTCACGTGTTGACGCGCGGCGTTCACTAGCGGCAGTAAGCAATGTGAACTTCGCTGCGCCTCGTTCCGTTTCATCGTGCTGCCTCAATTCACCATCAGCCATCTCGGCGGTCAATGAAAGCGTCATTCCCGCGATGGCGCGCCGCGATACGAGATATTCGGACCGTCAAAGTGAACGGGAACTCCGTTAGGCCAAGACTACTGCGACATGGACTGACCTCGACGTTCGCGGGTGCGCCGTCAACTGCAGGGCGAGGACTACCTGGCAATGTCACATCGATTAGACCGTTGGTGGACGTACGTGCTGCGCATCATCCGACGATCTACGCGCTGTCCACTGCACCAGGCCGAGCTGCCATTGCTGTGATCAGAATATCTGGACCTACGGCCTTGGATGTCTACCAGGCATTGTGTCCCGGGAAGCAGTTACCGAGGCCACGTCGGGCTTGTGTCAGGACTTTGTATGAGCCAGCAAGCACAGATGTTGGTGCCGATGTACTTGACGCAAGTGCACTAGTACTTTACTTTCCTGCCCCACGCACTGTGACAGGGGAAGATGTGCTGGAGTTACATGTTCATGGCGGACCCGCAATTGTAAAAGCAGTCCTTGCAGCGATTCCACGATGTGTGGTCGATCCTGCAGATAGTCGCATCCGCTATGCTGAGCCCGGCGAGTTCACCAAACGAGCTTTCATGAACGGTAGACTCGACCTCACGCAAGTTGAGGCACTAGGCGATGTGCTTGCGGCTACCACTGAGCAGCAACGCCGGCTGTCTGTGCGTGGCACGAGCAACGGTATGGCAAAGCGCTACGAAGACTGGCGACAGAGCCTCTTATATGCTCGTGGTGAGCTTGAAGCTTTGATCGACTTTAGCGAAGATCAGCATTTCGACGAAAGTCCTGCTGAGCTATGTGCTTCGGTGGCAGAGCAAGTTGTAAGGCTAAGAAGTCTGCTGCAACTGCATCAAAATAATGCTGTCCGTGGCGAACTGCTCCGTAATGGTATCAAGATCGCACTATTGGGTGCGCCGAATGCTGGCAAAAGCTCGCTACTCAACCGAGTCGTTGGCCGCGAGGCCGCTATCGTAAGCAATGAGGCTGGCACGACGAGGGACATAGTCGAAGTTGGAATTGATCTAGGAGGCTATCTCTGTCTACTGGGAGACACAGCCGGATTACGGAAGGCAAAAGAGGCTGCTCACCAAAGTGGACTAGCGAGCGAAATTATTGGTCAGGTTGAGGAGGAAGGTATGCGGCGAGCCAAGGTCAGAGCGGCAGAGAGTGACGTTGTAATTGCTGTGGTCAGCTTTGAGGATGCCGACGGCAACGTGGTGTTGCGAATGGACGATGAAGTCATGTCTACTGCGAGTGATCTCTTGAGAAGCAAGAAAAACCTGGTCGTCGTGATCAACAAGGTTGACAAAGTGCACGAAATTGAAATGCAAGAAGCAGTAAAAGCAGTTGCAAAGGCACTACCTGGTCTGGACTCTAGCATGATCTTCCCGATATCTTGCAAAGAGGTCGGGTCCGCAGCAAAGCCATCAGGCTCCGTGGCAGGCCCTGGAAATGTCCAAGCTTTCTTGACCGGCCTTATCCAGCACTTCCACAACATAACCGCAGCACTCCTGCCAGGCGGTACAGACTCTGAGCCTGACGCCTCTGTATGGCAAGAATCCCTCGGTGCTACAGAAAGGCACCGTTCGCTCCTAGAGGAATGTGTTGGGTACCTCGATGCCTTCTTGGCTGAGGTACAGCCGAGTGTTACGGCTGAGAGCACTCCTGACGAATCAGAAGCGGACATCGTGGTCGCCGCCGAGCACTTGCGTGGCGCAGCCGATTGCCTTGCCAAGATCACTGGAAGGGGAGAGGCAGGAGATGTGGAGGAAGTGCTGGGCGTGGTGTTTGAGAAGTTTTGTGTGGGAAAGTGATTGAGCTCATGTCATCACAAATCTGTAGAGATGATGAGATAGAGATTCCCATACGATTATGCCGTCCCAACGGGGTTTCTTTGCTAGTCCAAACGCCTGGATGCCCAAAATTCTTATCGATGCCATCGTGACCTAGACCTCTAGAAATGCATCACACTCGCTAAAAATGCTCTGGACGCCATGCTCAACGCATACACTAACTGCCAAATTGAATGCCGCCATGAACTTCGATGATGCAGAAAGGTCGAGTCCTCGCTAGAACGCTATCAAAGACGCCCGAAATGCTGAGTTGTGAAGAGCACGCTTGAACGCTATCATGTTGCACCCAAACTCCAAATCCTGGAGAAATCCTGTGAAGGACATCCATCGTCTATGTTGTGGTCGTTTATCCAAGAGCTGGAAGTCGTAAGAGAAAAGACCGAAAGATTACAAATCCGCCCGCGTAGCCATGATGAAGAGTGAGGCCAGCTCAGTCGAAGAGAAGATGGTGTGCATTGCCGGCAATGCCAGGTATCAACTTCCACCTGTCCTCATTGAGGAGCATTGTAGCCACTGCAAGTTGTTAGTGCTGATTCTGAGCACAAGTAACATCTAATACATACCCTCGCCCGTCGTCATTCTCGCGTTGATACATGGCGCAGTGATATTATTCCTCCGGATCCTCGAATGGTATATGAGATAATGTATGAGATGGTGTATTTCCGGTAAGCTGTGGAAGCTGACAGGCTATCGTAAGGGAAAGAGACGCTTAGTTATAACCGCCACGGCCCATTGTTGCTGATATGAAAAGGGTGGAGTGGTAGAGAGATAGGAAATAAGAAACGTCGATCAAATCAGATCGGGATGGAGCGAGAGCGAAGGTGACTCTGACCAAAGGAAAGCAAGGAGACAGTGAAATCTGGCGTACTGTTTTGGCGATGCTTGCAAAAGGAGATCTTGTTTTGGAATGGCAATAGTTGGCTTGGCTGATGAGGTCGGAAGGACTGGTACTGACAAAGGAAACAGACGTTGTTGCTTGGTTGTTGAGAGTGTTGGATGATGATGAGAGCAAAGATGAGACAGGACGACCCGGCAGGAAATATATGTATCATTGACAAGGCCACAGTGACAGGGCCAAGTGCAACGGCTGTCCCAAGATGTCCTGCATGGTGCTCATGCATGAAAGCCAGTCGGCGTAGCGTATGTACAATTACAGTACATCATGCTATTCAGGGCGACTCCGATAGAGTGAAGCTGCAAGGCTATGCTGTCGTCCACTAGCCTGCCATGTGGTCGTACCTGCAGCACTGCAACTCCATCCGCAATTAGTGGCCACACCGGACGATTGATGACATACTAGGCAATATGCATACTGTGCCTCGAAGCTAGAGAAGAGAGGCTTGACGAATCGGTAGCGTAGCATTCTCAGTAGTTCGATGTCGTCTCACGGGATCCTCTGCGTGGCTCAAGTCTATTTTTGGGGACATTTTGACGTTAATGGCCGCATCGGGCCTAGTGATTGCGGCAGAACACAGCCTTATGGCAGGCTGGCAACTCATCTTCGCCGGCATCGAGCAATGCTCGATGGGGGCCAATTGAGTGTATGCAATATTGCTGTTCGCGGGACGTATACAGGATCATGGCAAAGGCAATGCAAGGAGCCGCAGAACTTTGCGCTCCCGTTGTTTGTTGGTACATGATGTTCAGACCCGTTGTGGCTTTCTGCAGCCCTATCTCATGATCACGGGTACTTGCATACAGACGGAACCTTCCTCTCGGACGCTGCGTTTCTAGAGACCGCATTGTGGTGTACAGGGTAGCCAAAAGGTTCCGGGCTAAGCGACGTCTGCATCAGTCATCTTGTTCCGGTGCTAAGGTCAGCGGAGAGTGGCCCCATATGGTCACTGATAGCTTCTGCATCCGTGCATGCTATCCTTGGCCACTCTCCATTCGGAACCTTACAAACCCACGTGCTATATGGATGACACTTGCAGAAATGGATATCGTGATGATCGCGATGAATATTTGCTACAGCGGAGCACTCATCCGCTCTTCCGCCGCCGACTATCTTGGTCAGATCACGCCGGATCGAGATCTGGCCCTCAATATTTGGCGATAGGAAGCATTGCAGCCTGTGCTATACATCCTCCCACTGAGACTGTCTGCCTGCTATCCTGGCCGTAGTGCCTTCTGACAAAACGAACGTGGCTGTTCCGCCTTGGGCACGGTGAGCCAAGGTAGTATTCACGTCCTTGGAATGGTGGTGTGCAAGATATTCAGCAAATCGTTAGGAAAGATGATCATCATTCAATCAAGAACGTCGCGGAGCAGACGTTCATCAAGCACCACCTTTCCCTTCTCAAATTGTCGTGCTCTGCAGCGGAGCGAGGCCAATCCGTGGAAGAACACTGGCAGCGATAGCTTTCGGTCGATGTATCTGCTAGGGTCTGTCAGTTTGACTTGGGTCATTCAAGGAGATCGATGGTGAGGTAAGCGTATATACCATGACTGTCATTCGCCGCAGAAATCGCACAGGATTTTCAACTACACCAGTGTCTCGCTTCCTAGCTCTTGTCAACTGGTCCCACCTCGGAACTCATCTCGATTCACACCGCTCGAATTGACCCACCCACCTGCCTGCAGCTCATTAACTGCCCTGATTGATCAAATGCTTTCGCAGAGCGTTCATATGGCTCCAATTATGGCTTGCGCATGCGATCGCGACCGATACGCGGGCCAGCCGTGCTGTACTGCAAAGGCACAGTTCTACACTTCAGCCTTCTTGCACATCCTGTAAACTCACTGTAGCGCCTCTGAAAATCCTGGGATGTATCCAATTGATCTTTGGACGTCGAGCACAGACCACGCCAAGCACATCAGCCAGCGAGGCCTCCTCGTCGGTAGTCTCGACAAGGCTTGTGAGGTCCTCGGCTTCAGCCTCCGGGAACGCGGGATGCTGCTTTATTACTGTAGGACTCAGGGCGGTCTAGAAGCGACTGCAGATTTGGCAGCGATGTGCCCAGAATCTGCCGGCTTGAGGTTCCGTGATGGACACGACGCCGGATATTCGGAGGACGATGATGCCCAAAGTAGCGCTCTCTCGCATTCTTCCCAGGGCTCTGGAAAGCCTCTGATCCGGAAGCCCTTGAAGTCGCGGTCGACTTTATCCTTTCATCCAAAGACAATAGAGGCCAGCTCTGAGAGCCCCGACCAGGCTGTGCAAGCTGCTGCCTACAAGAAAGCCGTCAATGCTGGGTACACAAGACTTTTCCGACGCAATTTTGCTTTCCTGAGATCGAGTAAGATGGGCGGCCGACACAAGAATCGATCTTCGAGAGGTAGTGAGGGAAATCAAAAGGGTGGAGTTTCCACCTGTCCACTCGTTCCGACCAGACATCCGTGGACTGTAAACGATCTTTCTGAATGGGGCCAACCAGTACCTGGTGGTGTTTACCCATCCTGGGCCGACTACAATTGAACTGCTCCAACCATGGTGATTCGTCACAGCAGGACGGACTCTGGAGGCCTGCTCTGGATGTGCTAAATTTGGTATCAGCCCATTCTCTCATGGAAGGATGTCAAGCGGAATGACCAAGCTATGCAGCCCCTAGCTCTGCATGTGATCACAAAGCTGCCAGCCATCTATAGGGCTAGGCCGCCTGCTCACCTGGAAACATTTATGGGATCACGTATCACAGCACCCAATTGCTCAAGCTCTTCCAGCTGTAGGTTGCTGCGGAGCTCGATGTACCTGTCGCAATCGGCAGACACATCCTGCCATTACCATGTCGCTCTACGGAAATTGCGACTGCTTCATCAGTCTTGGCCAAGGGTGACATCATCATAGACACTTCGAGTGTATGTTGATGTCTCCGGGGTCTCGGATTCGCCTGCAAAATGGCAGCCCTGGGCCAGTCGGTGGCTCTGGACACCACGCCATGCTTGTCTCCTTGGTGCGCTGTTGACAAACATTCGATTTCCACGGATGCACTCAGCCCGCAGCGGACAAGCATCATAATAACGACTACGTCTGCGGCTTCTGCATGGGTTCCACGATCGCGGTCTACCAACGGCGGTGTCGCGGGTCATAGCAAAGTCGTAATGTACCGAACTGGAGAGCATGCGTCGTGGGAGGCGGCGCAATCGAGGCATCATTGCGGACCAGAGCGGAAGCAGGCCATCCATCTCGCCGAGCTTCCCCACAGCCGTGCCTGCCACTAGCGATCTGGAGCAGGGGTCAGAGTTGGCGCCGTCCTCGGCAGCTGCCCTTCAAGGTCTGTTCGTGCGTCAACGTTACGATGTGAAAATATGGGGATGGACAAGCGTCATATTCCCGCAATACATCCATGAATACCGTTGCGTGAGCTGACAACAATGAGGAGGGCCTCGAATATTGGACGATAACGCCCTGTACACTATCCGGTATCTGCACCTCGCGTCCCTGGATACGCGAATATCATATCGAGCCAACCGTGTGGTTGGCAAGGATATTCTGCCAAATGCAAAGGTTCAGCCCAGGATGCATGGAGCTGCATTGGCGAGGCAGTACATATAGCATCGCCATTCAGCTGTAGCCATTTCGGGTCCAGCAACCCTTGAAGCCATACAAGCGGGGGCTGACGGCGTTGCTTCGATTTCGATCTTGCGCAGCGACTTATATTGTGGATATCGCCTGAATAGGGTCGAAGAGTTGCGTGAGCAGTCGAGTAATATTGTAGCTGGTCAACTGGAGGCGTTCATTTGAGTAGCATCGATGTAGAAGATGAAGCTCGCTGCTCCAGAGTTCACTTCCATCATCCATTGGCGCATGCTGTATTGCAAATAACTTCGATATCGTTTGGATACCATTTCACTTTTGAGCCTAAGTACGATGCCGTAGAGACAGGACGTAAGTCTGTTCCGTTCCCCTCTTGCCGGGCCCGCCGCTATGCAGCCCGAGCTTTAGACTAAGGCATGATGATCCAGAGCTACGCCCGGCAGCTACTTAACTCTTCGCCCTCTCGATAAGTGCATCTGTTTGAACTTCACACTCTCCACTCATACAAAATGGTATTCGCTCGCTCCGCACTTCGTCTGGCTCGCCCAGCAAGCTCTCTGCTTTCGCAAAGAGTGGCGCCCGCCTCGGCACTGCGAGGAGCTTCATTGGCGAAGATTGGCGGTGTTCGCACGCTGACTGCGAGCTCTAACCGACAGGGCAAGGTTCTGATGGTCTTGTACGATGTATGTGGAGCTTCAATGGCAGACTGGTGTGGGAGAGACAACTAACAAGGGCTCACAGGGCTTTGAGCACGCCAAAGATGAGCCCAAGCTTTTGGGCACAACCGAGAACGAGCTTGGTCTGCGCAAGTGGATTGAGGACCAGGGCCACACTCTTGTGACCACCTCCGACAAGGAGGGTGCGAACAGCAAGTTCGACCAGGAGTTGGTCGACGCTGAGGTCATCATCACCACTCCGTAAGTTGTTCAACAAGCTCGCAGCTGATGACACCTGTGGCAAAGAACTGACGATAGTCGTAGCTTCCACCCTGGTTACCTGACTGCGGAGCGCCTCGCCAAGGCGAAGAACCTCAAGATCGCCGTCACTGCTGGTATCGGTTCCGACCACGTCGACCTCAATGCCGCAAACAAGACCAATGGCGGTATCACGGTTGCTGAGGTCACAGGCTCCAACGTTGTCTCCGTCGCTGAGCACGTCGTCATGACTATCCTCGTCTTGGTCCGCAACTTCGTTCCCGCCCACGAGCAGATCGCCGCTGGTGACTGGAACGTTGCCGCCGTCGCCAAGAACGAGTACGACCTCGAGGACAAGGTCGTTGGTACCGTGGCTGTTGGCCGTATTGGCGAGCGTGTACTCCGCAGACTGAAGGCATTCGACTGCAAGGAGCTCCTTTACTACGACTATCAGCCATTGTCTCCCGAGAAGGAGGCAGAAATTGGCTGCAAGCGTGTCGAGAACCTCGAGGAGATGTTGGCAAGGTGTGACGTCGTTACCATCAACGCTCCCCTCCACGAGAAGACCAAGGGCATGTTCAACAAGGAGTTGATCAGCAAGATGAAGAAGGGTGAGCCGAAGTATGCCAGAACAATTATGCCAAAGACTAATCTCTCGCAGGCTCATGGCTCGTCAACACCGCTCGTGGCGCCATCGTCGTCAAGGAGGATGTCGCTGAGGCCCTGAAAAGTGGCCAGCTCCGCGGCTATGGTGGTGATGTCTGGTTCCCACAGCCAGCACCAGCGGACCATCCACTCCGCACCGCATCCTACAGCACATGGGGCGGCGGAAACGCCATGGTTCCTCACATGTCTGGTACCTCGATTGATGCCCAGATCCGCTACGCTGCTGGCGTGAAGAACATCCTCGATTCGTACTGGAGCGGCCGTGAGGACTACAAGCCCGAGGACTTGATCGTCCACCAGGGTGACTATGCCACCAAGGCTTACGGCCAGAGGGAGGGCAAGAAGCATGCCAACGCTTAGATGTGGGGTGGCTGTGTAATCATAAGAGCTTGTACGTAGGAGAGGGTTGAATGATACCATGCTTGCACTCGAAACTCTTCTCTCTATCTGCCTCTCGCATCGTGATGCTCGAACAAATGTCATCTCGATGCAGGTGCATCCGTGTAGACTGTCTTGAAAGGGCTTCCAAGTGCTGCAAATTGCCGCTGCAGGTGGGTTTCTCGTTTGTCAGGTACACCTGCCTCTATCGTGATCGTGCGTTTGCTTTACTCTAATTGATGTCCATCTACGCGCACAGACAACCATGGTAAGTTGTGGACATTTGGGCATTATTCATTGCGGTCAATAACAGCACGTGACCATCTGCAAGCTTGCGCCACCACTTTCGAAGCTTCGTCTTAACTGCTGTACACCACCGCTCATGTTGTTCGACGAGCGCTTTATCGGCGCCAACGCAACGAAAGAGTCGCGGGACGCCTGGGGTAGGTCATGTTCTATTCGCTGCTTCCATTGACATTCACTAATGATGGGATGTTATAGCCGAGGAGACATTTCCACAGATCAAATTGCTGTGGATGTGGATGATCCTCCTACATTTTGCCCGACTCCTACCATTGGATCCTGTCATCATTCACTGGCTCTCTGTACTGCTTCGCAAAGTGTCCGATACGGCTACGCCGGTGGTTAGTGTGCCGGACTACTTTGTGCCCTGAGTCTTTCCTGCAGCCACCACTCTGGACATCGGTGTGAGATAGACAGACATCTAGAGCTCGGACCATCACTTCACAGCCACGTCGTCAACGTGCATTCCGAATATCGAACCACAGAGTTCACCGCGTGGTGGTAAGATTCTGCGGTAGCCATGTCATCCTACCTCAGCAACTTGTTGACGCAGACGACATCGCGGTACAATTCGCTACGGCGGACTTTGTTGTCGAATGAGGAGGACGGTGATACCGAGGATGATTCGCATATCTCGAGAGTGCTTCGAGCATACTACACCGAGAAGGGAAGACCATTTCCACCATGGCTACCACCGGATCCAAACGATAGACGTGCCATCACACCACAGCCAGTGTACGCCCAGCAGCCTAGCTATATGACCAGTGCAGGCAGCAGAAGCCAGCTATCGAATGTACAGAACACCGCGGGCTCAAGAGGAAGCCTGAGCGACCTGTGGGACGCACCCACACAACCTGCGGCGCCTATGCAGCCTACGAGTCTACGAGCAGGTCGCAGACCAATGCAGCCCGCGACCAATCCTGCAAGCACACTTGCACCACCCGCACAAGCACGTCCACTCCCTTCTCAACGAGCGGGGTCATATCAGAGTGTGCAGTCGCAGCGGGGAGGCGCGGTGGAGCAGAGTCCGCCTGGAAGTAGTGGCGGTGGTGGGACGGCACAGGAGAGGTTGAAAGCAAGGCTATGGGGTGGGAACAGAGCTGCGAGCCCTGGCTTGAGCTCGGGTGGTGTGGGATCGTCGAATCCATATGATCAACCTGTTGGAAATCCACCATATAATTCCGGTGGAGGCAATCCGTATGATACGGGAGGTGGAGAGAGTAGTAGGAGATATGGGAGGTGAAAAGTAATGATCGTGACCTGGGAAATAAACCCTCCACAGACAACCAACATCGAACCGAGATGACTGTTGCAAGTTGTGCTATCGTAGAGAGGTATCGCCCATGCATGTGAGTCGCCCCTTCCACATCATATCATCGCTTCGGACGAGCCTCCCGCAAGCATTGCAGCAAAGCAAGCATCGACTCTTCGTCTTGTCCTTGATCTTTCCTTGACCTCCGCTTGAAACGCGCATGCCACGTGTGAATGACATGCAGTTGCCGTACCGAGAGTCCATGACGGCGCTTCCTTCCTCCTTGGGACAAACTGTGACTTCACGCCGCTAGCAAGCTTTAATTACCGCTTTCTCAAACTTCATGTCAAAAACATTAGGATCTTCTGAAAAACGCGCCACCTCACGCGATTTTCTTGCAGCTATTGGGCATCTTATCGCACGTACCGACCTCTGATCTTGTCGACTCCGCCGCATCGCGTTATGTGAAGCATACTGCGGTCCTTACTGAGCACCGAATCACCATGGAGTCTACTGGCTCTCCCACCAAGAAGAGGGTAGCAACATCCTTCTATATCTACGAAGATGTCACCGCAGAGGCACACAAGGTACGCTATCAGATGCCCTTCGAACTTCCGTTCACTAACAATGCGACATCAGCCTGCTCTGAAGCACACCCCCAGCGCGCTGCCTATGCCACTCACCACTTCCAGATTTGTGAACCAAATGCCGAAATTTTCTTCCGAGGTATGGTTCCTCTCTCCTTGCACAACAAATACATGTAAGCTGACGCCATATACAAGACCAAGCTCGAACGCACCCCTATGGACGATTTGCTTGCCAAGCTGAGTGAGCAGCAAGCCAACTTCAACCGTCAACAGTCCGCTGCCGCCGAGCTTTTCGAGACGGGCTCATCGTCCTCTACGGACCCGTACGCTAATACTCCACCCACCACTGAGGGCGATGGCCGTCCAGATGCTGCCGAGTTGCTCCGTCTCAAGAAGGAACTTCAGTTCGCTCAAGAGCGGATGGCCCAGATGGATCTGCAGCTTTCTGGTCACTGCCAAGATCGCATCCCACAGCAAGACGTGTTCACTCAATCGCAAATTGCCCGCCACACTGTTGAACAAGCTATCGGCTCGCCCTTCCCCACTGCCCAGCATCTCGCCATGAGCATGGGTCCCAGCTTCACACCTGGTCCATGGGTTCAAGCGTTTGGCAACGCTGGGCACGGTGGTGATGGTGCAATCTTCGAGCCCGCACCCATGATGCCAAGGCCACGCTCGGGCTTTCAGTCTCAGCCAGGCTACTCGAGATCAAACACGCCCTTCGGCTATGCTCAAAGCCCGATGGGTGGCAACGGCATGGTCCACAACATGTCGTACCGTCACCCTCCACGCCCACGATCTAGGTTGTCGCCTCAAGCGCAGGAGTTTGGCTTCAATCAGTGGAACGGTCCAGGCATGCATCAACAACAACAGCCACCCACGACTTATATGAGCACTACTGAGCCTCTCAACTACCGTCGTCTGCTCGATCGCAACATGAGCTGCAACTGGCGCTACATCGTTGACAAGATTGTGTGCAACAACGACCAGCAAGCATCCATCTTCCTCCAGCAGAAGCTCAAGGTGGGCACGATCGATCAGAAATTCGAGATCGTCCAAGCTATCATCGACCAGGCGTATGCTCTCATGGTCAATCGCTTTGGCAACTTCCTCGTTCAACGCTGCTTCGAGCACGGCACTCCCGAGCAGATCGTCTCTATTGCTCAAGCCATCCGCGGTCACACCCTCAATCTGAGTATGGACGCTTTCGGCTGCCATGTCGTCCAGAAGGCATTCGACAGTGTCCCCGAGGAGTACAAGGCGATCATGGTGCACGAGTTGCTTCGCCGCATCCCAGAGACCGTCATCCATCGCTACGCATGCCACGTCTGGCAGAAGCTTTTCGAGCTTCGCTGGAGCGACTCGCCACCTCAGATCATGAAGCACGTCAACGAAGCTCTACGTGGAATGTGGCACGAGGTGGCGTTGGGCGAGACCGGCAGTCTTGTCGTCCAGAACATCTTCGAGAATTGTCTCGAGGAGGACAAGCGTCCGTGCGTCAATGAGGTCCTGTCCAGCATTGATGTTGTCGCTCACGGCCAATTCGGCAACTGGTGCATCCAGCACATCTGCGAGCACGGCTCCATTCCAGATCGTACCCGTGCCATCGATCACATCCTGCGCTTTGCCACGGAGTACAGCATGGATCAGTTTGCCTCCAAGGTCGTCGAGAAGTGTCTCAAGGTCGGTGGTAACGACTTCCTCGACCGCTATCTCGAGCGTGTTTGTGAGGCCAACCCTGACCGCCCTCGCATGCCTCTGGTTAATATCGCTGGCGATCAATTCGGCAACTACCTCATCCAGTACATTCTCACCCAGGGAGATCCCGAGCGTCGCGAGATTGTCGGTGCTCACATTCGCAAGCACATGGTCTCACTCCGCGGCTCCAAGTACGGCTCACGTGTCGCCATGCTCTGCTGCAATCCAGCATATGCGACTCGTCCCGGGCCACCCACCAGCCTACCACCAAGTCGCAGCAACAGCCGCTACAGCGACTACTTTGGTCCTCCCGAGCTCACCCGTACGTACAGCAACGAGCGCCAATTCGGTCCCGTTGGCCGCAACAACTACGCTGGCTACCGCTAGTCTTCGCATTAATACGATCGTGTTGCGGACAGGACTCACCGCAACCACGAATGATCTCCCGGAGTTTCGACGCTACCTCTTCGACCACATAAGTCGACCAATAAGCGAAATCATACCCATCTAATAATGCACTCGCCGCACATGATTGTCTGTCTGCACGCTTTCTACACCGAAGCTACGCTTGGGATGTACACACCGCTGTTGGATGGAACGGACATCGATCTTCTCGTGCAGCAAGATTGCTGGCGATACTTGCCATACCTTGCATCACTTATAAATATGCTGGCGATCTCTTCGTACTGTTTTGTGGCAATGTTTAATCTGTGGAGCGGGTTTCTGTTGGGGTCAGTTGAGCAGGAAAGGTATGAGACGCTACAGTGGTAGTGTATAATTTGCAGTGGACTAGGTAGTAATTGTACGCAGTGCTTGCCTTATTCAATGCTTTGTATTGCTGGTGATGAGTGAAGAGCGCCGTGACCAGGCCACATGCCCTCACGTGGCTAGAACTAAAGACCCGCGTCTTGGCCTGGCGAAGCCGGATGCGGCAAGCGCAACGTCACTCACAACTCGCTAATGCGTTCTAGCCAATACAAATGATCGCCTCGTCCCATAACGTTTCTTGCCGTGCTTGTGTGGCTGCAACCAGGGTGTGTGTACCGCCGCAAGTACCTGTTGACGTCGTAGCTCTTCGCCAAGATGGCTTCTTTGAAACCCAACAACGACAATAGCTCCGAGCAGCAGCGGCATCGAAGTGACAGTCGCCCGACTAGCGGTATTCGACATCCTACCGCTCCGTCCGTCATGACCATGAACGGACACTTTGCTGGCGTAGGCGAGAATGGCACGTCGGCAGAGGACTTTGAGCATGGCGTGCAGATTATTGATTCCGAGAAGATCTTCAATGAGAACCTGGGAGCCTATTTGCAGCAGGAGAGAATCATTCGGAGTGGCTTCAATTATCATCTGATCAGTGTGTTTGGGTCGCAGAGTACGGGGAAGAGTACTTTGTTGAATTATCTTTTTGGTACGAGGTTTGGGGTCATGAGTGAGCAGGAAAGGCGGCAAACTACGAAGGGCATATGGATGAGCAGGAATAAGAATGAGGGTGGGGAGAAGGGGAAGGGTATGGCGGAGAATATCTTGGTTATGGATGTCGAGGGTACGGATGGGAGGGAGAGAGGCGAGGACCAAGACTTCGAGAGGAAGAGTGCGCTCTTCGCTCTGGCGACTAGCGAGGTCTTGATTGTGAATATATGGGAGCATCAGGTTGGGTTGTATCAAGGTGCGAACATGGGATTGTTGAAGACGGTGTTCGAGGTCAATCTGCAGTTGTTCTTGAAGGATGCGAAGAGTGTACCGAGGAGTCTATTGTTCTTTGTGATCAGAGATCATCTTGGGACCACACCGCTCAACAACCTGAAGCAGACACTTATTCAGGACTTGCAGAAAATATGGAGTGGGTTGAGCAAGCCCACAGGCATGGACAAGGCTAAGATCGAGGATTACTTCGACTTCGCGTTTGTGGCACTGCCGCATAAAATCTTGCAACCCGAGAAGTTTGAGCAAGAAGTTCACAGGCTAGGAACGAGGTTCAGGGAAGGCTATAATGATCCAAAGAGGAAGGGCCTGGTGGACGAGCAATCCGAGCCTATCCTGTTGCCCGAGTATCACAGACGGATACCTGCAGACGGCTTCCCCATGTACGCGAGAGGTATCTGGGAGCAGATTGACAGCAACAAGGACCTCGATCTACCCACACAGCAAGAACTACTGGCACAATTCCGATGCGATGAGATCTCGAAAGAAGTCCTGGTACCATTCGACGAGGTGATTGCGCCACTCGAGGAGCAGCAGAGCCAAGCTGTGGCGGCTGGTACGTCTAGCACAATAGCTCAGCTTGGCAAGGTCATGGCTACTGCTCGATCGGCCCTACTTGCGGCTTTTGAGGAAGAAGCAAGCAGATATCACAAAGGCGTCTTCAAGCGAAAGCAGGCCGAGCTGGAGACCAAGGTTGATGGTCGTCTGAAGGCTCTGTTTCAAGGTCAGATGACTGCTGCACACAAGAGTGGCTTGAATGACTTCAGCGAGGCTGTGACGCAGGCCGTCAAGACGGGACAGAAGAAGGGTGGCAACTATGACTTTCACAAGATCGTGCAGACGGAGAAGGATAAGGCGCTCAAGCGATTCGAGGCAGAGGCGCAAGGAAGTCTGGTGTCCGGTACGCCGTGGAGTGACTATAAGTCGCAGATGAATCTCTTCCGCAAGGAGTTGGATGAGGTGTCTGGCCGCTTACGGAAGGAGGAGATGCGACGGCTTGCAAATAGGAGTGAGAGGTGGGTCCGTGCTAAGCTTGATGAAAGCGTTGGTCTTGAGTTCAATAAGCTCGGTTCTGGTCGTGGTGGCTCAGGGGCGCCAGCTGAAGGTCAGAAGCCTGCTACTGAGCGAGACCTATGGGATCGTATCTGGAGCGTCTTCACGGACACGGTTTCACATGCCGAATCGCGCTTCACGGACCGCGCACGTAGCTTCGATGCCAGCCCAGACGAGGTTGAGGTCGGGCTCTGGCGCCTACGACGGAAGTCTTGGGCTGCTCTGCGTTCGAAAATCGACGAAGAAATGATGGAAGGCAATCTCCTACTCAAGCTCCGCGAGAACTTCGAAGATAAATTCCGCTATGATGATGAAGGAGTCCCCAGGATCTGGCGACCTACAGACGATATCGAGGGCCTTTATACTCGTGCGCGTGAAAGCACACTAGAGCTCATACCGCTCTTGTCTCATTTCAAGCTAGCGAGGACTAGTAGTCCGCCACCCCTTGATGCCTGGATTGGAGAAGCACCACCTAATGTCACCGCCGCAGACGAAGAGGATCTTTCACCCATCGGCGGAGTCGATGACGATGAAGGCAAGACGCTGGCAGAAGAGATGACGCTGCTATCCGATGCCAAGACCTCCGATCTGAGCACGCGCTTCCGCAAGACAGCAGACGGCGTCTATGTCGAAGCCAAACGTAGCGCGATTGGTGGCGTCACACAGATCCCGCTATATTTCTACGGCTTGCTTCTCGCTTTGGGCTGGAATGAAATTGTAGCTGTGCTGCAGAACCCGGTCTACTTCATCTTCCTCATCTTGTTGGCGGCTGGTGCGTACGTGACGTACACGCTGAATTTATGGGGCCCGATGTTAAGGATGAGCAATGCCGCTAGTTCGCAGGGCGTGGAGATCTTGAGGGAGAAGCTGAGGGATTTCTTGGAAAGTAGTGAGACGGGTAGACAGGCTATTGGGATGAGTCAGAAGGGCGGGAGCTCTATCAGGTACGTTGACCACGCTCCGTGTTTACGGGGATATGTTGCTGACTCTTTATTGTAGCTTGGACACCTTGAACAGTAACGGCACGACAAAAGCTAAGGCTAACGCGAAAGAAGATGAAGTCGAGGAGATATGACTGAACGGCAACGGTCATGTGTGCATAGCATAGCGTCACGATACCAGGCAGGCACAGTTTGTTGGCATTTTTGTCTATACAGAAACGTACTATCACTACAAAACATGCTATCGAGACCCTAGGCGTAACGTTATGAACCACTTCCTCGGATCTCAGGTGAAGTAGGAATTCCTCGAAACATTCCACCACCCATCAAAATACCCGAGTGCCAGCACACCTTCAAGCCCCTGAAACAACATCTTGTGGTTCACGATCACGAAATCAGGTACACCGCTCCCTGTCACGAGAGGAGCCAGCCGTGCCGCTATCTCAAGACCTTTCTCTTCTGCGCCCCAGATTACTAGTTCGAGTCGTTCGTCGGGTAAAGGTCGCAACCAGATAGCACCAAGATCTGGAGTCATAGGGTAGGCTTGCAAGCCGTTAGTGATATCGCGGATTTGAATCCGGTTGTTTTCAACGGAGATGGGAAGGTCGAGGCTGGACTCGTCCTTTGGTAGTTCTTGGCCAAGTGCTATGGTTATGATGTTCGCTGTCGTCGAAGTAGTAGCGTGGCTGTGATCTGAGCTTATGATGGTGTCGGCGCCGAAGTACTGGCACAGGTTGCGAGAAACTTGTAGGGCTATCTTTCGGGCTGTAGGAGAGGCATGCACGATCTGGAAAGCGCCGCGGGTGCGGAGCAGGGAGTCTATGGTTCCTTGCTGGCGGCCTTGACGAGGTGGGAGAGGAAAGCCGTCAGCCGTGGTTTGTGTCCATGTGCCGTTCTCGTATGCTAGTGTCAGCTCTGCGCTTTCGTCGCTTTGCGTGACAATTTCTAGTGGCACTTCCTGGCTGTTGACGTAGAGACTGCATTCCGCGAATTGAGCTGGCAGATGAAAGACAGCCACATTCGATACCTCAAACACGCACGCCTGCGTGAGTGGATCGTGCGTGATGTGGACCTTACCCAATCGACCGGGCGCCTTGAGTTGCAGAATCTTGACGCCATTCTTGCTTCCCATGTCACCATTTCCAGCGGATACCACCGCGAAGTCTCGCCGATTAATGGGTATGCTTTCTCCCTCAATCTCTGGTCCACCAGTATTTAGATTGGAGCGCAAGAAATGCTTCAGAGGTTCGGTGACAAAGACGCCTGACCACCAGTGCGGTCTGCCTGGCATTTCGTGATAATCGCTTGCCACGCCTGCTGCGCTCTCCAGAAGCCAGTTGAGCAGTCGTGAGTGGTATACTGGTACGTTATCATCCTCACTACCATGCTGCTGAAGGATAGGAATATCCTTAGCATTCTCGAGCAACAGCTCGTGCTGATAGCTCAGCAGTGCGCCTTGAATCACTGCCACTTTACCAGGGTCGCTGGGTCGCCACATGGTGTACGGAACATAGTTCTGAATAGATGAGTAACCCGATAGTGGTGCAGCAGCAACAACATTGTCGGGTCGATGAGTCACGATGTACCATGCCCCTTGCCCTCCGTTCGAGTGACCAGTCACAAGCCAGCGGTCTGTGTCGACTCCCACGCCTTCCCACTCATTGTTCTCTATCCAGGTCGGTATCGCGGCTATAGCAGCTTCGACGTCCGCTAGTCCCCATGTGTGCCAGTCATCGCTACTCCAGGTCGTGACTCCTGTCGGAAAAAGTACCCATGCACAAAGGTCCGGAAGGTCATCGAGCGCTTTGCGAACTTTCTCATCGTCAGCTTCCAATCCTGCGCCGTGAAGTACTAGCATGACTGGTGCTTTCTTCATGCCCGGCGTACAATGTGCGTTTGCTGACGGAGGTCGAAGCACGGCATACGAGACCATGCCACCAGGGTGCATGAAGGTAATCTTTTGAGCTTCGTGTCTCTCACGAGTGAGTGGCCAGGTAGACAAATAGACTGTTCGAGTGATGTGGCTATCCGGCGTAGTATACTTGACCAGTATCGTGGTTGCACCACGTCCAGTGATAGGAGATATACAGGCTACACGGAAGGCCAAAGGTCTGGTCTGGCCGGGTATAACCACGATTGAATCCTTGCTGACCAGCTCGGTCTCGCACTGGTTATGCGTAGCTTCAAGTGAAACAATCGTAGCATCTTCGTGGCCATCGTTACGGAGTTTCACGGATGCGTATGAGCTCGTGAATTGGCCGTAATCGCCACCGACGATGTCAGGCATCAGCACGCCTTGGTGAGGATTCGAGGTGTCCGCCTTCACAGCATTGAGCAGAGGCCCAAGTGCCTGCACTCTTAGCATAACGCCGAGCGAGGGCCGCCCAACAGTGCCCTCACTACGGACGTCTCTAATCAGCCTGACATCTATTCGATGGCTACCAGGCTCCAGGTGCAAGGTCGTAGCTACTTTACCATAGCCATAGAAGTCACCGCCATAGTAGTGCTGGTCGTCCACCCATACCTCGATGACGTGTTCAGTCTGTAAAGCGAGAGTTATAGCACCTTGAAGGCGGACATTGAGTGTGCCTCTAGCCCATGCTTGCCACTGGAGAGCCGGCCAGCCGTAGACATCCTGTAGTGAATCCCACTCTACATCCGGAAAGTCGACATCGAGCTCTGCCGTGGCCTGCTGGGTTGGTGGCGGGTATGGGAACTCGATGCTGGTCCGACTCCAGGTTGTGGTGGCATTGAAAGCAAGACTAGACTTGAAAGTAGCTTCTGGGTCGTATTCAAGTGCTCGAAAGCCGCCAAAGAGCTCCAGTGGGTCTGCACCCCATACTGCTTCTACCAAAGCATGTGGTGTTAATATTAAATAGCGCTGAGGTGCGAACGGATCATTAGCCTACCTCGCGTGCCTATCTGAAATGGTCCGAGTATGTACCAACTAGATTGTGAGGGAGGACGTATTAGCTAGATCTTCAGGGAAAAGGCTAGATACCTCATTGTGACTGTGGACGCATAGGTGCCTATATCTCGTGTAAAGCGAGATTTGACGCTGCCTGATTGTATCGCAAAACTAGAGTCGAATAGGGCGAGAGGAGTATCGACTTACTGTCGACATATCAGCACATTCAGCTTCAAGGCATGTCCTCCATAGCGTCCAATACCTCTTTTGAGAACTGAAAATTAGGAGCAATAGCTACATTGTTGTCGTCTTCGCGAGTGTCCTCCAACACAACTTGCTGCAAAGCATGGACCACGTTCATGCAGAGAAGTAGACATAGATGCAACGCAAGCATTGCAGCAACAAGGTCTGATTACATGGCGTTCGTAAGAAAGAAGTGTGACCTTGCTGTTCAATGGTGGCCCGGGCGACCCCTGCAGCCTGCAATCCACATCAAGCTTTATGCGGACATTATTATGTAGCCCGTGGTGTCGTAATGCTCAAGTAATAGAACTACCTCATGTACACCTGTACTCTGCCTTACCCTCAATCCTTGGAACCACCCGAACTGTACACAATCCATACTGTCGTGAACAGCAGCTCCGTAATTGGATCGTAGATTTGAAGACGACAATCGTGCCAAGACTCAGTGGATGAATGGCGTGCGCCTGAGCCTATATCTGGACACAGATACGACGGCCGGGTCGCAACTTGTTGCACATGTGTGCGGGCACAATTGTGTTCCTCATTCAAAGACTCCTTGTACAACCTCCTTCTAACAATTGGTTGTGATGGAGCGATAGTACGCCAGCCACCACCAGGTCTAGGTCTAGATTTTCCCTTCATACCAGCGATGGCACCTCACGCAACGGGCCCAGAACGGCGACGCTCCTCATCTGCGAATCCAAACAGAAGCTTCAAATTTCCGGATCTGGCAGCGGACCACTTGATGGATGCATACGTGGAAGAAGCTCTCGAGCCGCCGTCAAGAGACCAGTCTCCGAAGCCATTGAACGGCCTCCCGCATGGATTACATTCTGCCGAGCGATGGCCAGCGCGAAAGTCGGCGAGAGGAATGGCGCAGTGGAGTGCATGGGGAGGGGCAAATGGGTCCGTGATGAATGGAGGGACACAGAAACATGGCAGACAAAAGAGCTTGTCGGAAGCGATCAAGACGGTACGGACACGGAAAGCGAGTATAGTGGAAGATGCGCATGAGATTGCAGAATCACTAAAGGCACCCGTGTCTATGCGACTGGTGCTGCTCTGCTGCATCTGGTATGCTACCTCAATCATGACCAACACATCCTCAAAGGCCATCTTGACCGCACTTCCGAGACCGGTCACCCTCACCTTAATACAATTCCTCCTAGTATCTTTCTGGTGCATCTTCCTCTCCTGGCTGGCTAAACGCAACTCTGCCGTGCGGGAAGCAATGCCCGTACTCAGGAATGGAATTCGGCGGCCGAACAAGGAGATAATAATGGCAACCCTGCCTTTGACTGCCTTTCAGATCGGAGGCCATATCCTCAACTCGGACGCCATGTCGCGCATTCCAGTCTCCTTGGTCCACACCATCAAAGGACTTTCACCCCTCATGACAGTCCTGGCATACCGAGCCTTCTTCAACATTCGCTACTCGGTCCCCACCTACCTCTCCCTCGTCCCTCTAACTCTCGGAGTAATCATGGCTTGCTCCGCCTCCTTCGCCGGCAACTTCGTAGGCCTCACATATGCCTTCGGAAGCGCTATCCTCTTTGTAACGCAGAACATCGTCTCCAAGAAGATCTTCAACGAGGCTGCGAAAGCCGAGCAAGACGGTCTTCCCATGGCTCGCCGCAAGCCCGATAAGCTGAATTTACTATGCTATTCTTCAGCGCTAGCCTTCCTCATTACCTGCCCCATCTGGCTCTGGTCAGAGGGCTTCTCGATCTTCGCCGACTACATCCACGACGGCTCCATCGACCTTCGGCAACGGCCCGGATCCTTGGACCACGGCAGGTTAGCGCTGGAATTCATCTTCAACGGCACTTTCCACTTCGGGCAATCCCTTGTCGCATTCGTGCTGCTCGGAATGGTGTCACCAGTCACGTACAGCGTCGCGAGTCTGATCAAGAGAGTTGCGGTGATCATGTTCGCGATTGTATGGTTCGGGAACCCGATGACTGGGGTGCAGGGGTTTGGGTTCGCCATGACATTCTTGGGCCTATATCTTTATGATCGGACTTCGGATGCTGCGAGGACGGACAAGAAGGCTAGAGCGAAGATTGAGAGTGCGCAGCCATTGTTGCCGATTAATGTGAAGAATCTGAGGAGGGACGAGAAGGATGATGTGGCGGTTCACTCGGCTTCGCCTATGGATTCGTCGCATGCGCCGCCGTTCCACCACTTTTCGAATGGTAATGGTGGGTACCCCAATGGCGGTCCCGTAGGCGGCAATGCGCAACAGGGCCGACCACGAGGAAGCAGTAATGTCACGCCGCCGAGTATGAACGGCTTACCAGGTCGTCTACCTCCCGGGACGAAAGCTGAAGAGACCTGGAGTTCTATAGATGTTGGCCGGCACGACGTTGCTGCTGTAAGATGTTAAATATCCTGTACGTTGCGTGTTGCAATGTCTTACTGTGCTTGACCTTGAAGCTGAAATTGTTACTGCAGCCAAATGATGTGATCGCGAGTCAAAGATTGGCGGTTGGTGGGTTCAAGAAGCTTCGCTTTGATCACATGCTCATTTCGCATTTCATTACCGCTATCATATTTAGTATTACATATCTCCTTCTCGAACGCTTCATCCCATGCAATACATATAGTGCATGGTAAAGACTAACACACATTGCTGCCAGTCCGTTCTTCCGTTGATCATAAAAAGCAACGCTATAACCCTCCCAGATATGGTTCGACCGTCATGATTTCGTCCGTCAAAGGTACAAGTACAAATGCCTAAGATGCAAATAATGAAAGTTCTCTCATGGCAAGCCTGATAGCTGCTGTTAGTCGTGAGCGTCCGAGTTGCTCGTTCTGATGGTCGTCTGTTACGCTGCCGCGTTCCTCTGGTCGTATGCTGTTGTTGGCGAGGTCGTTATGGAGCGTTGCCCCCTGCGCTGCCGCTGTATCTCCATATACTTTTGCTATCATCATGTACTACCAGAAGGTCCCGCCGCACCCTCACCAGCACCAGCTCCAGACTCGATTGATCCGCTTGGACCTGGATACGTGATTGGTGTCTGCTGATCCTCTCTGTGTCGCATCACAGCTGCTCTTGCTGGTGTATCCTGAAGATCTGCCGTCGCTCTTGCATACGGCGATTCGTACTGCTGTTCCGCACTCCCCATGCCACCGCGTCCTTCAGGATCTGATCGCGTCGACCTCCCTCGTCTCCGTTTCCCGGAAGATGAGCTCGAGCTGCTTGCCGTATGTGGCGCAGGGGTCAACATTGCGGAGATAGGCATACGTGTGGTTGGTGCTTGGATCGGTCTTGTCATCTCACTTGGCAGGATCGCAGAGGTAGTCGGTGTTGCGAGCCTGCCAGGCATCGTGGAAGCTGTGGCAATCTGTAGTGGCGCTGGTCCAGGTGGCTCACTGCCTCCAGCAGCCTGGGCTTTAGCCGCTTTCTCCTCAGCTTCCTTCTTGGTCGGTCGTCCTCGCTTGCGTTTGGTAGACGGTTCACTGGATGGTAGCTGAGTCATACCAAATGCGCCTGGGTTGACGGGCTTCGGCCTGATCTCACGGCCAGGAAACGCTGGTTCGAGCGTAAAAGGTCGCTTCATACCTGGTGGTGGAGCAGATAGGGGTGTCTGTGGACCGTAAGGATTGGGCATGAATGGTGGATGCTGGGGCAATGAACGCTGCAACTCTCCGAAGGCGGCCCGACATGAGTTCAGTGAGCGACCTGGATAGTGGTTAGTATGCGGGCCAACATCTTCCGTAATCTGACAAACCTTGCGGTAAGGGTAGGTCCTCCCATCTTAGTAGCTGAAGACTGTTGGAGACCAGGTTATACAGCACAGCAGGTGGCGGTGACTGCTGCTTGACCATTTCCGCAAGCAAGAAATTCTGGTTGGTGTCGCGTCAGCACCTGTCGTACTGCAGATGTCTCGGTATATATGAGACACACAAACCTTTTCATCATTAGTCCAAGGACGTGGGTCAGGACGAGGATCCGCCATGAAGATAGTGTCGTGAAGGTAACAAGAAGAAATTGCAAAGTCATTCGTGAGGGTCGAAGACGTCTTGGATCGTCGTACAGAAGGGCGCTCTCAAGTTATTATCGTCCCAATGGGCGCGTAAAGTCTCGTGATAGTCGTGATCGCTTTCCGTCTTGTCTCTCTCGCACGCATGTAAACACAAGGGAATAGAATAGTACAACATGCAGTCGTGTCGTGGAAGAAAGATCCCGCGCGTGGTGAAGGCAACGCAACGCAATGCGAAGCAGCGAGAAAAACAACAGCCGCTCGACCAGAAAACGAGTGTGTGAAGAAGCGCCGCTGTGTTATGAGTCGGGTGGTATGAACGATCACAAGAAGAAGAGATGCATGACCCAGAATGACCGGCCTCCACTCCTGTCGAGCGAAGTGCGAAAAGAGCGATGGTCGTGAAAGCAAGAGGTGGTGGGTTTGAAACGGAAAAGGTGCAGATGTTGATGCAGGCCTCATGCACGTCTTATGCATACTACTCTCTCCTGCAGTGTTAGCTGAAGGCATGAAAGCATGCCAGTTAAATTGCGTCTGATGGTCGACTCCCGACTGCTGATCATATGTCTGTCGGCGCGCATAGTTACGAGTCTGTACTTGTCGTCGTACTCCGGAGCGCCTTTCGCAGCTGCTGGGTCAGTCATCACGATGTACAGTCGTTCGTGAGTAGTATGGACAGCTAGACTTTTTCGTGTTTCCGTCATAGCGCGAGGGCCCTCGGACTAGCACCCGGCCCGTCCGCTTCTCGAAGGAAAAGAGCCGTTTCAGACCGCCAAGAGCGGCTTTGCAGAGTCGCATTGTAGCAGTTGAAACACTGAGGGTTTGGCTTCTTATGTGATATCTTGCCGCCGCTACTGACTCTCGTGGAAACAAGCCCACATTGGGCGCGTGCAGCACTTTACTGCTTGACGCCGCGATGGCTGGATAGTCAACGACCCTGATCATGCGCTCCGCCGACTGGAGGGGCAAAACTCCACTGTCGGTGGACACGACCATATGATCGAACGACAGTGGGCTCCCCTTCTTATCACGCTACAGGCTCGACTCAAGACTCTCAGCATAGGGTTCGTACGAGAATGGCCGGACGAACTTGATGCTGTGGATGTCGACCACTTTCGTTGACCCCAGTCCTACGCAGTAAGCAGGTGATTGTGGTGAGGATCTTGCGCATCCCGAAAGATGAACATGTATCAACATTGACTTCACGACCTGCCAACGCTAATCAGATATACCATGACGCTTCGCGCCCGTGTCACGATGGAGAACAGCTACATTTCGACACAGTGGTTCAGAGATGAAGCCCACCGCCTCACCTCATCTTGGCATTTGCAGTTGCGGAGCACTTAGTCGCCAGCCACGGCGATGGACTTGCCTTCCCTTGCATCTTAGCTGTACAGCAGCGAGGGCACTCATATCGTACGACGAGGTGGGCAGAGGCGTGAGACGTGGTTGCGATGATATCCATCCGCGACTGTGTGAGTATGACGGGGCGGGTATTGCCGCACTTGGGGAGGCAGTCGAAGTCGCAGCGAAGGCGATTCTTTCTCATCACCACTCGGTGATTGATTCACTACACATTCATTTCGTTCCACTGCCTATATACTGCCGAGCGCGCCGCGCCTTAATGCACAAGCTTACCGAATGTCAATTTCGAAAGCTGGTTAGCGATAAGTGTGTTGGTCTGTTCACATGAGAATAGCACATACTCATTGTTGTAGAGTTGTCCGAAGCCCACGCACCCAGCCAGGAGCTCGTCTCGTCTCGATCCTCCTGTACTGCCACTTGCTCTCCTCCTCTTCGGTCGCCTCAAACCCAAGCTTGCGGCGAACATCAAAGCTGTCTGCCACGAGCCAAGCTCATGATATAGCTGCGAGGGGCCCTTGGCACCTAGCAGGCGCAAGTCACCATCACCGCCGATTAGCTGTGCCGCCATAGCATGTGCGCGCACCTGGCGTGTTATTCTGGCTAGTTCGTCGTTCAAAAGTCGAACCTCCGCTTTGCGATCTGCTCTTTACCACACGACCACCACAATCCTCAAGATGTCGGGTGATAGCACAGATGTGAAGCCAGACACAGTAGCTTCGCTTCAAGAGATGAATTTGAAAGAGGAGACTGCTGAAGATGCTGATGTGGACATGGACAATATACCTGTGGCCACGGTGCCAGTCAAACCAGAATTATCAGCCTCTGGTATGAGCACGCCCGGCGGTCAGTCTACGCCCAGCAAGATGAAGAGACAGTCACGGTCGCCCGTCAAGAGCGAGGGTACAGTGCCCGCCAGTTCCGTCAAGTTCGAGCAGGAGGAGACTGTCGGTGGCGATATCACCTTGAAGCTAGAGCCAGGCAAAGCACCGAAATTATCACGCAGCACTTCACACAAGGTCGAGAAGAGACCACCGCAGCTGTTCAGCGATTACAAGGACAGTGTGGCCGAAGCTACGTCTAGCTTCACCGTCATATCTGAGTGTACATATGCCAACAAGTACTTGGGCACTACCGAGACTGCGCTGGAGTGCGACTGCGCTGAGGAGTGGGGTAAGTTGCCTCACACAAAGGCCGTCTTCTATATGGCACTGCGATAACTAACAACATGCAGACTCAGCTAGCCGTACCAATAATGCCTGCGGCGAGGACTCCGACTGTATCAACCGGGCCACGAAAATGGAGTGCGCAGCGGACTGCGGGTGTGGAGCGGCTTGCCAAAATCAACGCTTCATCCGCAAACAATTCGCAGATGTCGCAGTCATCAAGACAGAAAAGAAGGGCTATGGCCTGCGTGCTAACAAGGACCTCAAGGCCAATGACTTCATCTTTGAGTATATCGGCGAGGTCATCGGCGAGAATGTTTTCCGCCGCCGCATGCAACAATATGACGAGGAAGGCATCAAGCACTTCTACTTCATGTCACTTACCAAGGGCGAATTCGTGGACGCCACCAAACGGGGCAATCTTGGGCGATTCTGCAATCACTCTTGCAATCCGAACTGTTATGTCGACAAATGGGTTGTTGGCGATAAGCTGCGCATGGGCATTTTCGCTGAGCGTAATGTACAGGCTGGTGAGGAGCTTGTATTCAATTACAACGTTGACCGATATGGAGCAGAGCCGCAGCCTTGCTACTGCGGCGAGCCGAACTGCACAGGGTACATCGGCGGTAAGACACAGACTGAGCGTGCTACCAAACTATCGAACGCCATCATCGAGGCCCTTGGCATTGACGACGCCGACGCCTGGGACACAGCTGTGGCAAAGAAGCCTCGCAAGAAGAAGGCAGGCGAGGATGACGAGGAGTATGTCAACAACGTCGAGCCTAGGGGTCTCGACGAAGATGGCGTTACCAAAGTCATGTCCTCGCTCATGCAATGTAAGGAGAAGTGGATTGCTGTCAAGCTGCTTACCCGCATCCAGCGAGCAGACGAGGAGAAGGTCCGCAACCGTGTCGTGCGAATGCACGGCTACCGCATTCTCAAAACAGCACTCTCGAACTTTATCGACGATGTTAATGTGGCGCTGCAGATTTTGGATATCCTGGACAACTTGCCGCGACTCACGCGAAACAAAATCCAGGACTCGAAAATTGAGGAGACCGTGGCACAGCTCAAGGACAACGAGGACGAGAGAGTAACTACCCTCGCGAACAGTCTTTTGGAGACGTGGAGCAAACTCGAGGTTGGCTACCGAATACCGCGTGTCAAGCGTGATCCGAATGCTGCGGCTGGCGATCGCAAACTCGAGCGTGTCGACCGACGAGACAATGAGAGACGGCGATCGAAGTCAAGATCACGCACAAAGTCACCTGAACGCATACACGCGCCCACTGGTCCTCGTGGTGGTGGCCCCGCACGAGGTGGGTTCTATGGTGCGCGACCACCTCCTCGGTTTCGACCTCCGCCGCCTCCGGGCTCTTTGCCACCTGGCTGGTTTGAAGCTGTGGCCAACAATGGTAGTACCTACTATTATAACGCTGCCGGCACGACGACATGGCAGAGACCTACAATGCCCGCCACTAACGCTCCGCCCCCACCCCCACCCAAAGCCGTATCAGATCAGCAAATGCTTCAAGACCTAATTAAGAACATCGTTTCTGCCAAACCCGAGTCTAAGGTGCTATCTGTAGCTGCAACGCCAGCTGAGACGCCGAAGAAAGAACGCAAGGAAGACAAATGGAAGTCATTGCCGATCGAGAAACAGAAGAAAATGTACGAAGGTGCTCTTCAACCTCATATTATGCACGTCGTTGGCAAGTATAAGCACAAGCTAGCCAAGGATGACCTGAAGCGCTGGGCCAAAGAGTTCGCGAAGAAGATGGTAGAGTCGGACTTCAAGAAGGGCAAAGTGGAGGATCCTATAAAGCTCAGCGACAAGCAAGTCAAGAGCGTCAAGAAGCATGCGCAAGAGTTCTTCGAGAAAGCAGTGAAGAAGAAGGGAGAAGCTGATAAGCGCAAGGCTGAGAAGAAGGTTGCGAAGAAAGAGGATGGAAGTCGCACACCTGCCGGATCACCGCCTGGTCAAGAAGAGGCTTCACTAGACAAAGACATGGATGACACCATACTTTCCGACATTGACGACGATGAGCCTACCGAGACTCCACCAGACGTCAATGATAGCCCGGCATCTCTCAAGCGTCGAGGCGAAGAGCTTTCGAGTGGGCACGATGATACAGGTGCTAAGCGTCTACGCACGGAAGATGCTGAAGCACCTCCTCCTCCTCCGCCACCGCCACCTCCTCCTGCTGATGACTCAATGGATGTCAACGGCGTCGACCTTCAGCCTGGAGAAGATGTCACCGGGTCCTTCACCCACGAGGCCATCGCTGCCGTGCACGCTGCTACTGTCGCAGGCGCAGGCAGTGGCCACGACGAGTTCTCGTTCAAAGGTGCCGCATCCCGACCTAGCTCCTCCCACCAGAATACGGACTTCGCCATGCAGCAGACCGCTACTCCGCCTACTACTGGGTCTCCTGACCATGATGAGATTGAGCAGGCTCGACAGCGCGAGGCGTTCAGTGGCATAAACCCTGAGCGTATGCGACAGCTGGGTATGTTTGATGGAGCTTGATTGTAATTCATACTTGTATTGCGGCGTGGCGTTCGGCTCCTTGAGGCATGCATAGGCAGTGTTCTGCAAGTCGCGATCTGCATCAGTGGCCGCGGTGAAAGTGAAAGCGTTGTATCATAACCTTGTAGCAGCATGGCGCTTGCGAGCATGCTAGAGTGGTCTTATACCCTTGTATTCTCAATTATACCGTCAGAAGACTCATGCTAGGTCCTTCATCATGGAAAAAAGAGTCGTTTCAGTCGTTGAACAAGTCCTGACCACTATCTCTCGCCATCGCCCTCGCATCCCATGAACTTGATCCGAGAACTTGCCACCCCTCGCCTTTACTGCTCACCCATCCACTGACTGCAGCGATCAGCGCAGTATGATCCTCTGCGGGTACTTTAATCCAGATCTCAGCTCCACGGGATTTTAAGATGTCGATGGGTACCGCAGCGCCATGTAGGCCAAAAAACTGGGTCATTGCTGCGGTGAGGTGAATTTGTGCGGTCACATCATCGAATTCCGAAGTAGGCTTTCCTGTTGTTGTGATGTGGCGTAGGTGTATGTATGACCATGGTGGATTGCGAATTGTGGGCTGAGTGAGGATGTGAGGCTTTGGTTTACGTTTCCGCTTATTCTTGTTTGTTGTTTGTGGTGAAGTGGTAGGCTCTTGGGGATCAGTCGTGGCGATATGGGTCACCTCATCATGTTCCTGGTCCTCTGGCATGATAGTCGGCTTTCCGTGTTATGCTTTGAAGGGCCTGTAGAAGAGGTACCGAGAGAATGGTTGGCTTTCAAGGGTAGGCCCGCGCTGACCCGTACAACTGGGTCCAGGCAGAACTTCACTTGATCTTTTGCTGCAATGAAGTGCAATATCAAAGTATTTTCTCGATTATGAACTTGGCTACAAAAATGCTCTAGGAAAGGGTCAGCGTAGAATTGTGATCTGGAGCCTGTTGGAGGATACAGCGGCAGCATGAGGACTCCAAGAGGGTCCTGTTTGCTACGATGGCTCAAGGTTCGTTAACAATCGCTCCGTGCAAGTAGATCTGATGTATGGGAACACAAGAAGCCACATTATAACTGCCTTCGCTGTGTTCATCATCGAGCGAGATGGATGCTCTTCACGCCACCGGGCAAGAACGACGGCGCCAATCCGTTGCCACCGACATATCTTTGGGCCAGGTACAGCCTGAGCTGGCCACGGTTCACATTTCGCGAAACACGATCAAGAGACCATTGCACTCAATTCGTTAGGTCATCGCCGCTCCGATAACCTACAGAAGCATGATCTGAGTCTTGTAATTCGTCAGTCGAGGTGAATATGCCCCGATTTGGCACCCTGGTACCTGAGGAATACCGACAGCTTGGTTGTTGTGAAAGTGAACTTCAGCGTATTGTGGTTTTGCACCTGGGAAGACCCATGGTACTTAAGCAATCCTCATTGCTCTTCAAATCCTCTTCCTCTCTTCCCTTTTCTACACCTCGACACTCTCGCCCGACCTCCGGACCCCTCCGCTGCCTGACTCGCTTACACTCGGCGCACTAACACACGACATTTCGCTGACCCCTCCTTCTCAGCCACTCACCTTGCGTGCCGCACATTCTACGCACGACGACAATAAGAACAGTACTATTGTCGACGATCACCACTCACTTGTTCAATCGCCATCATGTCGTCAACAAGCAAGGTCGACCTGAACGCCATTACCGAGCAGCTACTTAGCATTATCAAGACCTGTGCAGAATCCAACAACATCAAGGAGACGCTTCAGACCTTGCCCGAGCAAGAGGGTGTCAAGGACATCAGCGATGGCGAGCATATCAAAGGCTTGCGTACCCAGATCTTGGGTGTGTTTTTCCTTTTGAGATGTGTTACCTCGTGTAGTCACTGACCACTCCAGCCAACGCGGAGATCCTTCTGCCGATCCTCGTCCCCGAGAGTGTCGGCGAGTCTCTCATCGATGGTCGCATTGTGCGCACTTTGCCACCGATCCAGGTCATCACCGCCAACGCTGAAAACAGATTCGGCCTGATCGAGATTCACGCCTCCGTGACCTTCGGCGACTTGGCCGTCGGCCGTAAGTCTGCCTTGATGTTCATCTCTGATGGCTTTCCGACCGTCACCGAGGCGTTCCGAGAGCTGCTTGCTGTCTCAGGCCGTCTAATCACTAAGCACTACACCAGCGACAGCACTTATGCTCTTGGAGCCCCTGAGAAGATCGAAGGTGGTGGCTATTTCACAACCAATAAGCTTGGCCAAGACGTGAATGAGGAGTCTTCTTATCACGACAAGCAGCCCACTGGGCCGACGAAGACTGGCTACAAGCGCAACCTGACGGGCGCTCGCAAAGCACATCTCCTCAGTGTCGAGCCTAACGCAAGTTTCAGCTTCCCCAGCGACGATGGAAGCTCAGCCTCTCCCGCTTCAACAACCGAAGACGACAGCCCCATCCTCAACACCTTCCCAGTGGGCAGCCACAGTCCAGACAGCAGCACTTTCCCAATCAGTGACGACCGCTTCTTCCACACCCACGTCCGCACCAATAGCGTTTCCAGCATCACAGCTAACGCCGGTGCCTGCTACCCCAAAGATGTAAATAGCACCTACAAGAAGATGCGCTACTTCGAGAACTTAAACGGCCCATGCAACAACATCAATACGGACTGCCGGTATGAGAACATGAACTCCCGCAAGCCATCCAAGCCCGAGTGCCGCCCCGACTACATCGACGACTTCTTGAGCCCCAAGACCGAGGAGTATACCATCGTCCACTCGCCAGCCCCGCGCGAGTACACCGACGAATTCCATGCGCAATACGAGCGTGATGGACGCCACGATGATAGCTACAGTGGACGCCACTCCGCTCTCGACTGGTGAAGCAATGCTACCTCGAATCGCTAAACGCAGATGACGACGAGGGAATGTACGAGGATGATATGAGACTTGGCAGCATGAACAATGCCGAATGGACCTCTAATGTGCGAACTTCCTAACGCTTTTGCAGATCACGAGGTTTATGGGTGATGACAGGGATATCGCGAAGACTGGCTTTGTAGCTTGAGCTGGCTATCGCGAAGACTGGCTTTGTAGCTTGAGCTGGCTATCGCGACCGACTGGGTACGGGTGTTGCAGCATAAGGTTGTTGACAATGTAATGATATGTATATGCTATCTGTATCGCAAGCGCGAAAGTAAAGTGCGATCACATCTGTTCATGTTTCCATGCCTCCTTGATGGCAGACCATCGAATGCCACAGACTTGTTAACGGAAGGCTGAGTAGGAGCAATATTAATGGCGGCAGCGTACATCGTTCATATGTCGTGCTTGCAGCGACCAATCTTAGTTGAGCGCGACGATGCGACTCCAGCGCGTACTTGCGGAGGAAGAAGGTGAGGATGAGCTGTCTCCACGGGATCGCGGGTTTGTCGAGAGTGGCCGCAAGGTTGCGGATGAGGTCCATAGTTGGGTCTTGTGACGATGTATCATGTGCACGAGATCAACGTTCGGGAATATTTGGAGGGGAGGCGTGTCGGCGACTTCCTTATTGAGAAGCGCTAGTCATGCATCACGTAAGGCTGTAAGGCTGAAACATCGAGGTTCGTCCTATCTCGTGTGAGAATACACGCACATGCATGTGTGCAGCTGTCTACAGCGCTTTCCTCAGCGCCGAAGACACCGTATGGGCAGTCAAGCACAAACTCACAACTGCGACACTTCATCGCTCGGCTGATATGCTCGACCGACATACTTCTACGGCCTGTTTCGCACACATCCTAGTATGTTGGCTGCGAACATCCACTTTTTCCCAGCTGCCCGCGCAATGTCTCAAGTTTTTCCGGCAGCCACTCTCGGTACAGCCTGTCAACAGCTTTGTCGTCCAGATTCACGTCAGCCTGGAAGTCAGACAGGTGTCCCTCTTTCTTCGCCACGCCAGACGTCAGAGGCAGCCACAGTTTATTGTCCGCGTCGACTAGCAAATTCCACTCAGATATGCCACAGCCGGTCAGATCATCTGTGCCTACGAATTTCTGGTCGTGGAGCGTTGAGGTGATGGACGTCGTACGAGACTGCCATCCGGCGACCTTGGACCCGACCTCAATTAGTTGCTGGACCGTAGAGATGCCATCAAGAATAGAGGCAAGTGGTTTGCCATTTCCGATGTAAGTGAGCAGAAGTCCCGCGATCAGACTGCCGTCAGTGACTATGCCCAGAACCGCGGGAACTCCTGAACGGTAAGTGTCTGATTGATGGGTGCCAGCTCATGCAGCTGCAGATATGCGTTGATGGCAGTGAATGATGAGTTGTTTTCTTCGCCAGTATCCGCACTCTTGCCGGATTTCACGAAGCCCAAGAAATGTTGAGTCTATCTATCAAGCGTACGGACCTTGCATGGCTTCATGACGAGGTCCTTGCCTGCATCGATGACGACAAGATCCTCGGCCTTGTAGAGTGGTAGACGCCCGCTGGAGGTTTTCATGCTGTCGACGTGGATCGGCTGAAAGTTGTAACCAGGTTCGTCGACCGAGCCGCCCAAAACTTGACCTCCCACGACATCACTATCTGGATCCAGTGCTAACTTCACATTGTAGCTGGGCATATGCAAGTAATTATGCAGAGTTTTCCAGTGCGGCTGCGTAGGAGCCAGACGTTTCAGCGTGACCATGCTCTGGTTGATTATAAGATCGCATTGAGGATCCCACCGGCTCCAAGCCACTGCGGGTACCATACCCTGATCGCTTTCCTTTACGATCGCTTTCCAGTCTTGTTCGAAAGGTGAGTCTTGCACATCCTCCGCATGGACGGTAATGTGGAAGCGTTTGCCGTTGCGCATGAGTGTCATGGACGATGTTTTCGCCTCACCGTCCAGCTTCCCAGACAGTACGACGTGGGCCACGTCTTCGAGATATCTGACGGTAGGCATATCGTTGACCTTCGACTTCGGCCGTGTGCGAGTGAGCTGAGTATCTGAAGTCCCTACATTGTATCATGTATTCGAGCATCTACTGTTAGCTGCCTGTTTAGTCCATGGACCCGAAGCGATAGCGTCACCGTATCCTGCCGTCCGTGGGTGCCTGCAGCGTAGTCCAATCTCAAGTGTAGTTGCATACGCTAGAGTACTATAGAACTTTGCGCAATAATACGAGATGTATAGCAACGCCGATTAGTAGCTTCTCCTTTAGGGCCGCCATAGGTACGGTAAGCTGTAGAGCATATGGTTCGTAATCTGAAAGTACCTCGGTAGGAGTCTGGTCCGTAAGATTATACTCAATTCTCTTGAGACATTCGACATAGTCTTCGGAAGCGAGTAGCTCAACAGCCTCCAGGTAGTCACTTCCGTACTTGGACTATGGTTTGGCTGCTTCCGCAATGGATGTGTCAACATTGGAGCGTGTAGTTTGAGGAGTCGGAGCGGTGTCAATGTTGGATTGTGCGGGTTGAGGAGTCGGAGCGGCGGCTTGACTGATGCTAGGAGGATTACCGTACACAAAGTCGTAGTACCTTAGTGATAGGGCGATGCTTCCGGGCTGCAGTGGTAAGAATGGTAGAGGCGGCAGTGATGGGGATGATGGCGGAGACAATAGTGGAGATGATGGTGGGGACGATGGTAGCGGAAGCGATGTTGGTAGAGGCGGTAAATGTTCTCCTTCATGCTGGTCGCCGGTCAACGACATACTGGCAATGGTGATGCTGATAAGCGCAAAATTGCAGCTATCAGTGTTGTAGGAGAGGACCTCTCGCTGTACATCGACACTGCAGCATTCCAGAAGCTCTCGAACACGTCCAGAGGCAAGCGCAGCCGTGTATTATTCAAACTCGGAACAGTCTATCGCCTTCACGCTGTCGGCATGTACGTCAATGCGAATCACTATACTGCCTACTACGTTCATAATGGCCAGTGGCTTCTTGCAGATGACTTGACTAAAGACGCGACACAAGTTGTGATGCTTCGCCGGCGGGAAGCTCGAGCCGGTTGTTGTGGCTCGTACCTTCCTCTTCTGGTTGACGTAATGCGAACACATCCGGATCATTCGGGAAACGGATGAATCGCTACTTGCTCATGCCTGCATAGCTCGACCGAAGCACTGTTCTCACATGGCTTATAACTTGCTGCAGCAACAAGCTCATTCAGCTTCATTGTGAACACGCTATGTGCCGCCGGACCGTCCATGTGCACACAGAGGCAGCGGAAGCTCAGCTGTGATTTCATGCTGAGACCTGGAAGCGCCAGAAGATCCCCTCCGCAGAAACTGGTAGCTGGTGTGCTGGCAACGTAAGTCATCTCACATGGTGTGGTAGCACGGGATCATCCTCCCGGCGGACGACTGCATCTCGCAGCTGGCTGTTCGCCACCTCGATCCTGGGTGGAAGTGTATGAGATCGTGCGGGAGATAAGGTGATGGTGGAGTCAAAGGTTCCTTTCAGTAATGAGATCTCCTTCATATAATCCCGTACAAGCAATTCGCATGGCAGCATGGGACTCGCACAATGCGACGCTGCGTCAGGCACTGCAGCTTTCTGGCAACGGCTTACCTTGACAATGCTCGCGTCGTTCAAGATGCATAAACGCTTGCTTGAGCGGAGTACATGCAATTGTTGTAGACGCAGTCAGCAACAACAGCTCGTACACAAAGCGCTACGCGAAAATATCTCGAACTCTCACAATTGCATGGTTTTCGTGCCAGCCTAACAGCTCTCAAAACTTGCTTGCGCATGGCACTGTGATACGAAGAAGTTCGAGAGCTTGCAGCCTCCGAATTGGTGGAGTGGGCGCTACTCCAGACAAGGAGATCCAAACCCATCTCCCCTTGCGACATATTTCCTTTGTCTCGGCACGATCTGATGAGGCTGAATGTCCTTGGTTGAGTAGATCATCGACAAGGACAGAGCATGTCAATTTGTATCAGATTGTGGAAAAATTTACGGTCATGTCGGTTCCCATGTTTCGAGATTGTTGATTTTCGAGTGGGACCTAGCACTTTATTGCGAGTTGCGACCAGGATTGCGGGAAAGGCGAACTGCCGCGGTGATTCGTCGTATGAAGGGCTTGGACGGTGGCACGTAAGTCTCGGCGAAGTTGTCTCCTGCATGAAATTCAACGAGAAGACATTGTCCGTTGTAGCGCCTGCTGTCAGCTTGGTGGTCTCCATATATGTGCAGAGTCTACCATCAATCACGCGAGACTCTGCACAGGTTCCCGAGCTTCTGCATTTGTTTTTCGGGACGGATCTCTCAGCCTTAGCACGACGATCACGCCGCTAGGGAGTGCGCTTCGTCGCATAGCCGAGAGGCGTTGACCAATGAGTAGCGAGTGTGCCTGAATTTATGCAGAAGGTTCGGCGTTCGTGAGGTAAAAGGGTGTTCCTGCATGAACATGGGTATCTTCGTGAGCCACGCGTACGGACTCGATGGACCGCACATTGAAGACGTAGAAGATGTGATCGAGACGGGCGACCAGTCTCAGGCAGATGTCAGGATAAGGCATATCCACACATTCCTCCCAGTTGCTAAGGCAGTGCGATGCCAGTCTGAGTCCGTCCCCGCCGCAAGGGGTGGGCATGCAGAATAAAACACCTCAACCTCTGCTCAGTCTCTGATCGGGTGTTTGCTGCTTGTACCCTGCGGTGTCCTGTGTGATGAGCCGTTATTCGGACATGCTACGCAGTTTCCCCACACCCTTGAGACACCTTAAATTTGAAAGGGGTGCAGTGGCGAGGCGCTATTTAGAGTCTAGTAACGCCTGCTCGTCAGCGCCGAGACTATACAAAATCCTGACTTCCACTCCGGCGATCCCTCTGCTCACCACCTTGCACCAGCACTCACGTTCTCACGTCCACTCATTTCTGCGAGCAACGCTCCACCACGCTCTTTTAGCATCACATTCACTGCGTCGCCAGTCGCCGCACTGCGCCCATCCTCCGTGAGGACCATCATCTGCCAGAAAAGTACGTCTAGCCCGTTGCCCTGGGATCGCCTTTGTCTCGTTCACTGCGCTGTCTTTCATTCATCATAAAGACTTCACAACGTCCAGTCAACATGAAAGCCGCTTTCACCAGTCTCAGCTCACTGCTGTTCTTTCGCGTGAATAGTCGAGGGTCGCTGGTCGAGTAACACCTCGACTTTACTTCATTCTTCGCACCTCACCCCAACACTTGTACGGCGACGGCGACTGACTCTCCCATTGTAGTCAATACCAGCAAGTAACGCCATCTAAAGGATCTGGGATCCCAGCAATTCACGTATCACATCGCATCGCACCTTTGGATTCATCGCAACCGAATCCTTCAAAATGCGTTCCGCAATCATTGTAGGATCTTTCGCCGCCAGTGCCTTCGCTGCGCCTCACGCCCACGTCCACAAGCGTGATGTAGTGACCACCGTCGACATAGTCGTAGTGACTGATGTCAACTTTGTCACCGTCACTGGCGACGCGCCGGCCGCCCCTTCTGCCCCTGCTGTCACCACCTCAGTCAACAAAGCCGCGGTGCCTTCATCTTCGAGCGAAGCGCCATGGTGGTGGAACTGGCACCACTCCTACTCGCAGCCTTCGTCAAGCTCAGCTCCTGCACCATCCAGCGTCGCGCCAATCACCACATCTGTGGCCGTCGCCTCGACTTTCTCGACATCGACAGTACCAGCTCCGGCACCTCCCAGCTCTACGCCACCTACTTCTTCGGCTGCGCCAACCTCCACTTACGTTGCACCCAGTTCTCAGGCTCCGGCATCGACATCGGCTCCCGCTAGCTCTTCCCAGGCTCCAGCATCAAGCGCTGCTCCTTCGTCCACCACCAGCGGTGACTTGACCTCGTACTCTGGCGTCGCTGTCGCTCACCACAACTTGCACCGCGCCAACCACTCCGCCGATCCGCTGGAGTGGGATGCTGGCCTTGCATCCACTGCTCAGACGATCGCCGACACTTGCGTCTATGCCCACAGCATGGATGTCGACAACGGCGGGTACGGACAGAACATCGCTGCTGGTGTCGAGCCCGCAAACATCTCCGCCATCATCACCGACCTTTTCTACAATGGCGAGGTCGGCTGGTACCAGGACTTGTACACCCAAAAGCAGCCTGATATGACCAACTTCGAACACTGGGGACACTTCTCTCAAATAGTATGGAAAGGAACTACCCACGTCGGTTGCGCCACTACAGACTGCTCCAAGGGCGGCCTCGCCAACGTTGGCAGCAACGTTGTGCCATATTTCACTGTCTGCAACTACAAAGGCCCAGGTACGTCTCATTTCTCGTTCTTGTATATGTTCTGGAGCTGTGCTGACAAATTTATAGGTAACTACGCCAACGAGTACGGTGACAACGTCGGTGTTCCGCTCAACCAGGCCACTGCTCAGTGGAACACGGGCTCTTCGGTGCAGTAAGCATTCCAGCAACGATCGAGTGAAAGAGTCTTCAGGGGCTTAGGGGAGGAGGATCACGTTGGCGCAGAGCATAACGAAGTCCTGTGGCGCATTGTATGGATGCAGCAAAGCTCGACACCCAGTCTGGGTCATGGTCGCCGTCTGCGAGCGATGCTTATTCAGGCATATCCATGTAGTCCGCTGTGTGGCAAGAGGAGGAGTCTATTCGCATTGTCGGGAACAAGTTCGGTTGTATGGTTGCATGGTTTAGCAAAAGATGGCTGGTCTGGCTTACGCTTACTTTGATCTTTTATCTTCGCTTCTATTTGTGCATATTTACATCAGGCCACTTTACAAGGTGGCGGTGATAAATGCGTCGAGATCGCTACGCTTACCCATGATCTGATGACACGATACAACATATTGTAGTCTCTCAAAATTTCTTTCCTCCTGTACCACGCATACACCTCACACTTCCGAAACTCTCGGAGCCATGTCATTATACATTATCGAATGTAAGAGTGGCAAACACGCAACGCCACACCACATTATAGAATCATGGTGAGCCACATAAATGAGACTGCTAGCACAGCCGTTGTGGCAAGGAGCGAAGTCGGCGTAGCAATGCTGCTCGGCGCTGTTGACTGTCCAGTGGACTGCGTGCTGACGGACGTGGAAACGCTTTGTGGGCCCAACATCTGGGTAGTGGTAGAGGCGGAAGAAACTAAGCCGAGCGTACGAGTGATGGAAGACAATCGCTGAGTCGTTCCGTCCACTATTGCGACAGGGCCCGTCAAGGCTAAGGAGATCGTCTCGCCCGATATCGTCACCACACCACCTGGTCGTAGGACAACAGTACCAAGTTGAAAAGAGCCGTCTGGATCCTCGGTAATGGTCGTGCCAGGCAGTGAAAGTGCCAGGCTTATACTGGTCGCAAGTGGCTGCGGAGTACTTGTGATGCCATTGACGACTAGATAGCTGGCTCCTGGACCCAGTGAGAAAGTACTGCCTGCAATGGTCACTGGATTGCCTCCTGGTACCAGAGAATCAGCAGCACCGACTTGAACGGCGGAGGCGTGTCCCGCAACGAAGGCTGTCCCATCGATCTGGAGATAACCCGTGTTCGGGTCAGATGCCGAAAAGCTCGATGTAGTGTTCGCAATGGTGGTATATGTCACAGGTAATGCAGTCTTACCATTGACCATCATGTATGAATCGGGTTTAGTATGGCTAGCAAGAGATATGGTCATCCCCGACACCGTTAGAGGAGCTCCACCTGCGGTCAGAGTCATGCCAGTAGGAAGAGCGATTGTTGAGGTTCCAAGCACTACTAGAGTCGTTGACACAGCGAGACCGGACACTGCTATCGAAATACCAGACCACGCCGTCGGCGATAATGCTGAGTATACCTGTGTCAAGCCATCGACTAATATCCCACTTGACTGTACCACCACTTCGCCAATGCCAGCCAAGTTTGTCTTTTGACCTACAGCCAAGGTCGTGGAGCCGATCACAACACCTCCCGTGAGGCCGATAGAGACAGACAACTCTTCGCCTTGGGTCCCTGTAAGCACAGCACCAGTGTCAAGTACTGATGCGACATACTGACCTCCCGCAGCAGCACTTTGAAATGTTGAAGCAGGATCGACCAGAGCGGTCAGCTGCGAGGAACTGACTTTGGGTGGTAATTGTAGCAGAGAGCCTATGATGGCTGCGGGATCCGCTGTGGCAATATGTGTGGTGGCCAGTGAGGTTGGCTGAGGCAACGAAGTCACCACCTGAGTCGTACTGGTGGAGGACCCATGGCCCTGCATACCTATGACACTCGCAATGACCCCGCCTATATCTTGCGAAGCTCCGTCTGATGCGGTCTGAGATCCCGGATCCGCTGGGTTACCAGCAGCGGTTGCCGCACCAATTTGAACAAAACTGGGGCTGCCACCCGAATTGGTATGCTGGTTAATCTCACTTACGCTCGAGACTGATTGAGCACTCGCAGGCGCAGTACTGAATAATCCCAAGGATGAAACTTGCGAGATATGTGAATTCGGCAAGCTAGATGCGGATGCTGAAGCTATCGGTATCAAATTCGAGTGGCTTGTAGATGTAACATGTGATGTCGAGATTGTTGGACCGGCTGCAGTACCAGCAGGACTGTCACCAGGTCCCGCGCTAATCGTGGGAGCCTGGGTAGTAGTCGCTGCAGCGATTGCAGTGGGTGTAGTCACACCTGCAGCGGAGGCTACCTGTGTCAACGGCCGTGGGGGATCAAAAAGTAGGTTGTCCGAGAATAGTTGAAAATCACACGTGATGTTCTCGTTCACGATAGTCTGCAACGACATCTTGAACAACTCTGGGGGTACAGAGAGGGCCGGAGCATAATCATCCCATATAGTTGAGCACCAATTCTCCAATGGTAGGTCGCTGATGCTTACAGAGATAATGGTGGTCATCGGATGGTTGGAGGCGTCCACCTGGGTTTTTGTAGAAATGATCGCTGTCGCTGATGCAGTGTGGCATTTCGGTTGACAGCGGTAGGCCTCAGCTGGAACGGGATAGTTGAAGTCAGCATAGTCAATCGAGCGCGGTGTGCCTATCGCTCCACCATCTCCGATACAGTAGCTAGAGACGTCATTCGAGGGTCGTGAGAACCAGATTCCTGTCGAGGCAGTGGTGCCGTTGCCACTAAAGGTGTATGCCCATGTTCCTACAATTTCGATGTAGGCAGTCGGACTGGTCAACGTTGTGCTCATTGTCACGATAGTGTTCGGCCGGCCAGATATGGTTTCACTCATTGTCGTAGCGGACCTGTTCCTGGCGCAGATATTTCCTGACGGCGCAAGGACAGGCCAGTACCACAGCACAACGGACACTCCTGCTTCAGCGCAAGAAGGAGGGCCAACCTCTACGCCGGTAAGAACGGGTGGTGCGGAGACCTGTCCACACTCTGGTGATTGGGGCCAGCTTCCTGATGGAGATAGTACAGTAGTATGACGGCCTGTAGTCGTTGCTGATGCAGCAAGTCTGGCATTTGCGCCGGCAGCTGATTCCCATGAGTCAAGACTAGCCTGGTATGCGGAATAGCTACTCCGCCATATACTACTGAGGAGTGCACAGTCACTGCTAGCAATTGTGCAGTCTGGCGCTGGTGTCAAAGTTTTCGTACTTGTCGCGTCCTCTGTCAGCGTCTCAGTGTAGAGTTTCGTGGCTGTTACGACTCTCTCGTAGGATGACACGGACGTACTACCATCTAAACGAGGCCAACCATCACACAGCGTGTACGCTGTAGAGTTGCTGAGGTAGGTGACCGTGGTCGTGACCGCAAAATCTGATAAGGCGAGAGAAGTCGACGTAGTGGTCTCAGTTGTGGTAGGTGTATTCTCAATCACGGTCATGCTGCTAACGTTGTCAAGCCAGCTCTGTTTCGCGGCATTGCAAGCCTGCGCATAAGACGATCCAGACCCTGTGAGAGGTATCGAAGAATTCGTAGTACCAGTAGCTGTGGTGTTGGAGTATCGAGGTATAAGAGCAGAGGAATACGCAGACATTGTGCTCAGCACGAGCGCGAGGGCCCTTTGAAGTAGCGACTGTCGAGACATCCCGAGAAGAGTTGATGTGATGACGGATAGTAGAACTTTTGCTCGACTCGCAATGAATAGGCAGCCTAGCAGCTGTTTGGTTCGCAATTCGGTGTTAGGTCATGGTGTCGTTCAGTACACCGGATCTGTCGTAGCAGAAGGTGCAAGAACGCTTAAGGAAAGAACATGCTTTGGAGAAGGAGGAGCATCAACGAGTATCTCTGGACCTTCAAGTATGTGCCAGCCGCCGTCAGTGGCAGAATATGGTTCATCAAAGCTGCAGCAAGCTCATCAAGTGGAGACAGCGCCTATATTAGTCGAAGAAAATGCCGGCACACAGTCTGGGATCTGGACAGTTCCTATAGGCAAGTATGCGGCACAGCATGTCGGCCCGAATCTAAAGGCAACAGAACCAGATTTTGGGGAGCATGGCAGATGTCTTCGAACTCCCGCAAGGATTGTCGACGCTGCTGCTTACTTGACTACGACAATCGTTTGGGACACCGATCATGGCGGGAGCCATTATTGTTCAGCAGGCGCCAGCGAGATCATGCCGGCGGTCTAGCAATACCAGGATATGGCCTCGAGAGCTGACAGCGAATTGTGAAACCGCTGCAAGCGCCGCCGGATTGCAGCCGGGTCGAGCGCCCAGCGCATCCCGTGTCATCGTCAGTACCTGCAGGTGAGGATTTCGCCCGGGCTGCCATTTTGATGGCAACAGATACAGATCAAGCAGAGGATAGAGGGCAATGCTGACGATCTGGGACGAGGTGAAGTCGCGAGGAAAGTACATGTATTTCACCTTGGAGCTGTCAGCACGAATACGAATTCAGATATGTGGGTCTCGTCGTCAAAGAGCCAATCAGGACTCGCTGGCGATGGGCACATCGCACGACTCTGACATATGCAGAACCTTTGCTTGCACATTCACAGGGAGGTCATTTGAGTCGCATCTGCCACATTACATCGTGTATATACATTAATTCGATCAAACATAATCTAAGCATAAAGAATACCCAACACCAACACTATCGACATGTATGGTATTGCGCTGTAGACGTGTTGACCCGCATCGGACGTCGAGGTTGAGGATTGTGCCGGCGCTGACCCCGGCGAGGTCGATGCAGCTGTCCCGCTACTCTGAGCAGAGGCAACGCCTGATGTGGAGTGAATTGTGCTGCTCCTAGGAGCGGAAGCTGAGGCTGCAAGCGAGGTAGGCATGATGGTACTCCCATTGACCACGAGATACGATCCTGATGGTCCCAACGACAAGACCTCGCCAGAAATGGTCACAGCTGGCCCACCAGGTATTAGTACCGCATCCGATGTGGAAACCAGTGGAAAGCTAACTGGTGTGGTCGCACCAGCAAGAATTGTCGCACTTCCAACCACAAATGCACTGATGAGTGCCGCAGCAGAAGCGGAGGACACAGCTGCAGGTCTCTGTGTAGAGCCATCCACCACAAGGTATGATCCGGAGGGTGCCAAAGACAGTGCGTGGCCTGACACGGTGATAGGAGCACCGCCAGGTGTCAACGTCAAGCCCGAGGCGATCGCAACAGGACCTGTCTCTCCAGCTGGAACAGTGACTCCAGCGGCAGTATATCGTAAGCTCGGGTCTGCAACCCCTTGCGAAGCTGGCAAGGGCTGATATGCTTCAGTTGTACCTTGCACAACGATGCCAGTGGAAGCTGCAATTACATTGCCAATGCCAGCAAGACTCGTTGACTGGCCGTATTCAACAGTCGTGGCCCCGATGACCAGACCAGACGAACCTGCTATAGCAGTGTGATGTCCGCCGGACCCATCGGTGACAATTATACCGGTCACTGCCGCCGAGACAGGGTCGACAAGATTACTTGACTGCTGTAGAACTGCCGACGAGTGTGCTAGTACTGATGCGACCACTCCTGCAGGATTGATATTGCCATTGCTCGACTGAACGGGAGTCCCTTGAGCAGACGGGTTTGCCTGCTGACCATTGTTCGAGGCAGGCGAGCCTTGAGAGGATAGACCTATGATGCTGGCAATGATGCCGCCCACAGCAGCTGTTACGGTCGAGGTTGACGTTTTTGTCAGCGATCCTTGAGCTGGATCAGCTATATATGTCGACGAGGACGGCTTGTTGGCCTGGCTCGGAGCGGATGAGCCTTGAGCAGGATCAGCCACGGACGTGGCAGACGGTGGCAGGCTGGTCTGGCTTGAAGCAGGTGGCGGGGCCGGGGGCGGGCTAGCAGTGCTCGTTGGCACTACAGCACTAGGAGGAGTCGAAGTCGCCGTAGTCTTACCGGGCGAGTTTGCAGGTTCGGCAGTGACGCTGACAGTAGAAGTCGTTGAAGTCGCGGACTGCGCATGTGGCGTCGAAGGTCCATCCAACGTCGCTTGTGCTGAGAGTGCAATCGGAGGATCCCACAGGACGTTAGCCTTGTCCAGAATGAACCCGCAGGAGAAGCTTCCGCCGAGATTGGTAGCCGCGTTCATGGCAAAGATGTCGGTGGGAACTGAAAGTGCAGGTGCGTAGTCATTCCAGATAGTGCTGCAGACGTTGATGGCAGGGCTTGTGAATACTGTATTACTGGTATAAGTTTCAGTTGATCCGCTGTAAATGTTCGTGTAAACAGAAGAGGAGGTACTCTTGGGCTGAGACCAGCACTTTGGCTGGCATCTGTACGCAGATGCAGGGACTGGATAGTTGAAGTTGGCATAGTCGACCGGCTGTGGCTTTCCGCTATCATCGAATGCATCCGAGACCACGCCACAGAAGCTTGATACTGCTGTGGAGCTTTGCGGGAGCAGAATACCCGTCTGGTTCGTGTACGTCACACCGTTACTTGTGAAGTCCCAAACGCCTTGTACACTTAGGTAGACGGTTGGGCTGGTAAGGGTGACATCGTTGTAGACCGCAGTGTTCGGCTTCCCAGTTATGGTTTCTGTCGCTGGAATGGTGGTCTTAGATCCATTGCAGAAATTCCCCGAAGAAGTCTCCACTGGCCAGTACAGTAACTGCACAGATGCCTGACCAATGGCACATACCGGGTCCCCTACAACCTCGTAGTATGTTCGGTATGTTGCAGGCCCACATACTGGCGAAGGGATGTTGGTGTACGAGGGAGGCCCTGGAACTGTGGTGATCGGACCGGTTGACTTTCCAGTCGTTAATCCTTGCGTGATCCACTGAGAGAAGTACTGTGACGACCATGCCGAGGAAGATGAACTGTAGGCTGACGCGGTAGCATTGTACATGCTATTCAGCACCGAACAGTCGCTCGGGTTGATTGTGCACACTGGAGCAGGTATCGGAGTTGTGGCGGGATTGTATATTGTGCTTGAGTTCAGCGTCGTATAAATGCTCGTGGAGTACGCCTTCGTCGCGGAGTGGGTCGTGTTAATATAGCCATCATAGCGCGGGTACCCGTCACAAAGCGTATATGGCGTTGAGTTGCTGAAGTAGGTGTGCGTACTCGCCAGGGAAACAACGCTGTATGTCACTGAGGTCTCTACGGCAGTGACAACCTGAGTAAAGTTGGGACTGCTGGTGATCTCGGCTTCCGGTCCGCCGTCCTCCATCCATAGGTTCTTGATATTATTGCAGGCCAGTGCATACTGGAGACCAGATCCCGCGGTTGGTAGCGAGCTGTTGAGTGCTTTCGTGTATGAAGCAATGATGCTGGGGTCTGGCGAATTGCTCAGTGCGTCTGATCTGTCGGCGCGAACAAAGAAGCTGTTGAGCAGCGCGGCCAAAGCTGCGGTGCTGTACAACCGCGCCATCTTCTCCACGCGGGTCCCTGACAGTAGTTGATCTGTGGTCAGAAGCTCACCAGGTCCGTGGAGGTGTCAGAAGCGACAGACGGAGTCGAGGTAAATGCTGCGACAGAGTCACAACGCGACTCGGGCAAACACGATGGCGAGAAGGAGACTTACGGACGGCATCCCTTGGCTCCTAAGGTCTACTTTAAGAGGCGGTGCCTATTACTTATGCTAGACCACATTTGGTAAGGTTTATGTGTTGGTGCACCTCGCCAACACTGCCAAGGTTTGGGGCCAAAAGGCCATCATGGATTCGAGACAACACTGAAGTGTTGTTGGATCACGGCTCTTCATGCCAGCAGTCTGAGCATTGCTTGTTCGTGTGTACGATCACAGCCACATATTACAATCTTGGGTAGGGTGGAGTAAGCAAATAAACCCGGCGTTGGCTTATTATTATGCTTGTCAGTAATCCTGCATGAAACGAGGCTGAGGCTGAAGTGCATGTGCAGGGACCAGTGCCGTGCCTGGACCGAGAAGCTGCAGGAACATCAGATAAGGCGTCTCCGCCTTTCGGTGGGGTGATAAAGTCCCTCAATCGTGACCTACATCTTGACAGACAGCTGCTTGCGCCATATGCGATACGCATTGCATGGTAGAACATTCGTAAGTTAGTCACTATCTCATCTTCATCTTCATCTTCAGATCTTCTCCAAACTCATCTCTCTGTATGCGATCATTCCTAGCCATTGAGCGACGAGAACTTTCCTTCGAGTACAGACGCAGGAATTTACAGCGACATTACTATACCATGGACAACATGCACGTCGCTCTCAGGAATCGATGCGGGGAGTCCAAGAGCCCGTATGTGCGATCCCACATGGACAATGCAACAGCTTGGCAGCTTTGGAGTCCTGGAACACTGGAACTGGCTCGCAAGACGAATCGTCTAATCTTCGTGAGCGTGGGCTATTCAGCGTGCCACTGGTGCCATGTTATGGCTCATGAATCTTTCGCCAATGATCGCATTGCTCAGCTGCTCAATGAGAATTTTATACCCATCAAAATCGATCGGGAAGAACGACCAGACATCGACCGTCAGTATATGGACTTCCTTCAAGCGACCTCGGGAGGTGGCGGCTGGCCACTCAATGTCTTCGTGACTCCTGATCTCCATCCCATATTCGGCGGCACATACTGGCCTGGACCGAAGAGTGAGAGGGCACAACCCGGGACTGCGTTCGAGGACGTACTGGTCAAGGTAGCTGGGACGTGGAAGGAGCAGGAGAAGAAGCTCAGGGACAACGGGAAGCATATTGTCTCCAAGCTACGTGAGTTCGCTCAGGAAGGCACGTTGGCCGATGACAAGGCAGAAGACGGCGAGGGAGTCGAGATCGAGGTCATCGAGGATGCTTACGAGCATCACAAGACTCGATTCGATAGCAAATATGGTGGCTTTGGTGCACAGCCAAAGTTTCCGACACCACCGCACCTGAAGGCACTGTTGCGCTTTGGCGAACATGATCAGGTTGTGCGAGATATTGCAGGAGATGAGGAGGTCACAAATGCGAGAAACATGGCATTAAAGACTCTAGAACATATAGCAAAAGGTGGGATCAAAGACCAAATTGGACATGGCGTCGCACGATATTCTGTCACACGTGACTGGAGCTTGCCGCATTTCGAGAAGATGTTGTACGACAATGCACAACTACTGCCACTTTATTTGGACGCTTGGCTGGTGTCGAAGAAAGATGTATACTTGGAAATGGTCCACGATGTAGCAACATATATGACCACCGAACCGATGCAATCGAAACTTGGCGGTATCAACGCATCCGAGGACGCCGATTCGCTCGAACAACCACAAGACGACCACAAAGTAGAGGGCGCGTTCTATGTGTGGAGCATGGACGATTTCAGGCAGGTCCTGGATCAGACAGAGCTGAAAGTCTGCGCGAAGTACTGGAATGTCAAGTTGGCTGGTAATATCGAGCAAAGATATGATGCTGAAGGCGAGCTCATTGGCAAGAATACGTTGTGTGTATCTTACGAGATACCGAGACTTGCCCAAGAACTAGGCCTAAGTGAGGAAGATGTCAAGAAGACGATCTCGTCTGGTAGGCGAAAGTTGCTAGAGTATCGCAACAAGAATCGTCCACGACCAGCTCTTGATGACAAAATCGTGGTGGCATGGAACGGTCTTGCCATTGGCGGACTAGCACGAGCCAGTGCAGCACTCCTCAAACTCTCGCCACAAGAATCAGCTGCGTATCTTGAGGGGGCTAAGAGAGCTGCACATTGTATACAAGAACATCTCTTCTCCAGCGAGACCAAGACACTCCACCGTGTCTACCGCGAGGGTCCAGGAGAAACGCCTGGCTTTGCAGATGATTACGCTTTCCTCATCTCTGGCTTACTAGACTTGTATGAAGCTACCTTTGACGACCTGTACCTTGAATTCGCAGATACGCTGCAACAGACGCAAATGAAACTCTTCTGGGATGAAAAGAAATACGCTTTCTTCTCCACGCCAGCCGACCAACCAGATATTCTCATTCGCACGAAAGACGCCATGGACAATGCTGAGCCAAGCGTGAACGGTGTAAGCGCGCAGAACCTCTTCCGGCTTGCATCTTTGCTCAACGACGAGAAATATGAGAAGATGGCCAAGCAGACGGTCGGCGCCTTCGAAGTAGAGCTCAGCCAACATCCTGGTCTGCTCAGCGGGATGCTAAGTTCGCTCATCGCTTCAAAGCTGGGGATCAAGGGCCTTATGGTCGTTGGCGAGGGTGTAGCAGCTGAAGCAGTACTAGAAAAAGCTAGATGTCATGTCAGGCCTAATTGGACTGTCCTTCGCGTCGGTGGAGAGGCAAAGAGCGAATGGCTGCGAAGCCGTAATGAGCTCTTGAAGGGTCTGGATGAGACGAAGGAGCTAGTGCAGCTTTGTGAAGGGAGCAGCTGTAGACTTTTGAGCTTAAAGGAGGTGGAGAGTCTGTTTCTGAACTAGACCCTAGATTAACGACGCCGCACACGGCAGTGTAATGATTGGTCTCGTAGATTCTGCAAAACTCTCCATTGCGCTTGATGCTTTGAGGGTATGAGTGCTTATGTGAGGACTGATCGAGACCGTAACCTACCAGAGATTCGTAAGGTTACAGCCACTTTATTTAATGATCTCCGTCTCAGTTGCAAATTGTAATTGCGATGGCATGAGCAGCTATCTAGTAGCTGAACGAGGCACATCCATTGCTGGGTAATGTATGTTTCAAGCAGCATCCATTCTCTTCCTCTCCAATTGGAGTCGGGATTCTGATGGTACAACAGGAGACAAGCTAGCTGATAGCCATGTTACAACAGCAGAGATATTCATTCACCCTTACTCTACGCGGTTCGTCCGATATACATACGGACGCTTTTTGATCACAGCGCTCACCTCCCTAGTCATCCTCAGCACCTCCAGATACTCCACTATCTGCTCCAATACGTCCAATTTCGTCCCTTTCGTCATGCCTTCGAACTCCTCAATCTGAATGAGATTGTGAGGTTCGCTCACGGCCTTCCGTTCGCTGTCGTCGATCAAGACGGTATTGTGTTGTGCCCATCTGTCATTGCCAATCGACGATGCGGCAACGACCGAGTCATCCCAGACCCAGGAGAGCTGTTTGTACACTTGGACCTTTTCGTTATACTCCTGTGCGCTTAGGTGAAGAGTATCGCGGCCCCAGACGCTAACGAGCTGGAGAAGTTGCTCTTCATCGAAGAGCTGTGAGCATACGCCGGCAACATTTTCTGGGCGAGCAGATGACCAAACGAGGACTTTGTGGTTTTGAAGGAGGTAGTCCAGGAATTCCGTTACGCCTGGCCGTGGTGTGAAGGACCAGATGCCGCCTTTGCTTTTCTTACGGTAGCAAACCGTGCCATTGAGATCCAAGACTACAAGCAAACGTCGTGGTGAGCCTATGTGAGGTTGAACTGGTAGATCGGCTTGCTTGAGGTAAGCTTCGGTGGGACTAGGATGACGAGAATCCGGTACGGTGGGTATGGGTCTTGGTGGCAAACTTGGCCGAGCTTTTGGCAGATAGGTTTTGTTGAACAGGACGTGGTTGAAGTCTCCATATCTAGCTGCACCGTTTGTTAATTCCCGATCTCTATCAATGCTTAGGTTGTCAGAGGTGGCCGGCAGGCCAATAGGGAGGAATATGCCAAAGTTCTGCGCCGGAACATGTGGTGCTTCGTGCGAAGTGTAGGGAACGAGAGATGCCGCAGGCCGAGTTGCTTGACCGCTTTTTTTCTTACTGCGTGAGTGATCGGTAGTGCGTCTTGATGGTACGTTGCTCTTCTCTCGTGGCTGAGGTGGTTGTAATGCATTTTGTGCGGACTGTCTGATACCATTCCCTGTGGTGTTTGGTCGGGTTTTGGAGGGTTCCTTAGGTAGCTTTTCGGTTTTAGCTGATGAAGAGGTCGTCGGAAGCCCACTTGCGCACTCTGCCTGAATCGAAGGATGAAACGGCAAGGCTTTGGGTTGTAGCTTTGGTGCGGTGCGTTGGCTCGTCGTGCCTCGCGGCTGAAAGACAACCTCGTCCTGTCTTTTCTGGCGGCGGTGAGGGTGCACATAGGTCGGATTTAGCGTAACTCTCGCTGGTGGAAGTTGCTTACTCGTCCCCTGGAGTGACAGAGAGGTCATTTCACCCACGAGGGCGTGTGCTAGTGAAGCACCACCGTCTCTTGGCGTGTATACATGAGCATCCGACGAGGTTACAGTTGGCGTACGTGGAGCGGGACCCATGGTCCCAGATAGTGCACTGCCGGGAAGGTCTTGTGTGTCGGCTTGGGGAGCCTCAACCTGGTGGCGTGCGGTTTCGACAGTGGTGGAAGCTTGAACTGTGGCGGAGACATTCAGTGAGATGGGGTTGTTTGTGATGATCTCTTGGAGTGAGGAAGACTTCGTGCCGTTAGGGGCGTGAGAATGTGCAGGAGCAGGAGAGAGCTTCTTTCCGCCGTTTGGTTGTTGATCAGGTATGGTCATGCATCCGAGCGTATCTGGCGCAGAGCTGGACATCGTGGAATTTGCTGGCTGCTTAGAGTGCTGCGTAGGAGCGCATGTATTTGGAATAGTGCGAGTGTGCTGTCTGTGGCTTGGCGCTCTTGGTGAAGACTTTGTCGTTGGCGCCACCGGTCGAATCGGACAGGCCACTGGGAGGGCATCGTCGAGAGTTTGACCCCTTTCACCGTCTGCGCGGTTCCTACCGACGGTCACCTCTGCTTCCTTGGTCTTCTCGCTCACATCATTTCTTGTGCTTCTACCACTATCACGTTTCTTCTTGCCACCAGAAAAGCGCCCCTCATTTCCCTTGACACTGCCCATCTCTGCCAATGCCGCCGAGAAGGGAATACTTATATAAGAACTTACCATCTGTGTGCTCAGTCACGGTGCCGTCGAGACCATCACCGGTCGACATCTTGTCTCTCCGTCAGTGATATCCTTCAAAGTGGCGCGACGATGTTGACTAGTGGGAGAGCTATACCTATGGATGAGCACGGCCATTTTGACTGCTGTGCAACGATCTACTAGTTTCGGAAGGCACACAGATCGTGTTCTGTTTGTTGTTGAGTTGAAGATGGCAGGAGCGATCGAGATGTGAGAAGTGTGGTGAAGTTTGGTTTGACCTGCTGAGTCATGCAAGTGATAAATGACAGACAACGAACGACGGTGGACACACTCCATGACGTGACTACATATTGTACACGGTTTCCATCACACAGCTGAACTCCTATCGCTATGCTATAGACGCTAAATGTGCTTCAGACAGTTCCTCCCACGCCCCTACTGCGCCTGATCTCTTGGAAACTCATCCTCTAGCTGCAGGCTCGCCTTTACATTCATGCTCATCAATTCCTGTATCAACAACTTGGCCGCATACGGCATTGTCATCTTGACCACTCCACCACTAGATCGGCAGCTTTGGCACCAATTGTTGTAGCCCATCATACCACAAGTCTCGCAGACATCCACTTCGTGTGCATCAGAACTCAGCATGAGTCGCTCAAGAAGCAGCTGCGAGGCTCCATAAGCGATCAAGCAATCGCGCTCCATCTCTCCCAGTCGTAGACCACCCTGTCGAGAACGACCTTCCGTGGGCTGGCGGGTCAGGATGGCACGCGGACCAGTAGCACGGGCGTGCATTTTGTCTTGAACCATGTGCTTGAGCTTCTGGTAGTAGATCGGGCCGAAGAAGACGTAAGCCGGTAAGCTTTCGCCGGTAATGCCAGAAGTCACGAAGTCCTTGCCAGAATAGCTGAAGCCGTTCCTGACCAAAGCCGCACCCATCTCCTCGACTTTGCTGCCGCCAAAAGCTGTGCCGTACTCCTGCTTGCCTTCCAACACACCAGCTTTACCAGAGATAAGCTCAAGCATCTTGCCTACCGTCATACGTGATGGGAAACCGTGAGGATTCATGATGATGTCCGGCGTAACGCCCTTGTCGGAGAAAGGCATATCTGCTTGCTCGGCGATGATGCCGACCACACCTTTCTGCCCGTGGCGGGAAGAGAACTTGTCACCGATCTCGGGTCTGCGCGTCTGCCGTGTCTGGATCTTGACGATCGTGGAATTACCTTCGTTCGTCGTGATGAGGACTTTGTCGGCATAACAAGAGTCTGGCAGCTTGTACGTCATATGCTGCGCTGCCCACCTCTGTGGCTGACCTGCATTCTGTGTCGTTTGCAGCATGGGTGTTTCTTTTAGCATGTAGCTGTCCCCAGCCTCAATCTGTGAGCCTACCTCGACGAGACCATCCATACCGATCTTTTTGTGCTTGACATTAGTGGGATCACGATCAGCGAGCCTATCTGCTGCGCCGTTCTGGTAACCCTTGAGTGGCATGCTGATCTTCTTGAACACTTGACATCTACCGAAGCCTCGATCACATGAAGCTTTGTTTAGCACAAGAGCGTCTTCGATATCGTAGCCGGAATATGACATGACCGCCACGATGGCGTTCTGCCCTGCAGGAAGTTTATCGTACTTGACAAGCTCGATTGTTCGTGTACTGACCATCGGCTTCTGCGGATACACCATGAGGTAGAGGAGAGTGTCGATACGTGTGAATTGGTTGTAAGCAATAGCGCCGATAGCTTGCTTACCCATAGCGCACTGTGGAGAGAGTCAGTACGAGAAGATTGATTGCAGGGAATGGGGCTAATAACTTGATAAGTGTTTCTTGGCGACTGGTTGTGGTGAGGGTAAGGGATAAGACCAGCCACGGCACCAAGGATGGTGAACGGCTCGATCTCCAAGTGTGTCGTGTGTTGTGTGATGGCATCTTCATAGATCGCTATGTTCGAGTCGTTCTCTTCATTGACATCCAGATACTCAACAATGCCGCGCGAGAGTGCATCATCGAAGTCCATTGTGCCTTTCCGTATCGAGTCAAGAAAGCGGACTGTGACCTTTGATTTCGCCTTCTCGACGACGATCAGCGGCCGACATATCCGACCTTCGTCCGTGGCGATATGCACACCATTATGGTGATGATTGATGTAGATGCTTACGAACTCGGAAATCCGACCCATACGTCTGAAACGGCGGAAGGCGATCAAGAACTGCTTTGGCTGTCGCGTGAGTGCAAGAGGTGTGCCGTTGATGAAGATAATATATGCGCCTTCAGCGTAGACTTCTGCACCACTCGCTGCTGTGACATCCTCGGCGCCCAAGATGAAGATCATGCGTCTGACAGCCTCTTCGTTGTCAGCTGTCGTGATGTGTGTCATGAGCGCCAAGTTCTTGACCAGTCCACAAGCTTCGCCTTCAGGAGTGTCGGACGTGCAGATCATGCCGAACTGTGATGGTTGCAGCGCACGCGGTCCAGAGACCTTTCTCGTCTTCTCGAACTGTGACGTGATTCGAGTCATCATACCAAGAGCGCTGATGTAGCTTAATCGAGAAAGGACGTGGGTGACACCAGCCCGGTCCATACGAAAGCGCTTCAGTGTCCAATTACCAGTCGAAATCGCTCGTTCCATGCCGCTTGTTATGCGACCTTCGAACTGTCCGATGAGAGTGGAAGGATCGAACTCTTGAGTGGGATTTGGTTTCTTCAGAATCTTGTCCATGCTGGTCTTGATCATCTTCACAAACTCCTTGAACAAATCTTCAAAGAGTAGTGAAAGCATCTGGCCAGCCAGCTCAAGACGCTTGTTGCCAACATAATCACGGTCATCAACGAGCTTGGGGTCTTGCATGGCTTGGATGACTCTCCGAGTCATGAAAGCAATGTACAGCGCTTTCGGCCGAAAATTCATGCCCTGGACCTCGACGTGAGGGATGATAGTGCCGGCCAACTTGTCGAGTGCTTGCTGCTTCGGCGACCTCATTGCCCTTCCAGCAGAAGGAAAGCGGTCAGGCTTCAACTTCGTGGCAATGTAGTCCAGCGCTTGTTCCTGCGTGAAGATACCTTCGAGCGCTCCCTGCTCCAAGTTTGGGGCGAAAATGTCCTGATACTGTGCATCGTTGCCAGCAGCGAGGAGAAGGACTTCGTGATCAGATTGCACGCCCATTGCCCGTAGAACGATCGCCACTGGGATATCTTCGTTCAATGAGTTGTGTCTCAGATAGAGCAAGCCTTTCTTAAGCAGCACATATGTCTTGGTCTTGACGTTGGCAGTATGAGAGGTGACCGACGCTTGGTAGATGCCCTTGGCGACCTCGACAATCACACGGTTCTTGCTCAACTGCTCCTGAACTAGGATAACCTTCTCCTGTCCACGAACAATGAAATAGCCACCAGGGTCGACGGAGCATTCATTCAGTAAGCTCATCTCCTTTTCCGTTTTGCCTTTCAAAACACATTTGCCACTTCGAAGCATCATTGGCATCCGCCCGATCTGGATGTCCTTCTTCGTGTACTTGCCAGACTGTTTTGGGTAGACTATATCGACGTAGATAGGAGCAGCGTACGTGATGTCGCGCAGTCGACACTCATTCGGCGTAACACCAGACTCGACGTAGCCGGTCGTGCGATCTTCGAGTCGATTAGGCTTACCGATCCGGATATCTGTGAACATGATGAACTTGTCTCGAGATGTGTCCGATCGGACCAGAGCATTTGCACGAACGATGTCCTTGAGCGCCGTATCCGTGAAGTAGTCGAATGAGTCGATGTGCTGCTTGACCAGACCCTTGACTCGCAGGAATGCAGGGAGAAGATTCCACTTATCACGGGCAGTGTTGATGGGATCTGTGAGATGCTTGGTGTAGTAGAAAGGCTTCAGAAGTTCGTCCATATCATCCTTGACTGCATGTCGCTTTGCTTGTGACTTCTGCCCACCTGTGGCGTTTGGCGTTCTGGTCGATGATGCATTTTGGCCGTTTGCAGCAGCTTCATCTACTTCGTCCGTAGCTTGGTCCTTCCCCTTGACCCGCCGTGCTGGAGGGGTTTTAGCTGCTTTTGCCGAACTCTGGTCATATGTCAATATCTGTGAAGACCGTTCCGCTCAAGGTTGTGGCGTTGGTATACCTTTGCATAAGGTTCTGCCACCTCCACCGGTCCAGCCTTCTTCGCTCGCGGCGGCATTCTTGTGTCTAGCAGAAGCACCTTTGCCTCGATATCGTAGAATCATCGGTGGAATCAAGAGCGTTATGTGTAGAACCAATCATTCTACTAGAGGTCACGAAGCAAAAATGCCGAGCTGGACTTTATACCGCTGACTAAGCAGTTTTGAAGCCCGCGCCATGGTTTCGGTCAAACCGCACTCACTGTAGCAACATGAGTGTACCAAAGACTTGCTGAGAGACTATTATTCACACCATCGACCAAGGGAATCGAAACATGTTCAACATTCATTCGCTACTGCAGACTCGATGGCGCAGTCTTAAGAACAATGAGCCTCCTTCGGGGGTCGTGTCCACTTGAGAATCCCGAAGGTGCCTGAACAGAACTTCCTCGGGCCGTCCATGCGGCCTGATTGAGGTGAGTCGAGTCGTTGTCGGTGGGCTCCATCGTTCTGGAGCTTTAAGCTTGCAGCTCGCCAAAAGCGCTTAAATCGAGTGTGCTATGGCGATAGCGTGTGCGAGCTCAGAGGCAGATCGCACTGCTATATGGCGAAGGGGATCCAGCCAGACGTCACTGTACATCGAAGCACACAACCTGTGCAGGGATTAAGGCTGTCGGGTACTCACAATAATGGAGCAAAAGGTCAGAAGTACTAGGAGCTGAAGGCTGGACAGACCGCTTAAATGACGATTTCATCCTACCAGCGAACATGTATTCCTGAAGAGGTGATATGGTTCTTATAGCTTGTTGTAACTCACGAAGTGCTGAGTATGCAACCGTAGAGACCCTACATGTAGATAGACCCTGCATTCACAAGCGCCATGTTTTAGAATACCCCTTGTCGCTATTTACCAGCGTGCGCTCGAACCTCTCTACTAGCTGAGAGCTGCGGTCTGGCCGTGCTCTCTCTTCGTGCGGGCGTTGAGTACTCAGGCAATTCGTTTCACGTTTGTGTGCAACCCGCGATTGATCGACCAATCTACCGAGAAGTCTCCAGTTGCGCCAAGACCGGGCTATTGCATATATCCCTAACTGCCCACAACCACCAAAGACCCTCGGCTCACCACCCCACTACTACACCCCGTGGGCTCGGTCCTGTCCTTTACTCTTCTCACCCAAGACACGCTCATTCTGCCCTGAATCATTTTAATCGCATCTGAACACACTTATCGGCTCTCGGACCATCCTTTACGCACTCGAGACCACCTCGGAAGCGGTCAGTATGGACCTCACCGAACCGCTACTAGAGGTGGGACATGACTGACATGGCTATAGACGTCCCAACATGGCGTATTACTACCGTGGGGCCCAGTCTCCTCGCGACGAGCAGCAGGTCCCTCTCTACTCGAACCCGCTCTCACCACAACGTAATCCGAACCGCCTGAGTGGTGGAATGATTGTGAACAACCCAGCTCGGAATGGCTTGACGAGGAGGTTCACAACAAATGAGATGCCGACTTTGTCACCAATTGGACAGCAGCGCAAACAGGCCGCAGGAGATTATATGGTGAGTGCATTTCTTTCTAGTTTCTTCGGCAGCATGGCAGCATAGCAGTGGGCTTGGGGGCTATGGCAGCGAAATTGGGCGAAACAGGCAGGAGAACAATAAAGCTGGGGTCCAGTAGACAACAAAGTACCATAGGCGATGAGATGCAGGGCGTGAGCTTGTGCGTACGTGCGAACTGTCTTTACAACAAAAGCTCGACGGCTAAAGGAACGTGGCCTCTGTGTTTGTAGAAAGAGTAGGCTAGGGGTGGTGAGGCCTGGTACAGAAGTTCTTTTCTTTTGCTGACGATCCAGGTCCAGGGATCTGGCTTTCCCAAGATGATGCAGGTGAGTGGCCAAGTGCAACAGCCATTCCCTGTTCTGAGGCTATCGTACTGACTCTTCTAGACCGATGAACGAGTCCGTCATTACGAGCTGCTCCTCGCTAAGCAGCGTCAACTTCAAGCCGAGCTTGCAGCAGTCGATCCTGAGACGCGCCGAGAAGTAGACCAAGGCTTGCTCCACGAGGAGTCTATTGCGGCAATGATGGCTGCCAGCGAGCCCACCAGCCCTCCGGAGTATGGCAACGCTTTTCCAAATGCGTTCTCGAAGCCCAACAGGTACTCGAACGCGAGCTTGAGCTCAGTGCAAGGAGCCACGAACCGAGCGAGTAGGTCAAGCACCCAGCTCACATCGCCATCGGCTGGATATGTGCGCCCATACACATCCGGGCACGCACAAATTCCATCACAGTCTGTACCAGGTTCGCGTCGTCAGTCTGATGATGAAGAAGAGGATGACTTCATCTACGGCTTCGATACCGCCGTTAATCGAGCGGCAGCAAAGTAAGTCTCACGTTCGTTCAACGTGGTCCGAGCGTCCAGCACTCGTGATCCCTCACTCACTCGGCTGGGTTCGCATGTCGTTCACTTCACATAGCACAATAAGCGCTCACTCGACAATGCCATGGGTGACCAGCCACTTTGCTTATTGTTGCGTTGCAACAATAGCACGATTTTATGTCTGTATTTCTGAATTTCTGCGCTGACACTTCATTTGCCTTAGTCCAAACCGCAACTCCATGCCAATTACTGGCTACGGCCGCAAGCGCAACACAGCAGACTTATCGACTCTCGCTTCAGTCAACCCATCGAACTATTTCCTCGACGAGAACGAGGTCAGCCACTTGCAGCAGCCTCACTCGAACACCACTTCACCGCCGATATCAAGAGCCTATCTGCAAGTGCTTCAGACCGCAGACGGCTTCCCAAAGCTCATTCGCCGCGAAGACAACGTTGACCTGCCGTCCTCCGCGCTCGATCTGGCTCTCGCACAGGGTGTGGATCCTCAGACGCAGCTTACCGACCGCTCCACAGCCAGCCGTCACCGCATCTCTTTGCCACCCAGCGCTTTGAGCAGCAACTTTGGCATTGCTCCACTCAACGGCATACTCGCAAACGCTGAAGGCAAGCCCTCTGCCAACAACCGTCGTTCTATGGAAGTCAAGTTCTCGGCTGAGACAAAGCGCCCATCGATCATGGCTACACCGCCTCGTGGAGTGCCGAACGGCAGCGCGCAGAAGCCGACCACGTCTTACTCAACCAACGACATTCCAACATTGAGGAGCATCAATGGTGACGTCTCTGGTGCAGCTCTTCCAAACGTTTCTACCATCACCTCTCCCCTCCGTCAGCCTCTCGGTCCTTCTGACTCTTCTCCTGACACCGAGATCAGTCGCATCACTTCTGCTCCAAGCTCCGCTCAACAGAGTCGTGATCTTGCTTCAGCTATCATCAGGGCAGACGACGGGGGCGATTCATTTGTGCCTCCTCTCAACTCAGGCCTTCAGGCGAATGCACAGCCTTTCGGCTTCGTTGGCAACTTTCACGACAGCAACATGCCCAGTAACAGCGTCCAGAATGGCGTTTCTCCATACGCTCAGCCAAACTTCTACGGCGGCTACAACATGCCAATGCTCAACAATGGCTTCAACAATATGAGTCTCAATGGGTACGGTGGTCAGCCGCAAGCTCAGTCCCAGTGGCCCGGTCAGATGGGTGGCTATGGGCAGCAAAGCAGCTACAATGGATATCAGCAGTACGGTCAAGGCAACCACGCCGTCGCTGGTGCTGGTCGATACAGTGATGGCCAGCGCGCTCAGCTGCAGCAGCGTCGTCAAGCTCAAGAGGAGGCCCAAGCTCGGTTCAGTACCATCACCATTGATCAGCTTGTTGGCGAGATCTATACGTTGTGCAAGGACCAGCATGGCTGCCGCTTCCTTCAGCGCAAGCTTGACGAGCGTGCAGACGATGCTGTTAACATCATCTTTGAGGAGATCAAGGAGCACATCATCGAGCTGATGACTGATCCTTTCGGCAACTACTTGTGCCAGAAGTTGCTCGAATGCACCGATGATCAGCAGCGCACTGTTCTCATGCAGAACGCATCCCCAGCCATGAAGAACATTGCCACCAACCAGCACGGCACTCGCGCTCTACAGAAGATGATTGAGTTCATCACGACGCCAGAGCAGATCGAAATCATCATCGACTCGCTTCGCACGGAGGTTGTGCCTCTCATTCAAGACCTCAACGGCAATCACGTCGTCCAGAAGTGCCTCAACCACCTCAGCCCGGAGAACGCTCAATTCATCTTCGATGCCGTTGGTGCCCACTGTGTTCCTGTAGGCACTCATCGTCACGGCTGCTGTGTCCTCCAGCGCTGTATCGACCACGCTTCCGGTGCTCAGAAGGGGGAGCTCGTCAACCACGTCATCGGCAATGCCTTTGAGCTCGTGCAGGATCCCTTCGGCAACTACGTCGTTCAGTATATCCTCGATCTTAACGAGAACACTTTCACCGAGCCACTGTGCCGCAGCTTCGAGAACCACGTCGCCTTTCTCTCCAAGCAGAAGTTCAGCTCCAACGTCATCGAGAAGTGCATTCGCTGTGCCAACAACAACGTGAGGCGCTCTCTTGTCCAAGAGATAACCGTTCCGATCGAACTCGACAAGCTCCTTCGCGACTCCTTCGCCAATTACGTGGTTCAGACTGCCATGGATTATTCTGACGAGGAGACCAAGCGTGCTCTCATCGAGAACATCCGTCCCATCTTACCTGCTATCCGCCATACTCCATACGGTCGTCGTATCCAGACTAAGATTGGCGAGTACGACGCTCGCATGTCCACGTCGTCCTCGAGCGCTCCCTCGGCCATGGCATCTGGCGTCACCACTCCTGCTGACCCGCTTAGCCCGCCAAGCGTGAACGGCATTATGAACGGCCTATCTCCGTACAGTGCTGCTCAGACCGTGCCATCTGGTGGTCGTGCTAATCGTCATGGCTGGGCCGGTCCTCCTCCTCAGTGGGGTGGCCTCGCCAACGGCGTGAGTGCTAACGGCATGGCTAATGGCATGTCTGCCAACGGCATCAATGGCTACAGCACCAATGGCTATGCTGCTCCCAACGGCTACGCCAACCATGATGTCCCCGCCGATATCGCATCACCTACTCCTCAGCGTCACAGCCAAGGCAACAACATCTTCGCCGCCGAAGCTGCTCATGCCTTCACCAACCCAACTGGCTTCAACCGCTTCTAAGCGCATGTCGCACATCCATGCTCGCTTACTGTAACAACACAACACGACGATGTACTCACAACAGCCTCATTCATCATGAGCTACGAAACTCTTCTGCAACGGCCTCAAGCTTGCCACGATAGATGACTGGCGTTCTCCACATCGAGATTACGCATCCTTTGACGTGACAGCTACTTGCATCTACGATCGCACGTTTCTCGCGACTATGCATGGATGCTCTTGTACCACTATCCAGCATCAAACCACCGGCGCAAACCATCTGTCGGGCGAGCGAACAGCGACTGGCTTTGGATAGCTCGTCGGCTTAGTACCTCACCTGGCACACCCTTTCCTCTGCTCTTACGGCTTTTCTGGGTAGGCGCCTTCTCGGCGCAAAAGAGAAGGAATGTCCTGCTTGCTCACTTTCTGGCTCATTCTGCTCGCTTTCACGCCTTGCCACGCGACCATAACATATTTACCTACACACACAGTTACCGATACGAAATGAAAGAAACTATCTTCGAAGCATGATCCCGACGACCTGAACACGTACGAGTCTTGTACTTTTAGCCATGCGAGGAACTTCTTGAATACAAAAAAGGTGGAGTGGATATCTCGATTGGAGATTTTTTTTAGGTTCTTTGCATGATGAAGGAGATGGATATTTAGCGCTTGACGCTTTTGGGTATATGAGAGAAGAGAAGAGATGAGAGATTTGGCTACTTCGTTGTATGATAGCTGTCCAACAACGTTCTCCAGAAATCTGCTACGTTATGTGCTCTTGCTGTGTTCCCGTGTCATTCTTGTACACGTTATACAAAATGGTACAGATCTGAGGGTGGAGAAGTGCAGGGTTTCATCTATCCATCTATACACGTCCTGCTCGTAGCAGACTCTACATAGCCTCCTCAGGTAGGCAAGAACGCCACGCTAATGTCCAAATCACCACTTATCGTACACCAAATCATACACAGCCTCATGCGCACTTATACCTCACACCCTCACTGCCTCGCCACTGCCCTTCCAGCACCTGCAGCCACCTACGATCAATCCAGCTCACTCCCTCACTCCCACCCCCTCACCGCCTCGCCACCACCCCTCCAGTCCCACCCCCAGCACCACCAGAACCCCCCATCTCCCTCCCCACCCACCCAACCATCCCCCCAAAAAACCTCACGCAAAAACTCTCGGTATAAAACTCATGCGCCGAACTATGCTCCGCAACCAAATTATGCGCCAACTCGTGACACAACGTAATCCACCAATACGCCCCGGCCTCCACCTTCCCCTCCACCTCCCCGGACACAAATCCATCGAGATGTAATTGTTCAAAGTACCGGAGATTACAGAAGATGGAGCCATTAGAATTGAAGGCTATGGCGGAGCCGGAGATATCGTGGAAGATATTCAGGACGGTGGCGGGTAAGGTGAAGATGTGGCTGAGTTGGGTTAGGAGGTGGGTGAAGTGGGTTAGACTGGTGTGGTGGTCGCGGAGGAAGACGTTGGGGTCGCGGTTTGAGGAGCGGGTCAGGAAGAGTCTTATTCCGCCCTGCAGTTCCGTGATGAGTTGGAGGTCGTGGCCGGGTTTGCTGTCGCAGTAGGAGGGGGTTTCTTTGATTTCGTTTGTTTCGGGCGGGGTGAAGAGGGAGGTGGAGTTGTAGGGGCGCGTGGCTTTGATGGCGGATAGGAGGTTCTGTTGGAGGTCGCGGGGGGAGGAGACTTGTTCTGTTCCGCTGGTGATTTGGCGGCGGATGTTGGGGTCGCGGGGTTCGTAGGGGGGTGGGAGGTCGGTTTGAGGTAGGTCGTGGCTGCTTTGGCCGTTACCGAGGAGATTCTGCATGTGCTGGCCTGCTTGGCTTCCTTGGTTGATACCGAGAGCCTTGGTGATATTACTGAAGACACCTTTCTTGCCACGACTACTCTCGGGTCTTTGCTCAGGCGAGTCGGCAAACCCACCCGGCATGGCCAACTGCCTCTCCGGAGTCTCTGGAGGCTGAGTATCCATCTGCGGCGCCTTGCCACCAGCTCCATTACCAACGACCAAAGCCTTCGAATCCTGCTGCTGCTGCTGCTGCTGTGGCATAGCCTGACTCTCAAGCAACCGCCGCTGCTCCTCCTCCCGCTTCACGCGTTCACTCTCCGCAATCCTCGACTCCGCCGCTCGTTGTCGTAAGATCCGATCGACATTATACCCCTTCGTCCTGAGCCTCCTAAGCTCCGACTCCAAGATCGTCTCCAAAGCAAGATAATCCTGCTGTCTCGGCCGCTTCAACAACAAACTCATGATAGCCCTGCTGACCTCGTAAAGATCATACTGCGCAGTAACATAAAGCGTAGCATCCCTCTTACTCTCACGATGCAGAGCAGCTGTTCTCCTCTCAACAAAGTGCATCTTGTAGCCTTGAAGTCGCCGGGTGATCTGCAGGAACTCTGTGACTTTGACATTGAGGTTCTGTTCGAGCCAGCGAGCATCATGTCTAATGACATCGCTGGTGTGATCATGCAGGAACAAGCGACAGCGCTCCACAATCAGTTTCTGCAGTTTAGCCGCTGCGCTCTGATCCCTAAGCAGCGCACCCATCCTCTGATCATCCTCGACGAGTTTGCTGAGCCATGGTGTCTCGAGAGCAGAATACAGATTCTCCAGGACTTCTTCCTGCGGTGCTGTGAGCAGCAATTGCTGAAACAGCCGATAAGTCGCAAAGTCATCCACGATAACCATCCCCAGGGCAGAAGCGAGCGAATACTCCTTGATATAAATCTCCTCCTCATCCACCTCCCTGACCTTCTCATTCTCCTTCCCCGGCAAAACCTTCACAACCTCCTTCACCGCAAGCAAACAAGCCGACCGCTTCAACTGCTGCCACAATGCCTTATCCTTCTTCAGTCCAGCCGCGGACTCGGCGACCTTGCGTAAAAGCTGCAAATACTTCTCCGCCCCCAATGTCTCGAGCAGTCGCGCAGGCGAACTCACAACCATACCCGCAATCTCCGCCGCACTAGGCTCATGCTTAGAACCCACCCGCAACAGAAAAGAATTCGCCTCGGGCCCAAAATCCACAAAGTCGAAAATCTCCCCATACGTCGAACTATCCCCCAAAAAGCAAGCCCTCGGCGTCACGAACCGCACCCCCTCAGGCCGCTTCTCCGTCCTATCAATAATCGGCACAATAAGCGCCTCCCCCAACCTCTCTGCCAGGTTCCCATTCGGTCCAATCTCCCCCAACCGATTAGCGAAATACCCAAACAACACCCTCGCACTCTCCACCGTAGCCGGCGGACCCTTCACCAACCTCTCCGCCGCCACCTCAATCCCCGGATCCTGCGCCACCCCAAGCATAGCAGCATGCGGTACCAAATCCTCCCTTAACGTCCGAAACCTCAGCACCGCCGCACGAGGATTAGCAAAACACTGTCTCGGCTTCGCGACCAAGTTCGCCCCTTCGCCGGGAAAAGGATGAACAGGGAGGAAAGCCGTTTCGACACCCGAGATGTTGAACTGATGGTAGTTGTTGGCGAAATTGTGCACGATGAGGTAGTTTAGCGCGCTCTGTTGGAGTTCGCTGCCCATGGGGGCTTTGGAGAGGATTTGCACGAGGTCCGGGACTGAGGGGTAGGGTTGCAGACCCAGGAGTTTGAGGAAGCGGGCTTCGGGGCTTTGGGGACGGTAGGGCGCACCGGGCCATTGGAGAATTGGCAGGCCGAGTTTTCGTATCGCTTCGGAGGGCTCGAAGAGGTCGGAGAGTTTGTGGAGTTTGGCTTTATTTTTTTGGTCGGCGGATTGCACTTCGGCGGGGCAGATGGGGGTGGCGCGGAGCTTCTTAAGGTCTTCTTGGGGGATGTCGTCTTTGACTGAGACGAGGTATTTGATTAGGTCCACATGGCTCCATTTTCCTTCCTCCGTGGCGCCGGCGGCTGACTTGGCCATAAGGCGTTCGAAGACGACGTTGAGCTCGACTGTTTTCCGTACGCCGAGGGCGCTAAGGAATTTCTCCTTTGTGCCTTGGAGGCCGGTGATGGTGGGGAGGTCGTCGAAGAGCTTGACGCTGCCGAAGTAGGCTTGAGGTGGTTTGCGCATGCCGAGTTTCGTCGGGATGACGGTGCGAGGGACTAGGAGCTCGGTGACGGTCTGCTTGCTAGACACTGATAACCCATCCCACGACTTCGAGACCACGGGTAGGACTTGTGAAGCCACGGCAGGTGTAGCAGTCAAAGTCTGTCGTCCACCAAACCCGTGCCCGTCGCTTTCGATGATCCATCGAAGCCATGGCACAATCTGCAGCTCTTCCCATCCAATCGATTCGAGTTGTTTCGGACTTAGACCCTTCGTCAGCCGGAAAGGAATCGTCTGAGGCGGCGTAGGCATCTCAGCAGGAATCTTGGCCACATTGACGAAACTCTGCACGCCGCCAAGCTGTATGACAGGGCTGGAAGAGACATTAATGTACTCCTCGCTGATGCCCGCCACAGTGCCATCGAAAAGGTGCCGTATAGCCTGCGTATCCAGTTCCTCCCTCGACACTTTACCACACGCCCACTTCACCAGCTCCGTGACTTGCTGTTCAGTCAAAGCCTGCGCCTCGAGCTCTTTCTTGATATCCGTGGTCGTAATGTCGGATAGCAATCCGAAATCCCTTAATTTCTGCAAGAAAGCATTCGCCTTCTCCATCAGCTCATCCGGCACGACAGGTATCCCCTCAACAAAGCTCAATTCCTCCGTCGCGACTCTGACCTGCTGACTCGGCAGCACACCTCTCGTACTCAAGACATCAATACTAGCCTTCTGGTTACACATCCAGAATGCCTCCTCGATATACTGTCCCACTTTTGCCGAAGGAGTGGATTCATCGTAATTATACTGCTTATAAGCATGCACAGCCGCAGGCATCACAGCAGCAATGTCGTCCTTCGAAACCTTCTTCCGGCCGTTGGCGAACATTGTGCGCTCAAGCTTGGCTTTCAGCTCGGCCATCTCACCTGTATATGCTATTCGGCAGGCGATACCAGCTACACGTAACATTTCCACGTTCCAGTCACGGACATATCGGGCGTTGAGATCGATGGACTCGCGTTCGACGGTGGGGATCACGGATGGGGCTGAGATGTGTGCCAGAAGACCTGTGGTTTGTGCGGTAGGGAAGCCGATGAAGATCTTGCCATTCTTGGTTGGTAGAACGGAGGAGAAGATGGCGCTCGATTGTGCGGAGCCGGCTCCTGATGCGACTGCTGCCGAAGATTCGTCGTATGAGGAAGTCAAGATCGCTATACGTGTGTGTTTTGGCGGCGGTTTCTTGGTCGCACGTTCGAGCTCGGCAGATAGCTGCTTGCTGACATACGTCTGCACATTGACAGTGCTGAGTCGTAAGAAAACGGTCGCCTGGCTGAATCCCGCCAAGTCCACATACAATGCCTGCTGCAACACCTCCTCGTCTCGTTGTGCCCGTTTCGTGACCGCATTCGTCGTTCCAGTACCTGCTGTGAACCGACTGAACCAATTCCGTAACGAGCCACCTGATGTGTCGTTTTGTGAAGGCACCGCGATGGCTGTGGCAGAGGGTACTGTTCTATTCCACCCGACCACATTCATCCATGTCGCATCGATCTGAGCATTCTGGTATTCCACGTCCACGATCTTCATGAGGCCATCTCGTGTTCTCGGATTGACCTCCTTGGGTATGCTCACACTAGCTCCCGGCGCCATCTTCTTGTTCAACTTCAGGATGTTCCATTCGTCCAAGTATAAATCTATGCATTCCAACCCCACGAACGTCAGGCTCGTGGCAAGAAACTGACATAGACTTAGGAGCTGCGGCACCGGTGTCGTCTGACTCCGATAGTCGAGCAGAAAGGTAGTACCCTCCGTCGCCTGCTCATCAGGTAATTTGCCTCTTCGTGTGAACAAACTGTCCTTCTTCCAGTAGAACGCCATCGACTGCTTGCCAGAGCTGACGAAAGGCGTCTCACAGTCGGCGAACACACTGTAGAAGCCCACACCGAACGCTCCAATCTTCGTCTCGTCCGGATTGCCTTCTGCGATCCTCTTCAGCCGTTGCCAGTCATTCTCGGCGAAGAGCTCGCCATCGTTGCTGACGAGTAGCGTTTTGAGGGTGTGATGTTGCAGGACATGGCGGAGATGATCTGATGGATCCCGACTCGGTGGTAGGGGGACTGTGGAGGAAGGCGATGTCTCGAAACGGATGGTGACTTTCTTGGCCTGCGCATCGGCGGCATTCTGGATTAGTTCTCGTAGGGTCGTCCATTCTCCGGAATATCGTGCTAGTACTTTGTCGATGAGGGCTCGGGTATTGACTGTGACCGCCTCTTCATCCTCGTGCGAGCCCATGGTCTGCTCTCGTAGGCGGGCATACTGCGATGCAGCCATGTTGCCGCCTGCTGTGGACAGACTTGTGTTTGTATGTCGCTACTCCTTCACTAAAGACGTTGATATGTTCAATATGACATTCAGAATAACATTATAGGTGGTCAGTAAAGAGTGTGTGTGTGTGTTAGGCCGTGATAGAACGTAACATAACGATATACGTGGAATCTGCTTAGTAGTTATTAGAGAGTCTGTGGCGAATCTACTACTACTCAGCCCAGGCCAGGCTTCGAGGATGTCGCGCTTCGCGTGCTTAATATGACATGTGACGCAACGCGGCTCTGCGAACAGAAAGCTTGAGTGAAAGTTTAATTTTGGGCGCGTTTGGAGATCCAAGCTTCCAATTATGTTATGGCAACCAAGAACACAAACGATGCGATTGTGAAATAATACCACCTTCTTATAGAAGAAAGTGATTGAGATGGCAGTCGATATACAAGGTATCGCAGGCCTACTGCAAGCCAGCCTCGACGCCAAGAACAATCGACAAGGTATGTGGCATGCTCGTGTGAGCGGAAAGTAATGTCGCAGCCCATATACTGATTGAGTTACAGCCGAGCAATCGTTACGAGCAGAAGAGAGCAAACCCGCCTTCTCACTCGCACTCCTCCAGATCGTCGCCACAGACAGCTTACCACAAACCACCCGACTCGCCGGCGCATTATTCTTCAAAAACTTCATCAAGCGGAATTGGGTCAACGAGGAGGGCGAGCACCAGCTACCTCGAGATGAAGTCAGCACGATCAAGAGTGAGCTCATTGGGTTGATGGTGAAGGTGCCGCCGTCGATTCAAGCTCAATTAGGGGATGCGATCAGTGTCATCGCCGACAGTGACTTCTGGGAGAGGTGGGAGACTCTGGTGGATGATCTGGTGTCACGCTTCACCCCGGACAATGCACAGGTCAATAATGGTGTCTTGCAAGTCGCCCACTCCATCTTCAAGCGGTGGGAGCCGCTATACCGATCCGACGAACTATACACCGAGATCAACCACGTGCTGTCCAAGTTCGCGACACCATTTCTCCAGCTATGGCAGAACACCGACCACGTCATTTCGCAGAACGAGAACAACGCGGAAGTACTCAAGGCGCAGTTCAGCACGCTCGACCTTATTATGAAGCTCACATACGATCTCTCCACCCACGACATGCCACCACAATTCGAGGAGCACTTGGGTGCTATCGCTGGTCTATTACACAAGTACCTCACATACGACAACGCCGCGTTACGGTCCAGCGATGACGACGAAGCTGGGCCGCTGGAGTCAGTAAGAGCAGGTGTGTTTAAAGTACTCGTGCTGTACACGAGAAAGTATGAGGAGGAGTTTGAGAAGCACACGGAGCAGTTCATCGGCACATCTTGGACGTTCTTGACTGGTCTGGGCCCGGAAGCAAAATACGACGTGGTAGTCAGCAGAGCGTTGGAGTTCTTGACCATTGTTGTTGGCATCAGGAAATATGCTGAGCAGTTCAATGGATCGGATGTGCTGAGCCAGGTAACGGAGAAAGTGGTTATACCCAATCTCTCACTACGAGAGTCGGATGTGGAGACCTTTGAAGATGAGCCGATTGAATTTATACGAAGAGATCTGGAGGGCTCAGACGAAGACACAAGACGGAGAGGAGCGACTAACTTCCTTCGCAAACTTATGGAACAATTCGAGAAGCCAGTCACGGATGTGGTGATGCGATATGTCGACCACTTTCTAGCAGAATATGCCAAAGACCGGAAAGGTAACTGGAAGGCAAAGGACACCGCAGTGCATCTCTACTCCTCCATCGCAGCCAAAGGTGTCTCAACATCTGCCAAGGGCGTGCTCAGCGTCAACAGCAACATCGACGTGATCGACTTCTTCCAGAAACACATCGCCGAAGACCTCACCACAGCCGGCACCGAGCCACTCCTCCAAGTCGACGCGATCAAATACCTCTACATCTTCCGCAGCATCCTCTCCGCACCCCAATGGCTAGCCGCCTTTCCCCTGCTGGTCCAACACCTCAACTCCTCCAACTACGTCGTCTACACCTACGCCGCCATCGCCGTCGACCGCGCCCTCTACCTCCTCAACGACCAGAACCAACCAATAATCCCACGCAATAGTATCGTGCCCCTATCAAAGGACCTCCTCCAACACCTCTTCACCCTTATAACCAAGGACACGAAACCCGAAAAGGTGCAAGAGAACGAATTCCTCATCAAATGCTGCATGCGCGTCCTCATCGTCATCCGCGACAGTGTAGTCCCCATCATGGACCTCGTCCTGACAAATCTCGTCAACATCACCAAAGTCATCCGCCACAACCCCTCCAACCCAGGCTTCTGCTACTACCACTTCGAATCGCTCGGCGCGCTAATCCGCTTCGCCGGCCCAACCGAACCCTCGAAGCTCGAAGCCGGCCTCTTCACCCCCTTGACCGAAGTCCTCAGCTCCGACACCGACGAATTCCGCCCTTACATCTTCCAGCTCCTAGCCGCTCTAATCCACACCAACCCGTCCCCCGTCCTCTCCCCAAACATGCAAGGCATCCTCACCCCCTGCCTAACCCCTACTTTATGGGAAACCCGCGGCAACATCCCCGCCCTAACCCGCCTCCTCTGCAACATCCTCCCCCTCGCCCACGCCCAAATCCGCGCCCAAAACCAACTCGAACCCCTCCTCCTCATCTTCCAGAAACTCGTCTCCACCAAAACCCACGAAACCTACGCCATGGACCTCCTGGAAACCCTCACCGCTTCCTTCCCCCCAGCCGCGCTAGAGAAATACTGGATCACCATCCTCTCCCTCCTCTTCACCCGCCTCTCGGCCAGCAAAACGGAAAACTTCACCCTCCGCTTCATCCGCTTCTACCATCTCGTCTCCGCCTCGGTGGAAAGGGGTCTCGGGGCGGATTTCTTCATCAAGGTCGCCGATCAGGTGCAGGAGAATGTTTTCACCGCCGTGTATACGCAGATTATTCTTCCCGAGACACAGAGGATTACGCGGCCTTTTGATCGGAAGACGGCGGTTGTTTCGCTCACGAGGACGTTGGCGGATTCCGAGGCGTTTGTCGAGAGGTATAGTAAGAGGGGGTGGACGATTACTTGTCAGGCGTTACTTCAACTTCTTATTAATCCGCCTTTACCTACGAATAACACAGCCGGGGTTGAGGCGGCGATCGAGGAGAGGGATGTGGATGATCTGTCTTTTGGGGCGGCGTTTACGCAGTTGAATACGTGTCGGCAGGCTCCGAGGGATCCGTGGCCGGAAGTTCAGGATGTTAAGCGCTGGGTAGGGGAGACGCTTAAGGAGGCGGATCAGAGGCATGGGGGACGGATTGGGCGGTTCGTTGGTGAGAAATTGGGGGCGGAGGAGAAGGCTGCGCTTGGGGCTGTGATGGGGTAGGTGGTTGATTGTCTTGGGGAAGAAGGAAGTAGAGGAGGTTGATGTAGTGTAGTGTGGTGTGGTGTGTGGATGTGGGGGTGGTGTGGGAGATGGATAATGGGAAGGGATGAGATGGATGAGAAGAAGGCGAAGTATTCCGAACTCGCTGTTTGACCTCGTCTGCAGGGTTCTCGCGTAGATGGGAGAAGACTGGTCTGGTGGTGGTGGTGGTGGCGGCGAATGTATCTACGTAGTACGAATCGGGTATAAGGAACAGAGAGTACCCACGATGTTTTTCTGCTATACCCTAGACCATCCTACTATGCGACCCCCCTACCGAAATGTCCGTTTGTCATCGCTAGCATTGCGGACCCGCACCATCTTTCCCTTTCGGTCTGGAAGTGATATAAAGGCCGTCAAAGCCAGATAGCCTTGTGACGCATCGAACAATGTTCAAGATCGTCGAGTAAGACATTACCATTACCATTACCATTCCATGTATATATATCCGCCGGCTCAGACCTCACCCACTCACGTAAGCCCACCTCGACTGAGACCCGAGTCTGCGGGCTAATATATCACTCCCACCCCATCTCATCCGATCACATATCCATATCACCCCCTCTCCCTTGCATCGCACTCCAGCAATACTGTAGGGTGCAATTACGTGTCCCGAGTAAACTGCTCATATTCCGGCTGCACACATCGTTGATTATGATCACACGGGGCCCCTCATCGCAGGCGTCGTAGAGGAGAAAGAAATCGTATCCGGCAGCAGATTACTCACGGATTGGGCTTTGGACCAGTGAGCCTGATGTCGTTCGTGGCCTGTAGAGAAACAAAATCATCAGCAAGCATACACACGGACGACCACGCTCTCCATATGGAAGGAGAACGGTCAGGGTAAGGGGTAGGTCGACTTACTCTGACCGTAGGTTCCACAGCCCGAACAGGCATGGGCGAAACATCCTCCATCCTCCCTCATTCACAGTCGTGCCACTTATAACCCCTTCCAGACGGCCTAGCACTCTTGGGGCTCGACTACTCTCGCCTGCTCTGGTCCCACTCCCATCCAAAAACCCCACTCTTCTTCGTCCCCAAAAGTCCAACCCGCCAATAATCCACCTCAACAATCTGATCCAACTGCCTCAACCGCCTATCCACCATCCCCGTCGTCAAAATGCCACTCAAACCCGGGAACGTCCGACGCATTTTCAGCACGATGGTGGGGAGAGGGTAGCCGCGGACGTCGAGGAGGCAGATGGCCCGGTCGTGTTGTTCGAGCCAGTTGGTGGGGAGGGGGCCGGCGGCTGGTGTTGTTTCTTCGGGTTGGTCGTGGAGTGAGGTAGGGAGGGATCGTGTGGTTGCGGGGGCATTGAGGTGGTAGCGATCCTCTGCCGAATGAGTGGACGAGGGCACAGCTTCGCTCTTACCCCTGCCCCGTCTCGCGAGCGCAGGCGTATCGTCCTTCCTCTTCTCCCGTGTCCCAATCCCCATCCCCTCACTCCTCGGACTCCCCGGACTAGTATCAACAGCCACCATAGTAGGTTTCTGGAACGTAGGCATAGGCGGTGTACTGTGCAGTTCCGGCAAGAACGTCGTGTCTCCACCTCCATCACCTCCGCCTCCGTAATAGTTCCCTCCAGTCATGCTGCGAGCGGACTCCGCGGTAGGGGTGAGAGTATTCGTGCGGTCTTTAATAGGTGTCTCGAGCTGCATAGCAGAGGAAGCCGAGCGATTCTTCCAACGACGTATCATGGCGCTGCGACGAGGATCATGGTCTTCTGCTGAAGGTGGTGTGGCTGCTGCTGTGGGTGCTATGGCCGTGGAAGTCGAGGAGGAGAGTTTGGATTTCTGGGTAAGCGTCAGCTACCTATCTCACAACACAGCGCAAGGGGGGAGGAGTTCTTGGATGAAGTATGAGGACGAACCATCGTATCCCGCCACGACAGCGCCGAACTGTTGAATCGCTGTAGACTGAGTCGTGACTGCTAAGCACAAGATCACGGTATCAGCAAGCCCACTCTCCATACAAGTCCTGCAATACAATGGACTGGAGTCCCAACTCACCCGACTATTCCTCTGAGTTGCACTATGTCCAACGACCCTGATCCTCTCAGCTGGAAACTGCACGCCAAGGTAGCGATTGATATCGGTGCCGAATCTCTTCCGTGGAGGGGCGGAGGAGGAGGAGGAGGAGTCCATGGTAAGAGGATGTGCGGTAAGGGCAGGAGAAAGGATCGAGTAAGGTACTCCTGCATCTTGGAAAGAATAATCTAAATGGATGAGCAGGTGCCAGGTGGGAGGGAACATGGTGACTGCAGAAGCTGCGTCGCTGTCAACGTTTCCGAGTGGTAGAAGGTAGCACACGACCAGGACCAAGGAAAGGGAAGGAACTACCATATCAGCATAGACTGCAAGTGCGATGAGGTATGAGAGCGGGAGTATGGAGATGGTGGCTGATAGGACATTAGGTTTCTTTTGCAATACAACAAGATGCCCATATGATACAATGCTGTGATTCCCCTTTTTTCTTTTACAACTCACCAAGAGTCCTCCAAGTTGCCACCCGTGCCCATACTCGCATTCTAGCCAAGAGAGCGAGGACGGTAGGGTAAGCAGCTTTCATCATCTACACCACCGCCACCAACAACCAACACTTCTCCCTCGTATGACAGCGAAGCCCACTCAGGCCACTGCAACCATCCGAGCTAGCACCATTCTAATTCTTCAACCCAATCTTGGCCAGCAAACTCCCACCAGCACTCGGCTCAATAATCCCCAACAAACTCTTCCAAACCTGGCCCGGCTCCTTCGCAGCATCCACCTTGGTCCAAATCCCCGTCTTCCGATAATACTCCGTCACGGGACCCGTCTGCTCATGATAAGTCCCCAACCGCTTCTTCAACGTCACCTCATTATCATCTGATCGCTGGATCAACGGCTCGCCGGTCAAATCATCCGTCATGGATTGTTTGGGTGGGTTGAAGATTTTATGGTAGGAGCGGCCTGAGGCTGGGTGGACGAGGCGGCCGGTGATGCGGGCGACGAGGAGTTCGTCTGGGATTTGCAGTTCGATGGCGTGTTTGAGGGGTTTTTGTTGGGCGGTGAGCATTTGGTCGAGTTTTTCGGCTTGGGGGACTGTTCGGGGGAAGCCGTCGAGGATGAAGCTGAAGTGGTGTGAGCGGTTAGTTTGGGCTGGTGGGATGGTGGGATGGTGGGGTGTAGTGATGGTGCGACATACCCGCCCTTGCACTCCTGGTTGTTGTTGAGCTCGTTCTGGATCATGTTCACCATGATCTCGTCCGAGACAAGCTTGCCCTCGTCCATGATCTTCTTCGCCTGCCGACCGAGTTCCGTCTTGGCGGCGACTTGGGCGCGCAACATGTCGCCGGTGGCCAGATGGCAGCATCGGTACTTCTCCTTGATCTTAGGTGCCTGCGTGCCTTTGCCTATACATCATCGAAAGACTTCGAGTCAGCACTTCACTTCACACCAAATATGCCCATACTGATTCCAATTTCCAATGGCATATTCACCACGTGTATGTGTATGTGTATGTGTATAGAGTCAACATACCAGCACCCGGCGGCCCGATCAAAATCATTCGCATCCCCTGCGCACCACTCGCCGCCGTCGCTGTAGCAGACGAAGACGAGTTGTCCTTCCCATGCCCCATCAACCGCTCCTCGACATCTTTCACCCGGTTTTCCAGCTTGTCAATCGTCGCCCGTAACTCTTGCACCAGTGTTTCCGACGACATCTTCACTCAACTCAACTGCTTCCGCGACGACACAAATAGCCGGACCGAGGCGATGTAGACGTAAAGATATGAGGTATCGAGGTGGGAAAATGTGAAACGCGTGTTAGCACGGAGCTCTCGTTCGGGAAACTGTGAAGCTGCAAGTGCACTGCTCGTTCCTGCCTGCCTCGGGAGAGCGCGGCTGTTGCGGAAGGTTTGCACCGCTGGGCCGGAGGACCGTATCACGTGACTATGCGCCACAACCATGTACTGCCTCCTCAGACTCCATACACAAACCCATGATCCACATAAATTGGCAGCCAGACGCCGATGGCTTGGTTGGAGCATGCGAGCACACAAAATCCTAGCTGCTCTATCGTCTCGTGCGGAATCGCTACTGGGATCGTAGACGAGCAAAAGATGACCGCAGCAACGTCTGGCATTGTGCCTCCTTCCGTGACGGCCAGGAGCTCGTCGTCACCGTTCACTTCCAAACCTTAGATATCGGTATAGCGGCCGGGATGATTCAAGTGTACTGCTGCCTCGGTCCCAGATCGACTGCCCATAGCGATAGACATGTGAACCGGAGATTCGCCATATCTAAGATCAAAGAACCTGGACCAGTCCTCTACCCAACGAGAGAAGAGGGGCGAGACGATAATCGAGCAGCTTTGTCAATTTCTATGACTGGCTATGGTGGCGGCTGGCGGACAATAGACCATCATGGCGTTGATTCATCGTCGCTGGCATCGTGCACGCTATACTAACAGTCCTACTAGCTTCTAACATGGCTTGAGTTCTGGAGCGTGCGGTTCGCACCTCACGCGAGGTATCTAGCTCTGCGCGTAGCGAAGGTGCCATACTTGCGTACGAAGAGGACACGATTGAGATGAAGTCAGTGCAGTAGGTCAGCTGAAAGACCAGTGACTACCTCCAGCCGTCCGCTCGTCGTCGAGCTCAGGTCCTATGTTCTGCCAATCGCTTATCTCGTGGCTTTTGTCGCTAGGCGACCGGTTTCTGATCGCTTGGCCACGTTTGTCGCTTCACTGTGAACATGTATCCAGAAACTTACATCTTCCCCATCTTGGGATACGTATATCTGGCTTCATAACTATCGCCAATCTCCAAATACTTGCTATAGGGGCATGGGATGGCCCCCAAGGCAGTGTTATCTTGGCAAGTCTGAACTCCCTTCGCATGTCGCCCCATCGATTCAGGCGATCGTAATTCACAATCTGCACAGTCTTTCCAGGAGACATTGACGGTCTATGAGATAATGTGGAGACGTCGTTGTTTCTCATCTTATCATACCTCGCGTGAGGGACGCGCTAGAGACACCTAAGCTCATCGCCGCATTGCACGTATCCACATATCCCCGTACTGCCCCCCAAAGAGTCTGCCCACGAGCTCGCACCTCAAGCATCCACGGCCACCATCCGCCATCCTACTCTTCCTCCTGCTGCGCCGCAACGCACTCCTCCCAGAGCCTCTCGATCGGCCCTCCCAGTCTACTCAACGCACCTCGAGCTGCCTCCAACAGCTTCGCCTTCGCCTCCAGATCCTCCTCGACCCTCACCTCCTCCTCACTAGAAGCCCACCTGCCACTGAAGTCCGCCAAGATACGCTCCGTGCCCCCCTTCAGTAACTTCTCCACATCCTCGACCCAGCCTTGCGTCTCCAGAGACTCCCCACGTCTGCCGTGAAGCAGCAGCTGGAAAGCCGCACCACACCTCTCGCCCACGTCAATGAACAAGCTCTTCTCCCTCCCACCTCCCAAGATCTTGTTCCTAACCAGCTCAACACGCATCTCGTGCGCAATAGAACTCACCTTCTGCTTCTTCCCACGCGCCGTCTGCCTAGCTTTAACCACATCACTCTTAGACATTATAACTGCGGCCGCCTTATACGTGTTGGCCAACGACTTCACTGCTGTCGTCTAGATGCTTCATCCGAAGATCATCAGGCTACGTCGCACGACTCTGGATACTAGCGAGGCCAGTCTTGCCCGTACCCAGCTGCTCGAAGAGATCGGGTACTTGCGTCAAGATCTCGTCGCGGACACGATGGATTTCTTCCATGAAGTCTGAGGCGCCTGGGATGGCGAGGAAGCCGTGGCAGTCTGTAGAAATGGGTTAGCTTGGGAGTTGCGAGAGGGGTTCTCGAAGACATACTTTCGAGCTCAGATTCAAGATGCTGGAAGTACTCGTGGATACGAGCGCGGGTCTCCTCCTCCACGGCGTGTAATGCCGACTCGAAGGCCTCGAAGGCCTTATGGACGGGAACGTCAAAGGTCGAGTGGATTAGCGCGTTCTAATTGACCTGCACGGTAGGCTTCTTTGGCTTCTTTGCCTTAGGCCCAGGTTTTAAGCCTGGTAACACGTCGGGAGCCTCCAGGCCCAGGTTTCAAGCCTGGTAACACGTCGGGAGCCTCCAGGCCAGACAGGCTCAATCCTTCAGTCTGCATCTTAACGATTGGTGAAGTAAAGACCTTCCAGTTGCCATCCTTTTCTGCAGAACGCCTGGAAGACACTCGGCATATAGCCTTCCCAAGCTCTGAGATGTCCCGACTTCTTCTTGCCCCAGCATGCGGCATTTTCTGCGGTGTACTGTCAGCTGCTTGGTCTCAATTGCCCACAATCGAATGACTTACCGAAGACCGCAAGTACCTTCGCCTGGAATGCCTCGTCAAGATCTCCAACTATACCCTGAACGAAGCCTTGGTCCTGCCGCAGTGCCGTCACCAGCACATCCATGACACCCTGCTTCATCTCCATCTTCGTCTTCGTCAACACGCCCACTGTGCCATGAAAGACACTCGGCAATCGATAGCGTATCAAACGTTGCAGACTACCGAATTTCCCACGAGCAGCCAGCTTATACAGTAGACGACGGAGACCCGGGATACCCGTCCCCTCTATTGGCAGGTCCGGAGGCTTGTTGAGGGCATATTCCGTGCAATGTTTCTGGTAGTCTTTGTTCGCAACGGAGAACACAGGAAGATCGGGCGCGTATTTACTGCCTTTCAAGCTGCGGATCTTGTCTGTGAAGCTCGCCTGAACTCTTGATAACGGATCTCGATCTCGATCTGTCGGACGAGAGCAGTGGCAAAGGGCTGTAACTTCAAAGGCTTCGAAGCCCGATCGAGCAGCGCGTAGTATTATCGCGGCAGGTCACCAGCGTCCCGCGCAACTTGCTGCTGTTCCTCATTCGTACCCATCTCTGTCTGGAGACTCTCCCTCAGCGCCTCGGCGCCTTCCAGTCTCGCGAGATCAGCAGGCTCAAGTCTCGGCCACTCCGCAGCACTGAACGGGCTTAACTCTCCAATCTTCGTCACGACTAGGTAGACCAGATTGATCAAGTCCAGCGCAATGCATGCACGGAGGTTGTCGTCCAGAACGTCGTCCGCATCGGCACGCAGCGCTTTAGTGAAGACCAGGCCAAAACTGGCATGTTTCAGGTAATCCATTGCAGACCTCACAACACTGATAGCGCGATCTACAATGCCAGGCAGATCTGCAAGAATGATGCCAGCCTGGAGGACGTCGGCCTGCTTGCGGACCGTGATCTTTTGCACCAGTGGCCAAGGATGTCGAGATGCGAATGTCGCGGTGACTTCGGCCATCGATTTGGTAAGACGCTGATAAAGCTTGAGCAGAATCGCGTCGTCCTGAGCAGGAAAGTCCATAATCTTGTGGTAGTATCCCATTGTCTTCTTTGCATTGACGACGTCGCTATACAGCTCGGTACCCAGGTTCGTCATACTTTCTTCGGAGGGATCATAGCGATCCTGAAAGTACGCTTCTGTGGTATCAAGGCCGTGGAACTCATGCTTGTGGGCAAGCACGAACGTGAAGAACGTAAATGCAGTCGCGAACCTCTTCTCAAAATCCGTCCCTCCGCCATCTTGGCCTTCCTCCTCCAGCGCGAGGTACACGACGATGTGCTTGACATGTTCCCGTACGATCTCTTCCAGCTGTTGATTACTATGAAACACGATGCACTGCATACTTCGTCGCCTGACTCTCAGGACACTGCTCATTCTCCTGCGGCCGAAAGGTCCCACGATGACTAGACCCGTCCTCCCGAGCCACACCGTCTGTCCCAATAAGCGAGTTGAACGTCGAGGACTTCCCGATCCCGCTCGAACCAAGATTCGCCACCCTGCAAGTCGGTGGGTACAGTCTTGCAGAATCCCTACTGGCCTCTAGCTGCTTGGTGACGATATTGTTGACCTCAGGATGATGGTAGCCCCCAGCTTGGAGCTTGGCGTACATGGCCAGGAAGTCCTCGCAGAGACTACGAAGTTCGACTTCGATTTTGGGGAAGCAGTCGCTGTAGTATGCCAGGTTTGGGCGACCTTCGAGTTGTAAGGCATTGTAGGGTATGGTCTTACCGCCTTTGACGACTGTCGGGAGGGCGAGGGTCTCTTCTGTTGGTGGTGGGCAAACTGGCTCGGTGGTAGAGGAGGCTGGCTCGAGGGTGGTGTGAGAGGGGCGTGGGTAGTGGTGGTGTCAGGTTCGAACATCGGGCTGTCTTCGCGGTTGGTTGTGGTGGCCGACATATTGCTGCCAGAGGGGATGGAAAATGTGTATGATGGTGTCGAAAGAAAGAAGATGTAAGGGTTGGCGGAGCGGATACTTATAACCCCAGCGCCCCTGCACGCTAGCACCAAAATCTCGCAAGTGAGGCTTCATGACCACACAACCCATACTTCAGGTGAGCCAGCCAAGCATCGAGTCTTCTGACTCCACCGCACTGAGCCAGGTCCGTAAGCCGCGCAGTCCACAATACAATGCGCGCCATCGACCATGCGCAATCGTCCTACACAAAACCCCCCGCAGCAGCTTTCTCCCGATACTCCTCAAACGTCCTCGCCGCCCCCCCGACCCGATTAACCCTCGCCCTCTCCTTCCCCCAACCCTCCCCATCACCAGCATCATCCCCCTCCCTCTCCCTCCTCAACCTCTCCTCCCACCCCTCCTCCTCCTCCACCCCAATCCTCTGAAAAACATCCGCCTCCGCTCGGCCGAAAAAAAGCGCCGCACATTTCCTCTCCGCCACATCCTCCGTAATCAGCACGAAACGCACGCCAGAGCCTGGGGCTTCAAACATTGCGTCGCCGAGCAGGCGTTCCATGACCGTGCGAAGACCGCGGGCACCTGTGCCCATTTTCGAGGCTGTGCGGGCAATCACGCGGAGAGCCGGGCTGGTGATGCGGAGCTCGATGCTGGAGAGCGCGAAGAGTTCTTTGTATTGTTGGAGTAGACTGTTGCGGGGTTCGGTGAGGACTTTGACTAGGGCTTCGATGTCGAGGGAGGAGAGGGCGCAGGAGAGGGGGATGCGGCCGACGAGTTCGGGGATGAGGCCGAACTTTTGGAGGTCTTGGGGTTCGACTAGGTCGAGGGTGTTGAACTTTCGTTTCGTGGGTTTGCCGCGGTGGGATTGATTTGGGGGGTTGGTGGGGCTGTAGTAAGGAAGGTATTTCTCGAAAAGCTCATCTTCGCCTTCGAGGACGGTTTCGTGATCATTCCCTCCACCAGCAGAGGATGCAGGTGCTGCTCGCACAGTCGCGCCGAAGCCGATACTGCCTTTACTAATGCGATCCAGCACCATCTTGTGTAGTCCATTAAACGCTCCGGCGCAGATGAACAGGATATTATCAGTCCGGATATTGTACACCTCCCCTTTCTGAGGTCCACCACCACTACCGCCTCCCATACCAGGTCCCTGTTGACTGCCCGACATGGTACCACCAGACATCGGACTACCACCCCCACTACCATAGCCACCCTGCCGACCAGGCGTACCAGTCCCAGCACCACGTTCACTCTTCGCTTGTACCTGCAAAGTCGTGCCTTCGATGATCTTGAGTAGAGCTTGCTGCACACCCTCTCCACTGACATCCTTGCCGTGCGATACCTTTGCCGTAGCGATCTTGTCGATTTCATCCAGACAAATGATTCCTCTTTCCGCACGCGCAACATCATAGTTCGCAGCTGCTAAGAGGCGTTGGACGCAGACTTCGGCGTCTTCACCGATGTAGCCGGCTTGGGTAAAAGGTGTGCAGTCGGACATGCTGAACGGGACTTCCAGGACTCGTGCCAGAGTCTTTGCCATCAATGTCTTACCTACGCCAGAAGGTCCGAGGAGTAGTATATTGCTCTTCTCGATCGTCAAAGGTGTATCATCGACAATACCCTGCTGTTGCTGCTGCTGCTGCCCTGCCGCACCCCGTCCACCCTGCCCGCCAAAAGCCTGCTTCCACAGATCCTCCGACGCTGGTTGCCCTCCTCGCTGTCCCTGACTATTGACCGCATTTGGCGGAGGTGGAGGAGGCATATGTATGGTAGCCTGCTGCCCGGGAAACTCATCTTTCCCCTCCCAAGTCCTCGTCAGCGAAGGCACATCGATCCCAGCTTTGAGATCATTCTCCCTACCTTCAACCGGATGTCTCCGGACCTCACTCATCCGCCTCCGCTCCTCCTGCGCCAGCATCTCGCTCTCCTCTTCATCTCGGCGTTGGAGTTCGCGGATCCGTTGGTAGTGGTTATACACACCTGTAGCTAGCACTCGTTTGGCGCGGTCTTGGCCGACGACGAAGGCGTCGAGGTGGTCTTTTAGGAGTCGGGGGGTTATGCGGGGGGCGCCGATGTTGGAGCTGTCGGCTAGTGGGCCGGTGGTGGGTGCGGAGGCGTCGTAGTAGGATGTGAAGCCTTGGTTGGCGAAGTCGGAACTCCGGTATGTGTTACTGTTTAGTAGGCAGCGTGTAGTATGTAGTCCCCTGTGTCGTGTGATTTCTCCTGTATAAGCACGTTGTACTCCATGTCGTCTGTAGCTGCTCCGGACGATGGCCGAGATATCCAGGTAGGCACTCCTTAGACGAGGTGAAATGGCCGCCATATCCAACGTCTTTCACGTGAATCGCGTCAATCCCAACGGCTCACGAGAATCCCAACTAGGAAGTCACGAGCTCGACATAGCGAGTAGAAGTAAGTAAACGATAGACTCTCGATTCCCCGCCTCCACTCCCACTCCCACTCCCACTCCCACACCCACTCCTCTCCAGACCCCGGTGAAGAAGTCGGACCGATGTTCATGCAGGGCCCAAGCTCCCAATCCATGCACGATGGCGTCGCGGTGTTTGTGGGGGGGAAAAGTTGAGAGCTGCGTTGGGCGGGCAGACGATGGATGGTGAGAGACATGAGCACGAGCAAACAAAACAAGCCCTCCACCCATTGAGCCCCACCAGTATGCTAGACATTCAACTGCTTGACTGTATGTAGGTAATACCAGAGATATACATTTGCTGTTACACTACTGTCTTGTGTTTTTGCCATACCATCCCATACTGAGACATCGAATCACTTGCGTTGCTGCTTCCACAGTTCCCGTTAGGCTTGACATTTCGCTTGCTGTAACAAGAACACGCCCAACATGGATCCTCTGAACGAGGCGGCGGCGGATAGTGTGACTGTTGCTCCACCAAGCAACGAGGTCGCAGCAGACGGCACAGGTATCCTCTCGTCAACACAAGTGAGCACAACTCCATACTGATGGTGTATTCCAGGCATCTGCCAACTCGACCCCTACCTCGACCCATACAAAGCCTCTCTCCGAAGCCGCTTCAGCAAAGCACAACAATGGATCAAGACGATCAACGACAACGAAGGCGGTCTAGAGAACTTCTCACGTGGCTATGAGAAGTTCGGCTTCCTCATAACTCCAGACCACACCATCACATACCGGGAATGGGCACCCAACGCCATGCGTGCCTACCTCATAGGCGACTTCAACGGCTGGAACCGGGATTCACACGAGATGCAGAAGAACTCATTCGGCGTATTCGAGATCAGCCTGCCACCAGTCAATGGCCGACCAGCCATTGAGCACGACAGCAAAATCAAAATCAGCATGGTGGTGCCCAACGACCACGCAAGAGCAGAGCGTCTCCCCGCCTGGATCAAGCGCGTGACACAAGACCTCTCCGTGTCCCCCATCTACGACGCCAGATTCTGGAATCCACCCCAAAAATACGTCTTCAAGAATCCACGACCACCGAAGCCTGCCTCAGCCCGCATTTACGAAGCACACGTGGGCATCTCGAGCCCAGAACAAAAGGTAGCGACGTACAAAGAGTTCACCCACAATACCCTCCCTCGCATCCGGGACCTGGGCTATAACACAATCCAGCTCATGGCCATCATGGAACACGCATACTACGCCTCCTTCGGCTACCAAATCAACTCCTTCTTCGCCGCCTCCTCCCGCTACGGCCCACCCGACGACCTGAAAGAACTCGTCGACACCGCTCACGGCATGGGAATCACAGTCCTCCTCGACATGGTGCACTCCCACGCCAGCAAAAACGTCTCCGATGGTCTTAACATGTTCGACAATAGCGACCACCTCTATTTCCACGAAGGCCAACGCGGTAGGCACGAACTCTGGGATTCTCGACTCTTTAATTACGGCTCGCACGAAGTCCTCAGATTCCTCCTCTCCAACCTCCGGTTCTGGATGGAAGAATACTCCTTCGATGGTTTCCGCTTCGACGGCGTGACGAGTATGCTTTACCTCCACCACGGCATCGGCACAGGCTTCAGCGGAGGCTATCACGAATACTTCGGTCCCAACGTCGACGAAGACGGCGTCGTATATCTCATGCTCGCAAACGAAATGCTGCATACGCTCTACCCCGATGCTATCACCATTGCGGAAGACGTCAGCGGGATGCCGGCGCTGTGTATTAAGCTCAGTCTGGGTGGGATAGGATTCGACTATAGACTTGCGATGGCGGTGCCGGATCTGTATATCAAGTGGTTGAAGGAGAAGCAGGATATTGATTGGGACATGGGACAGTTGTGTTTTACGCTGACGAATCGGCGGCATGGGGAGAAGACGATTGCGTATGCTGAGAGTCATGATCAGGCGTGAGTTTGCCACTTTGTACCTCGTACATGGGAAAATGGTGTGCTGACCTTGGACGATTTACAGACTCGTCGGCGACAAAACCCTCCTCTTCTGGCTCTGCGACGCCCAAATGTACACCAACATGTCCACCCTCTCCGAGTTCACCCCCGTCATCGAGCGTGGATTGGCTTTACACAAAATGATCCGCTGCATCACCCACGGCCTAGGAGGTGAAGGCTACCTCAACTTCATCGGCAACGAATTCGGGCACCCGGAATGGCTCGATTTCCCCCGCGAAGGAAACGGGAATAGTTTTCACTACGCCCGCCGCCAATTCAACCTCGTGGACGATCAGAGTTTACGGTATCGGTTTCTAAACGAGTGGGATAAGACGCTCCAGTGGAACGAGGAGAAGTATGGCTGGTTACACAGCCCACAAGCCTACGTCTCGCTCAAGAACGAAAACGATAAAGTCGTCGTCTTCGAGCGGGCAGGACTGTTGTGGATCTTCAATTTCCATCCTTCGTCTTCGTTTACGGATTATCGCGTTGGAGTTGATGTGCCGGGGACGTATCGCATTGTGATGAATTCGGATAAGCCTGGGTTTGGGGGGTTGGGGAGGATCGATGAGGGCGGGAGGTTTTTCACGACGGATTTTGGGTGGAATGGACGGGGGAATTTTTTGCAGGTTTATTTGCCGACGCGTACGGCGGTGGTGTTGGCGTTGGAGGAGACGTTGGATCCGAAGTGGAAGGGGCAGCAGAGTTTGGGGTTTTAGGATTCTTTGCGGTAGCGAGTTTCTGTGATGGAGGAGGTGGTGAGTGGGATTTATTTGGGCTCGTTCTCGACGAAGTAGCGAGGCGTTTTTGACGGTGGTGCGCTTCCAGGAGTGAGGGTTTCTGAGGCTCTCGCTGTGATGTATAGTGGTATGTAGTCAGCATGTCATTTGGACGTGGAATCCTCACCCACGACAACGAACCCTTCCAGCGCATGAGGGTCCTACGCTCTCCTTCTCTGCTGTCCAGCACAGGTGAACGGAAATTTTCAATACAAGACAAGAGTTCGTGTAATTTGATTTGATTGATGTGTCGCTGTCTATGTCTTGTGCGTGCCATCCTGTCGATAACGTGCTTGTTCTCTCCGCGGCTACAGCGTAGATCAGGGGCAATGCAGTAGTTCCGCACACGGCTTTGTGGTTGGTTCTAGGGAGGAGGAGTGTTGGGTTCCTGCCTAGGATCAATCATACGATGGCTGTCTATGCTACTTTGACAGTGCGGTGGTATATGATGACAAGTCATACACCTAATGAAGGAGTGCATGGTCGACGCCTCATCCGCTGATCGACCGGCCTTCGCAGCTCGTGTAGATGTGCCTTGGGTTTGAAGAAGCAGCTTCTGTTACGCATACTATATGCTTCTCTCGGCATCTTGCTATCCGGAGACACCTCTTCCACTTGGAATAGAATGGAGTGAGAGAAGGTGAAGTCGGTAATGCAAATCACAGGCTGCAAAGTATGTTGTCCTGGTAGAGATTGTGACAAAAGTGATGAAGTCAAGCCGACGAGGTGGATTTCGTAGGATTTCGTTGTGCAGCTAGTGGTCCACCAGAACGCATATTCTCACCCCATTACCTGATGATTTACAAGTTAGGGACATGAGCTTATGTCCAGGCAGCTCTGGCCAACAAACGTCCGAAGGATTCCCAAAACTTGGCATACTAGGTCTGGTTCGTAGGATCCTGCTTCTTGTTCCAAATGTGCGACATCCAGTGCTTGGAGGCATGGTCCGTCCATCAGCGCTATCGAGACTCAATCTGCGGGTTTGAGCCCAAGATGCCTGCTCAGACTTCAGCTTCGATGAACAGGCTGTTAGATCGATGATAAATGGGTGGACCGAGGCGGCAGAGGACCTTATGTGTGGGCTGCATCACGATGCTTGGCAACGACTCTAGAGTCTAATGAATGCTTCGAGTAGTCTAGTTGAGACAGCAGTAATTCCAGTCTGATGACCGCATACCTCGTTCGCCGCTATAGATTGGCTCTTACGATGGAGGTACGCACTACTACGACCCACCGACTCAGTGCACTGTTTACCTGCGCGGCGTGTAGTCTCTATATTAGAGTCCTACAATATGCGCCCAGTCATTTCAGACGCTCTGCGCCGTCCACTTCAGCTGTGATGTCTGCGTTCGACGTTGCAAGAGCAGCTGATGTTCTTCGAGCTCGGACTTGGTCCGTGATCACTTGCAATCACGACAGTAGCTCTCCCGGTAGCACGGACTCCCGGGTGGATTTGTGAGTTCACGGAGAGGTGTCCACGCTTCGAGATCTGCAAAGCGTATCGGCGCATGGTCGTTGTTGGGTAAGCGACTGCTGTTACAGGCGTGGTGGCCCCCGCAGCAGACAAGGTCTATTTGAAAGCCTTGCTAAAACGGCCCATAGTGTTGATGACGATCGTCGTCAAGTACACTTTAGTGGGGGAATATGATCGCTTACCAGAAGTCCACAAGGTTATGGGATGGCTCCGCATTACCGCATGACAGATGGAGACGGTGAAGCGGTAGCCAAAGAAAAGCTCCTAGGATTTGTAGTCGTGTTCAACCAGCCGCTGGCAGCTAGCTTGTACAGCCTTCAGATGGAACGGGTGTCAGGACTGAAAGGGATGGGAGGATACATCTCATTGGCATGTCCATGTCCCTTTGTAGCACCATCGAACATCGCAGATGACGTTATCTCCCGGCGTGATACTTGATGAACGAAGGCGTGGCTTCAGGAGTGCCAGGATTGACTAACGACGATACTCTTCAGATCTGTCAAGTCGACAGGTCCGCGGATATGGAGATGGCGCAATCGACTTCAAAGATAGTGCAGGCTGTCGGTCCGGAGTACGTAAGACAGCCACGGCGCAGTGCACTCCGCTGCCTCGTCTTCGGATCCTGAGTTGAATTCGCGCTATAGCATCATAAAAGCTACTTCAACCGGCCTTCACGCCCTGGCGGTTGGAAGTATAGGCTTGCACTATATTGCCAATTCGGTGTGGATCTAGCAAGAAGCTCTTGTTCCCGCCGTTGCCTTATAGCGATATCAACAAGGTCAGATCTCTACTGCACGGTAAGTAGGTACGGCTCGTAGCGAATTTGATATCGAGCCTGCAGAGTTCATGTGGAGGGGGGGAGTGAGTTCGGACATGTTACTGGATGTGGTATCTAACCGATACGGTTTCGACCAGCAAACCTGTTCGCTCACTACTAGTTCGATCCCTCGACTTGAAATAAAGTGGCCGTGTGCGTGCTCCAGCATTAGCATTATGTAGTATCTGCTGCATTCGCAGCGTCCACAATCGGAGAAGTAGTATATGGTTTATACGGCTTGAGGTGACGTCGAAGAAGACTAGGACCATGATTCTAGGGTTTCACCCAATCTTCTGGGTCGAAACGCCCGTGGTGGATTAATTATTCGGGCAAGGAAGTTGTGGTACGCCAATGCACGTATTGCATGATGGTAGGAGCGTCAATTCGTCTGCCGTGGATCCGTCCGTCTTCAATATTACGCCACGAACAATCGCTAACACGCTGACCGATCGCCTAGCTAAAGCTTACCCGGTATTCAGCAATTCCTAGAGGACAGACCCTGAGACCAGCAGTTTCATGCCCAAGGATTGTGCTCGTGCTCACGACGATCATTAAACCACGGCGTTCAGCCGGTGCGAGCATCATATTATCACAGCTCCTCCCCCAGTAAGCCTACAGGCCAGCCTGAAATATTATCCTCTCGAGAAACTTGACATTCTGGCCACCTAACACAAACGGACGTCACCTGCCTGGATTGTCTCATCTGGATACGATTTATTCCCAGGCCATGGCCAGTATCACCGCTTCCCCGGGCTTGATCTTCATCAATGTCGGGCATGATGGCAACGAAGATCCTGTTGCAGCACGCAAGGCCATACGCTCATACGCTACGGCCCACAGCCACAAGAGTAAGCCGCGAACGGGACAGCGGCTTGCAAGGTATAAGCCACTACAGTACGACAAAGATGAGCCTGCTCCCGCGCGGAAAGAAAGGAAACCAAGCAGGCCGAGAAGATCTTCAGTGAGAAGCATCACGTCTGTTGGGGTCAAGTCGGTTTCATCCGCGTCCAGTAGTTCCTCTTCACAAAATGAAAATGTCCGTAAACGACGACGACTTGAAACCGATGATTCTGGTGAGGTTTTCGACATGTCTCGGCTGTTACTTGCGCCGGAAACGATCCCGAAAAGTCCATCGGCAGAGCTCGCGCCAACACTGCCCAGCAGTCAGCACAGTACACCTGGCTGGTCAAGACAGTCGTCGGTGGACCACACAACAAGCGAGTGCAGTCATGCTTCTGCACCACCGCATAAAACGCCAGCGCTTTATGACGAACCATACTTCACAGAGACTATCACACCTGCATGCCTCCAAATACTCCAGAAGGAACCTTTCACGCGGTGCCCAGTGCCATTTCAAGAATGGTATACACCGCTACTGCACGACTGGTGCAATATCACCATAGCACGAACCTGCATCTTGCTTGACTTCAGGCCTTCCGAAACGAGGGAGTATATCCAATGGATGGGTACCACCCTACTGAGCGACCCTGCCTTGTACTATACGAGTCTGTTCCTCGCAACTGGAAGCGCTGTAGTGCGCGGGACATGCGACATCAGCAAGGCTCTATTCTTGCGCGGTCAAGCCGTGAAGGCTATCAACGACGCATTGACCGACCCTCTACGCGCTACTAGTATGCAAACAATCTTCGCTGTCGGTCAAGTCGCCCTCCACGAGCACATGTACGGCGATCGGCATCTCTCGATCAAGTTTCACAGACCAGCACAGGAACGGTAAGTCCCATGACTGATGTTGAATAGTGAACTAAATCGACTATTACTGATCGAAAGTAGTATGATCGCCCTTCGTGGTGGCCTTGGAAACCTTGGCCTCCCGACTGTGGCTCTAAGAACGTTGCTTTGGTTCGACACGTACATGGCGGCAGAGTCTGGCACCCCTGCATACTTTGCAGACGTGCCTGCAAGGTTTGCACATTGCGGCATACCACCGCTGAGCCCAGAAGAGGCTGTTCGGGTAGCTGATGGGGTGAGCCCATTGCGGCGTAGTCATCCAGGGTATGGGGACTCACGAGTGGAGGAGGCAGTCTGAGTGCAATACAGCTGTCGGTACATGGCTGAATCTCTGGCCTTTACGAACTCCTTGACAGCGCTGTAACCAGATTCGAGCAACACAAGCTGATAATCCGCATCTCAATTGTCTTGAGCTGAAGCGGCTCAAGATACCGGAACACGCAAAAATTATACCCATGGCTGCAAGGCTCAAACGATCCATGGTAGATACAATCTGTGGCATGTTCAGCATCCAGTAGCTTCAACGACACTCGCCTTGCACGGTCACTTCTCCTTGGGCCAACACCGGAGAAATCCTGTAGCTTCGCAGGCCTCGCATACTGCTAGTCATAACACTTCAGCATCGGGTGTTGCCAGATACTGCTTGTTTCATGTCTCAAAGCTCTCATGATGCTCTTGATGTACATGTAGATCTGTGAACGATCTGAAACACATCGGGTTTGTATCGGTCTGTAACACATCCGTGGCACACGATTCAAGTTGTTTCCCAGATGCAGATCAGGTCACTGCGGTACCGGATTTGACTCCTGGCCATGCCAAGTTTACTGCCGAAAGTCCGAGCGTCTGGTTTCGCAGGCCGGCAGAAAGAGATGTCCGTCTGCGAGATGCCACGACAAACGATGTTGACATGTTATACTTCTAGATCCTGATCACTGACCGCTGCTCTCCTCCGGGGGACATTCTGGTAATGCATTGTGTAGGTCCGTTGGCGACTCCAGCAGCACGTGAGGCATTGCCTCGTTGAGCATGACATTGTGGCCAAAGTCAAATTCGGCTCGTTAGCGCAACGCGCGTGTCCACACCTTCCCCTTGATAACCACTGCCACTACTTCGATACCGCTATCCACCCTGTACAAGTTTTTGACTGCCGATTAGGGTGTTCATCCGGTCCGAGTGCTTTGTATGACGATGGCGAACAGATGGGTGGTCGGCAAGCGTGCCGTACGCGGTTCGCCGTGAACGATGTGACTGCGCGGTCGTGCAATGATATACAATGCATCCCGCCTTCTGCGTTCGCTCGGAGACAGAGCTATTGCCTCGACTCCTGCCTGCAACCCGATCAAGGAGTCACCGACTAGGCCGAGGACACGCACGGCCCGAGATCTGGATCTTGGTGGAGTTCATCTCGAAGCACGATTGATATTGGCATTCATCTCGAGTAAAAGTTGCCTCCCAGAATGACCATGTATCTATGGCTATCGACATTGATCGCGTTACTTGGCAGCCATGGAGCTTTCTCTCAATTGGTCACACCAAATAATGGGACATTGCCCACTTCAGCGTTTATGACGGTGAGGATGCCAGTGACGAGTTTACAATGCGCACATCTGATAGTGACCCATTAGCGACCGCAAGCCAATGCTCCAGCTGTCCGGATTACGCAATCTGGTGCGTTCTCTCAAGGATACATCTTCCTGGCTCCATATCAGCACCCTGGAGCAGGTCCTTGTGAGTTGGCTGCCGGGCAACTTCTATTTAGCGACGGCAAGGAGCTCTGACAGTCTTATGCAGATATTTACGATAAATTCGGGAATCTGGTATGGGACGGCTTCGGCATTGTGGGTGCTGCTAATGTTCACGATTTCAAAGTATGCCACTATTATGGCGCGCCACACTTATGCATGGCGCAATCAAATCAGCAATTGGGCTATGCTGTTGGCCAGGACATTATCGTCGACAGTAATTACAGGGTCGTCGCAACCGTCAATACTGGCCGAGGCGCACAGCCTGCCGATCAGCACGAGTTCCAGCTCATTAATGGGAACTCGCCTTCAGCAATCATGACTTCATATCGAGCCTTCCCGTACGACCTGTCGGCGTTCAATATAACCAGCGGGTTAGGCTGGCTCATGGCAGGGATGTTTCAAGAAGTCGATGTGCAGTCAGGAGAGGTGCTGTTCGAGTGGTATTCGACTGACCACGTCGACCCTTCTATGACACAAATTCGACCGAACACAACAGATGTTGGTGGAGATGGCTTGACACCTCACACTGCCTTTGACTACTTTCACATCAACTCGATCGACAAGTCAAGCGATGGAAATTATCTCGTGTCAGCTCGGCATACCTCCACGATCTACTATATCAACGCGACTGACCAGAGTATAATCTGGAGGCTCTCTTTTCTGGGCGAATCGGAATTCAGCTGCACGAACTTCAATTTCTCATTTCAGCACGATGCTCGCATCCGATCGCAGACTGATACCTCGATGGATTTGACGATGTTCGACAACGCTCACAACTGCTTAGCCTCAACCGATGTACAGTCATCTGGGAGATTCATCACCATCGACTTCGCAAACGGTACCGCTACAGAAACCAGACGTACTTTGGCTCCCGATGGTGGAATTGCATCGTGCTCGCAAGGCAATACACAGGTGCTTGACAATGGCCATGTCTTTAACGGATGGGGTGAGTAAACTTAATGGCTGCACAGTATGCTCGCTAACTTTCTGGCAGGTGATAAAGCCGTCTTCTCGGAGGTTGACGATGACAACAATATTGTACTGGCAGGCGAGTACACGAACACTGCGAATACTGACTCAACGGCTATGAGTTACCGCGCCTTCAGCTTCGACTGGCAGAGTACGCCAAACAAAACCAAGCCAGTCGTCTACTCGTACGCTGTCAACGAAACTGCACCGACTGCTATTTATGTCTCCTGGAATGGTGCCACAACAGTCTCTATCTGGCGCTTCTATGCCAGTGACAAAATCGGCGATGACTTTGCTGTCATTGGTAGCACTGGCCATGCCGGCTTCGAGACGATGTGGTCGGCACCGCAGTTCTACCAATGGGTTATGGTGGAAGCTGTGGCGTGGGATGGTACGAGCCTGGCCAATTCGAGTTACCAGGGCACGTTTGTTCCATCATCTACGGTAGCCGCATATTGCAATGATTTAGCATGTGCAGCAGCGACAGCCTATAGCTCGTGATCTCGGTAAGTAGACCAATAACAGTGTGCGCTTCTCCTCTGGTCGCCAGATCTCCGACACCCAACGCGAAACGACTGTGCTATCCCAAGAACGAGATCAATTTCATCGCCGGTGGCCCTATCATGATCCAGCTAAGACTGTATCTGCACGTAGCCGTCGGAGGCAACGGCACAAAACATAAGACGCTCTGACGTCTGACGAAAGCGGGGCCCTAGGCCAAAACTTTGCAGCGAATGTCTGGCCCGTGCCCCCAGATCTATCTTCTCCTGACTCTGACGAGTAGCAGGAGAGTCCCGTCACTATGCCAGTGTTTATGACTAGCTGAATTGCAGATTGACGAGGTGTGTCTGGCCAGGAACCCACAGCACTTGCAACCGGTACCCAAGCCATTCGAGAAGGCACAGCTGTCTGCAACTCACACTATCCAGGTTCACGGGACTGCTTCCTTTACAACTCTACTTAGCTTCATAAACGCAGTCCATACAGAAGGTGGCTCACCTACTGAGCCGGCACAACGGAAGCTGCAGCAAACACTTTTTAGCATCTTCACTCGTGCTGAAGGTGAACATCAGCACTATCCGCCGCGCAAGGCGCTACCTTGAAGGAAATTGCTTGCGCTAGTGTGTATTCGCGAAAATGGAAGCTTCACTTGTGGTGTTACTGAAGCTCACTCGGCAATCGCACGTGATCAAGTGAACCTCACTGACACACATCTGCAGCTCGCTAGCGCGAACTTTAAGCCTCTGGCCAGGTATGAGTAAGTGCTTCGCAGCCCTTGGATCTCGTACCATATTAAACACAACACAATCGTTTGCAGTTCAACGTCATCGCATCAATCGCATACACAACATACACCACCATACATTAGCATTGTCCAGCAGTACCACCGGCCAAGCGTATCGCATATCGCGCATCGCAGATCTCTCCCAGCACGAGTCGACGGGCACTAAGCCAGAGCAATTCAGCATGACTTCGGAAGCTGGTTCTGGCGTGGGAATGTCCTCATCAGGCTCACGTAAGCGCTCTCAGAGCCTCTTCCTTGAGGAGATGTCCATTAGTGGCAGATCTCGTTCATCTAGAGGTATGAGCATTTAACATTGTCTTCTCATTAGCGCTTTCTGACAAAGCATGCTTACAGGTCACAAACGCACAAAAGTCGAGCACGATCTCACTCCCGCAAGCAGCATTCAGCAGGACCAAAGTGCTGTTGTCCCTTGGACCAACGACGACGTGGACAATACTGAGGAAGAAGGTGAAAATGACGGACACGTCACTGCCTACGATGCATTCAAGACAGAGATCCTTCCGAAGCTGGCCGTGTACCACCCATCCTTCGAGCTTGTTGAGGAGCTGCTCACGGGAACGTGCGACGATTTGCGGACACTCTATCACAATCTCAAGGCGAGCGGCTTTGTTAACGCAGAGATCGAACTCATCCTAGAAGGCGACAAGGGAAGCATCAAGTCTCTTCGCAATCCCGCCAGCCACTACGCTCCAGTCAAGCCGGCAGCGTTGTATGGACCTTCTGGCGTTGGCAAATCGTCAACTACCAATTCAATCCTTGGCTTCAAAAAGGCGGCCTTCGAGAACAGCTCAGATCGCGGGACATACGTTCCCACTGAGTTCCGCGCTGCGAGTGGGTCTCAGGAGGCCCCTTGGGAGATCCACGTACCGTTCCTCTCCAGGAGTCAAACGCAGTTCATGGTCAGACATCACGTGGCCAATATCTTCGAGCGCATCGACTGCGACGAGGACGAGGTCGAACAAGAAGACATGGAGGATCTGGAGTCGAGATACACTACGGGTCTAGACTTCTTCTACTGGCTCTTCCGCGATCAGAAGGACTTCAAGACTCCAGACCATTGCGCACAATACTTCAAGGCGCGCGGTGAGGACGGCTTTGACGAAATTTCCATTGCTGCAGACCTCGTGGACATGGTTGGCAGCTTCTTGAAAACCAGGTCGCTGCAGGACGGCCGGGAAATCCACGCTGCGCAAGACGAGAATAGCTTGGCTAAGATTGTGAAAGATATCGCTCGGCCAAGCAAAGATCGATCTGGATCTGGCGTGTCTCCGTGGCCACTCGTCGAGAAGATTGAAATCCGTCTCGAGCACAAACTTCTGGGCAAAGGGGTTATCATTGCTGATCTGGCGGGAATGTCCGACACCTCCGCCACCGTGGTCGAGAGCACTCGCAAGTACATCAGCAATGCTGGAGCAATCTACGTCTTCGCTACACACAAGCGCATCGAGAGCGATACTGTGCTGGACACTCAGCTTCGCGAATACGTCGGCCTCGGCAAATCTGGCGATGTTGTGCTTGTGGTCACCCATATCGACAGTCATCCCGTCTATGCCGAAGCTGAGAGGGATGACCTTCCTGCAAGTGATCTGTCCTTGCTCAAGAAAGCTGAGCTAAAGCTCAGAAATCTGCAGGCTGAGGACAAGCAGCTCCAGCGAGAGAAAAAGAAGGCATCCGGTTCTCGAAAGAGCGAAATCAACGATCGCCTCGACACTCTTCAGGAAGACCTTGCCAGCGCCAAGGCTCGGGTGCGCCAAGTCTGCATCGAGATCCGTTGCCGCCAGATTAAGACCGAGATGTCAACGCGCTTGCAGAGGCTGGAGAGGAACCAGAATGCTCCCGAGCTGCCCATCATCTTCGTCTCCAACGCGATCTATCAGCAACACGTTAACGGCTTCTCGCCCACAGATCAGCCTGAACTTGATGTTGAGGCTACCGGCATCCCTTCACTACGCCGTCACTTGTTCGAGCTTGCAGCAGGGTCAAAGTTCCATAAATTGAGGCGCATCTGCCGCGTGTTGCTCCCGAACATGGTCAGCGGTGCTCTGGGCGTGCTCACGAAGTCTAAGCTGGAGCGCTTGGACGATGGGAGGATGGCTCTGAATACCGTGCTCGATCAACGATCGGGAGTTGTCAAGAGGGTGCAGGAGGACGTCGTGCAACGCTTCGGCTTGTATGTTCTCGATACTATGGATAAGTTTGTTGGCCGGTCAGTGCTATGAAAGCAGATGCTAACAACTCCACAGTGAAGAACGACAGCACCTACAAGGACAAGGCCCATAAGCTTCTGAGGACATGGCATGAAGACTTCAAGGCTGTGACCTTCATGGCCTTTTGCAGGAAGTCAGGCACGCACAGACCATCAGGCAAGATTGCAGACATGTCGTGGAACGCTGAGATCCAAAAGATCTTCGATCGTGACGTCGGCGCTGCTTTTGATGTTCTCGTGCCGGAGATTGGCTTCATCGGCATCTCCACTGCCAGCAGCATCAACGGCTATTTTGCCACCATGGTTGAGACACTGGAAGGTAAGTCGATTGTGCGCACGCTCCATGGAAGTATGAGCTAAGCCTTTGAACAGCATGCGATGCCTTCCAAGGTGTCGACATCACCGAGCTACTCGACTGCATTCGCCGCATCCGCAACGACGTCGAGAACTCCATGGCCAAGCACTGTCGCCTGCTCAAGTCGATCCTCTCCCAGGTCCGCGCTTCCATGCTAGTCGATACCGAGATTTCACTATGCTCGGCTGCAATGCAAGACACATACAACGAGATTGTGTCCATGCAGTCCATCAACTACCAGAAGACCAATGCCAAGGGCAAGACCGTCACGCTCAAAAGCAAGGAAGCGCACAAGCAGCGTGCTGATCGTGTGCGCAGCAAGCTCGTGGAAACGGATGACGAGATCGACGTCTTCTCCGATATTGCGGAGCGCGCGAAGGCGTCGCTGGACGCCAAATTGGCGGAGTGGGTTGGTGAGGCTGATAAATTGCTTGCCGAAGGCTGTCAGAGCATCAAGAACGATTTCGAGCGTAGATTCGCCTGGTCTGAGGATGTCAAGCAAGAGGTTGACCCTGAAGCGGTGGAGACGCTGAAGAGGGCTGCTGGGGATGCTCTGATAGTCATCGAGGGTGAGATGAAGAGGCTGATCGGGGAATGCGAGGCCCATGGTAGTGCATCCTAGAGCGCTGACCGAGAAGATACTGACCAGAAAAGGGAGGATGTCGAAGAGGAGGACTCGGGTGATGGAGATCGCGCGCATGCGCAATTAGCTCATGGCAAATATGCCTGTGAGTAGATACATTATGAATTGTTCGAATATAGCCTACATGCTTCTCTAGCCAACACGGAAACACATTGGTCAGTGACATAACCAATGCGGAACGCGACAGGCACTTCCTTGCGCTGACCGATGGGTGAGGTCCATCTCCGTGCGAATGTCTGTGCCATACAGTGTGGCAGAGGTAGTCCGTCGTCCAGCACCACTATTTTGAACGGGACCGACATTCAAATTTGCATAGCACTCTAGCCTCGCACTTCGTCCTCTGGGCAATGGGCATGCACCTCTGTGCCCAGCACGTGGCCAGCATGATGCAGGATTCAAGGCCAGGCTAAAGTCGCCATAGCCTTGGCGGACATCGTTCGTATCTCGTCAATTCTTTGCAACTGTCCGCGTGTGGATCGAATGCGGCGTCGTTGCGCCTCGACCAAGAACTCATGATCTTCCTCGTGATGACTGCTGCGCCAGCCTTCGCTTTCTAGATCTTGCCACGCATCGCGGTGAAAGCGCAGGCGAAGCGATGTTGTATGCCAAGTGACTAGTGGGATGTGGCGCAGCAAATATGACGTGAACGCATGAGCTCGATGCGGGACATATAACAACCACTAGCACAACCTTTCAATCCTTCGACGCATATCACAGACATGGCGGATTTTGCGCCCCCACCAGGACCGCCACCGCCGAAGGTACCAGCCGGCTGGAAAGCAGTATGGAATGATCAGTACAAAGGTTAGTTGACAAAATTTGGTGACACGCATATCAAGTGCTAACACTCCTTCTAGAATGGTAAGCGCTCGATCAAGTACGGTTGTGGTGCTTCTAAGCATATGCTAAGCGTGGACGAAGGTTCTACGTCCAGATCCAAGGCGGCAAGTCACAATGGGACAAACCAACACAGCCCGTACCAGGGTTCGGCGATGCAGCACCACCAGGCACTCCGCCGGGCTACGATCACAACACCTCGCATGCAACGGGACCGGAGAAGAGCAACAATCCGTACCATCAAACAGGGGCAAGCGGCGACATGAGCGAGGACGAACGATTGGCTCGACAGCTTCAGGAGCAAGAAAATGCCAGAAGTGGAGGGGCCCGTGGCGCATCTAACGACTTCTACGGACAACAGGGCGGTGCATACGGACAGCAAGGATCTGCGTACGGGCAGCAGGGTGGCGCATATGGCCAACAGAGTCAACCACCCTACGGCCAATCCGCGCAGCTCCCAGCACGTGACGAGAAAAGCAAAGGTCTCTTCGCCAAACTCACTTCGAAGCTCGGCGGCTCGTCATCAGGACCACGGCCTGGCTATGGTGGTCAAAGTTACGGCCAAGGCTATCCACCGCCACAACAGTATGGCGGCTATGGTGGCGGCTATCCACCGCAGCAGCCTTATGGCTATCAGCAAGGCTATCCGCAGCAGCAGTACGGTGGCTACGGTCAGCAGCCGCCGCGCAAGAGTGGTGGCATGGGCGCAGGCGGCGGTGCGCTTCTGGGAGCTGGTGCGGGTTTGGTCGGTGGTGCCCTTTTGATGGATGCTATGGACGATCATGATCAGCAGTCTTACGATCAGGGCTATGAGAATGGCCAGGATGATGGTGGTGATGGTGGTGGTGGGGATGACGGAGGTGGAGACTTCTAAAGCCTGCAGCGTTGATGCATTCGACTCGATTGGGTGATTGAGGTTCTTGAGCGCAGTCAAGTATGTATGCATGACAAGAGCGAGCTAAGTATGATGTGTAGATGACATCGATGCGATCACGAAAGTTTATTCTCCTCATTCTCCCTGACTCCCTGTTTGCTTCCGAAAAGAGCACTGCAAGCGACTACATCAACATTGGACCAGAGACCGTTCGACAGTAGCCGCAGCGAATTCGTCGTTCCTCCTTCTGCTACACTCGAGCACGGCTTTCACCAGTGACGGCCTCACATTCCGATAAACCCATGGACAGGTATTATGAGTGATACAGCTTTCACAATGGAACAAGGTATGTTATCTTCCTTTACTGATCGTAACGTTCAGACCAGCTGCCTACACCAGCTCGTATCAACGCAACATCGCAAAACTGCCGCTGGCTTCGAACACGAGCTCTTTTGATTCTTGCCCACATTGCGACGTCCAGCGCCTCACTACCAAAAGATGGAATATTCCGTAGGCCCACTACCTCATTGTACTGGCACCAAGTTGCCTCCTACCAACCTGCATAATACAGCTTGTTATTCCCAGAGAGGTCCATGCCGGGTATGTTTCCCTGCCGCAAGCACAGGCCAAGCCACTGATCTGCGGTACCCCTGTTGTCAAAGTACAGATGGTCCCACTCTGCATCGTGGTGATTGGAGTGGTCGACAATGCTTTCAGAGACGAAGACGAACTGCTTGATCCGGTCAACAAAGGCAAGGTCAGGCCCGATGTTGATGCTGTTACGCCGACTGTTCCAACACTTGGCAAGCAGGCAACCGTGCCCATCGTGGTGTATGCGTAATAGATTGTGCTACCGCATGCACATATCGGACCGCGACCGCCAGAGTCTGGAGCAAATGTCACGGTACAGGTCACCCCGTTTGGCAGCGTAGTAATGGTCGGACGAGGTGACGAGATGATCATGCTATTGCTGGGAGTGCTGGACTTGGTCAGGGAAGCTGAGCTGATTGGTGCGATATATGCCTTCGAGGAACTTGCTGAACTCGTCACACAGCTCACTAATGTCTCTGTCACAGTCACTGTCGACCCTACCCCTCCAGAGCTTGGAGCAGACGACGTACTGACAGTCGTCGAAGTGGCACTTCTTCCACCACTTTTCCACGAGACCAGACTCCTCGAGCTCTTTGGACAGCTGATCGTCACTGTGGACACCGAGCTTATTGGACCAAAGCCGAAGCAACCCTGCGGGATCCAGACCTGGCTTCCGCAAAGGTGCCGCAGAACCCTAGTCTCGCGCGTAGCCAGTGGTCCATGGCTGTTGTCAATGTTGGAAAGACACTGCTCCATTGCCTTGGCACAGCTGACGCTGGACGATGTCGGACCTGGAGTAGTGACGCCTGATACTGTTGTCGTATCGCGGGTTGTCCCTGGTATTTTGCTGCTGTTCGTCCAACGTACACTTTCGGTCGACCAGACTGAGCTTCCGGTGCCTTCCGTTGGAATGACTGTACTAGTGAGCCTGAGTGGTGGTGGTGGTGGTGGTCGAAGTCTGTCCACATGAGGCGGCGGCAAGCGCCAGCACCATGATGGGTGATGTATGCATTGGAGTAGGTGCTTAGACGGGCGTTGGTTGGTGATCAATGTATATGTTGGCGCCAGGTCAGGGGGTGTATTTGGTGAACGATGGCTTAGAGGGCGAACACAGAGCATTTCTCACGCCTGACAGCGTGTGACACTGCGGGACATGGAGTGACAATTTCGAAGCAACACCTCATGTTTGCAGCATGTGATGCTGCTTACTTCGACCTGATCAGTGGCATGACAGTCTCGACCCATCAAGTCTACAGTTGGATGCCAAAGCACACGGCTGCGAGAAGTATCTCCAATAGGCATCATGCTCAGGCTGAGCACGATCTGGAGGGTCCCGGAGCGACGCACCGCTAGTCAAGGCATATGCTTTGGATGCTCGCAGCCACGGTGTTGGCATCTGAGTAGATCGTGATATGAAACCCACATCGGACCTTCTGCCAATGAACAACACGATCATCAGAACTCACGATTGTCGACCTCCGAACGCGCGCGAGGTCTTGCTAAATAGGTCTTCACCATGAAACTGCGGTTCAGCATCCTGACGGTCGCCTCGTGTCTGCTACTGGGCACGCATGGATCCGGGACTCAAAGCTGTAGCGACAGAGCAGCTAGTAAACGGCCAGCATCAGAAGATCTGTCGTCCACAGGCTCGAAGCGCCACAAATCTACCGCATATACTCAAGCAGTCGAGGCGAATTTCAATAAATACTGTATGGAACTAGAGCCGCAATCTGCCCTCTTCGATCCTGCTTCGTTTGGAAGACAAGGATGGGCCGTCATTACCAGATATGCCGACGAACAGCAGGATGATGAGGGCCTCATTGATCTCCTAAGATACTTCAGCCCCGGGAGAAACACCTCTCAGCATGTCTAGAAGCAAGCAGTACATCACGGCGCTAGCTATGCTGGGTATGACCAACCCAGTAAACGTATAGTCTCTGCGACCTATAATCAGCTGCTTGATGTCAACGCTGGCATCATGTTTATCGACGGGAATCTTGCGGTACGCGGCCAGCGGATGGAGTCGGATCGGGCTTCTAAGTCTTCACCAGAGCAGCATGTCCCCAAATTGACGTCGTGGACAGATATTGGCTACCTCATCTGGGCGGAGACTTGCTCTGAAGCTGGCAGGGAAGTGAGTGGAGTCAAGTGGCTGATCTTCGTCAACATCAAGTCTTAATCCACGCTCGCCGTGATAGCTGATGTACTGGGGAGTTCAGAGCCTCCAATATGGCCTGGTGTACGCTTCTCGTATCTATGGGAAGATGGGGAGTCGTTACTCGGCACTGAGATAGGTCTCCTTGCAAGGCAAGTCTTATCGACTCATAGACGAAAGTACGCCAGGTCTTTGATCCATTGGGTAGGCCTCTTATCAGTGCCAGGAGGCGATCGCCAGGCTGAGCGTCCCGTCATTGCCTTTCATATCAGGTGCTCGAGCATGGAACCGGCTATAGAGCCGACTGATCAGCGGGTAGATACAACATCGACGCTTCAAAATCGGCAGGGTTTAGACGGGTCTGGCAAGCTTTCCATGTCACCTCTGCCAACAACAGCCGAACTTCGTTACTGGGGCTGGCGCCGTTCTAGCCCGACTCGTGGTGATATATTGGAGTCGACATGTTCCGAAGCATTCAGGCTGCTGGGCCTCAGCAGCGATCCACGTTATAACCCTCTCGAATCTTTCTCCCAAATTGGATGGGATATTGGCCAAGAGGATCAATCGATCTCGAGACACAATCAATCAGCGGTACCGAGTATCAGGCCACTGGTGCTAAGTATCGCCTTCATCCTAATGCCAAGTATGGCGTGATTGTGACAACTCTCATGCTCACGCTCCAGCTAGCAGTAAAATATGATGCTCAACCTGCGTCCCAAGAGCTGGCTTCCGCGTTATTGTCCTCAAGGATGGAAGTTGCATACGCTGTGTGGGCAGATGCCTGTAAGAGGGCTGGGAAGCCAACAACCAGCCTCGTTTGGTCATTCCTCACCTTCATACATGACGAGCAGACTTTGGCTGTAATCCGATGTAGATCCAGCCTCGCAGGCACTGAGGTGGCCTGGCGTAATGGAGTCGACCTCGACTGCAAGAGGGTAGACGATCCTCGGCACACCAGTCGGTCAGCAAGCTTCGAAGGTTGCGGGTGCATAAACTGGCCGTTAACAACGGGTCATCGTCGATAGTCTACATATATACTCAATAAGGCGTAAGTGTTATATGCACCCTTACACTGGCAAGCGCTTTAGAACGGTCGCCACCCACTCATGCGTTGCATTCCACATGAAGAGCATGGGGAATTCGTGATCGTGGCCAAGAGCACGACACGTACGGCAGAGTGTGACTCGACTAATGTGCTGGCATCTTGTTGAAAGGCATGCTAGGATCCCGGATATGCCAGCTACAATCGACTTTGATAATTGCATACGCTCCTCGCGAGCAGCTGCGGTATCGAGGAAGGACGCTTCGTGTGCTATGGCTCCCAGACATGTACCGCACTCACGTGTAGGAGGCAAGGGCTGGCGAACTGAGTGCGCGAGCAGTATACATGAAGAGGAAATGGTGAATCGGAGGCCATCCACACTTACGTTCAGAGCTGACTATATAGTCGGACATCTCAAGCATGTAATGAGCGTTTGTGAGAAGACATTATGCTTGAATGATGCGTGGAGGACTCAACAACATATGCTGTCTCGAAAAGACGCTATTGTCTTGCTACGGCTCAGAGTCATCTTCGCATATGCTCGTGACCGACTGGCCGATGCCTCTGTAACAAGCTCGTGGGCTATCCTCTGCTGATAGCGTTCACAAGTTCATGGCGATGAAGCGATCCGACTGGCTTGCCAGCTGTCTAAGCGCCATATGGGGTCACCTGCTCGATCAAGCACCGTCGATATTCACCAGCAGATGGTACTGCGCATGGGGACATATGTGCTCCGAGCTAGCTGAGAGTGTGTAAGCATATGACAGCGGCTATAAGAGCGGCGCATTTCCCTCGACGACAAAGTGATTTCTAACTTGCATTTTCGAAGCGAGTCTTCAGTCCGACCTCGAAGTTCAATCTCATCGGGACCATGGTGTATTCCAAGGTACTCGGAGCCGGGTTGTGCTTGTTGGCGGTCACCATTCTCGCGGCGCCTCCGGCCAGAATTGGGATCAATACTGCAGGCAAGCGTCCTGCGCAAGATCACGACTCCATACTGCCTAAGCGTCCCAAATCTGAGGCTTTCACTGAGGCTATCAAAGCAAACGAGGAGGAGTATATGTTACTGGACGAACCGCAATCCTCTTTCGTAGATCCTGCCGAACTTCGAACGCATGGATGGGCCGTGAACACAGAGCAATCTAAGGACAGCCTTGATATTGATTCTCTTGTCGCTGGTCTGCACGGCCTGGGAGTGAGCACGACTCGCGACCAATATACTGAGAAGCAGGTCGTCCATAAAGAGTCCGCACAGTCGAAGGCCGACCCCGTGGCGCTAGATGGCCCCAATGCCGACCATCCCTATGCGTCTTATACTCAGTGGCTCGATATCCAGCAAGGCGCCATGATCGTGGATGCGACAGACTTAGGACAAGGCCATCCGTCCACCGCACATCAAGCCTCCACCCAACCTCTCCAAGATCATACCCTACAGCTATGGGAGTGGCACGACGTAGCATATCTAGTATGGGCCGAGGCTTGTGCGCAACACCGACGCCATGCTTCAGCCATGAGCTGGCTGATCTTCATCAATGTCAAGTCTGCCTCTACGTTGATGATCCTCCAGGATATATTCGGTCCGCACCTAGAGAACCTTCTATCCGGGCCCGGCATGCAGTTCTCTGCCACTGAGGAAGGCGGTGAAGCACTGCTAGGCTCTGAAATTGGGCTGCTGGCCAGACACTTCCTCTCCTCACACCGACAAGAGTTCGGCAGATCCAACATCGAATCTGTGGATATCTTCTCGGCCGATAGCCAGGTGGTGAACGTGAGACTTCCAGTGATGGCTTTCTCTATCACGAAGACAGGTAGTCCAGAACTCGGAGTAGATCTGGTGAGTGCTGAGGGTGTCGCACATCAATCGAATCCGTACCTACAAGGACTCGTCGATTTTGATTGGCGATATTTGCAGATCGCCTGTATGGAATGATTGCGTAGGGCATGCATTTCAGCGTCTGGGGTTTGCCACGGACAAGGCCGCCAACGTGATGACTTCGGGAGTACAAAGTGGCTGGGGTTCGAGCCGCTATAGTCTTGAGAAGACGATCAATCGCAATGGTAAAACATGGCTTGCGACCGAGGCCAAATACCGAGTGTACCTCAATCGCAGGGATGAGGTCGTTGTGACCACACTCATGGTAAGCCCCGAGCAGGCTGCTGCACTGAAGCCGAACCTGGATAAATCGAGCCCACAGGGGACCGCACCTACGATCTCCCAATGGTCTGATTTTACGCATCAGTTATGGCGTATCAGCGTTCAACCGCCATCGCAACCATGGAAACCGACTTGGCTGTTCTTCCCCCTGATCTTCGACGGGGAGACGTTGCAACGTCTTCAGTACGATCGCAATTCTCAGCCGATCGCCTTTCCTGGAAACACTTTCGATGGTTCTTCTGAAGACGGTCGGAGTCTACTGAACACACCGCTCGGACGACAGGCCTTACACCTTATCTCGAATATGCAAAATGCCCACGATTCCGCGAAAGGCTCCATCGACGTCATCCATGTATACTCGATCAGACGTAATTGGGCAGCTTCGTCCCGGCTTGCCACTGGTAACGTGATCAAGATGTCGACCAGACCGTGTGTTGCTATGCATGTCAAGTGGGAGTGAAGTCTTGACTTTACCATGTCTCACCCCACTTCTGAAGAGATTGGTGACCACAGTACGGCCACCGGCGGTCAGCTGTAGATAGATTCTATGAGCGTTTGTGCGGAGCAGCTGCGTTAGAGGACTAATATCGGGAGATCTGATATCGAGCTTTGGGGGACTAACGGTGTGGAGTTGGTGCGTTTTCTGTCTTCAAAGCTGAGCTGTCAGTACTTCTTCAATGCCTCAAAGATAAGTGGTTTCAAAGAGAGAAATCGGAGCGATAGAATATCATATTTGATTGCTCAATTGAAGGGTTACATTTGAAGCGAAATCTGATGGCGCTTCAGGGTCCCTGGTTGGCCTAGTGTGCGATTGCGTTCAGGAAAATGGGTCGATCCTCCCGTATTGCGATTGACGAGCAGGCTCTAACCAAGATGTAGATTCAGAGCCACACCTCAGGCTGATGTATGATTTGATCATCGTAGGTCGATGTCTCGCCACCAGACGGCACACGCCATGTCTGATCCAGCCATCGAGGTCTGCCAGGGGATCAAATGCCAGCCGCTACTATTCAGAGGACTCGCAACCCGTTACCAGCAATGTCCGGTGATGAAGCCAGAACGGGAGGCGATCGTTTGTGTACGCGACAAAAATCCAGCGGACCGCCGGCGGGTTTCCAGACACAGCCAGAGTTGTCAGATTTTATGGCTGGGATATGTAGCGGATGTACTGATATCTTTCAGATCTTCCAAATTCCATCTTTGTTGTAGCACAGTAAGAGGGCATGTTAGATCATCATGCCGTCCTTGTCATATGCCATACTATCGCTTGTGCTTGTGTCTACAATGATTGTAGCACGGCCTCCACCAGGCTTAGAAAACTCGTTCTATATTTCCTGTATACTGATAAGATTTCTAAGCCGGGCCGTAACAGAGTAGATAGATGTGAAGCCAGCTAGCGTGGCCATGTCTCCTTCCCTTGTCTTCGCATATAAGATGTCCTATTGGACGTCGAGATCGTTCAAAGCCATGCCGGCCTTGGTGATAGCATCACAGTAGTCCGCATGAAAAGATTGCTTGGCATCAGTGACTAGTCTCTTGACTCTCGGTTGTAACAAAATGTGCCACAGCCATTGTGCAAAATTTGAGGCGAGCACGAACATTTGCGAGCCATGTGTTGCAGGTCATCAAGAGAGATCAGCCAGTCGAAGCTGATAGCGCCTGCCAGAGAGCGCTGTTACCGGCAGCGATGACTGGCGAATGTAAAAGGAGGATGCGACGGTGGGAAGAGATCTCCTCTAAAGCTCGAAGACAGAATCCACCTCAATTGGCCGAACTCGAACCACGACTTCTGTCAACCGTGCCATATATATCTCTGTTCCACGCAAGTTCCTGCCTGGCCACACCGACAGCACAACCTTTTACCTTGCCCGCTGCGTCTAAGAGAACAATGGATCATAGTGCCTGCACCGACAATTCCCGCACCTGAGCATCACGGCATGGCGGTTTGAGCCCGAGCGATCGTCCCAATCTAGGAATGTGCCGATGTCATACATACAAGCCCCATTACGACACTCCTCCCACTCCATTGACCTGCATACAGCATCCTCTATAATATCTTGCAGCTTCTGCTCCACTGCTTTTGCAGCATTCTCCATACTCTTTGCGGTGAACAGGTTAGCGGCGCCCTCCATGACTTTTGCCTGCGATGCGAAAACTTGTGCAGTAGAAGCAGCCACGTTCTGATCTGCGGTGATGAACCTCTCGATTTCCTTAGCCTGCTGCTGAGAGAGCTGCTTCAAGTAGCTCGCCTCGTTTGCGGCGGCTTTGTACTTCTCGTTTGTCTGCTTTAACTTCTGAATCGCTGCTTCTGCCTGTTCCTGCTTGACCTGGCTTACGCTGTTACTCATCTGTAAAGCTCTGTTGGAACTCGTGAGCTCCTGTTTTATGGCGGAGAAAGCGTCCTCCCTGGTTTCAAGATCCCGAGTGAGCTGCGCAAGCTGCCGTGACTGGGTCGCTTGCTCGCCAGCTGATTCCTTCAGCTGCAACTCGAATGTACCCACCTCGCCTGTCTTGATCCTGACTTGATCACGAAGCGACTCGACTGTACCTTCTTCGTTCAAGAGCTTTGCTTCCAACTCTGCTAGATGCTCTTCGTATTAACGAGACAAAGCTTCGATCTCCTCGTTAGTTGACGATGTCAATGGTCCAAGGAGTTCTGTTATCTCGTCTCTGACAGTACTTTGTGCTTGGCTTAATGCTGCGCGTAGAATCGTCGGTGCGAACTCCTGTAGACTGGGTTCTACTGAGATGGCGTACATGAAACTGTCGCAGAGGACTAGAGAATCGATCGCATCCAGGGCCATGATAAGCATCTACTTACGTAGCGGATCTTCAACGGATGTGGTGTGTTTGTACACCTCACATAAGACACCAGGGAAATTGTCGAGCTGCTGTATTGTGTCAGCACACGCGAACTTCTCTAGAGCGAGGTCCAGGAGCTTTGGTAGTTGATAGAATCGTGCAATGGCATAGACGTGCACGTGTGACAGTGCGTCCCCCTTCGCCTTGGGTTCGGCCGGGTCAATGATTACAAGCTGGCTAGAGCATTCGTCGCTCGAGCTCATCGAGATTGAGTGATCGTCGGCAGCCGAATCGACAGCCAGGCTGTAATCTTCCTCATACATCCAACGAAGCATGTACTCCACTGTCTGAGCATCGAATGCATGATGCTCGATGACATTGGCATTGCCATGGGCTGCCTGCATCACGTCAGCACCGTTGTATCCCGATGACAGCGAAGTGCTAGCATACCTCGGTTATCACCTCACACTGCTCTGCCAATACCGCAGACTTCGAGCAGACAACGGCACGATGTACTCTGAATGTTCTGTCCTGGCAACGGATCTCTAGGTCGGTCCACTTACCATCGATGGACGGTCCCTCACGATGGCCAGGCATCGTGCTGACGTCTTCTCCCACGTAGCGAAGAGCAAGTGAAGTGAGAAGTGGCAATGAGAGCGAGTGTATGGCATGAATGAAAGAGTCGTGAAACGCCCGGAAGGTAGCGACGAGCCGAAGCTCGCAAGAAGAGAAGGAAGGAACGACCTGTTTAGCCAAGATGAGGAAGGAATGATCTTGCTTGGCGAGAACGAGAGAAGGAACAAAGATTCCCTGGTCGACCGTTACTTGTTTCATTTCATGCTGGCCTACAGCTTATGCTTCTTCTCACCACTCCCAATCTTCCTGAACTCCTCCTGAGGCACACCCGACAAGAACCTGTCCAAGCCTCCAAACACCTCAGCCACACCCTGTGCATCCAGGATATCTCTCTCCGGCCTGCGGATCAACTCCTTGATCTTGGTCATACTGTCCGGAACGAGATGATCGCCCATCCTGTCTTCAACTTCCTTCAACACCAGTTCCAAGAACTTATCGCTTTCATTTGGCTTGGTATCGAACACCTTGTTCACGAACCCACATTGCACGAGCTCGGGGCAAGTGATCCTCTTTGACATGATCAGCGCCTCGTTCGCTTTGGCCACGCCCAGTCTCTGCACAAAGCTCCTGCTTGCCAGACCCTCTGCAACGAGACCGAGACTGCTGAACGGGGTCAAGAGGAAGGTATGCGGTGCGGCGTAGATGAAGTCCGCAAAGCCGAGGAGTGCAGCCGAAAGACCGACTGCTGGACCATTAAGCGCCGCGACCAGGATCTTGGGGTGAGTGTAAAAGGCGCGAGTGGTGTTGAGGTTGTTGGCGACGAAGCTGCCGAGCCATTGCTTGTATGGGTCCACGCCTGGTGCGGCAGCACGCGAAATGCCTACATCAGCACCTGCGGAGAAGAACCTCCCCTTCGCAGTCAATACCGTGATGTATACGCTGTTGTCCTTCGCAATCTCATTGAGGAGCTTCGCAATGCGGAAGTAGTACTCTTGTGTCAGAGCATTGAGCTTCTTCTCCAGGTTCAAGGTGATGATCGCGATCTTGCCGCGTTTCTCGTAGAGGACAGCCTGCTCTGGTGTAGGAGCGCTAGTTGCCATGATGGTGATCTGTCTGTTGGTAATTGTGGAAGGCAGTGAGGATTGTTACGAGTCTTAGGAAAGACAACGTATCTTACCGTCCTAGCAAGCAGCAGTAACTGAGATGTAATCATGCACTATACCTCGGATAGCCTTTAACGCAGCCATTGCCCTGCTCTGCGGTTAGTGAAGATGAGAGGGCAGGGGAGGGTAACCGAGGCTCGAGTGCAGCTCCCTCGTGACTTGAAAGGATCACGTGATTCTTATAGCTTGGCATGAATGACCATGACTCCATCACATGCAAAGTGAATGTTTTACTGCATCAAGCTTACCTATAAGACATCGACAAGATGGGTGGCCCTAATCTCGAGGTCTTTAAGGTATGATCCCTCATGCTCTTATGCGACCATCACTGATACATGACATATTAGTTCGGCATGTACATCCTCTTTCCCATCGGCATAATGTACTACTTTGGCACAAACCTCGACTCGCGCTTCAGTACACCTGATTTCTGGCCAAAGGAAGGTCAAACGCACACCATACCGTTCGAGAGGGAAGACATCAAGGTCGAACTCAATAGATTGAAGCAACGACGACTTCTCAACCGGGCCAAGAGAATGGAACTCGAGCAGTCGGGACAATTGCCGGAGGAGATCACGAGGAATCGAGATGAGGTTGAGGCGAGAGGGGCGAGGGAGATATTGGGCGAGGTCAAGACGGTGGAGCCGGAGAAGAGTCAATTCGCGAGGGAGGGTGGGAAGGGCTGGTTTGGTTGGTTGAAGTGAGAGGTCGTGTTACTGCGACGGGATGACGAATCTACTCTACCCTCCGAACGTCCTTCGGAAGCTACCCTGGAGCACTGTTGCATCGTGGATATGCGTACATGGAGTAAGAGACTGATTTTGGAGGCGATCGATTCACTACCTCCGTGCTTGTCGCCACCACAGCCTCTGCTTCGCACCAGGATCGTTGGCAACCTAAAGAGCAAAACTCAGCAACAAAGGAATTTTTGTACCGATCGACCTGCTCATATCGATACAGGCATGCCGCACGCAAGCCGTGGGTCGACAATGATCCTGACATGCATTCGCGCAGCATGAGCAAACTCGAACGTAAACCATGTGAAATGACGCTTTTAGATTATGAAGGGGAAGGCGACAAGGGTCTTTTGTGCACGTCTCACGGCCGCTGTAGATGTCTTGCTTCTCCTAGGTACTGCTGGATGGATAAATAGCTTGCTACTTTGCATTGAGTCAATCACTGTAGACGCTAATGCCTTGTCGGAGATTCACATATAGCTACGCAGAACGTGACTTCACAACCATTACCAGCAGCTTCATGGCTTCCATACATCAACTCACTAGACTCAACGACATCGCCACCCTCAGGGACAGCATGAACCACTCAGATCTTGTCATTCGCTGTGAGAGAAGGGAGCTCCATGTCCACAAGGCCGTCTTGTGCTCCGCTTCGAAGGTTCTCAGCAAGGCATGCGACAAGAAGTTCGAGGAAGGCGCTACGGGTGTGGTCGAGCGCACGGAGTTCGATGCAGACACGGTGGAGCGCATGATTGAGTACATCTACAAGCAGACGTACCATGTCGATAGCCCAGCACCGTCTACGGAGTCCAGCAGCTTGAGTAGTACAGAGTCAACCCCATCGTCTGAGGATGACACAGATGGCACAGAGGATGATCAAGCTCCGTCTGAGCCATACAACACGGCTGGGAAACCATCAATCAACACCAACACTGCTCTCATCGCTCACGCCCGTGCATACGCTATCGGGGAGTACTACGAGCTACCAACGCTACAGCAACTGGCAATGGAAAAGTTCGAAGCAGAAGCCACCTCTTCCTGGTCGATCAATGGTTTCATCGACGTCATCAGAGAAGTCAACGCTATCTCGGGCTTGGAAGATCGTGCCTTGCGCAACAAGCTACGCGGCGTGGCGATGGACCATATCGACCAGCTGGTCGACAACGACGATTTTATGACCAAGCTGGCGGAGTTACCTGACGTCCAGGACTTCGCTGCAGACATGCTTCGGGCTACGGTCAGACACCAAAACGACAAATTCACCAAGCTCGACGAGAAAATGCGAGGATTTCTGCAACAGCTGGAAACCGCCGAACCACAGATCGAGCAACTCATGAAGCGAGTTACCAACCTAACGGCAGAAGTCGAGTCCAATCAGCATGGTGCTGATGCAGTACGGACCGATGCGAGAAGAGCCTTCCACGCCTTCCAGAAGAGCATTCGCGAGCTTCCGTCATCATGCAAGAACGAGCGCTGTGGTCGTGAGTTTGGGAAGCTCCAATTTGAATCCGCTGGACATGCGGGTGTCAGTGGACTGTGCAGCGACTGGTGGGTTCGTTGTGCGAAGTGCAAGTGCCATTTGAAAAATTAGAGAGCGGTCATTGCGTCGGGTCGGGATCGGTCTGAGCAGAAGGACGTGTGATTTTGCATGATGCGAGGCGCGGCAATACTAGACACAGCATAACCCGCAGATGTAGAGGACGATGTACTTGGCATTCGGGAGTTCCCAGCGAGTGTAGTCGAAATGGAGCAGCGCCCGATAGTAATTTACAAGCGTCTGTCTATACTTGACTAGCCAAGCACTAATGTCTAGTGTCGCATTCACATCTCTTGTTAACCCCTAACTTTCCTCCACCCACTAGGTCTCCACCGTCGTCCACTCCACTTCACGACCGCAACCGGCACCACACTCGCCGCAGTAACAAGCCCCACCCGCCACCAAAACGGTGCCATGCCTCCTTGTACCACATAGCCCAGGTCAAAGTACCCCCCCAGCGTCGGAAAAGTAGCAAAGTACAGTAGTATCGTTCCAAGGCAGGAGAAGATCATGATAGGATGCCATGTCGTGATCTCAATAGCCACCATCAAGATCTCCGTCAGGATGAGGGCCGTATACGAGATCGAGACCATGCGACGAAAGGGCGCCGTGGTCGTATCCAGACCCTGTCCCGTAGTCGTCGGAGAAAGATACGAAGGTAACAGAATCTCCGCCCCTCCCTGAATAACCAAACCCTGATACAAACTAACCGCGCACCAAATTCCAAAACTCCTCACACTCAAACTCCTGCCCCCAACCAATTCTTTATAAAGCTCCGGATACAGCCTCGCCAACCCCTCATCCACATCCCGATCCAGCACGAGGGAGAAAACAGGCATCATGGTGTAGATCGTCGCATACCCCACCAGCAACCAATCCCGATACAAGGCCACGGGCTCAAACCCCCCAGCGACGCTGAAGACGGTCTGCGCGACACTGATGATGAGACCGCGGTATATCACGAATTGCGCCAGCTTCGCAGACCGTTTATAGCTATTCCTTCCATGCCAGAGCAGTAATTTCGTGACGTGTGAGAATTGCTTCACGGAGAAGTCGGCTGCTAGGGAGGCTTGCTGGCCTTCTTTGCCTTCGATCCCGATTCCTATATCCGCTGCGCAGATCATGGAGACGTCGTTGCCACCGTCGCCGATGGCTAGGGTGCGTTTGCCTGTGTATTGGCGGATGAGGGTAGTGAGGACGGCCTTCTGGGTCGGGGTACAGCGGCAGGCGATGACGGCTGGTAGTTTCACTGCTGTTTCGATGAAGGTTTGGGTGTGGTGGGTGAGGAGGAGGGCGAGCGATTGGCCGTCGATTAGTAAGGCGGTTGCTGTGGCGGTTGCTGCGAGGCCGCCGCTTCCACCGATGGTGTTTTGGAGTGGGAGGAGGGCGTCTAGAGCTTGTTGTGGTGTTTTCAAGCCGGCGACCGTGTGAATGGTTTGGCCTCTAGGGACGAGTTTGGAGGAGAGCGCGATACAACGGGCTGTCTCCACCTTGTCGCCCGTGAGCATCCAGATCTTGATTCCTGCGTTCCTTAACACCTCCAGGCTACTTTTCACACCCTCTTGGAGTTTGTCTTCTACACCCGTGATGCCGAGAAGCTCTTCATCGCATTCTAGATGCTGTTTCACCACTTTCGCCATCGCAGCGTCGCGACCGGATAGGGCGAGAGAGGCCGCGGAGTAAGCGGCGTTGAATTGCGCACATTGATCCTTCGATAATTGCTTCCGGCCGATTACCAGAGTCCTTAGACCTTCACGGGCGAGGTTGTCCGTCTCCTCCGCCAGCCACGTCGTAGGTTGAACCAGCGGCGCCATAGCCGTGTCGGCACCCTTTTGGAAGAAAACAATCGCCTCCTCTCCATCCTCCACGTTATCGTTGCTGCTATGCTGTGGGCTCGTATACCGTAAGAAGCGGAGGATGATGCCCATCCGTTTGCTGTCGCTTGTAAAGGGGAAGACATGCAGGATCTCCGCCTTGACTACCATCCTGCTTTCCTCCCCATCATCGCCCGCAGATTCGAGCGTGATAGTCTTGCGATCGCGATGAGCCAGTCGTAATCCGACAGCTTTTGTCCACTGCACAATAGCTATCTCGTCTGGCGAGCTGGCCTGATAAGTCGTTACTGCCCTCATCCCACCCTCCCCGTCATCCTCCTCTTCGGAAGTTGGGGTGACATTATGACACAACGCCAATGCCACAACCAGGTCTCTGATGCGTGCAGCAACAATCCTCTTGCTCCGGCTACCTCCACTAGCACCAGCAGTCTCGCTGTTTAGACTTCCCATCTCCTCCGCCTTTCCCGGCGTCCACAGTCCACCCTCCCCACCCGCGCCGCCAAAAGCCCGCCTCACAAACCCTCTCACCGCCCCCTGCCCCTCGGCACCTCCAAAACCCTGCCCAGCTACAAAGACCTTCCTCAACACCATCTCGTTCCTCGTCAGCGTCCCCGTCTTATCCGATAGCAGGAATTCCACTCGTCCCAAATCCTCAGGTATAGTTGAAGTCCTCACCACAGTGCCCGGAATGCCAGGGTCGCGGTGGATGAAGTATGCGTAGACGCTCTTCGCCATGTCGAGATTCACTCGCAAGGATATGGGTACGATGGTGCTGAAGAGAATCAGGAATCTCGTGAATGCCACGGCATATCCCTCTGATCCGTCCGCTGGTCTCGGCGCGGCGGGCTGGACACGTTCGAGAACAACTAATGTCAAGCTGAGAGCTGCAGTCAAGAAACAGAGGATTTTGGTCAGAGTGTTGATTTCGTTCTCCAGCAATCCAGTTTTGCTTCGGCTGGAGGAAGTGCTCATTGCCGCGCGAGTCTGGGTGCCGGTGTAGATGACGACGGCGTGAACGGTGGTGGTGGAGGCTAGGACCGTGTTGGCCCAGGCTGTGTTGTCTATTGTCAAAGCTGTCGACTGTGGGATATTGGCCGAGGTGCCCTGGGCTTCGATCGGTGAGGCTGAGTCGTAGGGTTGATGGCGTGATGGCGTGGCTGGGAGGAGCTCGAGGGTGCCGATGAAGCCGTTGACGTTTCGGTCGGGCTTCCCGGCTGTTACTCGTAGACGGATGTATTCGCTCGTAGGGAGGGTTTGGGCAAGGGGAGAGGCGAGACGCAGTTTCCAGTCTGTCTCGCCGTCTAGTTGGTCGGTACGGATGAAGGCTTCACCACCGCCTGATGGATCTTCGGACATGGTTTTGTTATCCACATCCGGTTTTGACTTGTCTCCTGCGCGAGCATCGGTGTCCACCAGAGTTGTGTCAGAACCTTCGCCCTCTTCGGCGTCGTCACTGGGTATGTTCGTAGATGCCTCGGAAGACAAACTCTTCAGTATGACCACATCAGCTGGCACCCGCTGGTCCTTGCTCAGGACAATCACATCCCCGACCTTCAGATTCCAACTCGGTATAATCATCTCCTTGACCCTGGCCGCCGCAACCTTGTCCCCACCTCCACCTCCCTTGCCCTCCCTCCCCGCACCCCCTTTCTTTCCCCTTCTCCTCTCCTTCATCCCTGCTCCACCACCACCTGCTCCAAACCTAATCACCCTCACGGCCTCCCCATTAGCCACTCTATCCCGCCGTCTCCTCCCCAAATCGTCCCAGGCCTCCTTTCCCAACGTCACACTCATCACAAAAGCCAAGGGAGCCACATACGTACTCAAATACCCTATCCTTAGGGCTGGAATGATCTGGCTGAGGGCGACGAGGAGGAAGTAGAGGTTGAAGAAGAATTTGAACTCATGGTATAATGTCAGAGGGAGGAAATTAAGGGGGGTGTATTTGGTGTTTGAGATTGTGTTGGGCGGGTATCTCTGGGTTTTGGAGGGGTGGATGTTGCCGGCTGTAATTATGCGATTCGAGGCGGGAGAGTCGATAGGAGAGTCGGTGGTGGGGAGGGCGATGGAGGTGGTTCGTCCGAAGGGTAAGAATCGCCATAGCCCTTTTCGTCGCCGTGTTCGGAAGTCGCCACCTGTCCCTGCTCCTTCCTCATTCAGATTCGTGCCCTCCACTTCTCCGCCGCCCAGCAGACCGCGGCTCTCCTCGCCAGCGTTGCTTTGTCTCCGTCCTTCGCCGTCCTCATCGTCTCCACCCACTAACGCTTTCAGACCCTCATCGTCCTCGCGTGGTCGTCGTCGCAGGTTCCGAAGCGGTATCCGTCGTCCGAATCCTCGTTTGTTCTGTGGTGTGTCGTATGGGTCAAGCTCGTTCAATTCCAAGTCGAGATCAGCATCAACGTCGTCGTCGGCATATGGGTCTTGGTGGTGGTCGCGGCGACGATCCATGCCTCATAGTGCTATGTCCTTTCTCGCCGATTATTATTGTACATCACCAGGGTCGATTGTATGGTTTACCGAAAAGACCAGCTCTTCTTTGTCCTTTCTTAGCTATAGGCAACCTTTCACGTGCTGCCCCGGATCCCAGGGCAAACCTTATATAAGCATGGCGGGAGCATGCGCACCTGTCATCTCTCACCCCCGAGGCTCCGCGATTCGTGATAGACGGACGGCAGTAATTACTCCATCCCCCTTTCCATCATATCGATGACATCGGCTTCGGATGGCCGCTGTGATGCTAGAAGTCGTCCTTGCTCCTAGGGTACTTGTTGTATAGCATTTGAGGTTAAAGTGTGCATTGGTGAGTCTCGAGCCGAAGCCTATCCCTTGGCCGCGGCCAGCTGGCCCATGGTGTGATTGATGTCTGACAAGCGTTCACAGTAATATCCCGTTTTAGCGACAGCCATGTCTTCGCAGAGAGATGTAGAGCACCAGTCGCAGTCTTCTACAGTGACGAACGCGACCGATCCCAATACAGTAGCAACCGCATCATGGCGTCCCGCGTTACGACCCAACGTGGAGCGGGCACCGGAAAATGACGACGACTTCTTCGAGCGATACCCGAACGCGACACCGAAGAAGATGCAGCAACAACGCGAACAGGCGCAGGCCCAACGGCAAGCGCAACCGACCGCTCCTGCTGAATCGATAGCGCAGCCACTATTGCATACCCAGGCAGTCGACGAGCCGGAGCAGGACTTCCCGAACCTCGAGGACCGACAACGAGCAAACAGCATCTCCGTCGAACACGTGCTCGACATCCGACACTCGGCCGCGTCACCCGCAGATCTCTCACAAGGCCCTTCAAGCTCGGCAAATGCTTCAGGACCGATAGAACGACACGAGCACGTGGAGGAAGAGGAAGTAGATGCCGTGACGCCTGCCGCACGAGATACGGAAGAAGATGACGAGGAGATGCTGTTCAAAGGCCCAAACGAGACGATCGAGGAGCAGCGACAGGACTTGGAAGACGCTCTACCCGCAGATGAGGATAATCTCGCTGAAGTGGATGAGGAGCAAGTTGGACATCCAGAGTCGGGCTATGACTACCAAGGCGAAGTCACGGAGATGGAGGCCGCGCAGGATGGGGAGCCGGACGCGCCATTGTTGGATGATGAGCAGCCTCCGCCTACAATTTCAAGAAGTCTAGGGACCGATGTGAGTATGGGTGGGGAAGTGGAAGTGGATGAGGAGGCGTCGCCTACACTGACTGCGGCGAAAGCGGTGGCTGCTCCCCCGCATATTGATAGGAGTTTTACTACGAATTTCACTGAGGTACCTGTGCCTGAGACGGAGGAGGCAGAGGAGGCGGTGCACGAAGAGGCTGGTCGTGGTGATTGGTCAAACGATGGGAAGGATGATAAGACTTTTGGTGAGCTGCTGGGTGATGAGGAGGAAGTGGGTGACTCGAGCTCGCAGTGGCCTGCTGAAGATGAAGAGGATCCGTTTGATAAGATTGGTAGTACGGCTCAGGAATCTACTGCACAAGCACCAGTTGCGCATGATCCTCTGGAGGATCAATCAGATGATATGGCAGCTCCGGACGGTACAACTAAATCTCGAAATCTGGATCCTGAAGCTCAGGGTGGCGATGATATGGCTGCCGCTTGGGAAGCAGCCTTAGACGACGATGAGCTGTTGGAGTTGGATGAAAGCGACGATCTAGATCCCTCAAAGCTCTTCGGTGACGACGATGACGACTTACTAGAGGACGATGGCGATGATTTCCTGGCAGATGTGAATGACACAACCAAATCCATCTCCCAGCAGCATGAGCAGCCGCAGATACGAAGCGCACCGTCTCAGTATCAGCCAGTCCAACAAGCACAGAATCCCTACGCCGCGGCATCCACAGCTTTCCTCCAAAACCATGGAAGAGGAGCCGGAACACCGGATACAGGTCTCTTCGACATCTACAACACCCAACCCATGCCCCAAACTCAACAGAGGCCACCATTGGCATCCACGCAGAGTTTCGCCGATAAGTCGAAAGGTGGATATCAGTCCCCTTATGATTTGCCCATGGAGGTTGTGAAACCCGCAAGACGAAGAGTGCCGCAGCCGCATCAAGGTTCTGGGTCTGGTTCTGGATCTGCGCCAGTGCCGCCGCCGAGGAGTAGTTCATTTGGTAGTACCTCCGCCCCTCTGGCGCCACCGGGAAGCGCAGGCAGTGTGATGAGTCCGCCTGGTTCGCGGGCTGGGCCGCCTTCCTCCTCGGGCTCTGCAGCTGCGCCACCGGCTTCCATTTCCGCAAGAAGTACGCCAAAGACTGATTCGGGTTTCTTTGCCGATCTGCCTATGAGTACGAAACCTAGAGCGAGACCGAGTGGTGGGTACACGCCAGCTGGGTCTTTACCCAGCACTCCCGGTATGTCTGGAGGGCAGTTCCCGCCTGGTGTTGCCGGTGGTGCCGCGCCTCCGGGCCCACCTTCGAGGGCAGGCAGCGGGTATATGCCACAACAGCATCCTTCGAGAGGTGCCGTACAGCCCCCTCAATTACAGCAAGAGCAGCCGCAGCATCAGCAACCTGGATACGCTGGTCTCCGACAACCGGAGAAGATGCCTCTATTACCTGATCAGCCTTCTGCGCCAGCAGCAAATACTCAACCCCATCCGCAGGTAAACAATAGGTACTCCCCAGCTCCGACAGCTCAAGCGGCTCCTTCGTCACGATACTCGCCCGCTCCTACCGCGCAAGCGAATCAATCTGGTGCAGGGGCAGGCAGAGCGACTAGTGGTCCTCCCGCTGCTCCTCCTCCTAGGATCCCATCTGTGAATCAATATACTCCGCGAACAAGTAGTCCGCTTGCTTTTGCCAACGAGAAGAACTTACCTGCTTTGCCGTCAGGGGTAAGTATGAGTCCGCCGAAAGTCAATGGAGTGGGGAGTCGGTACTCTCCTGCTGCTGCGCCACAGATGCAAGATCCGGGGATGTCTATGCCTCCTCCTTCGCAAATGCAGAGCAGGCAGCCTCCTCCGCCGCCTCAGCAACAGCAGCCGCCCATGCGGCCGAGGACGCAGAGTCCAGTATCTCATATGAAGGAGGCGAGAAGTATGAATGCGATGGGCATGGGCATCACGCCGCTCGAACGGCCTACTTCTGCCGCTGGAGCAGCGTACGGACTCGCGGCGACCCAGCAGCAGTACGGCCAACTCCAACAACGTCAACAACAGCCCTTGACAGGGTCGAGAGGACCAACCGTTCTCCCCCACCGCCGCCAATTCTCCCGCGACCTCGCCTTCCATCCACCCGCCAACCCTACGTCCCAGGATCCCCTTGAGCGATGGAAGGGTGGACCTATTTTCCACTGGAGCGGAGCTGGGAGTGTGGTGACTTCTTTCCCTTCACGAATACCCTTTTATGGTGGCGGTGGAGGCGCGGGTCCCATGCTCAAGTGCACGAGTGGCGATATCAAGGTTCGGGACGCGAGTACTGTGGGGATGGGAAGTGTGCTTGTAGATGAGCAGATTGCTAAATTCCCTGGTCCGCTTGCGGCGAAGAGTAAAGGAAGGAAGAAGGAGGTTTCGGCTTGGATGAAGCGTAGGATTGAGGCTTTAGAGGCCGAGGCACAGGCTGTCAGGTTCGTTCCCAGAGTGGCTGGGGAGGAGGACGTCGGTCGACAAGCAGAGGAGAAAGTCATGCTGTACAAAGTTCTCGGCCTCTTCGTCGAGAACGATGGCGTTCTGGAGGGCAACAAGAAGATTGAGGGAGAAGTCCGCGGTATCCTTGTTCCGGATTTGGAGGAAAGGGGCAGGGTAGCGGAACTCACGAGTCCCGTCTCTGCATCCGCCGTTGGTGGACTAGGAGCCGAACCCGTCGACCGAGCAGTCCTTGCACAGATCCGACAGGCGTTGCTTGAAGGGCAGAGGGAACGTGCTGTTTGGCTTGCCGAGGAGAAGAAGTTGTGGGGACATGCTATGCTCCTAGCCTCTACCCTGGGTCCAGAAACGTGGAGACAGATTGTTCAATCTTTTGTGCGGTCGCAGGTCCTTTCCGCCGGGTCGATGGAGAGTCGTAGTTTGGCGGCTGCTTATCAGGTCTTTGCTGGGAATGGAGCAGAGGTTGTTGATGCGCTTGTGCCGGCGAGTGCAAGGGCGGGGTTTAGGATGGTTAGTGCGAGTGATGGGTCTGTGGGGAGTTCTTCGCCGTTGGAGGGGTTGGAGCAGTGGAGAGAGACGGTCGGGCTGGTTGTGGGTAACCGGACGCCGGGGGATGGGGAGTCGGTTGCTCGACTTGGGCGATTACTTGCTTCGTATGGACGCTCGGAGGCTGCTGGTGTGTGCTGGCTGCTTGGACGGGGGTTCGTGAAGGTTGGTGGGGCGGATGAAGTGGACAGCGATCTTGTGTTACTTGGTGGAGCTCAACACAAGGACACCGGCAACGACCAAGACACTACCGGCAAGGCTCCTGTCGGAGCAGACCTAGACTCAATCCTGCTCACCGAGATCTACGAATGGGCTTCCTCCCTCTCCTCAACCGCCAACCCAACGACTACATCTTCTGGAACACCGTATCTCCCTCATCTGCAACCCTACAAGCTCATTCACGCCCACGCACTTGCTGCATCAGGCCACAAGGTCCAAGCGCAGGCTTATTGTGACCACATCACCACGGCCTATACCTCCACGACTCGACCAAGCCAGTACTACCACCCAGGCTTCACACAAGCAGTGGCAGACTTGCAAGCTTTCCTCTCCCAGACTCCGACTGGTGCGGAGGGTAGTAAAGGCTTCCTTGGCTTGAGCAGGCCGGGGATGAAAAGTGTGGGTACTGGTGTGGGGACGTGGTTTAGTAAATTTGTTGCTGGTGAGGAGGATAATGCTGCAGCTGCAGGGCAGGGTCAGATGGCAGGACAAGGGATGGGTGTCGGTGCAGAGGGGATGATGACGTCGCCAGATCAAAACACTAGTGGACCTTTCGGACGACTCAGTGGTGAAGTCAGTCGTAGTGCGTCAAGGAATGAAGCGTTCAATCCGATGATGGTGAGTGGGGGCCAGCAGAGCCCGTACATGCCGGGCGTGCAGACCGCGGTCAGTACGCCTGGTGGTGGCCGGTACGCGCCTTCCTATGGCGGCAGCGCGCCTGTTGCTGTGCCGCAGCGTCCGGCGCCTGCTGGACAGCAATCGACCTCGGCAGCCAGCTCGCCATATGCTCCTGGCATCGGATCGCCGGCTGCTGGTACAGGTATGATGGGTCAGGGCATGTCGCCCATGGAACACGGAAACCACATTATCAGCCCTCTTGCCTCCCCACCTAGCACATCTCATAGCCTCGGCGTGCCAGCACCATCAGACCAATATGTGCGACCTGGGTCCGCACCACGAGCGAGCTCGAGGAGCAGGTATGCCCCGAGTCCTGTCCAGCACGGTCTGGGTGTGCAGGGGGGTCCAGGAGCGGGCTTGAACAGGGCGGCGAGCGACTACGGCGTGCCATATGGCGCTGACTCAAGAAGAGGCTCGGCGCAAGAAATTGGCAGTCAGGGATCTTATCAGCCTATTCCGATGTTGGCCGCGCAGCAAGACATGCCTGCATATGGATATCCTCTTGTGCAGCAGATTGAGGCCCAGCAGCTAGATACGCAGCCAGAGGCGGAGGAAGAAGGAGACGATGCTTTTGGACCGAAACTCAATGGTCTCGGCTTCGATTCCGAAGCAGCTGATCCGAGCGAGGCTGCTGGTGGGTATGAGCCGCCCAATGCTAGCGCAGCGTACGAACCCCCATCATACCAACCCTACGAGCCCGAGCCCGAAGCCGAAGGTGATGATGAGCTTCGCCCGAAGAAGAAGGGCATGATGGACCTCGACGACGAAGACGATGTGGCCGCCAGGGCCGCTGCCGTCAAGAAAGCCGCAGCAGATAAAGAAGCAGATGATGCCTTCCGCAAAGCCGCCGAAGCCGACGCAGCTCGAGACACTAAAGGAGGCAAAGACGCCGGCAAGGCAGCAGGTGGAGGCTGGTTTAAAGGCGGCTGGTTTGGCGGCAAGAAAGACCCTTCCGCCGATTTGAACGCTGCAAATCCCAACAAGCCCATCCGCGCCAAGCTGGGAGAAGAAAGCTCCTTCTACTATGATGAGACTTTGAAGAAATGGGTCAATAAGAAAGGTGGAGCTGAGGCAGCGACTCCCGCTGCTGCTACGCCACCACCGCCTAAGGGTATGAGTAGAAATGTTTCCGGTGTGACTGGACCGCCTAGTGGACCGCCTAGTCGTGTTGCTAGTGCGGCTGGATCTATGGGGCCTCCCAATGGTTTTGGATCTAGGCCGGGGACTTCGTCGGGACTGCCGCCTAGCGCGATGGGGATGGCCATGAGCAATGGTGGATCTGGGCCCCCGAGCAGGGCGGGTACCCCTGCTTCTGGCGTAGCGGATGGGAATGGCGAAGGTCTGGCAGGTCCAACTGGTGTACCGCCGCCTATGAGACCGGCGAGTAGTATGTCCACGGCTAGTAGTCTTGATGATTTGCTTGCTGCTGGGCCGAGAAAAGGGGGCGCGGGTGGGACGGTCAAGGGGAAGAAGAAGGGGAGATATGTCGATGTTATGGCTAAATAGGCCTCGCATCAGGGCAGGCGTGTATGGGGAGCATCTTGGCATGGCGTTCTGGTCTGGGAGTTGCATAGCGTGCGGGTATATGGCATGTCGCTTCCGCGTGCATCTGTTGTAGGATTAACTTGTTGGCTGTAGTAATATATATGAGATGAAGGAGATCAGTATACCGTAGGCCCTCCATTTTGGGTTCCGCAATACATTCTCACGATTTGACCCTGGTCGTAACCTGTCGGCGGTTGTTGCATCGCTCTGGCGCAGGCTACGGATGATCGGGAGCAACGTCCAATAACCCCATGCGACGACATGAGGTGACGGTGTACCTCCCACTATCGCCACTATCGCCACTTTCCAGCTACGTCGCGCGGCATCATTGTGCTTGTGAAGCACGTGATTCAGGGTCGCTCCTTCTGTTGTTTGCTCGCTCTTGCCTAGTCCGGAAAGCTTCGATATAAAGTGGGTCAGCATAGAGCTCAATCGACTTTTCTCCTTCTAGCACAAACAAGGTCGAACAACTACAATACACAGTCTTCGACATACTCGTATAGAGCCACAACATCGCTGGCACACAGGATTGCCAGTTGCACCAGCTTTGCGGAAACACAACCTTATTGTACAGCCTTAGTCACGAACGACATCGCCACCCGACATTGCCTCTTTTGGCAGCCTGCCGCTACCTCCTCACGACACCATTACGGCCCCGATCGAATAGTCCAACATGGCAGATATTCACGAGCGGGACACGCTGGTCCGGTTGGCTGATTTGAGGGCGAATGAGCGGTACAGCGACCTCACAATCAGATGTCAAGGTCGCGAGTTTTAAGTCCACAAAGCGATTGTCTGTCCTGCATCTACCGTTATCGCTAGTGCCTGCGATATTACTATGCGGGAGAGTACAACGGGGATAATCGAGCACAGCTTCTTCGATGCGGACACCCTTGGCCGTATGATCTCGTACACCTATACCCAAGGTTATGTGCTGGACAAAACTCCTACTGCCGACAGCAATACGACAAGCAACGAGGACGACCCGCAGCGTGCAGGGGCTACTGGAGATATGGAAACATTCGCGAAACCGTCCGTCTCGGACCTCATCACCCAAGAATTACTTGCACACGCAAGAGTCTATGGCATTGGCGAGTACTACGATCTTTCCAACCTCAAGACGCTCGCTGTCAAGATGTTCGATGCTGTGGCATCAAAGTACGCAAATCCTTCAATCTATTGGCCGGTCGAGGGTTTTGTAGCGGTCGCAGAGGAAGTCTACAGGCTTACAGCGCCCGGTGGGAATTCTTTGAAGGATGCCTTGACCGGAGTCGTGATGGGCTGCATCGGCGTGATAACCAGCAGTAGTATGTTCATGGAGGTGCTTGCCGACGCAGATGGTCTGCAGGAGTTCACTATCGAGCTTTTGCGCTTGTCCGTACAAAAGCTCTCGGATGAACGAGACCGCGCCGTCGAAGACCTGAAGGCCGAACAAGAGTTGACTCTACATGTCAAGGACACGACGAACATACTAGTGAAAAGAGTCCAGGGTATCGATGGACTTTGTCGCAACACCATGTGCCGTCAACGCTTCGATTGGGTGGAGCTGGAGCCAGTAGGGGATGCAGGGCCAGGGGGCGTCTTGAGCGATTGGCAAGTACGATGCGGGAAGTGTAGGTGCAAGCAGTATGTATGAGCGTCCATCACTGTGCAATGCTTACGCATGCATTTGGGGGTCCAATTTCTTGAAGGTTGCCCGAGGCAGCAGTCATTCCACAGTCAGGACGTTTTCGTGGCTGAGAACGAACGTACGATACCATAGCGAATTAGTATGATGATGTATACCTAGCTAGGTACGATTCATAGTATTTAGTTGAGTGCGATTGATGTATTATCCAACGTATCTGTTTGTGTATGGTGGCAAATCATGACCTCTTTCGCCACGGATCAAATGCCTTCTCACTATCATGCGGCTTGCTCAATACTCCATCAGCCTCAACTTCTTGCCCACTTCTCGTCTCTGCGCCACTTTCTCACTAGATCTCTGCTCTCCTTCCTCCTTCGCCTTGAGAGCTTGTAGAAGCATGCCTGCGTCGAAAAAGCCATCTGCGACACGATTAGTATACGTGGCCAGTATTCGATTTGGACAGCGCAGAACTTACAACCACCCAACTCATCGTCATCACTAGCGACTCCACTCTCATCTCCCTCAGTCTTCTGAGAGCTCCCGACCTCCTGGATAATCCTCCCTCTACTCTTCAGCCTCGTCCCCTTCGGCCTCTTCTCCTCCGCCTCCCTAGCCCGACTCGCATTCTTATCCTGACTCGTCCCCCTCCGCTGCGTCTGCCTCAACAACTTTCTAATCTCCAGAAAGTAATTCTCCAAAGCATCGATATACCGTTTCGTCTGTCTATGCTTAGAACTGGCGCAGATGGAGACGGACCCGTCTTTGATGATATAGCCTATACCGAAGCCTTCACCAGAAGTTGGACCGAAACCAAATTGGCGGAGAGATGGATTTCCACAGTTGGAGGTGCTGAGGATGGTGTTATTGAGTCTATCCCAGCCTGCATCGGCAAAAATGGCAGGGAGAATGGCGGCTGGGCCGCGGGGCGGAGAGCGGGAGGGTACACTGCCGTCTTCACTGAGCATACTGTTGCGGTTGGGTGAGTTCATGCCGCCTCTCTCGCTAACCGGACTGCTGTAGCCGTTCGTGCTATCGCCGTTCGTGCTCGCAGTCTCCGACATCGACATCCCTTCCCCATCGACTTGTCGCTGCCAGAGACACATGATAGCGTAAAGATGTCGATCTTGTCCCTGCGCCTTGGCACAGTCTTTAGTGATCGCCGTATGCTTCTCGCACGCTTTCTTCAGAGCCTCGATCTTCTTCTGCGGTGCTGTCTCCGCCCAGAAGGTCCGAACGAACTCCACACTTTCGGGCGTTACTTGCCGGATTGCTTCAGTGCGGCCGTGAAAGTAAATCTTGGTCATGGCTGGTTCGTAGCAGCTTTCCACACGACCATACATGCCATAGTACGCTGCTTGGAACGCCATCTGCACGAAGGCATCGGGCGAGAAGCCCATGGAAGTCATAAAGTTCTTGCCGTAATGCATGAATTCAAGGGTGGAGAACTCATTCTGTTGTATGAGATCTGCCAGTCTAGTCTCGGCAAAGCGGATGGCGGTCGATAGCTCAGGTACCATATCCCATTCGAGCTTGTGTGGCGTGGTGCTAACATCCCCGAAGCTCTTTGGGTCACGCTTCGATGGGTCGGGCGAGCTTGATGCCCATAATGAAGGTGCTTGGCCGTTGATGCTTCGGGCGAAGCGGAGGATGGTGTCCGTGTATACATCGGAAGCAAATCGCAAGACAGTGTGGCCGTCCACACCAGTATGTTCGAAGTTAATGCCAGCACTGCCATTCTTGCATACAATAATTTGCAGCTTGTCGTAATATCTATTCGTACAAGTGCCGACCTGGACACCTCTGTCGATCTCAGAAGTACCACAAAGCATATTCATGCACAGATCATCGGTGTTTGTTGGCTCGGTCCAGTCTAGGCAAAGTATGAAAAGGGCCGAGTCTACGATATCGAGACAGTCACTGTTGTTGGTACCTTGTTCTTTGCTAATCAGGTCGCGGAGTCCAGACCAGATTTTGCGGTTCTCGGTACTGAGCACACCTAATGCACCCTTAGCTGCCTCATTGACTGGAGTCAGCACGGCATCGTCGACGATGACTTGCAGATTGAGCGCGACATCTTTCTCGGTCATGATAAGATCATGATTGTCGTCCAGCACATCGAACCAGTAGAATTGACCGCGACAGAGAACAACCAAATGCTTGGCACTCGGATCCTGATTAATCTGGCAGCCATTCTCTGTGGGTATGCGAGCCGTGCCAAACATCCTGGAGTACTGATACATGTCTAATGGTTGACCGCGCAGAGTATCTGGTGGCAGTTCCTCTTTCCGGACGGCGCGGACGAAGGACAATGCGGAAACGACCAGGGAAGCTGCTCGGGTTACCTGGTTGTTCCGGGCTGGAGTCGGGTCATCTTCGAGTAGGAAGAACGGGTTCAAGTTAAGCACGACCGGGTTGTCATAGTTAAGGTATGAGTCGTACCCTCGATTATGTTAGCCCAATGATCGGTTCATCAGCATGTTTCGACCTACAGAATTGTTCAATGTAGCTGCTTTTTCCCTGAGAGTACTGTTTGAGCTTTTCCTGCAGATCTGGGCCTTCTGCTCGTAGGAACTCTTGCACGGCTCGTTCGCTCTCTACATGCTCGCGAGCTGTCTGGAGAGGATCGAGCGCGGCCAGATATTTGGTACATGTTGATTCGAGGTCGGGAATCGGTAGCTTTGGCAGCTTGTCTTGTGCTGCAAACGTTACACCAGGCTTCAACGCTGGATTCGTATGCGACATTAATGGTTGGAGCTTTTCTCTTGAGAAGTTTTGAGTTGCCTCCTTCGCATTTGCCTCGGACCGTTCAGGCATTGTAAGTGAGTCTTTGCGTTGTGCCCTGGCTAGCTGCTCGTCGATAGACGGGATTATTCGGACTGGAGACATGAGTGTGAGTATATCAGCTATGCAGTGGCGACACGAGCGTAGCTATCGACAGGCCACGAAGTGACGTGCGGAAGAAATAATGACAATCGTGATGGAAGTAGCCAGGCATTGGAATACACGAAGCTGTGCACAAGCCTCACATCAGGGCGGTGGTGGAAATGATGGATATGGAGGAAAGGATCACGCTATGAAGGCAGAACTCCAGTCGAGCTCATGGCTTGATCAATCTAGACGAGAGGCCATCCTGGTCGTTCGCAAATGCATGTGATCGTGAGGCTCTAGAGCCAGCGAGTATAGCCGTTGCGCCGAAGTGCTCGACAGCTCCGGCTACAACTGCAACTCACATTTGCAGGGGCGGCAGAGAGGAAGATGGCTTACCTCTGTTGACCTCGGACACGCGCCGTAATGGCCGGGTGAGTTTCTCCTCGTTGGCAGCAAAGATGCAGGAGGCCCACAAGGCGTGCTGCAAATGACAGGGAAATAGCTGGCCGGTCAAGAGGAAGGAGCACGCGGCTGCGTTACAGCGCTAACTTAGTCGTGCGAGGTTGTGCAGAAGTCGCTGTTTCGGCAGAGGTGGAGGATACCCTCCCGTGCGGGTAAATCAGTATGTTATCGTCTCTTCCAGGTGATGAGGATGAGAGATAAGAGCAATAGACCATGCGAATGGATCAGAGATGTAATAGAGCCATATATTTACTCTATCATTCCGTAGCCAGTCGCTAGTCGTAGCCCTCGGGCTGTTACACGGGCCAGACGTCACAGGTCAATGTCTTCACATGATTGCGGCGCTGCGGAGTCAAAAAGGCTACGGATGGATGGAGCAATGCTTAGTCATATGGTCACGATTCCGCCAAGAAACAAATCTGGCGTCGACGAGATGCGTGCCAAGATACGATCAAGTGTGGATGATGATAGTTGAGACGTGTAGACCGCTACTGATTGCGACCACTACCGCAGAAGAGAAATCTGAGCATTCTTCAATATTCTACGTGGTAGTGAACAAACGCACTCAAGAACCTCGATTGTTTCAGCCACGGTGACCGGTGATCCAGCAGAAACCGGGCTAAACGCTGGCCTCATCCCTTCACAGACACAAGGTGGATATCGAGTCTTCAGTGCCACTGTCAACATCCTCACACATCCCCGCCGCGTCCAAAAGACTGCTCAAGCGCTTAGCTTCATCCAGCGACGCTATCGCTTCTTTCGCAGCAGTCTCGTAGACCTTGATCTTTCTTCTCGCCTTACCAGTCTCCTTGCGTAGATGTGGAAGACTTGGTACTTGGCCATGTATCATCGATGCCGCAACCTGCTGCGAACCCATCCGGACCATTGCCTGGAAGAGAGCGCTTCTCTCGTCGAAAGTCTGTTGTGCTTGTCCGGCCATGAGATCACATTGCTTGACACTCCACTCGAGTATTGCAGTATATATTTTGACAAGCTCGTGGTCGTTTTGTGAGCGTATATCTGCCACAGTATAGTCATGTCCAGTCTGCTGCGGATCATCGACGACGCACTCGAAGGTGTACGTTGCCTGAAGACCAACCTTGCGACAATAGTACAACCATCGATCAAGACTGTGACCATCGACTCGTTCTGTGTGTGTCATGAGTAGATGCACGTGCAATGGGATCCTCAACTTGGCATCATTCCCTGTCATACGCATTCTCCAGCTCGTGAAGTTGAGGAGTCCAGATATGTCGACACAGCTCATGTTGACGACTAGTGCCTCGAAAGAAACGTCCCGAGAGTCCGAGACAAGCTTCTTGGCGACTTCCAGATACTCACCATATAGCTGCTTGTTGGCAAGCACTAGTCCTGCGCGGAAGACGTATGGCCGTGCTTGGATGCCACTGTTTTGCCTCCGGACTCGTAATGGCAACTCCTCGAGAGCGGCTTCCTTGAGTATGGTCTGTCGTAGCGCCGCAGGGAGAGAGAGCAAAGTCATGCTGAAATTTCGCCCTCGAAAATCATGCACTGGTTTCTAGACCTGGAGTGCTAGCCTATGTTGGTAGCTCGGTGTGATGTCTGGCCGTAGATCGTTGCTTTCTCAGCGACTTCCACATGGCAATGTCATCTGGAAAATCATCTGCAATGATGTTCTGACTTCGTTGATTGCAACAGATGTGTATCATGTCGTTCGCTTGTGTTGCACGTGTCGCATATCCAGACTTCAATCTTCTGTAACGATATTGAAGCGGCTACTGGCCGGCGCCCTGTGGTATCAATCGTCTGTTCAAGCGCAAGCAGGTTTGTAGCGTTATTGATCATTCCGTGTACGATAAGCAGGATCAGTTGTGGTTCGAAAGATTAAACAAGGTCCGAGAGGCTGTCATTGAAAGCCCACATTACTGAAAAACACATAGTCCGCCTCATTCCACAGAGTATGACTGACCTCGATTTCGACGGCCTTGCCATTGTCAGAAAGCACGATGATCTTCTCAATTACTATACCCGCGAGCAAACCAGACCTCGCGAATCGAGTTAGCAGCAGCAAGAGTCTACTGTGAAGCATATCGAGTTGAGTCTGTGGACTGCCGTAGACATGGATCATATCTTCCAGCGGTATTGCGGAAGCGATCACGAATTTGACGGTCCGAAGCCTCAGTGGCTGAGCCAGCGGCTTCGCACGACCAACAAAAGGGCCGTGGGTGGCGAAGCGCTTCAATACTTCGTATATAGGTCGAAGGAGGACGTCGTGCTGATAAAGCGTCGAGTTGAGGGCGGGGTCGAAGAGGTTGCTGACCCTGACGTGGAAGGTCAGATCATGAATGTGCTCTGGTGGGCAGGAGAGGCGAGACCACTGGATGGTAAGGTCGGGGCGACTGGCCTCCAGAATCATCTCCGCGGATGGGCAGTAGTGGCTGGTGTGTGCCAAGTACGTCTGAATTTCCTGGTGTAGCTGGCGATTGGTCAACATGAGGTTCATGTAGACTGGGCCAGGCGGTTTCTTGTCGTAATGCAAAGTCCACCCTGATCTCTGTGCTTTGACCGATGAAATGTTCGAATCCGTCGATGCTGTTGGAGCTTGTAACTCATCTTCGATGGCATACTTGAAGATCGTGTCGCGCACTTCCTGACACATTTCGAGCAGTCTCGGCTGGCAGAGATGCGGCATCGTGGCGCAAAGATAGCTGCTGCAACAAGAATACCTGCCGTTCCTGAGGTCCAACGCAACACCGTGGGATACAGGATGAGCTCGAGATGCCTCTCATAAGCCCCGGGAGGATCTGGTCATCTCAAAATCGAGGCTAAATAAGATATAAGAGAGCCGCTGCCTTAACGATCGATGACGCATGGAGGCATTGTAGTTACGGTATGAAGGAATCTGTCACCTCGCTTTCGTCGTACCGTGGGGTTTCGGTCTTCATGTTATGCCCGCGCTGCATGTCAGCATGAGCCGCTGGCCGTGGCAATTGTACTTCGCGCTTTGCCGCATCTCAAGGCCAAAATCTTGGTCGTCGTTGTTTCGACGATACGGTACTGCGAAATGAGCTCGTTCCAATGCGTGTATCTTCATGACGTCCAATGACGATGCTGCTTGATGGTTTTGTTGCCAGCCAAGTTCGCCGTCCAAGTTCACCTTCTGTCAAATGATGTCACGTGAGCACGTTTCACCGCGAAGCATGAGTTTCACAATTGGTTGGCATTGTAGCTGCGGTATATGCTTATGACGATTATATGCTCACAGTAGCACGTCTAGCAACTTCCCAATGATATCGTTCTTTACCCTGTCCAGCTCACCCTTAGCAACCCGACTTCCAAACTCAATCGCAAGAGCTCTAGCCTTCCAATCGATACCATCCTCGCCAGCTTCAGCCACCAACTGCTTCAGTCCTGTGACGTGATGCAAAGCATACTTCAAAGCATGATCATTCTCAGCGCCTACAGCTTTCGCAACGATCATAGCTTGCCTGGCAATGAAATCGTGTGAATCCTCTAATTCTGACGGCGAAGGTAGTGTCAGGCCTTTGAGCTCGAATGTGCCATTGCAACCATGCATCGAGACGCCCCAGCTTAGATCAAAAACTTCTCGTACATTTCCCGTGGTCTCACTATAAGCCGAGACGATCTCTTCGTACCCTTCTGCATCCATACGGAAGCGAGTGACTACGATCCGCTTCCCTTGACCTGTTGCGGGACCTATAGGTACACCAAATTGCTCGCCTAGACCAAGCCACGAAGCAGCTGTGAGTCTTGCAATATCGTCACGGGAACTCTCGGTATCCGGCCTCGGGATGCCCATACGATGCAACACAGCATCAGCCAATCTTTTGGCTTCGTCACCCGTGAGTCTCTGTTCTCTTCCGAAAAGTGTTACGCGGAGCAAATCGCTGGTCAGGACACGTTTCAATGCTTCGAATGCAAAGCCTGGAATCTCTCGTGGGATTGTCTGTAGGTTCGCAGGGACTCGTTGCGGCCACTGCGTTGTCGCAGGGTTCTGATGGCTGGGCTCGAGAATCGGCGTGTACTGCGAGCTGAGACTTTCGGTGTCATTCGTCTTGCCATTGACGAGAACTCTGGGTGCGGGTGGTGTAGCAAGTCTCACAGGTCCACCTGTGTGTGCCGGTACTTGCAGTGACAGTCGTCCTGGTCGACTCGGCCCATCACTTTGTCTCTGGACTATTGGAGGTCGAGGGGGCACTTGTGGTTGCGTCGCATAGTCGTGTGAAGCTGTCAGATCTGGTGTAGCTGGCTTTGCGAGAATGGCTCCTCGCTCGTTTGCAGGGTCAACGGGGAACGTGCTAAATGGTCCATCTTGCAAGTGCCGGCTGGCCGGTGGTCTTCCTCGCGGCTTCGCTCCCGGCGCGTTTCCAGAAGGCCAGGCACTAGACACAGCCGGACCATGTTTTCTTCTTCTCCGAGCCGGTGTGATAGCAGACCTCGGCTCACTGTCAAGAGCAGCCTCGATGTGTGCTGCCATCGACGTCGGATGTGCAGTCATTGGGTGAGGCGATGCTACTTGTTGACCATCGTGAAGTTGCCATCGCAGGTGAGTAGGTGCTGTCGCAGTCACAGCAGTCTGAGGTCCAGTGGGTCTATTCGCCCATGGTGCGTATGTCTGTGGTGTGACTGCGGAGGCCATAGTCCATGGATCTTGGAAACCCTTCGGATGTGCACTTGCTGGGTAAGCAGACATGGGCACGTCATGGCTTGGACCGGCCTGTAGTCTAGGTTGCTTACTAGCTGGTCCGCCGTCGCCATCATCCTCCACTTCCGTCTGCGAGTTTCGCCGCCTGCCACGCTTCGGTCTGAAAGCAGGGTCAAGTGCTCTGATTGCCAGATCCTCCTCCGCAAGTACCCCATCGCGACCAGCAGCAGGAAACGGATCCGTCAAAGGGGGCACTTCAGTGAAGTATGCATGCTGCTTTCCCAGTAGATACTCAAAGAAAGCATCAATGTGCATTGCACGCATCCATCGCTTCAGTCGAACAGTATACTGCTGCACCTTCTGAACACTCTGGCCTTTGTTCACATCTGGTGCTTCGACGCCAAGATCCAGAGCAAGCTGGGCCCAGGTCTTGATCTCCTTTGCATCGAACGCCCGAATCAGCCTAAACAGTTTCAAGGTCTCGAATTCTTTGTTGTCACTCTTAGGAGGACTGTTGAAGCCGGCCCTCAGAGTGTCCGTATCGATGTCAATGTCGAACTTTGGGTTGCAGTATAGTATGAAGGCGACAAACGCATCAGTTAGATTATCTTCGTCGACATCTTTGGAAGGCAATGTCCTGGCGTTGTCCGAGCTAGAAGTAGCTATACCTGTCGAGGGAGTCGTGCGAGTGATTCGTGGCGAGATAGTACTTGCCGGAGGCTGCATCGAGGTTTGTGATGTTCGTCCTTCCGGAGTCTGCTGTCTCGGCTGGCCATGTTGTACGGATGGCTGAAGGAGCTGTGGGCTGTTGTGTAGACTTGGGTCTACTGCGAAAAGTGGAGATGGGAACTGCGTCGTCGAGAACGATGAAGATGGTGTACTCGCTGACAGAAATCCATGGTGCTGTTGTCCTGCGCCGGCGCTGGCATCTTGTCGCCACATCGGGGAGCACTAGCTTTGCTATCGGTTTGGCTGGACTGGCATCAGATCTGACTGCATCTGGTTATGGATCCATCCTCGTGCCTTCCTAACTCGACATTTTTGCTTCCTCAGCGATGAACATTTAGCTGGCATTGCGATGGAGATCCAAACCTTAATGGGGACGCGCTTTCACGTGCTCGGCTTCAATCGGCAATACTGTTTGGTAGTATCAAGTCTGCAGCCACCATGACCACAGCTACTCGGTCGCTTAATGCAACACCAAGGCCTTACTTGGAAATGTAGCCGAGGTACGATGAAGTTACATCATCTCCTGGACACGAGGGCTTGTATATGACACCGAAGAACTAAGTAAACCACCTTTCCTTACCTTTCGAGACCACATTCAATCCACTCAGTCGATCTATAGCCACTATGTCTGACCGCGCAGCCGCCCCGACTCTCTCGAACCCACTGCCCGAAGCCGCGCAACCGCAGAACCAAGCACAGAACGCTTCCTCGACTTCCTCGGCAGCATCAAATGTAGCAGTGCAGCAGAGCGACAATGTTGCTCACGCGCTTGCTGGAGCAGGAGGCGGGCTATTGTCCATGGCATTGACGTACGACCACCGATGATCTTCGCAAGCATTCAGACGAAAGACTGAGCAACACAGATACCCATTGATCACACTGTCCACAAGAGCACAGATCGAGAGGAAGAAGGCGAAGACAGGTACACTGTCCGCCATCAAGCGTATCGTCGACCGCGAGGGTATCGCAGGACTCTATGCCGGCCTGGACAGTGCATTGTTTGGGATCACGATTACGAACTTCGTGTACTACTACTGTAAGAAGGAGATCGCGGGCTCCCGCCTATTAAACTGTTATTTCGAGGTGCAGCTGACACTAGCCCAGGGTACGAATTCTCTCGCGACTTCTTTCAACGCACAACCAAGAAGACCCGCCTCAGCGCCCTGGAATCCATGGCCGCTGGTGCCCTCGCGGGAAGTGCCACAGTCCTCCTCACGAACCCGATCTGGGTCGTAAATACCCGCATGACGACACGCAAACAACAAGAAGAAGCGAACGATCCTTCCCTTCCCACGGCCGAGAACAGTGACGCCGCGACACAGACCAAAGCGAACAGTCCAAGCACGATCTCGACCTTCCTCAAGATCATCCGGGAGGATGGATTCACTCGTCTCTTTGCTGGTGTGCTGCCAGCCTTGGTGCTGGTGATCAACCCAATCTTACAGTATACTATCTTCGAGCAGCTGAAGCAGGTCTTGGAGAAACGACGAAAAGTCACTGCACGTGATAGCTTCTTGCTAGGAGCTCTTGGCAAGTTGGCTGCTACAACCATTACTTACCCGTATATCACTGTCAAGTCCCGTGCGCATGTGGCGACAGGTGCAGGGAGTAAGGAGGGCATGACTGCTAGCTTGAGGAGGATTGTGCGCGAGGAGGGTGTCGGTGGCCTGTATGGCGGTACGTAGTACTGCATCTTCAGGGATCTTGTCTTCTTGCTGACTGGGCTCTTAGGTATTGCTGCGAAGGCTACGCAATCTGTGTTAACCGCGGCATTCTTGTTCGCGTTCAAGGATGTGCTATACGACGCGACTATCAAGGCTCGGCGAAGGGTTGCCCAGAAGGTCTGATCGGACTCCAGGACAATGGCAGTCACCTCCTTGGCGAACGTCAGACCCTTAAAAGCCCTTTCGTGATCAACAGGCGCCGTTATCGCCGTACTCTATGAGCTTCGGTATGTTGCAAAAGTGCCGGACATGACCACGATGGTAATGACTTGAAGTCATCCGGGCGACTCAGTCACTATATGTACCATCTCATCTGTGAGTCTTGACAATTGGAAAACACATGTTTGTAAAGTACTACTTCGACCATAAGAAAAATCCATTGATACCAAAATTCTCGTTTGTGACATCTCGCCACAACCCGTCCGCCTTGCTATTATCCCTACCATATATGCTGTAATCTGGCCTTGACAGTCGTATGTATCCATGTCCCGCATCAACACCGGCAGTCATTCGGTGACCGCCGAAAACCTCGTTTTTTGTTCGCACCTGCCATTGGCTGCACATGAACGTTGAAGTTTTGGCTCAAAGGTGGGCTGGAGGAACAAGGTTTGGACAAAGCAATGGCTCTAGCTACCATTGCTCGCTGAAAAGCTCTGCAGTCGTCTGGTCGTGTGTTATGTTGGTATCGATAAGATACGATTGAAGAAGAAGAAGTCATTCATTATGCGGTACGGACGAACACTAGAACGAGCCATCTATCCTCCCTGGCGAGAGAACTACATCGATTACACCAAACTTAAGAAGCTGTTGCGGGAGGACGAGTCCGCTCCGAGCTCTCCCTCGACCGAGTCCCCGGAGGATAATTGGACGGATGACGATGAGAGCAAGTTTGTTGATGAGTTGGTGAACGTGCAGTTGGAGAAGGTGCATGACTTCCACCGGGATACCTATGAGAAATTGAGGGACCGCACGGCGAAATGTGAGGCCAGACTTGATACTGTTGCTGTAGCCCAGAATGGGGAGGAGGAGGCACAGGATAGGACGAAGAGTACTGAGGCTACAGATGCCACCGATGCTAGCGATGCGAAGCCCAATGGTGAGTCAAACGGCAATGGCAAGAAGCCTGTGCCCAGCGAATCGGACAAGCAGGAGACCTTGAAGGAAGTGCTAGCCGAGCTTGACCAGATCACGAAGGAGACCAACGAGCTTGAAAAGTACAGCCGCATCAACTACTCGGGCTTCCTGAAGGCCGCCAAGAAGCACGACCGCAAGCGTGGTACATCTTACCGCGTACGGCCATTACTGCAGGTGCGACTCTCGGCACTGCCGTTCAACCAGGAGGACTATGGCCCGCTATTGTACCGTCTCAGCGCCATGTACAGCTTCGTCAGGCAGCACTTGGAAGGTGCGGAGAATCGCGGTATCAGTGTGAGTGAGGCGGTAGAGGATAAGAAGGAATATATCAGCCACAAATTCTGGGTACACCCCGACAACATGCTTGAGGTCAAGACGATGATCCTTCGTCGCCTGCCAGTCTTGGTGTATAACCCGCAGACGTCCAAGATCGCAGAAGGCAACCAGCCAGACCCGTCTATGACTAGCATCTACTTCGACAGCCCTGCCTTCTCTCTCTACAGTAATAAGGTCGACAACAATGAGGCTTCCTCTCTACGTCTACGATGGTTTGGCCAGCTTGCCGAGAAGCCACAGATCTGGGTCGAAAAGAAGACTGTAAAGAACGAGACGAGCAGCGAGCAGCAGTTCACAACCAAGGAGAAGTACATTCAACACTTCATCAAAGGTGAGGATCATATGGAGAAACAGATCAAAAAGCTAGAGGATCGTGCTGGCGTCGACAGTGCCGAGGCCAAGAACCTCAAGTCTTCTGTTGAGGAGGTTCAAACATTCATCAAGGAGCACAACCTACAACCTGTACTCCGTGCAAACTACACCCGCACCGCTTTTCAGATCCCTGGCGATGATCGTGTACGCATCAGTCTCGACACCGACCTTGCCTTTATCCGCGAAGATGCCATTGATGACCGACCTTGCCGCGATCCGGAGAGCTGGCACCGTACCGACATAGACAACCAGCAGATGGAGTATCCTTTCTCCGCCATTCGCAAGGGCGAGGTCAACCGCTTCCCATACGCACTTCTCGAGATTAAGGTCCGCAATAGTGGCAAGCGCAAAGAATGGATCCAAGATATCATGCACAGCCACTTGGTCAAAGAAGCACCACGCTTCAGCAAATTCGTACATGGAGTGTCGATTCTCTTCGAAGACTACGTCAACACGTTCCCCTTCTGGCTACCACAACTCGAGACCGATATTCGACGCGACCCGCAAGAAGCTTTCGAGGAAGAACAAGCCAAGCGACAAAAGCAAATCGACGACGACTTCGCAGTAGGCAGCTTATTGAAGAGCAGACCCAGCATGAGCACCTTCAGTCCTGGCAAGCAAACCCGCAAAGACATCATCAGCCCCGTCGGCTCGCCGGCTATGGCCGGCAAAGCCAACACCGGTACCTCTGCCGCCGAGACCCGCATGTCCAAACTCGGCAACATAGCCAACATGGAACCCACCCAAGTCAACGACACGGCCGGTGAAGCCGACGATGACGAAACAGGCACCACCAGAATCGGCAACGAGCGCAGCGTCACTGTCCCCGGTGGTCTCAAAGGCCTCTTTCCCTCCTTCTCAACAAGCAAATATGCCGCTTCTCGACGCACCGCGAAACTACCACCCGGTGTCAGTAAACCTGAGAGCTGGATCAAGGACGCTGGGCCTGTAAAAGTGGAGGCGAAGGTTTGGCTGGCAAATCAGAGGACTTTTATCAAGTGGCAGCATGTTTCTGTTCTGCTCGCCTCGCTCAGCTTGGGCTTATTCAATGCGGCGGGCAAAGACAATTCGATTGCACGTGGGTTGGCGGTGGTGTATACGATTGTTGCTGTTTTGGCGGCAGCGTGGGGTTATGGGATCTACATGTGGCGGGTCTCGCTCATTCGGGGGAGGAGTGGCAAGGACTTCGATGCTGTTACTGGGCCGGTTGTGGTTTGTATTGGGCTGATCGTTGCGTTGGTGTTGAATTTTGGGTTCAAGGTACGTTATGCTATGCCCTTGAGGGGTGGGTACTATACTGACATCTTTTCGCAGTATCAAGCTGTTCGGCAAGATTGGAATCGGGAGCAAGATATGGTGATGTTCAATCAGACTTTGGCACATTGGGGTGACTTGTGAGATGGAGCGTGTGATTCTCAGTGCGTATCTGGTGGAAGGCTGAGTCTGTAAATGTACTTGTACAGGGCCGGATACTTCGATTTCAGCCCTCGGAGGATGTCTATATTTGTTTGTTGTAGATGGTCGATAACATGTATCATCCTTACATCCTACCGAGACTGCAATTAGAAGTTCAGTATGCACCGGGCACACGAAGCCTAAAATCTTGGCCGATGTATACGCCTTACGAGTTGCTTGGCTCCCAAATCTATACATAAATGTAGGGAGTGTCGAAAGTGTCTGGTATATATTACTCCAGGTGTCGCGCCAAGCCGGATCGTGAAACTTGGGTGGCTTTCTCGCTTCTCGATTCTGGACTTCAGATTTGGGACTTCACTCCCTGTTGCAGATCAATTCGATGAGTTGACCGCTGCCACGCGAAGTTTATGGCTGTCCCAGTCTGGTATCGAAGTAGCGGCTGCATGGGCTTTTGGGATTCCGTGGTGAGATGTGATCCTATACTCTTCGCTGTGCTGAACGAGAATCAGGTCGCTCAATGTGCCGGACTTCAACAGTCATCAAAGTGGTACGGCATTGATGCTTAAGGACCTTATCGAGCAGCTCAGTGGACCCAGACTAACTCGCTACGTTGCTGACGATGCTAGATCGGGCGCCGACGCTGAAGTCGTCCCGTTCCCATGAAGCGCTTACTATACCATACCTGAAACGCACCGACGATGTGGCGCCGTTGAACATACCAAGCCGGAACACAAGCGATCGTTCATCAGACAACTCTATCGTTGTCATTTCCTCAGGACCCAGCAATGGAGAAATAGGACCCATTCTCGCCTGTCCGTGTCGCATCTAGATAGTCTGCTGCTAGGCGCTGGCTTGAGATCCGAATATAAACAAGGCTTCACCTCTTGGATGGGACATTCTTTTTGGACATCATCTACTTCCACATCTTTCTCTACAGCTTGCAGCGCGACGCTCCTTTGGTCCGGAACCGTCTTTGTATCCAGGTGATACTGTCCACTCGTTTCCTACGAACCATACATATCTTCACAGCCCAACCAATCAAACATCTTCCGACCTTTCAAGCAAGAATGTCTATCCTTCAGACTGCTGCCCTCGTGGGCTCTCTCGTCGCCACCGTTGCTGCGCACGGTCGTGTTACTGGTGCTGTTGTCGGCGGTACATACTTCGCTGGCTACGACCCATCGAGTGTCTACTCTCAAAGCCCGCCGTCCACCATTGGCTGGGCCGCAAGCAATCTCGACAACGGCTTCGTAGCCCCAGATGCCTACGGTAGCCCGGATATCATCTGCCATAAGAATGCGACCGTCGGCAAGATCTCTGCACCCGTGGCCGCTGGCCAGAACGTGACCCTTCAGTGGAGCACCTGGCCATCGTCTCACCACGGCCCAGTCATCAACTACCTTGCCAAGGTCGGTGGTGACTTCGCCTCGGTCGACAAGACCGCGCTTGAGTGGGTCAAGTTCGACGCTTCGGGGCTACTCGACGACAGCGCTGTCCCAGGTACATGGGCCTCTGACGAGCTCATCGCCAACAACAACAGCTGGACACTCACCATCCCCTCCAGCATCGCACCAGGCAACTATGTCCTGCGTCACGAGATAATCGCTCTCCACTCGGCCGGTAACTCGGACGGTGCTCAGAACTACCCTCAGTGCATCAACCTTGCCATCACTGGCTCAGGCTCTGCCGCTCCTAGCGGTACTCTCGGTGAGAAGCTTTACTCCGAGACTGATCCTGGCATCTTGATCAGCATCTACTCCGCTATTGCTTCTTACACCATACCTGGCCCTGCTCTGTGGACAGGAGGGTCTACGGGCTCTGCTCCAGCTAGCAGCGCAGCGTCCTCGAAGCCTGCCACCAGCGCTGCATCCTCTACACCAGCCTCCTCCACACCAGCATCGTCTGCACCAGCTTCGTCCGCCCCAGCATCGAGCATCGCCACCTCCACTTCGGCTGTCTCGACCAAGGCTGTCATCGCAACAACCTCCAGCGTAGCCGTCGCGCCCACATCCGCCGCAGGCAGTGGCTGCACTCAAACCATCACTCGTACTCGCTCAACCTCCGCCGCCTCTTCCTCAGTTGCTGAGCCCGTCTCCAACGTCCTCTCCACTTCCACTTCCGCCAGCTCGAGCGTAGCGGCACCAGTCAGCGCCTCCAGCTCTATGGCCCCGACCACGCACACTATCTCTAGCTACGGCTCCGGCGCGTCGAGCACCGCCGCCACTTCGAGCTACCTCCCTCCCATCGCCACGATCGTCAGCAACCTCCCTTCTAGCGTGCTGACCAAGACCATCTCCTCTACTGCTGTACCCACTCCGACTGGTGGTGCGACCACCCTTCCCATGCCCAGCAAGCCTCTGCCCCCTGGCTGGACCCTCGAGGATCTGCTCCAGTGGGTCGACTACCTCGTCCACCAGGCCGAGGAGTCTTCTTAGATGCCTTGTGTCGGGTTCAAATTCATGATTTGAGGGTTTAGCAGGCTACTTTGGCCATTTTCTTGCTTTGGATGTACAGGTCTACTGGTTAGGTCTGTGTACTTTATGTATGAGTTCGTATGCTTCGTCGTACGCTGTATAGTTTGAGAGAAACGATTTTGCCTTACATATGCTTTTCAGTCTACTATTGCCTGCGCGATGTGCTCTTCCTCGTACGAGACCCTTCATGTAGCTAGAAGGTCTGCGGTTCTGCACTGTTCAGTTTCATATCGAAAGATGGCGTTGTTTGGCAGACAGACTGCCATAGTCTTGCATCATGGCAATGCGTGAGGTCCTCGAGGGCGCCTTTGTTGTATCATAAGTATATTCCAAGAAGCATGAGGCAGAAATAGCTGTCACGGAGGTTAATAGAGATGCCGACAATGAGATAGCGAAAACGTTATCAGCATTCATAATTACTACTACGAAGTATCGTCTCATATTTCATCTGGGTATCATGCTTTCAACACACCGAACGCCACATCAGAGCCTCTCCTTGTAGTCTCCATGGCATCCCCGACATCCTTGAGCTCTCTCATAACGTTAGGGCCCTTCACGACCGAAATCGCGCGAATCGCCCTAGCTGAGATCAACAGCCTGAAATCTAATCGTAGCATCTGCGCGCCATGTATGCTCCAGCTCCTGCGGTCCATCCTTAGTCTCATTCAACCCTTGTGTAGTCCATCCTCTTATATCAATATTTCCCGCTCGGAGTGACACGACCGTCCATACTACCTCTGCCTCCTCGCCTGACGCAATAGGTTGCACAACCTTGATACGATCGCCTCCGATAGCTAGCGCTTGCGGATCAGAGCTCTTCAGCAGCTCGACTCTAGCGTAAACTGTATCCGAATCTCTGTTCGTGTTATTCACCAACGTAAAGTGGACCTTCACCTCGCTGCCCACCGCGATCTTATCGTGATGGAATAGGCTCGGGTCTTTGAACTCGCAGCGTGCCTCGAGGCGGAAGTAGAAGTTGCATACTGTCTCGAGCTGATCGCGTGTTAGAGCCAAAGCTTGCATGGTCGCGCGTCCATAACGGCTAACACCCGCGACTGTTCCGAGGACTTCTGTCCACTGCACGACCACATTTCGATACAACGACTTGCGTGCATCATCGAGGGAGATGTCGCTGATCTTTGTGGGTAAGAAGGCGCGGCTGATGCAGATCGAGACTTTGAAAGTCAGTCCAGGCAGGATTAGCACATCACTCGGCAGGGCCTTGTTGTCGCCACAAGCAAGCGGATCAAGGAGCTTGATCGTAAAGGACAGAGGGGACGTGTGGTTATTGACCACATCAAAAGAGAGGTGGAAGGTCTTGTCGTCGGCACTCGAAATCTCCGCATTTCCGAGCGACAGTGCCGGATTGAGTGTGACATGGACGGGCACGGACATCATACGCGCGAACCCAGAAGCGTTCTCGGCCGCAGCAGGACGATAGAGGATCTCGAGCTTCGGTTCGGTCTTGAGCTGGCGACCAACGGCCGTGGTTTGCAGCTGGATCTGGCTCTGCGGCGCCATCGAGCATACCTCGCCACCTAAAACCCCTGGATCGACGTTACCGCGGAGGGCCTGAATGCCCGATACCCATAAGAGACCCTGTTGGTCTTTGACTGAGATGATCGTGGCAGAGACTTCGGAGGAATTGGTAATGACCATCCCACCTTGCCTGATCTCGCCTTCCAGTAGACAAAGCGTATACCCGTCTACACCTCCATAAAAGAGGATCGGCATGGTCGGGATTGCGAAGGATGGGAATGTGGACTTTTGTGGCGGATTGGCAGGAGTGTTCGGAGCGAGAGCAGCAACGCCTTGCTCCTTGACTTCATTGTTCAGTTCTGGAGTCCACGGCTGCTCGTAGATGTCGAAGTAACGTTTCTGACACCTGGCGATTTTAATATGACAGCCTACAATGATGAAGTCGCCAGCTATGGAGGGCCAAACCATGAGAGCAAGCTTCTGTACACGCATCGGTTCTATTGCCGTAGCATTGAAGCGTAAGGTCTCAAGCTTCATGTTCTCGGGGCCAGTAACGGCCACTTCCACGAACTCGACAACGATGGGTATTTGTAGGGTATTCTGGAGCTTCAAATACAACTCTTGTGGCTCGCGAATCACGAAAATTTGTTTGGAGCGGCCCGCTATAAGGCTTCGTCTGGCATTCGGATCGTAGAGGAGCGGATTCCGGCCTTGCGGTGTATTGCCGGAGGAGGTCGTGTCTGCCGCTGAGAGTGGGAGGAGGGCGTGAGCACTGTCCGGAGGATTGAAGACGACGCCGCGTACGAGGAAATCATCCCAGAAATGTGCTTCGGATTGTGATAGGTCGAGTTGCTTCAGGAAGGCGGTTGAACGAGACAGTGTGCTTGAGAGAATGACTTGTTCATCGCGGGAGAGGGCGATAGTAGACGGACCATTCTCAGATCCTGTGGCTCCTGTTGATGTGCTGGCGGACAGGATGCTTGCCGTTGCCATTATCACGCCGCGGAGATCCGTCGAGGCCTCGCAGTACTCGGCAATCGTCTCGAGTACTTTCAGCTTGAGCAGATCGTTGCCACAGCCGGTGACCTTTCGGCCCTCCGTCGTGGACAACTCAATGCCGTATGTACTGGCGATGACGCCGATTATATCGTCTAGATGGTCACTTCCGGCTGCAGGACCCAGTATGCCGTCAAAAATCGTCTGGTCTGTGGTCAGGCTGGTAGCTGGATGGATGCCAGCCTCTGCTGCGCCAAGTCTACGAGCCTGGTTGAGCGCTTTCGTGAGGTTTTCGATGATCTCTTTCAATACGAAAACCTTCTTACGCTGGAATCCCAGATTGGACAGGACGGCATATATGCCGGACAAGAGCGTTATATGCTCCGCAGGAAGAATCGTCTGCTCCTCAGTAGGACGAGCGGCAACAAGCATCTCAGCAACATCAACTTTGTTCATACCACTCGCGGGTGCCACAATAGCTGTTGTCCCGGACACGGCGTTGGAGATATCGTAGACTATGGCGTGAAGGCTGTTCTTGTCCAACTCGAGATTGGCGGCATATAGGATGGCTAGCAGGCCACAGAAGCGTATTCTTGTTTCGGCCGCTACGGCAAACGGTAGCATATCGCCCTCCATACTATCGAAAAGGTGCAGGATCGTCTTGAGAAGGCCTGGGATTGAAGCAGCGAGGTGCGTAGGACTGCGGTCCGAGTATGGGGAGCAGAGGGCTGGGATGACGAATTCGAGGCCAAAGTGTGCCATGAGAAGCATGCACACCATCATCGCCTCCAGGCCTTTTGCGTGCCATGCGTTGTCCAAAAGTTTGCGTACAGTGGTGGTGTTCTCGGAGAGTATGCGAAGCGCTTCGGCCCACTGTCCAGCCATCATATATATCTGGCCGAGGACGATGCCGACTTTGGCTTTCTTGAGGTCTCTCACCTTGTTGGCCGACATCGTAGGTGTCGCGACGCGTTCTTGGCTGTCTGCTCTACCTCCCTGCTTGCTAGTTCGACTGTCAGATCTTGCGAGAGCGCTGATACTGCTGTTGGCACCGCGGATCATATCGAATGATGTTGGCGGTGGTGGCGGCGAGCCAATATTGCGTGGTGGCGGTCGCGCTGAGGCGGAAGCGTCGTCGCTGCCAATGGGACTGGATATCTCGGTAGGCTCTGTCGCTGTTGGTGTAGCTGAACCGGAGCCGGAGAGAGGTCTGCTATCGTTGCTCCGTATGGATTCAGTGCGCTGCGATGCTCTTGCGCTCTGTCCTGGTGTCGCAATAGTAGGAGAAGCTTGCGTAGCCTTGGCGTAGATTGAGAAATTAGTCAGGAAACGTGCCGCAACATCACCCATGGCATCTTTAAGGGCTAGTCCCCCCTCCTCATCCCCAGCTTTGGCCACCCGGGTGACATTGTCCATGGCCGTAGCCATCGAGCCCTCTGCAGTTGGCAGAACAAGCACATGGCGATGTATCACTCGCGGGTGGTGTTCTCGGAGATGCTCCACTGCTTGGACAAGCTCTTTCCCCTGATCCTCCTGCTCTTTACTGAGCCCATCTGCTATACCGAGGACTAGAAGAGTCTCGCGGAAGTGCTCAAAGGGCGATAGTTGCTGTTCCTGCTCGCTGCACGGAGAAGTGTTATAAGAAAGGAGAAGGCTGCCATTGTGATACTGCTTCGGCGACAGTATACTGTGCTCCTCCTCTGCACTATCAATATCACCTAGCCTAAGAATGGACGCATTTGCATTCAGGGCTTTTCGTATCTGTTGAAAGCGCACTGTCTCAATGCTGCCGACAGGGACGATTTGAACACGTATTGTCGCCGGCGCAACCGCTGAGAAGCGACCCATGGTCTTCTAGCATTTGCATGACAGCATGACAGCACTATAGTCGTCGTCGCGGAAGTCGAGGTCGCCCGACGAGGTCGAGGATGCTTGGCGGTTTACGGTGCTGTGCTACTAAGCAACGGGACGAGCTCCCCCGGCTATGGCGCAAAAGCAATGGAACGGGCACACACGGCTCCACGCAGGAACGCTGTCAGGGTCTTTCCATCGACCAAACACGTAAGACACGATGGCGAAAAGGATAGGGCCGGAGAAGAAAGGACATCTCTTACAATTGCTGTCGATTCTTCGCATTCCTCTCTACCAGATGCAATTCCCAAGCTGCCACAGACAGGCAAAGCTCGAGATGCAGACAGTCTCGGTAGTGTCGAACCATACTGTAGACATCCCACGTGGAGAACTCTGATCCACAAACCCACAGGAAAGGTTCGGATCTTCGCCCCATCCATACACCGTTATTTTTTGCAAACGCTTGCTCCTCTAACAGCTTACTAGCTTTCTCCGCCCATCAGTCTTTTTGACGATACAGTTTTCTTCTTCCCTTATGTTATCGACATCATTCGAAGGTACAATCGTCGCGTGAGGCGGCTGGAAACGAATATTCGGTACCTGCAGGGCGTCTGCATTCGAGCGTGGGGTGAGGAGAAAGTGGCTTTTGGCTTGCAGCCCGACTCGACATTCAATCATCATCATCATGCTGGAGGCACGGTAGACTGCTTGATCGTTCAGCTGCGTACGATATGTGCGTTACGTAGAACGACTTCTACCTCGCGTGCATTATTTGGGGGACAGCGTCGGGTTTATATGGACGCGCAAGATGGCGCTTTTTCTCCGGAGCAGAGGCCGACCTCTGCGTTCTCTGGGGGCCTGCCGTCGATGGCATCGTCGAGGTATGTACCAAGTTCTTTCTACCTCCTCCAACTCAACCGCCCTCCTGCAGTACGCAATCCTCGTTGCGCGTGACGTAGTACAATACTGGTGAGGTTGGCATCATCGCAATAGAGGGTTCTATTGTCGGGCTGTTGAGGCTTGGTGGAATTACCCGATTGTGCACTACCTGCACAATAGAATTGTGATTTAATGATAGCTTGGAAGAACCGCGAACTTCACAAACTGCTGCCTTGTACATTTGCTGACGTTCACAGCCTCATCGATCATTTCCTCCTCGCTGATGACCAAAGCCAAACATCCGACGGCGTATACGGAAGCATGGAGATTGCTCGCAGCATCGAAACGATCGATGGGAATGGCATTGAGCCATACGAAACTACCATCTGCGAACGATTGATCAACGAATTGGTCTCGTACAGTCTCCACAACACTGGCAGCGTCAACGAAGTGCCGTCTTCGCCGCCAGCAGCCCCACACAGTGACCTCGCGACAACGACACAGACCGCCAGCAGCGCGATCAAGCGATTTGCGAAGTGGTTTGCGCCGGCTCCACTGGCCGACCTTCTTGACGCTGCTCTCCTTGCCGCGACCTCATCACAATCCTCCACCGTGCTTTACGCCACCTTGAATCTCATCGACACAGTCGCTACATACACGTTCATCCATCCAGACAGCTTGCGACCAGTGGCAAAGTTTCTCTCTCAAGCCTACTACAACACTTACAGGAGGAATAGAACACAGAAAGTGGCATTCAAGGCACGAGATGTGACGTTGGCCATACTAAAATCTCACCTGGGTCCTCAGCTCGACGACGCTCTTTGCGACGCAATGGGCGGCAATCTCCAGCAGAAGGAGGGTTTCGCTACTACCGCAGGCGCCCTTAGACTGTTATCAAAGCGACTACGATTCGACGAACCTGACCTGCCGCCTGTCGACCTGGTCGAGGTTCTCCATCGTATTCGCTTCCTTGCAGCCACGACTCTGGCCGATCAACATATCATGGAGCATATATTACACTTCTTGACAAGGATCTTTAAGGATGACAAGTACATCCCACAGATCCAACAGGATGCTTGCTGGGACTATATCCTTGATATCTTGTTGGCTAGCTGTAATGCGTCGGTAGGCTCAACGACATCGGAACTCTTCGAAAGGCTTGCGTTGCACCTTTCATCGATCGAGCCGAGATTACAGCTCCGTTTGGCATGGATGTACGTCCAGATGGGCCGTCCACTGCACCAAACCCTGTCATACGAGCTCAGGACCAGCTTCTGCAAGCCTCCAGAAGACGAACAGGAATGGAACATGAAGCACAGGGATATGGTCAAGCTTTGTGTCAACGCACCATACTTGGATGATGTTCGAGCACTGGTGAATCGGAGTGTTCTTATGCATCAACTGCAGAGCTCATCAGAGCACCCGGCGGTATCTGCTATCGCCAGGAATTTCGTCTCGCATATCGCGGATCCAGACACAATTCCCGCTGCCAAAGCGTTATTGGTCAAGGCACTCGTCGACATGTTCACATCTAGCGCCATGACTCCAGACACCCGTGAAGCTACACAGCCTCTGTTTGATGCACTTTGTACGGCGTCTGGCTTAACCACCGAGGCGGCCACGTTCCTCTTCCGTATTAGAGCCGATGTCAAAGGACACATCTTCATAAGTCCAGAAGACACGGAGCACAGATTCCTTGGCATCGTGGAGACCACGCCGGATCTCTCGAAATGGCTCCATGTCATCACCGCTGTCCTGCGCAATGGTGCTGCTTCCTGGGAAGTATATGATATCTTTCTCCACGAAACAAAGCGCCTACTGGCGAACCACACCATGTTCCATGAGCAATTACCATGTGTACGACAGCTGCAGGAAGTCGTGACCGACAAGATCAAGCATGGAGGACTTGTCGAGCCGCCACTGTACACCGGTTTGACGAAAGCGTATGTGGTCGCTGAGCTTGTGCAAATCTTGGCGGCATCGATGAGCTACCATCGTAAGCTTACGAAGGATGAGATCACAGACATTGTGGCGACTTTCAACTCAACAGCTGGCCAGCAGGACTACATCGTGAGCATCGAGTGCATACATGCGCTGACGATCTGTTGCTATGAAGTGCCAGACATCATGAGCAGATACATGGATGATGTGGTCGACAAAATGTCCCGTATGGTTACGCGCAGGTATCTGGCCATCCATGTTTTGCAGTTTCTAGCTGGACTCTCCCGCCTACCAGACTTATGTAGCGGTCTTCACGAGACAGACTACAAGAAAATCTTCGCGGTGTGCTATAGCTATCTGCAGTCCACACGAGGCGAGTCCACGGTGGCAGAAAGGAAGCGAACGCCGACCAGCGAGCAGAGCTCTGCGACACAGCGGAACGAGGAGGCTTTACCAGAGTACGTCTACGCACTTGCATACCACGTCGTCACGTTCTGGTACATGACCTTGAGACGGGATCATCGGGAAGCGTTGAAGCCATACATCACTAGCTGTCTCACATACGAAGTAGATGGCGAGGAGGCCATCGAAGATCAAGGAATGGTCACAGTCGACCTCATGGATCGTGTCGATGCTGACGATGGCTCGCCCGACTGCCAGGAGGATGAAGTGTTCACATCTCTGGACGGTCGCTTAATTCAGCGCCACCGGCTAGTCGGCATGCTGCTGGTATCTACCAAGACCTCACTACGTACTGGACGGACGCTCGTAACCGTACGTCGCCCGTCAGGCACGTCTCAGCGTCTTCTGCAGCAAGGGAAAGCCAGTGTGACAGTTGAGGATGATAGCAACTACCTCACTGTTCTGCCTGACGACATTTTGGGCAATACCTATGGTACGATCACGATACCGAAGCCTTCGTCGAGCCTGGGTTCGCTCGAGATACTGACCCTACCAGAAGACGATGCTGTTCGTCGTGCTATTGAGTCGCTAGATCGGACTTCCGCGCTCGATTCACACAAAGCTGGTGTAGTCTACATTGGCGAGTCACAGATCACAGACCATCGCATCTTCCGCAACATCGCAGGATCACCTGACTATAGAGAATTTCTAAACGACCTAGGCGACCTCGAGACTCTCAAGGGCGCCACTTTCAATACCCAGGGTCTGGACCGTGCCAATGACACAGACGGCGAGCACACCATGGTGTGGCATAATGATGTGACAGAGATGGTGTTCCACATTGTCACACTCATGCCCAACTCCCCCAATGACAACGAGAACACGGCGCGCAAGAAGCGCCACATAGGCAACGACCATGTGAATATCATATTCAACAACTCAGGCCGTGCACACGACTACAACACCTTGTACAATCTCTTTCCAGGCCAGCTCACCTATGTCTACATCGTCATCACGCCTTCGGCTCGTACCACCTTCGTGCAAACCCGTACCGAGAATCTTACCACCGACAAGACCGATCGCTTCTACTCTGTCCGTGTAGTCACCAGACCCGATTACCCGAACATCTCTTCTGCAGCGGATGAAAAAGTCGTGTCTGGAGCCTCCTTGGCTGGTATGGTGAGGAATCTGGCGTTGAACGAATGTATCATGAGTCTGATGTGGACGAGGCGAGATGAGAAGGCCGAGTATCCTTCCTCGTGGAGGAGTCGGCTACATCAGCTGAGGAGATTGGGTGAAAGGTACAGGAAATCTTGTTAATGATCACCGGTTAGGTAAAGCGACAGGCATTGGGCCATGGCTTAACGGGTAGTGGACGAGACGCAAGATACCCACACAAAAGTTTTGTTTTTCTGAGAAATTCATCGTATATAGCTAGTAAGTAACCCTCGAAAGGGTCGATATCTACTGGCTAGATAGGACGCAGACCATCTTCCAGGTTGTAGCTCGGAAGTAGCAGCAAACGAATTCATGCTTCGAGCCACAAATTTGTCTCGGGATGCTGCCACACCACGTACAAGCTTATTTTGACGACTGTGCATTTTGTATCTGCCCATGAAACAGTGAACGCATCGGAATTAGTCAATTATTACTCTTACATTGTCCTAGGTGCTGCGAGATACCAGCGGAGTCGTCAAGTCGTAATCTAGTCTACATTCTCGTGCTCGCTAGGCACGACATCTACGCTAATGCAGCAAAACTCTTCGCGCCGGGCGTGGTGATCATGATCTCTTCAATTTTTTTATTCGCCGGACATTCTCAAGCAATCATCTTATCCCACTCTCCGGCAACGTCACAACTGGAGGAAGTGTGTGGATCAACGCACCAGGTGGACCAGTTCCGGCACTCAGAGGTGACAGAGTGGTATGCACAGCGTGAGAAGCAGGTGGCATAGACCGAGCGCTGTCTGCTCGATGCCTGATGGAAGAAGAGGTGTTCGGAAGAGAGTCGTCACTGTTGCGACGGAGACGTGCTTGAGCTGGAAACATAGGTTGTTGGACTGGTCGTGGCAGTTGCGGAGGTGGATGACTATAAGCGTGGCTATGACTCTGTGTGTACGTGGCTGAGGGTGCTGGTAGGGTGTTAGAAGGTGGTGATCTGCTGATACGTGGCTCTGTGGCAGGAGTCGGTTGTGAAGTCGGCTGGGCGCCACTCGCCAGATGAAAGACTGGCACATTCGCACGCTGCGCCATTTCGACTTCGCCGATCTGCCAGTGCATAGCTTCTGCCGCTCGCCATGGTAGTTGCATCTCCTTTGCAATCTTTTCCCACATGTCCTTCTTGAACCTACTGCTGGTCAGTCAATCTATGTCTCTATCGTGTTCGACGCTTTCATACATACCTCTCATACAAACGTGCAAGCTTGTTCTTCTTCTCCTCGTCCCACTCTGATCTACGTTCGAGATAGTTCTGGAACCTCAAACGACAGCTGATGGCACTGCGCCCTGGCAGATGCTTCGAGATATCTTCCCACTTCATGCCATTCCCTCGCAATTCCGTGATCGAAACATCTTCGTCGACAGTCCACTTTGACTGCTTCTTCTTGGCAGGTGACTCAGCGGGGTGTGGTGGAGCGAGACGCTTATTGCTTGGCCCGGGATGTGGCAGCGAGATTGGCGGCGGCAAGCGTGGATCCATCATTGCTCCTGGTGGGTAGAAAGGGTACGGATAAGCGCCCATGGGAGGACAGGCTGAGCTAGGCGGAGGGTAGTGTGCGTACTGTGCCATCTGAACCGGAGGGTATGAGAACGGAGGCGCCTGCTGCACTGGTGGCTCGAGAGGAGGGGCAGACAGTGGTGGTCGCGTGACTGCCGACAAGACCGGAGAAGCAGCTGAAGTCTTGGCGGACTCCTCTCCACGAGTCCTGCTCGTTCTGGACGTCTTTGAAGACGAGCTATCGTTACCAGGCGACGACGAAGTGCCCGGCCGCTCGAGCAGCGTTTTAATATCCACTTTGCCGGACTTGCTGGCTTGACTACCAGCGCATGTAGATGGTCGACGTCGAGACCGCACGGTAACTGAAGGTCTGTGGAGCTTATAGCTGTCGAGTGGGATCGTATCGAAAGGATGGTCACTTCCGGTATGGCTCCTCGGTATGGCCAACATGGGTGATTGATCAGGCCAGCAGTGTCGCACCTGTATGGTCGTAGTGACAATTTGTGAGCCGGGTATTATGTACTTGACTGCGATGAGGCTGTGTCCGTTTTTGGAAACTAGGGATAGAGTTTCAGATCATATGGGTAGCGTGCAGCATGCCCAGACGTCCATGGCACGATGTATGCTTCAAATGGTTAATGCTTAAGGTTGTAGGAGACCAGGCTGTCTTGTACTGTGATTGTCTTCTGTGTTTACATAGAGCATTTTCCGTGGTCAACAACAGGCAGGCGAGTGCAATGTCTGTACTCACGTTGCAGAAGAGATGGAAAGACAGACGAAGGCTATGCTGCGCCAGGCGCGGATAGTCAGAGCTCGCGCAGGAACGTATTGGACGTTCCCTACGATCCTCGTACCATGCGGACCAATGACAGTTGGAGCAAGGGGTGAAACGACAGCAGCGTGTGTACCAAGTAAGGGAGGTAGATCAAGAAACGCCACAAACCGCGTCGAATCGAAGCATACAAGCGGCCGTTTTTCAAGTTACCGTACAGCCCGTCGGAAATCGTTGATCGCTGTGTCTAGATTGTGCGCACTACTCTATGCAGGACGATGTAAGTTCAATGCGGGATGACCACTTTCTCCTACAAGAAAACCTTGTCAGCGCAGGGTTGTTTATAGTTAGTTGCAACGCACGGTCGCCGGCACATGTCCACTGACACTGGCATATCGTCCGGAATCGATGTTTGGTACAATGGCATTGTTGCTGACAGGCATCGGGTGTCGAATCGCTGGCGCAATGCCAGGAGCCGCAGCAGGACCTGGCTGGCGATTGTCATTCGAGGACGTCAAGATGGCGGTGTAAACGTGACAGCAGAAGTCGAAGCCACAAGTACGGTCCGGCCGGCAGGCAGCATAATGATCTGACGAACGATGATCTGCGCAGGATTTCAATGCGAAGATGTTGGGCATGAACGTCCAAGTGCCAAAAGCTTCTAAGCGGACTTGCCAGCGTGGCTAGACGTCTCATGCGACCCCACGGACCATTAATATCGTGCGCTCTCGTGGGCTGCTTGACACTGGAATGTGACGTCCTCCCGGAAATGTAGAAATGAGCCACGAGGCGGTGAACTGCGGACATGCTGGGCCGTGCAAGGCTTCCATTTCCATGGAACCTTGTGACACGTCGCAAGTAGTAGAGCAGGTGAGGTGCAAATTAGCCTGCCGAACCTGCGTTGGGGTGAACGCAAGTAGAGTCTGGCCTGTCAACCTGACAAGTCCGGTAACACAGCAGACCACTGCTATGGGTCGGCGAGTCGGCATGCTCTAGCAAAGAACATCTGTGCTCGATCCGCCGACGTCGCGGGTATTCGAGGGTCGAAGTGCGGTCGTCTCAGCAGTGTAGAGTTTCTGACCTGTCGCTATGCACGGGCAGGGATGCGGGAGACTTGACGCAAGTCATTCGTGTGGCTAGCGTTGCAGACAAAGCACAGCCCGCGCCTTCGATCTTGTCCCCGATATCCAATCTGAGACCCGGGCTTGAAGTATGATAGATGGAAGTTGTGATTCAGGCATCGTAAGTCGCAATGATGACCCGCCGACGCTGTCTGGTAACGTTTGTTCTTGTTGGCAGCACGGATCGGCATGATCTTTGGCTAGCTCACTGCCCTCCTCCAACAGAGGCGCTAGAGCGCCCAAGGTCAAGGACTTGTTGACAGCGCGCCACGTCGGCGGCCATGGAGATGAGGCGCAGTGTTCGGAACAAAGATCCTGGACAGGGCTGACGCAATCTAGGACGTGATCGGCGCCGAACTGGTTCGTCACTGAGTCGGGTGCAAGCTTGATGCTGGAGAAATGGCTTGGCAATCAAAGCGGTCAAGCTCGGCGCGTTTCGTACTACAGCCAACAATATTCGAGCTGGAACAACGACAGCATCATCAAAACGATAATTCGAAGCGGCCGCTGCTCGGACACCGACAGGGCTCGGAGACTGTCCTCAATTCTTTGGAATACTTGTGCAACGCTTTTCGGCCCCACCCGGCCAGAGTCCTCTAAGTAGGATAGAAGCTCATTATTGGTCCAGAGGCTTCACCAATGCGTGGTACCGAGCGAACGGATAGTGACCTGACAGGGCCGCCAGAAACTCTTTACTCACATACCAATTCGAGCACCTGACCTCGCATACATGGCAATTAGTGATCATACTATCACCGATTGAGCCTACAACGACGTGAGCATCGCAATTTGAGGTCGCTGAACCGACTTGTGCTTCCACGGGGGATACCAGATTGCTGCAAGGCCGGAAATTACCAAACATGGCCACATCACCAGATATACCACTTCTCATCAGATCGGACAACTCTTCCTCCGAACGACGGATCTCTCCATCATGGACCATCACGCAGCTGAAAGGACGCTTAGAACCGATAACGGGTGTGCCAGCCAGCTGTCAGAAATTGAGCCTGAAGGTGGGATCGCAAGCCTCTCAGCCCATTGAGGCACCCAACGAGGATGCTGTTCAGCTCGCCAATTGGCCATTGCAGACATATGCAGAAATCTACGTAAGTGCACTGGACACCTTTCTCTTCTATCGAATCAGGTTCAGCTCCGTTCTCTGCACACCTTCGAGACCCTTCCTCCCTGCATGGGGTGCTGGCTTGTATGAGACCTCAACGGCCATAAATAGCCAAGACTGCGTAGCCATAAGAGGATTCAATTAGCCGGTCCTCTCATTGCAATGGCTACCGTTTCACGTCTGTCTCTAACACGCTACAATCAGCCAGATGGTGGCTGGCGATGCGAAAACAGCGCTCGTCTTCGTGCTGGAAGGAGGTAGAATGACAACGATTGACAAGATCCAATACAGGTGACAGACACCCGCCCTCCCGGAGCCCGAACAAACTACACAGATGTGTCCGCCGTGCCCAAATATGAAATGAGCACGACAGACTACGAATCCCGTACCGATAGCGTCTTAGCCTGGAAAAAGAACCAGAAGCTTGGACGTTTCGACCCAAACGCCCCGAGCATTGAACAGCAGAAGATCGACGGCACCTACCGTGAAGTTGAGCAACGCAACATCAAGGTCGGTGCGCGATGTCGACTACTTCCGGACGATGATGCGAGAAGAGGTGAGGTCAAATTTATTGGCGATGTGCCGGAGATCACGGGCGTGGTTGGCGCGTGGGTTGGCGTTGGACTTGATGAGCCGACGGGGAAGAATGATGGGGCTGTGAAGGGGACGAGGTATTTCGAGTGTAAGGCTAACTGCGGTGTATTCGTGAGGGCGGAGAGGGTGGAGGTGGGCGACTTCCCGACTGTGGATGAGTTTGCCGATGATGACGAGGAGTTCTGAGCGTGTACGCACAGAGCATTCCGCCGTCGTGAGTGCTGGGCTTTATGGCCATTTGAATTCTGACTGTGGTGCATGAATGCTATCAATTGCCGAAAGGCTTGTACGACAGAGCAGCCTGCGCCTTCGTGGTATCGCAAGTCAACCAAAACGCCATCTCTGATTCAAGGATTCCCATCCAACATGATCTCATTACAGCGCTGCCAAACGCAAGTGCGTGTGCAGCCTAAGCAGCAGTAGTTGACATCGAAGCATCGGCTTCACAACCTTGTGCAAAGAAGATCTTCGCAGTCTTCGTCCGACTCTCGTTCGTGATGGCGTAGTTGTTGCCTAACAAAGCGGTACATGTCAGCACAATGTCTTCGGCACACGCATAACACTACATCAAAACAAAGCACAGGCGGCGGAAACAGGCAAGCCACAGCATCCTTCAGCTAACGCTGTTCCTGCGTCCCGAGATCTCGGTTCGTGCATCGACGAGCAAGCCTGTTACACAGTGAGACCATTGCTGCAGGAACGAGAACCAACGGCAGCGCCACGGCGGAGAAATGTCCCTCGACAGCTCGTGCAGTGCGACTCGGGGTGACAGCACTGGTGTACACACCGCTTCCCAGAAGGCTGGGATGAGGTGGGGGTATCGGAAAGTCGCAGACACATAGCTGCAGCAATGCCATTGTTCTGCATCAACTGCATCGGGTCCAGATTCGAGCGTGGAGGCGGTGTGTTCACCGCTTCTTCGTTGCCTAGTCATCGTGGCATTGTCTCCATCCCAGGGCCAGACCCAGCATTTTTCATATCGTACGAATAGTAGGGAAATCGACAAGCAACGCAGAGCATGACTTACCTCTCGGCACGACCCAAACACCACCCTTCGAGATCGCAAAAGCGTTCACCTCGCCTTGCATCCCCTGCGCACCAATCTCCACCATGACTTTGCCCTCATGCACGAAAAAGCACATTTGCATCTTGCGACTGTTCTTTGCGCGCTTGAAGCCTTCCGGCGGTAGTTCGACGATACCTGAGCCGAAGAAAGGTAGGGTCATGATCTTGGCGTACTTGAATTCGCTGCCGGGTACGTCTCGTGTTATGATTGAGGTCGAGGCGAAGGCGAGATCTGTGGGGCATATGTCAGTGTGCTGAAAGAAGTGGTGTGAAAAGGTACTTGACTTGCCTTCTTTGATGGGGTCACTGGCATTGCCAGACTGTGTCACAGGATCCCAATTCGCCACCGTGCCAGCGATCACGCCCATCTCCTGCTCCCACTCGTCGGCCATGACAGACTCAGTCTCACTGTCCTCATCAATGTCATCAAGTCTCGTCGTGGTCTTTCTATTCTTCTTGCGACTCTTCTTCTTCGGCTTAGGTTTGACGACTTCCTCAGCACGAATGATGCCTTCACACTCGCCGTTTTTCCAGACTCGGGTCTCATTTGCCCAGTACTGGAGTGGCTGAATGATTGGTCGGCCGAAACGCGATGTGCCTGTAGCGTCTTCAAAGGGCGTCGTAGCTCGGAAGTTCAAATTGTTGCTTGGGCCAAGACTCATCCCTCGGCTTCCAGGACGTTTGCTTGGAGATTTGGAAGATGTGCCAGGTACATCGTTGAGCTTGACGGGACTTCCAGGTGGTCTGCTTGGTCGATTTGGATCGCGCTCTTTCAATGCAGCTGCTCTGCTCTTGGTTTTGGACTTCTTCGCTGGTGGCTCAATTGGATCAGCTGGCGCTTCATGCACGCTGTACTGCTCACTCTGTGCCAGTAAGGATGGATCAATACTTCCAGTCTCGCCATCGTCTTGGAGCATCACACTCTCGTCGGACGCATTCCGGCTCTGTTGTGTCTTTGCGACCGGGCTGTCGAAAACCGTGGTACGCCGCCGGCCCGCTTTGTTCACAGATGGCTTAGCATCCTGTCCGCCTTCCATGCTTGCTCGATGGCGCTTTCTGCTTGCTGAGTCCGTGCCACCAGAAAGCGTTCGTTCAGGATTGTCGCTGTGTGAACTGCTTGGTCGTGCCGAAAGTTGTGTGGATGGTGAAGCTTGTCGTGGCAGCTCAGAATCTCCCTCCTCCGGCTGTACAGAATCATCGTCGTCCACAATAGGCTGCCAATCATCTTTATTCTGCTGCACGATCGGGGAGTCGTCCGTAGATATCCACCTTGCAGTCTCCTCGGCTGTCTCAATAGCCTCAGCCACGCTGTTTGACCTCGGGATCCCTCTCATCGCTGGCTCCGGAGAAGCAAAGGGATCCCGACGCGCCATTGACCGCCTCAAGCTCTTCTTTGGCTTGAAGGGGCTCAGAGTCTCGATACTCTTTGCGACTCCAGCCTCACGGAAATTGAGCGTCCTATTCGCGGGCGGCTGTGTACGCGACAATTGCCGTTCTGGCGATGTCGTCCCTTCGCGGTCGCGTGGGATCAGAGGTTTGCCAGTCGTGTGTGGTTGTCGGCCTGTAGACATGCGCTTCGGACTGCCAATATTGGTGTGCTTCGGTGTTGACGCACGTGGTGGAGGGAGTTTGGGCGTTTTGCGCATCTGCAATGCCCGATCGACTTCGGTCGCGGAGGATTCCTGCATATGCATGTCGCTGCCGCTCGTGAGATCGTGATCGCCACTGTGCCGCGGCGATTTGATGGGCGAGTCAAAGATGCCTGATACTGGTTCGAGTCCGTGTTCGTCGCGTACGCCGTTGTCGGGTAGGGTGAGGCCGGTTTTGCTGTGACATGTCAGCTGCCTGTATTTCTGCATACACAATAGATTCGCGGATACCGTCCGACTTTGCCAACTTCGAAATACTGATCTTGCTTCTTCGCTCGCTGCAGTAGTCTTGAGGGAGTCAATGTGATCCTGCCGCCAGTGGGTTTGCCGTTTGTCTCCACCGACGTGCCTTGCGGCGGTCGATTCTCCTTGTCGAGACCCATGATTGCCATGGCTGTGATAGCCGCGCAATGTTACAGGGCGATTGTCGCGTACAGTCGTTAACAATATGCGACGCGATTTAGCGGAAAGCCGTTGTTGGGTGGGAAACAGACCGGTAAACAAAAGAGAGCTCGGGCCATATGCACACAATGGGGCCGATACATCAGCACGTGATTGGTTCTGGATGAGGGCACACGATCAACTGTTGTGCGTATATGATCTACTCTGTATTGTGTACAGAGACGTTTTCTGGCATAGCATCATCGGCCATCGAACATCCCACTACCGTCGGACGAGACATACATAGGAGGGTAGCACAATACTGCAAACGAGTATTCGCCGAGATGTCTTCACCAGCCCTTTATGTGAAGCTCATGTTCCTCTGCAACGCCGCAACCTCTCTCTACGGGGGCTACCAATCGTACATCGCCATAACAAATCTTAAAAAGTACGAGGAGACAAGTAAGAAATTGGCCGAGTGGTCGAACACAGCTGCAGAGCATCTCCAGAAAACGAGGACAACACAGGGAGCGGGAGCTATCGCTGTATGTTCCCTATCAACTTGCATAGTCCGAGCTTGTACTGACGCAGCACCCAGATCATCCTCTCTTTTATTATCTCAACTATCCTCGCAGCCGGCGGCACAGCCCTCCCATTCTGGTTCACTGTAGCTGCCTCTCCTGCTATGCTCGTAGGCGTACTGGGTGCGCGGCAGTATATCAAGGGATACTGGAACCCCAACGACAAAGACTCTGTTGGGACCAGAATCCCGTTGCCCAATATGGAGGGCTACAACGAGGCACAACGGCGGACCGAGGAGGTGCTGAACACGTTGCAGTATCTTGAGTATGGCTGGGTGGCTACGACTTTCATTGCCGGTATGGCCCAGAAGTCGTGAATGTAGAGCAGCATCAACTCTCGGGGTCAGTGCACGCAATGACCCACGCCATTTAGCGCATGTCGATTGAGTCATGGTACAAGAATCGCTGCTGTCTGCCTCATAACCGCAAGATAGGTGGGCGAGAGGTCGATTGATCGCAGCAGCTTGAACCCGGAGAAGGGCAATGACTCTGCCGCTTGCTATGCCAGTAGCTGCTAAGTGTCTGCTGGAGATTGCTGGCGGTTCTCCGCGGAATCGTATCTCACGATCAGAAGACTTCAGCCGCGACTCGCCAGCCAAACCAAGTCGCCATCTCATCCTCCTTCTCATCTCCCGCATCCACAAAGAAGCCGGTCAGCTTCAGATTATCTTGATCATCATCCGGCTCGGCCCAATCACCACGGCAAGGCGCACCTTTGGCCTCCAGCAGCTCCTTTGCGGTACCCCAGCTGAACCGACACTCACTGCCCCAACCAAAGACTGGGTGCATGTTGCCTTTCAGCCAGGTCGTACATCGAGCATCAGACGGGTACCCAGAACCCCACGCCACTTCACCTTTGTGATCAGGCGGAGCGTAGGAGGTGTACAGAACGTCTAGGGCCGCATCTCTCGTCACCTTTGCGCAGACAGAAGCAGCTGAGACGCAAGGGTATAAAGAATCTGCCTTCTTGGCCACAGTGATTGACAAAGAAGGGAAGATACGCTCCAGCTTCTTTTGGTAAGTGGCTGGAGGACCAATAGTATCGATGTACACCTCCCTAACATTCACACCCCGGTCGAGAACCTGCTGGATCAGTTCAATCGTGGCATCCATAGCTTGGGCATTGAGATTGTAAGTTCCATGAGGTATCATTTGAGCAGCAGAAATGTCGCGGGCCGATAGGGACCGGGTAGCCCAGCCCGAGTTGTGGTAAAGATCTGTAGAAGTCGTGCAGATTTTCTGCATGAGATCCGAGCGAACGGCCGGCGTAAGGACTTTAGAGTCGTCAAAGCGGTGCGTCTCTGCGAGTAAGGAGTGGTGGAGCGACAACGGAAGGTAGTATAGTGCGTAGACCATGGGTCCTGCAGCACATTAGCAAGAACTCTCACCATAATAAACCGAGTTTGATCATACCTAATACTGGACCCCGTCCTGCTTCGTCAACCCCCAAGACACATTCTGTGCTTGGGTCTGCTTTTATGACTGGTGGTAATTCGGAGTGGTGAGAGTAGCTTTCGCCTGAAAGCAGGAGGTGTGTGTCGATGGATGGTGCAATGAAGACATTTTGAACGGGAGTCTCGTTCTCGATGTTTTGTGTTTCTGGCTGGTCTTCCATTGTTTCGTCCATGTTCACCATATCTAGCTATACTCATGTGCTTTCATGTAGATTTAGAGGACGCGTCGTTTACGCGTTTCAATTTAGTAGGGATGGCGGCCTGAGGCACTTAGTGTTTTCGAGGTCAAGCCGACTCCACCATGAGCAGGTGGGTATTGATTCGCAAGCTGGAAACATCAGGTCGACGTCAGATCTTCATTGCTTAGCTGGAGCAATGTTGGTCGGTTGGACGTCTGCGATTTGGCTTTCTCACAGAAATGGAAAGCACTGAGCTCGGGTCACTTGGAGAGAGCCTGCTGCAATGGGTCAATACATTCGAGGAAGGAGGCAATAGCGAACGCTGGGAGAACTTGAGTGACGGCAGGAGGCTATGGAGAATACTACGGGAGGTCGACAAAGACCACTTTTCAGAAGACCTACCAGAACCGGATGTTGGACCAGGGAGTGACTGGACCAGGAAATGGCAGAACCTCAAGCACATCGAGCGGCAGCTTTCGACATACTATCGAGACGTCTGCAATGGGCAAGAGGGGATTGCATCTGACTTCGTGCCGGACTTGAAGGCAGCGGCAGCTGAGACGAATGTAAGGGAACTGGAGAAGCTGATCATGATCATGATTCGTGCTGCTATGGCCTCGCCTGAAGCGAATCAAAAGATGGCGCATAAGTTAATGAGCCTTGGACGGGAAAAGGCGATGTTGATCGCCAACGAGCTGCGGAGCATGCAAGAACACGAATTTAGCGAATCTGAGCCACCGAGCAGGGACGAGTCTGCATATCACTCGGATGCTGAAGGGCCGATCGAGCATCAGAAGGCGAATGGCAATAGAGGTGGTGGTGCTTACAGTGATCCACTACTCGAGCGTGAGGAGGAGCTCCTGCAGGCTCAGGTCACCATTGACAAGTTGCAGGCGAATCAAGCAGCGGCACAACAACAGCTGCAAGAACTGCGGCAGGACAAAGATCGTCTTCAAGAAGCGTTCGATGCTTACAGGACGGAGATCAACAGCAAAGGACGGAAGAACAATGAGGACGATGGATTGAAGAAGCTGCAGCGACAAGCCGAGAACGATCGTGCTTACATCGATGACCTGGAGTCTCAAATGCAGACCTCGCGAGGAAGCATTGAGTCGTACGAGCGGCAGATCGAGAAGCGTAGAGCAGAGGGTGAGGCCAGCCAGCAGCTTCGAGACGATCTACAGATGCTCAAGGCAGAGAACGAGGAGCTTAATCAGAAAGTTCGAGCAAACGAGAACCTCAAAAAGAAGATTCAGACTTTGCAAGAACAGGAGAAAGCTAATCTCAATTTACGAGAAGAACTCAAGGTGGCGACCGAGCGTCTGACTGATCTGGACAGGCTGAAGCAGGTTCAAGCTAGTCTGGAGAAGGAGATCATCGAAAAGAAAGGTTTGATAAGGAACCAGGAGTATCAGATTACTGAGGCGACGACTACACGAAAGCATGCCGAGCACGATGCGAGAGTGCTTGCGCAGAAGCTTGAAGCGGCTAGGGAGAGACATGATCGAGATCATGAAACCTTGGAGGAGCTGAGAGTGCGATTGCAGGACAGTACCCTTGATGCGGCGGTCCCAGCAGACACACCAGCTGAGCAAGTCAAGCAGCTTGTGGACCCTGATGCTGCAGCGAAGAGGGCAATGATTGCAAATGACGACCACAAGAATGTGGCTGAGAAGCTAGCGATGTTGGAACAGCAGCTCGAGGCTGCCGATGCTCGACTCAAGCAGTCCTCACAACGCAATGCAACACTAGAAGAAGAGATGCAGAAGCGCGAGCAAGACGAAGAGGCACAGCGAAAGCTTGCCGAACAAGCATCGAGGTACGAAAGCACGATAGCAGAGCTACGACAAGAAGTCGAGGCCGCCGCTGCAGCTGCAAAATCACAACCACAGAAAGACACTCCTGCTCGTGACCTAGCAGCTCTGCAGAAGGAGAATAGGCTAATGACGAGTGCCTGGTATGATCTCTCGAACAGGATACAGCAGCAGGGTGTTTCGGTCGGAAGACGGAGATATGAGCCCAAGAGTTGGATCGGGAAGCAGCGACAACTCGTTGGGCCGAGTGTTGGATTAGTGAGTTGACATGAACCTGAGGGACATCAATTGTGCTAACATTGTGCAGAATCAGCGATCGTAGGCTTATGATGATGAATCTGGATTGCTATATACCCATATATGCCTGTGTATGCCTAGACTTGTGGCGTCTTGCTCCTATGAGCAACAATTGCTACCATCGCGATTCGCATATACTGCTTCCCACATGAGCAAGACCTGCACATATACTTGGAGGTTATCACAAGAGCTCAAGATGCGGCGGGTCCAAATGAGACTTTTGGCTTGTAAGTTTCGCTCTACAACATACAGTGAAGCTCGGTGTTAGTTTGTTCCTGCCGATAGTGTAGTGTATAGAGTAGTGGTATCCTCACTTACAGTACCTATATTCCTCATCACAACGGTCAATCGCTACAAGCGCCACAAGCTCGGATCAAGTTTCACGTGCTCGTGCGCTTGATTCGTGGCGGTGCTCAACACGCGACGCGCGATTTTGCGAATGCACCTTCCACTTTCGACCTCAGACCTTGGAAGTCATCTTCCACATCAAAAGCGCTGGCGAGCCCTACAAGAGTCTAACAACTGCTACACAGATACTGCGTACGATGCTCGCCACCATCGGCTCACTTGTCGTGCGGGATCATCGGCCGCAGTATGGCGCCCATCGAGGTGGTAGACCTTACTCTGGATTCCGACGATGATGTATCTCCTTCGAAGGCGGCGCTGTCAATCTTGAGCTCCTTCCAAGCGTCGAAAAACACTCAGCAGCCTTCAGGCTTCAAGGGGTCCATCGATGGCCAGCTTCGTCCAATTTCCAGAGAGACCAACGCCCCTCAGCCGCTCAAAAAGTCTTCCAATGTCCTATCATCGAACAAGAAGAGGAGACTTGCGCCACCAGAGGTCTCTTCGACTGCAAAATGTGCCTCGCCAGCGCTTCAGAGCCATGGATTGCTCAATGTTGCCGGGCTTCCTAGCTATCAGAGCACGACGAGTCGACAATCGGAGTCGAGGACGGCCGGCACAGAACTCATCGCTAATTGACCAAAGAGTCCTCTCGCAAATATGCGTCCGTCTGTGGCGCCGACAGCATTGACATCATTGAATAGTGATCTTAGCGCCCGCGTAGTGCCACCAACTTTGCAGCTTGGCAAAGCAGATGATGGACTGAAGGGCAAAAGTGCCGATGTGTCGCTCGCAAAGTCCCCTTTGCCTACCCCGTTGCAGACTTCCCCAGATCACCCTTCAAGTTCTGCGCCACCAGGCGAGCATTCTGAAAGGTCTCGAATTCCATGGCAGATATCGGATGTGTCAGATGTGTCCGACGAGGAGGCGATGCGTCTTAAACGCATTCGAGATTTTGACAACTATCATGCAAGTAGCGGCGTGCGGCACAAGAGCAGTGGGCCGCGCACAGCGCCCATCTCAACCAGTATGAGAGCATCCTTGGACCTTGCGACGTCTCGTCCCTCACCCGGTCTCCAGGTCGAGGCCCAGGTAGTGAAAGGTAGTGAGGATGGGCAGAATGACTCGAGAGCTCGATTGAAGCGCTACTCGGACACAACAAGGTCGCTAAAGCGAAACCTGGCCACACCACCGCTCTCTGACGACCCGCGAACACAATCGAAGCGACATCAGCCTGCCAAACAAGCACTTGAATCGATACCTCAAAGGACCGCGCAGCCGTCTAAAGATGTCGCGACTTACAAGCGAAGCACCGCCGCTCCGGCGCCGGGCAGTCTTGAGCTCAGGAAGAGTAGCGGCTTCCTGGACGATACAGCCACACATCAGGAGGTGTTCAAGGCCGATATCACGCAGAGCACAACAAAATCTGTCCTAACACCTCAAGTGATGGATGAAAAAGCCGCCTCCAGACCTTCCGCTGGATCGTGGTACACGGATAAAGAAAATGCTCTTCTAGCACAATTGAAAGCCATCGACAAGCTAAGCTGGACGGAAATAATGGCATATTTTCCCGAGCGCAGCCTAGGTTCCGTCCAGGTCCATTACTCTACGACGGTGAAGGGGCGTTACCCAGACGCTGCAAAGCAAGCCGTGGTACCGCCAGCGCTGAATCTGGACCATGCTAGTGCACGACGCATTGTCCCCAAAGCTCGGGCGAGACGCATCGAGCTAGAGGTTCATTCGGCACCCAATCGCCGCCGTCGAGGAGGTGGACCATCAGCAGTGGACGGGTTCGTCCCTTGGACCCAAGTCAGTGTTGAGGCTTTAGAGAGGCCCGAAGTCGAGACACCTGTAGAGGATTGGTCGAGCGGTACCGCGTTCGATGACTCCTTGCGCGGGCAGGACCGTGCTTTCCCCAGCAGTCTGGCACGAGTCCTGCGCCAACGTGAGCTGGGCAAGACTGGAAGTCGCGGCTGGTCTTCTGCTCACAAGCGCATCACGGACGAGGCGATCAATCATGTGCTTACGAGTTATACGCCATGTCTACACTTTGAGGCTACTTCTGGAGATGTCACTTGCGTCGCCTGGCGCAACGATGGCGTCGGCTTTGCTGCAGGTTCGATCGCGATTACTGACGATCGATCGATGCAATACAATAGCTCCAGGAATCTGCTTATCGGAGATACATCGAGTTCAGGACTCCAAGAACTGACTGAACATCACATCCCACGCCCTGTGATAAGTGACAGTGATAATCCCAACGCTCTACACTCGATGCGCGAGTCTCAGGATTCTCGTTTGTTCACCACTGTCGCGAACGTCGCATACTCTGCCGACGGCAGCAGGATGTACACCGCTGGCAGCGACAGAATGGCACGTGTTTATACCACCAGCCGGGTCGTCACCAAATACAGCTGTCAATATGCGATTGAGCACGCCGCTGCGGTCGACATTCTAGACCTTCAAGGAGACCTCCTCGCAACAGCATGCCACACAAGCGAGGATGGCAGTATCGCCATTTTCAAATGTACTGAGCAATCATACTCAAAGTTGATGTCCTTCTCACCGACTCGTGCCGACTCCCAGTCGTCTCTACCGACCTTTCCATCCGCCTTGAGATGGGGTGCCGCCTGCCATCATAAGGGCTTACTGCTCGCAGGCTATTCAAGTGACGGCAATGATGAATATCGGGACGCTGTTGGTGAGACTGCTCTATGGAACGTGGAGACAGGACAGCGATTCGACCTAAGCACCACCACTCACAATGTCTTCGACGTGGCGTGGAACCCTTCATCGAGCAGTGCATCAGATGCATTCTGTGTCGCTGGTACTCCTGGACATGGCAGATCAGTCCCGGGACGGAAGAGCGTTGTTCGGTGTTACAGCGTGAACTTATTCCGTGGCAGGGCTAAGCAGGTTCTTGAGTGGGATTGTCCTGCGTATGACATCAACGACGTCCTATACTGCCCCTACGATGATAATCTGATCGCTGCTGGAGCCACTGACGGCAAGGTCTACATTTGGGACAAGCGTTTCGCTTCTCGAAATCAGAACCCAATGCACATCCTGTCGCACGGCGAGTCTTTGAATGTGCTAGACCATGACCGGGAGCGGGAGCTTGTCGACACAGGTGTAAGATTCTTGTCGTGGGGCGCCACTTCGACACGGCTGTATTCTGGGTCATCTGATGGTGTAGTCAAGGTGTGGAATCCGCACAGAGCCCCCGGGTGCGCTTTCGTGGAAGACGTAGCAACTTTCCAGACAGCCATCATGTCTGGTGCGTTCAGCCCTGACTTTAGAAGCTTGCTGGTCGGCGAAGAGCGAGGCAGAATCAATCTGCTCAGAATTGGAGGTTGCGACGATGAAGATGAAAGCACTTTCCCTTCTCGGAGCTTTGGCTTGCATAGCAGCGCTCCAGTCATAAACGACGAACAACGATACGCTGCCGCGAAAACTCTCCTGGACTCCAAACAGATAGAGCTGCGGCCCTGGGGAGCTATGCCAAAGAGACAAGCAGTGCAAGGCTCTGCATACTTGGGTCCGTATTTGCAACCATCTGCGTTGGATTTCGAGCGCGCACAGAATGCCTATGACCAGGCAATACAGCGACAGAGTGCCTTGGGCGCAGACAGTGACTGCGACGGCGAAGATATGAGTAAAGCATTGAGAGATGTAGAAGGTTGCCAAGCGGCATTGACTGCTTTGCGTTGCAGAGAGCTTGCATTTGCAGAGGACGAACCGGTAGCATGTGCCAAGCAGCGTGCATGGCGTCAAGCCGTGAAGCGTCGTATCACGCAGGAAGATGATGCCGACTATTGCAAACTCGACTGCAACTACTTTGCGCCGTCGATAGTGGATGGAGTAGCAGATACACAGGCGTCCGCTCAGCGCATCGCTGGTGCATTGCAGGCTCTGCCGCGAGGCAAACTTGATCTTACACCTCTCGACTGCACGGCGTTATTCGACAATGGTTTCGCGGGGCCGTGCATGTACTGCCCGGCAATATCTGTCAAGAAGCCAGGTATGGCAATCATGCTAAAACAGAAATGCCAGGCGCGCTGTAGAGGGGTCAAGGCAAGACTTACCGGAACATGTCAATCGTGCTCTACAACTGTCAGCACTAAGGACAATGACGGCAAGAGCTCGGAGTCGCCGTGCGCTCGCTGTAGCTTTGCCTGCTTTCGATGCGCGGCGTCCGTACAGCTCCTCGTAGATGGTGCTGGCAAGTCTTGCCTCTTCTGTGCAGCGTGCGACAAAGGGTGGGAGGTGGGTGTGCTTGGGTACGAATTGATACGAGACTCGCGAACGCAGGATAGGCATAGTGCTCCTGAGAATCTCAAAGCACAATTGATTGTTGATGCAGAGCTGCATTACTACCACTCGAAATGGGCCGAGTGAGAGGTAGATAGCTGAAACTAGGACAACTTTTACATCTTCGTCTCGACATCCGTATGTGATGTCTCACGACCAATCTGCTTCTCATCGTCCGCAACAACTGCTTGTCCTCTGATAGTTGGATCAGCGTCCTGGACGACCGGCGGCCCCGTGAAATGCTTTCGTCCGCCGATGAAGTACCACCCAAAGGAGATCGCGGCGAAGCTGTATTGTTATTAGCAGATGAAGAAATATGTCGGGTCATGATGAATACATACCCAGCGAACACGACACTTGCATAATTCATCGACGATGGAGTCACAGGTATCGCCACAGGCATGCAGAATAACACAATAGCCAGAGCGATCCAGACTAAGCAGATCCCATTGATAATGAAGCCAAATCTCCCAAGCGAATAGGTCGAATGTTTCACTAATCTGCGGCCTCGTAGAACACTGACCAGAATGGGAAGACCGTAGCCGCAGGATAAGCAGATAGTTGCAACGCCTGTGAAAGAGCCGAATGCAGCCGTGCTGCCGAAGTAGATGAGGCCGAGTAAGCTGCAAACCACAGTTGAGAGCACTAGACCCCAGAATGGAATGCCAAGCTGTTTATTTGTCGTCCCGAACCAGCGCGAGCCTGGGACACCACCATCGCGAGCGAAGGCGTACGTGCAGCGGCTCGAAGCGGTCAAGGCGCCAATGCCGGCGAAGAACATGATACCAAGAATAAGGAACAATAAGCCGAATCCTCCAGCAGCAGATCCGGTTGCCTGCTTGAAGACGAGACCGATCGGCTGACCATTTGCCGCAGCAAGGAGGTAAGATACTTCCGGGAGCACGAATAGAATAGGTAAGAGGTAGATGACACCTGTAATGCCTGCGGCCGCAACGGAGAGGACCATGGCTTTTGGGACTTCGCGGGCTGGGTTCTGGACTTCTTCGCACCTGTGATACTGATCAGTGATTGCTTCTTTTGATTTTTTGTGATCCACTCACATGGCAGCCACGAGGCCATAGCCTGTCAATGTATACGCAGCCTGAAGCAGGCCGACGAAGAATGAGAAGCCGGCGGGCCATCCGGACAGGCTGGAGTCATAATGAGCGAAGACGAACTCCGCGCTCCGTCTGCCTCCGCGAGCCATGCTCAGGAGCGTGATCAAGATAATGACAACACTTGCGGCAGTCCTAGAATATCTCAGTCAGGCAGAGCTCACGTCACATTAATGCATGTCCGATATCTCACCAGTATATGCACACTTTGTTGATGAGATCGAGATATTTGGCACCATAGGCATTGACGAGGAAGCAGATCAACATGATTGCCCAGAAGCAGAGAACGGTCTGCCATGCGTTGGCTGCCCAGTCTTCTCGCCATAAGCTGATGGCGCTCAGAAGTAATTGAGCGCCTCCGAAGTTGATGCTGAGTGTTACTGTCCAGTTGCCGACCTGTCTCACTGTCAGTATATGAGTCATTGCGTGGCAAGGCTATTTGACATCGTCATACCAGATTCATCCAGCCTGTCGATACTGTCAGCCGAATACTCTTGTAAACAGATGATGTCGCGATATACCCGTGATCCAGCTAGCAATCTTCGCCCAATCCTTCGTAGCCATCATAGCAGACCAGTAATATACACCACCAGCAGTCGGAAACACAGCACAAATCTCTGCTAACGAAGCGGCGATACTCAACGAGATCAATGAAACCAGGACCCAGCCCCATAATATCGTGACGCTCTGCCCATTGGTTAAGGAGATATACATAGTCGTACTGGTCCCATAAGGTACGGCCATAATGGCAAAGGACAGGCCAAGAACACTCAGCATGCTCAGGCTTCGAGGGAGTTCACCTTTGTACCCCAGTTTAGCCAGGTCTGCATCCGCAGCATGTTCGCCAATGGAGGCCTTCCTGTCATTGGTGGCGGACGTGCGTCGAGCGGGATTGTCGTCCATTGTGGTTGATTGATAGGTCTGTTGTGGCTGATAGATAGGTCTAGCAGTATTCATAGGTGAGATAGATCTAATTCAGCCAAATTTATGCATTCGCATCCTAAGTCTAGGTTATGTACGGTGACATGTGAGGAGAAGAAGCAAGGAAAGACCTCACCACGAAGGCCCGGGTTGTCGTTACTCATCCTGTCTGATAAGAAGTGGCCGCAAAGCAGCCGATCTAGAACTATGCCAAGCTCTAGTCTCGAACTTCGCTTGAAGATACGCTTTGCGGAGCCCGCATGGACCGCACGGTGGTGTAACATTTCTAAGTACCGAGTCAGGTGATCTCGTGGGGAGTAGAATGGCATGACATAATTTATCAAGCTCTCTACACGCGATCCATTCACCCATGGGCAGCAGCAGAAGCAACAATTCTATGATCCAAATAGAACTGATCAATCAGACTCCGCCAGATTTCTTGACCATCGACAATGTCGACACCATACAGAGCAGCTTTGGAGCACACAATACAATGCTGCCGCCGACGACCAATTGCCATTGATGCTGTTAAGCAGCGCCCAGTCAAGCAGCGCACACGACAATTCAGCAAGACACAACGACGATGGGTGTCAGATGGTTCAAGGCCACCAACGCCGCCCGGCATGCCAGGACCAAGCAAAGTCGTTGCGCCTAAGACAAGAGTCGCAGTCGGAGTCGTGTTTCTCAGCGCATTAATATACTCGATGGTATCGCACCTCCAGTACGGCCTTCTCGGCATGGACTAACTCACATATAAGGCTACTGGTGACAGACCACCTCCTCCTTCCGCCGACCCCTCCCAGCAACCACCACCCCGCAGCGGCCTCCAACTAGACAGCCCAAGCATAGCAGAGCGAGACAACCTAAGTAAGCGCGAATCCGGCATCTCCGCCACCTCTCCAATGCGTCTGCGCATGGAGGCATTCATTAAAGAGAATCAACAGGACATCGTCCGCACCCTTGAAACCCTCGACGGCACACCCTTCCAGATAGACAAATGGGACCGACCTAATGGCGGCGGTGGAATTAGCTGTGTCCTTCAAGACGGGAACGTATTTGAGAAAGCGGGCGTGAATACGAGTGTGGTTTACGGCACACTGCCGAGAGCGGCGATCAGTCAGATGAGAGTTAATCATAAAGCTCTTGACCCGGATGTGGAGAGTTTGGAGTTCTTTGCGGCGGGTTTGAGTCTGGTGTTGCATCCTGTCAATCCTATGGCGCCGACCGTACATCTGAATTACCGATACTTCGAGACGGCGAATAAAGACGGGAGCACGAATGCATGGTGGTTCGGTGGCGGTACCGATCTAACGCCGAGTTACCTCTTCGACGAGGATGTCATACACTTCCATCGTGGGATCAAGGAGGCTTGCGATGCGCATGACAAAGACTATTATGCACGGTTCAAGAAGTGGTGTGATGAGTACTTCTATGTCAAACATCGAAACGAGACGAGAGGAGTGGGAGGGATCTTCTTCGATGATCTGGACGATACGGAGAAGGATCAGGAATCCTTGTTCGCTTTCATCCAAGGCTGTTTAGGAGCTTTCCTACCCTCATATCTACCAATCATCCAAAAGCGAAAGGAAATGCCGTACACGGAAAAGGAAAAGCAATGGCAACAGCTACGAAGAGGGCGGTATGTGGAGTTCAATCTTGTACATGATAGAGGCACTGCGTTCGGGCTCAATACTCCGGGTGCGAGAATCGAGAGTATCTTGATGAGTCTGCCGCTGACGGCGAGGTGGCAATACCAGCATGAGCCTGAGAAGGGGAGTCGGGAGGAGAGGTTGGTCAATGTGCTCAAGAAGCCTGTGGAGTGGCTGTGAGATGCTGGGATTAGATCATAAAGGATGTGTTGGATAATGAGGTTAGAGGAATATAGGTGTAGACTATATTGTACAGTAGCTGTAAGCAGTAGATGTAATTCTTTGTGATCGTAATGACCCTCTCGTCTGATTGGCTGCTTTGCAAGCCACGCTAGCATTCGGCGTCGAGTTTCTGGTGCTCGAGTCCTGTATGGTAGCTCACAGACCACGTTCGATCTCCGGGACTATCTTGGCCATTGCAGCCGAGCTTCGACTCCATCGCGACGATTCCGTTCGGATTCGTGTCGCCAGATTGTGTGAGCTCCATGACCAGATCTTGGATCGAATGCGCGACATTCACGGGCTCAAATTCGTTGCGCCTTCCTTCCTCCCACTTCACTTCATATACCCATGCGCACTCAACCACTCCTTCACGATCGCAGAGTCCCTCTCCTTGTACTTAGCTTGGCCCTTGATAGTATCGCTGACCACAGCCAAACCACGATCGAACCCTCCCGTATCCTTATCCTTGAAAAAGTCCTGGATATCCTTTTCAACTTCGAAGCTAGCGTAATGCTTCAAGCCCGTGCGCAAGAAACGCTCCTTGACTACACCGACACCAAGCTTCTGCGACAGCATGTCCCAGTTCGCTTTCACATACTCCCATACGGCGATGTTTACTTTGCTGTTGTTTCCGAGCGACGAGCCAGGGGTGTGGATATCTTGCGTGGCTACGTTGCCTGCGAAAGCCCAGTCCAGGTATTCTTTGGCTAGATCCCTGGTCTGCACTTTGCCCATGGCTGTGAGAGCAATCTCCTTGCCATCGACGGAAGTGGTGTGGAGATACTCGTCCTGCACATCGTGGTAGGCTTGAGCTCCACCAGTCCTGATGACAGTCTGGAAGACTGAGCTACGCAGCGATGGATCAATAGCTTTCTTATCACCAGCCTTGAAACTCTCAAACTGCTCATGCGCTTTCTTGACGACAGTCTCGTGGCCTAATGAGCCGGCCGTTCGCAGCAGGAGAGTCCGGAGCTGGCCAGTCAACCAATCCTCGTCTGGCTTCTTATCCCAGCCAACATCTTCGGTCGCTGCGGTGACGAGCTTCAGCGAGTACGCTCGCAGACCAGCGGCCACCTTCTCATCCTCCCCGAAGGTCGACCTGATCTTGCCTAGGCTAGAGAGGACTTCAGACCAGACCAAATAGTTGCGCTCGGCAGCGAAACCTTCCATGAACGACAAGACCGCGGCCGTCGTGCCTTCGCCTGCGAGTGCCATGGCTGCTGCATCACCAACGAGACCGATCTTGTCTTGTACTGTCAGCTTATCAAGACTTTTGCTGAGCTCGATCAAACGCTGTGGCGGGTAGTTGGTGCGATAAAATGCCGTCTGGTCGCTATTGATCTTGTAAAAGGTTGTATCGAGGTCCCGATAAGTATCTTGCTTCTCCAGCAATGGCTCGCGCTTGGCATCAGTAGCTTGTGGACCAGTCTTGAGGCCGAGAGGTATCCACCATGTAGTCTCGTCCTCCTCCGACCTGACTTCACCAGCCGACAAGAAGCGACTTTGCCTGACGGAGATCTGTCCTGGCTCTTCCGCTACTGTGATGACTGGGAAGCCGATTTTCCTGATCCACGGGTCCATGACAGACTTGATATCCTGGCCGGAAGCCTTGCTGACTGCAGCCCAAAGATCGTTCGTCGTGGCGTTGCTGTATTGATGTGCCTTGAGATAGTCGGCGACACCTTGCAAGAATACCTCGACACCAAGATGCGACGCAAGCATACGGATAACCGAGCTTCCCTTCGAGTATGAAATGGCGTCAAAGATCTGATTGACCTCGAGCGCATCTCGAACGGGCACTTCGATAGGATGCGAAGTCCTGAGACCATCAAGACCGAACGCTGTTTGCACTGCATCGCCCACGAACTGGCCCCAGACGTTCCATTCAGGATGTAAGTGATCCACAGCATACCATCCCACCCATGTCGCAAAACCCTCGTTCAACCATAATTCGTTCCACCAATCCATGGTGACTAAATTGCCAAACCATTGATGAGCAAGCTCATGCGCTACAACGTAGACCACACGATTCTTGTACTTCTGATCACTGGCATACTCATCAAACAGGACAGCTGTTGATCGATATGTTACCAGACCCCAGTTCTCCATGGCACCCATCGCAAACTCATGAACAGCGAGCAGGTCGGCCTTTGGTAGCGGGTAGTCGATCTGGAACTTCTCCGAGTAAAGGTCGATGATCCGATGAGCTGCCTCCAGAGCCAGCCTCCCTTGCTCCTTCAGACCTTTTGTGGTGTATACACGGACTGGAAGGTTCTTGCCGTTGTACTTTCGTTTCGTGAAGTCTTCCACGTACTCGAAGTCGCCAAAGGCCCATGCTAGCAGATACGTGCTCATCTTCGGCGTTGTTTCGAAAGTCACGACCTGAAAGCCGTCACGCTTACTCTTCTTGGTCTCCTTGACCGGCATGTTGCTGAGAGCAGTCTGGCCTTCGGGTATCTCCATCTCGAAATCGAAGGTGGCCTTCAAGTTGGGCTCGTCGAAGCAAGGAAATGCTTGCCGAGCATCCGTGGCTTCGAATTGTGTGCTGAACATGTAGTACTTGTCGTCCACCTTCACAGTGCTCTTCGAAGGCTCTGCGGTCGGCTTGTAGACAGCACGGCTCATGCCAGCCATCTGATCGTTGATGACGCCCTCGAACTTGATCGACAAGACTGCCTTGGGTGACCCCGATATCGCTTGATCAAAGCCGAGCGTACATTGATGAGCTTTCTCGTTGTATGAGATCTTGGAGGCCTTCACCGAAGATGCAGTCTTGCCAGCTTCTGACAACACTTCTGCTGAGTGCACCTTGACATTCAGGGTATTGAGTGTAATGCTCTTTGTCGAGTTCTTGACCTCGAGATCTATGTCCACCTTCCCGCTATACTTCCAATCACCACCAAACTGTAGATCGAACAGAGAAATGGCGTAGTGAATCGGCTTGACATCCGTCGGGAGAATGTCGCGGTCGGACGCCATCTTGACGAGTGTGCTGGATGCTTCGCTGGAGCAATATCGAAGTTGTAGCTGTTTTTGTACAGGAGTGAGCCTTACCTTGGGTCTGCTGCGGCTACTGCAGGTAGATATAGCTGGAGAGTGCGTGAGGTGAATGCGAGATGCCTTAAAAAGGAAGGAGCTACGCAGTGGTTGCCCCGCTATTCTTGCTCGCCCCACCAGTGCTGTGCAATGCGAAGAGGCTTGTACAACATGTGAGAGCCTCGGGGATAAGGACATGGGAGACGTGATGAAGAGCACGAGTATGAACGCACGATGTACGCTGACGCAGGGACAAATGAGACTAAGCTCGAGCCTGCCGACTCCACAAAATTAACAGGTGAGCACGTGACGGTCGAAGGCATTGTCATAGGATACAGAAACCGCAGGAGAATCGATGAATGGTGCTGCCTCAAGAGAGAGACTTCGGCGTCCTGCTGTACGTCGTCCAAGCGTACCTGATTCTAGTGAAACGCTCTCCATGGCCTTTACGCCAACTCCATTATTCTCATGATGCCCAGCTTTACAGTCGTATAATAACATCGACACAAGGCAGCCGTATCTGTCTCGTTTCCAGTATGCCTTTGAGCCATGCGAACCCGCTCTTACTCGCGTTCACGCTGACCGTCTCACCACCCATGCGCCGTTTCACTCCATCGATCGCGGCACTTGCTAATGATCCGCCCGTCCCATTTATCGCAGAGACTGCTAGACTTGCCGTCTCCAGCACTGCATCCGTGATCGTTCCATTCCCGCTGACGAGTGAAGATAATGTTTCGCTGGCGGAAAGTGTTTGCTCGATTGAAGGTCGCCATCGTGGTTCAAACCAGTCGGCTTTGAAGTCGAAGAGGGAGAATACTATGAGGATGAGGAGAGCGGAGCAGTACATGCATGGTCGTTGGAGTGCCTGTGAACGACGGTCAGTACAGCAGTAAAACTTGATTGAGGTGGACGTCTTACATATGCTCCCGTCAAGAAAAGGATGATGTAGACTGGTGAAGCGCCAGTCATGAAGACCAGCAAGGGCAGCCAAACCCGGAGACAATACTGAGCTAGATCAGCGAGATCCTTCATTCTATCTTCGACGAAGCGTACCATCTTGCCAATACTGCTTCCTCTCACGGGGTTTCCGCCTCCTGCGAGCGGTGCTGTAGTCCTCCTAACGTATCCGGATATATTGAGAGAGCACTATGCCATGTTTCGGAGCCCTAAGAATGTTGATGTATGAGGTCAGACTCCATGAAATTGGTCGCGTGAGTGCCGTAGACTTGCAGTGACTATCACATGCTGAAGACAATCGCTATGTGATCTCGGATAATCTATGCTCCGGGCCGATTGTGTGCTCCTCTTCACTTCACTTCTTTCTCTACATCTCCTTGCCATGCCCAGCGAACATTGGTCACAGTGGCAAGCTCGCGCGCGGTGAGTCCCAACATCATGGAAGAGTAAGTTCTTATCTCCCGTGATACAACATCATTTGATCTGGTGACAATATGCTCAGTCAGCTGGCCCCTAATGAGCATCTGGAGAATCAAGGTCGGAACGACTATACTGTCAAGCACATATGTTGTCGGATTCCGAATCTCCAGTACATCGCTCTTGTCTCACTCGACACCATCACAGCTCGCATAACTTCACTCGGCCCCTCCCGTGCCTTGATCACAAGGTCAAGTAGCCCCAAGCTCTGTTATATCTACCAGCCTCCCTCCCACCATCATACCTTCCACCTACAATACCTTTTGATCTACTTCCACAACATTTCCTCTGAGCTCTTTTCCTACTTAGGTTCCTCATAGTACTCTCACGCCTAGACACTGGATTTGCTAACACCACTCCACGACCCCACGACCATCATGGCCTCTGGAGAACTAGGGCCTGGTGTTGATGACTCACAGCTCTCCCAAACGTTGCTGGGAAAGCGTAAGCGTAACGATGACCTGGAAGATGGCAGCAGTGATGATGCAAGTGAGCCTGGCGCCGGCAATGGAAATATCGATGGCAACGCGGATGTTGACGACAGCTTGTTTATCCCCGAGGACAACAACATGAGTCTTGTGCCTTATGGTACTGTCTTCGACGAGGAGAACGACAGCATGGCTGGTGATATGGTCGAAGAGGACGTGTTTGACGAGGATGCTCTCGGTATGCTGGACAACCATGATCGTATTACCTATACGGAAGTTAGCGAGAAGTTCCCGAGTCGTGCCATCTACGACGACAAGGTTCCAGCTATCAAAAATTCACTCGCCGAAATACCGCAAAAGGTTCTCGACATCCTGCTCCCGCACAAGTGCGATCTTGTGCACTTGCAAACACACATAGCAGCAGCAGGCGAGCTTGCACACGTCCCCAAGTCGAAAAAACCAAGAATTGCATTGATTGGCAACGCTGGCGTCGGTACGAGTCCTCCATTGCTCATCTCAAAATTCTCGCTGACAGACTTTAGGCAAGAGCTCCACTCTCAACGCGCTTACGGACATTCCTGAGCTGGCAAAATCCGTATGTCTGTCGCTCTCTCTAACACGCCAGGTACTGACGTTTCATAGCTCGCTGGTGGCCAAAGCTGCACCTGTGTTCCCACCGAGTACAGTGGACCTTTTGCAGACCAGACTAAGAAGTATGCAGCCATCATTCGTTACTTCGGGGTGCGAGCTATTCGGCGACTCCTCGAGGAGTACATCGAGCACTACAACACATTCTACCACGAAGCCGATGATGACTGGGACCAAGAGACACGCCAGATGTTCGATCGTCGTGCGAAAAATGCTCTTATGATCTTCCAGATCCTGTTTCGCGACTGGAAAGAGTTCAGCTCCCGTCAGACTGCCAAGTCTTTCCTGGATACGTGCTATGCCCAGCATAATACCACTGTCATCGATCTCATGGTCAAATCTTGTGACGACAAGGTCAAGAATAAGCCATATGTTAATCACCGGTACTCAGACAAAGTGGAAGCGTCTACAAGGAGTAGACTCCGCGAGCTGATTGACCCACTCATCGGTTCCAAGTCGAGCAACAAGGAGGCCACATTGTGGCCTTTGGTAAAACAAGTATTCATTGGTGTAGAGGGATCCCGTGTTCTGGACCAGCTCACTCTCATCGACCTACCTGGCCTGAGTGACAGTCTTTCTTCTCGCCACGAGCTCTGCAGCAAGTATATCAAGACGTGTGATTGGATTTGGGCAGTCGCGCCGATCAGCCGCGTGATTGACGACAATCTGATCTTCGGTATCGTGCAACGCTATGGCAAGCTGTTCCGCGGCCGGATCATGATCATCTGCACACACTCTGATGCGGACATCGATACGAGATTGTACCGGGAGCTTCGAGACGGCGGCATAGACATGCAACCTTACGCTGAAGCGACCCTCGAGATGAAAGCGTTGACCAAAGCTGCGAATGCGCTTGCGAGTGAAGTCAGGCGCGAAAGGAGGGACAAGCGACGCACCAAAGACCAGATGCGACTTACAGATCAGAAGCGCGATCAGGTCGAGAACATGGAGCAAAAGCTCAAGGCACTAGAGCTCCAACAGACCGAACACATCGTCAAAGCCCGCAACGAGTACGTTACACAGGAACTGCAGCTTGGGTTTGAGGATTATCTGCCCAACGGCATGACGCTCGCAGTCCATTGCATCTCCAATATGCATTAGGAGGCGATCAAGAGCGGCCGCTCGGCAGGCAACAACTACCTAAGCCCAAAGTCCACAGGGGTGCCCGCTCTACGCAATTGTGCACTCGAGCTAGCTGCCCCTGGTCCACTGCAAACTCTGGAGACTTACTGCCAAATCGATATGCTGGTCTTCTTGAAGAACTTGCAGTTGTGGGTCAAGACCACCACCATAGACCGCCGCCGTACTCTCATCCTGCTTGCCAAGATGCCTCTAGATAAGCTCGACGGCCGTCTTGATGCTCGTGTGACAGCCTTTGACAACGGTATTGACAGTTTCCTTACTGGTCCGCTGCGCCAGCGGTGGACATCGACCCGCCAGACTGCTTTGGACATCCTTACCAAGAAGCGTCAGAAGCACTCATCGACATTGCGAGCTTTTATCCGAAGGAACGGCAACCATTCTACTCAGCTCTGCCCAAAAGAGTCCTGGAACGAACAGTTCATCAAGGGTATCACCAACTTCATCAGCGAGCATTGGGAGGAATTCGAGAGTAGTAAGGCTGCCATCACGGAGCAGTTGAACGATGCACTCGCAAGGGATATGCGTGCCATCCTGCCCGCAATGTCAAGTAAGTACTTCAAAGAGCTTTTGAGGTATTACTAACAATCGAACAGGAGACCATCCATCTAGTATGGCGGCGCTACCAGTCGATCGTCTCGAGGAACTGGTCGAGGCACAAATCAGTGCTCTCAACAACATCTTCCGGAGCGACATGTACCCTTATTCCCAGGGTCTTCGGTAAGAGAGTTGCCCGATGATCCTGACATTCAGAGCTAATCTCTACAGGAATATCAAAATGGATGCGACCCACGACAGCGATGCAAACTACTTCTCCCGATCCATCACACCGGTCTACAGGAACTGCAAGCTCGATAGCGGTATTAGGCCCAGGCCCCCCTACAGCATAGGAGGACTGACATATCGCAGGCGCTGGTGTGACCAAACGCTCCATGGACAAAATCGAGACGCACCTTTCGAAGAAGTTGAAAGACTCTCCTTTCATCACAGTCGAGCATCGGCTGGCCAAGGCTTTGCGCAAGAATGACGAGAAGCACGTTCGGGCTACCATCAAGGACAAGACCACAGCTATCTTCGAGAGCCTCTACGGCTCCTTCGACAGATTAATCGACAAGACCGTGGAGGATCCAAGGGAGAAGCGCGCACGTCAGGATTTGATGAAAGTGTTACCAGCTCTGGAGAAGTCGTACAAGGAGGCAGTCAAGACTTTGGAGCAGGTCAAGGCGAAGTACGAGATCAAGGCCGAGAACATGTGAAGAGTGTGAGTAAGGAAGGCTTGGCGGTATACTCTCGTGGCACTGGTTGCTGTGAGCTTGGGGCCTGGAGTCTCGCGACTAGGAATGGCTGCATATGCTTCATGATTTACGATACTCAGAACCCAGGTAGGGGCTACGACTGCGACACAGAATAGCTCTTGTACTTCCATGACCTAATCAAGATCTTGACTGAGAAGGGGAAATGACATTGAACTGAAGTCTGGCGTATTTCATCATATGCTGCCTGCAACACCGCGCCTCGCAAAACCTCAACAAAATCTGCTGGTATTCGCGAGGACGTCTACGCCTCAAACGCCCACTACTCATGTTGCCACCTGCATACGTAGCCACAGAATGCACTACTCGCATCGCATGGTTCGCGTAAATGCCATTTCCTCAGTGCACAGAAATCATGTCGCGTCGAAGTTAACAGCACTGCCCCTTCTTTGTCGCATCGCCGGGGGGGTGAGATGGGCCGAGTGGGATGCTCTGCCCTGCGCCTGGTCCTTGGGATGGTTCGCCTGGGAAGGTCAGCCTTGTCCTCTGCACTACATCAGGGTGCACATACCCTGGTCGAGCGCCTTGCTCGAGACAATGCGGTAGATCTCTGTAGCACGCGATTAGCATTCAATGGATCCATCATACTCCCACAAGTCATCCATACCAGTCAACTCATTTTGGAACGCCAGCTCAACATTACTCGCATCCAAAGCCGACGTCTCAATGAAGCTCAAACTGTGCTGACTCGCAAACTCCTTGGCCTCCTCAGTCGGCACCGCCCTCAAATGCCTCAAATCACTCTTGTTGCCCACCAACATGATCACAATATTCGTATCCGCATGATCTCTCAGCTCCTTCAGCCACCTCGTCACATTCTCGTACGTCTGGTGCTTGCTGATATCGTAGACGAGGAGGGCTCCGACAGCACCACGGTAGTAGGCTGAAGTAATGGCGCGGTAGCGTTCTTGACCCGCGGTATCCCAGATCTGGGCTTTGATGGTCTTGGCGTCGACTTGGATGCTGCGGGTTGCGAATTCGACACCGATGGTTGATTTGCTGTCGAGGTTGAACTCGTTGCGGGTGAAACGCGAGAGGAGGTTGGATTTGCCGACGCCGGAGTCGCCGATCAGGACAACTTTGAAGAGGTACTGTGAGTGAGGAGAGTGTATACATTAGCATGTGATATGGTGGGGTGGTAGTAGAGTAGGCGGTAGGTAGGCATACGTCGTACTCATCGTTCGCCATGTTGGCAGCGCAGTTATTGTATGATTGGAGGCGAGGATGTATACGTGTTGCGACGATTCAACGGCCACGGCGGGGTGTGTAGGTAGTCAGTGCGTTTGCTGGATGTATCGGTTATGATTGATAGGGAGAAGTGGTAACCACATGCCGCCTTGCTGGACGAGGGTCCTCTTGGCGTTTGCTCACGCGCTAGCCTCTTTATTCCGCGCTAGTCTCGCTCCTTCCCTCGTGGCGAAGGGCAGTAGCACATGAGACCATGTGACATCCGCCTACAGTCAATACCTTTGCGTCGAGGTGGCGTGGCGAGGAGCTGACTCAAATAATTCTAATCTTGTTTGACAGACTGAATGTCGAGCTGCTGTTTCTCGCCGGCATCACTTCCTTGCTCCGTTTCATGAGCAGATATTAGATATGGCAGACTCAGACAACGACGAGGATGATGTTCGGAGTGGGAAAAGGTCGATGGTGTCGCGACCAAAGGACCGAGTCCAGGCAAGATGGGAGGAGGCAGCTAATCGCAATTGGGAGCTTCAAGAAGGGGCAGATGGTAGTATTGAGGGAGTGTTAGGTGGGCTTGAGGAAGCAGGCAAGCGGAAGAGGTCTGCCACCTACTTTCTTGATTCTCTAAAACGGTACTAATGATGAAGCAGGCTGCTCAAGGACACGACGCCCCTCCAGCGAGGAATTATCCGACATACACTTCTGGTTCTGGACTTATCCACGGCCATGAACGAGAAGGACCTGCGACCCACTCGTCACTTGCTAACCATCAAGTACACCATCATGTTCGTGCGCGAGTTCTTCGAGCAGAACCCGATCTCCCAATTAGGCATCCTCGGCATGAGAGAAGGCCTAGCAATCCGAGTTAGCGATATGTCAGGCAACCCCAACGACCACATCTCGGCGCTGAAAATCCTTCGTGGTACTGAACCTAAAGGCAACCCTTCTCTGCAGAATGCCCTAGACATGGCCCGAGCAGCACTATACCACACGCCCTCCCACGGAACACGTGAGGTAGTGATCATCCTCGGTGCACTCCTTTCCTCCGACCCAGGCGACATCCACGACACGATCAAAGCCTGCATCCGGGATCGCATACGAGTCCGGATAATTGGTCTAGCCGCTCAAATGCACATCTGTGCTGAGATCTGCCGCAAAACAAATGGGGGCGATGAGAACTACTACGATGTGGCGATTGACGAAGTAGATTACAAGCAGCAACTCATGGCCATTACCACTCCTCCCGTCCTTCGTGTTACGGACGCTGACTCCTCGGACACTCAAGGCAAGAATCAGTCTGCTCTACTAATGATGGGGTTCCCATCCAGGATTGTGGAGGAGAAAGCCACACTTTGTGCTTGTCATGGGAACCTGACACGGGGCGGATATCTTTGCAGTCGGTGCAAGGCTAAGGTCTGCAATTTACCTGCTACTTGTCCAACGTGCGATCTGACGTTGATCCTCTCAACGCATCTGGCGAGGTCGTATCACCATCTATTTCCACTACGGAACTGGAGTGAAGTCTCATGGAGTCGAGCACGAACGAAAGGCACCACACAATGTTATGGCTGTCTATCTTCTTTCCCAGCTGTACCTAAGCAGCATGAAGTGGCAAATGGTACTGAGCACGACCAAGGTGCTGCGAAGACGAAGAGAGCAGAAGGTGCATCGGAGAGTAGCAGGTACGAGTGTGAGGCGTGCGGAGATCACTTTTGCATTGACTGTGATGTCTTCTGCCACGAGGTTGTGCATAACTGCCCTGGCTGTCAGAGTACGGTACCGGCAGATATTAGCGAGAAGACGAACGGTGACTGAGCACTCGCTTCGTTGTACCAGAGTGCTACGACATAGTCTCACGACATGAGGCTAAACCCAACAATGCCGACATCTTTGGGTCGGAATTTTTGGAGGCCATCAACCGCACCCATCTCCTTCTCTCTGCCCGTTGCAAGAACTTCACCACAGGCATCACGATGGCGACCTCATCACCACGACTGCTTGGGCCGCCACCTGAGCTTCGCTGCATGATCTACGAGTACATACTCAGCGGCTATCAGCTCCGCCTGAAAACACACATGCCACCTGCAGATTGGCGAACTCTCACGCCAGCGAAGCTGTTCATGTCTCCAACAGCCTTGATCGCAACGAACAGCAAGCTTCGCCGTGAAGTCCAGGACATGCTACCCAAGTATCCGCCGCCTCCGCCACAAATGCTAGTGGGCAAGCCAATCAAGGTGACGGTACTGGACATGCACTTCGGCAACCTCATACTCTACGCTCAGTTCGCACGATCACTGCGCTACTTCAGGTGGGGACCAACTCCACTCCTTCGACTCAACATCACCCTTGTTTTCCGAAGGTTCGATGTGGATGGTTATCAACCAAGACTGGAAAGGTGGCTAGAGTGCTGCAAGAGTATGGGCATATGTGCAACCTACCATGCGGACACTGGGAACTCGCAGCCGCTGATGTTTCCTGCCGTGTGGTGGGGTGCGTCTCTTGAAACCAGCACCAGAGCCTACGAGGGAGCGAAAGTACGCAGAGCGCTTGGGCTTTTGCTCGAGACATTGTCACAGTGAGTAACACTACCTGATCTTACACGATGTAGTTGTCCTTGGCTACTTGACCATGGGCATCCCACGAAGCTTGAATGACGCTCGAACTGTCACGGCGTTCGTGAAAGTTTAGCTGCACCCTTTTGCCCTGTCACCGTGCAAAAGTGTCCGGCATGGTTGATTTTCACTTGGAATCGCATGATAATTGGGTTGTATGAGCAGATCGTAATGGTGCTAACGCATGTGTACATCGTGGTTCAGTGTTGGTCGTCTCGAGCAAATCGCTCGCAGTATAGGTAGAATCTTGTTATATACACCATTCACAATTTACTCTTCACCCACAAACCCGCCTTCTCCAGAGCCGGTGCCTCCACACCATCAAATATGTCCCTCTCCACCGTCCTGGCATTGACATGATGCGGCTTCAGATCTTCCACCTTCTCCACTCCGAGTAGTCTCATCGCAGTCTCCACCTCCGCCTTCAATATTTCCAACGTCCTCTCCACACCTTCTACACCACCAGCACCGAGCCCGAACAATGGCGCTCGGCCAAGACCAACGCCTTTGGCACCAAGACAGAGTGCTTTCACGATATCTGTACCTCGCTTTATACCACCGTCCACGAAGACCTCCAACCGTGACAGGACTTCAGGGCAGTACTTCCTGATCTCAAGTAACGTGTGGATACTAGGTGGCGCAGTATCCATAGCCCTACCGCCATGATTCGACAGAATAATACCCTTAACCTGTGGCGCGTAAAGAGAGGCAATATACGCATCCTCGTGTGTCTGCAGACCCTTCAGCACAATAGGCAGATGCGTATGCTTTGCGAGCCACGGCAAAGTAGTCTTCCACGTCAAATCCGGCGCAGTGCCGGCAAAAAGAGCCTTCCCAACGCCACCGTCCCCAGCATTTCCCGCCTCGATGTTCTCCTCCAGGCGATCCGTCTTCTCATGGCCGCTCTTCTGCTCCGGATGTGGCGAAGTCTTCGATGCGGAGCCTTGCTGCACCGAACTCCGTACAGCGAGATTCGACGAGACGTTGCTCGTCCGCTCGTCATGCTCTCGCTTGCCCGGAACAGGCGCATCCAGCGTGAGACAGATGAACTTGATTTGTGGTAGTTTGTGAATCCGAGCGAGCATATCCTCGCTCTTCTTCCTCTCATTCTGTACGTATAATTGCCACCCAAAGACTTGATCAGGCTTGCTCCCCTCCACCACCTGCTCGGGCGTTTGAGAGGCATTGTTTGATATGATCTGCAGTGCACCGTACGTCCCGCAGGCCTGCGCTATGCCATGTTCGCCTGCCGGATTGCCTAATCTTGCCATAGCAGCTGGTGAGACGAAGAATGGAACTGAGACTTTCTGGCCAAGAATCGTGGTGGCAGTGGAGCATTGTGTGCAGTCGACGAATATTCGTGGTCGCATCAGGATTTGTGAGTAGACTGTGTTGTTCTTCTTCTTCGATATAAGATCGTCGCCGGCAGAGTAGTAGTATCCCCATGCTTTCCTGCTAATCTTTCTTGTGGCCAACGCCTCAAGATCGTCTAAATTGAGACACTCGTCTAATGTCTCTGGACCTAGTTCCTCTGCTTGCTCTTGTGCGGGACTCTTGCCTGGTGTACCTGTTTGCTCTGGTGACAGCTCTTGTCTGGGTAGTGTGCTTGCATCGAATAGCCCCAATTTTGCTTCGGCGGATAGACTGTCTTCCAGCGTTCCGGGAGGATGTATCGGATCGTATTCTTCTGTTGCCTCTGTGCCGGCTAGCTGTAGTATGATCTTGCTTCCGCCCGGATGACTTGGGAGAAATTTGGTGACATCGTAGACGTTACCGTATAGGACCACCCAGCATGAGTCGGAGGAGCGATGCTGCTGTACTTCGTCGTATGTATATGTCTTTGCCATAGTGACCGTCCGGAGATATATGCGGTTCGAGGCTGATGGTTGATGCTAACTCCGATGATGACCCAATTGCGCGCTGTTAGAACTTGTGATATACGATACTGTGATTGAGAGCGAACGTGGAAGATCCTCACCATCCATGAGGTACATGGCTTTCCTCGGTAGATCTATCGCCGAAGCGAACGCTCCACTTTTGTCGGCATTTGGAATGTGGAAGACAGAAGCCGACGATGGGGTGAAGTTGAGAATTGCTGCTACGATATGTTCCAAAAATTGCTCTATGGGTATATATTGATGTACATTACTCTACGACGTCTATACCTCATCGTCTAATCCTCCATCGTCTCAAAGCCATGTATAGTACAATGGCCAGCAGACTGGCCCTCCCCGCTAATGCAAAGCCTACAGCTCGTCGCACGATATCGTAGTACCTACCTCGGTCAGCGATATCCGGGAGACACACAGCGGCAAGACTATCGACCCACCCTTCGAGCATGCTAGTGACAGCAGCCTTCCTGCCCTTTACATCTCCCACACCAGTACCCAGACCATGAAAGCCAGTCTCATCAGGTCTTTCCACCATGACAGCACTATTCGCCATGCTTTCGCTCGCACCGCCAAATGATGGACGGTGCATCACTGCGTGACCAGCTTGTAACTCCGCTCGTTTGCGATCCTTAAAGCGATAAGTCATGAGCCACACCCAGAACCTCACATCCAAGGGCGTGAAAGTCGGATAAGTCCACAGCGTAAGGGCATTGTGCGGTGGTACTAGATCCAGCCAGTCGGAGATGACGCCTAAAGTCAGACCCCAGAGAAGCAGAGGGCCTTCTTTGGGTGGTGCAGGGTTTTGATTGAAGATGTCGGAGCGATATATTTGACTTGACAGAGCCTTAGCACGGGACGACCATGTCGGAGGAGAATGTCGGTTGTCTTGTAGCTGTACGACAGCATCCGGCGCAGGCGTTTCCGCCGAATGCAAAGACTCTGTGGGCAAAAGGTTGATGGCAGCGAACATCATCTTGCCCAGTATTAGACTGAGCATCCACTTCTTCACACCAGTTTCCTGGTTCGCTAGTCGGCTTGACACATCTTCGAATGCTACTGTCCGTTGACTAGGGGCCAGTAAGCTCCGTAATGGAACCCAATGTGTTGCCGCGACCTCGGTCGGCTGGAGCTTGAGAGGCGGTACAGAATGTGTCGTGAGCAGGAAAACATACGGGCACAGCACCATCAGCGGCTTCTTGCCCCAATGAGTCGTCACAAGCCTTTGTGGCAGATTCCCGCACCCGATCCCATAACTATCCAGATCCAGGCCGACTTCCTCCCATGTCTCTCGTATTGCTGCCGCCTTGTCATCTTTATCTGTTGGATCGCGCTTGCCTCCTGGTAGTGCGACATGGCTTGTCCATCTATCTCCTTTCCGTGAAGCACGTTTTATGAACAGAATCTCAGGCTCGCCATGTTGCACCCATTGTTGTGCGAAGAACAGGTCCAGATTGTCCAACTTATTGGTATTCGTCGCCCAGTGAGAATAGGATGGCTTGATGCGTATGACGAAGGCGACTGAGGCTCGACGTGGTACACCCTCTGGAGACGTGAGATCGGGATATGGTGAAATGGTAAGATCTTTGAGAATAGTATGAGTCTGCGATAGCAACTCAGGCGCCAGACCTGCCGCCATATTGCACCGGACGCCTAGCCGAAAGCAACTGAACAGTACGTAAAAACAACATGCGTCGACAAGATGACAAGGGCATTCAGTTGTGAGATCAGAACGATCACGTGCGAGATCGCCGCGACGTGAATTGGCCATGACCTCATTAGGAAGGCACAACCGAGGTCAATCTTTCATCCCTTGCTGCACACTCAGTTGACAACACATTCTCTGCATTTGCAACTCGATATCACGAATCTACATCTTCTCATCAATTTGATCGCGAGGATCATAGCTACCGTGCGCATTCGTGCAGCACCTGGCCTGCAATCCGACAGCCTCCTGCGCTCTGTGATTGCGGCGTGCGATCACCCGGTACCATGGAACCATAACTCACCAGCCCGAGATGCCTTCTTCTTCAGGCCAGCGAACGACTTCTTGGACCGCACTACTAACGTTGGCTTGTCAGCTTCCACCTGTTTCCGTTGCACTTCGACGACTTCTGATCTACGACGCTCTTCTGCTGCTTGTTCGGCATCCTCCTCCTGCTTGCGCTGTCTCGCAATCCGCTCCATCTCTGCACACTTCCATCGGGTTACTGATTTGTTGGCTTGTACGATATCCTCCTCTGCGCGAATATCTTGCATCAATGTGCATCTAGCCTTGATTACGGCATTTGGCATTCCTCTCAAAGAAACCATGACTTCTGGGAATGTCCGCGGTGTGATACGTGAGGATCTGCTCTTATTCCAGTCCACCCACATACTGCCAGATAGCTGCATGTAAGCTTGCCCGTTCGGCCACCGCTGCTCGGCCAAGCCGGACGCCTCTTCGATCTTGAAATGCGTGCACAGGAGCTTGCTAACCTCCTGGACCAAATGCTCATAAGTAAAAGAGAAGCCAAGTATCTGGACAGTGAAGATCTGCGAGTTAGCAAATGTTTCGGTAGCTATGTGGGCGTCGTGATCGGCAATTTCTTACCCACGATGCAGACTCATGGTAACGCATTACATCACCGCAGCAGTCAGGGGCATCGCTCTTGTATGCGCAATAATACAGCTCAATTGTAACTCGGTCTTTGGGAACGGGGCCTCCTCGGAGTGGCAGTTCAGACGAAGCGGCCTCTCGCGCAGCAGTCGCACCACCCAAGCCTGCACCAGGCATTGCGACTACGCCCTTCAGTTCGACAGAGTCAATTCTAGGAGCCAAACTGATCTTCCGCAAGTCAATGGGACACCTTATGTAGTGTGGTCGCTGCTCGCTGATGATTGATCTTGGAGTGTCGCAAAGAAATTCCGCGAGATACGCACAGCCGATCGAAATACTATCAGCTCAAGAGTTTGAGATTTGCCACCTGCTCAGAATAAATACAGCAAGCTGTAATCTCGAAGCTACTCAGCAAACCTGGAAACACCCAATCAATTCACTGGCATTGACAAAGGAATTTCACGAGCTGATGCCTGAGTAGGGATTTACAAATCCATCGATATCTCGCGTTGAGTGACGAGTCCTTGAAAAGTCTTCACCAGCATCTATCAAGGAGGCCGTCTGCCCAGGAGCACAAGCTTCGTTATGCAAGAATCCTATTCTTCCACGATGTCACTACGGTATAGATGGCATGCGACGCGCGGTTTCCTAAAGCCTGCAAGCCGTCACCCAGAATAAAGGCAGGCCCAAATCACGACCGTGAATTTGCACGTACACAGACAGCAAGTGATTCCGGCACGGCAGACACAAACTGCTCTTACTATTGATAATCGCGTCCACTGCGAAACAGTAATAAGTATGCTCTTCTCCATTATTTGTGTTTCTGCATCTTTGAAAACCACACGATCGCAAGCTCAGTCAACAGACTGTAACGCAGCCTATCAATCACATTTAGACATCGTATTGATCTCTAGATCTCATTCATCGGCCAGCACCGAGATCTCAGCACCTCATCAACCATCAATATGGGGATCACAACGACTACAAAAGCGAAGGCTGTCAAAGCACAGCTCCCTTCCCGGCACCGGATCACGAAGATCGCTACGGCGTACCCCCAGAAGACGCGAGATCGCATGGCACAAGAACTCAAGAAGCGCCTAATACCGTGGGTAGGTAATACTGTGCCACTAGATCTCATCTTCAGGTGCAATCTCAACAGCACAACTGGCAAAGCAGCCAAGAACTTCAGGGCGTGTGTGCAGCAGCCAAGGACTCGTCTATTCAACAAAGTCTATCTCATGGATATCGAACATCCTTCCTTTCAGAAGATCGAAAAGTACCGGCTATCGCAACTTCACGTCTACGAAAGCAAGCTCGAGGAGGGCGAGGGAGAATGCTATGAGAGTAAGACGTATGTGGCTTGGGAGGACGGGTCCAGGACGGAGCTTAGCCAGGAGACGTGGATGGAGTGTGAGAATCGTTTCAAGGCTCTGGCTACTCTCAAGGGCGCGGTGACGACTAGGATCGAGGTGGAGTGCGAATTTGCTTGAGAAGTGTGAGCAAGCTGGAAGTCGGCGGGCACGCACATTTCGTAGGCGATCATTTGAAGTATGAAGGCCCTATGGCGAGGGCGTGAGCTGAACCCGCACAGGTTACAAGACGTTGGGGAGCGCCAGTCACTACAGTGGACTACTTGATAGTGGATTCGGTTCAAGACATTGGATCAGGAGAGGCGTCCACTTGGGACGCAATAACATCCGTGATTTCATGGCATGTATAGACACTGTTCACTACTCATAAGCGATACCACTCTCTGTTCACGAAAGTCCTCACCTTGCAAACCATTTGGACTTGCCTACATAGTGCTCTATATGGGCTTTGCAGCAGCCACATCAAACACAAGGACAATTTCCTGTCTCTCGAATCAACGCCTTTCTAACAATGACACGACCAGGAGAGCCACTGCCAGACGACAAGCCCACAAGCGTGCCACTCAACCTGATCCTCAACATCATTTACCCTAAGCCAGATAAAATCGCAAGCGGCATAGAACAATTGCATCCCGTCGACCAAGAGACGCGAACTATCAACGACGTTTTCCTCATGGACTTCGCCCAGCCATCATACGAGCTTCTCACAATTTACATCGAGATGCGGCTCGCAGTGCAAAAGAACAAGCTTACCATTGCTGCTCCATGTCGCCTGGATTCGAAGACATACGTCCATTGGAAAGATGGCGAGAAGGAACCTGTGAGCAATGAGACGTGGGAGAGCATAAGCCAGCATTTCAGAGCTATGCTGGAGAGTAAGGAGGATGTGACCACGAAGATAGGAGTCGAGGCTGTATTTGCTGATGCAGGAGGCGATGAAGCATAAGGCTCGCTGAGTCAGGATATACAGGATCCTTGTGGTTGGTCCGAAGAAATCAGCTCTTCCATCGATGTGATTTTGTATGCCAAGATATCGAGATCTCTCTGCGAGGTGGTAACACTTGCTCGGGATATGTGTATGGCCGACATACTTTAATGGGATCGTCGAGACAGCACAATCATCAGCAGTATATTCTGCATGGCTGATGCAAGCACATGGAAGCGGGACACTTGTTTCCTTCCAAAAACCTTCGAATTTGAGATGTCCGGATTTCTGTGTGAGCCGCGATCAAATGCGTGCGGTATAGGACCTCGTCTGTCCATCAGACATCCAAGGCCGTTCGAAAAGGTCGGAGCATGAATGTCATCTTAGTGGTAGCAAGCAGAGACATCTAGTTGGCCGTCAAATGTCCTCATCCAAGCAGTCTGCCTGTTGTCCTCACGCCCATCTGCTGTACAAAAGATGGCGCATCCCTCGTCTCAAGTCATATCGTCCCATACGCATCAAGAAGAACAAGCGCCAGAATCTGTGAAACCAAGATTATATCCGATCAACGAAAGGCAAGCTCGAAATGGCAGACTTCGGACTCATTCTCAATCCACCACCAACACCCCGTCTCATGCCTCACCACACAGATCCAAACCATGAGCTACCTCAGTACATGCCACCACTAGATCTTGATCAGACGAATGAGCGGGTTATGCTTCCTTCCGATCGTCCCAGGGCACCGCTAGGTAACCCCGAGCCTTTCTGGATGTGGATGAGGTCCGAGTTGGATAGGCATGAACGGGAAGCAAAGGAGGAGGCTGCTGCCGCTGAAGTTGGCCGTGACGAGACAGAAGTGGCCCAAGACGACGAGCTCGCTGACGATGATGAGGACGAGGTCGAGGTCGATGGTGAAGACAGCGTCGACCACGAGATGGAGGAGGCTGGTGGGGAAGTCGCTACCTGGGCGGGCGACTTCACTCCGGCCAATTCTGCGTGGAGGACGCACGAGAATATTCCTGATGTGGAGCTGGATGATAGCGAGACGGATGGCGAAGTAGATGATGTCGACATGGACGAGGAGATGAATCCGTGATAGATCGTGGACAGTTGTGGGATACTGAGAGTCATGGTGTCTTGTTAGACAGATTAGATGCTCGAGCTTAGCGATGGCGTAGAAGCAGGGGTTGAGTGTGACTGTGTTTACTTCAGCATGCGAATGATGTATACTACAACTCACAGACCAAGCCTCAAATGCACATTCACTCCCCGTCTTTTGGTACAGGCGCATCCATAGCGTTCAAGACGATGCATGTGTACGCATACAGCCCCACGTAATGCACCAATGCAACCGTACCCTCTCTACCCAATGCCTTCACCGACCTCTCCCACAGTACTTGAGGCAAAGCACCCGGCTTGCTGGCGAGATACTTGGCCACATCGTAAGCAGCCGCACAGTCCTCGTCCAGATCCTTCAGCTTCTCGCCTTTGCAAATCGAGCTTATAGCTTCCTGGCTGAGTTTAGTGGCCTGCCCAGCTATGGCACTGTGCGCATACATCTCATAACCAGCTTGGAAGTGAGCTCCCACCGCCAATATAGTAGTTTCGCGTGCTTCGACGGACAGCCCTGGTAATTTGCCGAGTGATTGCACGAGCGAGAGAAAGTCGACTCCAGGACCTAGGGCTTCGAGCAAGAATGGGTAAGGGCCAACCATTCCGCCGTCTTTGTTTTTGAAGGAGAATTTGTTGCCGAACATCTTTTCTGAAGATGAAGAGAGCTCATCGTATGCTTCTTGTTGGGGTGCGGATAGTTGCTCACGTGGGGTTGGCGGGAAGCGAGACATAACGCTTCTGAAATCGAACGATAGCTATAGTGTTCGTGCGGTAATGGAATAGAGATCCCAGTAGTGATACCTAGCTGTAAGTATGCTCGAGCTGAAGCTTCCGAAGGAGCGGCACGTCATCTATTCGGTCATGCCAACGGACCCGATCCCCGCCTGATTATCAGCGCTGAAGTCACCATCGAGGCTGTGAAAGTCCTGGGTTACTGAGAGACCGGGAGTTGCTAGAAGTTGCCGGACATGGGAGGCACGTAACGTTAGAAACCGGAAGTCACGTCGGTGAAGGAGAAAGGTCTCGGAGATAAGCTTTCTGCATTGGGAGCACGGGCCCGCATGACCCCAGCTTCAGCCAAAAATGATGGAGCTTTGGGAGATGCGACTGGAAAAAGGATCGCGTGCTCATATCAGCGAGATTATATTGACTATACCATCTGCTCGCCTCCTATCGCGTCACAGTGTTTGCATTGATACCTCTCCACACACACGATAAGATGTCGCCATCATTACCCGCGCCCAAGGCGCTCGCCAATGCAGCTGGAGGAAAGGTAGAGCGCGAGTCGACATCTGCCCGAATACTCGGCGCAGGTAAGGAGCAGAGACAGCACTATGGCGAGAGGACATACATTGACGTATCTTCCCTCCTACAGGCACAGCCGGTCTCGCCGAACTCCTCGTCTTCCACCCCGTCGACACAATAGCCAAACGTCTGATGTCCAACCAGACCCGAGTAACATCTTCGTCCCAACTCAACTCCGTCATCTTCAAGTCACACGCTTCCGACCCGATTACAGGCCGATTCTTCTCCCTCTTCCCTGGTCTAGGCTATGCCGCTGCATACAAGATCCTGCAACGAATATACAAATTCGGCGGACAGCCATTCGTACGAGACTACCTACAGACGAACCACCGCGGAGAATTCGACAGAACATTCGGCGCGAGCAATGGCAAGGCGATCTTACATGCGACGGCAGGAAGTCTAATCGGTATCGGCGAGATCGTACTCTTACCCCTAGACGTCCTCAAAATCAAACGCCAAACAAACCCGGAAGCCTTCCGAGGCCGAGGCGTGATGAAGATTGTAGCAGACGAAGGCTTTGGTCTCTACCGCGGCTGGGGTTGGACCGCCGCCCGCAACGCCCCCGGCTCCTTCGCCCTCTTCGGCGGCAGCGCAGCAGCCAAACAATACCTCTTCGAGCTCTCCGACTACAACTCTGCGACCTGGTTCCAGAATTTCATCGCTTCGATCGCTGGGTCCAGTGCTAGTTTGATCGTGTCTGCGCCGCTGGATGTAGTGAAGACGAGGATCCAGAATCGAAATTTCGAGATCAAGGAGAGTGGTGCTAAGGTTATTAGTAATATGATTAGACATGAAGGGTTTTCGGCCTTCTTCAAGGGCCTGGTGCCGAAGCTGTTGATGACGGGGCCGAAGTTGACGTTCTCGTTTTGGTTGGCGCAGACGCTTATTCCGGCGTTCAATAAGGTGATGTGAGAGGAACGATGATGATCGTGAGGTTGTGAGGCGTGCTCTTAGTCCGGCGAAGCAAGCGAGCGGTGTTCGGCGTTCAAAGTTGAGAGAGATGAGTGGTAGATCAGTGCAGCGAGCACATTTTCATTTCATGCATATTGTATAGATAGAGCAATGAGAGAGCTTCTACACTCCAGTCGACCTCTCTACGACAGGTTTAGCTCGAGAGGATCGATGCTTTGTCCATTGATGTGGAAGAGCAGCCTCCGACATCTCAGAAGCTCGACGGACGCGATACAGCCCAGCGCAATTCCTGATTCGAGTCGCAGACAGACATACCTGCAAAGTTCAAGGTCTCAATTGTCCATGGCTTTGTCCTCCGCCCAGGAGATCTTGGCCAGCGTGTGGTCTACTAAGGGGCAATCACAGTCGAATTTGCGACCTGAGAAGACAAAGCATCACGGCGCCTTCCGTCTTCCGTTGTTCTGTCACAGAGCTGTTCGGATGGTAAGTGCTCGCATGAAGCAAGGGAAGTCACTCACGACTTTGCAGAAATCCACGTGCTTCCCGTCTCGCGAGAGCGTATATCTGAGGCGAATCAACTGTCAAGTAGCCCGAGAGACCGCAAAGCTGTCACGCAATATCGGTACCACCGTCGCACAACTCACTATTCATTCGCGAGCTATGCTCCTTACCAAACTAAAACCATAATCGCTACAGACAGACTCTACCTCGCCCGTGATGTGCCGCCGCATCATAATACGCTTCATAGGCTGTTCCTGCTGCCGCCCGATAGGACCCATCGACTACTGCCCAAAGGCGACAACCTACGACACCTCCATGGCTAGACAAGCCAAGTGGAACGTCTGCTCCAACTGCAAAGACAAGGAGATAAGACGCGAAGAAAGGGATAGCAGTATCTGCAACCAATGCCTACAGGATCTGCAGAAAGCGGTGTATCAGATCGGAACGTCGAATGGGCATTGGAAGGTTCATCGCGGACAGCTGCAGCCGGGATAGGCACCACGGGGTGAAAGTCCGGTGGATGGGGCTGTGAGGGATAGGTCCGGGACTGGAATCCTTCGCAGTGGTGTCAAGTGGTGCTATGATTATGCTCAGGGGTTCGAGGGCATGAACCTGGATGCTATGCCTGGACAGAGCGAGGAGAGTATATTGGAGGCTGTACAAAAGGCTGCGAGTCTTGTTGAGAAGGATTTTGAGGATATAGTGAGATCAGAATCACCTTGCTCCAGTTCTGTCGCTCCCGCTGGTATGGTCATGGGCTGACGGAGCATGCGAGCGGACTCTGCAGCCGTTGCGAAGAGACCGAGTCCAGACAGCCACCGAGGGAGAGATGGTGAGGGAGCTAAATGGTATATGTATCGTTAGATTTGTGTGATGCTGCTGTAGCATGCTTGTATACTCGTGAAACAATAATTATTCCACTCCTGCGCTTGTCGCCTCACTCCTTTGAGAAGGAGAAGCAACTCATCATGCCTCAGGCAACAATCCACGCGAGTCAGTCGAGCTTTCCACGAGTTGCACTTCGACTTCGAGTTCGCGCAACACAATTTACATACAGCGCTTTGAAACGTGTGACCACCGCCACTGCAGGCCAATTCCACTGGAGTCTCTGATATCAGGTAGGTGATCATGCCGGGCATCATTGCCGAGCCCGTGGCAAGACCAACCAAGAACCAGGCTCGTCGGTCGAAGAAGAAGGCACAAAAGGCGCAGCAGCGCAACGTGAGTATTCCCTCTCCCTAAATCATGCTACTCGATACTCAATGTGATCTCGCAGGCTTCTGAGACTCCTGCGCCTACAGAAACTCCACCCGCGACGAATGGCACCACAACACAAATATCAGGAAAGGCAGATGCGAATCACCCAATACAACCTGTTCAGCCCGCCGACGATGATCCAATACAAGATGTCCCCGATGTCGCCGACTTCGAGCTCGAGGCCGACAATCCACTCTTCTCACAATTCTCCAACATCTTCGCCAAATTCCAGGATGCGGAAGACGAGGATGCCGCGGTGAAAGAGGCTGAGAAGCCGGCAGTATTCTACGATGACGACGACAACATCCAAGATGAAGACGAAGAAGCCGAAACCGCTCGCAAACTCTCCAAGAAAGCACTAAAGAAGGCGAACAAGCTCTCGATAGCAGAACTCAAAGCCATCGTTCGCAAACCAGAGATAGTAGACTGGACAGACGTCTCGGCCCACGATCCAAAACTACTCGTCAACATCAAGAGCACGCGAAATGTTGTGCCGGTGCCCACCCACTGGAGTCTGAAGAGGGAGTACCTGAGCAGCAAACGCGGGATAGAAAAACCCGGCTTCAGCCTCCCCAAATTCATTGCCGAAACGGGTATCAGTGATATGCGTGATGCGGTACTGGAAAAGCAGGCAGAAGCCACGCTCAAACAACGACAACGGGAGCGTGTGGCCCCAAAGATGGGGAGGCTGGATATCGATTACCAGAAGTTATACGAGGCGTTCTTCCGACGGCAGACGAAGCCGCAATTGACAAGGTATGGGGAGATATACTACGAGGGAAAAGAGTATGAGACGAATCTGAGGCATTTGAGGCCGGGGGAGATGAGCGAGGATTTGCAGGAAGCGTTGAATATGCCGCCCGGAGCTCCGCCGCCGTGGTTGATCAATATGCAGAAGGTTGGGCCTCCACCTTCGTATCCTGCGACGAAGATTCCGGGACTCAATGCGCCGCCGCCTCCGGGTGCGTCGTGGGGATTTCATCCGGGAGGGTATGGGAAACCGCCGGTGGATGAGAAGGGGACGCCGTTGTGGGGTGGGGATGTTTTTGGGATGGCGGAGGCGGATCCAAGTAAGGAGAAGCAGAGTGTGGAGGTCGTGGATAAGAGTTTGTGGGGTGAGTTGCAGGCGATTGAGGATGAAGAAGAGGAGGAGGAAGAGGAGGAGGATGAGGATGAAGAGGAGGATGAGGAAGATGCGGCGAAGGATGTTAGTGGTGGGTTGCAGACACCTTTCGGTGGGACGGAGACGCCGAGTGGCATGCAGAGTACCGTCCCTACGGATATTGGTGGCACGCACTCGATGAACGAGGAGTTTAACCTGAGAAGACAGAAGCGAGGGACGGAGACGGAGGAGTCGCAGCATCCTCGCACCGCAGGCACGGTGCTGCAAGAACGTTCTATCCGAGCCGAAGGGTTCTTTGGTGGCGAAAAGGCATACAATCTCAATCAATCCCACCAGGACCGACCTGTGTTGGGTCAAGAACAGAGAGGTGCGAAGCGGAAGGCGGGGGATCTGGATGTGAGTGTGGATGTGGATGCGTTGGAGAGGGAGGACCGGTTGAGTAAGGATGAGGTGAAGCGGCAGTATGAGGCTACTAGGATGCAAGGGGGTGCCGGGGGTTGGCAGGGTGGGGTGGTGGATCAGGAGGATTTGACGCAGATGATTGCTGAGGAGGCGAATAAGAGGCAGAGGAAGGATAGGGAGAGGAGGGAGAGGCGGTGATGAGGCGGAGGGGCGAAAGTGGAGTGCTGGAAGTGTGTTGATAGTGATGGCGGGAGGGTTCAAGTGTGTATTATATGAGTAAAGATTACGGAGGGTGGGTGCTGGATTGGGGTGATTAGTAGTCATCAGTAGGGGGAGGAGGGCAGGCAGGCAGGCTGGTATAGTGCTCGCAGAGGCGATCGCATCATATCCATGAATGCTTAATGTCAAGATCTTGTCCTTGATCTTCGTTCCAGCTAACGACCACTCGAGACGTGAGGTGCGAAGAAGGTGATCGGGGGCGGATGCAGGGCATACGTGAGGAGGAGGACGGAAGAGTGGTGATGGTCCTGCTGTGTGTTGTTGGTGGTGAAGGTGGGCGATAGATATCCTTGGCACGTGATCGGCTGACGAACCTCAGCTTCTGAACGAAGCTTCGACCACCGCGAATTCATGCTCGTAATTCTTCGTTGCTTCACGGACAAACACGACACCACTTCCACGCTCATTTGGAAGTAGACATGGTCTTGCTGGAGGGTACTGCTTCCTCGACAAGAAGCCACACGGCTGTTGCGGAAGAGTAAACAGCGACACACATCATCTTCCCGCGAAGCAGAAGAAACCTGCACTGTGAAGCAAAGCAGTCACGACACGATGGATCGTGATAGGCGGTAAGTGAGGACATTTCATTCTTCGAGGCAGGCCTTCTAGCGATTTCACTGCGCTAGTATCAATCCCGATGCAATCACTCGATTATAGGGACATGGAGGAGGGCGAGATAGCGGCAGCAGGCAGCTCATCACCAAAGAGCAACGATTCACCAAAGCGCAAGTCACTGACACACAGGTCGAAACACAGACCACGCCGAGACGAAGCCTTTCCCGATCAATACCGCGGTGGAGGCGGACAGTCTTACCGCCCCGGCGGCGCACGCGAACGCTCTCCTGAACCACGCGGTCGAACACCGCTCTCAGGCCCACCATCTACTCGTCCTACTGCCGATACCTACCGTGTCCGATCTCCCGCCCGCCGATCTGAGTACAGTGACGCATACCGTGGCCCGACACGGCCTCGAAGCCGATCACCTGCCGGACGCGATGAGTATCCCCGCCGGCGCACACCAGAACCGCAATCACGATACCGGGACGAAAGAGATGTGAGGGATGTTAGGGACGTTAGAGATGCGAGAGATAGCAGAGGGGATGCGTACAGGGGGCGGCCGAGATCACCACCACCGTCTGCGAGAAGAGAAGAGCTGCCAAGAGATGATCTATTCAGACGCGATCCTCCACCACGTGACTATGCAAGAGATGACAGAGGTGGATATGCAGCGCCGAGGGCAGAGGCACCGAGATACAGGGAGCGTAGTCCGCTTCCTCTGAAACGCGGCCGTGACACTTCGCCGATGGGTAGTCGTGGCAGGAGGACACCACCACCCCCCGCCAAGCGTGAGAGATTGAACAGTCCTCCTCGAGGTCGCTACGATGACTACCCGCCCTCGAGAGCTGCCTCGCCGCCTCGACGCAGATTCTCGCCTGATCCGCGGGATAGACGTCCGGCTCCACCGCCACGTGATATGAGTAGAGGCTACAGGCGAAGCTCGCGATCTCCGATAGCCAGGCAGGAGAGAGTCGACCCGAGGACGATTGAGGATTGGCGTAAGCCGAGGTCGCCGTCACCGATAAGGTACAATGGTGGACGCGAATATGAGATGCAAGATCAAGGGAGGTCGGTGGCTACATCGAGGCAGTCTTCGCCTCCTCCCCACCCAAGCAGCAGACAGTCAGGCACGGATGACAGGTCAGGCCGAGCTGTACCATCACGCGAGCCCTACGAACGTGAGCCTTATAGGCAACGATCGCTCGAACGAGCAGCACCACGTGCACAGAACGAATACAACGACGACCGCTATGCTCCAGATGACAGTCGTGTACCACCTCCACGCGAGCCAAAACGTGCTGATGATATAACGCTCCCTGTTCGTGCTCCACCCACCGGCCCATCTGGCTACCGCGCCCCATCAGGATCTGCCGCGCCGCCTAGTGGGCCTGCAGCAGCTGCCGTTCCCATCTCAGCACACCAACGCGCACCCATCGCACCGCCGTCCGGCCCTAGAGCAGCCGCCACAGCGCCATGTGCACCACGCGGCGACTTCGTTCCACGAGGCCGTGGTGGTTTCCGCGGAGGGTTCGGGGGTGCTCCCTTCCGAGGTGGACGTGGTGGAGCAGCTGGGCCAGGATTTGGAAGAAGCGAAAGCTTCCAACAGCAGCAACAGCAACAGCCTCAGCAGCCACCACCACAGCAACGCGAGGGTTTCGATAGTACTGCCGCCCCGCCAACAGGACCTAGAGGCTCCTTTGGACAGAGTCAAGCACCACCTGTGCAGGCTTCAGGACCGCCTTCAGGGCCGGGAGGTTTCAGGCAGAGCAATAACAACTCCACAACCACTTACCCTCGCACCCAACGCTTCGCACCCAACGGCGCACCCATTCCCGACGGGCCCCCCCAACAACAAAGCCGTGACTCCGCCACCACCAGCACCACCGCTGTCCCACCCTCCGGCCCCCGCCTCTCCCGCCGCCCAACCGAACCCGCTCTCACCACCCAGCAACCTAAACCCCCAGGCATCCACCCCTCCCTCTCCGACCTCCCGGCCATCATCCCCGGCGGCCAGAAAGCAGACCCTTTAGTTGATCTTACGCGTCTGCAGAAATTACAGGACGAGGCGGAGAAATTGAGGAGGGACATTGAGGTTAAGGAGGAGCGGAAGAGGCGGAATTTGAGGGATTGGGAACGCATGGGTAGGGAGGTGGAGGTGGCGGGGTTGAGGAGTGAGTTGGCGGAACGGGCGGTTAGGGAGTTGGATGGGGAAGGGGAGGGGGAGGTGGCTTTTTAAGGGTGCAGATGAGTTGGTGTGGGTGTTTATTGAGCCCGGGCTAAGCTGAGAGGGGGGGCGGATTTGGTGGGGAGCGGTGAGAGGTGGTTGATACCCTCTGCCTACCTATCTACTTCCCTGCCGCATGGCACGGCTCTCAGGCTACTTGGGTTTCTTCTGTAGACGCTGTATGCATGTATGCATGTATATACGTACAGCAGCCACGATACTCTCTACCCAAGTTCCACAATCATCGCCACGGGAACTGTCTCTCGGATGAATTGTCCGCCCGTGAGCCGGATAATTCGAGTTTCCAGCTCCTCCTCATGCCAGGGTTCGTTGTTGTTGCCTAGAAATATCTGACAAATGACTTTTTCGTGAGATCATTCCTGTCGAGCGGACGGACGAGATTTCCTTTGTTGGATAGCAGAATTATAGTTCCTTATTCGTTCTAGTTGTTAGTAGATGACTAAGGGTGTGTTTCCTTCTATATTATCACATCTTATCTAAAGGCGAGATAATATATAACAATAAAATAAGATAAGTATTTTCTTCTATTATCTTATTTAAATAGTAAGTAGTACTCTATTTATCTTTATAAACTTAACTTACTTAACTATCTATATATAGTTAGATACCCTCGCTATATAGCTAGAAAGTAAAAATAAAGCTCTCTTTATTAAATATAGCTCTAGAGCTATATCTAGCTATATCTTATTAATTATTTCTTATTATATAATTTTCTATAGATCTTACTACATTTAATATTAGAGAATATTTACTACTATTTCTTACTAGTATTATAGTATTAGACGTAATACTATAGATATATAGTAGTAAGAATACTTTATCTAGTATATCTAGTATTTATCTTTGTTAGTAAAGAGCTAGTGCGTAATTAAGGAGTTTGGCTTATAGTATGTTTTGTATTAGACTTAATTATCTCTCCTTGGTCTTCTGCATAAGGTTCCAGCGTTGAGCGATGCACGTGACCAGGGAGCCATTATTGCATCTTTTGGTCAAACGTAACCACTGCCACTCTCATCATTCGCTGTTTTGAGCACCAGGGAGGCCACGAGCCATCAGGCCATGACCAACTTACCCGTTGCCACTACTTGGAGTGATCTTGATTGTGTCAGCACCTCCGACCAAGATCCATCTGCAACCCATTCACGGCATGGAACACCTCAGGAGGATATTACAATGCCTAAGCGTCGCAAGCATCTTATCAAATGAACACAACCGCGTCGACCGAGCCGTCGCGGCATCACCGAGCCTTCGTGGTCTGCCGAACGAACTCCTAGACTACATCGCTGGATATCTCTCTGCTAGTGATATAGCCTTATTATCTGTTTGCAACCGACGACTCTTTGCTACCTTCAACTCAGCTTCTCAAACATTGCTTCTCGCAAACCCGCAGGAAAGATGTCGCTTTCTCCAACGCCTCGCCGAGGATCTAACATCGCTTTACTACTGCTACACGTGCCATAAATTACATCCCGCCGTGCTGGTCAAACCACCGCGTCTCTACCGGGCGTTCAAGGCACGGCCGTGTGTCGCACGACACACGCCACTCCGGGTCTTCGGAACACATTTCGGGTGTTCTCATTATCACCTCACCTTCGATCATGTCCAGGTCGCAATGATGCAGCATCGACGTAGGCAAGCTCCAAGCTTGACTGTTGAGTCGCTCGCTTTCAGCGACGTGAGGTCTTCGCTGAACTATCCCGTCACCACTCTATTCTCCATCGAGCCGCAAGTCTTCGCCGACGCCTTGCTCTTACGCATCCAGCAGTGGACGGTGTTTGAGACTGGTGCTAGTGATCATGAGTACAGTGCTCGCAACATGGATATCTGCCACCATGTCAGTCGCTTTAGCCCGAACGATGCCATGTCGAGCTTGTATCGATGTAGGCTAGTTCACATTACCCAGGATCCAGATTGTGGCTTGTGTCATGAGCTTCTACAGTGCAATGCTTGCGGCATCATATTTCGAGTCGACAGAGACAAGGTGCATGGGATGGCAGCGCTGGTGGTCACGAAATGGCTCAATTTGGGAAGGTGTCGGACACCCAAGGATCCTCTTTGGCGGCGATATCTTGATCACTTTGATTTCCCGGACCCAAATCTGACCAAGGCGAACCGGCAACATGGTATCCACTGTGACTTTACAAGCAATGAAGTGATGTCACAAGAGTGTCTCACTCTTCGAAATCGGAGTAGGATTGAGCAACATTTGCTGCGCTCCCACCTCCAGAGATCTGGCAGACTCACATATTCATCTTGGCATTCAGCGTAAGACGCAGTGACGATGGAGTCTACTGCGAGCGCTCCTACCTTGCATAGTTGTTAACAGAACGATTGTCATCAAGAGTGTCTATTGCTTGAGCCTTCAGTATATCACATTTCATCTGATCAATGGCATCCGCCTCCCTCGCCTTTGGTACTCACATCCTCGAGCTGCGCAAGGCGTATGCCGGTCAAGAAGCGACTCCAATCATTTCCCGACACGTGGCCATGACTAGAACACAGCATATGTCATGCTACTCCGACTCGTGTGGTGGCGTACAAGAGCGAAGGCACCAGTATCTGGACAGCTGCAGCCACGGTACCTACATATTGCCGCATAGCCATCGTACGAAAGGCATGCTCTCGTTGTAGGATTGGAGGAAAGACGCTTTGAGACAGCCGCGAAGTTCGACTCAAGCAGAGCATCAATGGGAGCTGCAAGGGTAGATCATGTCCTGGAAGTTCACTCGTGCTTTGACTCTCTCTCATGCTCGCAAGTGCCTTCCGTGAGCTCACGATGATTGCTGTTCAATGTTCACGAATCGCGAGTGCGCGGAGCAGTCGCATTGCCAAAACATCTCGTTTCGAAGCATAGCGTGGCTGTCCTGGCAGAGCGTCGAGGTCGCATAGCATGTAAGAATGCCATCACCACTCGTGAGAAGCGAGATATCAGTCTCCAACGAGTGAGGTCAGGACATGGCGTGGGCAGATAGTAGCAAGGCTGAATTGCGACGTACGAAAAGTGTTTCAATGGTACAGACATAGGCCGCTATCTACGGATGAGCATGTCTTAGCTTCACTGCCGAAGCAGCTACTAGTCGCCAGCACTGCGTAGAAGCGCATGCTCTTCGCTGGCGGAGCCACCAAGCACCCCAGCCCCCTCAACCCTCACGGAAAAGAGGAGTCCGTTGCAGGTGACCTACAAACGGACTTGTCTGACCCGACTGATTGTGTCCGAGAGGGACTCGGCGGACCACGAACTCGGCGGAACCTTGCTCGCGTTGTAATCGTGTCAATCTCTTTGTTTCCTCGAGCTGTGCCTTGGCAGTATCATTCATCTGGACGAGGGCGAGGACTTGCCTCTCGAGAATGTTCTCAAGAAGGGTATCAGTCCTCTCGATCCGCTGTACGATGTTTTCAGTGCTCGAAGGCATTGTGTGATCTCGAGGGCATGTCAGTGCGCCTGCCATTCAATAGCTCAGGCGGTCACCGCCGAACCTGAACATGCATGGGAGGGGTTTGCGAAGACGGGGCAAGTGGGGTGGGGCAAGGATGCTTGGTACGGAGACATGGCGTAATAACGGATACTTTGGCGTACTTCGACGCTGCAGCTGCCTTGCGAGGCCCAGCCAATGCCTCGACTCTTGCTGCAAGTGGTCGAGCTTTGTAGCGCAAATGGGAGAATCCATGGCGAATGATCAGCATAGCATTGGCGGAAAGGTATATTTACCTGGCCATAGTTATTGTCTGATCGTCTTCTGTCTCGTCCATGCGCAAGTGCGGGAATATATCACTGGTGCTCTTTCCGCAAGATGACTCTGTACTAGTGCTGGCAACAACAGCATGGGTGTGCGAGGACTCTATTCGCGAGCTAGACTCGAAATCTGCTGGTGGCGTTGACGATGGAAAACACATGGAAGACCTAGATGATTTTCTAGTGGAGTTGCTCCAACAGCGGAAAGCACGAGTGCAGTGTCGAGAGCTATAGGCGGATGTGGTTCACGATCACATGACTCGCCTCAACATCGCAGCGGCCCGCACCTAGCTACTTCCGGCCCTTTTTAGCTACGCTCTACTCTCTAACGTCGTAACCCTAACGCTATAGAACTCGACGCTACTTAGCGACGACCGTAGGGAGGTAAGGTAGAATAGAGCTAAAAGTAAAGATAACGCCTAAAGAAATAGACTTTATCTTATCTAGCTATAGTTATAAGTTTATTAACGTATGATAGTACTATCTAAACCACTATCCGAGACCTTAGATAAAATAAGATAAAGTTGAAGGAATTGAGACTCTACTTGAGACTAATCTGCCCGTGCGTTGTTCTTCCACTGCGTGTCGAATTGTGGTCAGCATTGTTTCGCACGAACAGGGGTTCTGTTCGGGAGCCGGATAGTTGGACTTTCCAACTTGCATGCAGGATTCGTTACTGCCAAGCATATCTGACCAATGACTTTTTCATGAGATCATTCCTCGAGTGGACGGACGAGATCTCCTCTGTCGGAAAGTACCCAGGACCATGATTTATATTTCGGTCCTTCGTGGTTGACTAATTATCTCTCCGGTCAACCCCATCATGTGGCCATACCACGAGCTGCTTCAGGCGAGCTGTTAGATCTGTGGTCGAGGTTCGAGGTGCGACTCGGCTTATGGATGGGGGGCCCTACTCATGTCCGCGCCTTGGCAGTAAAGGCACTATGACCATGGATCAGAATGATCCTACTGCTCGGCTTAGAAATCGCAGGCATGGAGGAATGAGGCTAAGACAGGCCACCTTAGGGTTTGGAAGTAAGTGTACTTATAAATTTACATCCCCGGTGTAGTGTAAGACTATATCAAACCAGGCTGGCCTTCTCAGGTATCGGGTTATAGGAGAAACATCGATCAAAGTCATCATGGCTCCCGTCTACAGTGACCAAGATAGCAAGAACTTGCTCCTTCAAGTCCCCAGGCCGGTCAAGACCTACCACACTGAGGCCTACGACCGTATCTCCCCCAAACACTTCGATGGGAAAGGCAAAACGGTCCTCGTCACGGCCGGCGCAACGGGCATCGGCTACGCCATCGCCTATGCCTTTGCCGAAGCAGGAGTCTCGCGCATAGCCATCGTCCAACGCTCAGCCGACGTGCTCCAGAAAGCAAAATCATCGCTATCGAAGGACTTCCCCAAACTCGAGGTCATAACCTACCAAGCCTCGATCCAAGATGGCGCCCGCATGAAGGAGATCTTCTCGGAGCTGAGCGTCGATGTCGTGGTCCTGTCTGCAACATCAACCCATAGCTTCAAACCAGACACTCCACTATCAGGAGACATCCTGCACGAGACAACGTACAAGACCAATATCATCGCTAGCTACGACCTCGTGGACACCTACCTCAAATCCCCCAAGTCTTCTGCCGACTCCACCAAGACCGTCATCAACATCACCTCTGCTTCCGCTCAACTCACAATCCCAGGTGAGTAGTGCGATGAAAACCCTACCGGGCCCCAACCCGACTCCCATAACCCCTCCCATCTCCAACAAAACCACCCCCCAAACTAACACCCCCTCCCCCTCGGTAGGCCAAATCGGCTACGCCTCCTCCAAAGCCGCCTTCGCCAAAATGATGCAGCATTTCTCCCTCGAGCACTCACCCGAAACGGACGGCGTGAGATTATTCAATCTCCACCCGGGGGCGATCTACACGCCTTACGCCAGCACGGAATACGGACCCGATGACTTCCCCTGGGAGGATATCAAGTTACCCGCACATTTTAGTGCGTGGTTGGGACTTTCCGGGCGGGAGGCGGAGTTTTTGCATGGGCGGTAAGGTTTTTACATTTACCTGAATCCTTCGGTCTATGTTAGGTATACGTGCTAATCGAGACTTTTTGTTTCCAGGTTTATGTGGGCCCAGTGGGATGTGGATGAGCTGTTGCAGCTCAAGGAGCAGATGAACAACCCAATGTACTTAACGATTGGACTTGTGCTATGATGAGTGCCGCGAGCTCTGAGGAATGGGGAGCTGGCCGTCGAGATACCTTAGCTAGGCGTCGACCTACAGAATCTTGTCGATCATGCCTGCTCACCCTGAGTTGTCTGAGCTTAATGGTTGTCTGCCATAAGAAGTGCCAGTGAGTTCGTCCCGCGTAGAGGGCATCTCGCAATCGCAAGCAGAAGTGCCTGATGCATTGTCTTGGTCCAGTGAGCGCATCTCTCAACAAGCCAGTGCATGGATTCGGCACCACGTACGCCATCAGCCTTACAACATGATAATTCGCACAGGGAGCCGGCACAAAAGAAAACGCTTCCTCGATATTTACGGTTACAAGGCCCACTTGCTACATCCTCTACTAAGCCACCTCTCGCGCTCGACTGTACAAAATGCAGCGCCGAAGTGCACTACCACCCGACTCCAACTTTTCTCCTCTCCACTCCTACTTGCTCCTCAAGCCGTCTCCCATCTATGACTTCTCAAGATCCGCCAGAATCTTCTCACCCTTGGCTCGTGCGCTCTCGATATCACCAACCATGTAGAAAGCGCCCTCAGGCAGATCATCACACTCTCCGTGAATAATAGCCTTGAACGATCGGATGGTGTCCTTGAGGTCGACAAGAGTACCCTCGATACCAGTGAAGACCTGAGCGACGGTGAAAGGCTGGCTCAAGAAACGCTGCACCTTACGGGCACGCTCGACGGTAAGCTTGTCCTGCTCGGACAACTCGTCCATACCCAGGATGGCAATGATATCCTGGAGCGACTTGTACTCCTGGAGAATCTGTTGCACGCGGGTGGCGGTCTGGTAGTGGTCGTCACCGAGGACACGGGGGTCGAGCAGACGGGACTTGCTGTCAAGAGGGTCGACGGCGGGGTAGATACCCAACTCGGAGATACCACGGGAGAGCACAGTGGTGGCGTCCAAATGGGCGAAGGTGGTGGCCGGGGCGGGATCGGTCAAATCGTCAGCGGGCACGTAGACGGCCTGCACGGAGGTGATGGAGCCCTTTCGCGTGGTGGTGATACGTTCCTGCATGATACCCATGTCGACGGCGAGGGTTGGCTGGTAACCGACGGCAGATGGGATACGACCGAGCAGAGCAGACACCTCGGAACCGGCTTGGGTGAATCTAAAAAATGAGAGTCAGGAATTGCTTCTCATAAAGAAGTACGATTTTTCACGTGCCTAAAGATGTTGTCGATGAAGAGAAGCACGTCCTGTCCTTCTTCGTCCCTATTAGCGTGTTAGCTTCGCCACGTTATCAGAGGCGGTCGTGACTGCTAATGTACTAACCGGAAGTACCTGGGATGTTGGTTAGCATGAATCAATATCTCGTTTAGATGTTCAATAGCTTACTCAGCCACAGTCAAACCAGTGAGAGCGACACGGGCACGGGCTCCTGGAGGCTCGTTCATCTGACCGAACACCAAGGCGACCTTGGACTCGCCATCAAGCTGAATGACACCGGTCTCCTGCATCTCGTGGTACAAATCGTTACCCTCACGGGTACGCTCGCCGACACCAGTGAAGACAGAGTAACCACCATGGGCCTTGGCGATGTTGTTCTGCTTCTATGTCAGTATGCTGAATATGACTTCTCCGAACGTATTGCACCCACGATAAGCTCCTGGATAAACACAGTCTTTCCAACACCAGCGCCTCCGAAAAGACCAATCTTGCCACCACGAGCATAAGGAGCGAGCAAGTCCACGACCTTGATACCAGTGACGAGGACCTCAGCCGATGTCGATTGCTCGACGAAACTGGGTGCGTCGGCATGGATGGGCAATCGCTTGTCGGTCTTGATGGGCCCACGCTCGTCAATGGGGTCACCAGTGACGTTCATGATACGGCCAAGAGTGGCGGGGCCGACGGGGATGGAGATGGGAGCACCGGTGTCGCTGCATGGGGAGCCACGGACGAGACCCTCGGTACCCTCCATAGCAATGCATCGCACGATGTTCTCACCCATGTGTTGCTGCCAGACGCGTTAGTCCTTCCGCCAAGATCCTTGCATGTACGACTCCATCACATACTGCCACCTCGAGGGTAAGTTTGTTGCCGCCATTCTCGGTGGTGAGGGCGTTCAGGATGGAGGGGAGCTGCTCGGAGTCGAACTTGACTGTGAGAGAATCGCTGTTAGCTTGGCCGCTTCTCCGCTTTGGCTCCGGGTGGGAAGGGAGGTGGTGAATGAGTGAGTAGGTGGCGTACCATCGACGACAGCACCAATGACCTGATAGATCTTGCCGTGAAGGGTGTCGGTGGAGGCAAAGCGCTGGGCGATCGCGGGCGCGACGACCTTTGGCTGAAAAGCGCGAGTGGCCGGCCTGCTGAAGGCGGATGTGCGCAACGCCGACCTGGCGACGCTGCTGGTGACGTGTCAGCGTGTCTTCCATCACCAATGGCTGTGTCTGCCGACTCAGTAGGCTGGTCCTTACTTCTTGTACATCGTTGCGGGTGGGTGGAGGTGTTGTGATGGAGTGGAGGAGTGTGTGCTGGTAGCTTGTGGTCTCCTTGAGAGGAGTTGTCGGAAGAGATTCTGAGCTCGGCGGCTTTTCCCGTTCGTATGGTCCGAGCTTCGGCATCATTAGTCCTGCAGCACATCGAGATCATCTCAACAGCCAATCTATATAGTGCCGCTTAAAGACAACTAACCATGTCGGCACCCCATCTGATCGGAAGGTGTGTAGAGATGAGATCGCAGGACGATGTGCCGTCGTTTGACTGACGCCCATACAGAATCATCGACCCGATATATGCTATGGCGATAGGAGCAGGTGCTGCTGCAGTACGAATACGACGTGAGGAAAAGGAAAAGGGCAGGACGACAGAGCAGAGCATCGAGAGCCTCAAGCGAAAGATCAACATAGCTACGGAGCAAAGCCCAACCGCGACTACCACGTCAAGCAAGACGGGATGATAGGCACCAACACGATCCAGCAGTCTCTTGGCCATTCGACCACGAATCCAGCTTCTGGGATTGCCGCATACCAGATGCTTCATACTGGTACTTCCGCGACTGGCAGGGGAGCCATACAGAGGACGGCACTGCCTCTATAGCTCGCTTCTGATCTTACGAAGATTGGATCACTGAAAGTGCAAACTCTCCTTGAGACACCATCCGGCCTGACGATACCGTCACCCAGCCAGCTCGACTATAACACCAATGATTGTCAGCGGTACGACTCTTTGTAGTCAAGCTCTCCCTACCATACTTGGACGCTCCTCAGGACAACGAAAGAAGTCTGGCTGGAGCAGAAGCAGACCCGAGCTAAGGAACCTGTATACGCTCGACCTCCTGCATGCGAATGACCTGCTTTGCTCAAGTTTCTGCGACGCAGTAAATAGCGACTCGGAGTATCTGTTCACAATAGGTTCTGCCCTCTCAAGGCCTTTGACCTTCCGCATATACCATGCCGAAATGCCATAGCATCAATCCACGGCAGAAGCGGCGTTCCTCAGGACGTAAGGGGGTTGATCTGAGAGGAAATGCTGTGTTGTAATCCTAGATTGACAGACGTATTCCAAGCAGATAGCGATGACCAAAACTGGTCAACTTTTTTTTTAATCCATTCATTCTGTCTAGCTCAAAATTCTTCTCGTCGCAAACAGCATGACTTGCGTTACGAGTCTCCATGTAATCTGCTCCCCTTTCAAATAACATGTCCATCAATGTTCAATCAATTTCACCAATCCCCAGCCCCTCGAAAGCCAGGCCTCGGCACGCGCAAGCGCGTCAATGTCGTAGCGTTGGTTAGAGGACTCGACGCACGAAACGTCTACTATACATCATCCAAATGATGGAACGAATACGACAGGTCGCAGAGTCGACCAGCGTCGTCATCAAATTCCCGCCAAAACTCCTAAGCAGCTACGAAACATTCATAACGAAAAATGCCGGCGCGGTCGGGCAGGTGGAGGGCGCATTGCGGTCGTTGACGTATATCATACCTGGTAAGAAAGAAAGAAAGAATGAATGAATGAACAGCAACACCGCACGCAACGGTACAGAAAGAGGAGCGACGAGCTGATGCTGGTGATGTGTCTGTAGGACGTTTCAGAGAAACCGAATTGGCCTCCGAATCCCTCAACTCCAGCGTCCAACTCCTCTCCCTCTACCATGACTCCCTGCTCTCGCGCGCCCTGGCGCAATCGCTACCACGGCGGAAACAATACCAGAGTCCGCATAATCGCTACACCCGCTTCTACTGCCAAAAGAGCGCAACATACCGACGCACGGCTGTGACCCTGCAGGTGATACAGTATACGGAGCTATTGCTAGAGATGATGGCGAAGAGGAGAGGGGAGAAGGCGAAGTGGAGGGTGGTGGTGGTGTTGGAGGCGGTGAAGGCGATGTGTAGGCTTATCCTCATGCGGTTGACGAATTCGAGGCCGTTGCTCAGCCCGCCGTTGCCGGAACGGGAGGTCGTGGATGAGGAGCTGGCGGCACAGCAGCAGCAGCAGCAGCAGGGACAGGAAGAGGAGAGGCATATTGATAGTCCGCCGTCCGAACGCAGCGAGCGATCGGAGACTGGGAGTGAGACGTGGACGATGCCAAGGACATCATTGACACTCCCGCCTCTGCCCAGCTCAGAGGACATCTCCTCCTACCTCCTCTCAAAAGTCCTCACAGCCGACGACATCAAACCGCCCAAGGCATTAATGCACCGCACCACCGGCCTAGGTGAACTAGCCGAAATCCTCTACATCATCCGCCCCGTCATCTACGCAACAGCAATGGCTTACTGGACCACCCCGAACCCCGACGGCACCCCCCGTGGCCGTGGAAAAGCCGACTGGCGCCCTTGGCTGCTAGGTCTGAGTATCGAGTACGGTGCACGCCAACTCGCAAAACGGGAATTGGAGACGCGACGACCGGGTGGAGCGAGGGGGTTGACAATGTTGGAGAAGGAGGAGTTGAAGAGGAGGGGGTGGGCGTTGGGGTGGTGGGGGATGCGGGGCGCGTTTTATGAGAATATTACGAGGGGTGTTATTAAGGGGGTAGTGGGAAGGTTGAAGGGGAAGGTGGTGTTGGATATGGTGGGGAGTGTTATGGAGGATTATGATTTTCTTTGGGATGAGTACTATTTCCCTACTGCTACTTTGTGAGAGTGAGAGCGGGCAGGCGAGGAGGATGGTTGCATTTTGTGTGGAGCTATTTTTGCTTTAGGTGTAGGGACATCTATATACTCACGATACCCGAAGGTCTCTGTTCTACATTACCGGTATGGTATCTCGCTGTACATGTTGTACTTACTGCGATGCGGCTCTGGCGTCTATCAGGCTTTTTAGCCGGAAATATGCAGCGGGAGGTCAGATTGGCAGCGGTGAGGCGTGGAGGTACAGTACTTGCATGTTGAAGAACGATCGACGTTGAATATTGCATGTTGAACCATTATTGAATTCGGATACCGTGTCGTGGAGTGAGAGCAGAAGACTCGTTGCAGCAAGACGTCAATAAGTAATGATATGTCAAAAGACAAAGAAACTCTAGCATCCCACGTTTTTGGAATTGACTTCCTGTTATCGTGATCCCTGAGAGGCAGACCAACCCCCGAATCCGACACGTCCGACAGCCTGTTTCTGTCTTCCATAGCTATTGTTATTATTTACTTTTATCATTCGTATCGCGCAAGCTCCAGTCCCTTCCCAACGCTAGTCAACAAACAGCTGCTGCCCTTGTCCAGGCTAGAAGTACTGTAACTCGCTACACCGTGCTCGCTTCGTTCACGTGCACTCTCTCTCGTCAGCTGTCCCCCCGAAGTTCAGACGGAAGGAACCCAGAAGCACGCATTGCTGCACGCCGCCCACATTCCACCGCTCCACTACTTTTAGTAACCCTCTCTTCCACTTACCCATTATTTTCTCGCTACCAGAGCACCGGGGCTGTCCTTCCCACAGGCCAGTCCTCTCTGCTCTGACACCCGCAATACCGGCAAAATTGGTCCCTTTGGTAAACATCTCCCTGGCAGCAACAATATAGCCAGTAGTAGCAGTACGAGGAAAGCCGCACATATCCCATTGCATACTTTCAATTCCTCCCGACGGAACCGCAGGAGCGAGGACAGCTACGACGACGACGACGACGAGAAGGACGAGGACCGGAGACGATTGACGGGGAGGGATTCCGGGTCTTTCGACCACGTGGGTGAAGAGGAGGAAGGTGAAGAAGAGGAAGGAGGTTCCGAGTTCTCGCTCTGGAGTGACACGGGAGATTTAGTTGATCAGCTTGCGGAGGAGGAGGACCCGCTTGCTATTCGACTGCGTCGACTTAGTGGAGAGGAGTCCGAAGCACAAGGGAAGAGTAAGAGCAGTAGTAGTAAGAGAGGAAGAAGCAAACAGAAACGAGTCCGCTACGCCTCCGCCTCCAACGGCCGACACCCTTACCACGACGACAACGACGAGAAACAACACCACCACCCTCACAGCCTCCGCGGAGCCGCCGCCCCAAAACGCAAAGAAGACATCCGCATCCCCTCCCCACCCCCCAAATCCCTCCCCCTCGCCGAAAAACTCCTAGCAACCCTCATCATGCCCTCGGACTCCCACGCCCGCATGCACGGCCTGCACGGCAAAAAACTCCTCTACTTCCTCAGCATCTTCGTCTCCCTCGGCGTCTTCCTCTTCGGCTACGACCAAGGCGTCATGTCCGGCGTCATCACCGGCCCGTATTTCAAAGACTACTTCCACCAGCCCAGTCGGGCGGAGATAGGGACTATGGTCGCTATCTTGGAGGTCGGAGCTTTCATTTCTTCCATCACGGTGGGCAGGATCGGGGATGTGATTGGGAGGCGGAAGACGATTTTGTACGGGGCGATAATTTTCGTCATTGGGGGTGCGTGTCAGAGTTTTGCTACCGGGATGCCGATGATGTTGTTGGGGAGGATCGTGGCTGGACTTGGGGTCGGGGCGTTGTCGACGATCGTGCCGGTGTATCAGAGCGAGATTTCGCCGCCGCATAACCGGGGCAAGTTGGCGTGTATTGAGTTCTCGGGGAATATTTTCGGGTACATGAGTTCGGTGTGGGTGGATTATTTCTGCAGTTATATCGAGAGCGATTGGGCGTGGCGCATCCCGTTGCTCATGCAGGTGTTCATCGGGACGTTGTTGGCCGTGGGCTCGTTTTTGATCGTGGAGAGTCCGCGCTGGTTGCTGGATAATGATCATGATGAGGAGGGGATCGTGGTGATTGCGAATTTGTACGGGAAGGGGGATATTCATAATCCCAAGGCGAGGGATGAGTATCGGGAGATTAAGATGAATGTTCTGCTGCAGCGGCAGGAGGGGGAGAGGTCTTATGTCGATATGTTCAGGCGGTACTATAAGCGGGTGTTTATTGCCATGTCGGCTCAGTCGCTGGCGCAGCTGAACGGGATCAATGTGATATCCTACTATGCTCCTCTGGTGTTTGAGCAAGCCGGCTGGACTGGAAGAGATGCGATTCTCATGACTGGCATCAACGGGATTACTTACCTCGCTTCAACTGTACCGCCATGGTATCTCGTGGACAGACTGGGACGACGCTTTATCCTGCTTTCCGGCGCCGTGGCTATGGTCATTTCACTTTCGGCTATCGCTTACTTCATCAATATCAATATCGCTGCGACACCTACATTGGTCGTTGTCTTCGTGATTATCTACAATGCAGCATTCGGGTACTCATGGGGTCCGATTCCTTGGCTGTACCCTCCGGAGATCTTGCCTTTGAGTATCCGAGCAAAGGGTGCGAGTTTGTCGACGGCGGCGAATTGGGCGTTCAATTGGCTGGTGGGTGAGATGACCCCGATATTGCAGGGCTTGATTGGGTGGAGGTTGTACTTACTTCATGCTTTCTTTTGCGCTGTGAGTTTCGTTGTCGGTAAGTCTCACTCTCCTGCACATGAATGGTAGGCATAGATCTGCAGCTAACGAGAGGCATAGTCTACTTCATCTACCCCGAGACAGCCAACGTTCGCCTCGAAGACATGAACTCCCTCTTCGGCGACGCCACAACCATCGCACCCACCCCGGAGACACTGGCGGAAGTCGAATCCCTGTTCTCCGGCCACCGCTCACCTGTCCCGTCTTTCCGTCTCGGAGATGGAGATGAGCCGGCTGTACCGGATGATATGGATGCGTTAGAAGTCCAGCCTCCGAATGTGGAGATCCAGGATGGGAAGCCCTTGATCAATGGCAAAGATGCCAATGGTGGGGAAGGGGAGGGCGTGGCGGGGTGGATCAGTAATATGGTTAAGAGGACGAAGGGGGAGGAGGGGGCGAATGGGAGTGGGAAGTATAAGCGGGTTGGGCAGGATGAGGAGTAGTTGTTGTAAATTCCTTTTGAGCATGTGTGAAGCGTTCTCGTTCTGTAGAGGCGTGTGATAGAGGTGATGTGGTATGGCTATCTGTGGAAACCTGCACAGGCGTTGTGCCATATACCCATAGAACCATATGGTATCGGATGTCTATACGAACATAATGATTGCCAGTGTCTGCAGTGTAGATTATGCACATGCACGTACAAGAGCTCAGACCAGACCCTGAAATTATGCAGCCTCATCCGCTGCGGCGCGATGCTGACGAACGTTATGGTACGGCGGTTGACGACGGCTGCACTTGCTGACTTGCTCTATGACATGCGCCTGCATCGTCGCCAATAGCCAATATGTCACGAACGATGGAGCAGACGGACAATGGTAGTCTACGAGAGGAAGAGCAGCCAGAGCAGGACAAGAAGCAGAAGAGTCGCAGACCTCCAAGTGAGTGATATACCATGATCATGGCCAAGCAGCCCAAACCACGCTGGCCTGAAGGCCCGGGTATGATAAGATGGCTGACACGATGCTTGCATTGGAAAGATACCGCCTTTCGACAGCAACGATTAAAGGCGTGGCAGCCCATCCTCACCCCAAAGACTGTCCTGCCGCTGTTCTTCGCTGTGGGAATTATATTTGCGCCTATCGGAGGACTGTTACTATGGGCCAGCTCGCAGGTCCAAGAAATCAGCATCGACTACTCGGCCTGTGGATCAGCGCCGCTATGTCAAGATGGGACAACGCGACCACCGAATACCGACAATGCCATCATCCCATCCAGCAAAGTCACCACGTACTTCAAGAACACCACCACGGATGCGCAGAGGCCGACCTGGTGCTACACCAAGACGGACACCGCGGACACTTTCGGCGGCCAGAGGGAACTCCCGAACACCACGTACTGCCACGTGCAATTCTATATCCCGGACAAGCTCACATCGCCCGTGCTGATGTACTATCAATTGACCAACTTCTACCAGAACCACAGACGATACGTGAAGTCCTTTGACCAAGATCAACTCTCCGGCACGGCACGCTCGGCGAAAGACATCAATGGTAGTGATTGCTCTCCCCTACAAGGCGAAGTCGCACCCGATGGGAACTGGAAACCCTACTACCCCTGCGGTCTCATCGCCAACTCCCGCTTCAACGACACCATCTCCAGCCCAATCTTACTCGGCACAGACAATGGCGCGGAGAACAGTACGTACGCCATGACCACAAACGACACCGCATGGTCCAGTGACGCGGCCCTGTATAAGCAGACCAAGTACAACTATGGCGACGTCCTGCCTCCACCAAACTGGAGACAGGTCTACCCCGAATACAACGACACGGCTGATTTCGGCTTCCCATCTTTGCATACAGACGATGGGTTTCAGACTTGGATGCGCACGGCGGGACTGCCGACGTTTAGTAAACTCGTCCGGAGGAATGACAATGATGCTATGGCTGCGGGGAGATATCAGGTCGATATCTACGATTGTGAGTTATGAAATCATTGACCTGATCGAAAGACTAACGTTACTGATCCCACCACCTCTTTTAGTCTTCCCAGTGACCCTCTACAGCGGCACGAAATCCATCCTCATCTCCACGAGAACAGTAATGGGTGGCCGTAACCCCTTCCTTGGCATCGCCTACATCGTCGTCGGAGGGCTATGCATGCTACTCGGAGGACTGTTTACTGCTGCACAACTGATCAGGCCAAGGTACGTTACCCCTTTCGCATCCGGCTCCGCGTGCCGTACGATGGTGTTTTGTGGTGTGACGGTAGTGAGTGAGTGGATAAAGACTACGGGTGTGGCTGACTTCGAGGGACAATGCAGGAAACTCGGCGATCACTCTTATTTGAGCTGGAACACCGAGCAGCCTGCTACTACGGCAACTGCTACCGGGCGCGCGCCGAGGACTAACGAGGCTGCGTAGTTGGGACGACTTTTGACATTGATGATCTCTGGTGTCTGGGTTTGGCGTTCAGGGTGTCCATTGAGCTAGCTGGGTGAATTCACGTCATGGCGATTACGTAAGTATATTGCGTCAAAGACTGATTGCTGGAATCCATTCTCACGTCGATTTCAACGCGTTCTTCTTGACTTCGCGCTCTTGCAGCTATCTATCTCCTATCTGCTACCTTTGCCAACGGATTTCGAACCTTCGCCTTTGTTTCACAAAGCATAACATTGTCATACTGATGTTCTAGATGCAACATCCCCAAGCAGCGACCATCACACCACTGTCCTCCATTGACCACGCATCCACCTCCTCCTTGTTCACGACCTAGACCTAGAAACCGCAGGAGATCTAGACCCATGACTTCACACACCAGGGATACCTGTCCACACGCGTGAACCGCTGGACAACGCTTTCTTTGTTGATTCGCCATATCCGCTTCGCCTACTGTTGTCCAACTGAGTAGGCTCGAAGCTGTTGAGCCGCAAACGGAGCCGAGAACAACAAGTCGATGCTGGGACAATTGGAGTGTGGCGGAGAGGTAGTGAATGGCGTATATAGCGGTGCCTGGGGGCACGTTGCCAAGACCTGAGGTGTTTTACTCGCTGGACCTCTTCTTGCCGAATCATACACAACACAACACAACACATACTGATACATATCGCTAAGCAACGCATCACAAACAGTATATTAGCGATAGGACCCATCACTCTGGATCTTCCTTTCTGCACAATCCTTTCACTCCATACATAACTTTGCCTCAGAAGATACCCCGGCATTCCTGAAGTGTCACACTCGCGTGGTAAACATTCATTCCTCGGGACCGGCACTTTTTCTCAAAGGTGAAACGGGCTCGTATTCTGAGACAAAGCCAAGGCTGCTCTGTGCTCTCTCCCGTCAGGTCAGGTCAGGTCAGGTCAGGTCAGGATGAAGAAGTTTGTGGCGGCGACTTTGATCGCTTTGGTGGGTATGATGGGTGTTGGGAGTACGATGGAGATGCCGCCTAGAGATGCGACGGCACCTTTTGGCAATGCGACGCATTATTTCGACAAGCAGGCGGGCAGAATGATGAAGCATTTCGCTGGCTGGAGCGACGGGACGTATTTCAAGGAGCAGGGCACGAATAAATCGATCAAGCATTTCGATTGCGATGTCACTCACGGCAAGGCCTCTGACCATTTCCAAAAGACGGTCCAGCGTCTTCACTCCGCTCACAAGAAAAGTAGCCAAGGTTCCCGTGCTGCGAGGTCGCTGGTTGAACGTCAGACTGTCGAGCCCGCGATTCAGGATATCCCCTTGTTCATTCACGTCATTACTACGCAAGCCGAAGCAGGCGTTATCACGCAACAGATGGCCAACGACCAAGCGGCTGCCTTGAACACCGTCTACAATAAATACGGCATCTCCTTCTCCCTCCAAGGCACAACCTTCACCGCCAACGACGCCTGGGCCGTCGTCGCCGGGGCCGACATGGATGCTTTGAAGCAGTCACTCCGTCAAGGAAGCTACAGCGCACTGAACCTCTACTTCCACACCGACCTCGATGGCGGTATGCTCGGGACCTGCACCCTCCCGTCCAACGTGCCCCCTGGATCAGCCCCGAGCGAATACTTCGAGGACGGCTGTAATTGCAACGCCTACACCATGCCCGGCAGCACCATGTACGGCTACAACCAAGGCATGACGGCCGTCCACGAAACAGGCCACTGGCTCGGTCTGCTCCACACGTTCGAAGGCTACGCTTGCTCGGGTAATGGCGATTTCATCGCCGATACGCCTTTTGAGAGCGTGTCGACGAATGGGTGCCCGGAGAGTCCGTGGAAGAACTCGTGTCCCGGTGTTTCTGGGGGTGATCCGATTAGGAATTATATGGATTATTCTGTTGATGCTTGTTATGCGCGGTTTACGGCGGGACAGTTGGCGAGGATTGGGACGATGTGGCAGCAGTATAGGCAGGGACAGTAGAAATTACTGGAGTTTCATGGGTGTGGTTCGCTGCGTTCACGATTATCGCATCGCATGACAAGAGACGGCCTTGGATATGGTACAGATTGGATGATGCTTGATGCATTGGATCGGCTTCTTTGTGAGTAGTGCTCGCTTCCTTGGGTGTGTATACTCCTCTTCTTGTATATATCTTACAGCTTGCATCACTGCCACTTCGTGTACTCCTTTGATTGTGGCCACCATACCGCACCTGTCTGCAACAACCTGGCGGTCAGCTCAGATGTCGTATATGTCTCGCAAACCCAGTCCACAGTCGATCCCCTTTCGGTTGCTTGTGAACATGTCGTAGGTTGGGTGCAAGTACCTTACAGCACGTAGATCGATTCGACTGACCACCATCCCGCTACCATCAGCAGTACGACCCGGCACGTAGCACCGCGGACGCATGTTGATGCAGGGAGTATTTTCCGCATCGCGATCAAGAATATGATCGTAAGATGTTGGGTCGGGAACTCCAATGCACAAAAGTCGTAGCCGGTTTAGTGGTGTGGTCTCGTCGCTCAGCAAGGCTTGCATTAGACCATCGGCCAAACGATCAATCCTTTCGCAGTATAATGCTTGCAATGCTGCGTTACAAGTACAGAGACCCCTCTGGCCGGCTAATACTGGCCAGTTGAGGATCCGTAAGTACTGCAAATGTCCTGCATCTCTGAAAACACGCTACACAATTTCAGTCCCTGCGCTCCTATCCCGCGGTGGATTCCCACTCACCATATAAAGTTCATTGTCTGCGCAATCTGCAAGCGTCTGGCCATCTTGAGGTACACCAAGGCTCATTCCCGGAAGCTCGATTGTAAGTTGCTCCAGCTTTGGGCAGTCTTCGATCACTTTATGTATTTGGTCCACGTTGTAGTAATGCTGAGATCCATTGTATGGATCATTAAAACTCAATTGCAAGCGCTCTAGCGTTGCCGCATGGTTTTCAAGCCAGTCGAGGCTTAAGGGCCGGTTGTTTCTTCTGCGTCAATCTGCAGGTATTTCAGCCCGCGGAAGCTGTTCAAAATCTGCTTACTGCCAGTAGCTCAATGGACATAACGTACGACAGTCGGATGCCACGAAGCCGCATGACCTTTCCAGATCGAAAATATGCAGCGATATGGTCGAGCAGGCGCTGGCAATTTTCGCAATCGTTCAAGCACAGCGTGGTCAGTTGCGTAAAGTCGATGAAGCTCGTCAATGTTAGCTCGATCACTGTGGCGTATCCGCCAAGGGACATTTCGGCGATGAAGTGGGAAGCACAAGACTAGGCAGAGCTGGCGCAAGCTATGTATAATGCGCGCACTGCCGCAGTAAACACTGCAAGTCGTCCGAGGTGAAGCCAATATGGTCGCGATCGTAGTCATCGCAGCGAGGAAGGTTCTGTAGGCGACGGAAGGTCCTGCTATGATGGCATATCAAGTGGACGTCAAGAGTCCGCAGCACTGGGGAAATGATGGTCGAGGGTAGGTGTGATTCCAGGAGTCCATGATTTGCACAGACTTTTGCATTGCACGGGACAAGAGGACATCACGATTCCTGTTTCTGCTCCTCCTCCCACCACTCCTTGAACACTCTCAGCCTCTCTGTTCTCTCCTTCGCCATAACCCTGCCGGTCTCCGTCTTCATCATACTTTCGACCTTCAACAACTTCTCATCAAAGTGGTCGATGCTACCCTGCAATCCTCTGTCGGGCGCCTTCACGGCCCCAAATGCGAACACTCTACCAATACCCAGAGCACCAATAGAATCAAGCCGATCAGCATCCTGGACAACAGCGAGCTCAGGATGCGCTGACACAATGGCTTTGACCAGACTCGGCCGCTTGATCTCGCTTGAGTAGGAGACGTGTTCGACTATCAACGCTACCTTGGCTGAAAACTTTGGGGGGCAGCCGTTCTTTGTAAGGACGTCTGAGATGAGCTGTTCTGCGTTTTCGCCAGGCTGAATGTACTTTCTGTCGCCTACATCGTGGAGTAAGGCTGCCAGTATGATGGCCTTGCTGTTATATGTCGTGGATGGGTTGGCAGCAGACTCCTTGGCCAGAATATGCTTGGCTGTGGCCAGAACTCGTAGTACGTGATTGAAGTCATGAGAGCAATCGTATCGTGACATGTACTGCTTTACATAGTCGTATATGCCGCAATAGAGCTGTGAGCTTTCGAAGTCGCGCCTCGGGGTCGAAGGTGGATCGACTTCGATGCTGGTAGATTGACGGGCTCCGATCTCAGTCTCTACTGATGACGATGATGCTGTCATCTTGCTGTGATATCCTAAGACAAGGAAAGTTCTGTTGATTTTATGATATTGTACAGGACCAAGAATGCACGAAAAACCTCGTGTAATGCTGCAAGCTTAGTACCAAGTTGCAGCCACAAATACCAAGACCCGCATTCATTGTATGACTATCTCCTTCCATCTCTGTGGTTTCGTTCAATGGCGCGGGAGCATGAATATTTGTGGTCGGAAAAGGAGTGAGAGTTGAAGTTTGACGCCTCATATCAGATCTCGGCGCCACATGTGGCTTTCGGCTGATCGACCGAGCCCTTTAAGATTCGGCGCGCGTGTTCGCCGGAGCCTCACAGCTTCACAAGCAGTTAAGTCAAGCATCACACGAGCAAAGTACATCACCATCTATCCTTCGAAGGACCACAAATCAACACCTTCATACTGCAAAGATGCCTGCGACCACCGCAGAGACTCTCAGTCTGGTCAATCGAACAGTGTCTGTTGCCCCGTTAGTGTTACTCAGCGCCGCCGACCATTATGGACGATCAGCGAAAGGCACGAGGAAGCGAGTAGTGGGTGTGGTGTTGGGGCAGAATGATGGGATCAATGTGCGGGTGTCGAACAGCTTCGCAGGTGGGCACAATTTCGAGAATGTATGACGAGGAATGAAGCTGATGTTGGATTACAGTACCGTTCGAGGAGGACGAGAAGGACCCATCAGTATGGTTTCTAGACCACAACTACGTCGAGAGCATGAACGACATGTTCAAAAAGGTCAACGCACGGGAAAAGCTGATAGGGTGGTATCACTCTGGACCAAAGCTAAGAGCGAGTGATCTGGAGATCAACGAGTTGTTCAAGCGTTATACCCCAAATCCTCTGCTCGTCATTATCGATGTGCAGCCGAAGGATGTGGGCGTACCAACGGATGCGTACTTTGCGGTGGAGGAGATCAAGGATGTGAGTACTGGTTGTAGCGCAGGATGAAATACGAGCTAACGACATCTAGGACGGCACAACCACATCGAAGACCTTCGTACACACGCCCAGCACTATCGAAGCAGAAGAAGCAGAAGAGATCGGAGTTGAGCACCTGCTACGAGACATTCGCGATGTTGCAGTCGGCACTCTTTCCACCCGCATAACCTCCCAACTACAATCACTGCAAGGTCTACATCTCCGATTACAGGATATCGGGCGGTACCTTCAAAAGGTGCTCGACGGCGACCTCCCTGTCAATCACGCAATCCTCGGCAACCTCCAAGACGTCTTCAACCTCCTACCCAACCTTAGCACACCCAAAGCCTCTAGCAAAGACCTTCCAACCATAAACGGCCAAGTCAATGGCAGCGTAGGCGTAAGCGGCGGCTCATCAGAGAATACGCAGCTCGCCAAAGCGATGTCAACCAAGACAAACGATCAACTCATGTCCATCTACCTTTCGAGCTTAATAAGAGCAATCACCGCTTTTCACGACCTCATCGAGAACAAGATTCAGAATAAGCGGACACAAGAGGATGAGGATGCGAAGAAAGATGAGGCGGAGAAAAGCGAGGAGCTCAAGAAGGAGGAGAAGCTTATGTGGAATGGGACATCGGAGAAGAATGATAAGGAGGCCAAGGAGGGCAAGGAGGCGGAGCCGAAGAAGGATGACAAGGGTGGGAAGAAGAAGAGCTGATGGGTATGGAAGTCTTAGTGAGAGGAAGCGAAGCACGAGCATAGATACATGCATACATGGCGCCACAGGGTCGCCTGCTGAACCGCTGCTCCACACAAGCAAGCAAACGTCCACCAAAAGCGGATACACTAGGTTGCATAGCTTTGCGTCGAGTATGTACAATTATAGTAGCGATGGCGCCGGTAGCGCTGTAAGATGTCTACAAGCCGGGCAACGTTGCTCCCATCAATCACCCCATCCAGCTGCCCAGCCCGCCATCTCCTCCAGTGACACATCGCGTTCCTCAACCATGTGAGAAAACATGCTACTGTGCTCAACCAGTACGCAGGCGAGGAGATGCTTGCATATTGGCATGTCTACGCCAAGTGTGAGGAGACCACCGAATGACCAGTCTGCTGTGGTTGAACTTCGATCGCGCTGTTGTGACGACAGTGCCTGGCTCTCCGGCATCGAGGCAGGAAATGCTGAGAAAGCAAAGGCTGGACAGGAGCAGCTCCAGGCGTTCAGGTGGACTTCGTAGTAGGTTGTATGCTCGTACGCAGCATTTCGGGAGCGAGAGTTGCTGTTGCGGGAAGCTTGTGCCTGGCCAGAGCGGACGTAGTATGTGCAGGGTGGTGTCCCAGATGGAAGAGCTGGTGCATCATTTCCCTCGTTGTGGTGATCTGGAGCAGGGCATCGCAACCGAGTGACTAGACCTCGATCGAGGAGGTCTAGCGCTGGAAGCAGCTCGTTCTGGAAGAGGACGTGAAGGGTCAGAAGGGACTGCTTCGAGTTGTCTAGGTTTGCGCTTTCGGTCTCATTTGGGTTGCGCAGCCCAGATATGAGTGCAGTGACGAAGTGGCGTGGCGACGGTAGGCTCTGCGTGTTCAGTCCCGCCGTGGACATGATGCTTCTCTATTTGGCATTCGGCATCATCAAGCAGTGTTGCGTCTGCACCTCATCACTTCGGTGTATATGCAGGACATATGAAGTGACGTTGAGGATAGAGCAACGGCCAGCTTGCTATCTAGACTTCACCTGTGAACTCATATCTGTAGTAACGATCTCAGCCCAAATTTTTGCAGGATACAAGTTCTTTGCAAGACTGATGCTCAGTATTGGATTTGACGAACCGAGTGCTACCTACTATTCTCTCACAAGCTGAGAGATCGCCAACCAGGACTGAAATTCCGCTCGAATACCTCGCTATCAGCTCTGGACTGGCGAGCGTTGGATCCTGCTGAATGTCCAATAATGTACACGATATACGATTTCTGCCTCTCAACTATACAACACGTGAAGTCAACAGTGCACATCTGGACGAGAAGGACCCTGCTTCGGCGCCGCGATAACCATAGATAACTCCCCGCAGCTGTGGCTAGAGTCAATGGCACATGCAGGATCACGGCTGAACCAATCGCAACGACATCCCACGATCCTGCAACGGCGGCAAGCAGGGCATGCAAGGCAATGTGTGGTTGTGACAGGAAGCTCGTTCAGCTCGTATCAGATGAGGTCGCCCTAATGACCAGCTCAGCTGTAGCTCGAGCTGCTTTGGCTGGTGTCCAGCCGCCCACACCAATTCTCGGCCTGAGACAATCTTCACATGCAAGTTTGCCTGAAGGGACCAGATGATTGCTGGATCGGTGTATAGTGGTTGCACAGCTATTGGACGCCTAGCACAGATGATTGTTTTCAGCCTTCGCGATTCCACATGGCGACATGCAATACTATGGCAATGTGCAGCATCACCGGAATAGGGTCAAGGTCGTTCCGAGTCGATATGTAATCGTCCGGACAGCCATTGACAGCCGACGGACACAGAGCTTGCGAGCTGCGGGCGCAGCATCAATGCGATCGCTTAGAAACGGTCTTTCAGGGCATGCATCGCGTCCCACGCAGCGTGGGCATCCGTTACTCCGCCGAAAGGTGTGCCTCGCAATCCAACAAGTCACGTCTAACCTTTGGACGAACAAAGCAGATGACCTATTAGACGCGGTCTTGTGTGGCGATGTGGCGCAGAATCTTGGAAGAACAACAAAGGCGTGACGTGGCAGGCATTGGACGAGCCTTTCTAAACAGAGGGGCGTTTGCGAACTCTGTCTCGTCGCGCAAGGACGGTATTCGGCCTCGCATGCCTCATCGAGCTGGCATTGCGATGAACTCTACAAAGATAGAGAGAGAATGTCGTAGATGACCGATCGCGAGGTGTGGCGAAGAGAGCGCCAAGCATTGATGAAAGCGGCGCGGACGGAAGTCCAATGACCCGATGGCAAGCTTTCGCATCTCCCACGCACTTCGTCTCTCACACGCATGAGTCACTACTGAGTCGCCCAAGCCAATGGATGCGACGTCCTGGAACCGCGGCTTACACGTCCTTCTCGCACGCAAACACTGGCTGGTCTCGACCAATCGCATCTGTCATGATGTCTGCGCCCGATTCATGGGTCGCCTCTCGGGCCCGATCGCACGCAATGGCAAGGGCGGACTCAATCTGTCAGCAGTCGCCTGGCGCATGTCGCAGCCTGACTGCGTATCTGCCTGTGTCATGCGGCACTCCTTGCGACACTGTGTGTTTGTGGCCTAGTAAAGAGCGAGCTCTTCCGTTGTATTCCATCGCCCGCGACGCTTGAAGGCTAAGTCGTTGTTGTCTTCACAGTCATCCACTGGCTGCCTAACTCGTAAATTGACATTACCATTCGTGGTCGCCGCACCAATTGCGCCGTGGTTGATTCACATCCCGTCACGCCCTTATCGGACTCACTCACACCGTGCTTAGGTATAAATACAATCGATTACTCAACTCCGGAATCTGAGCCAACATCGTCAGAGGAAGCCATTCGAACATCGCAGGAGCACGGACTTAGCGGACGTTTATCCGACTAGGCATACAGGACCGCGACTATAAGAACACTGGGTTCGCCACCGTTGACACGGCCTTTCCGAACATTGCCGCTCATCATTGCTATAATGTCAGACACGTCAGCGTTGCACGATTCATCGTCGCATGATATGGCTTCGTCGAAAGAAACCTCAGGCAGAGCAACTATCGGAGCAGGCCAACTACACACACCACAAGAACATCTACACCATAGCTTCTCACACGACAAGCCCTTCGACCCCTCGACACTGCTGCCTAACACCCTCTCGCCGCCAGCGTCGCCTAATTTCGTTCTAGCACCACAACCATCTGTCGACGAGCCCTTGTTCCCAGACACCGAAAGAGACGAAGCAGACCAGCCTCTCTTCGACAGCCAACAGTCGGAGTCTGCACGACCAAGCACATCGGAGGCCACACTACGGCGACATAGCACGTCAGAGCCGTCCAAGACCGTCAGAGTGCCGGGCACGCAAATCGTGCTCGAGAACAAGCCCTTGGCTGCTTACAATTACTTCCAAGGCTGCATGGCGCAGGTTGAGCGGATACGAGACGCAACGAGAAAGATGCCGGGGCTCGAGGGAACAAGATCGAAGAACATCCTCACTCGAGACCCAGAGACACGGAGAGCGTTGAGTCGACTCGACACTTTCGATAAGACGCTTCATCGTGTCGACCGGCCGTCACGAGTGACGAAGACGACAATCACACGAAGATCGATACCAGATCGCCATCAATCCTCCGAGCCAGCACTGCCGCGGGTGACGACCGCATCGCCTGGGCGGCCGGACACTCCTGAGCATGCGTCCAAGACAAGACCGGCTTCATCGAGACGATCTCGAACACCAAAGTCACAATCACAAACCGACTTCCTCGACAATGCTTTCCCGGACAAGAAACACAAGCGCTCAGCGCCGTCGAAGCACACACCATCGAAGGAGGACGACTTCAAGTGGCGCGATCTACCCGATTACGCCCCTTCAACCACTGACGCGCAATTGAAGTCACTCACTGCCCATTGGTCGAGTGGTGGGCCTCTTGACATCGATGATCAAATTGACGTTGAAGAGCTGCATGGCCGCGAATACGATGTCTGTCGGACACTACGTCTCAAGCCTGTGCAGTACCTCGCAACCAAGCGACGATTTTTCGTGGCGAAGGTGCAGTTCTTGAGCGAGGGGAAGACGTTCACCAAGACCGCAGCACAAAACGTCACCAACATCGATGTCAACAAGTCGAGTCGGCTGTGGGAAGCATTCAACAATGTGGGTTGGTTTGACAGTAAGCACTTCGCGGGGATTGAAGGAGTAAGAGGTGCTTCTGTCGATGCGATGGAGACTTAGATTCGCTACTTTCGGCAATAGAAGGAATTACAATGTTATGAGACACGGCAAGGCGTTATGGATGAACATCAGCGCACCGGATGCGCTTTCTGCACGACTTGGATGAGATTGGATGATCGCCTTTTAAGGCTTCGGATGCGCTTTACACGCAGGCGCTGTGGGATTACGATTGATGCTGTCACGATGCTGTGGCTTATGATACCCAACTCTGTAGACTGCACGACCTTCGTTCGTAGCTCGAGAACCAGACTTCTCGTTCTTGTACCTAATTGATAATACCTGCTCACATGCTCCTCTCCCAATGTCTCGCGCACGGGCTGGTAGTGAAGTGAATGCTGCTCGTAGATGCCACCTTGTCTCTACTCCGCTAAGCCCAAAATAGAGACCCTGCAGCTCCCTTTCCGACAACGAATTATATCGGCGCTAGGCCGTTCAGCTTAGGAACAGCAACAGCCTCATCCATCAAGGAGGTTTTAACGACCTTCTTCCCTTTCGTGTCCTTGTGTTATACCTGTTCTTTCACAACACTCCTTCAAAAATAATTTAACACCGTTGCCCGCGCTTACCTTAGAAGCGCTGGGGCTGGGACGTGACAGACACGGGAAAGCATTGACGTGTTGTACGACGCAGAAGGGATTGAAGCTGGTGGCCTTGCGGCGCTGTGGACAATCTTCGTTTTCTCACGCCTACGCGCAAGCACAATACTGTTTGTACTGAGGCATCAGAATGGCGGTCCAAGACGATGGGAGAGCTTCGGCGACAGGTGCGCAACAGGGTGATGTGAGGAGACGGAATGTTTCTGGCCAACCTAACGGGAATTATATCCCCAAGGAGTTGGATGACAAGATCGATGAGAAGACCAAGGAGAAGGTATACCACAGCACGCATTGGGCGTTGGAAATGAGAGTATACTGATATGTTATGGCCAGGCCACCTCCTTCCTCCAAACCCTCGACATATACGAACCCCTCATCGCCATCCTCATCTTCACAGCGGCCGCCTTCTTCACCCGTATGTGGAAGATCGGCATCTCCAACATCGTAACCTGGGACGAAGCCCATTTCGGCAAATTCGGCTCCCACTACCTCAAACGCGAATTCTACTTCGATGTCCACCCGCCTCTTGGTAAGATGCTGGTGGGTCTGTCGGGCTACCTGGCAGGCTACAATGGCTCCTTCGAGTTCAAGTCCGGCGAGGTCTATCCTGATGAGGTCAACTACACCTTCATGCGACTTTTCAACTCGGCTTTTGGTGCGCTGTGTGTGCCCCTGGCTTATTTGACGGCGAGGGAGTTGAAGTTTAAGAGGAGTACGGTCTGGTTGGTTACACTTATGGTGTTGTGTGAGAACAGCTATACGACTATCAGCCGATTCATTTTGCTGGACAGTATGCTTTTGTTCTTCACCTTCACCACAGTGTTCACATGGGCGAAGTTCCACAACCAGCGACATGATCCTTTTGGACCGGAGTGGGCACTCTGGCTGATGCTGAGTGGTGTCTCGATCGGATGTGTATGCAGTGTTAAATGGGTGGGTATGTTCGGTACTGCACTAGTTGGACTCTACACGATTGAGACGCTGTGGAACATGTTCGGCGATCTCAAGATGCCAAAGGTCACTCTGGCCGCGCATCTCGGCTTCCGAGTCGTGGGTCTGATTTTAATCCCGCTTGTGGTTTACATGTTCAACTTTTACCTACACTTCCTCATACTGGAGAACAGCGGCCCTGGCGACGCGCAGATGTCATCTCTCTTTCAGGCCAACCTCAGGGGTACAGAAGTCGGCAAGGACAGTCCTCTTGAGGTCGCATTCGGCTCGCGCGCCACACTGAAGAACATGGGTTACGGAGGTGGACTCCTGCACTCACACGTCCAGACGTATCCCGAGGGCTCTGGCCAACAGCAAATCACCTGCTATCACCACAAAGATGCGAACAATGACTGGTTCTTCTACCCGAACCGACATGAGCCCGAGTTCGACGAGAGCGCAGACCTCAAGTTTGTTGGTGACAAGGACACCATTCGCCTCATCCACGCACAGACCGGCCGCAACCTGCATTCTCACCAAGTCGCTGCGCCGGTGACCAAGGCCGACTACGAGGTATCATGCTACGGCAACACCACAGTTGGTGACACCAAGGACCACTGGATTGTTGAGGTTGTTGATGATGCCGCATCAAGTGACTACTCGAAAGTCCGCACACTGACAACGGCCTTCCGTCTCAAGCACGCCGATCTCAACTGCTGGCTTCGTGCTGGCAACGTGAACTTGCCACAATGGGGTTTCAAGCAGATTGAGACCTCCTGTGTCAAGGAGAATCATCCTCGCGACCCATACACCCACTGGAACGTCGAGTCGCACTGGAACGAGAAGCGTAAGTCATGATATGTCGCGAAGTACCGAGCACACACTGACAATTCTGCAGTCCCCGCCGGCGACCCAGGCTCTTACAAATCCCCCTTCCTCCGCGACTTCGTCCACCTCAACGTCGCCATGATGACCTCCAACAACGCCCTCGTCCCAGACCCAGACAAACAAGACGACCTCGCCTCCAAGCCCTGGCAATGGCCACTCCTGAACGTCGGTCTCCGCATGTGTGGCTGGGACGACCACATCATCAAGTACTTCCTCCTCGGCAACCCCCTCGTCTACTGGGGCTCCACGGCCTCCCTCGTCTTCTTCGTGGGCATGATCGCCTGGTACGCCATCCGCTGGCAACGCGGCTTCGACGAGCTCACATGGGAGCAAATCGAGTTCTTCCATTACGCGGGCGTCTACCCCGTCATCGGATGGTTCTTGCACTACTTGCCCTTCCTCGCGATGGCTCGTGTGACTTATGTGCACCACTACTACCCGGCGCTGTACTTCGCCATCTTGTGCTTCGGCTTCTGCTTTGATTGGTACACCCGCGACGCACCGAAGAATCTGAGGTGGGGGGCTGCGGCTGTGTTGTATGTGGGGACGATTTATCTGTTCTGGTTGTTTAGGGCGATATGCTTTGGGATGGAGGGGTCGCATACGCAGTGGAAGCACTTGAAGTGGCTGGACTCGTGGAAGATGACGGATTAAGGGGGAGAGTGATGTTTCATGATGGAGGAGGAGTGCAGTGGGAACATGGCAAAGCATGGGGCGGCGTAGTAGGCGTAGGGAGCAGGGGAAGCACGAGTTGTAACATTATGGGATCATGTTCAGCGGGGGGATAAAAGATACCAGTGATCTCTTCTACTGTCGTTTAGACATGCAGACCTTCCAGCTTACCGACGGCGACGGTCTGCTGCTGCTCATCTGGCCAATTAGTCTGTTCATGAATAAGCTTTGTCAGCCTTGTCGCGGCTTTGTTCGCCACATCATTCTTATGCAGCCTGGGTTGTACACGTGGTCTCGGGCAGGCAATCATCTCAGTGTCACACATCATTGCACTCGAGTCCACGGCTGCAATCAGTGACCGCAGTGACTCTTCTAATATCATCTTGCATGTGATCGATATCTCGACGAGTTTAGTGAATGACACTGCCTCCCAATCGGGCACTAGCGTTCCCGTGACTGCTTCTTAAGTTGTTAGTCAGTCAAAGAGGCGCGGGGCAGTCGCTGCCTGTCCTCCTGCGGGCTTACAAGTCGAGCTACCAGCCTACACCGCATCATCAACCTGCTACCTACTACAACAACTACTGACTTCACAGTACGATCTCACAAATACCACAACTCAGCAACCACCAACATCACCACCAGACCCGCCACGATGAGGAGCGCGTTCAAGGACGAGCACACGTTCGAGAAGCGCTCGGCTGAAGCGACCCGCATACGAAGCAAATACAGCGACCGCATCCCAGTAAGTATACCTATCCCTTATCGCGACCACAACCACCGCACCCATTTCGCACCAGTTCATACTCCCCTGCACAGCAATAGCTAACACATCCCTTCTTCAGGTCATCTGCGAAAAGGTCGAGAAGTCGGACATCGCGACCATCGACAAGAAGAAGTACCTCGTCCCCGCCGACCTCACTGTCGGCCAGTTCGTCTACGTCATCCGCAAGCGCATCAAGTTGTCGCCCGAGAAGGCCATCTTCATCTTCGTCGACGAGGTCCTGCCGCCCACCGCTGCGCTCATGAGCTCCATTTACGAGGAGCACAAGGATGAGGATGGGTTTCTTTATATCACGTAAGCGATACGTACAATACTTACACATCTAGGCCATGTCACATGCTAATACCCATATCACAGCTACTCCGGCGAGAACACCTTCGGCGAGGCATAGATGCACCCGTTGACCACCAATCCCCCAACATCCAACAACACCCATCACCTACGAGAAACCCTTTCCTGGAAAACGCATGGCGAAGATGCAATACTTGGACCCCTACGGATTGAAGATGGAGGTGTCATCCATCTCCTTGCGTTCACGGGCGTTAAGTTTGGCTACGAGAGAGCGAGAGAGAGGAGGAATGTGCTATGAAATCCTATGCGAGTACTTTTTACGATTCCCAAACCACACCCACAAACCCAAGAAGCACAATAGGCAGAGACTAGCGTGGACAATATGATTATTGGCAGCGAGCGAGGCATGTATTATGACGGAGGGAGAGGAGATGTGAGTAGAGTGCCTGGCTCAGGTAGCTGCTCCGTACGCTGTCCTGCTTCATTCTGGTTCGTGATCTCGTAGTAGTGACCTCTGCAGGGCGTGATTTGATCAGAATGGTCTGGCCTCATGTTCGGAACACGTGCAATTTTGCCTGAGACTTGGACATGGGATCATAATGTTGGACGTGAACGATCGATGTCCGGAGCTCATGCACACATCTATGACTCGTGCCTTCCTGTTTCGGAAACGATGCCAACGTGCCTTCCGGACTTGACGAGCTTCCAATGCTCGAACATCACGTCAGGTTTCCGCTGCTGCCGTAGAGAGTGAACCACGAGCAAGTGATAGAATCGGCTGACTAGCTTATATAAGCACACAAGCCAAAAGCTGGTTCAGAAGCGCACGCAGGCGAGAGACAAAGTCTACCCTTCCACCTCAACACTCAGCATCCTAACCTTCGATATTCCTCCCTCTCTCTCATGTAGCCCACCATCCCGCCCGATCTCGTGCCCAGGCCGAAGGACTCTCAAGCCCCAGCTTCTCGCACAGTGCCTGACCAGGCGACAGCAGGATTTCCGGGCCCGATCTCCATCTATCTTTCTGTGGCGTGGTGAGGAGATGTGGGATGAGTTTTCGCCTTCCGGATGCTGAGCGTTTGGATCTTGTCGTCTGTGGTGAATTGGTGGCGTCCTGGTGCTTGACGGCTTCTTCTGGCCTGACTATGGCGTTGTACACTCGTTCTGCTTCGGCTGTGTTGAGCACTGATAGGACGCCGGGAGTGTTCAGGGGTGTCTGTGGCTGAGGAGGATCGACTGATCTTGGCAGTTGGGTGCGATTAGGATCTCCTCGTGGTATGGGGTTGGATTGAGGTGCCATGATGGCTCCTGGTATGGTATGCTGAACTATTGGCGGTTGGAGAAGGAATGGTGGAAGTGCTGCGGCACCGTTCTCGCACAGTATTTGGCCGCTGGGGAGCTGGTAGACGGCCACTCCTGGCATTAGAGATCTGGCTCCTGGTGGTATGGGAAGGGCATGTAACGACGGCAAGGGTGTAGCAGTCTACGCTCCACCTTCCGTGGCTGGCGGTGTCCAGAGAGTGGCGCTGCTTCTCTGGGGTTGTGAGGGCGATGGGTGTGGGATGGACTCGGTATGGTTCAAGGTGTAAGCTCGTGGCGTGGTAGTAGGTGGACTTGGTTGGGTTGTCATGACTGGTCGGAAGCGTACGTCGAGTCGTGCCTGCTTCGTCCTTGGTGGATCAGCCGCTGCTACTTTGCTAGGTGGTCGGGTTGCCATTGATCGGGTGCGAGGCCGATGTGGTGGAGTGGCGCATTTCCCAGGACTTTCAGTGACTCTCATTGCCTCTTGAAGTGCTTCCGGTGGCTCGTTGTCTCCCTCTTGGGAAGAGGCAAACACTGGTGGCACCGACCCGGACGCGCGGGTCTCATTGATATATTCTGGCGGAGCTGAGTAGTGCTGCCGTGGTAGATCGTCTTCTCCAGATGAATAAGAGAAAAATGCTCTGCTATCGATGACATTGTCACCTAAGGTTCGAAGGTACTCTTCTTGCTGTTTCCCATCAGTATAAGCCTTGTTGCCGACCAGAGGGTTCGGTCGGATGTCAACCTGTCCAGAACAGTCCGACACATTGGGGCGGCGGCCACGCTCGTTCTGCACCGAAATCGGGGCTGGGAACAAGATATAAGGACCTGACCTGACACCAGCACCAGCTCCACGGATATCTCCCGCAACCCACTCTCGGATCACATACTTGACCAGCTTCTGGCGGTCGCCCGAGGGCCCACGAATGGCAATGCGGAGCTGGGAACCTTCAAACCCGACTCGTTGCATTTCGTCGACCTTGTCAACAATCGCTTGCCATTGCGCCAGCGCCCATTCAGGGTGAACGTCCCTCCAGTGGTTTGTCGCTTGCAGGTTACTGATGTAGCTCCGGAAGGCCTCCCTAGTCTCATGGCCATTGTTGAGTAAGGCGACGGACCAGAAGACTCTGAGTGAGTACCAGGGTACTTCGGTGTCTCCACCTGCGGTATTCTTGATGAAGAAGGGGGTTTGATTGCGCTCCCACTTGCTGTCTGTCTTTCGCCGTGGCATGGTCTGGTAGCTAGAGATAATGATGGATAAGCCTGGAGTAAAGTTGAAAAGTAAGCATAGTTAAGTGAGGTGAGGAGGGCTGCGATCCGGCCTTTCCCATCTATCTGCGTTGTACTTACCTACCGGACGCCACTTTGAGCTTTGCACAGGAGAGTAAGGCCGTTGACATCTTGCTCTAGTCCTGCGCCTGCCGAATGCATGGCTGCTTCTGACTCGGTAGAATACTCTTGCCCAATGCTTGTGCAATCTCATCCGGCTGAATAGCGAATTCTGCATTTCTCTTTGGCAAAGAATGACACAAAACTTTGAACATATCCAATTAATACTTTGTGCTTCTAACAAAAGAGCCGTCTCATCGTATTCCGCCCACACCGTGTGCCGAGTCAAACCACTCTCCCCCGGCTTTTCATCTGTCTGGATATCGTACGGCTCCTTTTGATCGTGTTTCGACCGACCTTGGACTCTCGTGAAGATCGGAGCCATGCTGTAAGCTCCTTCTATTCATCACGAAATATCCCCTGCTGGAAGTTCTCGTTGGTTCGGTCACTCGTCGGATTCAATGTCTGCATTACCGAAAGGTAATCGGGACTCGGCTGCTGGAAGTTTTGGGTATACTGCGTTGGTGAAACCTGTGGCACATACGGTAGACCCGGATTTGGCGGCACAGTACCATTCCATGACCATGGCTGTAAGGTCTGCACTTGTGGTCGCGCTTCCCAGGAGAAACCTCGTTCGTCGCTCGATTGGGCGGAATTGGGAAGCTCTGCATGATCTGATTGTAGGCGAAACTTGGCGTTGGCAAAGACCCGAGACTGGAAGAGCGGTCGAATGGCGTATGATTATGTTGCATCGAATGTGGATTGGAGATAGACCGCACACTCACCTGGGGCGCTCTGCATGCTTCCCGCACTATCTGACTTGAGGAAGCATGCGAGGCGGACAGAGATGGAATTGTCTCCTGCTGTCCTAGGCGAGTCGTCGCAGTATGCTCAGGCTCCATGTGTTGCACGCCTTTATCATCCACAAATACCAAAGACCGTACACCCGACAGCTTCCCACTCAGCAGCCTCTCAACCGCAAGCTGATAGTAGTATTCCTGCTCAGATGCGAATTCCACAACGCACATAATAATTGCCTGGTACTGTGGCCACGTGCTCCGAAAATGTGACCAGTCCACTCGCCGCGTACGATCCCATGGGGACTTTCGCGTAGCGCTGCAGAGCGCTTTTCAGAATCGCAAGCACTCATTCGGTATCAGCTGCTCTCGCGCCGGGCCCGTGGTCATTATCGCCAGAACAAGCAAATCGCCCAGTGTAGCTTTTATGAGCGGCCACCACCATCGCGAGACCCTTCCTCTGTTGGGTATCTCCACGACCTCACAGGGTCAAATAGCGTCCCGTCCGTTGGTAATGGTCTCTTCGGAAGCCCTGCGTGAAGGAGGTCTTCGATCGCCTTGTCGCAGAAATCGAACATATGTGCTCTGAGTCCGCGTTTGTCCTCCGCACGCTCTAGTACGGCTTGCCACTGCAGCCAAGCCAGGTTGAGATCATATGATGCCACTGCACTGGCGGGGCCAGGACACAACTGGTGTATGCCCGGTACGAGACAGTCGAAGTGTTCACGCTCCTCTGCAGCGCGAGACATCTGTCCTGATCCCGCCCGACGCTTCTCGTCCGTCAACCTCACGACGACCTGCCAGAACGTCCTGGCGGACTCCTGATCAGCAGGAGAAGGTGGACTGGGGTTGGGAAAGCTCATATTCGAAGAAATAGACGGCACGTATAGCTTGAGTGTGCCACCGATACCAGATAGAAATTTGATTTTTGACGTCGAATGGAGAGTATGCTGTTTTGTGAATGAGGCCATGATGGAAACAATCGCTATGCGGGATGTAGTCTGGGCCGCTCTTTGGCTGGAAGTCGCGGCTACGAGCAGGCAGTGGCAACCGCAAAAGCCCAGACAGTCGCCACTCACAGCGATTGCTCCTCGTTACGTAGTGGCTGCAAGAGCGAGGTACCGTCGAGCACATTTGGATCCGACAATAGCAAGATTTAGCACGTCTCCTTGTTCATGTGATATGACTTATGCTACACGTACACTATATCAGCGCCCATTCGCCACGCCTCAAACTCCACGCCATGCCTCGTCCGATATCATACACGACCCTCTCACGAATCCACCTCCATCCCCTCACCCTCACCACCCTCAGGCCGTTCGAACGTAGTCTCAAGCCAATTCGCAATCTCCTGCCCCTCGTACATCTTGAAATTCTCATCCACGCCAGCAACGCCTAGACTGGTGTTCTCAATCGTGAGCTCCTTGTCCTGTGCCAGACTATCCTTCAACGCCCTAAGCGCGTGCTTGATCAACTCCTCCCTCGAACTGCCCTCGAACTCATCGAGATTCCTCTCCAGATACGTCCTAGCCATTTGACTTCTCGCTCCGATCCCGCAAGCCACCATTTCCTGCGTCACACCACTTGGCTGGAACTCGAAAAGATGTGGTCCCTTCTGATCCACACCCGCGATCAGCAGTCCGACGCCATAAGGTCGTTTGCCGTAGTGTTGTGTGTTCGTCTGCGCACGATCACCGATTCGTGATGTGATTTCGGAAAGTGGGATAGGGCGGTCGTAGGTCAGGCGAGAGGCGAGGGATTGTTGTTTCATAAAGTTTGAAAGGACGCGAGCATCGGAGGCGAGGCCGGCGAGGGCGATACCGTAGTGGGTGTCTATCGGGATGATCTTCTTTTGGTAGGAGGAGAGTTCTTCTGCGTTGCGCTGGGGAGATAGGTTAGTTGGTTGTGAGATGGTTTGACATGGTGTGGGTATGTACCTTGAGTGCTGCGAGGACCGCATGTGTCTTGCTGACTATGCCCACGACTACTGATCCTTGCTTGACGGCTTCTTGTGCGTACTCGACCTGGAAGATGCGGCCTTGGGGGGAGAAGGTGACGGAGCTGGCTGTTTGTTAGCATTTATCATTGTACCTAAGGGTCGTCATGTGCTCACTCGTTATCGTAATTGTTTCTGAACATCTCGGCGGCTGCGAGAGGGTTTCAAGATTATTTTAGGGGATGTACGGACAGGTTATGGACGATGATATGACTTTAGCGGATATCATCTACCACCGTAGCTGGAGGCAGAACATCGACGCGCATGAGCTAGCGGTCCAAGCTCCAATGAGGCTCTGCGGACAAACTCCCGCCGAAGACGCCGAGGTAGCCACTCTCGAAGCAAGCTGCTGCGGCGATGAGCACATTACCATATCAAAGCAGCAGGCGACGAGACAGACCACGACAACACCTGGCAGGCTAGACAACCACTGAACGGCTGGACTTTACAGCCGATTGCCATCCAGCACTACGAGAACAATAGTGACCCTCCAAGGCCATTACAACGCTCGCGCGACAGCCTAAGACCAAACAACCCCAGTCTCGAACGATCGCAAAGCGTATGCGGCAAAGATGGCAGCAGGGCTTCGAACAATCGTCATCCTCTCTTTTGTACGATTCCCTGTCCAGCATTACCACCAGCAATTTACAACCATTAACACGTGAACACAGTTCCTCGCCATAGGCTTCATGCTGTGCATCCTCTCCTCCGCCCTCTACCACAACTTCCTCCCCCTACTTGTAGTGGCAACCTACATCCTCGCACCGGTACCGAACTGGCTATGCAGCAAAGCCGAAAACCGCGATGATTTCATGGATAGTGGGAGCAGTGGGATAGCTGAGCTGGGAAGATTTATCACTGGTGCTTTTGTGGCTATGGGAATTGGTGAGTCGGTCGCAGGGAGGAATACCATGGTGTGTAAAGACAGAGCTAATGCAGTGTCTTACAGCACTCCCTGTGGTCCTGGCACATTGCCACTTGATCCAGTTCGAAGCGATGGCGATGAGTATTGTTGGTGGACTACTGATCTACAGCACGATCATCAGCTTCACCATGTTCTTCACCCAGGAAGAGGAGTTTTGAGCCCACTTTTCGACGCGTTGTCGTTCTGCGATAGCCATTATTTCTCTACTTGTACATTCGTACAAATATGGCATTCTCTGTATAATTTGGCGCCAACAACGCCTTACGATGTTCAGTTCTGAACGACTTCGTGGATACTATTCAAGGTTGATGGTAGTATGCTATGCTAACCGTGTCACTCTCGTGCAACATCCTGTCTTATCAGAACAGCCCGCTCGACGAAATTCCGCCTCTTCCTGATCGACCGCCACGAGTGCTGACCTGTTCCCCCGGAATCTGCTGCAGGTCACGGCAATGATCACCACTCTTCACAAATTTAACCACCACCTAATCTCGAATCCTTCGACCACTTTCCTGACTCGGTCGTCATCATGCAGGGGTAGCAGAAGAAAGTCCTCACCATCCCACGTGAAGCACGGATACCTCTTCTCAACGCAATCCTTGCATGCATACTTCCCCTCACACCCGAAGCGCCACCTCGCGCCCTTGCCCTGCATCTTTCTCGTGACGCACGGCGTCGCACTCTTCCTCCCAGACTTCTTCTTGAACTCCCACTGCCAATACAACCCCTTCAGCTTCTCCCAGATATTCTTGACATCCTCAATCTTATCCCAGAGCTCGGCGCAGGTGCCCTTCAGGTCCTTGTGAGCGAAGCCTCCTGGAATGCCGTTGACGTCGTATTCCGTCACTATGTCGAACTTGAAATGGTATGCACCTTCGTCCATGCTGCTGTCGCTGTGCTTTCTTTTTGACGTCGGGTCTTCGAAATCGCTGAGTTGGAGATCGTCAAGCTCGTTCTGGTCGATACGTTCCACCACTACCGAATTGCCGTTTTCTCCTTGCTCTCGCTCGGGCTCCGGGCTTCCAAAGTTGCTCAACTCGACTTCATCCGAGTCATAGTCATCGACCTCATTGTATAGTGTTCGCTTCCGCTTCTTCGTTGGTGGCAGGTTTCGAAAAGCCGCTGTCTTAACAGGAGTCGTTTTGCTTGGCTTTGGTGCAGGCCGAAAGGACAGAATGGCACGCTGGGTGGGCATCGCACTTGAATCCTTGGAGTTGAGTACGTTCTGGCTGCCTCGTAATGATGGCGCCATGCCGAAAGGCAAACAGGTCGACTTGGGCGGTGGAGCTTGAGTGAAAAGCGAGCGACCAGCAGCGTCGACCTCATCATCATCTCGGTCTTCGTAGCCCAGATCCGCTTTTCTACCATTTGAATGACCCTGCAACCTAGAGAGCTCCATGTTGGCGGCTGCGAGCTGCCTGCTCAAGCCTGCAGAGCGCTCGTTAGCCGCCTGTGCCTCATCTTGAGCCTTCTTGAGGAGAGCAGAAGCTGGAGGAGCTGTTGCTGCTTGCGGATGGGCGGAGACGGGGTGGGTAGAAATTGCTAGACGAGCTTGCAACTGCTCGGCTTGGTCCCTCGACTTCTTGGCCTCCTGGGTGTAGTAGTCCTGCGCGTCTTGCATGCGTTGATGTGCTGCATCAAGCTTGCTCTGCAGCTCTGTAATTTCCTCCTTGGCAAGCTTCAGCTGAAGTCGTCTCTTCGACGCCTCATCCTCGTGAGCCGTCGAGAACGAGATCGTGCGTTGCGGTGCCAGAGACTGCTGAGCACGTAGACTGGCGAGTTGCTGCCTTGAGGTCGAAAGCTCATGTTGGAGGCTCACGGCTTCGATGTCGGAAGCGGTTTTGTAAGCCTTGAGCCTTTCGATGGTGTTGTCTTGCTGCTCGAGCTGGCGCCGCTGCTCGTCGGCAAGGGTCCGGAAGTGCGCCATGTCAGACCCTGAGGCTGTGTCGGTAGAAGGACGTGATATTGTGGGTCGTGATGGATTGGACGGACTGTGTGGTTCGTATATGGACAATGACCCTTGTCGGAGACCTGCTTCACGCATACGGTTCTCAAGGCGAGACATGATTGCGATAGATCGTTGCCGCAAAGCAACAGACACTCTTTGTACTGCCCCTTCCACTAGTCTAGGTGGACGATGAACATATATCTTCAGTCCACGCTTCGCATGAAGCGGCCTAGCTTTACTATGTTTCATTGTGAATGGTAAAATCGCTAACTAAAAGGCCGCTCGCACTTACACATATATCAAATACAGTGAATCTCACAAGTGAAGTCGTGCTTTCAGCCAATCAGATCTCCGCTTACAAGTCTCGAAGAAGGAAGGAACGCCAACCCTTCCACGGCGTCACGTGCTATTAAACCTTATTCGGCAAACGCCAGCTTGATGGCCGGCGGCTGGCTCTCCATGGCCTGAACCGCCTCTATCCGTGCTTTTCGTGCCTCGTTCATCTCTCCAGACAGCTCCAGCGTGTTCCCGTACATTCTGTCGGCGACTGCTCGCCATAATACATTCTGCGTCTTGTTCGCAAGCGTCCGGCTAGCACGGGCTGACTTCACAGCCTGCTCGCCCACGATGTTGCTGAAGAATAGCTGCGTCATGAGACTCATTACAATACAAAGCAGTTGATTGTTGTTCGCGAGCTTCGCAGCTTGGACCGCGAATTGAAGGTTCTGCTTGATCTTGATGATGGCGGTCGTTGAGCTTTGTGTTGTTGCTCTCAGGACATGGTGTGCAGCAGGAACGGCCTTGTGATGGTGGACCAGACATGCTTCCTCAATCTGCTCCACAAGATCGTCCGCTTCAATGCTCCGACCGAGACCGCGAAGACAGAGTGCGCGGTTCAGACCAGCTACAAGACTGAGATCTCTCAAGGCAGCTTCTTCCTTGGGAACGTTCAAGTAGTCTAGCTCCTTGGCAGCAAGGAGGGCATATGCCACCTTCAACTCCCCGTTGGCCTGTCGGCATACAGCATCCATGTATATCATGAGAGCAGCCGTGAAGTCATCCATTTCAGCGAGGCTGGCCGAATTTGCACCTTGCAGTTTTTCCAATGCCTCTCGAGCAGAAACCCAGTCTGAACGAGCACATTGAGCACAAATCAATTGCAAACGTATTGTGGTCTCCATTGTGATTTGCCAGTGCGAGCGATCGATGACAGTCGGAAGAGATTGAACCATCTTGTCAGGTTGTAGCTCGACCAATTTCAACGCCTCATCTAAGAACTTCTCCGACTTCGTGTCGCCGCTGTTTTGATACGAGCTTGCCACGCCACTGAGGAGATATCCGAGAGCATATAGTCGGCCCTTGTGTATCCACTCGAAGGAGAGAGCAGCCTCGCCTTGATCTGTTCTGGCAATGACTCCCGCTGTATCTGTGAAGACTGTATCGCTAGCGGACATTCCCAGAGGCACAACGAAGCCACTGTTCTTGGTCCATGCCTTGTCTCGAGTGGCCGAGTCCATGTTCGCGTGCATGTGTTGCATCTTCTCCAGAATGTGATCCGGCCGGAACTGCATAAGAGCGCATGCAAGATCAAGGCAATCGAGCAATGCACGCGTCTGTGGTAGCTGCTGCATCTCCGGGCTCAGCTGGTGCATACGAGCTGAAGCAAGCGACCTTTGTGCCATCTCGACGGCATCGTCAGCGCCTGACCTAAGGTGTATGGCTGTTTCGAAGGCAGTAGCCATGATCTGCACGGCGGGATGCCGCAATCCGTCCGCCATGGTCTGTATAGCTGCAATACTCTTCAACGAAGTAGTGGTGTCGCCAGGAGCGTGGTTGTGCCAGGACAGCGAGACTCGCAGGAATCTGAATGTGTAGACCCAGATTGGTAGATTGAGGTCCGTGGTCTCCTTCACAAGCTTGTCTATAGCGAAAATCGCCGATTTGAGATTGCGCTTCGCATAGACTCGGACGAGAAGATGGTGCATAGCATACTTCAGATCAGTAAGGCGATTACGTTCGCACAGCGCAATGCCCTTGCTCAACACTTCTTCAGCTATCCCGAAACTCTCGGTCTCTTCGTGTAAGAGCTGAGCAAGTCTAAGGCGTACCCTGGCCTCCTTGCGTGGGTCAGAAGGCTTGAAATTCTTCAAGTATGACTGCAAGCATCCAAGAGCTGTCGCGATCAGGTGGTGGTACTCCTTGACATCGAGTTTGTGGGACCCCGAAGAGGCTACAGCTGAGCTCATGCTGTAAGCCGCTGAGACATACTCATCAGCCAGGGACAGCAGGGTAGCTTGATAGTCAACAACAGGCATTGGCGGCTTCGGCAACTGGGACGATGCAAGCTCTGTCAACGGAGAGGACTCTGGTTGACACTGCTTAACATGGTTTGGTGTTCCTCTCGGTGGCTTCTGCTGTTCGGTCGAATGTGGCAGACCCAGAGCGGCACCATCGTTTGAGCGCCGCTTCTTCACCGGCCGTGGTACGTCCTGGTACCTAGAAGCCGAGGGAGTTTGTTGGACAGGAATTTGGACGTGAGCCACAGTTCGCTGTTGTGGAGTAGGTGCCATTGGATTTGGCTGGGCTTTCCGAGATACCTGCTGCGTCTGGGGTTTCGGTCTCGAGGATGGAGTGATTGGAGACTGGTGATGAGCTGTAAGAGACACTGCACTCTGTGGCGGAGCGGGTTGGTGCTGTGGCCTTGGCTGCTGTGGTCTGTTGTGCTGTTGTGGCAGATAGCCTGTGCTCGGTTGATATGACGGCTGGTAGATCTGTGCTGGCGAGATGCCAGGCTGATAGTAGCCCTGTAATGGCGGCTGCTGAACTGGTTGATTTTGATAGTATTGCTGCGATGCTTGGAAGTTCGGCTGTTGATATGGGTCTACCATCCCAGGAAATGGGACTTCGTATGCGACTGACGGCTGCGGAGCATGTTGCAAATGAGGTGAAGTTGCCCATGGCGAATGATAGTCGGGTCGACGTGCAGTCGGGATGACCACGCGTGCTTGCATTGTTCGATGTCTCTGCTCCGTTTCAGGAAGCTGCGACTGCCCGTAAGGCCAGTAGTTTGGATCTTGTCCTTGCATCGCGACAGCTCAGGAGGGCCAGGAACTAATAGCGCATCATTCCACGATTCTCGTACGATTTACACAGTATATCCCAACATTGTAGCTCTCCCGATCTTATGGCGATGGCGATGTCCTGTGGTTAATCCATCATCTTTAGCCTTACGCGCCGAGGACGCGGCGCAGCGCACGGACCTATGGGCACAGTGAATGTGATATATCATTCGAATCTCGTTCTTGATGTAGGCTCAAGAACAGCAGGGTGAGTTCATCACATCGAGCACGACACGACTCTGCTACAAGAAGCGCGAAGTCCAGGTGAAGCAGTATAATCAATCAGAGCTGTCAACATGCAGGAGATAACTTGATTTTCTGAGCTGGCCATGGACAGAAGCTTCAGTAAATGGTATCGACAATCATGAAAGCATATCTTTGCCCGAATGTACAAGCCATTCCTTCATGCCTTGTGAGACGACAGGCTGCGTCTCTTCTAGACATTCCCTCCACCAACGCCATGCTAAAATCGACAAACATCAGTGCTACCGCGCCTACTTTGGCAACGCGAACAGCTGCGGCTTCATATTCAGCTTGCAAAGCTTCGCCACACATCCCGCGAGCTGCAGATACGTCTGTACTCCCTCCAAGATCCGCATATGTGTAAAACCAATTTCTCGAATGAATTCGAGCTTCGTATGCTCCGACAACGTCGGAAGTGTCTTCGTGACCTTGAACATAGTCGTGATGATGTCGTGGGAGGAGTAGCCCAATGTCCATAGCTCTTTGAGTGAGTCTAACGCTTCGTCGACCTTCTGCTCCTGGCAGCTCTTCAGCATGGCTTGCACTTTGACCGGATGTGGACTGTCAACAACGCGGAAGACATTGTCGCCACTCACGAATCCGAAACCAGCGTATGTCGATTGAAGATTGTTGATAGCCTGGCGCATGTCGCCTTCAGCACTGAAGACAAGCGCGGCGATGCCATCATCGCTGTACTCGACGTTCTCTGCTTTGCAGATTTGGTATATCCGCTTCACCACTTGCGCGTCTGTGAGGCGAGAGTATCGCAGAATGGCGCATCTTGACTGCAGTGGCTCGATGATCTTGTTGCTTTGATTGCAGGCGAACGCGAAGCGAGTGGTACCACTGTAGATCTCCATCGTTCGCCTCAGAGCTTGTTGTGCTCCAGAAGTCATGCTGTCTGCTTCGTCCAGGATGACAAGTTTCTGCCGACCTCCTGGCAGTGTGACCTTCTTCTGCGCAAATCCCTTGATCCTATTCCGCACCACGTCTATGCCTCGCTCGTCTGATGCATTGAGCTCGAGCACTGCTTCCTTATATGCATCTCCAAGAAGTTGTCGAGCCAGACAGAGGATGGAGGTCGTCTTGCCGATACCTGGCATTCCACTGATGATGACATGCGGCATGTTGCCATCTTTGGCGATAATCTTGAGGCGTTCGATCGTTTCTGTATTGCCGACAACATCATCGAGGAAGACCGGTCGGTATTTCTCTACCCTACCGAATTGTCAGTCCCAATCTACGATAATGGGTATTATACCGTCGTACCAGGGCAGCTCATAGTTTGTGGGTGCACCATTGGCAGCCTTCGCCGCACCATTGCTGGCAGCATCCTCTGAAGACTCTGCTCGTGCCATGATGTGCAGGTGTGTTGTAGTGAAATAATAATTGTTTTCCAAGAATGGAAGACGCGAAGCGCGTCACGCGTATCAATTCCCGATGCTTTTGCCAATCGCTCTCATCAGGCGATAGTCGATGGACTACCTCACCTCACATATCTTGCGCAACAAGGGACAAACTTTACACTTTCCGGACCTCGCGAATGTAGAAAGTAATACCGAGACACTATGATGAATTCCGGATCATACTTCTAGGTATCAGGTTATCAAGATTACTGCTGGCGATCCAGACGACCTTCTTGCTACATACCAGGACCCCAGGACTACCCACCATGATCTCTCTTCCGCTTCGACGCTTCACTGTGTACTTTGGTATTGCTGCTGGTATACTACTCCTGTTCGGATACTTCCACGAACCGATAGTATCACAAGCGAGATTCCGTTTCAGGAAGCCGCCGCCTTCGATTTCGGCTATTACGGGCTCCGTGGATGCAGCACAACCTCAGGATAAGTTTCGCTGGGACACGGTCAAGCCACGATATCCTGTGACGAACCCTCTGACCACATTGCCCACCGGGACACCAAAGAAGCTACCTCAGGTTCAGCACACTTTCAAGCCAGAAACTCCGGTGCAGGCTACAAGACGTATTGAGAGGCGAGACGCTGTCAAGCGAACATTCGCACGTTGTTGGGACTCGTACAAGCAGTATGCCTGGCTTCACGACGAACTCGCTCCGATCTCTGGTGGTACCATGAATGGCTTTGGGGGATGGGCTGCCAGCCTTGTCGACAACCTTGACAACCTCTGGATCATGGACATGAAGCCCGAGTTCGAAGAAGCTGTAAAGGCTGCGGCAGCTATAGATCTCAGCATGTCCACTCAAGAGACCATCAACGTCTTTGAGACGACTATCCGACATCTTGGAGGCCTTCTCGCGGCATACGATCTGAGCGGCGACAAGCGACTTCTGTCAAAGGCTACAGAATTTGGCGAAATGCTGTTCAGGTCGTTCGATACTCCAAATCACTTGCCCATCACGAGATGGAAGCCGCAGGAGTATCTGAAGGCTGCCCGAGAAGCTGACCCTGTCGTTCTGGTCGCAGAGATCGGTTCTTTGACGATGGAATTCACAAGACTATCCCAAGTCACCGGTGACATGAAGTACTACGATGCTGTTGCTCGCATAACACGACTGTTCGATGCCCAACAAGGCAAGACACACCTGCCTGGTATGTGGCCGGTAGTGGTGAACGCCAAGCTGGCCGATCTTACTGGCGACACTTTCTTTACGCTTTCTGCCATGTCAGACTCGTTGTATGAGTACTTCCCGAAGATGTATGCACTATTGGGAGGTCTGGAGCCTGTATACAAGAAGTTATATGACAACAGCATGCGTACGGCGATCAAGTACAATCTTTGGCGGCCAATGACGCCTGATAATGCCGACATCTTGATATCGGGCAATGTGCGGGTATCGAGCAAGGAAGATGCGAGGCTTGATCCGCAAGGTCAACATCTGGTATGCTTCGCGGGCGGTATGTTCGCCCTTGGTGGCAAGCTATTCGAGGAGTCTGAACATGTCGATGTGGGTAAGAAGCTCACAGATGGATGCATATGGACGTACAAGGCTATGCCATTGGGCATCATGCCCGAGGTGTTCAACATGGTGGCCTGCGAAGATCGCAATAGCTGCAAATGGGACGAGGAGAAGTGGCGGCAAGATGTCAAGTCTCGCCATGCTGAGAAGGATGATGTGGACGAGCTTGTCAAGGACTTCCGACTGCCTAAAGGCTTCACTGACCTGGGCGATCGTCGCTACATTCTTCGACCTGAAGCCATTGAGTCGGTCTTCCTATTATACCGGATGACCGGTGAGCAGTACTTCCAGGATGCTGCATGGGATATGTTCTCCGCCATTGTGAACGCTACGGAGACCAAACTTGCCAACGCAGCTTTGAGCGACATCAGCTTCTCTATAGAGCAGCTCGCCAAAGGCACGACCGGCGGTACAACGCAATTCGACAGTATGGAGAGCTTTTGGATGGCCGAGACGCTGAAATACTTCTATTTGACGTTTAGCGAGCCTAGTCTGATGGATCTCGATGAATATGTCTTCAATACTGAAGCACATGCTTTTAAGAGACCGTTACCAACGTAGCGGGGGAAGCTATAGAGCTTTGTATGTCTCTGACACTCTGACAGACTCAATCATCTGTTGTGTTCAACGCTCGCTGCCCTTCATCGTTGTCCTTCAACATTGGCAGAAGAACCGAGTTGAGAGGCCAGTTGCCATGAGACGATGTATCATGCATTCGTCGTCCACATATATATCGACAACCATGCCTATTTTTGGACGAAGGAAGCGGCTGCATGCATGCGCCACAGATCTCGTTGGTCAGATGGGGCTATCAGTGTGTAAGGACCATCAGCCAAAGAGTCGAGGCTACCGATTCTCCAATTCGAGTATTCTAGACGATGTACACCGTCAGGTCGAGACTTTAAGATGGTGGCAGTGATGAAATATTCAAGACCTCGAGTTGTGACGGCACACGTGGTCAATTTTAGAGATCGACCTTGCATGAAAGGCTAAGCGGCGGTCCGCGGGTGGATGTGGCAAACTACCGAGATATTGGATTATTTCGACCGATCACTGTTCCTCATACGTACCATGCTGTTTCTAGGGACCAAGGCACGAGATGGTCTGTCTAAACAGCACACCGTCTCGGAGATATCACTTGTGTTGGTGTGTGGCTGTACTCGCAGTCCGTACATCCGACATTCGCGGCTAGCCTGGAATCTTAAAGTCTATTCGAGGTGTCGGGAGGCTTAGGACTACGCAATCATCCTGGCGTCGTCATACTCTGCCCTCCTCGGATCAAATGGAAGACTTTACTTGAGTGCATTTCCTTCGTAATCTCTGTATCAGCATCATTCGGCTTTCAGCAACTGTTTTACTAGTGAACATGCGGACAACAACAGCATTTGCGCTTGCGACAGCGGCGGCGATATCTGGGGCCAAAGCAATTAATTTACTTGAGCGACGGGACGGAACAGCGCCACGCGTAGTTCAGCACGAGATACAACGACGAGAGGTCAAGAACATATTACAACGAGACCAGGCACGATTACGGAAGCGAGCATCCGGGACGGTCAGCGTAAACCTGGACAATGAAGAGACGCTATATTTCATGAATGTCACCATTGGCACACCCGCGCAAGATTTGAGGTTACACATCGATACTGGCTCTAGCGATCTATGGGTGAACGTTGCAAATAGTCAGCTATGTACAGAGCAAGGTAATCCGTGCGGAGCATCTGGCACCTACGCGCCCAACTCGTCCTCGACATACCAGTACCTCAACAGCGAATTTAACATCACGTATGTTGATGGGTCGGGATCATCTGGAGACTATGTTTCGGATACCGTCAGATTCGGCGGTGTGACTCTCCAAAACCAGCAGCTTGGTATAGGATACACGAGTACATCGATGGAGGGCATTCTGGGTATTGGCTATCCTATCAATGAGGTGGCCGTGGCATACAACGGCGGCCAGTCGTACCCCAATGTGCCACAACATCTGATGCAAAACGGCGATATCAGCAGTAATGCATACAGCTTGTGGCTCAACGACCTCGATGCATCGACCGGCTCGATTCTCTTTGGTGGCGTCAATACCGATAAGTACACTGGCGAGCTACAGACTCTCCCAATCATTCAGGAGCACGGTGTCTATGCCGAATTCCTCATCGCCTTGACTGGCGTGGGAGCGAACGGTACCGAAGGCTCCATCGCAAGCAATATCGCTAGCCCGGCTCTTCTCGACTCGGGTACTAGTCTGATGTACCTTCCCAACGACATCACAACCAGCATCTACAATGCCGTTGGCGCGGAGTACGACTCAAGACAAGGCGCCGCCTTCGTCAACTGCAACTTGGCCAACTCCCAAGCAACCGTCGACTTCACCTTTTCCGCTCCCACCATCCGCGTAGGAATGGACGAACTCGTCATCGTAGCCGGCGAGTCCCGAGGTCAGCCAGTCTGTATTCTCGGGATCGCCCCAGCGCAAGGTAGCACCCCAGTGCTAGGCGATACTTTCCTCCGATCAGCTTACGTGGTATACGATATCACGAATAACGAGGTCTCCCTCGCCCAGACAAACTTCAACAGCACCTCAGACAACATTCTTGAAATCACGAACAGCTCAAGTATCCCTTCTGCAACTGTTGTGCAGAATCCCGTCACCAGTGTTGCGGTCGAGAGTGGTGGTGCGAGGATCACTGGGTTCCCGACTGGTGTGTCTGCGGGCGCTTCGGTGCCTACTGCTGCTGTTGGGTACGGTGTGGCACTGCTTGGCGCTCTCGGTGCAGGAGCTGCGTTGGTGTTGTAAGGTGGACGTGCAGGTGTCTGCAGGCGACGAGCATGAGAGGGGATTGCTTACTATCAGCATGGCGTTAATGGCCTATTTTTATGATGATTTGCATAGCGTGGTATAGGGACATGAAATTGGACATAGCTGTTATGACTGCATACATATACATATAACGATTGCGTATTCATGATCATACAATCCAGACCAGTCGGCGTTCATCAAAGCTTTTGTAGCATTCAGGTTTGCAGAACCTCGTATCCACCACCCTTAAGCTACTTTTAAGGAGCCAGTAGTTCTGTCCACCGTCCGTTGCAACGACTCACATGGATCTCAACTGTAGGGGTCCTGCGATCCGTATCTCTACATGACCTGCCAGATGGTAACTTCAATCGTCACCGACCAGGTCAATAACCTCCCGGGTACATCCCCTGCACTTCTCGCCCTCTGCTCCCGACATGAACTTGGCGTCGATCCTAAACCGTGTCAGTTGCAACATTCCCGGCTCAATACCACAAGCTTGCACACCTGCGCTTCTTCTCACGACTCAGCTCCGCATCTAGCTTCTGACAAGAAACCTGCACTTCAGCAAGCTTCCTCTTCTCTCCCTCTCCCTCGCGCTTCAGTGTCGCCACCTGAATTCGGAGCGAGCCACTCTCATACACAGCAGTCTGCAGCTGACCGCGTGCCGACGCCAATTCGGCGAGTGCGTGGTCTCTTTGCTGCGTGATATTCTGGAGCTGTTGCACGAGCTGCGGGTCTTTAGGAGCCATGGCGGGAAAGCAGCCCATTTGCTTCTGTGCGGCGTGGGCGTTGTGCGCGGCTTGAAGTCTCTTCTCCAAGTTGCTGGTGGAACGCTGATAAGTTGCTTCCCGTTGCTCGGCGGCTCGCTGCATATTGTCGACGATGGCGTTCAGCGACTGTTTCGTTTCCGCCAGAAGACGCTCAGCTTCGATCCTCTTTGCTTCGGCACCAGCGGGTGCGAGAGCGGAGGCCTCTGCATATGTTGATTGTGCATCTTTCAACTCGGCTGCTTGACTGGCAACTTGTGCGTCGAGATCTTGAACGCGTCGTTGTGAGGCACCTAACGCGCGGCGGAGGCTAGTGTGCTCCTCGGTTTTGACCTCAGGGAGGGCTCGCTGGGATTTTCGCGCATCGCAAGGTCATTCTCAAGGTCGGCGATTGTACTTTCAAGCTCAAGGGTGCGCTTGTGGGCAGCATTGAGCTGAGCAGCATACCTTCTGGCCAGCTGACGATGAGCCATGTCGTCCTACTGGTAGGACCAGGCGCTGATGATCGGAGTGAGGGAAGTCAGACAGAGTAGGAGGGATGATTGAAAAAAACTGTGGGTGGTTTGAAATTCTGCTCTTCAAGCTCTAGTGCCAGCTTCAAGCCACCAGTGACGTTGGTGCCATGTGACCTGCGAGGGTATCATGCTCGAAAACTGCCATTCGATCCTCACAACGGCTGCAACGGATGGCTCAGCACAGTCCCAGGGAATCAGGATAAGATCATCCTCCTGCCGTCCTTCATCCATTGCCTCTTACCCCCTCTCTTCTGTGGTATGTCTTACCCCAATCACCTACTGAAACACGACTACCGAGCCCTCCGCTACTTAAGCGGCACACCTTCCTCCTCATCGTCATAATCCTTGGCCCTGAACGTGGCGACAAGTCTCCTCTTTGCACCAAGACTTGTTGTTCGTGGCGTTTCAGCCATTGGCGAACTCGCTGCCGACACCGTAGCAGAACCCAACGTCCCACCGGTCGCCGATGAGCCTTTGATATCTTTGATCCGCGCGGCCTTCATCCTGTAACAAGTCATTAACGACACTGATGCATATTCCACAATCCACAATCGATCCGCACAGATACACTTACCCTGTCTCAGCCCACCTCCTGACATCAGTCCTACACTTCCTCGCCTCCTTAACGGCCTGATCGCGCTCTTTCCCCACCTTCTCAATCTCCTCAGCTTGTTTCTTCACCTTAGACCTCAATGTACGGATCTGCTGGCCCTGAGCAGCCTCAATACCCTTTGCACTATCGATCTGGCTGGTCAGTGCAGCAAAGTTCCGCACGAATTCCTCGGCGGCTACACCTGTTTCTTCCTCGAGGGTATTGAGGAAAGTCGTGTACGTCCTCAGATCATTCGTTAGGCTCGCGTTCTCTGCCAGGAGTGTGGTATTGTCTATTTCTTTGCCGTGGGAAACAGCTGTGTCGTTCTCGATCTTGATGCTAGGGTCCGGGGTGGGAGTTGGGATGGCAATGTTTTGAGGAGGGAGTGCGGTCGACGTATTTGGTACAGGGTGGCTCTCGAGCTCGGCCAGGCAGTCTGCCAGGTGGCCTTCCAGCTCTACAATACGGCTTGTCGCCTCTGCGAGCTGGGTGGCATAGTTGCTCGCGCGGGTTCGGTGGTCCATTGTCTTGGTCTGTGGGTCTCTCGATTTTCAGACGCTGGTAGGTTTGTAGAGATGTGTGAGATATGGGTATGTGGTTTGAATTCCTGCCATTTTCAATGATCAGTGCAGTAGTCAGCGAATGAAAGTATGAACAGTCACGTGCTCATTTGCACACAGTCTCACTTCAGATGCGTGGTTGAAGTGAGGTCCCGAATGAAGTGTCGACAGATTAATGCCTTGGTTTGTAAGTGTGGTGTTACATATGTGAATGCCTGAGTAATCATGCCGCTCAAGCAAGAGGCCTATCGCAGAAATCTTACATGGCCGGCACGATTCATAGTGCCAAATTGTAAGTATAATCGTCCTCCATGTTCTGGCTGACCCAAAGCACGACCGAGCTGCGATCACATTAGCATATTCTGTCGCGGTACTATAGGATGGCATCACTCACCTCAACATAATCATAGCATTAGCAACCACATTCGCCACCCCAAACCACATGGCCGGCCAATTCGCGCCGGGAACAACATATTTTAAGACCATGACCGTCACGCCTCCGGCCAATCCGCCCGCCATAGCCGCAAATCCCATGAACAGCACAACCCGAGCCTTCCACGCCACACCATCACCGCTGTAGGAGAAGTTGTCCGCACTGAGCCGACTCTTATCAATACTATTGATGACGAGCATGCCCAAGACGGAGAAGATACCCGGGATCCAGTCGACGAAGTTGACGTGGAAGTCGGAGCCGTTAAGGTTGGATTTGGAGAAGGTGGCGGCGTCGATGAGAATGAAGAGGGCAATGGAGAACTGGGCATAGTCAGTATAAGGGGGTGATAGTGTGGTGTGTAGGTCATGGTTGTACGTACCAAGGCTCCAGCAGAGTAGACGCCTGCTGTGCGCGTGTTGGCGCTGTTGAGCCATTGGGGCTTGGGGAAGCGGAAGAGTCGGTCGCCTGATTCCATGATGGATGATGTGTACTTCGAGTATTGCTCCGTAGGCGTGGAATCTACCGTTGTCTGGTTCGAGGTCATCGCAATGAGGCTGGTGATGGATGCGGCTCTGCCACAAGCCTCGGCCCGTGCTCGCGTGCATGCTTAATTGTCAAAGCTTCTAAGATTTCTGAGCGGATTTTCATGTGAAATTCGAGGTTCAGAAGAAGAACTCAACCTTGACAACAGCCAAGATGCCACCAAAAGCGAGGACGGGGCCATCGAAGGGCGGTGACAAGCGGTCAAGCTCCAGCAAGCCATCTACATCGGCGTCCTCCAGCAAATCCAAGAAGCCCTCCGGACCACGACCAAAACCAGTGCAGCAGAAAACCAAGTCCAAAACCCCGACCCTAAAGAAGAAACCACCACATCTCCGCTACACAGAAAAGGATCTCAAACTCCCCTCACTCAACGGCATCCGCCCTGCCGGTGTCCAAAAGCCACCCAATGCCAAAAAAGGCAAGACCTTCGTAGACGACAAAGAACAGATGAACGCCATCCTGGCGATAGTCATGGCCGAGAAGGAGGGCAATATCGAGTCCAAGATGATGCGGTCGAGGCAATTGGAGGAGGTGAGGGAAGCGAGGAGGATTGAGGCGGAGAAGAGAGTGGAGAGTAAGAAGGCGGGGTTGGAGGAGAGGAAGAAGGGTATCAAGGAGGATGGAAGGAAGAAGGGGAAGGGTAGCAGGGATGATTCTGGTCCTGCTGGTGCTGAGGTGACGCAAGAGAAGGTGGGTCCGAGGAAGCTGCGCAAGCGAGTGAGCTTTGGGTGAGACGCTGTAATGGTTTATGGTCTATCCTGCACGGTCTATACATGTTGCACCATCATTGACGTGCTGCGGCAAAACGCGTTCACTGGTCACTACCCGGAACATGCATTTTCCTGCGCATCGGCTCAAACACAAAAGGCGTCTTATGCCCGCCTCGAGGTCCCTTGGCCTCTGGCGCCACAGCTTCGGACCTTAACTTCTCGAAATCCACCTCCCTCGCCATCGCATTCAAGAAAGCCACAGCCTACACACGACAGAGTCAGCAGCCACTCCCGCGCCGACCAAACAACATATAAGGGATACGTTACTCACAGGCTTAGCATGCCACCTCCCACCCCCAAACTCAAACCAACTCAGATGCCCGCCCCCACCAGTCGCACAGATCACCGTATAAGGATTCTGCCGGATCTCCTCATAAGGCACCGCCTCGTCACAAGCAATAGGATCATCCTCCGCATGCAAAGCCAGAACCGGGATTCTAATCGCCAACACCGAATCAGCAGAACTCGCATCCCTGTAATACGCGCCCTCAGTCGGATACCCCCAAGTCGCACATTGGACCTCGCGGTCGAATTCGTGGAGAAATTTCGCTTTTTGGATCCGCGATTCCGAGATGGAGGTATTCTGCAGGATCTGGGCGCGGTGGGTGGAGAAGAGGGCGAGCATGCTGCGGCCCATGGTTTTGCTGTAGATTTCTCTACCTACCCAGGTGCGTTGCAGGGAGATGGAGGAGACTTCGAGTTTCCAAGGGTTGGATACGATCAAGGCGGCGGAGAGGAGACAGGAGGAGCCTTCTTCTGCAATGTACTAGAGAGGGGAGAAGGGCAATGTTCAGCTTTTGGTAATGTAGACTCATTGCGTGTATTGTAGATACTACATACATTCGTCAAAATGTTCGCTCCGAGCGAATAGCCTACACCGAATAATGCTCTTTTCGGCCACGTCTTTCGACACCATTTCACGACTTGTCGAACATCCCATGTCGCCCTCGCATTGTAGAGGGCGGACGTCGTTATCTTGCTTCCAGCACAACCACGACTGTTCACGACAAGACATTCCCATTCCCCGCCACTCAGACCAGGAATAGAGCCCTCGGGCAGTGTTTGTGAGATGAGGGGTGCTAGGACGTGTCGGAGGTAGACTTCGTAGGAGCCGCCTGAGAGACCGTGGAGGGTGATGAGCAGGGGCTTTGTGTCCTCGGATGGTAAGGCTTCGAATTCATTATCGGTGAAGTATGTCGTACGGGGAGGCAATTTCGTGTGCCCCACGCCCACGGGATCTTCGCGGAGCCCCGAGGCCTCTGGGCCTCCGTCTTCGGCTTGCTTTCTGGCTTGAAGACTCGCGGGTGGCGCGACGACGAGATCTACGGTGAAGTGGCCCTTGAAGTTTGGGTCTTCGGCGGAGAACGTACGGCGTTTGTAGTGCACGGGTGGACCGTCGAATTTTACCGCTGTCCAGGCTGTTTGGAGGTGGCCGTTGAAGAGGAAGGGGTTTAAGTTACATGGCGGTGTTATGTCCTTGCAGAGTTCGGGAAATGCTCGCGCTGGGCCGGACTTGGTTGTGAGGACTAGGGGGTCGAGTGAGTGGGTGAATTTGGTTGTGCAGGCTCCGGGGTAGTAGGTAAGGAGGGAGGACATGGTTTTCCGGTCCTGGTGATGGTGGCCAGAAGTGTCCGAGATTTCCTGATTGATTCCTGTATGCTTTCTCGGTCGTTGGTATGTGGTTAGCAGTACTTCAGTGCTATAGAAGATGCTTTGATATGCATCGCTGGATGGGCAAGGAAATATCTGTTCTTACGTCCGTAGAGAAGAGAGAGTGGCATGATTGACGCTTGGGAGTGAAACTAGCTGTATATTAAGGTCTGACGGCGGTAGATTTCATCCCGCCGCCACTTCGCTTTGACACGTCCACCTACAGCACAAACCAAACGACAGCTCTTTCTCGATTCATATCTTAAGCTTTGCACGAGAATAGTGAACAGGGCATAATCGTCAACGTGAAAGGTAGCCTGTAGTACCGAAGTACAATAACATGCAAGCGACATGACTTCTCGCGCTCGCGGCCCCTTCGAGGAGTCCGATGTTGACTCTGTCGCATCAAACACTACAGAAGGCAGCGACGAGCTCGAGATCTATAATGTGGACCGCGTGCTAGCGGAGAAGGTCGACGATGAAGATGGCAAGCTGAAATATCTACTGAAGTGGACCGGCTATGGCGATCACCGCTCGACATGGGAGCCGAGAGAAAATGTCCAAAGCGGGAATATACTGATCGATTGGAAGCAGAGAAAACTCAAGATTCAACAGGGTGAAGAACAGCCTTTCGACCTGGAGGCGTGGGAGGATGAGTGTCAAAGCCTTTACGACCAGAGCCTGGAAAGGAGGCGGCGGCGCAAGCAAAAGCGGAGGCGGCGAGGCATGACTGTGTCATCGACTGAAGATGAGTACGACGCTGAGGAGCGGACCGAGGACGATGGTGTTCGAAAACGTGATTCGAGGATCGACAGTGACGATGTAGAGGTTATCGCTGGGGTTGGCCAGCAATGGGGTAAACGTATCAAGGCCTCTCCTATCAAGCGCAAAGGCACCGCTCAGAAGCTAGCAACTAGGAGAAGAGCCTCTACATCTTCTTCGTCCGAAGCGGAAGAGGATAACACTCAGGCAGACTCAGATTTCAACTCACTCTTTGACGCGGGTTCGCAACCAATATACCCCGACCTCGACACGTTACCGAGAAAGGTTTCAACCGTGCAGAAGGCCCCGAAACCAGCGCCCAGCAAAGTCCCGGCTTCCAGGACGAATACGAGTGCACCATTGTCCAACAAAACTCAACTGGCAAGGAGACTTGTCCCTGTGAATAGTGCCATGGCCACTGCAAAACGCTCCAAGGGTGTGTTTGCCAATTTTAACAAAGTTGGACCTGCGAAGACAAGGCAGCAGCGCGCTCCGATGGACGGTGCTAGCACAAGCGATCCCAAAGCACCGCATCTGTTCAAGAAATTGGGCCATCGATCCAGATATCAGAGACACGATCGAGAAAGAGCGCCAGACTTCAATGCTTTGACAATCATCGATCCGAGGACTGGCAGACCTGAGCCTCCAACAGCCGTATCGTCCGTTCCCGACACAGCCTCGACCAACAATACGAACCCGTACGCTCGCGGCGAGTCTAGGCCAGAGCGGTCACGCAGTGCTACACCTCCTCGTGTAGGAGCCAGTCAGATTTCCTCGGTGTTTCCATCGACCCACAGACGATTCAGGACTTGCGTGCACTGGCTAGAGAATCGGTGTAGATCGAAGGCCGAGGACTGCTCCTACGCTCATTACTATATCACAGAAGAATCCAAAGCCGCACAGGCACCTTCCAACGACGTGGACATGGGACCGCCTCCACCACCACCACTACCAGCTATGCCACCGGCGCCAACACAACAATGGGAGTTTCAGGGTAAATGGACTTCCAAATTCGAGACATCATGCTATTACTGGCTGAAAGAGGGATGTACCAAGCCGGACTCTGTATGCGAGTTTGCACATCGTATCACTGGCGTGTTACCGAATGCTGCTAGGCGCGATGCAAACCTGCCTGGTCAGCTGAAGGAGTGGAAGACCAAAATTTGTCCAGATTGGAGGCAAGGAAGATGCCTGCTTCTGGAGTCCCACTGCAAATTCGCTCATCGAGAGACGGAGTCTCAGCAAGAGCCATCGGAACAACTGATCCGGTCTTACCCACTAGGTATGAAGACCATGACATGTCACTTCTGGCTGCATGGGGGCTGTGTCAAGTCCGAAGCCGCATGTGAATTTGCTCATCATGACACGGGTCAGTACAAAGATCCTAGGGTACTGCCGGTCAGGGAAAGTGAACATGCTTCATTTGCTCCACCGCCGCCACCACCACCTCCACCTCTTCGAGATACAAATCGTGAGCAAGAACTTCTACGAACACTACCACGTAGTGAGATCACTTGTTACTTCTGGAGCATCGGAACCTGTAGGAGGGCCGACCACCAGTGTAGCTACGCTCATTGGGATACTGGTGTTGTGGCTCTGCCGCCACCTGGATTCGTTAAGCGCGATTCTATGCCCGGTCCACCCACCAGGACTCAATCTTTCAACGACGCTACGATGGACCATGGTTCGACAAGTATACTGCCGGATCTGATTGCGAGGATGGAGCCGGCACAGTCCGACACGACGACGTACCGTGGTGTGCTTCAAGTCAGTACTTCTGGATACATCAGACACAATATCGACGCGGACATCAGTGTATCTGGTCGAGCTCAATTCGAGCAGCTTTTCTACCCAGTGGCCAAAGGCATTCACTTCATGCCCGATTGCATGGTCACTCAAAGTGATGTACAGGCGTGGCTGTCGGATCTGGTCGCTCAAGGTATGAGCTGGCCGGCGGGCACCATACAGCCAGTTGAAGGTTCGCGGCAGGTGGCAGACAAGCTTGCTGAGGTTGGGAGGCTGCACGCGGCTGCTTTCGCTTCACTCCAAGACTCCTTCACGTTGCTTGTGTACCCTGCCGACTCCGATCTCTGGCGCTTCATCGAGCCTTCGAATGCTCCACCATCGGCTTCTGCGCCTCTACGATTCCGACTGCTGCCGCCTTTGACAGGAGTCGAGATGCCACCGAACAAGTCCCAGAATTTTCAGCTCCCAATCATCCCTGATACTGTCAAAGATCGAGCGTCAGTAGCTGCGACCATGTACGTGCTAGGCTTTGACCCTGAGATCGTTCTCCTGCCCGAGAAAGACAAAGAGAATCGCATTTTTCTAGCATGGCCCGAGAGCCGTGCAGAAGAGATGCAGTTCCTGATTCGCCTTTTCCAAGACCTCAAATGTAAAGTCTACCATTCTGGTGCGGCTGGAAGCTGGGACTACGTTCGCAAGAACCACCGATCCTTTGCGCTGATCGTGCATCCCGACACACCGTTCTGGGCACTTCCTGGCCTGTACGCATTGCTGCAATCAGGCAGTGCTTTTAGAGTATTCTGTGTAGGCCCGCAGCTCGACTTTGATGCTGGAGACATGGTGCCGAAGTACACTCTCAAGCGCCTCTTCCCTAACGGCAAGGCTACACTGCTGACGGACAGTCTGTTTACCGATCGCCCGGAGAGAGCGACCGAGCTCATTCGTCAATTCCTTGTCGAATCGAATAACAAGCCGGAGGGCGGTCGCAACGACAAGATTGTGACCAGGCCGGGTGTCAAGCAATGGTTGTTCGAGCTTTTGGAGCATCACACCAGACCTGATGATACTGTTGACGCCTGCTGGATCGATCTGTACAGTGCTGTAAACGAGCTCTGTCCGCCCGAAGATGAAGATCTTGAGGAGCCGTCGACCCCTCTGCCAGAATCATACCTTGTATCTATACCAGCGAGACAGATGCCGACTTTCATGGGACTCACGAACACAGACTCGGAGGCAGCGGCGGATCTGCTGGTACAGTGGTTCGCGGGGTGGGCTGTAGAAAATGCTCCCAACTTCCGCCGATTTGTCGTCTGTCATGAGTCGCAGAAGACGGAGGTTGTTGTGGATGGGAATGGGAGGTCGAGTGTTCAAGTTGTCGTTGATCCCGAAGGATGGGCAAACAAGTATAGGCATGTTGGTGTACTGCGGCTGGAAGATATCCTACCGAAGAAGGGCAGGAAATAGTGGTGGTGGACTGGCAAGCTGCGCGTCGTGTCTAATCTACTTGCGCGAGACAGTCTGCCAGATAGGTAGTCTCAATGATCTTGTTTCTCGTTCATAATAGAAGCTCTGCGACATAGGCTTTATACGAGGAGTCGAAGACTCGACTTAACTCACTTCACTTTTTGACAGAGATGCTGTGAAGACTACAAGATGGAGTAGAACCCCATGTCAATATCGTAGTAGACCAATGACGATCTGATAAGCGCGGGAATATGGGCTTCCTCGAACTTCGCGTCGAGAAGAATGATTGAACAGCTACATATTTCACGGCCGAACTCACAGACTCTGCTGCCTTCATTATCCTCTCCTTCAGATACACTGATATAGCTGTATCGCATACTGACTCTGTGAAAAGGGTAAGGAGCAAATCGCCCAGTATGGCGGCGACAGAAGATGCGGTTGCGCTGAAGAACAAAGGTACGGCACGTGCTCTCAGTAATATATGGTTATGTCCTGATGTATGGCAACAGGAAACGATGCTTTCAAGAGCAAAGACTGGCCGACAGCGATAGAGTTCTACACAAAGGCGATCGAGTTGAACGACAAAGAGCCTTCTTTCTACACCAACCGAGCACAAGCGAATATCAAACTCGAGGCATATGGCTACGCAATCGCCGATGCATCCAAGGCGATAGACATTGACAGCTCGTTCGTCAAGGCATTCTACAGAAGGGCGGTAGCCAACACGGCGATACTGAAGCATGGCGATGCGATTCACGACTGGAAGATGGTGGTGCGGAAGAATCCTGCAGACAAGGTTGCCAAGGCACAGTATGAGGCATGTCAGAAGATGGTGAAGCGCGATGCTTTCCTCAAAGCCATCGAGGTGGCGGATGCACCATCTGCGGCAATTGGTCTGGATCTGGAAAGCATGGTGGTAGAGGATTCCTACGACGGTGCACAATTGAAGGACTCCACAATGACCCAAGGATTCATCGATGACATGATTACCCGCTTCAAGAACGGCAAGAAGCTCCACCGGAAGTATGTCTTCCAGATAATCCTGGCGGTCAAAGATCTCGTCTACAACGAACCAACTATGGTCGAAACCCAAGTTGCATCAAACCACAAACTCACAGTCTGCGGGGACACACATGGCCAGTACTTCGACCTGCTCGAGATCTTCCGGCTCAACGGCTTCCCCTCTGACACCCACGGCTACCTCTTCAACGGCGACTTCGTAGATCGCGGCAGCTGGTCGACGGAAATCGCACTCCTGCTTTACGCGTACAAAATGCTCCACCCTACCAACTTCTTCCTCAACCGCGGCAACCACGAGACAGATGATATGAACCGCATGTACGGCTTCGAAGGCGAATGCAAAGCCAAGTACAACGAGCGGGTCTTCAAACTCTTCTCCGAGTCCTTCTCTGCCCTACCCCTCGCTACGCTCATCGGCGACAAGTTCTTGACATTACACGGCGGACTCTTCTCGGATGATGCGGTGATGTTGGACGATATTCGTGCCTTGAATCGCCATAAACAGCGCCAACCTGGACAATCAGGTCTGATGATGGAGATGCTCTGGACAGATCCTCAAACAGCTCCTGGTCGAGGTCCGTCAAAACGCGGCGTAGGGATGCAATTCGGGCCGGACGTCACGAAGCGATTCTGTGAGAAGAATGGTCTGGAAGCTATCATTCGCAGTCATGAGGTCAGGATGGAAGGATATGAGGTTGAGCACGATGGGCGATGTATCACCGTTTTCTCAGCGCCCAAGTACTGCGATTCGACGGAGAACAAGGGCGCGTACATCAACATCGAATCGGATCTCAAGCTGGATTTCCACAAGTTTGATGCAGTGCCGCATCCGGACATCAAGCCTATGGTAAGTTTCACGATTTGATCTCTACTGCTGCGAAATGCTAATATTTTCAACAGGCGTACGCAAATAATGGTATGATGTCGATGATGGGTATGTAAGGGCAAACGAACAATGCTTTCATCGGATAAAGGATGTGGTGGAGATTGTGCTATGTATCACATGTACAGCTCGCATTTCCCTGGTGTATGGACAGGGGTAGGGACTTCTTGCATAGCGCCGGCGAAAGATAAGGGAAGGGTAGTAGCATGGAGTTTGGAAAGGGCCTAGAGTGAAGACTCGCATTACTATGCATGGTCAAGATCAAGCACCCTACCACTGTCCGAATTGGAGGTAGTGCTGCATACAGCCAGATCAGAAACTTCCTTGCAAGCATTGTAGGCAGTGAGTAATTTCATGCCGAGTCGTTCAGCGTAGCTACTCCTATCGTACACAGACATCAAATCGGCTATTGACGATGATTACCTCCATTTCCAGGTCGGTCGAACGTCGACTGCCGATACCTGTCCATAGTTTGTAGGCTGTATCTAGGGCTGGTAGTCAGCACTACGCAGGAAGATTGCATATCGCTCCACTTACACCTCATAATCAGCAGGTGTCTTTACAACATGCCGACCCTGCTCATGCCGATGCTCGTGAACGTCCAAACTCGACAGAGGGGAATTGTCTGTCTCCGTCTCAGCAAAACTGAGATCGCCCTTCGAGCTTTTACCGGCCGCTCCTCTGCCAAAGTCGCTTCTTCCCATGGTCTCATAGTCCTCTGCGCCACTGACTCGATGGATACTGCTCGCATCGAGCCTTCTGACACTCTGCCGAGATTCAATACGTTGACGGGATCCATGCATAGATCGCTGGAGGGTTTGACTGAGGTATTTGCGGAACAATACTCGTAAGGCGGGTGCGGAAGCGCACATGAGACCCAGTTGCAACTCCAGATGCGCCCAGACGAAGACGTCGAAGATCATCCAGCTGACATCTGAGTTGTGGCCGACCTCTGCGGAAAGGGTTAGCGATCTGGTTTAAGCTTGCTGCTGTGATACTGACCGTAGAGATAATATGTCCGGACACCGCTCGCTGCGACCACGACGAGGCCGAGGGAGAATACGATAAGTAGAGCAAACTTCTGTCGCTTAGGCAGACTGATAGACCAGACCATGGTCGAGGGTAGAATGACCGAGTACAAATCACTAAAAGCTGCAGCAATGCCTGCCAACAAGTTGATGACTGTGGTATCAACACACGTGTAGTGGCGAGTGTACGTTGGGTCGAAGGCTTTCCAGTATGCATCCGTTGGCGAGCAGTTGAAGATCAGTGTCAGGATGAAGGCCACGCTATAAGCGGCGGTGAATGTGATCGCGAAGATCACGGCGACCTTCCATCGTCTTTTGTAGGTACCGTCAACGATGTGTCGGTAGAAAAGTAATACCGAGATTTTTGTGAAGCCGCCGCTGATGAGGAAGGCCAGCTCAGCAAGCCATGTCATCTCTGCAATACCCTCGTACTTGGTGAGAGGGACGTCCCATGCGTGGCGGCCGACATCGTAATTGAAGTCGCCTATGAGGATGACGACGAGGAACATGACTCCACCGAGCCATCCTGCGAACAGCAATAAGTCGTCGAGCCCTAGATGCTGCGTTCCTAGCTGTGCTGTTGCGCGGAGCCAGAATCGTGTAGCTACCATCAGAGAGCCAACAGCGAAAAGAGTGATCGCATACCCAGGCATCCAGGTTCGTTCCACAGGGTCGACAAGGTTTGGCTTGGGCCTGCAACATTCTTAGCATTTTCGGTATTTCAGCAGGTCCACTGGCTGTGTACCATGCTGCGATATCCTCAGGACTGATGTTAATGATGTTGCCCGGCATCACGGCAAGCCGTATTCAGGTCCTCCACCGAAAGAAACAGGATAGTGAAGGAGAAACAAATTGACAAAAGCTGTAGACAAGATCCGCTGCACAGCGGAGTAGTCAGTGATGATGTCTATAGGCTATGAAGCCAGCCGAACAGGCCCAAACAGTATCCTGGCATCACCTTTCCTCATGAAGTTCATGATTGTCGTGGACAAGCGCTGTGTACGTGCTGAGTGCTTGAACAAGCAGTCCCTGAAGACTAGCGTCAAGCTGGTCAACACCCGGTCAAACTGCATCTGACAAGGCCCACTATTGAGAGTTGCCGTGGAGGCATTCGGCAGTTGGGCCCGAGGAGTGAGTTTCTCTGTTCACGCTCGCGTGACCATCGAAGACCAGTATACATTCTTTGCCTACTGGAAGCCCGTTACAGGCCTTTCTCCGTTTGAAGGCGTCAACATGTTTCGGTGTACGAACGTCCTCGATCAAGACGCCATCGTATCTCCGGTCCTAAGTTGTTAGACGTCTGCATATGGAACAAAGGCCGTCTCAAATGCGCTCTCCAACCTCACCACTTCTCTGTTAGCGTGAAGGTCGTTCCTCGTCTGACTCGCACGCGCCATGCTAGCCGCGGTAGGCATCCCCTTGACCCGCACGGCATCGTCGGAGCTGCTGCTTTCTTAGTGCTATACGGTACTCTTTCCTCTGACGGCTTTGTGGAAGACGTCAAGTCGATCGACGGCTTGCGCATTAGCCATCACTGCTGCGGCGCTAGATGCTGTATACGACTGACTTCCGCGGTCTACGTCGCTTGCTGTAATGTAGGTAGCGATCGGCCTGTTCGATTTTAGAGATCGTCGAATTGGCACCGCTTATGGTCGCCTGCTTCGCTTACGATAGGACTTTTCTGCGCCTTCGCTTATCATGTGTAGCGTGGTCGCTGGAAACTCGCAAATGCTAGGCGCGACGTTGCTGCGCGTAGAAGGAGAGGTTGAAGATCCACTTGTACCTGCATGATCCGGCAGTGTCGATCCGAATTAACAGCTTTGGGCCCCATAATTAGGAAGTTGTGGTACGTCTTTGATAGAGAAGGATAGGTGTGTATAATATCCCTGAACAATTGTACCAAGGCTGGTTGCTTTGATTCTTTTAAACAGTATTCTTTGCGTTTCGTATACATGTAGCATATAGCAAAAGTTGCACAGTGAAGATGTTGGTGGCCAATGAGAAAAGTCCTGGGATATGAAGGCTAGTAAACCTTAATAATATCTTCCGCTTCCACCACAATTATTCATCCTTCGACGTCAGCACACCCAAATCATTCCATCATCAGGGCCATCACAATACACAAGCCAATAGCCCGTAAGTGCCGACGGAGTTCATAGACACGTCGCCACGACAGCATGGCTCTCCGCGCACTGCGCGCCTGCATGGTGTGCTCAATCGTGCAGCCACAATCGAAATTCAGTCGCGAGGGCTGTCCCAACTGTGAAGAGTTCCTCGAGCTACGCGGTAATCAAGACAGTATCGGCGAGGCAACTAGCCAGGTATTCGAGGGTCTCATCACGCTCTCCGATCCACTAGGAAGCTGGGTGGCGAAATGGCAGAGACTACAGGATTATGTTCCTGGTACCTACGCGATCAAGGTGGTTGGTGTGGTATGTATTAAAGGAATACAAAGAGGCACGATGAATTGTGACCGGCAAGCTGACTGTGGTACAGCTACCGGATGACTATGTCTCTGCAGCGGAGAACGCTGGCGTGAAGTATATCCCGTATGTATATTGAGGCGTGGAGGTTCGCAGACGGTAGTGCTAATGCGAGATTAGACGTGACGGTAGCAATATCGAAGACGAGGCATGAACGATGAGCATCATTTAGTACAGCGTTATAGCGAAGGCGTTGGGACTGCTTTGTGGTATCTAGCAACCCTTTGTGAACAGCTGGTTGGGTATCACCGATGCGGAGAGAGTTATCAGGATAGACATGATGCAACAGAGAAGGGTCCTACCAGCTTCTTTTATTCATATGATTTACAATGCCCCACCCTCATCGACATCTTCTTCTTCACAACACAGCGACAAGCACGCTCGCTAAAGCTACAGCAGGAACTAATTACAGCTTCGCCCTGAGCACCACGCTCAAATCCCGACTCCTACTCTACGGACTCTCCCCTGCCTTCTCCTCATCCTTCTCGACATCACTCGTGTCCTGGGACTGGCTACTGTGTCCTCTTTCAGTCTCTATCTCTTGTGTAGCATACGATTGCACCTTGCTGCTCCCATTTGGCACATGGAACCTGAGATGGATCTCTGCCACTGCGAACAGAACCAAGATCATGATCTCTGGCACGAATTCGAAGCAGTAGAAAGCTGCCTTGTTGTCGTACCAAGCCGGATCATTCATAGGCCGAGGGGCTTGCCAAGTGGTCCCACATCTGAATCCAGCGATGAGCAGTGCGAGCGCGCACGAGATCCCACAGATGATGATCTTCATCCTCATCTCGCCTTTGCCGAAGTGCTCAGCTTTGGGCGACTCATTGAGCAGCAAGCTCGTGATGAGCATGGCGGGAGCCAGCGCCGTGAAAACGGTGAATACCGTAAGACCAGCTAACAAAACATCTCTCGCTGCATGAAGGAGCGACGGCTTGAGCGTATAGCTGCTCACCACCACCATACTGATCACCAAACAGATTGCAATTCCCATCATCCAGTAAAAGGCCACACAAACATAATGTAGCGCTCGGTTCCATCCCAATTCTGGCTGTCTGGCGCGAAAGATCCGTAAGGCGAAGATGAAGTTGATGATATAGATCAACAAGATTCCCGCATTGACAAAGATATTAGCAGCAATGGCGACAGAAACATTGTGTGGTCGTGTGGCCCAGACGATTCGGAGAATGAAGGTCAGCACTCGACACATGCAGAAGCCAAAAAGGACCCAGTTGATCAGGAACTTGTGCTTTCGCCGGCGATTCAGCTGGAATGTGGCCTGGTTGAGTATCGCAAAGGCAAGGTAAAAAACCATAAGGATGGCGGAGATGGGAACGTCGACCTTGGCGGTTGGTAGGCCTCCCACGCCCGCGCTGTGGGAAGGATAGGGCGGCTGATATGGCGTCAGTGAGTGGGCGGCATTCGAGATGGAATGATAAGGGATGACTTACGCCTTGTGGGTGTGCTAAACTCTGTGACATCGTGTTGTCTGTGAATCTGTTGCGCCGCGGTTGTTCAGGGTTGGTGCGCTTCAGTCGTCAGGTCGTAGGTGCCGCTGAATTTTGCTAATGGGATGTCGAGCTCACTGCAAGTCGATTGTGATGGAGTCGGGTGGATGATTCCAAAGGTACGGAGCAGTGGTGCCACCACGTCCATCTTATTGTTCAAGCGCATGGTCGCCATCTGTCCGATCGGACAACGGAGTGCGTTCTCATCCAGTCTGCGAAACTACGTAGGCCCGACGGCGTTGGTGGAATGTTTGTAATAGCCAATGATCGCGCTGTGTTCTCGGAGCAATCCGGCTCCGCGTCCGAGAAGTCGTCCGTTCCGAAAGGTCACTTCAGATCGATGGACTTTCATTCTTGCCAGAGCGACTCATGAGGTCAGTTCGTAAGCCGATGAAAAGCGCGTTCCTATCATACTCGTGGTACTACACATGTCCCATCAGCAACCTCATAAGTTCTCCAAGCCGCAGCAGCACATTCACACGGTTCGCATCACTGGCAAGCTGTAGCGTTTCGTCCGTCCGGCCTCGCTCACGATAGTGGCAAGGCGTCCGAAATCGACCCACTCATCACCAAAGAGGTATGAACCCGCTTAGTGTTACTTCTGCTGCCGCACGGAAAGGCACTCGTAGCTGCATCGACTGTAAGTTTCGCGTATGAACTGGCGTTGCAGCGTACACTGATCTTGTACAGGCAGACAGCGTAAGGTCAAGTGCATCTGGCCAGATGCTGCTGCAAAGACTTGCAAAAGCTGTCTCGAGCGCCGACAACCTTGCGTTCCACAGCGTGTGGTCCCTCGAGATACTCGTGTCAATCGTGTGACATCGAGACATCGTATCGCTCAACTGGAGCAGAATGTTTCTACATTGTGGAACCTCGTGCAGAAGCTCGAGGCTCGAGCAGGTAATTCTGACAGCAACCGCTTGATGTCCATGCCTGTGAACCGTGCCGGGTCACATCTTCTCCAGACTGCAGATGAGGACGACAATACAGACTCGGATGCATCGGAAACATCTCCAGCCAACGCTCCCACACATCTGAGACAGCTCTTCGATGATGGCCCTCTGGATTATGCGGAAGTGCAATCTCCATGGATGACAGGCCAGCACAGTAGTCGGATTGAGCATCGTAAGGAGCGAGCAAGGACTCTATTACGACGTCTTTTGCCACCAAGAGAGAAAGTGGCCTCAATCGCGGCTAACTCCGGGCCATGGCTGAACATAATAAGAGACATGCTGTTCACACCTTATGGCGTGGAGTCTACAGCCACGATTGTTTCTCGCTGGGATAAGGTTCAGGATCCCGATGTGAGCCCAATAGAACTTGCCATGCTACTCATTACGTTAGCGACTACTATTCAGCAAATGCCGGCAGAGACAGTGACCCAGATCTTCTCAAGTCTGGAGGCTGGTTACGACTTCAGTCAGAAAGTGTCAGACGTGGTCTCGACGGCCATAGTCAACGATGATGTCCTCGCTGCATCACTAGAAGGTTTGGAGGTTTGCTGCTGGTGGCTCCGCCTGTGAGTAGTAGCTAGCCATCCTGGCTGATTGCCTCTGCTGACTCCCGTCTAGTCAACTGCTGACATCAGACGAGAAGACTTATCTTGTCCTTCGTAGAGTCATTGCTTTAGGGGAGATGCTTGGCCTGCCCAAAGTTGCAAATGGTATCAGCGCATACGAAGCTAGAAAGTCCGTGCTCCGATCAGATCTAACGCCTGCACAACATCGTCAAGCCGGTGGAGTCGCCTTGTGGACAGCCATATGTGCAGCCGATCGACTCGCCTCGTTGCTTTTCAATTTCCCTCTCGGGACGGGTCACTACCAATTTTTGCATTGTGATCCGTATCAGGACGGCCAGGTTGATCCACAAACATATCTGTGTAGACTGGCCGACATTGCTACTGGCGTACAGGCCATCGACAATCTCAGTGCCCAAGGCGCATCTCCATCTGAGATGTGCGACAAGGCCCTTCACGTCGATCAACAATTACGCAAGTTGTACGGGTCCGTACCGAGAACGTGGTGGGAGGCCTTGCCCGACAGAGCTTCTCCCGATGGCTTCCTACAGCACTTTCACAATTATGTCATTGTGCGAGCACATATGCAGCTGGCTTTGAAGAACGATGCTGGGACTCAATTTGCTTATAGCGAGCTGATATGTATGGAGGCATGTCGTGAGCTGGCACGACTATATACTATCGTGCGCCGGATGCTGCCTAGTGGCTTCTTTGCCTCGCGTGTCCTCGATCTGCAAGCTCTGACTGCAGCTATTGTACTGCTCAAGAAGCAGCATCAAGCTCCACTATCAGCGTCTGCCGCTAGCCAAGAGACGACTGCCATGCTTATTGATCGTTTACTCGAAGCCATGGACCTAGGAGCTAGTTTTCCGGGAGGAAAGATAGCACAGCAAGGAGCTCACGCCATTCGAGCCATTGCCGCACTTCTTAGTGACAAGCATTCTACCGAGGATAGGTCCCTCACGCTTAGAGTACCGCTGCTTGGTAGGATTGACGTCCATCGTAAAGCGCCGCAACCTGTCCAGCCTGCACAAGAGCAGGTGATGCAGCCCAGCCAATACTGGCCCTCCCTAGCGCCTAATCCATCGGCGAATGAGGCAGGGATCAACGTCAATGGCCAAGCATTTGTACAGGAGATCGACCCGATGGCCTGGTCCTTGGAGATATCTGAGCTTCCTCCTTTCTTCTCTGATGATGCCTATGGCCAAGATCCCTGGTTCTCGTTTGGCATACCAAATGTTGGGATAGAGGGGCTCGGAGGCAGCTAGCCGGGTGACTATCTTAAGTGTTCGCAGCCATTGTTACACAAGTTCTTTCATCGGACCCACTCACTTGCCTCAATCGGTTTAGGTAGCAAACGCTGATGAGATTCTCAAACGATCCATCAGCTTCCATGGGTTCGTTATCAGAACATCAAGACACCAACCACTTCCTATGCACCACATTTTTCCTAGCTCGACAGTCGCACAACGATGGCTTCAGCAGAGATGGCCACCATTGTGCTCGATCTCACGTCAGAGATGCCAAGGGTCAATGATGGGCGCTACACCAGGCTAGTGAACGAGTTGAGTGCTGGCCTGGGACCTGAAGACGAAGCCGGCGGGATGGTGATCGCGTTAGTGGTGCGAAACACAAACGTAATCTCCGGTAACGATGTGGTTGCCAAATTTGAGACGGCGGTTAAGGCTTGGAGTACCGCCTGTGAAGGTGTCAATACATCCTGGAATCGCCTTTTCGCCTTCTCACAGACATACAGAAACGCCGGAGTGAAGGAGTTGGCCAAACGCCTGCCCACTGCTCTTAAGAGTGAGCGTCTGCAAGTCCAAGGTCAGATCGAGGAACATCGATTCAAGCTGGCCCGCCGGCTGGAGCGTGCACGAGCTCGCCGAAGTCACGCTTCTAATCCATCTGCTGCACGCACTTTAGCAGAGCCTCAGGGCCAGGCAACTAGGTCGCACCATGAGATCCCGCTTCAGAAGACTTCCAAGACATGGACTCGGGAGGAGCAGAAGAAGACGGCTGACAATCAGTCTACGAAGACTACAAGCACCATCCCACCTTCCGGACCCAAAGCTCCAGTTCTACCAGGTGAGAAGACTTGCTTCTTCTACTGCGGCCATGGGGGTTGCAGGAAGACGCCTACAACATGCAAATTCCTGCACGAGATGACAGATCCACTGGTCATTGCAAATCCACCGCCTCAGTACGAACATCCTAGCGAAGACTGCGGTATCCGTGCATGCCCTGTCATGATAACTCGTCGACAGATCCAAGCCCGAGAACCAACCACACCAGGCGCGAGGTCCGCACTCCGTCAGAGTTTGCCCTACCGACTCGAGGATGGCATCGCTGCCTCACCGCCCCTGATCCTTGCCCTGCTGCGTACAACCCACCCACAGCTCAGCCTGGCAATGCCGACTTCTAAGCCCTGATCCGCCAGATTACGGCCGATTATTCCAAAAATCAGCCATCGACGGGCTCAAGTACCACCTCTCGTACCGCCACTAAGGCAACCTCCGACAAGTACGCTCCCAGCAGCAACAACAGCAAGCGCAACCGGGATCATCACGTCGAACCAAAATCCGTTAAGCGTCAACGGTCAAACAACGACAGCCCCACGACACCCTTTAACCGTCTCGTGTGCTATCGCTGCCGTCGCGAGGATGATGGCAACGCTCACTGCATCCACCGTCAGCGTATCGGCTTCAAGTGCGGATACTAAGCCTGTGAGGATGGTGACTCGTGCGTGACTGCTACCTGTACGCTCATGCATCCCAATCAGTTTCGTCATTTGAACGCCAAGCGTGGGAGGTACCGTGTTCGGGACGACAGCTCCTCTCGCAATTAGCGACAAGCACGGCCAGCGCGAATGTTGTGCGGCTTAAGTTCGGGGAGAGCTCGAGGGAATAGGAGGATCTGGATTCAGGAATTAGGTCAATGCACTAATGCTGAGCAACACAAAGTATGTCTAATGGTTAGTATGGTCTATGGCACATCGATGATGAGATACTTTATCGAGTCCGGGTCCTGTATCTAGCTATACAGATCTAGAACTTCGGCTGAGCAGCAGGACTCAAGGTCGGTTTCTTCCCCGGCGCAGTCTTGATCCCCTGCGCCACTCCACTCGAAAACGAGTTCCAAGTATCCGGATGATTCCGCCTCGCCTCCTCCATTACCCGTAAAAAGTCCTCCCGCAACTTCTTGACATCCTTGTATTTCACTTCCTTATCCGCTCCCACGTCCCAGTACAACTCTTCTGCTTCGAACTGCACATTCCTCAAATTATCTCTACTCTGTCGTAGACGATTCGGTAGCCCATTTCCCTTCATCAATGCCAGTGCGCCCGCTACAACCGTGCTGACGGCGCCCAGACAGGCGACGGCGATATGCGTATCTGTCCTCGCCAAGCCTCCCAACACAATAAAAACTGCGCTCAAGAACAGTTGTAAGATTAGGAGGCTATAGGTTAGTATGTCAAACGTCCTGTACATCGTGTTCGTGTAGTTCAGCCTCTCGCATATCCTCCCATATAAGCCATGCTTAATTGTCAAATCTCGTGGATTCTGTTGCTTGGATATTGGTGCTTTCATTCCAATAAGTTCGTAGAAGTTGGCAGGCGTTAAGGGCGTGAGGTCGTCCTCCAGCCGGTCAGCGGCAAGGTCTATGTCGTCGACCTTTGGTGCCGTGAAGACGGATTTCTTGGCCGAAGCCGGAGTTTGAGGTGCTGGGCCGCCATTGGGTCGACGGGTTATGGCTGGACTTTGAGCGGTGTTGCTGTTTGTGTTGCCTTGTGGTTGCGGCTGGCTCTGGCCTTGGGACTGTGTCCGCAGCTGTAGTTGTGATGGTTGGTGCTGGAGCTGATGTTGAGGAGTTGGTGGTTGTGAAGTCTGCTTGAGTGCGTGCTGGGATCGTGTCGGGTGCTGAGAGCAGATGGGTCAGCATGTGCATGCCATCGTCCACAAGTCATGCTTTCTACCAGTATGATCGAACTGTCGCCGGGACTCAATGCCCTCTCGAAGTCCTTATCACCATAGTCATGCTCTTTGATACCATGGTCACCCTTCTCTACATCGCTTGGCTCTTTATATATACTTGCCCTCCACGAGCGGACCGAATTAGCTAGGTCTTTGGGCAACTCATGCATATTCGTCCAGTGGGCCACAAGTCATGGTATGCATCTGCGAGATGACGGCCAAGCACGAGTACAGGGGAGTCATGATCATCTGCTATACTCGAAGGATCCACGGCGAAAAGGCCACTATCTTCAGCCTTTACTACTACAACAAAGGCTGACACCCACGCCGCCTCACGTTCCCGCCCGATTCGTCCCAAGGCTGTCGTCATGGCGATCGGTACAATAGAGCTTGGACCACACGGTATAGCTCACCATAATGCGTCAGCCCTATACGGAGACGAATTGCTTCACTCTTCTACGTTACGTGACCCAAGGCATCAACGACGAGAGACCTTGCGCTGCTGTCCTCCGTGTGTGGCCTGATACTGAAGTAATCAGGCCTCCTGCTCGAAGTACGTAGAGGTACGTGAGCTGACCGGAGTTACCAATTATCGAAAGCGTAAATACGTGTTCTGCCCGCCATTGCTGCAGCTCAAGGTTAACGGTGAAGATGACCGTATAAGTATCAGGCCAACCCAAGAAGCTTCTTATGACTACACTTATCAACCACCACCAACACATCCCAGATATCCATACCACCAAGATCATTCACAATGGCCTTCCCACCAGCAAAGAAACCCACTAGCCTCCTAGGATTCCACCGCATCCTCTCACCCACCGCCGGCGTCCGCGTATCACCATTATGTCTAGGCGCCATGAACTTCGGCGAAGCCTGGAAGTCCTTCTTAGGCGAATGTAGCAAGGAGACCTCTTTTGCCATGCTAGATTACTTCTACGAACAAGGCGGCAACTTCATTGACACAGCCAATAACTACCAAGGCGAGGAGAGTGAAACTTGGATCGGCGAGTGGATGGCATCTAAGGGGAATCGCGATGAGATGGTCATCGCCACCAAGTTCACGACTGGCTTTCGACCACAAGCTGCACCGGAGAAGCTGAAGACGAACTTTCAGGGCAATCACGCCAAATCCTTGCGAGTGTCGCTGGAGCATAGTCTGAAGAAATTACAGTCGAGTTATGTGGATTTGCTTTACTTACACTGGTGGGACTTCACTACTTCTGTTCCGGAGCTAATGAATAGTCTGCATCATCTTGTGGCGAGTGGTAAGGTGCTGTACCTGGGTATAAGTGACACACCAGCATGGCAGGTAGTAAAGTGCAACGAATGTAAGGGTCGAACACCTTTCGATACTAAGCAATAGCTAACATCATTTCCTAGACGCTCGCCACCACGGCCTCACCCAATTCTCTGTCTATCAAGGCCACTGGTCTTGCGCTTTCCGTGATTTCGAGCGCGAGATCATTCCCATGTGTGAGGCTGAAAACATGGGCATCGCGCCATGGGGTGCCCTAGGCCGTGGCATGCTCAAGTCCTCGACCGAGTACAACGCCGAGGATCGTGATGGCCGGAAGATGGGACCCCAGAACCCGAAGTACGAACGTATGGCTGTCAAACTCCAGGAATTGGCGGACAAGAAGAATACGCTTGTAACGAGTATAGCTTTGGCGTACGTTATGCACAAGGCTCCTTACGTCTTCCCAATCGTGGGAGGTAGGAAAGTGGAGCATTTGAAGGGCAATATCGAGGCCCTGGCCATAGAGTTGACCACCGAGGAAATCGACGAGATTGATGATTCGGAGGAATTTGATGTCGGGTTCCCGATGAGTTTCTTGTACGGGTTCGGCGGGAAGACTTATAGGACTAGGTATACCGCGCAGGATTTGGGCCTCATCGCGGCAAATGGATATATCGAGACGCATCCCAAGCAGATGGTGAGTGGAAGACTTATCCCCATTACGCCTTCCATGTCGCTGACGTTGCCTCATAGCCTATTCCACCCGGCACTGGTGCCAAACGTCATGGTCTCGAAGGACAGTAGGCACGCCGAGGTGTCTGCGAATTGCGCATGGAGCCATATGGGTGTGCCGGGTCAGCTGTTACTTACAAAGCCTACTATTAGCTCCTCTTCAAGATCCGCTGCAGTAATGTAGGCGTTCCCGCTTGTAGAGTCAACGTCAACAACATATTGCCGGACCTTTTGTAACACAGGCCTCAAGCTTGGCGTGGAGAACGGAACGCCGAGTCCACACCAGTGACTGTGATTGTGAAGAATCGTCGACCTTCCGAGCCACAGCAGAACCTTCTGACGCCATCTCTGCACTTCTTCGTAAGGTTTGTGTAGGTTTAGCAAACAGTTGCATCATCATCGAGCCCTCCCAGGCAGGTAGACTGCGATGGTCAAGCTGCAGCGGCATACGATGGATCATGTACGACACGTGAACGATCTTATTCGAGCCCTCCATCCTCAGCGCGAGCGCTCCGATGTAGTGCCGTCCGACAGCAATAGGAATAGGCTTGGTCGTAACCTCGACGCCTGTCTTGGAGCGGTTGATCTGGTCCTCGTCTCCAGGATAGCTCTCTATCGCAACCAGCTGAGGTCTGCCATCAGAAATTGCCGAGAGCTGAGCATGGAGCGTTGCCGAACTCCAACAGAAGCGGGAGTCATCGACGTGCCGAGCAATCAAAAGGTTGCGTCCGCTGCTGTTGATGCGGAACCCGTCGTGCTTTCCAAAGCTGTTGCTGTCGAATAACAGTATCCTTGCGTGAGTTCCGCGTTCATGAAGTCGTAAGTAGCCCCGACTCGGGTCAAGTGCGTCCTTGGCGTGGTAACGTGCCAAAGCAAGAAACACGCTCCTTTCCTCTGCCACTCTGGCTGCTTTAAGGTCTGCAAGCACATTGCTCCTACTGGTGGCGGAGCCACGCTTCGAGTTGGTAGGTTGCTGTGAAGCAGCAGATCGCATTGCGACGTTGAGACCTATGTTCATGCCGTCTTCCCAGCATTTCAGCTGCAGGATCAACCTACCATCAGCTGCCTCAAAGATGGGAAACGAACAATGCGGTCCTCGGTTATCCAAGTTGAACATCCCACGGTCAATCTCATAATGTGATCTCCCTAGCTGGACTACATTCGAGCTACTGGCAAAGTCCGCCTGAGAGTCCGCAAGTAGACGACCAGGCGACTTATCAACGTTGCTGTCGGGTTGCCAGGCAAGTATCGAATCGTTATCGAATCGTCGCCAATATACTTGATGATGTCCTCTTGAAGTCGTATGAACGCATTGTGCCTTTCGCCATACAGTATGGGCATAGATATCCCCAGCAGACCCAGTAGACTATATTCCCGATCCTCAACGCGCGTGGTCGTACGACTGGCGGCCCACGACATTCTTTGGGCGATGGAGTACCTATGAAGATTGACGGATCCTTTTAAAGCTTCGACAGCAACTCTAGTCTTGGCTGCGATAGCTACCGCCGCCTGCTCAGCCGTGCCAATGAGATTCCAGGCTTCGCCGTAGAAGCGTACCTCTGGAGGAGCAATCATTTCTTGTAGCGTCCTGTATATATTAGTGTATACATCAAGCCTATCGACCATGGCGCATCTACCATCCGCGCGTGAACCAGTCGCTGTCGAGAAACAATTCCAGGTGGTGGTCTGGTTGGATTGTACTCATGGACCGGCCGGCCAACTCGGGACATGTTGGACCGATGTCCCAAAGATATACGTAGCCTGACAGGAACGGTCAGACTGCACCAGCTATGTGCCGCGGGTAGATATGACTTACAGTATGTAGCGGATGAGTACCAGTAGTACACTGAATCAATTGCCTCGCTCAGCTCAGCACTGTTCCTCCGGTCAATACAGCAAGTATCAATCCAGAAGTATTCGATACCATCTTTGGCCGCTTGAGTAGAAGCGTAGTTCAACTTCTTCCAGCCCTGCCTAGAAGCTAGCGATGGTTGGTGCTGGTTCGCAATGTCGTCGAACAAAACGTCTTTGCCCTCGGCATACCACCTATGCGACAAGATAGCGTAGGTGACCTTTTCGGGCTCCAAGAAGTCGTGAAAAGCATAGCCGTCCTGGGTGAGTCGAAGCAATCTCATTGTGAAGTCCCAGGCATACTCTGACGGTCTTGTTCAAAGCGAATTGGCCCTATCGGGAGATATCGTATCGGAAAACATGTGTGTGATAGCGTACACTTCGAGATAACAGGCGATCGTGTGGCCATGGAGATTTCAAGCGATGTAGACGTGAGGTGAGGTGAGGTGAGGTGGGAGCCTGGGGCCGGGGCAGCTGCAGCAATCCAAGGAAGGCGCGAGCCGGAAAGCTACAGCCACAACGCCTCGAAATGATTGTATCAGGTGATGCCGAGTATGGGCTAAGATGGCATGTTGTGAGGTACTGGATCTCGACCCGGATCTATCAAACGACATCAGAAAACATCTGTACCTGGCCACTGTATCGCCCAGTATGATCTATACGCCTTATCAACCAACCCACACACTCCAGCAAAAGCGCCAACGCTACCAGTACCACAACCTAATGCTTAGCAGTAACAGCCTCCCCCGTAGCCTTCTCCACCATCTCCTTCGCCACATCGCCAAGCGCAACCATACACACCGTCTGCCACACCCCCAGACCAATGCGAGGCGCAACACCGCGGTACAGACCCTTGATACCGTTCTGTCCGTAAATGTAGCGGAAAGTATTGCCCACAGTCATCTTCTTGGGACGGTTGGGATCCTCTTTCTTACTCTGCATTTCCACGCGCACGACTTCGATGGGCTGGTTCCAAGCTGATAGACCACCACCGATAGCTGAAGCGAGGATTTTCTCGGGGACGGAGAGTTTCTGGCTGCTGTCGTTTTTGCCGGTCATGTTGCGGATGCCATTTTCGCTGACTCGTATATTAGCATTGACATTTGTCTCTCGCGTGGTGTTTGGCTGTACTCACGCAACTCTGCTCAGCCCGAATCGCGAACCCCAGTTCGTCACCTGCCTAACAGCCACAGCATTCACACCCTTATTGATACCAGCAATACCCTCTCGTCGGTAGATATCCATAAACGTAGCCATGGTGCCAGGAACCTTCCCACCGGTAGATGCTGCTCGATGCTTCGTCATCTCCACCGTCTTCATGCACGTACAGAATCCCATGGTCGCGTACGCCTGAGCCAGACCGCCGGTCATACCACCAAGGATTCCGCTAGTGAAGTTGTTGGCGCCGAAGTTCTTGGCGTAGTATTCGGCTTCGGAGGCGACGAAGAGGAGGACGGCGCCTTTGGTGGAGGCTTCGATCCAGGCCCAGGGGATGAGACCTTGGTAGACTGGTGTAGTATGACATGTCAGCACTTCTCACACGCAATCCAACCGGCTTATTGTTCTGTGATTTGTGACATACATCCCAAAACACCACCTCGTCCCCAGATCCTCGAAACCGCACCCGCCATACCATCCTGCCTATTAGCAGCCATAGTCGTCTTCATAACCTCCAACGGCTGTCCCAGCGTCGTGACCTCGAACATGTTCAGCCCAGCGCCTAGCAGCAAGTTGGAGAACTTGACGGGCTTCTTCTCGAGCTTCGTGGACTTGTTCGTAAGGCCGACGCCTGGGTTGCCTGTTGCGGACATGCTTGGATTGGTTGTGGGAGGGTTTTATGGCCGGACCGAGGCGAGAGGTGGCTTCTTTGCCTATGAGAGGATGTGTATAGACAATGGTTGGTGTGTAGTAAATAGTTTCGGGACTTTGTGGTTTGGTGGTTGCGGTGTAAGCTCCTGATAGTGAGTCAGGAGGATTCCACGAATTCGGTGATTGCTTCTGGCGAATGCGGCTCAACAGCTGCGTACAACACCAGCAGTATCACGAGCAAGACGACAATTGTGCAGTCTAGAGTGAAGCATTCGCGAAGTCTACAGTGAACAAAGTACAAACAACTACGAACTGCAAACCCCCGATAGATCCATCCTATCCTCATACTGCTACCTCATCAGCTCTCTCCAACCAAATTATCATCCCGGTCCGTGCTTCAAATCGCTTTCTGGTGAGAAGCAGTTGGCATCTCCGAAGCAGCTTACATTTTGAGCTCTAACCATTTCGGGTGGGCATGGATGGACTTCTAACTTTAGGCCTTGACACGAGACTTCCGAGCCGCAGGGCATGCTATATTATATGGGCCCCAGCGGAGCGCGGATGAGGCTCAACCATCTTCCGTGCTTCCATTGACCGTTTGGAAGGAAGTCCGATGGTCAAAAATATGGTTCGATGGGGTCGACACGCGTGTGAACGGAGTGGTGCCGCTATTCCGTAGGCGAACATGGCACGAGTGATATCGCAGAATGTAGATGACTTTCATGATCATCAGAGAGTAGGACGTGAGCAGAGGAACATACGAAGACCGACCGTATCGTCCAAAAGTCGCTGTGGTTTTACTACTACAACATACGAAATAATGTCTACACCACTTCATCCTCCTGCCACAGGGCTGCCCAAACCATTACAAACACATTCAAGAATCGCTCTTCGTTGCGCCTGCAGTCGGAAGTCCATGGCCCTTCCACCTCATCTGCACTTTCGGCTTTTGCTTCGGCTGTTTGTGCGGTGACATGTCTTCCCTGCCACCTCCATCGCCTCCCAGCAAGTCAAGCGCACGCTGTATCAATCGTACATCTGCAGTATGCGAAGCTCGTTGCACGAGCGTCTTGCTCGCTTCTTCCACCCCGCCATCTTCCTTCTGCTGTTGTGGTAACTCGTCCGAGCGTATTCAGAGCTTAGCGCCAACCAACTTAGCATAAGCCTCCGTGGAGAAGGACTTGGGTCGCTCGATCGGTGCACCAACGGCTCGATCAATGATGAGCTGAGGAAGTACACCGAGCGCACGCGAAACACCGAAGAGAACGGTGTAAAAATTCTGCTCAGTCAGGCCGTAGTACTGGAGCAGGACACCCGAGTGCGCGTCAACGTTGGGGTAAGGGTTCTTGGTCTTGCCGTGCTCGGTCAAGACACCAGGGGCGATCTTGTAGACTTGCGACACGAGCTTGAACATGGCGTCGTCGGGAAGGTGCTTGAGAGCGAACTCGCGCTGGGAGACGTAACGTGGGTCGGTCTTGCGGAGCACGGCGTGGCCGTAACCTGGTACAACACGGCCGGACTTGAGGGTGTCCCACAGGTACTTCTTGATGTTCTCGTCGCTGAGGTCGGAGCCGACAGTATTCTTCATCTCCTGCAGCCAGCGGAGCACTTCCTGGTTGGCGAGGCCGTGGAGAGGACCGGCGAGACCGTTCAGGCCGGCGGCGAGGGAGAGATATGGAGAAGAGAGAGCAGAGCCGACCAAGTGAGTGGTGTGGGCCGAGACGTTACCGCCCTCGTGGTCAGAGTGGATGGTGAGGTACAGACGCATCAGCTCAACAAAGTCGGTGTTTTCCGCAAAGCCAAGCTGGTTGGCCAAGTTGTACCCGTAATCCTTGTCCTTTTGCACAGCCGGGACCTTGCCGTCCTTGAAGACATTGCGGTAGATGCGGGCGGCGATGGTAGGAAGCTTGGCAATCAAGTCCATGCTGTCCTCGAAAGTGTGCTCCCAGTACTCCGCCTTCTTCATGCCCTTCTCGTAAGCCTTGGCAAAGGCAGACTCGTGCTCGAGAGCAGTAACGGCAAGCGAGAACTGAGCCATTGGGTGCAAGTCGTTCGGGCAGCGGTCGATGAGCTCTGTGACGAAGGATGGGACGTCGCTGCGGGCAGCCCACTCGGCGGAGAGAGCGCGGACTTGCTCCTCAGTTGGCACCTCGCCGGTCAAGAGCAGCCAGAAGAGACCTTCTGGGAGAGGCTCCTGGCCACCTGGTGCCTTGGGAAGGAGCTCCTGGCATTCTGGGATGGTCTTGCCGCGGAAGCGGATACCCTCCTCAGAGTCCAAGACTGAGCCCTCCCATACGAGCGACTTGATGCCGCGGGCACCGCCGTAGACCTGGTCAAGGGTGACCTCGCCGACGACCTTGTTGCCGTACTCCTTCTTCAGCTTCTTGATCTGCTCGATCTTCTCTGGGAGGCTGGCGGCGAAGGTCTCTTTGAGGGACTGATGAGGAAGATGGTGTTAGCAGCTCGTCCAGTGTTGTTGGTAGAAGCTATGCATACCTTGTTGGCGGTAGCATATGTCCTCGCCGTCCTGAAGGCGGTGTTTTGTGTCCAGCTAGCAGAGGTAGGTTGCGTAGCCATGGCGCGACGCAGCGCTGTGCGAGAGAATGTTGACAACGCCATTCTTCAGCAGATGTCGGTGTTTATGTTGACAGGAGGTGTGGATGAAGATAAGGGAGCTGCAGACGATGGAGCACTTGTCCGAAGGGGTATGTCCCGATGAGGCTGTGGGTAAGCAAGAGATGATGGGTTTCGGGTTGGTGCTGAGCGTTGCGTAGAACCAAAAAAGATAATCGCGAGAGCTCCGGATGGTCTGTGCACGTCACTTGCGCTGGATGGGGTTGCTGATTGGGATCAGGAGACGGTCTATATTCGGCCTTTTACGGAGAGCATCGTGGATGGCATTGCATCTCTTCCGAGATATCACGATATGCTGAGCATGCTTACATTCACCTACGTTTGTGTTTATGTAAGTTGTTCACTCGTTTTACTATATCAATTGATTGTTGGTGAATCTGTCACTTGAGCCGCCTGCAGCTCCGAAAGTCAGCTGCACGTGCTTTTCGCCGCGGACTCCCGTCTTCCGTGCCGCTCTCCGCTCTCCGCTCTCCGCCACAAGACATATTTGCATCGTCGCGAGCAAGGACTTCTCCTCCTCTCAACATCCACAACGTGCGCCAGAAAGTGTCAGCCGCGACACATGTCCTCCAGGCCCCTTTAATCTCTTCCGCCACCCTAACAAGCACGAGCGACGCTTTGAGACTGTCGTACTTGCCTGAACGAGTTTGCGCGTGTCTTACATCGAGGAGCTGCAAACGTAACGTCTAGGAGTTACCGCTGAGGCAACCAATTGTGGTTTGCTTCACTACAAGTCACCTCAGACTGTCGTTGAGGATACCACTGGACGTCTTCGCATTTCTTGCTCCCGGACTCGTAACGCTTCAATCTTGGTGCAGAAGCATAGTCGCGGACATCCGATCACATCCACCACGCTTCAAGAATCTTCCAAGGCCTCACTGGACGCGTAGCATACTCACCACGAGTTTTTGTCATAGCCTGCCAATCCGCAGCGTAGTCTGTCACTCCAGGTCATAGATTGCAGTGTGGCTCACCTTGTGCGTAGTCTCCTGAAGAAGTCTTCGTCTGCGCGCTTAGACACGGCGGTTGCCGCTTTAGCAGTAGCTGCTCGAACACCCACCAGTAGCGCGACGGTACAGCCTCATAGACATAGGAATAGGCTTGACGCAGTAGCATAGACCAGTCTTCTGCCCAATATGGGCACTCACATCATCACCGAGCTGGACCAGCAGCTCGCATCACTGAACCAGCTCAAAGCACCTGGCGCCAGCAAAGGCAAGATCAGTGCCATCACTGCACTCTGCGTAAGCAATATTCAGGTAGGCTTCATCAGACATCAAGGCCGTCAGGGACCACTATACAACTACAGCTACTGACCACCACAATAGGCCGAATCGAACATCGTCCAATCGTTGTACCGCGCCCTCAAAAAGGCACCTGCCACACACAAACTCGGCGCCCTGTACGTGATTGATAGTGTCACACGACAATGGATCGAGAAGGCGAAGCAGGCGGGTCAGAATCTGAACATAGAAGGCCGTGGCGAGCCAGGGACATTCTCGGCAGCCGTCAAGCGTGTCACTGAGTTGATGCCTGCCTTGTTCGACGACATCACAAAAGCCTTGCCAGCAGAGCAGAAACCCAAACTTGAGAACATGCTCGGTATTTGGGAGAAGGGCAGTACATTTCCACCTAAGCTTCTTATCGACTTCCGTGCAAAGGTCAGTAGTGGCGGCGTGGCACCCGCAGCAGCTCAACCTCCCACCAACGGCACACCTGCTAGTAACCCTGCTCCAGCTGCAAAAGCGGTGACCGAGAAGTTCAGGGCGCCTATCATTAGCAGACCTGCTGGCACACCTGTAGGCTATCCGCCGCAGTATCTGTACGACCAGGGCTTTCTTTTGAGGCAAGCTGAGCAGCGTCCTGCTCTGAATGGCTCAGCTGCGGTACACAGCAGACCAGTACCTTCACAGCAGCCGGTAATTCAGCCAGCGCCGGCGCCTGTGCAAGACGTGAACAGCATCTTGGCAGCTCTGGCCAGCGCTGCACCTCAGCAGGTTCCTCAACCACCACCTCAATTGATGCACCAGCCAGCTGCACCACCACAGTTGCCTCCCAACTTTGCTGCATTGTTCCAGCAGAATGGTGCGCCTCCTTCATTCCCGCCTCCACATCAAGCTCCAACATTTGCGGCACCTCCGCCGTTCAATCCTATGCAGATCCCTGGGTTTCAGCCACCCGCAGGCTTTCCTGGATTACTGCCACAGCCTCCGCCGTCAGTACCACAAACGTTTGCCGCAGCACCCCCTCCACCAGTAGACCCACTTGGGCCACTACGAGAAATTCTGCCTGCGAACATCATTAATGATCAAGGTAAGCTGGTCATGGCGCTCAATCTGCTGCAAGACTTGCAGAAGCAGGGTCTGCCTATGGATCAGTGGGGTCCTGTTCTCATAGCGTTCAGTGAATCACAACCATCGACCCAGTCCAATGGCTTTGATGCGCACGGTAGACGTAGAAGTCGCAGTCCCGAGCGCGATGGCGGTCGAGGTAGAGCTAGTCCAGTGTACGGCACATATGAGGAGATGACAGCCAACACTCGTGGAGGCGACGATCGTGGCAATCGTGGTGCCAATGGCCGTGGACGCTACAGACAGCGCTCTCCCATCCACACTCTGCGCGACTTGCCAATGCGTGACAGCCCTGGCCCACTCGCTCTGACCGGTCAACCCATGCAGCCAAAGTACATCGGCATTGACAGTTCTCTGCCTCCAGACAGCATCAAAGTACTCTCGCGTACGCTCTTCGTAGGCGGGGCCAACGGCACACAACAAGAAATCCATCAGCTCTTCGAACGCTTCGGCCGCGTCCAAACCTGCATAGCCAACCGCGACAAACGCCATGCCTTTGTCAAAATGACAACCCGTAACCACGCCTTGAGCGCCAAAGCCGGCATGGAGGAGCTGCAGAACCGGAACGACCGCGAAGTTATGAATATCGCTCGTCAGACGAAATGGGGCGTCGGATTTGGACCACGCGAATGCTGCAATTACCAAATTGGAGAGAGTATCATCCCTATCCACAAGCTTACTGATGCGGATCATAAATGGTTGATCAGCGCTGAATTTGGCGGCACCGGGGGAAAGCCGTTGGAAGGCGGGATGGTGCTTGAGGAGCCGGATATTGAGATTGGGGCTGGTGTGAGTAGTAAGGCGATGAGCAAACGTGTCTTGCCTGATGCTTCGGCCGCTGCTTCTCAGGGGCAGCCACCTGCCAAGCAGCAGAATCAGGGTAGTGGGCAGCATGGCGATGGTGGCCATGGTCATGGTCATGGGAATGGACATGGGCATGGACATCATGGTGGGAAGCAGGGCAAGAGGCACAAGAAGCACAATGACTTCGATCGCCAACCGGCTGACTCGTATGGAAATGGTGGTGGGTATGGAGGTGGACAGGCGATCGGTGGTGGGCAGCAGGGTGGTGCTCAGATCATGGAGAGTTATGGATATGCTCGGCCGCTCATCAGGCAGGAGCCTGTGGCTGTGGCTACGCCGCCATCAGTGCCTACTTTCGGCTTTAGTTTGCCCGGGCAGGGGACGTATCTGTGAGAGGAGAGACCATTGATGGTGAAGGCTGGAGCGAAATAATTATCAATTTTTGCGTGGGTGTGCATTTCGGTGGCGAGTGGCGTTAGTCGTTCATGATGGTGCTGCGTAGGCGGACAAAAGTGTAATTGCATATGGGCGAGCTGAGGGGTGTGGTTTGTACTGGACCACTGTACTGTAGCTGATACTTCTTGCTTCTGTATTTCGCAACTTCGCCGTCGTTGCACAGAAGTGGTTTGTCCGCTTGGACCCCTTACCGTGCTTATTCTTCGAAGTCGAGAGTAACATCGTTCTTCATCTGTGGTCCTTCTCATCGTACTTGTGCGTCCAAAAACCGCGGAAATGCTTCTGCTTGCCAGCCTCGTTGATCTACACATGATCGTATCGTCAGCGGGTCTCGCAACCTGTACCATCGTTTTGTATGAGAAGGCTGACCTGCTGAATCTCCTTGGGCGTCAATTTGAACGTCATGGCTCGTAGATAGTCGCTCAGACGTTGTTCTTTGCCAGAGGTAGTGATGGGAACGACATCTTGATCGATACACCATCGAAGCAGGATCTCACTGGGGCCTACGGCGTATTTCTTTGACAGAGCGGCGAGGATGTCGTCGATGGGTCCGCCAGAGGCTTTTGTCACGGGCGTGAGGGATGCGTAGGCTTCTGTGGCGACGTTCTGCAGATTATCAGTCGTCGACCTTTTGCGGTAAGGAGGGCAGTCAGGGGCAATGGGTGTGATCGACATACGTGCTTCTTGTGGTATTCAAGGATACCCTCATGTTGCAGATAAGGATGGAATTCAATTTGGTTGATGACAGGCGGGTATTTGGCCCCTTCGAGGATCCAGTCCATCTGTGCTGGGAGGTAGTTGCTGAGTCCAATGGACTTGGTGAGACCTTCGTCCTTGAGCTGTTCCATCTGCTTCCATTTCTGTTGGTGTTCGGCTTTGTCCTCGCTGAAGAAGGGCGAGTGGATGAGGTATCTGGATTTACATCAGTATCTATCATCAATGCGAAAATATACGGGACGAACAGATCGACGTAGCTGAGGCCCAGCTTTTTGAGACTCGTCCTCAGAGCATTAGGAATATCGGAAATGTTGCTAATGACTTTCGTCGTGACGAAGAGCTTCTCGCGAGCTATACTGGCTTGCTTAAGCCCTGCACCCAACTCCGTCTCTGTCTTGTAGACTTCCGCACCGTCTTGGTGGTAGTAGCCGAGACCGAGAGACATTTTGACGCTGTCTATGCAAGCTTGATCGATTTTGCCTTCATCGCCACTTTTGTACCAGGCCGTACCGGTACCGTAGCCGAGCTGGCGATGTTATTAGCATCGGCTTATGCCATCGTGTCTAGAATATTACCATCGGGATGCTATTGCCATCGCTGAGCTTCAGATTCGGTATGGGAGTGTGAATGTTGGCCATGGTGACAAGTTTGCGGACTGGACTCTTGACAGTGGATGGAAATCGGCTACACACGAACGGGCGGCTGGTGTGGAGAAAGCACAGCAAACGTTGGGACACAGACGAATATTGCATGGAACGTTCAATGTCAAATATATGTGTTGGAAGACGCGAGTCAGGCTGGCCATGGTGTGATGAAGCACGCGTGTTTGGTGGGGGAGCAGCGGGGCACGGCAGAGGATGTCATTGTCAACACGGGAGAAATCTTCCTGAATAACCCCTGTCTTCTTCGACGGATGCAGGCGAGTAGAATGTTCATGGATCGCCGTTCATCTTCCTGAGTGATGGCCGACGTGAAGGAGGCTCGTCGTCTGGGCCAGACTACACCGCAGACCAGACCATTGTACTTCAACATCTGGGGGAAACAATGTCTATGCTATGCGGAGCTTTAATCATGAGAGTGATTTTCTTCTCTCTTGATGGTCGACAAGTTGAGTAGCAGGTCTCCATTACCCAACGCTGGCCCTTTGATGCTCCAACATCAAGCAGATTGGCAGACTTGACTAAAGTGATTAGAGTTTAAACCCCACCTCTTTCTCCTGCCCGGTACGCTCACCACCTTCGACATCACGTTTTGATGCCCTGATCTTACATTGTGCTTGGCCTGTAGAGCAGTACTGGTAGGGCTAGGGATACTCCGGGTAGCAATCTGATAATTTCGACCATGGACAAGCGATCCTCGCCAAGCAGGCTGGTCAGCGACTCTGTCCGGATCATACTGTTAACCTCTCTCGCGGCCGCCACCCTGTACTGGGCTCTTCGTGCTGGCTCCTCTGTCCTTCATCCTCTTTTTGGCACCTCATGTGATTGCACAGTGGCAGATAAGCACAGACGACCAGTCCAGTTCTCACGACGAGAAGACTTCTGGGATCTCTCCACATCTGGCGATGAACTCTGGTCAAGCATCATTCCAGCCAATGGCGGATTTGTCTTTCATCGAGTCCATGATGATCTAGGTTACAAGACCGGCATCAGTATGTTCCATCAACTGCATTGCTTGCAGATGATTCGACAAGCGATACAGAAATTGCAGAACGGGACGATGGAGAGCGGAAGTGGACATCAGCAGACGCACTGGGTACACTGCTTGGATTATCTGGCTCAGGTACACCATCTTCCTCACTTGACGATTCTGTGAACATCATAACCTGCAAGTGCTGACCAAAGTTTCGCTAGGGAATACAATGTTCAGGGGACAGCACGTCGGAACCTGTGAAAGGTCATATGGTGGATGGCTACGACGTAACGCATCAGTGTCGCGACACGAGAGCACTGTGGGAGCTTTCTGAATCATCGTTCAAGGCCTCTCAGTAGCACTCAGGTGTCGAGAGGATTGCTTACGCAGGTCTTGAAACTTGCAGTCTACATACGAAGCCTTCAGGCTTTGCAAAACATCCTTACTAGTCTCCGGATCACTCAAGCGAGCTGAAAGGCCCAAGAGCAAAGCCAGCGAGAGACCAAGATGAACAGGCTGAGGGCGAACATGTTATGCATCCCGCCCTTCGTAGATTGCACGTATGGTATAAAGCAGCTGTCCCTCGACCACCTTCAAGGCATCTCCCTCGCAACACTGAAGGCTCCATTTGCGTGGTCATGAGACTGACTTTCATGTACATAGAACGCCATGGGAAGTCTTGATCCATACGCTGAGGCTGGATGCAGTTTCGCTACGGGCAGCACGGCTGTCAATAACTATGAATACAAGAACCGCATTTCTAGCTAGATGTCCCAAGGCAGGAGAAACCGAGAGGAATCGTGTCAGGATGTGAGATGACCTGTGATTGAAGAAAGAGATGATCTGTGGTTTATAGCTTGTCGCTACTGTGAGACAGCCACCCGTGTTTATGACGGAGTATCACTCTTGATCTTTCCAACGCCAAGTCACAACGCTCTGTCCTCGACAGGCCTGCAAGAAGATGTCTCTGTCAACATCATGCCACTTTAGACTAGTATGTAGGCCACCGGTGGAGTTTGCGATTTTCGCCGGCTTGAGAGCACCAAGGCTTCTGCCGCTCCTCAGGCTATACACCTGTACTTTGTCGGAGATGTCCACAGCCGCGATACATTGCAGTCCTTCTTGCACGGCAGCCTGTAACTTCGGACCTTGATGTGCATGCGGCCATGCCAGTACCGCCCCTTTGGTAGTCATCCTCGTATCGCGAAGCTCAATTTGTCGGTTGTCCGAAACGAGTAGCTGAAGTCCTTCCTGGTTCGGCGAGAAGATACCGGTAATCGGAGATGATGAGCGTCTTGAGAAGCGGGTAGCCGAGCCGAACGATCTTGTATCCCACAGCTTGAGTTCGCGATCGCCATATGCGATGACATTGTGGTCTAGCCACGCCACGTCTCGACTTTCCCCCTCGTGCGGTACAGATGCATAGGCTACCGCTTGTGCATCATTGTAGAGATCAAGGCAGTACGTGTTCCCGCTGCTGCTGATAGCGATACGATCCTCCGCCCGGTTCATGGCTGCCGACCAGATAGAGAAATCCATGACACCATTCGGTCCGATGTTCATATACATGCCGTTAGAGCCTATACGTGCCTCGAGCTCCCAAGAGGGACCGATATATACGTTCGAGCCGCATCTCCGCTCTTGCGCGATTCCAACAATAGCGCCGTTCGAGAGCACATCGAGAGACGTCAGGGTGGAATGAAAAGCAGCAATCGATTTCGAAGAGCCGGACACGCCCCTCTTTCGAGCTTTGGTGCGAAATATGGTGCTGCGGCCCATGTCACTAAGTGCTACAACGCCTCCTCCACGAGCCTCGGGGCAGTAGTGAAGGACAGTGCATGGCCAGTCTTCAGTTGTTGCGGTCAGATGATCCACGAAAGCGGCATCTCTGTATGAGTACAGGCTGTCTTGAGTAGAATGACACCCGCTCTCGCGATCTAAACCAGCTGCGTTCAACAGAGAGTTTCGATACACCGGCCGACGTACAGTCTGCTTGAGCTTGGCGTGCTCCTTACGCTCGACGAGCTTGCGCTTCTTAGTAGCTCTAGCTTCGTTCTTAACATTGGTCTTCGAGTATTTGGTGTCGCTGGGCACAACATGATTTGCAAGAATTTTGAAGTATTTCTTCTTCTCGACGTCCCAGTAGTAGCCAGGCAGGTTACCGATGTTCATCCTGGCTCTGTATGATAATGAGGATGTTGATGAGGATCCTCCAGAAACATGCTGTGGCAGTCGATGAATCTAGGTGCTCCTGAGCCGGTCGTGTCTACCTTGAACATGTTGAGATCGAAGTGCAGGTGCAAAGTTCGAAGAAGGCACGAACAGTTACTAGCTCGAGCGGCAGATGTCGGCCCGATCCGACTAATCAGTTCATGTGGTACCAAATGCCTTACCATTCGATCTATTTTCCAGAGACTATGGGTCCATGAGACAAGATTTCAATAGAGACATTGAATGTCTGGAAGCAAAAAGGCTTCAGCACATTCGAAGCCATAGTCGCCTTCAACAAACGCAGATATTATCGCTCGAAAAGGCAACAGCCGCAATGCACTGCTTCTGACACTCGTCTGGCTGGTCTACCACCCTCTCCCTCTTCTGCTCTATAGACCTTCATTTACAGACCATGGCTAGCAAGCCATTTTAGTGACACCTCATACCCAGCCGTAGCATTTTGATGAAAGTTCAACGCATGCCCAGCCCCTGGCTGTACGAGCACATCAATGCTCGAGGCGTTCGGATATACCGCAGTCAGGACCTCTGGTGAGTATGTGCCTTTACAATCCCCGTCACAGATCAGGGTATCGTACTCTCCGACCACAAACTCAAGTGGACCCTTGAAGGCTGGTGCGAAGGCAAGGTTGATGGCACCTGTGCTTAGGAATTCCCCGACCGTGGCTATTCGATTGGTGTGAGCTGGAATTCGAAGGGACATGTGATGAGTGATATGACTTACCAGGTTGCTTGAGACTGTCGCCGTACTGGAGCAAAGCGTCTGTGAAACCCGACGGGTCGGTTGCGTTATAGCGGTGATAGAATACAGTCTGGAACCTCGATATCGATCCAGGCACGAGCCGAACAAAGAATCAGTTTTTCGTAGATTACGAAAGCCATAGCAACGACGCACATATCCACTACTTCTGTCACTGTACTTGGCCGGATTGTTCTGAGGAGCATAATCCAGGCCGTAACCAGCAAGCGGGTAGACACCAAGCTCCTTGTTTGGTAAAAAGCCAGTCAAGATTGCGGCCGACGATACCCTGGGATATGTACCGATGAGGCCACTAGTGAGGAACGATCCGAAGCTAGAGTATAAGCAAGTTTTGGTAAGCTGGCAAGAAAGTAATCATGAAGCGTCTCTTGTTGTACTCACGAATGACCAACATGGACAATGCACTTGAAACGGGCAAACTTTGACGGAAGCAAAGATCCGTCCCACGATGAAGACTGGTTGGCACAAGGCTGCAATGTACCATCGCGCGCCATAGCGGTTATAGTCCGGAGGATCTCAACTTGTAGTGGAGCCTGAACAACGTTGTACGCATCCGGCTTGTCAGACAGACCGGTACCAAGTCTATCGTGGCTGAGTACGCTATAGCCAGAATTTAGAGCTGCATGAACGTATGAGTACTTGTCTGGATCCTCTTGAATGTCCCAGTACTGTTTGTCCGCGAAGAGGCCGTGAGTGAGCAACTGCAGGGTATCCTTCTTCACTCCGTTGGTATTGAAGCAGAGCTGGACATGGATGCGGTAGGTACCGGCGACAGGAAGAGCTGGTGGGGCTGGGCCAGTCTGGCTGAGGACCGACCATCGGGACAGGTCCAGAGCGAAGGAGACAGCGTTGATGTCGTCGTCGATGCCAGTGACTCCGTAAGCGTGGTTCGTAGCGTTGACCGAGACGTCAATGTAGAATTGGTGGCATCGTAGATCGAGGGCCCAGGCAAAGGCAGGCAGCAGTGCGGCTAGGAGGAACGATTTCATCTTTTGTTGGGAGTCGAAGGGATTGCAAGAGCTGCCGGATGCCGCGACACCCACGGCATACTTATGCGACGCTGTGGTCGGACGTCCTTCAGCCTGCAAGACGCATTCGTCCGAGAACGTCGCAGGGTGTGGTTATATCAATAGACGAGGAATTAGGAGGTTTACCTATCGTGACTCACTTCCGTGCATTACGCTTTGACGGTTTATCGAGGATCCAGACGGGTCGTCATACCAGTCTTACTGCCGCATCACCAGGCGTACTAGGCTGTGAAAGCATATGCGCTTGCGGATGAGGCGAACGGCAGACCATAGACGTAGCTATAGCGAGGCCAAAACCCCTTATTACGAGCCTTCCGAGTCCTGCAAATCATGATCTATAGAAGATAAAAGGGAGTACGCCCATCTGTATTTCCTCGTAGCCGATACATTAAATCCTGGCAGCGGTCGGCCGACGTGGTTGCTTTGGGGTTGGCAGTGGGAAAATACTCTTTGTAAGCGATCTCGACAGCGCCTCTCTGCTTGTTAGGGAAATATCCTAGCATATCAGAGCTGCATAGCCAACCTCGTTTTGTGGTAGCAATGCGCGAGCCGGATTTGGAACCACGCATTAATCCCGAGCTGAGTGTCGATCCTGCAGTCCTAGTCCTAGCTGTCAAAACGTGTCTCGTATAGCACGATATCGCTTGCGCTGTTGCTGCAATATACGAGCGTGAGGGTATCAATGGTTGATCTGCGCCTTATATTGTAGCGATGGTGGCCCGTTTTTATGCCACGATGGGAAGATGGCCGTCTGGCTACCAGGTAGATGCCGTGGTCAATGATGTCGTGGCCACATCACTAGCCGTTGGAATGTATGAAGGAAGGCCTTGTATTCTCTGTAGTGCAGGCACTCCCGGTCATCACACTTCCTATCGCTGAAGGGAGAAGATGAGAGAAAAGGAAAACGTAACAATTCCATTCACCAACATGCTACGGTCGGCCGCACGTGATCTACGACCAGAATGACATCACCCTCGCGTAGACGAGGGGCGAAAGGAAACAAAAGTGACCCGAGGAAGTACACAAATCATCGTGATGCGCTTACGCCTATCTGATTGATGAAAACACGGTTCCATATCCTTTTGCCACTATCCATCTCTTTCCTTCTTGGTTTCGTATACATTGGCCTCTACGACCCTTTCCGATCTATGCTATCACATACACTCAGAACTCGAGCACCAGCCATACACGGAAGACTATCGCTTATGGCGAACCACCTTAGTAGCAGCCATGGTAATGGCTCACAACAGACATTTAGCATTCGCGATATACCGAAAAGCAATAACTTCACGTTGAAGCTTCCTCCGGACCCTCAGTATCCTACGCCTGGAGCATCTCATAAGGAAGTACGCATCAAGCTCGGGCCCCGACTCGTGAGGGACGCAGCATACACATATGTACGCCCAGAGTCTTTCGAGAAGACGGAGCTTGTAGGCGTGTCGAAAGCAGCCTTACGAGATCTTGCGATCGATCCATCGACGACCGAGACGGAAGACTTCAAGGATACAGTAGCTGGTGAGAAGATCATCACACTTGAGGATGGACAAGAACCAAGAGACAAGGATGTCTATCCGTGGGCGCAGTGCTACGGTGGTTATCAATTTGGTCAATGGGCTGGACAGCTAGGTGACGGAAGGGCGATATCACTCTTCGAAACGACAAATCCGTCGACAGGTGTACGATATGAATTACAGCTCAAGGGCGCTGGAAAGACACCATACTCGCGCTTCGCAGACGGCAGAGCTGTCGTACGAAGTAGCATCCGGGAGTTCGTGGTCAGTGAGGCACTCAATGCGCTTGGTATACCTTCGACAAGAGCCTTGAGCTTGACTTTGGCACCGGAGTCAAAAGTGAGAAGAGAACGAACAGAGCCCGGTGCTATCGTTGCTCGCTTCGCGCAGTCATGGCTACGGATAGGCACATTCGATCTTCCGAGGTCGAGAGGAGATCGTGCCACAATCAGGAAGCTTGCCGCATATGCTGGTGAAGAAGTGTTCGGAGGTTGGGATAATCTGCCTGCAAAGCTCAAGTCGAATGAAGGTCAAGACCTGCTTGAGCCTGGTAGTGGTGTGAGCAGAGACGATCTACAAGGAGAGAACGAGTTCCAGGAGAATCGCTTCACACGGTTATATCGAGAGGTCGCACGACGGAACGCGAAGATGGTTGCATGGTGGCAGGCTTACGCGTTCACGAATGGCGTGCTTAATACAGACAACACTTCCATCTTCGGCCTTTCAATCGACTTCGGTCCCTTCGCTTTCCTAGACAACTTCGATCCGAACTACACGCCAAATCATGACGACCATATGCTTCGATACTCATACAAGAACCAGCCCTCCATCATCTGGTGGAACCTTGTCCGCCTCGGTGAATCACTCGGCGAACTCATAGGCGCCGGCTCTCGTTGCGACGAGAAGGAGTTTGTTGAAGAAGGCGTCAGCAAAGACTTCGCAGACGAGCTTGTCAAACGCGCGGAGACGCTCATCGAGCAGACCGGGGAAGAATACAAGGCTGTCTTCATGGCAGAGTACAAGCGTCTCATGACCGCTCGCCTAGGTCTGAAACAATGCAAGGACTCCGACTTCGACACCCTCTACTCCGAGCTTCTAGACACTCTCGAAGCACTTGAACTAGACTTCAATCATTTCTTCCGCCGACTTAGCTACATCAGCACGGAAGACCTTGATACCGAAGAAAAGCGAAAAGAAGCTGCAGGCCTCTTCTTCCACAAAGATGGCCTGAGTGGCCTCGTAGCCTCCGAATCCGATGCCCGGACACGTCTCGGCAAATGGCTAGGACTCTGGCGTGAGCGAATCATAGAAGATTGGCCCAACAGTCCTGAGTCGCGCGAGGAGCGGTTCCAAGCTATGCGTGCTGTAAACCCGAAGTTCATTCCTCGATCGTGGATTTTGGATGAGGTCATTGAACGGGTTGAGAAGAAAGGGGAGAGGGATGTTTTGGGGAGGGTGATGGAGATGGCGTTGAATCCTTTCCAGGAGAGCTGGGGTGGTGACAAGGAGGAGGAGGAGAGGTTTTGTGGCGATGTGCCGAAGTATCAGCGGGCTATGCAATGTAGTTGTAGTTCTTGAGTGAGAGAACATTAGCAAATATTGATCTAATGGTACTACTCGACACTTGATTATGCCTAACCGGAATGCCGCCCGCTTACATGATGACATCCCTACTTGTCACGTCCTGGCCCTGACCGAAACGCTGTCTCCTTCATAGCTGATTAGATTCCAAGCAGTCGGTCGGCTATACGTGCGGCCTTCAACGTCTCCGGTGTCAATGGCCCGTCGACAAAATCATCGTCAAGGGTCTCAGCTATCAGCTTTCTTGTTGCTGCCAGGAGCACGCGCTTCCGATCAGCCTTGGCCGCGGCCTCCATGGAGGAGCACCTTCCGCCACAATCGTGAGCATATACAAAGTCGAAATCAAACACGACATGTGCAAACATTTCCGTGACCGTAGAGTAGGACCGAGGTCCAGATTTTTGGACTGCGTCGGCCAACCAGTCCTTGATCGACTGAGCTGTGACCTTTGGATCGGGGCATGAATGCTCATCGTGCCAGATGACCTCGATATGAACGATCTTGTTCGGTACGTTTGCGAGGATGCGCAAGGCTGATCCGATCAAGGGACGCAGAACGTCGGACGCTATACGCAAGTTCCTAATGTGGGCCATACCTCTAGCAGAACCCTGCATGAACATCGAGAATGCTTTCTGGAAGCAGCACTGAAAGACGGTTTTCCCATAAAGCACAGGTCGGGCGTCCTTGAGGATCTCCCTACTGACTCGCAGTAGCGCTGTACCGTTCTGTGGTAGATAGGCTTTAGCCCTGCGTTTTGGCGCTCCTCGTGGTGTACGTGACTTGATCTCCACATGCTTGTAGCCCCGTACCTTCCACGGACCCTTGACTGCGCTGGTGTAGTGGCCAGTGATTTTGCGTTTGCGCTGGATGTCGATGATTTCGCCGGTCTCGAAGTAGAATTCAGAGATTCTGATCCGCAACTCTGCAGGCAGCTTTTCGAACGGGAATGCGCCCTTGCCGACGTACTGTTGGCGGCGCGCCATGCTCGCGGTCAGTGTTCTCAAGTGCCAAGTCGAAAGTGTTGGCTCGCACGGCAAGGTAAGTCCAGAGTCAAGGAGGTAAGCTGTTAGGTATATATTTGCAAGCTGAGCAAAGGTTTATGGCCGCTGCTTGGACGTGGAAGTCAGGGACTTACGATCGTGAAGTGAGCGTTGCGACAGCGAGTGCAAATCAAAGGTCAATCACATGTTGGCATTTCTAGACACTGGCAAGAGCTGCGCCACCTTGATGTGTTCGCCATCGTGACGACGTGCTAAACACTCTCCATGAAGACATACCGTCATTAAGTGCAGCCCTTCACGCTTCAGCGGCGTCTCCCAAAGTCGCATGAGCGAGGTCTCATCATGCTATCATAGAAGCTCAGGTCATCCAAAATGGTCCCGAGGCCCAATGTCTGAATCTTCCACTAAGCGCTACATGAATAGCCAAAGGGTTTAGGTGTGGCAGGACTCCGTCCCCATACTGTAGCAGTACAAATATGGGTACTGGGGCATTTCGTAACACCAGCTGTGAAGGTGATATCGTTCAGCCGTGCCAATCGAGCGTCGATACTCACGGATTACTCAATCGCAAGGCTGCGAGCGACCTAGATGTGCTGTACCAGCTCTGCAGATTAGTCGACTGCTGAGAAGCGAGTCCCGACCCGTAAAAGTGCGTGGCTATTGAGAAACGTCCTGGACGGGAGGGGTATGTCGGCCTTCATTTGCGGGAGGGCTCTTTTTCAACTCATGCCGCCATGCGACTTGTGATATCGTGGTCATACCAATTCCTGGTATTCCGAGACATGGGTCCTTGGGCGAGTGGTCCTGTCTTCCGTGCGGAGCTCAACCAACGGTTTGCCTGACGTCTCCCAGCGGGGCTTGCAGTCTTGTATGGTAGGAAGCGCTCCTTGCACAAAGACGAGGCTGATGTGCCCCGTGGGATATGTATTCGGGAAACACGGGCCTGCGCCCGCATATGCACGGGGAAGTACTATATCTGGAAAGCACATGACTTGGAGTGTTGGACTCCGTTGCCAAGCACAGCGCTCTCGGAAAGAATGTAAGATGAGATATCAATGCTTCCACATCGTTGAGGTGCGAACCGGTGAGGACAGTACCTTACAGCAGTTTCTGCGCGTTGTGGTTGGATTCGATAAGATCAAAGAGTCGCAGACCGGGGTTCTTTGTTCCAGAAGGTGAGCGTGCTCGATAGATTGGGTATAATGTAGATGAACATCCCGCGCATGCACGCCGCACGCGATCGAACCGCGAAGCTTATTATTATGCCGGGCTACAGTACAAACAGCCTGCTGATAAACGCGGTTCTAAAAGAAAGGCGTAGTCGTGGTCATCTGTTGTGACTGACTGTGCTCTGAATGTATACTCCAACAGCCCATTTTTAGGACTACAGCAAGCTTCCAATTATTACTTACTTCCATTCACCAACCAAACAACTGCTCATACACATACGAAAGCGGCAAGAGCAGGCTATTTCTGCCAGTCCGACTCTCCGGCGTTCAGGAAGCAACAATAATGGCTTGAAACTCACGATTTCGCAACGGCTCTGTACCGCTCCCCACCGAATCTATTGGGCGCACAGTCAGAAGAGTCATCCTGAGGACAAGAGGAACGCGTGAACATCGCATCACTGTGGGGAGTGATAGAAAGGGAACAATTCGTCCTTCTTTTCCATTCCTCCGGACTTGCAGCCCACTCTACGCATTTCTTGTTCGTTGGAAGGTGACGCCCGGACGACCCAACGGATCGCAAACAAGCTCTAGCCCTGCAGGTTAATCCTCGGTGTTTAACGGACTTTCGGCGCCAACACGTCTACTCGCGACAACATTTTCTGTCGTCGCAGAACTAGCAGACTGAGCTCCACAGAAGCTCGCCCAAGGCGCAAGCTCGGCGCAGATACAGTGATCAAGAATACAAGCAGGGCTTCGATGCCACACGCCTCTGGACCGACATGCGAGCCTGCTGCTGTTGCCATCTCCCTGCTGCCGCCACCTGCTTTTCCTGAGGCTCAGATTACTCATATCAACAGTGCTAGTACTAACGCGATTGAATTTGTTGATCAGACTTCACAACACATACATATCGCGGGCAAATGCTCATGCGTCACACCAGATAACTCCCAGCTCGGGCATTTCCGACGACGACAGAGTCAGCAAAGTAGTCTTGGGAAGAAGGCGATCATGAGCACCATGGCTTCGAACGGTCACCACACTACCAACAGCAACGGACGGGACAGCGACGAGGAGAGGATGGATGAGTTGAGGCATGAGCTGGATCGGACACTCACCCGTACAAGTGATGCTGGACCAGCGCAGCGCAACGGCGAGAGCAAACAACCACAACCTGACCGGACATACCTGACCGCAGCAAAGCCGGCGCCACAACGCAACGGCTCACTGGCAGCGGCTATGCAAGGTCGTTTGCCAGAGGTCACAGGCGCGAGCATGGCTATGAACGATACACCAGCCACCACTGCACCGGGCTCACCAAGCATGAACGGCGACTACTTCCCTGCGCAACAACAATCTCTCGACGAACGACCGGTCCACCTCCCGCCACCACCGACAAGACAGATGTCTGGCAGTGCCACACCACGAGTGCGACCGACTACCCTTGATATCCCTGGCTTGACGAAGAGCAAGGTCAGTCCTGATGGGCGGATAGCGTCAAGAGATGTGGGTGCGAAGTTGGTGATTGTTATGGTTGGGCTACCGGCGAGAGGAAAGAGCTATATTACAAAGAAGCTTGCGCGTTATCTGAATTGGCTGCAGCATGATACCAGGATCTTCAATGTTGGAGAGCGACGGCGCGTTGCTGCTGGAGGACCGCTGGACAGGACAAAGAGCCGGCAGAAGAGCGAGGTGCATCGCGCGAGTGTGCAGCTCACACAGCCTGGCTTGATTGATCATACGCTCATAAGAGCTCCATCGGAGGCAGTACAACAGCCTGCAAACGTCGCGCAGATCTTGCTCAATGGCGAGACCAGACTCGAAGCTCCGGCGACACCTCAGGGCGTAGCCCCGGCCATCGAGCTCACAAGAGCAGTTTCACATACGAAGAGCGAAAGTGATGACCGTGAGATACATATGCCGGACATGGGCGAGCCGAAATCACCAAGCGAACAGAAGGGCGAGCTGGTGAACGATGTGCAAGAGCCGGAGGATGAAGCGATGCAACACAACAGTGCCTTCTTTGACCCAGAGAACAAAAAGGCCTCCCAGATCCGAGAGCAAGTGGCACGAGAGACGCTAGATGAGCTGCTAGATTACATCCTTAACCAAGGTGGTAGTGTGGGAATCCTGGATGCAACAAACAGTACTGTGGAGCGAAGGAAGATGGTCATGGACCGAATACGTGAGCGAGCTGGACCGGATCTGAACGTGCTGTTCTTAGAGTCGAGATGTGTGGATCAGGATTTGTTAGAGGCAAATATGCGATTGAAGCTGGGTGGACCGGACTACAGAGACATGGATCCTCAGGAAGCACTGGACGACTTCAAGAAGCGCATCAAGGTGTATGAGAAGGCGTATGTGCCTCTTGGAGAATTGGAGGAGCGAAGTAACATGCCATATATTCAGATGATCGACGTGGGCCGCAAAATCATCTCGCATCAGATCAAGGGTTTCCTGATGGCTCAGGCGAATTACTACCTCCTCAATTTCAACCTCGCGCCTCGACAGATCTGGATCACGAGACACGGACTCAGCGAGGACAACATTTCCGGCAAGATTGGCGGCGATAGCGATCTTGCTGAGGAGGGTGTTCTGTATGCGAAGAGCCTAACCCGTTTCATGGACTCGAAACGTAGAGAGTGGGATCTCAAGCAGATCGAGGATGCGAGGAACACGCACTTCCCACCACAACCTGGTGATGCTACGCCACCAAATCCCTACTTCAGCCCGGCCTCCCCACGCCTTGAGAAGCGCACACCCTTCTACGAGACACCATCTTCAGCCGTTCCCTCCGGCGCAGCGACACCCAATTCCGACGCCATCTCGGATATCGAATCGAAACCCTTCTGCGTCTGGACAAGTATGCTCAAACGCAGTGTTCAGACCGCTCAGTTCTTTAATGATGAAGAGTATGATACTAAGCAGATGCGGATGCTTGACGAGCTTAACGCTGGTGTAATGGAGGGTCTGACATACAATTGCATCTCCACCCAATATCCCGAGGAATACCGGAGCCGCAAGCTAGATAAGCTGCACTACCGCTACCCTGGTCCAGGAGGTGAAGGCTACCTAGACATCATCAACCGGCTCCGCCCTGTCATCGTGGAACTAGAGCGAATGACCGACCACGTCCTCCTCGTCGGCCACCGCAGCGTCGCACGCGTCCTTCTCGCCTACTTCCGCGGCCTTAGGAGGGAGGAAGTCGCAGACCTGGACGTTCCACTCGGAATGCTGTATTGTCTCGAGCCGAAGCCTTACGGCGTCGATTTCAAGGCGTATAAGTGGGAGAAGGAGAGCGAGTGGTTTGTCGAGGTGCCGAACTTTCAGCTGAGGCGGGCGGAGGACGATATGCTGTAGGATTGTGAGAGTCCGGACTGTCCGAATGGGTGTGAGAATGTGCGGCGGACGGCGAGTGCGCCTGTGCTTGCTGATGGCGCGAGGAAGACGATGGGTGGGAAGGGTAAGGGGAGGAGGGTGAGGTTTCGGCTTGCGGGGAGTGAGGATAAGGGAGAAACAAAGGAGGAGGAGGAGGTGCCCAACCTGGTGCAGGCGGAGGTCGTGACGCCTGCGAGTGAAGCCGCGGGATCTGAGTCTGCGGAGTAGGTTTGATACACTGGCGCTGTATGGGCTGGTGATGGCTCCGTGTACTTTTTACGATTGCTCATGTTAGCGTGGGACGGCATGGCGTGGAAGGACTGCTTTTCGCCTACGGAATATTGGCTTGCTACACAGCGTGGCGTTAACTCTTGGGTTGGATAAAGGGAGGGGATTGCATGAAGTGCAGTATCATGAGGAGCACGAATGAGGCGCTCAAATTAGAGATATAATTACATGAGGACTCTGCACGCATCATGAGGAGAATGCACGACTAAGTTGATTTTCGTGGCAAGCATCACAATTCTCGTTCCCGCAGACCATCAATATTCTTCGACATCGATTCGTCTGTGCGTAAGCGTAACTGCCGAAACGTGCTTTGTCAATCGCCCCACTTCAATGTCCGTCTCTTCTATCATCACATTATCGAGAATTAGGCGGCTTGCCACACAATCAGAGCCGCTTGTAGGAACAGCGAAGTACATCATGCCTCGTAATCACGCAGGACCATGGCCCAACGGCGCCCGTGCAGCCGTAGCTTTCACAATAGACAACATGGGCGAAGCAGCAGACATTAACCGCAATCTCTGGCCCAGAGACCAAGAAATCGGCTCACACTACTCTGTCAAAGAGATCTTACCACAATTCCTGGCTCTAATCCAGGAGAAGAAAATCCCGGCTACATATTTCGTCGAATCCTGGAATCTGAGCGTCTATCCCACGGAGATCCGAGAGCTGGCTGAGGCGGGTGTGGAAGTGGCGTGGCATGCTTGGCAGCATGAGGCTTGGAATGGGCTTGATGAGGTGGAGGAGAGGAGGAATTTTGAGAGGAGTTTTGGGAAGGAAGAGGGGATCGAGGGGTTTTGTGCTCGGGAGGGAAGGGGTAAAGGTGTTGTGAAGGGGTATAGGGGCTTTCGGCCTCCGGGTGGTGTTGTGCATGGTGATAGGACGTTGAAGCTTTGTAGGGATTATGGGCTGCAGTATATCAGTTCTGCTGGTGAGGAGGCTGCGTTGGTGGAAGTGGAGGGAGGTAAAGATAGTATTGTTGTCTTGCCCTTTAAGTGGCGGACCGTGGATGCTTACTACTATATGGACGCTTTTCTTGGGTTGAGGAAGATGAAAGGAGAAGCTGATGTGGGTGTACAGAGTCCGGTGACTTTAGCCAAGAGCTATATCCAAGAGGTTGAGGCTGCTATTGAGAAGGGAGGATATGTTTCGACCTTGTTCCATCCCTTTCTGACCAATGAACCAGACAGGCTTAAGGCAATGGAGATGGTGATGGATTTCATGATTCGGAAGAGGGATGCTGGGGAGATTTGGTTGGCGAGGTGTTGTGATATTGCTGAATACATTAGAGCACACCCGGATGTCGTCGGGGATGATCCCAAATGGGATTATTCGTCGTGGCGATGAGAAGTAACGTCCACTGGAAGGTAGATGCGACCTTACCGCCGGCCATGCTGGAGCATCGGTACATGAGCATCATCTTCTCCCTAGCAGGGAACGACCGCCCCTCTCAATGAAGAGACTCTTGATGTCGACACCGAGGGCAAGATCCCAGGCATGAGTTACACTCTTTCCGGTGAAGGCTTACCCTGACCAAAGCATTAATGGACACATGTTTGGGCAATGAGGCGCCCCCGAAGACGATACTGGACATCTTCTTCGGTTGATTCTCTCCCGTTAACGCAATGCATGATGTCTGGTGTAAAAGCTTGAGATATGGTGTAAAAGCAGTGGCTTTCAAGAAAAGCTCGTCGCTCGTCAGGGTGGCTCCTGCTTGTTCTGTCAAGGTGCTCCTTCCTCACTTACCACGAGCTCGGCAACCCGGCAAGCCTAGCTAGTCTGTCCTGGTGACAGGAATCCACTTCATAGCAACCTGACCGCGACCTCACTCCTTACACTCTAACACTCCTCGCTCACTCACTCAACCCTCACCGTCTTTCGTTCTGTTCGCCTCAATAACTTCACCCCATCGCCATCAGTCAAAATGCCTTCTGGGAACGACAACTTATTCAGTATATTTCGCGTCACCAACAAGTTGACCAGTCTGGGCCACGAGGTGCCACGCAGCCTGAAGAATGTTATGAATGACACTCTTGTGGAGCTCAACAAAGAGATCAACCAGTACACACAGGTCAATGGTCATGTGCGTGGTCAGCACAAGGGCCTATCTGAGCAGATCAAGGAGTTACAGACCGAGATCACTACAATGCGTGCTCAAGTCCAGGAGGCCAACAATTGTATGTCCAGCGTCTTCCTCGTCGGTCCACAGTACTGACTGCATGTAGTGAAGGCAGCTACTCAGGCGACGGCATTCCAGACAATGGCTGATCTTCGCCGCCAGGCGGAACAGGTGGAGGGTGAATATCTGGCTTTGCAAAGGCAGTTGGAGAGATGCCAGGCTGGTGAGTCGAATTCCAACCATGTCAGAGCGATCGACTGACAAGAGTCCAGAGCTGGACTCTGCTCACGATGCAGCGGACAACGCTCAGACAGCACGTGCTGTTGCCGAAGCCCAGTTGGAAGCTCTAAAGATGGGCATGACCGAGACTGCAGTTGCGGCGAACAGTGTGATCGGCGAGCGGACAGTCACTTCCCTCACCGCCGCCACTGCTGGCCTGGGCCAAGATGGTAGCCACAGCGCATCAGGTCCCGGTGTTTCTACACCACCATCCACAGGTTTTCCAGCCGCGGGAGAGGCTACAGACCAAGGACCTGCGAACGCGAAGAAGCGCAAGCTCACGCACGATGAAGATGGCCTTTCTACCGAGACGCGCAAATTTGGAGCCGCCGAGACGTTCTTCCAGCAGACGCTCAATGCTGTGATGCATTCCAGTCCTCCACCCGCGGAGGTCAAGCAGGTAAGACAGCAGATAGTTATTGCCTTGACTAGTACTGACATCAGTAGAACGAGACTTTGCCTGGCGAGCCAAGCATCCTCACCGTCTCAGACACAGAGATGGAAGAGTTCAGGCTCTTTGACGAGGAGGATGAGTTGTGATAGCCAATCGCGCGCTTCGTGCTTCTAATATTGCTGGACATCCTGTTTATGTTCAGAAGCAAGATTTGTCCGAATCTGCAGTGAGAGAAAGCTTCAGCATAATGACGTGCTGAGTAATGGTCGCGCCTCTACGATGGCTCATATGGGAGGCGATCTGGCGTGAAACCGCAAAGATTGCTTGTGAAGATAGCAAGCAAGCCTTACTTCAGTGTCTCCATAACACTATTCCAGCACTTGCCCAAGTCGGGACCTTGATAATTGCTGATGAAGTGGCTCGCTCACAGCGAGCCAAATGAGGCATCTGACCTTACTCATCTAGGCAATGCTAAAGCACATCACCATGACTCTTCGCCGCGACTACACAAAATTACCATAACCAGATGGCTCACAGCCTGCACAACGTCGCAGATGTCTCGTTGGGAAGACCTTTGCATAGTCTTCTGACCGCCCCGTTTGTAATCTCAGCCTCGAGTTGGAGAGCCGCATCGGACCGACTGGGTGGCGGATGTGCGAGGCCGGACATGAATTCGCACGCCTATCGCGATAAAGCTGTGTAGAGGACGACGAGATCGATAGAATGATGAGATGGAGGCGGAGTTGATGCCAAGGTCTGCGTGACAAGCAGAATGGTATGCATATCGACTATCGTCGGGTGAGGTAGGGACCACCGGGCAAACTGACGGAGGAGACCGGGAGACATCGAAGGAGGGGCACGAGCAAGGCGGACTGAGGCGCAATATTCATTGTACTACGCCGCTACCGGCATACTACTCTACGACATCCGTATATAAGTTCAAGGTGAACGAACTCAAGTAGTAATCTTCAGTCATATCCTACACATCAAGCAGGTACGTCAGTCTTGGAACTCCCTCGATTCCGGAAGCACGGTCCAGATCCCTCATCACTGCAGGTGCCATTTCGGTCAAATGCCCCGCCATTCATCCCACTGCATCCTCAACTTTTTGTTTCGCCGGCGAGGAAGATAGCTAGCAAAACAAACACTGATCTTCCTGCTGAATAGCTTCCAGACACTTCACAAAGTACGGTCGATACCACATCCAGCAAGCAGCCGCAGCTCACTGACAGAAAACAGCTCCATAACAAGAAGAATACAAGATGGTCGTCAAGGTACGATCCTGGAGGGCGATCATGTTTGTAGCGGCAATGGTGTACTGACAGCAACCAGGTCGGCATCAACGGTTTCGGCCGCATTGGTCGTATTGTCTTCCGCAATGCGTAGGTCACGCACTCAAGGCAACAACCACGAATCGAGCTAATGTGACGTAGCATCGAGCACAAGGACATCGACATCGTCGCTGTGAACGATCCCTTCATTGAGCCACACTACGCTGTAAGTGGCTCCGAACCATCCGAGACGATCAGCGGCAGCACAGATGCAAGAGCTAGGACATTTGAGAGCTTCCGCTGATCCAAACAACCAGGCGTACATGCTCAAGTATGACAGCACCCACGGCGTATTCAAGGGTGACATCGAGGTCTCCGGCAAGGACTTGAAGATCAATGGCAAGACCGTCACCTTCTACACCGAGAAGGACCCCGCCAGCATCCCATGGAGCGACACCGGCGCCTACTACGTCGTCGAGTCCACCGGTGTCTTCACCACCACCGAGAAGGCCTCCGCCCACTTGAAGGGTGGCGCCAAGAAGGTCGTTATCTCCGCTCCATCCGCCGACGCACCAATGTACGTCATGGGTGTGAACGAGAAGACCTACGAGGGCAAGGACAACGTCGTCTCCAACGCTTCGTGCACAACCAACTGCTTGGCTCCTCTCGCCAAGGTCATCCACGACAAGTACACCATCATTGAGGGCCTGATGACCACCATCCACTCTTACACCGCTACCCAGAAGACTGTCGATGGTCCCTCCGGCAAGGACTGGCGTGGTGGCCGTGCTGCGGCGCAGAACATCATTCCTTCTTCCACTGGTGCTGCCAAGGCTGTCGGCAAGGTTATCCCAGACCTCAACGGCAAGCTTACCGGCATGTCCATGCGTGTCCCGACCAGCAATGTCTCTGTTGTTGACTTGACCTGCCGCATCGAGACTGGTGCCACGTACGATGAGATCAAGGAGACCATGAAGGCTGCCGCCAACGGCGAGATGAAGGGTGAGTGAATTCATGCTTCAGGAGAGACCCTTACTAGCTCGCGCCAATACAGAACGTTACTGACCTTTTCCTCCTCCAGGCATACTCGCCTACACCGAGGACGAAATCGTCTCCTCTGACCTCAACGGCAATGAGCACAGCTCCATCTTCGACGCCAAGGCCGGTATTAGCTTGAACAAGAACTTCGTCAAGTTGGTCAGCTGGTACGACAACGAGTGGGGTTACTCCCGCCGTGTCCTTGATCTCCTCAGCTACATGGCCAAGGTTGATGGTGCGCACTAAGCGATGGATATGAGTCCATAATGCAAAAAGTTGAGCTGAAGTCAGGAGTATGAAGGAGGGTCATGAGTTATACAGACGGTATCTGAGGAGATGCAGTATGCATAGCAGATCAATGATACTTGCCAGTGGCATCCATATGTTCTTCCCGGGTCTTCGTTGCGTGAGAAAGTGTAACGAAGTCGTTCGTCGCAAAGCAGATGCTTGACAGACGGGTCTAGCCGCTACAGTACTTGCGACATCGTCAACCGCGTCTCACTTTTCAACACACCTCACTTTGACTGGGCTTACACGATGTGAGGTTTACGAGACTTGCGATCCTTGACTGTCGCAAGGTTCATCGTGGACGCTTGCGAGGCTCCTTGAGGTAAGAAACATGAGATGAGGCTGCGCCTCTACACATGAGTCTGCAGCTCGCTATTAAGGAGGCTGTGCGAGGCTCAGGTGATGCATTGTAATATGCCAGACAACGTCTCTAGGAGTCTTGCACGACCTTTGGGCCACAATAGCGTCATCAACAACACAAGCCCGTGATGGTCTTACCGCAGGACTATATTCGTCTGATCAAGGTCGTGCCACGGACTACAGCAGAGCCGGTACGGTGCCGGACTACAATTTGCCCACTTGATGCTAGTGTTAATTTCGCCGCATTATCCTATACCGGGGGGTACCCCTGCACATCACTGGATGGCCAGTATATTGAGATCGACGACACCCAGGTCTTGGTCCGAAAGAATCTGTGGCGCTTCCTCGAACAGATGAGCAGAGCCATGCACGAATGGCCAGAGCTGATGTGGATCGACTCGCTGAGAATTGATCAGACGAATCAGCGAGAGAAGTCGCAGCAGCTTGGAATCATGAGCCTGATCTTCAGGACAGCAAGCAAGGTCATCGTGGGCTTGGCCCTGCGCACAGTGACAGCGATGTTGCGATGCGAGCTGTCCCGACTTACGCTACCTATAATACCGGTGGTAAGAGGCTGCTGAATTGAAATTCTGGAGCGAGGCCCGCTGTGAGGTCTAGTATTGCGGTCGTGCCAGACTATCGGACATCGCTTCGATGTCTCTTGAATGCTGTGTTGCGAGATCACCATGCGGAACGTGTCCATGCCAGTATTGAGGAAGTTCTTGGACAGTGTCGTCAGATTGCGGAAGTCTTCAGAATCGAGCCCAGTGCTTTGCTAGAGCTGCAGAATGAACGTGGTGTCGCACCTCTTCCCCGAGTTAGACGAGGACCTGACTGTCCGCTTGGCGAGCCCCGTACAAATGCAATCACATTGTGGTGGTCGGCATGGTATGATCACAGTGCAGTGCACCGCCTGCTGATCAATTACGACGCAAGCAGTGAGCAATTACTGTCGGAGACTTGGCGCTGGGCACAAGACCATTACGAGACGCTTGTCCTCTATCATTTTCTGTCCACCAGGCAAATGGACGGCTCAGAGGACGCAATGCACGTCGCAGCTGTAGTCGGCCACATACGTGCACTACGACGGCTGCTGCAGAACGGCTCGGGTGTCAATAGACGTGTGCTCGGAATTGACGAAACTGCTCTTCAGGTTGCTTCGGCCAACGGTCAACTGAAGGCAGTGCAGGTACTGCTCGAGCATGGTGCAGAGATATGTGCGGCGGGTACAGATTCGATCAGTGCACTTGTTTCTGCCACCGAGAGCGGACACGTGGCGATAGCCAGGCTCCTGCTTGATCATGGCGCCGATGTGCATACTCAAAGCAATTCGGGTGAAACCCGTTTGCCGATTGCTGGCGTTCTGGCGAACCACGATATGCTATTGCTACTTTTGCAAGAAGGCGCGCCCTTGGACAAAGGAGATTTACTTCTTCGGTTTGCGCTCATGCGCGCTCATGAAAACGGCCAGGAGGAAGTGGTACGATTGTTGCTCGCACGAGGTATTCGATCACCGTGTGTACCGAGCTCGCGATGATCCCAAAAGATAGAGTACCACGGATTTAACCTTCCGCATGTAAGCGTTTGGCATGCAGATAAGTCAAAGCTCTTCATCCCAGCTGCTCCCATGGCTGATGAGATTGGCATACTGATGACTATTTCCTCGTGCTTGCTATTGGAGGTCAAAGTCCGGTGGCTAAGCGTGTGACCACCACGTAAACCTTTTCGAATTGAAGGTTCGAGCACGATTCTGACTCAGCGCCGTGTGGACCGGAGTACGAAAGAGGTTGCGTCGATTATAGATCCACGGGTCAACCTAACAAGAATTGTAATGCACCCATTCGCCAGGTCAACAAGGCCACCGGTAGCGATTAGCTTAAGTAGCCGGATTTATCAATACCAGCCGTGAGCTAATCGACCCTTAGCTTCTAAATGGTGGCTGTCAGCGAATTGATCTTTTCCGGGCGCATGAATACCACATCTCTCATCCACAACCCGACGTCGGCGTGTGGCGGCGCAGGATTCTGCTCCAAATACTCCAGTAGCTTCGCTATCGTGATGCCTTTGTCGTCTTCCAAGCTGACGATACGTCTCTGTATTGTGTCAGCTTCTCACTGACCTGTACGACACTGGCGATAGCGCGGCTGACTATGAGACATACGTTGTAATCAACCTCCACCCGCTTGCTTGGTGGTTGACTTAGAAACATCTGTCTGTGCACAGGATGTACGGCTCGTAGAGCTGCAAGACTGACGGCGAAAGAAGTGTTGGGTTGTAGGCCCTCCGGGTGTACACGATCGCATATGCTCCAACTACCGTTCGTGTTCATATGCTTATGTCGATATGGTAACAGATTATTGACGGTAGCTGGTATGAGGAAGGATTGTCCGGAAGCCTTGGCCTCTTCATAAGGCACGAGGTCACCGAGCTCCGTGATTTTCGGCTTTGGCCATTCGGGCATGGTCGTACCGTCTCGCTCGGAGGATAAGTAGACGATGTTTGGTTTCCGTGGCCGTAGGAAGAGAGCCTCTTTGGTTGCTGGTGAGGTTTGGATGCTGTCACGCCATGATCGACAGACGGCTTGTAGGTGAAGTGAGTACCGGACGTGTAGCTGGGCGAGGATGAGTTCGAGGATTTCTGTTGTGTTGAAGACTTGGGATCCAGCCGAGTGATCAGGTGTTGTGTCCATTGTATCTGTTGACATGGTCTTTCGAAGCCCTACTTCAAAATCAAGCACAGAAGGGAGTACAAGTCGAAATGTCGTCGACGTAGATGGGAGTCCGGTTATGATTACCTCTATTGCGGAAATAGCGATATTTGAGTTCAGATATGTGCACAGCCTAGACCTTAGTGCAGATTTACGGGAGTCAGCATTGTGCTCCCTTCGTGAGTCTGGTGCAGCACATCACTAGTCCCGGTCGTCGTCATTATCACGAGATGATGGCTCTCGCTATGTGGTGAACAGATGTAGGAGCATCGCGAAAGGAGAAGGCACGTCTCGGGACCATTCACCTCCGAACCTCGGCGTCCCAAAAATATCCATGCGCTCCAATCAGCATTAGCAGGACCATCAATCCTCGCATCACCAACATGAGACCGTTCTTATTAGTTGGCTATGATTGTTGTCTTGTTGCCTTTTAGTCACTCATTATTGTAGCCATGTCCGCCGCGTCCCGCCTCCCAACCATCGCCGGCACCATAACCCTCGGTGCACTCCTCGCAGGCCTCACCAGCCTCCCCTCCGTACGAGCCTTCCTCGTCCGCTATCTTGGCTCAAGAGCAACAAGACATATGTGGAAACTCACGGCGGCGGCCTTCGCCATTGCGAACTTCAAGAACATCCCTTTCGTATGGCATATTCGGGTCTTACGAGGGATATTTTATCAGTTATACCTTCAACCTACGCCTCAGCAGCCGAAGCACTTGTTCGCGCCTGTCATTACCAGTTCGAGGAATACGTTGTATGACTGCGATTATAACATGCATAAGAGTAACAGCACCTATTTTGCCGACCTAGATGTTGCTCGTGCGCATACAGTTGGCTGCTTGATACGGACTGGCCTCTCGAGACTGAATCGTGGAGACGAGGAAGGACTACCAGTAGAGGTCATAGCTGCCAAGGGGAACTTCTATGTTGCATTGGGTGCGGTGAGCTGTTTCTTTCACAAGCAGATTGAGCCTCTGCAGGCTTTTGAAATACATACGAGGGTCTTGAGTTGGGATAGGAAGTGGTTGTACTTGGTCTCCCACTTTGTCAAGAAAGGTGCTGTGAAGCCGGAGTCCTATGCACTCCAGCCGTGGAGGAAGGGAAAGAGGGTGACGGGATCACAAAGCGAGCAGGATATGAAGAAACACATTTTTGCTAGCAGTGTGGCAAGATATTGCTTCAAGAAGGGCCGTCTCACGATCAACCCCGAGATCGTGCTTGAAAGATCGAGAATACTACTTCCAAGGCCAGAAGATGTGCAATTACCACCAAGAGCAGAAGCTTCGAGCAATGCCGTTCCTTCTGAGGTTGCACCTACACCAGCGAGCGATACTGCAACAAAAATTAGTGCTGCGGCTCTGGCGAGTCAAGTGTCTTCGAAGCTGGGTGACTACGCGGAGCATGTGAGTAAGGAGGGTATCGAGAACGATGACAGTTGGACGTGGGAAGACATGGAGAATGAGCGTCTACGAGGGCTCAAGACGGCATCACATTTCGATCAGCTGAGCGCGGCGCACAATGAGTTGAGGAGTAATGAAGCTCTGGGAGAGTATTGTGATTTCTGGTAAGCGTTGAGCGCGACGTGATCGGCCGGAGCCGACCTGTGCCTATAGAACGACACATCAAGAGTAGACAAGAGGGGATAGCATGTCGGCCTGAAGCCGGCTGTCGCCTGACTGAGCAATCCTTGAATGACATGCTCCATATGCTTGGTCGTCTGTAGGTGTTCAGATTCAAGAGCAGCTGTTCAGCCTATGAGCGCTTCGGCTAGACAATGCACAAGGCGGCATGCCTGCAGCATGATCGCCGCCCTTGAGCTTTGCGAAAGCGATTTGGGATGCATCCTTGCGATCCCGTACCATGATTCACCGACCTTCGACGCATGAACGAAGCATATTCTCGTCGCACTGTTGCTCAATGAGTTTCTCATCGGCTGCGGCGCTATCTGCCCGGGGCGACGCTACTCGGTACTCCGTGGTATGGTTTGTTGAGCCCTACTTCGTACTTGTGCGAACGACTAAGCCGCCAGGCTATGCTCGGCCACAGTGTTCACTGTTCCGAATGTACAGAATCGAGGTGGCTAGTTCAGCTCGTGGCCTGAGATGTATGGAGTCGCGGCATCAAAGTTGATTGGCGCCTTCAACATCTCGTCTACCGCTTCTTGCCCTTAGTCTTGTCCACAATCTCGACCCACCGACTTTGCACACCTCTCTTCTCCAAAGCCTTCAACACAGCATCCTTCTGCGGCCCCTGTACCATAACTTCTAATACCTCCTTCTCGTTCTTCTTCGCGGCGCCAGCCAATGGCTCCACCGAAGTACTGCCAGCACATACCTTCCTCAACTCATCCGCTAGTGGCCTAGCATTAATGTGGTACGCCTCGAGCCCCGACACCTTGGTCATGGTCTTGTTGCCGCTTCTGGTTTCGAGCACAATCGTGACTTTTGGTGGTGTGCCAGACTTGGTCTTTATGCCCGCATCTGTGATCGAGGCGCCATTGCGGAGGATGGCGTAAGAGGTGTTCATGCTGTGGAGTATACGATCTACGAGAGCATCTCGTGGGACCGAGCCCTTGGCCAGGACTTCCTTGTCAAGATTACCAGATCCGTCGAAGACACTATTGCCGAGAAGAGGGTTGAGGTTCACTAGGCGTTTGTTGGTTGTGTGGACAAGGTTTTCGGACTCGATGTAGGCTGTCATGATTTCGCGGACTTCGGGTGGTGTGAGAAGTTGTTTTGTGGTGGATGCGAAGAGTGGCGAGAGTTTGCTGGTCGGGCGATAGGAAGTGACAACTTGAAGCTTCTGCCTGATGGAGTCGTCGCCTGTGTCGTCGCCATTGGTAGGCTTGTCACTCTTGCCGCTCGCTGACTCTTTCTTCGGCAGCCGATATGGCTTGAACTCTGCAATGGCCTTGTCTCTGAAGTCAATGTCTAGGATGACAGTCTCATGACCATCTTTCTCTTTGCTTTTCAGTAGCTTCTCCTTGTCAAGCGCCTTGATGAACTTCTTGATGTTCTTCCAGCTCGTCTTCTTGATTTGAAGCTGCTCTTTCTGCAAGGGTGTGAATGTTGGAAGAAATGGTTGTATGAGATTGCTCATGACGAAGGACTGCGATAGTGGGAAGACAAGACCGAAGGTTGGTGATGAAGATTGTGTGGTTTTGTGGTGGTGCACGCCATACAGGAATGCAGAGCGGAAGGCAGAGTCGATGTCCTTCTGGGACATCTCCCTGGCTTCTTCTGCATCATTTGGTTCTTGGTCACCCGACGGTTCCGTCACACCGTTCGTGTGGCCGTTGATAGCATGGGCTTGTCCTTCGTCACCATTGAGACTTACACCACCCTCGTCCGCCTCATCGTCAAGCTTGAGATCTTCGGCCTTGTCCACCAGACCTCTATCCTCCAATCCACGCACCCAACCCTCAAGCTCTTCTGGCATTGGCTTGCCAGGTCGCTCCGACGGACTAAAGCTCCATAGCTCATCACCACACCAATGTAGATTCTCCACTGCATGTCCTTTCTGTCCTTGTACCTGCTGCAAAGCCGACACATCAATCTCGCACACACCCACAGCAACAGGTACACTGGGGTTCTCCGTACTCGCTATCGCCACGACGGAGCCCTTCTTGGCTCGGGCAGGAAATGGAGGCCCTCCTGCAAGCCCTGGGGTCATGAGATCTGCTCCTCCTTGCAGCTTCTTGATGACTATACTTGGCGTGTGTAGCAATGGCACCATGTCTGGATGCCGCCATAGCGTATAGACTGACGGATACAATGCTCCCTCTATTTGCCACCACAATATCCTCGAGTCTTCGTTGGGCGGGTGACCAATATATACAGTGCCGCTGACTTGCTTCAGTTGTGGTCCATGTGTGGTCGTGAAGCGAGCTGACTGGACATTGTCTGGTAGCAGGGAGTTTCGTAACCCGGTATGTGCTGCTGTGGCTTCTGCTTTCTGCTCGGGTGTAGGCTCGTCTGGTTGTGATATCGTGAGTTGATAGTCATGGATGATGGAATCTGCAATCTTGCGACGGTCGGAGGAGCGTAGTGGCGCGGCAGGCTTGATCTGAGGCTTCTTCTTAAACATGATGGTGGACTGGTACGGAACGTGACCTTACACGCTGTTGTAGAGATATTAATTCTGACTGCTGGACGCGTGAGCATTCACCAACCGCGTTGCAGTGACCCCGCTTGCGTCATGCGAAGCTCGGACGCATTTTGTTCCTTCCGCTTTCGTCGCCTGTGCTACAAAGCAAGGGCCTGAGGGGACGATGCCACTGTAAGCCCACGATGAGTCATGGAATGTTGCTGGGTTGTGCTGATTATCAAGGACTGACAGACCACAGCAGTCCTCAACGCCTTTCTACCGCTATACTTTCTGCATTACTCTAAGAGGTCGCCAGTAGATATCACTCGCCTCAATGACTACCCTGTCAAGGCCCTCTATCGGACCAACAATCTCGACTTCCTTCTGGCTGCCTTCCAGGACCTTGCGACATGGCATAGCCATAGTCATGTTGCTCTCATTGCCCTCTCCAGTCAACGGCATTAATTGTTCTTCGGAAGCAGCATACACAATCCGACCAATGTTCGCCCAATAGCACGTCGCAGTACACATCGCACAAGGCTCCCAAGTACTATACAGCGTGCATGTCCACAAGAAAGCTTGCGTGTAGTGACTTGCTGCCAGCCTTGCCAGACTAGACTCTGCATGGTTGACATGGTCCAGGTTGCTGTGAGAGAGCAGCATAGTTTCGTTATCCGGGCCTACAAGAACAGCAGCAAAGGGCTGCTTACCCATCTCTACTCCGAGATACTGGACTCTGAGGCAGGCTTCGACAGCCTTCTCGATCTGTTCTGCCGAAGGCTGAGGTGGCCGGAGAGGAAGGAGCTTGTTGCTATCCGTGCTCTTCGTGGCACTGTTCATCTTGATAATCAAACAGAGTGCTCGCGCGAGTCTCCACGGACAGTATTGCTGTCTGCTAGGGAGACAGAGATGATACAGCCTTTGGATTTTGGCTAGGAACTAAGGAGAGATGAAGACGAATGGCAGGACGAAGTCCTTATCAGAGTGAGATGACCGCACGGACCCTCTCCAGCTCATTATCGTCGTGCGCTCTGTTAACTAAAGGGGTATTAGAAGCCATACGTAGGTCGTGGTAGATCTTCCTTCTCACGCACCAGGACAGAACACCTTCTCTACCCCATGTGTGTTCATACAATGCCATGATGCAACAAATTTATGCTGGTACCAAACAAGGAAGGCACATGCACATTAGACAAGCAATAAATGCCGACCGATATCGGTGATACCGCGTTTTCTACGCGGAAGTCGGCAAGTTAGTGCCTATTCAGTCTTTCAAATATGCAACATCACTACACACGAAATGTAGCAATCGACCAGCGCATTTTCTGCACCATGTGATGATGATTCAGCTGACGCGGGCAAGTATATTCCAACTCTCCTCTCTTCACTAGCAACACCCACAGCGTCACTGCGGGAAGACCTACATACCTACATTAGCACACGATCGGGACTCTATGCGCTTCTCTCATACTATACCGCTTTCGCCGACCTTGAGATCAACAACCACACCCTCAGCATTATGGGACGCCGAAATGAAGACGCCGAGGCCGCTCTGCACGACCAGACGCAACTACTGCCCAAGAAACAAGTCATTTTTGTTTTCATGATCATGGCAGCGGAATTGCTGGTTTGCTTCATCGACCAGAACGGCATAGGAGTCCTTCTGCCAGATATCGCTCGGGATCTCAACGCTAGCTCCTCAATCGCCTGGGCAGGTACTAGTGCCTTGATCGCCAATACTGTTTTCCAGGTGCTGTATGGAAGGCTCTCTGATCTCTTCGGGCGAAAGATTGTGCTGGTATCTGCACTGCTCTTGCTATCGCTGAGCGATCTGGCTTGTGGACTGTCGGTTAATTCGATGATGCTGTACGTCTTCCGCGGCCTCGCTGGTGTCGCCAATGGTGGAATTACGAGCTTGACCATGATGATCGTGTCGGACATTGTAACGCTACAGGAGCGAGGCAAGTACCAGGGTATCTTGGGCGCGATGGTTGGCTTGGGAAACGCTCTCGGACCGCTCATCGCTTCGGCCTTCGCCATTCATGCTACCTGGAGAGGTCTGTTCTATCTCCTGGCGCCACTCATCATGATCACGGTCGTGGCTAGCTGGCTGTATCTCCCGACCAACATGCCGAAGCTGAATATGAAGCAAACTCTCGCCCAGATTGACTGGCTTGGACTGATCCTCGGCACCGCTGCAGTAATACTGTTACTCATTCCAATTTCCTCGGGAGGACAAGCCGGCACACCCTGGAATTCACCAGAAATTATCGCCATGTTCATCGTCGGCGCCGTGTGCCTTGCGGCATTCATCTTTGCCGAATGGAAGTGGGCTCGACTTCCCATGATGCCATTGAGCATGTTCAAGGAAGCGTCAGTGGCTGCAATGCTGGCTCAATCGTTCCTGCTAGGGGCCGCGTATTATTCGACCCTCTATTTCCTACCGCTCTACTTTCAGAACGTACGAGGCAAGAGTCCACTGATTGCTGCAGTACTGCAGCTTCCGCTTGTCGTTGCGCAGTCTTCGTTATCAACGGCAGGAGGCCCCTACATATCGTACTTCAACCGCTATAGAGAAGTGATCTGGATTGGCTTCGGGCTTTGGACGCTTGGTGCTGGCTTGCTGGTCCTGGCTGATGAGCATCTGAATTTCGCCCTGATAGCATTGTTCTTGATCATCATCGGGTTTGGGACAGGTCTCGTCTTCCAGCCCACACTTGTGGCTCTCCAAGCACACTGCCCAAAATCCCAACGAGCAGTGGTCACATCCAACCGTAACTTTCTACGCTCATCCGGAGGTGCGGTAGGCCTTGCAGTATCATCTGCGATCCTTACGAACGTCCTTAAAGGCACGCTACCTCCAAGACTGGCATCAATAGCCAATAGCACATTCGCCGCGCCAAGCCTAGCAGGTTACTCAGAAGCAGATCGCATAGCCATAAAGCACGCGTACAGCGCAGCCAGCCGTGCCGTATTCATCTGGTGTGTCCCGCTGGTCGGTATATGCTTGCTACTTTGCGCTCTGATCAAGGATCAAGGCCTGATACGCAAGGAGGAAAAAGAGGCCGGGACGCCAAATGGGTCGGGCGAAGACACTCCTAGAAGACCGACTGAAGATCACGAAAGGGGTGCTCCCGGTCAGCCTGTTGATGGCCAAGAGGCGGATGCGAAGCAGCTGGACGCAGCAATGTCGCCTGAGCACGCGAGCACAGGGAGCAGCAGGCGGCCTTCAGTGATCAGTGAGAAGAGCAGTAAGTCAAGCAGCGGGGGGTTAGTGTAATACGTTCTGGTTCAGCACTTGACCGACATGAAGCGCACACTCTTGTTCGGCACATTCATGTAGCAGAGCGAGTACCAGCTATGGCGGCTCTACAACGTTTGAGAATACGGCTGGTAGCACCGCAGCTTGTTGAAGTTCTTTGCGTACTGATGTTCGACGGGCAGATATGATGTCGTGTGGCCATCTTGCTCTTGTGCCAGAGTCTGCCTTTGACGTGCAATACTCCTCTCTGCTGTGCGTCGCCCATGCCCTATCCGTAAGCAAGAGCCCTCTTCCGTCGGCATCCGAATGAGCTCCGTAAGTCCACTATGCTTGGCAGTCGCAGTCGTGATCGGGCCCATCTTAATCATGATCCAACGTGTCTGGTACGAAGTCTTCGGGGACTGCAGTGCGTCTGGATAAGTCTCGGTCACCTCCCCTACACCTGGCGTTTATGAGGTGCCCTTCGTGATTATGTAACAACGTGGTGCCTTGGGGAGACTCAGATCACCCAACTGACCCGGAACCTCGGAGACGGGCTAGTCCGTTGCAATCGCATAACGCGGCTGACTTTTACTGTGGCTCTTGTGAACAACCCATCAACCATCTGGCTCTCGTCCATCATTTGAGTCCTTACTTGCCGCTCCGCCAAGGCCTTCTACGATAGTACCACCACATGCACAGCCTGCATGCAGCGAGAGTTCACTGCTAACGTCTGCAGAGCCAAAGATGGCAGCAGAAACATCAAGTAAGTCGTGTGCCTTTTTGCCCGAACCCCCGCTAGAACATACGCCAAGAGATATAACGTCGACGACACTTGTCTTGGCATCAGCCGTGTCCGGACTGTCCTTCACGCACCCGACCGGATCACTCGCTCACGCCCACTGATTTGTCTGCATTTCGCATCGAAGCAAGCAGACGGGCCCGGGCGGCCTCTTGTTTGTTACCTTTGCTTGCAATGTCGTTCGCTACATCCTTAGGCTTGCTTTTTGCCTGCTTCGCTTTCCATGTGTATCATATTCCCGAGCAACGCAGGACGGGTAGCACAATGCTGAGGAAGACTTCACTATTATTGACGCTTCTGCTGGTTGTGGTGGTGGTATGCTTTAGCTTACAGAATGTACCGATAGGCCAGGCGCGGATCCAACAGACTGTGATGAGTGAGCTGGGGAGTCCGACTACTTCAATACAACATTTCGAACCTCCTTTCCAGACTGCTGGCAGGCATATCGTTGATGCCAATGGCAAACGGTTCAAACTAGCGTCCATCAACTGGTATGGCGGAAGCGACCTCTACTACGTTCCTGGCGGACTGGACTTCCGCCACCGATCAGAAATCGCCGCGACCATGCGGAAAATGGGCTTCAACAGTGTGAGGTTTCCGTATTCGGATCAGATGGTTATCGAGAATCCTATCATTCCTCCCGAGTTCATATCAGCCAACCTCGACTTGCTGGACAAGTACAACCTCAAGCAAAACTCATCAAGGTCCGACAAAGAGCTTGATGGTCCACGTGCACTGGATGTATACGCTGCATGCGTGGAAGCGATGACCGATGCTGGTCTTGCGGTCATTCCTAACGACCACATTACCAACGCCCATTGGTGTGACGGCAAGAATCTATGCGATGCGAGCTGGAAGAACGATCATTACGGCACCGTTTGCAAAGTCAGACAAACGACGGAAAGCTGGATTGACAATTGGATCACGATCATGAAGCCGCATATCGACAACCCGCTAGTAATTGGAGCCGATCTCCGTAATGAGCCTCGTGGACTCTGGGGGACCATGACTTGGAGCATGTGGGCCACTGCTGCAGAGCAAGCGAGCGAGGCGTTGCTCAAGCTTCAACCAAATTGGCTCATGTTCGTGGAAGGCATCTCATCCGCCAATGACTGCTCTGGAGCTCGTACTCGGCCAGTGAAACTATCAATTCCAGACCGTGTAGTGTACAGTAGCCACGTCTACGCATGGTCCGGCTGGTCGACCCTGGTACCGTACCACAAACGACCTTATCCTTCATTTGCCTTGGACATGGAGCGTAACTGGGCTTTCCTACTAAGAGGCAACATCGCACCGGTATGGCTCGGAGAATTTGGTGCTCCACACGGTGGTAACGAAGGCGACCATCACTACTGGGACAATCTCATGAGATATTTGAAGGAGACAGATGCAGATTGGGGATACTGGGCGCTGAACCCACGGAAGCCGGAGAACTACGATAATGAGACTTATGGGCTTTTGGCAGATGACTGGGAGACGATCATTGATGATTGGAGGTATCAGGATCTGGTGAAATTGATCCAGCCAACGAAGGCTTGAAAATCTGCATGATGGATGAACGAGACCTATGTGTATATGTACGACGATCTGGGATAGACTGGAAATCTTGGAATAGGTTGAGATAAAGAAAGCATTCTTTTGGGCAGCACATCTCTCTGACTGTGTTGCTGCCATACCTCATGTAGTTCATCGCATCGCCGCTAAGGATCAGGTGGAGCCACGTCCCGACAAAACTCGACAACACGTGTACTACAGACCAATGGGCGTCTTTTCCGTATGTTTTTCCGTATTTCCGTCGCAAAAATATAAGACTGAGCCGATCTCGGCGCGAGTTCGTCCTCTTAGACACAAACGAGGTGCCTCTTGTGGATGAATCGGCACACCCAACATGCAAGCATTGGGCGATTCTTCAGTGATTCACGAAGGCTGTTGCTATACACCGCTCCATCATCGCTGCTGTAGCCTTGGTAAAGTATGGCTTGATGCCTTGACTCATATACCTCTACCCTTTGCTCTGTCCCCTGTTGTACAAGCCACCATATACCATTACCACTCATGACTATGGAAAAAGATCACAGACGTACACTTCAGCCCGCAGAGGAGCCATTACCAGTTCCAGTGACCAGCAACGATGGCACGCGAGAACTGGAGGAGACACGCGAAAAGGACGATCACGACTATACCGAACTAGACCTTGAGAACCAACCGACAAATCTTCACCGTGTACGGTCCCACGTATCGACCCACGATGCTGCCATAATTCACCATGACCGCGACGAACACTACGAACAAGGCGATGAAGTCTACGACAAGCTACCTCCACACCGCAAAGTGATAGTAGTCTCAGTCCTCTCCTTCTGTGCCTTTCTGGCTCCCATCAGCTCAACAAGTATCCTGGCCGCCTCTCCCGAAGTCGTGGCCACCTATAACACTACCGGCGCCATCTTCAACTTATCAAATGCACTGTATCTGATCTTCATGGGCTTGTCACCACTATTATGGGGTCCACTAGGCCAGACCTATGGACGAAAGTGGCCGCTTGCCATTGCAGCTGTCACGTTCACAGCCTTTAGTGCTGCTTCTGCTGCTGCACCGGATCTTGCTAGCTACTTTGTCTTCCGGATGCTTACGGCGTTCCAGGGCACCACTTTCTTGATCGTTGGCGGGACTGTCATTGGGGATATTTATCGGCCTGTTGAGAGAGGTACTGCATATGGCTGTTTCTTGAGTGGTACATTAATTGGACCAGCTCTTGGCCCGTTCCTTGGTGGAATCATTGTTACTTTTGTGACGTGGCGCGCCATTTTCTGGCTTCAAGCAGCTCTTGCTGCGGTAGCATCAATAGCCGTGGTGTTCCTTGTGCCGGAGACCATCCACCATGCGAAGCAGGAGCAACTAGTTGGCCTCACGAGAGGCCAGAAGGCGAAGAAGCTCTGGTCATGGATCAATCCTTGGAGGGTCGTGGTACTGTTTCGCTATCCGAATCTGCTCATAGCTGGAATTGCTAGCAGCAGTCTCGTCTGGAACATGTACTCTCTGCTTACGCCAATTCGATATGTGCTGAACCCGCGCTTTGGCTTGACTTCTCCGTGGCAGAGTGGTCTATTCTATATGGCACCAGGAGCTGGCTACTTGTAAGTGTTACCCATCAGCTGAATCATGAGTAAGGCTGACAGCTGTTTTAGAGTTGGTACATTTTTCGGTGGCCGCTGGGCAGACAAAATCGTCAAGAAATGGATCAAGAAGCGTGGCCACCGCGTGCCCGAAGATCGTCTGCACTCATGCTTGACAGCTATGGGTGTGGTCATTCCAACTTGTATGCTCATCTATGGTTGGTCGATCGAAAAGGAAGTCGGAGGCATCCCTCTCCCAGTGATAGTCATGTTCATCCAGGGAGTGGCTCAGCTGTTTTGCTTTCCGAGCCTGAATACCTACTGCTTGGACGTCATGTCGGGGAAGAGCTCAGAAGTCGTGGCTGGCAACTATGTCATTAGGTACTTCTTTGCTGCTGCTGGCTCGGCAGCATGTTTGCCTGTCATTGAACGAATTGGCGTGGGATGGTTCAGCACTATTAGTGCAGCGTTCTTGGTCTTGGCTGCGGCAGGTGTGTGGGCGACCGCCAAGCACGGTGGTGCATGGCGAGTGTGTATGGACAAGGACAAGGAGGAGAGGTAGGAAGGTTGGACGAGCGTGAGGTTGTCTATCTATCTTGTGAGGCTTTCATTCAGCGTTTGGTGTTGACGGCAAGATACCCGGTCTTCTGATGTGTAGTGATGTATGCTAAATGAACGAAGATATACGACAACAAAACTGATGGATTGATGGTAATGAAATCGAATCACTCAGGAACAGTTCGGCAGTGGTGACGATCGTTGTCTGGTCCTGGCCGAGGCAAGCCACTCCTCTCACATGCAATTCACCATCGTCATGGAAGCATTGCCCACGCGACACTTAACCCTTTCTGCATTCACGATCTGTGGTCTAGAATTCAGCCGACAGCCTTTTATCATGATAGAATGAACGACACTGCGCCATAGTGAACGAGATTGATCGACCATGTGGCTGGCATCATAACATCTGGCTGCACTTATGATAAGTCAATATATGACCATGGCAGACTCTGTAGGTATGTATGATTAGAACTACCGTCCCATCTCTTCGACTGGGCTAACACCGGCGACCATAGATCGAGTCTTCGGCCATGCCCTCAATACCGTCAACAAGATCCGACCTGGGAGTACGAAGCCACCTTCGGCCGACCGTCTTGCATTATATGGTCTGTACAAACAGTCCATGGAAGGCGATGTCAATCTTTTATCCAACCGACCGACACAATCGTCACCGGCCTACGTCCGTATAAGTGCAGAAGCCCTTGTTAAAGAGCAAGAGAAATGGGATGCCTGGAAAAGCAACGAAGGACTTAGCAGAACCGAGGCAAAGAGGAGATATATTGAGAAACTCATAAGTACTATGCATGAATACGCTTCTGGAACGGACGAGGCACGGCAGCTCGTCGAAGAGCTGGAATTTGTCTGGGATCAGATCAAGAATAACAGCCAATCGTCGGGCGATAGCGAAAGGAGTAGTCCTTTACAGGCTTTGGAGAGGAGTGGCTATATCAGCAGCTCAGGCAATGGTGGTGGTGCAAACTCTGCTGTGGCGGCGCTAGAAGGTCGAGGGGTCGATGACAGCGGACGACAAGGACGACTCAGAATACTCAGCCCTGTTTCTCAAGCTGACGAGGAAGAGGAGGCCATGGAGGAGCAAGAAGAGTTCGTAGATGCTCGGGTGAGCCAAGTCGATGGTGGAGACCTAGGTGGTCTAACGGATCCTAGCGGCGATGGTGGACGGGCGGGTACTGGCAATTACGCCGTCATTGCTGCACCAGACGTCACGCGATGGCGGAAACGTATAGAATCGTCTCTGATCAAACTTACGACCGAGGTTGCAGCCCTGCGCGAGCAGCTAGAGACAAGACGATATTTTGCCCAGCAAAGGAAGTACAGCTTGACGGGCTGGGTCTTCCGACTTAGCTGGTGGGCTTTGCAGCTGTTTGTGGCAGATGGTGTCATCCTATGGATCGTGATCTTGTATATGCGACGCAAGAAGGATAGAAGACTCGAGATGGCAATACGAGTATTACTTGGAGATGCTGTGGCACAGGTGCAGAAGGTCGGTAGAGAGGTGAAGATGCCCACCCTGCCAAAGCTATCTGGACGGAAGGCTGGATAAGACAGCAAGATACGATTCACCACTACGCACCGCATGATTGACAAGATGGCCGCTCAAATCCTTGCGTCGGCTCTCAGATACTCTGTCAGCCAGGCATTGACATACCACGATACAGGCAGCATGACTACTCCCCTAACCCTTCCCACAGAAGCTTCATAGCGGTGGAGAACGACAGCAGTCTCGGGGAGCAATGACAATGGTTCGTTCATTGGCCAAGAGTGGAAAGTACGCTTCATCGTCGGTCGATGTCTGCACGTGAATGGTCAGAATTAGTGGACCGGCCTACAACGAAGCCTCTTTCTTCTCGACCTTTACAACCAAATTATCTTCTGGCATTGTCACGTATTATTGCAACAGCACTGGTGCCGCAGGCTAACAAGTCGGCTCGTCGAGCCTCGCCAGCAGGGCAAAGTGCCAGCTTCCTGGGCATGCCGAAGGAGCTTCGCTTGGTCATATACGATTACGTAGTGCGTCCGCTCTCGTTCACAGTTGTCACCAGATGGCAGCCAATTACGGATCAGGGGTCCGGTAAAGGCTATGCCACACCCGTAATGTACGCGAAATACTCTGACGATCTGTCCACGGCACTGATCCGGACCTGTCGACAATGCTACAACGAGGCGCGATATCTTCTAGTAAAACCCCACGAGATCTGTCTACAGCCCGCGAGATTTGGAGACTATCACAACATGATTGGGTGGAGAACGGTCGATTTGAAATCTCGGAAACTATGATGGATGTGCACACGCTGAGCATCGAGCTTCTATTCTCTTCTGGCTTTGTGCAGCAGGACTTCGAAACCAAATTGCTTGCTGCATGCGTGCCTCACAACGGCAAAGTACAGATGCTGAAGTTCCGCATTCTTTTGGGTGTTGGACATTGGGGACGAGGACATCATGAGGAAAATTTGACTTTGAGAAGGGAAGCTCATTTCCCGGATGTATCGTCTCCGAGTCGGCTTGATATCGCCAGACCATGGCTGCTATGACGTGGCATGCATAGTTGGGGCCAGCGCAGGCATTCAAACTTGCGACGCAAAAAGCCACGGCCTGCCTTGGAGTCTTACGTAAAGTGCATTGACTTCACCGAAGCGTCTTGCTGATCAGTCTGCAGCTTCTTCGTTACACGCTTTAAGACGTATCGAGCAGATTATGTTTGAGACATTCGCTGGCAACCATATGAAGCTCGAAAGTGCTGCGAATTTCCGACCTAGTCCTCGGCCATGATGATCACAAGAAACTTCTGAGTGCCGAGGATGATGGAACTAGTCCATAGAGCTGGACGGGTCATCGGCCCTACGCTGTTGATCAAGCTGTTCAACCCACCCACAAATAATAGAGGTCGTAGTGCTCTACGGCCACAGTATACGATCGATCTCTCTGTGCCTCACGACGGCTACCTCAAAGTCCGCCACACCGTACTCCTTAAGCTTACCTTCAGCATACAGATCATACAGTCTGCCAATGTTCCTGGCTCTCGCTGGCAATGCACCCAAAAAGTCGTCCCACTTCCACTCGACCTTGTCCACTTCGTCCATGCCATAATCGTGCACTTCAATAGGCATGGCCAAGTTGCTGGCCTCCATCTGGATGAAGGACGACTTATCAGCTTCGACCCTGATTTCGCCTTTGTCGCCTTCGATGACCCAGACGAAGACTTTAGTGCCTGGGAATGATGCTCCTATATCATGGTCAAATTTATACAGCAAAGATGGCATGGTGCCGTTGCTAACCTGTACGAAAATTGACCACTAAAGATGCACCTTCGGCTACATGAGTGGATGGCTTGAGTGTGCCATGCACGGAGACGAGATCAGGTACATCAGAAGTAGTGTGGCGTTCTGCTCCGGTCTGTGTATCGTAGACTACCTGAGCAGGTCTTCTTAGCTGGGTATGAGAGTCGAAATGCTCGAACTCGCCGAGGATGGAGTGGATGAAGTCGATCACTACAGTCCATCAGCACATGCCAATTCGCCGGACCGCTTCTCCATACTTACTGTGAGCATACCCAATACTAACAGGATTACCACCGACCTTCTTGTCCAGAAAGTAGGAGAGACCTTCAGACACCCTGCCACGCTCAACTGTCGGCTGGGATACCTTTACCTCACTGCACAACACCTTCCCAATCGCGCCAGACTGGATAATTTCCTTGACCTTTAGCACAACAGGTGCGACCCTGGCCTGAATGCCAACAGCAGTGGTCACCTGCTTCTCCTTGGCCAATTCCGCAAGCTCTGAAGCCCGCTTCACGTTCTCGGCCAGTGGCCACTCGACGAAGACATTCTTACCAGCGGCCACGCTGGGCTTGATGGTGTCGTAATGCACGTCGACTCGGGTGGCGCACACAACGAATTCGACATCTTTGTCTGCTGCGAGATCTTGTGGTGAGCCGTAGGCCTTAACGTCCGATCCCAGCTTGTAATCTGCTATGGCTTTCTTGGCGCTGTCAACACTTGAATTGAGAAGGGCGACGATCTGGAATCTTTCACGGCCGCGGTCAGACAAGAGGTAGGGAAGGTGTGCTGCCGAAGCCCATGACGTCTTGGCTGCTGTCGAGAGACCGATGATGGCGGTGCGGATGGGTGCCATGATTGCTTCTGTGTAGCTAGTGTCGAGGCAGGCCGTGGTAATGTAGCAGACTGTTGGAGCACGAGTTCCTATTTATGCTACGTCGAACAACCTCGCCCCATTAGATTGGTAAGCTGTGAGACTGCAGTCGTGCGAAGCATTGCCGCTCGTGAACAGGCTTGTGCGTCGTGGACTCAAGCAACCCTAATCCGCAACCACTTGCCATTGGTCTGTCTACTGATCTGGAGACTTTGTAAGCAATGCAGCGGGCAACCGATATGGGCCAGCGTGCCATGCGGACGCCATGCGGACGTCCGCTCCCGTCCGCTTCGGCCGCCGCTTTTGCAGCGCCCTGAGCTACATGTTCCTCGTTGCTTTCCTTTCCTGCTCGAACCTTGTTGCATATGAGTATGTAAGTGTTAGCACTCGTACCGGGTACCTATCGTTGGCTTCGTTGGCTACGCCTCTGCCTGGTCCGGTTTGTTTTTGCCGGAATTCTCCTATTGCCATAGCGGATCGTGCCGTTCTGGCAGGTCGCTTTGGCGGCTGACTAACATGTGTTCGCCCATCCGTGCCACGTGCCGCACGACTGAGACTTCATCTAGAGCGGTCGTCGGATCAGCTTCATTCGGATTCGTGAGGAAGGCCTACTGGCAACCGCCGCAGTCTGATGAAGCGGATGAGACAAGACGACCGAACAACAGCTTCGTCTTATCTGCAGCCTGCTTAAGGTTGTTGATAGCGCAGAAGCAAATCAGCATTCGGTGAGGCAGACACTATGGACAAGATGCCTTTGGGTCGAGATCTAGCCCTTTAGGGCTGGAGTAACCTTCGTGGCGACATAGGAGGTACGGAGTTATAACCGAGAGTGCGTCCTTAACACGGCCCACGGGCTTTTCCTCGTCTCCCGCTGCGGACCCTCCTGAATCCTACGGTTGCTACCTGGTCTGCGGTACACCCTGAACGCTTAGCGTATTTGCACTTTCAATCTGGCGCAGTAGGCGTCAAATGTTTGGATGACATGGACGGATTGGACATGATTCTGATCGGACTTTTGCGTTGTTGGCCAGTACGGCATGGTATATCTTCTTATACGCTCAATGATTGGTTGTACCATCCTGTACGAGACATCGACCTCAAAGTGATTTGGTTTACGGCTAACGTAGCTCAGCTCTGTTTTGCTTCTAGACGAGCGCAGGCCTCATGCGACGGGTCCGCATGAAACGGACCAGATCAGCATTACTGTAGCAAAGGTAATTATTGACTTTCGCGCCTGCAATTCGGACCAAGACACTGATGTCATGCGCGACCGTTTTCTTCTTGAAGTTGGGATGTGCTCATTGATTGGTCGTAGCTGACCATTAGGAGCCTCCTATGATGGAGACCCAGGTTCGGAAACACGTCCGTTTAACAATGTGGCGTAACCCGTCTTCGAAAACACCATAATCACCTTCGGTTCCCACCAGAGCCTGATCGGTATCGGTCTGGTCTTGAGGATATTGTCGTCGGCAGAAGTTTTCCCCTTTGACGAGAGTACGTTTTTTTGTATAGATTGGACGTGAAACACCGGCTTGCCGTATGCCTACACTACAAAGATCCTGGAACCATCCGGTAGGCCCTGGATTCTCGACTGTTCACTAAGCCCCAAGACCAATGCCTCGATCAAAGGAGCATTCAGGCCAGCACGTTTCAAATGACGCAGATTTTCAGTGGATCAATCTTACGCAGCCTGACGAGGCCAAACAGTATCACAGAAGAATTAGAGCTCATGTGACGCGATTGCAACATCGTCAGACTAGGGATCGAAATCGTCAAAATGCTCTGCTCAAACCGGGCAAATCGAGTAGTTCGACACCTAGCGGCGGAACACCTGAGCCGTGCCTTGGGACTACAGCATTCAGAGAGGGATTTCCCAGTGGCACGACGAGCATAGCAGCTGAGGACGCTGTCGACTCGGTTACTCCGAACCCTGCTCGTCAAAACCTCATGGACGAGTTTAACGAGGAGCAGCAGGGCATCGTGCATTCAAACACCGCACCTTTGATGTCAGTCTCGGAACCATCAGAGCCAGTAGAGGATGTCCTATGGAAGAATTCAGCCAGTGACCTAGCGAAATCGTTCACGCAGGGCGAGGCTGCATACAGAACTTTCGCCCTCGACGATGCAGACAACATTATTGGCAGGACTGTCACATCGCTAGGACTCGACTTCTCCTCTGTTATGGTGAGTGACCGTGTCAGAAGTGGCGGTTCTTTACAGTGTCTGACATGCCTTACTTATATGCATAGTCTATACAGGTCCCTCGCCTTGACACAAGCTAGGGACTTTGCTCGACAATTTGGAATGCAGCCCAAACGGAATGCATCTTCTACTTGAATATGCGAAATGGCCCTTTCTGATCCTGCGACACTGCAGATCGTCGTCTTGATCGATGTGCGCAACGCATTGGAGACGTTGGGTCGGCATCGACTCATTGGCAAAGACTTGATGCTCATGATCGAGTTCGAGCAACACCTCATCTGTAGCATCAACAACGCCCTTCAAGATTCGTCCCGCGGGCTATCCGACCAGATACTCATGGCAGTCGCTCTTTGTGCTGCATATGAGGCCAAACATGGTGACAACACGAGATACGACATACATATGACTGCGCTCGCACGGATGATCAACCTTCGGGGCGGCTTCCGTGAACTCGGCAAACACGACATGTACATAACTCGATTTCTTGTCTGGGTTGACCTCAATATTTCTAAGATCGCCGGACGGATACCGTATCTGCAGGACATGTATGCAGGCTTGGAGGCTACTACTCCATGTGCTAACGTGCAGGTGTTCCGAGAACCGCTCGCGGAAGTGCCGGCTAAGTGATATAGAGTGTCATGATGGCAGACTCGCTCTGGGGACTTGGGCATGATCACAATGGCCAACCAAGATCCAAGGTTTACATGCAGTACAAGGAGCATAAGGACATGTGCGATAAAGCGGCTTGCAAGAGCGAGAGCTGTGGACTGCAGTACACATGATGAGCAAAAACTTCTCCAGCTATGGATGCAGCCTTCGCTCCTGGAGAGCAAGTATCTGCCAGTGCTATCGCAGCAGTCTGCTGTCCCTACAATCCATGCCTTCTGGGTCGTCGTCTATAGCAGAATATCTTATCTGCCCTTACAGCAATGCACAGCCTGGACCAGGCACGAATGCGCCGTCTTCGACTCGCTTCCTTCTCGCCGAATACCCTACTGTGGTCGTATTCATCATTGGCTATCAAAATTTCATTGACTAGCGTCCGATGGCATCTTGCCCAGCGACCAATACAACCTTTCGGTTACGGAAATTCCTTCCCAATCACGATTGTTGTATTCACAGGAAACACTTTGGAGAACTTCATGCCGACCGTGAAAGCTCCCGCAATAGGACTACTGCTTGCCGTCTCGGATCCAACGAACACACTGTCCTGCAGGTTGCTATAGTTGGCAGATCCGCCGAAGAAAGTCGGCGTCCAGACTATGTTCAATCAGGTATGGTTCATATGAGATGGCAATCAATCGTTACCCACCAGAGTATGAGTACCCATATGGCACCTGCAAACCCGTCGTGTTACCAGCAAAGATGATATCCAGATTCGGGTTCGCCTTTTGTACGCCGCTGATCCTCAAGAGAAACGGCTTATCGTAACCATTATCCGGCACGACAGTCATCACACAAGAAGGTCGAGCATAGGCGCCATCTGGGTCGGATGTCAGATAGTCCTCTGCATATCGAATTCTACCAGAAAATTGGGGTGTAAAGCTAAGTCTCGATCAGCAAAGTCCGTGGAGCATTTGTTAGTGTCAGACTTGGTTAGACGTACCCAGGCTCCGAGTACAAACGACCGTCTAGGATGTCGCCCAGCAGCTGCTCTCCGCCAGTCGCAAGAGTCCCAAGATCAAGGACCGCTTTTACTGTGAGCTGCAGTTCATCAGCGGGGCAAGCATGACATAAAGGATCCGGGAAACACAAGCTTACATTCAGGTACAGAGCTGGCACAAGATAGTTGTACGAGGCCGATGCTGGTACCGAGCTGGGTCGAGTATTGTCTTTTCGGTCGAGCAGACTTGGGTGACCAGTGGCCGTAGACACTACGTGAAGCGTGGCGAGCGCGAGAGCGAGTTTGGAGACCATGACTTCTGCGACTATGTGAGGAAAGGAGTATCAGGAAGATCGACGGGGATGATGTTGGATTGCAGACTGCAACGATGGGCAACAGCCAGTCCTCTTATACACCAGACCTCCTTACCGCAATAATGCGAATCGTAGAGAGCGCAACGTCATTTGAAGGCGTCATGACTAAATGCGAACATAGTCGTTTCAAGATTGCAAAGACGTGCATTCAGCATGAGGTTGGATGACCAAAGCGGACTTCTCACTGAGGCCGACTTAGGGCTACTGTTGCGAAACAGGACGACCACGGGAACGCCATTCCTCCCAAGCGAAGTCATTGCAGTATGAATGTCCTCGGGTTCGTGTGAGATTCGCGTACAACTGTGGAACTTCTTGCAGCTCAGCCGCTCAACGAACGTGCCTCTCTTGCTCACAGCTCTGTCGGCTGTAACAGCTGAATGAGAAAGCTTGCAGTGGGATGAAGTCGGCTTCGCATTCGTCTCATCTACCCTTCACCGGTACGCAGGGCATCATCGTATGTCAACAGTCAAGACAGTGACGAGGTTGGACAGCTTTGGCTGGGGTGAGAAAAGGTAGAAAATAACCGCCAGTAGCGTTCGTCTCGCCAAATACATCGTACGACCTTCGCCCATCTCCATCAAAGAATAGCCACCCATACACAACATGCATATCTCACAACTCCACCCTACTTTCCTCTTACTCCTCGCCACCATCATCACTACCCACGCCCTACCCACGCCCAGCGAGACCAGCGTGAACCTCATCTACCAATTCCCAAACACGACCTGGATCGAGAACCTAGCCGTCCGCCGAAACGGTGACATCCTCTGCACCTCTCTCAGTGCCGCCGCGATCTTCCTAGTGAATCCCTTCGAGCATACCGAAGAGAGGGTCCTCCAATTTGTAGCCGGGAACGGCGTGCTAGGTATCACGGAAATAGGAGATGATATCTTCGTGGCCGTCACGTCCCAGGTGAATCTTATGACGAGCGAAGCGGCGGCTGGTAGTGCTGCGGCGTGGAGGATCGATATGAAAGCTTGGAGTTCGGTACGTCCAAAACTCCTTGGCGCAGACTCTAGTCTCTCGTTCCCGATAGCTTATACTCCTAGCAGGGCAGGGAAAACTTCGTCACTCTACTCGCCAACCTCACACAAATCGGCCTCCCAGACGGCATCGTCTCCCTCCCCAGCAGACCAACCACCATCCTCATCGCAGACGCAGCCAAAGGTCTCGTCTGGAAACTCGACACCCTCAGTGGCAATTACACCATCGTGATCGAAGACGACATCTTGCACTCCTCCAATCCATTCCTTCCACTAGGCGTAGACGGTCTCCACGTCATCGATGAGTACTTGTACTTTACGAACCTTGGCGATAACATCCTGTGCAGGATTGCTATTGATAAACATGGTAATGCTACTGATGAGATTGAGCTCGTGGCTACTATGCCCTTTCCAGATGATTTCGCGCTCGCACAGGATGGGACGGCGTATGTAGTTGGTGCGAATCAGTTGTATAGAGTCTCGCCCGATGGTGTGGTGGTCGTGCTAGCGGGAGGTATCAATGATACGACTTTGGAGGGCGTCACGTCTGCGCAGTTCGGACGGACTCGGGAGGATGCTGGGGTGTTGTATATGGGTGAGTCTCATCCTAAATCTTGGTCGCTGGTGCGTGTCTGACTGCATTGCTTCGTAGGAACGAATGGTGGTCTTCTGGCACCCGTCAACGGACGCCTGATCGGTGGTCAAATTTTGGCGATCGATATCGAGCAGTTCATATGAGGGTGAACAAGCGTATGAAGCATTCCAGATCAGCACCTCCCCCATACATCGAGTATCACACCCAAGATCGCACGCTTGCACCAGCAAGCGCTTGCCATAGCCTTTCGCGCCATAAACCCTTTTCGTTCATACCCACCGTATCACTACCGCAACAGTCGTCCGCCACACAATCACAAACCTCCGCCTAATTCGACACATCTCCGCACCCATAAGCGCTCGGCCCCGCCCCACCCTCTCTTCCTCCCTCCCCAGCCATACTCAACCTCGCACAAAGGCCCAGGAAAACCACCGTCTCCGTAGCAGCAAGGTAATTCAACGCATCCAATAGAATCTTCAAATGCCTGCTGAAATGATCCTCATACTGCTGCAAGATACTGAACAGCTTGTCCAGCTTCGCCGGATCGGGCGCAGTAGCCGCTGTATTTCCGTTCTCGTCGGGCGAGAGAGATGCGAGGTAGCGGGATAAAGAGGAGGTGTAGTTGGCGAAGAGGACGCAGGTGGAGGTTACTTTTGAGTTGATCTGGTATGGAATCAAAGTCAGCACGAGAGATCATATGGTCAGGGAAAGGGAATGGCTGTGGTGGGTTAACTTACGCGTAGAAGCTTGGAATTAGTAAGTTGGCACTCCTTCAGACATGTCGCTAAGAAATCAACATGATCCTGCATCAACTCATCCACCGTCCTCTTAACCTTCGGGGTAGTAGCCGATCCGCTCTTAGCGGTCGCCGGCCTCGAAGTCGCTGTCGTAGCTGAGGGTCCAGCACTTCCGCCTTGTGTAGAGCCCGCCGCAGTATCATCCTGCACCAGCCCCTGCACCTCCTCATCACCGTCCCTCGCCTCCTCAACCCTCGCCATGAAGCTCCGCCAATTCGGCTCAATGACTTCGCTTGTGCAGAAGTACAACAGCTGCTGCACAAAACACAACATCCTCGCCCTTAGACACCATGCTCTCCGCTTCCAGTTCTCGATCTTCCTCTCCACCTCGGTACCAGCACTGTCAGCACCTGCACCTTTCCGCCGAGGACCCTTCCGTAGCCAAGCAGGAGACTTCGTATGTTCCGTCCAACTCTGCGTTAACAAACCCTCCAGATGCCGGAGCGACAAAAGGTAGCGGAAAAGAAGTTGATACCTCGTCAACGTATTCCTCGATACAATCAACGAAAGCGGAAACGGGACAGCATAATCCAGCGTTAGGGCCTCATACCCTGAAATCTCCTTCTCGTCTTTGCCCGTCACACTCCCCGTGTAAGTGTTCGCCAACGACAAGGACGAGGCATCAGCATCCATCCCCTGGACATTGACAACCCGCATCAACCATCCCGTAAGTCCAGTATCGGACATGGTGACCCTGACGTCCTCCTTAAAAGGATCTTCGGCGGCCACAGAGCCGGGTTGTCGGAGCACGATATCGAGGAGACTTTGCAGTTTTCCGGCATTGACGTTCTTCGCGGTCTTCTTGAGTTCCGAGGCGGAGAGTTCGAGGAAGTAGGAGAAGAAGTCGGAGCGGTCGAGGAAGAAGTAGTGTTTCAGGCTCCTAAGGCGAGCGGGGAGGCCGTGGGTTGTGAGCAGCAGGGTCATCAGACTACGGTTGGCGAAGGCGTAGGCGTTCGAGACGTTCTCGAGGAAGCGCGGGTCGGAGAAAGTGTGGGGGACCTGTTCGCTATTGCTCAAGTCGCGATTGATATCTGTGATGCCGCCACATTCTCGCACGACGTTGAGGTATTTGCCAGCTAGTAGGACACGGTCCTTAACGGCTTCGAGTTGGGGAGGAATGAGTTCGGGCCGGATGGTGTACCGTTTCTCCCAGTACTCGTCTGTGTAGTCTTGCTGTAGTCCTTCCCGGCGGATAGACTTCTGTTCTTTGATTAGGAATTCGTTGTGCGGATCGCGGACATTCCCGTGGTGGAGCCATTCGTTTAGCATGCGCATGTATGGTCGGCTGCTGTCGCGGAGTAGTGTTTGGAGGAGTTGGTACGCCGCTGGGTCGCCGGAAGAGGATTGTAGTCGTTTCGTGATCAAGCGGAGGACGGAGCCACCTTTGCATGTGCGCTTTCCCGGAATACTTGTGTCGCGCCCTTCACGGAGGGATTCAAGGATATTTTCGAACTCGTCTGCTTGGTCTGACGTATCATCTTCTAGGAGATCGCCAAGCATGCTGTTCGCCTTTAGCACTTCCTGAGCTAGGCTATAGAGTTGTGTCAATATGTGGCCTGTCGGCTTGAGATGCAGATTCATCTGGTGTAATGTGAAGCCTTCATTGGTCAGTGCCTGGTGCTCCAGCTGGGCGATCAAGATCAGGTGGTCCTTTAAGAGCTTCCGTATCGACGCGCATAAGGCATGGCTGACGCTGCCACACTCCTCCCTACCCATGGTCTCCACGAACAGCTCCAGTGCTGCGAAGTGAGTGGCCGTCTTCAGCATACCACCGGCCAAGTCCCGCAAGCTCGGGTCCAGTCCATTGGCGATCCTGTAGTTCGGTCCGATAAGGCGGCTCTGCTCATCCAAAGGGTTGTAGGATTCAACGTAGCGGACATATTGTCCTTCGAAGCCCAAGAGAACATACAACAGATCCTCGACCAGAGCAGACTCCTGCTGTTCTAGACCAAGACGGTTGAACGGCGGAGGATGTACCGAGGCTGGTGCATGTTGCGACTGTGGCGGTATCGATACTCGGCCAGCTAGAGGTGCGCTGGAAGAGGGTGGGAGTAAGGTTGCTTGAGGACTCCATGTCGTTGCTGCCTACAAATCAGCACCTGCCACACTGGACTCACACACAATAGAGTACACAGCTCACTTACCTTGCATTGACGCCCTCATCTCCTCCTTCCTCGCCTTTTCCGCCCGCTGCCCTCTCTCCCCGCCATCCTTAGTTTTGCGCCCACCACTCGCATTGCTCTCCGTCGGCTTCAGTGGGCTTCTTGTTCGTCGTATAAGCCTCTCATCGATCGTCCTTCTCTCCGTGCGCGTCTCGGTGGTGGTGGTCGAGCTTTTGCGCGTGGTCGATGCCTTCGAGTCCGGTCGGTTTTCCTGGTCGATAGCAGCAGAAGCTGCTCGACTCTTCTGTCGCAATGAGGCCGATGTTCGTCTTGGCTCAGCCACACTCGCTGTTCGTGAGGGTGGTGCGGTCGACATCTCGGTTTGTCATTATCATTCGTCAGCCTCTTTCGCAATCACATGTTTGTCCCCATGTTGACTTCCTACCATACATAACTATCGCGGGGTGTGAGACGCGGTCGCGCTGGCCAAAGATTGAAATTTAGGGCTTCGGCTGATGGATCCGAACATTGCGTCTCCAAGCTGCCTACAACATGATAGCTTCAAACAGTAGAGCCTCATCGTCAAACACACAAGACATACAAACAACCAAGTCACACTACCATCAGAATCCCCACACACACACAAACACATCGAGCACCACCACATCACGCCTTACCACTGCATAAACAAAAGTACACCAGCGGCGAAACACCGTACAGACGGCCAACATGTTCATCGCGCGATCAGAATATGGTACAAACCTTTCCCCAACACACCACATATACAACCTACTAACACTTACGGCAGACCGCGGCATCAACACCTTCTCCCCCGAAGGCCGCCTCTTCCAAGTCGAATACTCCCTCGAAGCCATTAAGCTCGGCAGCACCGCCATCGGCATCACCACCTCCTCCGGCACCGTGTTGGGAGTAGAGAAACGCATCACCTCCTCCCTACTCGAAACCTCCTCCGTCGAGAAAGTAGTCGAGATCGACCGGCACATAGGTTGTGCTATGTCGGGGCTCCAAGCCGATGCCAGGAGTATGATTGAACATGCACGGGTCACGAGTCAGAGTCATGTGTTTCATTATGCCGAGCCGATTGGGGTGGAGAGTTGTACGCAGGCGATTTGCGATTTGGCGTTGAGGTTTGGGGAGTCAGCGTCGGGGGAGGAGGAGGAGAGTATTATGTCGCGGCCTTTTGGCGTGGCGTTGCTTATTGCGGGTTATGATGAGGAAGGGCCGTCGCTGTAAGGCATTCAATACTATGAGATAGTATTGGGTAGTTGAAGTCGGGCTAATGTGTGTTTGCTAGTTACCACGCCGAACCTTCAGGTACCTTCTACCGCTACGACGCAAAAGCCATCGGGTCTGGATCCGAGGGTGCGCAGGCGGAGCTGCAGTCATCGTATCATAAGTCTTTGACCCTTCAGGAGGCCGAGGAGCTGGTGCTGAAGACGCTGAAGCAGGTGATGGAGGAGAAGCTGGATGCGAATAATGTGCAGCTTGCTAGCGTGACCAAGGATAAGGGGTTTAGGGTGTATGGGGATGAGGAGATGAAGGCTTGTGTGGGGAGGATAGAGGGGGACTCATAGATGGTGGTAGGCAAGCAGAGAGGTGGGCTGGGGTGCACAATATCTAAATCAGAGCATTGTTCGAGCGCTGCGGCGTTGACGGTGCTGGGTCTGTATCAAAGCTGGGCCCGGTTGCATGCAAGATATCACTTACAACGTCCAATATGTTGCACCAGACTTGTTGACGATCAAGGCGTGCACATCCCTATATCAGGCTGGATACTGTACGCCGGTCCGCCACATTCGATATCAAGAGACATTATTGCGACTTCGACGGCGAGGAAGAGGCGACTTCATTCATGGTGATCTGAAGGCTTAGCTGATAGAGTGTGGTTCAAGATGTGCCTGTTTCTGATGCAGACGAGTCGCAGAGCTGGTCTCAGGCCCGTAAATGCAAATCTGATGAAGGAGTGGTTAGCTGACGAGCACGCAAGCCATCGACTGATCTTGCCTTGTTCATCGATGGTACGTGGGCATAGCTTGCTCCTGCCTTATTTGATGGTACGTGAGCTGCGACTTCTTCTGCTTCATTCGACGGTCATGTGAAGCTCTCTTTCTTGACGCACTTCCATCATCACGAGGTTTTCTTCCTCAAAACTTTTCAAGCGTGTGCTTCACGTCTTTACACTTCTTTTACAACCACCACAACGCGGATCACACCGCACAACCTCTTCGACGCCTCAATGGCCACGACTGCTGAAGCAACGCAGAAGCGCGATGAGCGTTGCCACTTACTTGAGCTGCCGTGTGAGCTGCGAATCAAGATCTACGAAAACATTTTACAGCCTTACTCGATCAATGTTGGATCCAGCCGCACGCGATCTATTGCCGGACGGTCAATCGAGTCGATAGCGCAGTCTCGCTCCAAGTGCGTAGGTATGGAGCCGGGACTACACCCTCGGATCCTGCGAGCATGCCACCAGATCCACGATGAAGCCAAAGGCATGCTCCGTAACCCAGCCACCCTGACATTGCAACCAGTGTACGGACGCGACGCAAAGTTGTACCGAAGTGAGAGCCCTGTGGATTTGACAAGGTTCAGCTTTGCATGCAACCTGTCGCGACTGACGATGAGACTTGCGTTGGTGACTAGGGAATTGGAAGCAGAGATATTGCACTCCGAGGCGTTGACCAAATTCTGGAGCCGCGAGTGCCATGCGAACAGATTTCAACTAGATATTTGCAACCACTCAGGGCCCGATACTGACGCTGCATCTCTTCACGTCGCCGTTAATTTTTCGCAATTGTGGGTTGGCCGAGTCCGCAGTGATGAGACTACGGTCTCAATCTCACATGTCTACATGGAGTACCGCGTGGGTCGATGGCAGAAGATCAAACCCGGCATTTGGTCGGATGTGGGCGGAGGAAAGCATGTGCCATTGACTTAGCCCTCCCACTGTGATATCACTTGCGAATCAGTGCTGACAACCGCCACAGCGTTCATGCAAAAGACCAAATACACCAAGCAGCGTCTTGCTGAGATCTTTGACAATCTCAAGAAGGCATCTGTAGCAAGTGCTTGAGCACGGGCGCAAGTGAATGAGTGGACAGATCGTGAGTGAGCTTGTGACCCTTTGCTCGTTCCTTCCTCAACAAAAATCGAATCAAGCTTTCGCACGGCTACGCTAGTCTGAGTGCCTAGTCTTGGTTTTCTCTTCCTGTTTTAGGTCTCCCTATGATTCTCACATTCTTGCATTCCCTGCTAGACAAAAGTCGACACTGGTCACAACCTTCAAGATGTCGAACGCAACATCAGACTCGATCGACTCTGCCATTGATCAAAAGAGCAAGCGCTGTTTCCTGATTGAGCTCCCGATGGAGTTACGCATCGAGATCTACAGTCATCTCCTACAGCCTGGCACCATCGGAATAGCCTCTGAAGACGAGCCAACCATTATCGGACGCCCTCCATCTCTCGTCGCGAAGTCGCGTTTCACTCCATCCGAGGCTGACGGTGACCTCCATCCTCAGGTTTGACGAACATGCTTCCAAGCGTATTAAGAGGCTGCGTCGTTGCTATACAGGCCCAGGTCGTTACTTCTACATCCGTCTCGTTCTTCCGAGGACAGAAGTCCCGAGAGGATCCCTCCATTTGACATCCGAAAGTTTAGCCTGATGCGCGCTTTGCCTGAGCTGGAGATCCATCTTATCGTCACCTCGGGCACCATTGCTGAGGATGTGGCTCACTCGGGAACGCTACTCGAGAACTGGCCGCGTGCTTGCCAGGTCGGACACCTCACGCTGTTCATGTACGACAACTTCTTCTTGAAAGGAAAGGAAGAATTCGATCGTATGGCGGCTTTGGTCAGGACATGGATACATGCGGTCCACTGTGAGACGTGCGAAGTGAGATCGGAATGGCAGTACGGGGGCCTTATTGTAGGCAGGTGGGTACGGGAGAAAGATGGAACGTGGGCAGAGGCGGACGTTGCCAAGTCTGGTAAGAGACTGCGAACGTGAAAGCGATGCTAAGGAGGTGCTGACCTTGTACACAGCCTGGGGTGGTCCGGGACCACCTCCCTCCCAAGAACGTGTGATGGAGGTGTATGATGCCGTCAAGCGAGCGTTGCCGGGTCCTGCTGGTCAGTCTCAATGAGTGTGTATCGGATCAATCGACACTCTCTCCCTCTTAGTGCTCGAGACCTGTTGCAGGACTGCCCAGGCGTGCATGGAGGAAAATGACAGTGGCACGTATCACTACGCTGTGGCCAACCATCAACCATAGTTGTGGGTACATTGTCTGGCTGCTTCAAGAAGGCTTATACTCCCCATCAGCTTCCTGATCGTCTGGTCCGCCATCCGCGACCGTGGCTTCTGTAGATAAACCGCCGTCCTAACATGATAATTAGTACTTCTCCGCGATGGATTCATAATCTCTACGACTTACCTTCGCAGTCCCTCCTACACCATAGTTAGGATTGCCTGGTCCTGCTTTGGAGCCCGAGCTACCGCTGCTGCCACCACTGCTGCCGCCACTGCTGCCGCCGCCGCCCGAAGACGAGCCTCCGGACGAAGCTCCGCCGGACGATGCACCGCCTGGAGGCTGGTAGGTGCCATCAGCATCCCCCGCGTCAGGGCCACCGTCTCGAACTGTATCAGCTGTCGAAAGTCCACCGTCTTGGCTGCAGTATTGTCAGTATTGATGAGCAGCAGATAGGAGATTCTCGCTGTACTCACGCAGTCCCGCCCACGCCGTAATTCTTGTTTCCTGTAGACATTGTGCTTTGCTATATCGTTGTAGTACAACAAATACTGTGGAAGATGCGATACTTACCTTACTTTACCTACCTCAGCTTCCCAGCAACCAGGTCAGACGTCCACATCCACAGCAGAACGGGATATGACGCAGCGCAGTCCTCGAATCCAGGCTTTGCTTTCCACTGAGGACCCAGAACGTGGGGTATATACCTCACAAGGCCAAAGGTGAAGTTGGCAATCAAAACCTTGGCAAGTGACGTTGCGGAAGTCACGACCGAGGAGAGTTTCAACGCCTCCAACCGTCAAGCCTGAACTCAATTCTGGACAACCACGCTTCTTCAAGACAGGTAAATGCCCGTTGTGAAGCTTCTCTCTCTCTCTCTCACGACCTCATGTCAGCGGATCAGGTAGAAGTAGCAGACAGCCGAGAGCCTGTTTGAAGATGATTTTCGAAGTAGTGTCTATGTATTGGATTGGATATGAGCCGAAACAGAATACCACCGCCATGTCATGCGTCTAGTCGTGCCGAGCATAATCGCACTCATCCAACGTATTACAGAAGAACGTAGTGTCCCTTCAGTAGCGCCGTTGCCAGTGCTGCCGACAAAGATGCGCCGTCTAAAACCCGATACCATAAACGCCACGCTTTCCGTTACCCATGTACGCCAATAACACCTCGCTCACTCGCTTGCCCACGCACAGCCTTGCAATCCAGAAGTCATCTTTGCCACCTGACTCTACATAGTCTCCAGGGTACGGGTAGTACTTGTGCCGTTTGCACGGTTGTAAGACATTGTCCGTAAATTCGGACCGCCATCTTGTCGAAGCCGGTAGTCACTCTCATCATGCGTACTGTGAGATCCCGTAGGGAAGAGCTCATCCGCACGTGTGCCACTCTTCTGTGCACCCACCTGGTCGTAGGACATGCGCAGCCGCTTACGCCCTTCCGTTGCGCTGAGAGGAGCAGCAGAGAACGGTCCATCGAAGTTGTCCGCTTCGAGCGGATCATTGCTGTTAAAATGTGATGGCGGCGGTGGGAACGGTAGGACGCTGAGCTTATCGAGCGAGTGCGGAGCGCTCAGAGGTGTCGTTGCACCAGAAGCGCGCGTCTGGACCTCCATAGGTTGAGGTGGGGGTATACGGCTCATGAATCCTTCCTGAGAGCCATGTGACAAGCTCTGAGCATGGTGCGGCTGGCCGATCGGCGCCGGAATTGGGTATGATGGTCGAGATATGGGATATGCTGGTGGCGGCGGCGCTATGCTGAACTGTGATGAGTGACGACGGGAGTCGATCGAGGCGGATGGGAGCGAGTCGATACTTCCACGGTAGCCATACTCTGATGGTGGGGGTGCCTGAGAATGTGGTGCATACGATGGGTAGCCGTGGCTGTAGGTCGGGACTGAAGGCGAAGGCACTTGACTTGTGGTAGGGGGTGGTAGTGGTGCATACGCATGATGGGCACCGTACTGAAGTGGTGGTGGCTGCATGCTGGGTTGCGACATGAACGGAGGCGGCTGATATGACTGTGTAGGTGACGGGCCGTAAGCAGACGTCGAAGCGTAGGCGTGCTGTGGTGTGTTTGGACCGTTCCCGAATGGTTGACTATAGGCCTGACCCAGCTCTTGCGACTCGCGACGAGACAAGGGTAGGGGTAGCGAGTGGAGGCTGGCGTTGCTAGAGGATCTTGGGCGGCCATGTGCTTCTGGTGCTATGTGGTGTGTGGAGGAGTCTGGCTCGACGGATGCGTGTGCTCGGGCTTCTGCTGTCTCGTCCTCGTAGTCACCCCAATCCTTGCCGGATGCCTTCGTGTCGCGACGGCGCATTCTCACGTCGCGTCGTATCCTCACACGACAGCCTTGCTCAGCGACCACGCGGCTTAAAGAAGTGCTCTCGGTCAACCCCGGGAACTTCTTGGCGCTGAACACGTTAAACGGCTCGGACTTGACTTCGAGGCGATGGGTGACGTGAGCGTCGCCAGATGAGGCAGCTCCAGTGCCATCGTCGTCTCCGACATCCTTAAGCTCCTCGTATAAACTGAAGCTGAGCCTGTACTTGCCCTCGTGCCTGACGGACAGATCTGGGAAGATGAAGTAGCCTGCTGGTATTGGTCGATCGAGGTAAACCATGCCCGCTACGGGTGTTCCAGTGAGGACAGTGAGTTGTTGCTTGCTTTCGGGCACGCGACCATGGGCAATGACTCGTGCCTGCTCCAGGGTGGCGAATAAGAAATAGTTGGCATTCATGGAGAACGTGATGTCGGTGTCTGGAGCAGCGCCGTCGAAGATCCTGAGCTCAACAATCGGCGGAGGATCGACTGGACGGCGATCTGCTGACGATTTCGCGCCTGCACCACATGCTCTCGCACGCTCTGGTTGCTGGATGACCTTGAGATGGTAATTGAGAGTTTTGCCATCCTTCGTCACGCGAGTCGTGCGACTCGTCGTTACATTGTCGGGTTCGCGACTCTCCATGCTCCCTTTGGTAGACATGTAGTCCGATAGAAGCAATGGCTGTCCTTGATCTGTTCTCATAATCAGCATAATTTCTCGTATGGTAGCCGACAACGCACGTTGTCAAGCATTGCTGACCAACGAAAGTGAGGCGGGTTCTGGCAGGATGAGAGCCTGCTCAATCCATGGCGGCGGCCTTGGGTTATAGGCGGTACCACACGCGTGGATCTGGGAGCAGCTTTCGCCCGGGAGATTGGAGGCAAGCGCGCTGGCACGCAAGGGATGGCAGACTCACAGATTATGATATGCTACCAGGGATATTAGTTGGATTGGAGAGTACACAAAGCCTGGCCACTGGAGGATATATGCGCCGGTTCGCAGAAATGCGACGAGTTGTTATGGGAAGCAGCGAAAGTCGGAGGCCTTGAACAGGTTTGAGTAGTGTCCCAGACGACCGGTAAATCCAGATGCTCCACCCTACACACCACAAATGAACTTCTCCCCTCCGCCGGCGTCTCGTCGATGATAAAGAAGTGTCGACGGGACCTTGGACAGGCGCTCACCTCAATAAAGAGAAAGCTGCTGGACGCGCAGACGGGGGAGAAGAGAGAGCAGGAGGAGCAGAGGACAGTGCCCTCCGACCAATAGTGGCTGCACAACCGAAGCGAGCTGCGCTAGTCCCACTAACTCGGAACCGCTCACATTTGCGCAAACGCAGCGCATGGACCAGACGGAAAGCTGGCGCACATGCTATTGAAAGCTTCTGGCATGGGGAGCTCATCTGGAGGATGCAGGTCGTGGTGGTGGAGGTCGACATCATGCTCATGACTTCCTTCAAATCGAGGCAGACGGCGAGGGGACACGCCCATACCGTAATAATAATCCTGTCGTAGACTCAGCAGTCCCCACTGTTTCTCCAGCTCCTGAGTTCCAGCCTAGTCAACGCTTTTGGGCTGCCGAGTGGTAGGTTTGGACGCGGGCCGTCTGTCGCAACGGTCGGTTACAGCTCACCTGCGAAGAGGGCGGCAACTTCGGACGTCGAAAAACGTGCCAAAAAGTCCGTTGACCCAGTATCCTTGAGACATCCCGCTCCTACCGCAGCACATTGATTAGTCGAGGCACGAATGCACGGTGCATGCCATGTTGCCCAGGTCTCGGGACTGCTACCGAACGAGAAACGATCCTTCGCTGGTCAATCGGAGAATTTACATATATCCCAGTAACACATGGTCATGACAGAGCATTTCTATCGTTTCTGAATCGTATACTGTATTGGTGTGCGCAACCCTCCATCCCGGCTAGACCTGTTCGCCTCTGTCAATATTCACTCCTCATTAATAGCATTTCGTATAGTCGACCGTTACACAAAACGTCCATGCTCACTATCAGGACATGCTAGCCACTTCCGCTGTACGGCGAGCTGTTATTGCTGGGAATGAGCAGTATGCAAGATTTCGACTATCGGCAAACATACCTCACCACGTGTCTCTCCATGGCGTTTCTGCAGACTGCAGTTAGGCGTCTGACCATCCGGTGGAGTGATGCATTATGCTGGCTCATACAGCCACAGCTATACCACGAAACTTCCACATTCACAAAAGTTAGGTATCGTTGTAACGTTGCTCATGGCTGCGCACCGGAATGGGAGCTGTCAAGAAGCGGTTGCACGCATGCTTGGGCTCCAACCTTGATCACCAAACTCTGACCTTGTGTACCATCACGGCCAGTCCAAGCAATTGCCTTTACTCATCAAGGTACCTTCAAACTCACACCCTCATGTTGGAAAGTCTACCAAGTAGGTCCCAGCTGTATGCAAGAAAGCTTCCCACACAACCAAAATCTCATCCCAACGGCGTCGGCTTCGTCGGCTACAGTTGACACCCCAAAACAGGGCCTCCTGCATCGCTGACTGCGTACCATCCGCAAGAGGCGAGTACAAGAACTCCGGTTCGTTGAGGCACGCCCAGGTTACACGACAGCAGATGCGCGTGCGTGAGACCACTGTACAGGCCATCAGGAGACTTTCCTCCTCCCCCTCCCTCCCGTCCTCGCCGCTTTGAACAGAGTACCTGACGCCCGCATCCTCGCGAACGACTGCCAAACAGCCACATGGTCGTGCGGGACAAAGAAGAGCGACACGTGGTTGTGCAGCGAAGGACCCACTTCCGCAGTCTTGACGCCTCCTGCTTACTACGACTTGCAGGTCTTTGACTGAGACAGGAGCTGGAGACGAGACCCGTGGCTCGTATACTTTAAGCCCACTGTTTCGTGCTGTCCAAGCACGGCATATAGCAGCCACTGCCCTCACTATGGATCGGGTTCGTGTTATTTCGACCTCCCGTGGTTTCTTCACTCAGCCACACGCATGAATCTTGCATAGTCACTATAGCATTCACGTCCACGTTCTTGACATCATGCCATACTACATGCGTGCTCGTGCATCACGGACTGCTTTGTTTCAACCTTGGATGCTCCTCGCTGCCACCCTCACTGGTATCCCGAGAACCAGGTTACAGCATCAAGCCTATCACGCTCGACCACATCATCACTGTCCAGACCCGTGGGAGAGGGCTCTTAAGCTAGCTACACAATCTATGCGTGACGTACGTGAACTAGAAAGCAGGCACAAACCAGTCATTCGAGCCAAACCCGTATATACGGCGCTCAATCTGTGTTCATCGTGTACATAATCGTTACACGCTGGGTATCGTGACCTATCAGCAGGTCGCGGCCTCGAGTCTTCCTCAACGGGAATCTCCGCTCGCAGCTTGCATATAAGAGACCGCCCAAACGCCTCAGCGTACCTACGCTGTCCAATTTCCCGTGTTATCCTTCGCTAAAGCGGCATTCCATAGATATCATTTCTGCGCCCCCCCCCCAAGCCTTACGCTCTTTGCCTTTCGTCCATCGTTCAACTTCCATCGAAGCGACAGCCCACAGACCACAACCACCACTACTGCCATCTGCCTTTCGTGTTCGCGAGAAGAAAAACAAGAATCGACGTAGACTTACCATCAACCATTATTCCCAGGCCCCTGCCCATAGCCTCCCTGGTCTCTAACGTTATAGCTCGACTGCTGGAATTGCTGCGCCGCTTGTTGGCCATACTGCATCCACTGCGCCGGGTTCCCCGACTGTTGCTGCGAATAATACTTCAGCGCCATCTCCGTCGTTTTCGGATCGAGGATATCTTTATATGTGAAAATTTGTCGGCTCATCTGCTGCGGCACATACTGCGTGCTCTGCTGCCCATTCGGCGGTATGAGGGTGACGTTAACGCCGCCGGGTCTGCTAGGCGGGGCAGTCGCAAGGACACATTGTGGACCGTAGAAGGTGGAGGCGGCGGCTTTGTCGCCGAACATTACTGTCATGCCGTTAGGGAAGTTGTAGCCGAAGATAGAGACTTCGGTGCCGCCGCGGACAGGTCCCTCTGAGGGCACCATCCTGGTGATGGCTGGGAGGGATGAAGTCTCGGGCTCTGCACCGCCACCTGCTTGGACCATTTGCTGTTGCTGCTGCTGTAGTAGCTGTTGTGCTTGTTGCTGCTGGTAAGGTGCTTGTCGTGCCTGCATCGTATTCGTCGGAGTCTGTATTGGGTGTCTAGCGTATGCATTCATGTTCGCCCGACTCTGCGTGAGTACCGGACTAGAGGACCGACTGGGCACGGCGGACGAAGGATGTGAGAAGTAAGCTTGTTGGGCTTGCGCTTGCTGAGATCGCGCGAATTGCTGATCCAGAGTAGCTTGCGTGAAGAACGGTTGCTGGGTCTCGCTGGGCGTTGGTGGTGCACTACCGAAGAACTGCGCCGGACCTCCGTTGGCTGGTATTGTCATGTACTGCTGAGACTGAGCATAATCTGTTGAAGGTGAGAATGGTGAGGTCAGAGACATGGCAGAAGGCATGGTCGCAGAAGGCGGCTGGCTCGTGTCGACTCGCGTCATGGTCAGCCCACTTGGAAGCCGCCTATGAGCGCCTCCCGAAGCTTTACGCTTCTTGTTCGGCCCGGAGTGTCCAGCGTTGGTAGGTGAGCCGGGTCGTGACAAGCTCGTTGGTGTCATTGTCGCTGAAGTAGCCTGCGAGGTGTAGCCAGAGTTCGGCACCTGGTGAACATGACTGTGCGAGTTGTACATCTGGCCGTACTGCATGGCCTGCAGGTTACCAGTAGAGCGCGACGATGGGAAGTTTGGTAGGCCTGGCTGGTAGAGGTTGACCATGGACTGGGAGCTGGGAAGGCCGTTCGATGCACCTCCAAATGCTGCATAGCTCCCGTCATACTCTCCTGGCATGGTAGCCGAATAACTTGGTGGATGTGTCTTATGATCGTCTGTTATGAGGATCGAGTCGGACATTTGTTGAGCAACCACGTTGCCCGTTTGATCCTTGAGCGTGAAGATGACCTTGAAGCCCTCCTTCTCGTTCTGGTGGCGACAATAGCATGCAATACGCATGGCAGCTGCTACCTGTACTGCGCCCTCTGGTGGAACGTATGGTGGGTCCTCGAGCACATTGTCCTGCTGAGGCTTCTCCCACGGCTTGAATGCAAGGTACTCCTGTGAGTTGAAGACCACGACTCGTTCCGTCTCGTAACGTTCCCAGTGCTGTTGCTCTTCTTCCTTTTTCAACTTCTTGCGCGCCGCCCGTTTGCGCTCTCTTTGAATACAATTTGGGCATATGCGGACTTCGCCACCATTAGCTGGCTTTTCTGCATCCTCCACATTCCTGGCATCGTTTCGATCATCGTCGCCAGACTCGCGCGCAAACTCCGCACGTCGCTGGATCTCATCATTATTCTGGAGAGCGGCTTTCCGTAGTGCTCTCTCGTTCAGCTGCTTGTTGTGCATAGCTGAAGTGCACACCAACATAGTATGCAGCTCCAGAGACTTGCTGCGTTCATACTCATCTTTCGCGAGCAGCTTGGATTTGGCAATAGTATGAAGTGGTAAATGGAGATGCTCAAGGCCGGGCGGTGGAGTCTCCAAGGTCATCACTATATTGATCTGGGTCTCCACGCGCGATTTGGCCGCAATGGGGGCGATGTGCAGAGGGGATCTGCCGAGAGTGCTTGGAGCCGCCCGCGTAGTCGCCGGTGGTGTCGCGCCGTTAACTCTAGGAGATGGCGTGAAGGCAAGACCGCCTGGTGAGGCAAATTGATTGCCAAATTCCTGCGGCCACGTGGGGTTCTGGATCATGCCGTTGTTCCAAGCTGGATTAGCGTTGAAGGTCTCGTTACTGTCTGATGATGGCGTGGAAAATACTGCATTAGGCGATGCATTGTTGAACATGGCAGTGGCGTCGAGAGCTCCGTTCGGGTCTTCCGAGCCCAGCTGGAACATGCCGGGATTGATTGTCTGCTGCTGCTGTATGCAGTGTTAGTAAGCTGGGTGAGGAAGGTACGGATGTTCTGCGCTTACTGGAGACGGCGGATACGTGTGCGCCATGGGCACGTGCATCTGCGCCAAGGAGACAGGCATGCCAAAATCACGATTCTGTTCAGGGCTGGCAGCATTACTGTTGCCAACAAACTCAAAGGGCGCCATCCCATCTAACGCGTGTTCGAGCGAAAGGTCGTCCATGCGCTGGACTGGCGCCTGGTTGTATGGGTGCACGTTGGACGCTCCTGCCATGTCCATTTCATCCTCAAGCTTCACTCCAGTCTCGGTGGCCTGTGCTGAGACAGATCCAGGCGACTCGGTGACTTTCCTCTTGCGTCTGCTTGACGTGTCTGAGGCCGAGTCTTGACTCGAGCTTTCTGTAGATGCGCCGACGGGGATGCCGGCGGGTGCTTGCTGTGCGCCGGTGACAGTGGGAGGGTCAAATCCTGCTTTGGAAGATGTGCGCATGTTGATGCCATGTTCGTCGAGGTATGTGCTGTGGTTGGTGAACCTGTCGATGTCGAACTCGACTACATCATTCATGCTGTCATCGAAGGCAGTATTGAACATGGGGTCATTCCAGTCGACGTCGCCATTCCCAGGGGTGTTGCGCGGGTCCATCGCGTAGCACGACCAGCCGAGGAGCTCGCCAAGCAAGATACCGTGACTTCCTGCTGTTGCCGAAGGTGGAAGGGTTGACAGATGAATGTGGAGAGCGCCTACGAGCGCTCTTGCCTCTGCCTCTGCCTCCTGGTCCCTCTCCGCTCCACAAGTCTACCAATAACCCACCATCTCTTGCTCCAGCTCTTGACTCCGTGACTTATACTGCAGCGCCGTGGGATGTCTGTATAGAGTAGGACTTGGGGACCCGCCGTAGGACTAGAGATATGGTGGTGTGCGGAGCTAACAAGAGAGCAGCAATAGCAGAGTCGCGAGAGAGCGCCCGTTAGAGTTCAGGCCACTAGGCGGGGATTACGCGAGAAGTTGGACGCAGCTCGTATTATGAGCTTGTTGTGGTCAGCAAGATACAACAGTCAAGGTACTGCTTCAGCTCACGAATGGCCCGATGGTCTCGTTGTCGCGTGGCAGCTCTACCAGTATACGACACCACCATCAACTTCTGGTCGCTCTCCTCTTTCGAGAGCACGGCTCGAGTAAGTGCGGGGTGGCGCTTGGGCTGCCGCATGCAAGTCAAGGATTCATCTGATGGATCAGATCCGTGACGACAGACGCAACCTTGCCCTTCCGATATGGTCTTTGTTTGAGCAGACGATGATTGTACAGTTGCTACACAAGAGTTTGGCTATATTTTGACCTTTCGGATCAAGCAGCGAGAGGCTTACCATTTCCTGTCCCAATCCCACAAACCTGCTCCTGTCCATGGCCTGGCGTCGTCTGCCACGCCTTCTGCTCAGCGTCCGAACCACGGCCCGATTCGCGGCATAGCCTTTCCTCAAGCAGCATCTCCTTCGGGTCCATATCTCTGACCTCGTTCTCCCTTGAACAACACTCGAATGAAGTGTTCGTAAAAGTGCCGAGCTGGTTAACCCTGGGCTGCGGTGTTCGGAGCACTCTCACGTGGGATTTCACATGTCGGAGTCGCCACCTGCACTTTCGGACAGACTATCCACTAGTCCGATGCTGGCAACCACTGGTACACAGATGAACAAGACTCAAATTTCTTGCCCGCCTTTACAATGAGATGTCGGCGATAACGTGAATATCGTGCCGGACAAGCAAACAACAGGTTGTCACGACCCGTTCCGCGACCAACACAGCCTGACCCGCTCCTTCTGCATCTGAATCCACCTTCGCACAGCTTCCGACCTTTTCTGTGAACAACGTTCGGAAGAGAGGCGCTGCGTCCGTGGCCGTGGCCAGTGCCAGTCAAGATGCTTGTCCTTTGCGCCAATTGCCCCTTGAGCTTCGTGAGCAGATCTACATCCATGTCCTCCGTCCCGATCGCATCACCATCAATGTGCCAGGTCTCCTCAAAGACAACGATCTTATCATGCTAGCATATCGGGACGCTACCAAGACTCCCCTTGTCATAGCCATGGATAAAACGACACCCAAACGCTTTCGCCGAGCAGCGCTTTTGCGGACGTGCAAGAGCGTGTATAGCGAGGCACGCCGCTACCTCTACGAGCCGCAGACCCTCGCACTTCTGCAATTTCAATGGCAACGGGATCAGCGTTCCAAGCGGATGGATGCGCGGCTCTTGGGGCGTATGCGGCATGTGCAGAATATCAGTGTGAACTTCTCCGAAGTCCCTTGGAGAGGCGCTATCACGAGGGAAGCTGCAATCTGCACGAAAGTCATCGTTGGCTGTCTACAGCCTAACCTTCAGATTACAGTGCTCGACCTCACTTTTCGTGCACAACAAGGCGTGTTGGAGGAGGAATGGTTGAACTCGATGCTGGAGATTGCGGCGCATTGGTTTCGAGCTGCGAGGGGGCCTACGATCATGCAGTTGGAGATCTACTTCGTGCGCTCGCTTCACGATAGGGCGAAGCTCAAGCTAGGAGGTGAGGGCACGTGAGTTGATGCTACGGATGATCGTGGGCGTGGCTATGGTGAGCTGCTTTCTCATTTCGAGGCGTGGACAGATGCTGACATGTTTTCAGAGCTGGGCGTCGCTAAGAGGCAAGCTTTCTTGCCAGTATTCAACCAATCCTACATGGTGATTGACGCGTTGGGTGGAGTCACCTGGCGCTTTGCCAGCCACGCCGCGGCGAAATACCAATGGCTAATGGTGAAGCCACAGGACAGACATTCACACTTCTTAATTGTCGCGCCAGAGGACCTTTCCGGCCCCACAAATCCCTGCTCCCGCTCCTTCCATTTCGGTTTTCGCGCCGGCAAGCTGCGTAACTCATTGACCACACCACCTCCATCTCTTCATTTCGACACGCACTCTCTCACTGACCGCCGACGAACACATGGCGAACACACACTGCCACTTCTTCCATCTACCACTTGAGCTTCGCGAGCAAATCTACAGACATGTTCTAAGCAACAACGATCGCCACCTCACGATTCACATGCCTGAAGTCCTGTACACTCATCACCCACTTCAACAAGAGGATCCTTCGAAGCCTCGCCATGTGGTCACCAACTCCCACCACGGCGGCAATCACTCCCAGGTAAATCCTGCTCTGCTGCGTGTCTGTAAGCAAATACACGGGGAGGCTTGTGCATTACTCTATACATTCGACACTGTATCGTTTGAACGAGCATCCCCGACCATTCCTTGAGGCTTCTTTGACGCTCGGATGCTGCGACACGTCAGGAAAGTAGGAAGGGTCGCTGTCCGGGTCAAGTCATCCCACTACTTTGGGACCGACCACTTAAGATCTGCGCTGGCTTGCTCGAAAGTCTTGGCTGGGCTTTTCAGGCCAGATGTTCGTATCGAGTCGTTATCGTTGGACTTCTGTGACCCGCAAGCGACACTCGATGAAGAGTGGATGTCAGCTGTGCTTGAGGTCGCGAGGTTCTGGTTCGGACTCACAACGCATACTCAAAACACGACCCTCAGTCTGGTTCCGTGGAGTTGGCATTCCGGCGCTGGGAACGTAGAGGCTGTATTTGTGCTTCGGGAGGGTGATCGTTGGGTCGATCAGACGAATGTCTTTTCACAAGACTCTGGTAAGGCAGCTACTGCGAGAATCCAGACCGGGTGAGATGCTGACCGATGTATTAGAGGTTCGGAGACTGAACCGGGGAGTTTTAACGGCGATGTTTGAGAAAGTGCATACTGAAGCTGTGAGCTCATGATTGTGAATATACACATATGAATCTATGGCTGCCTCTGGCGAGGCCGTACTATCTACTCGCGGAATGAGGAAACTACCATGACCAAGGAAGAATTCGCCGGGTAAGTAGTGTTAGGAGGCAATCTCGGTCTACAGAAGATAGTGACTAGGTTGAGACTGATTACGTGAGCCGAGAAGATAGATGACCGCAAGGCCTCGGATATCCTGTATCATACAAGCCAGCGTATAGTGGGAGTGCTAACCATGCGGGAGGTGGTGTATGCTCGGACCCTGTTCATATTCGCCACGCGAGGAAGGGGTCCGCGTGCATCATCGCTACCAGAGATGGTTGGCGCAGAAATCGCTGCACATTCACTGTCCAACACAACACCGTGGTTGAGCGACGAGATGCTCTGCCATGAACCAAGGGGAGGAATCTGAGAATTTAGCTTCCCTGGTCTCGGGCGGTTCGTCCGCTCGCTGCGGCCATCGTCCTCGCTGTCCACGGTGTGCAACACGTTCGTGTTCGGATTCGAGAACTCAATTGGTACACCTCGCGCGTACTTAGCATCAATTACACTTCCACGAACAGCCGAGAAAGTGTGGCCATTGTAGAACCGGTCACAAACTGCAAGGTTTGATGCAAAGCTGGTGCGTCGTGTCTCCGTGATCTCGAAATCAAGCAGTCCTTGTGCTTGCGCGAATCGTAGAGCCTAATTGTAGATATGAAAGTCCTCGCAGTGAGAAACAGAAAGAAAGGATCTCGAGTCTAAGACTGTCATCAAAAGACACCGCGGCATCGCCCAACACAAGAGCGAGACGCACAGACCACAGTGTGCAGTGTACTCTTTCGGTGATGATAGGCGTCCATCTTGCTGACAGGCCAAACCCTCCTCAAGACCAGAGAAAAAATGGATTCGCGAGCACCGAACGAATCGCAATCTGTTATCTTCCAGCACTCTGACTGGCCGAGGTGAGACGGGAACCTGCAGTAATCAATATATGCAGCCTACCACGATACGCATCAATGCCACCCAAGAGTATTCCTCAAGCCGACCAGGAGATCCAATTCGTGGTTGCTACAAGCAGTAACCCAAACAATGGAACCTCCGCCATAAATCGAAGGCGGATCAGATCGCAGGCGGCCACAAAATCATGGCCTGGAAGACGGCGGCGGAACTTCGAGCAACTCGAAGAGCTGAGCGGAAAGGTCAAGCGTCCAGCGCCCCTGCGAAAGACCGGCGATGCCAAAGTGCAGAAGCACGCCGCCAAAGCTGGATCCTCGACGAAGGCCGGCACCGAGCAGTTCACCGAGGGCAGTACTTGTGCTCAATCAAGCGACGAGCTTTCGAGACCACGGCTTTCTCGAAGCTCTACTCTGTCCGCCGGAAGTTTGACCTCTGTGACAACCGTAGACGAACCATTCGGGCCCGTGACTCCAAACTCACGCTTGAGCACTCCATGCAAATGTCCACAATGCCGGCCTGACCAGAGTCTTTCCGTCCAGGAACAGATCCGCGACATTGTCAAGCACGGTCATAAGCGAAAAGCGGAAGACGAAATCAAGTGGGAAGGGATCACACTCCCTGTCTCGCCACTGCGCTTGCCAGCCGCACCGTACAGCGGCATGGCTGACCCATACAACTGCGCTCCAGTACCGAGTAAGCCATGGTTTGACAACGTTCTGCATCATATGATGACTGTCTTCGCACCTCGAGGCTGGCCTGCCCTGAGAATTACATACGAGCAAGGTCTGATGTGGGAGAGATTCATGACGCAGCATGCCTTGGCTGAGCCTGCACTGTTCTATGTGCGCCTGCTGTTTGCAAGTGGAGATATGATCCGGCTCGGTATCCTACCACGAGAGACGTCATATTGGCTGCAAGCTCAAGCCATCAGTGCCATCAACGAGGCTCTTCAAGACCCGAATCGTGCGTCTTCGGATGGCCTGATACTCGCGGTAGGACGTATCGGGTTTCACGAGTCCATGTATGGAGATCGGAATGCAGCCAATGCTGTGCATCGGCCAGCTCAGCAGCGTATGATTCACATGCGAGGAGGCATGAAGGCGCTGGAATTTCCAGAACTGGTGAAGCGCTTGATGCGTCTTACAGATTCGATAATGGCGAGACAGGGTGGTACTGTTCGATTCATTGAAGACGATGAGCAAAGCACGAACTTCACCATGACAGAAGGTGTAAGGGTCTTAGAAAATTGGGTACCAAACCAAGGACAAGCACTACGGAGGTCAATCAAGATTGCTGATATCGTGAACGACTGAATGATACCACCCTCGGTAGTCCGCCTAAAGCTGCCTAACTATGCATCGCCATGTGAGGTCGAAGTGTTTGAGTGCAGGCAGAGACAGGAATAAGACTTCCTGGTACGTTGCAATCTCTAGTCGTCAAGCAGTTGTACCTTGATCGCTCTTGCGTCAGGGTTCGACGCAGCTTCAAATGCTGCCTGACCTTCTTCAAGCGTGAAGCGATGTGTTACCAGTGGTTTGAGGTCGATTAGACCTTCCGACACAAGCATGATGGCTTTAGGATACGTCTCCCTATATCGGAACTGGAACCGTATGTCGATCTCGCGGAACGAGGCGTGCATGAACGGAATCTGCTGGAAGTCCTTGCCAACCCCAATGATGAAGACGGTGCCCCCGAATCGACTGGCCTGTCGTTCGTTAGCACGTTTAACATCTGCAGGTGCAGATCGTGGAGCTCACATATATGCTAGTATGGATGCTGGACTCAACGCCAGTACATTCGATCACAAGTTTAGCCTCACCTCCGAGCGCCTGCCTGATCTGCTCTGCATTCTGCTTTGCTTCTGCATCTCGTTGAATCTGCACAGTCCGCAATCTCGGTACCAGCGACTTGGCCTTTGCCAGGCGATGCTCATCAATATCTGTAATAACGATAGGCGCTGAGCCAGCCGCATGAGCAGCCAGCAGGCTCACCATACCGATTGGTCCTGCACCACAAATGACGAGTGGATCGCCAAGCCGTAAGCCAGAGCGATCGATTCCGGCCAGGGCTACAGATAGAGGTTCGAGAAGGGCGCCTTCTTCGAAGCTTATGCTTTCTGGTAGACGGTGTAGCCATGCTTCAGGATGGACGTGATAGCGGCGGAGTGTGCCAGGAACGGGAGGAGAGGAGTAGAAGATGATATCAGGGCATGCATTATACCGACCGTTACGGCAGTGCTCGCAGGTCGGCTTGCTGCATGGTATGCCGCACTCCAGCGCCACCCGATCACCTGTAGCATAAGATGAGCGCCTGACAACGAATTTGAGATTCGAGAGGACAGACCAACTTTCAGTGACTTGACATTTGGGCCGGTCTTGATGACCACTCCAGCACTTTCGTGACCCAATCCTTGTTCATGCTTGATGACAGAAGAACCAATAGCGCCGATCTTCCAGAAGTGCACGTCTGAGCCACATATGCCCGTCGCTCTAACGTGAACCAAGCAGTCGTTTGGTCCAGGTTCGGGCAGCTTTGTTTCCACAACGTGTAATTCATGCTTTGGATTCGTCTCGATCGCAATGTTCTTCGGCTTGCGGGTCAAGACTGTCGTGACGGAAGACATGATATTTACTCTGAATTGATGAACAAGTTTGCTGCTATCAATTCCACTGCACAGTGCATTGTAAGCTTTTATGGGTCTTCGTTGCCCCTCAAAGACACGAACACAGAGCCTGAGTCGGAGTTCGGTGCTCCATGCCGTGATACCTCGTACAGACACCGCATCTCACGGCGCAAAAGGTTATGTTCATGAGAGGCTCGGTGAGCAGCTACCTTACGTGAGCACAAACATATTCAGATCGTATGCATTGCAACCGCTCAAGGCTTTTGCTAGACTACAATTTTGACGCAGTGACCTCCTTCTTCGGCCCAGTAAAGCCAAACAAATACCCAGCAACCTTCCGCATCTGGATCTCCTCACTACCCTCGGTGATCCTGTACCGCCTGTGATGCCGCCAGATATGCTCGAACTGGCAGTGTCGGCTGTAGCCCCATCCACCATGAACCTGTATCGCCCGATCTGCAGCTTCGGTACACAATCTGTTCGCCCAGTAATTGCACATACTTACCTTGTCGCCGATTCTATGCTCTACTTCAACGTGGGGCATCTTGTCCATAGCCGAGGCCGTGCAGCGGATCAAAAGTCGAAGCATCTCGCATTGTGTTGCAAGCTCGACGAGAGGGAACTGGATAGCCTGGTTTGCAGCTAGAGGCTTGCCGAAGGGCTGACGCTGTTTGGCATATTGGACGGACTGGTTGATACAGTAGACTGCTGCTCCCAGACTCGATGCTGCTTGTCGGATGCGGTTCTCGTGGACGAAGGCCTGAGCTACTGCTAGACCGCCATCGACCGGACCCATGATGCATGACGCAGGAACATGAACGTCTTCCAAAGAGACTGTGGCATGGTCTGTAGGCATGTTGAGAGTCCACTCGTAGCTTTCGACTTTGATCCCTGGCGTTTGTCGCGGCACGACGAAGCAAGTAATGCCGTTGGCCTGGCCGTCCTTGCCACCAGTACGAGCAAAGATGAAGCAGTGCGTAGCTTTGTGCATTCCGGTTTGCCACATCTTGCCGCCGTTGATGATATAACTGCCGTCATTCTGTTTGACTGCCTTGGTAGCCATGAATGTGGCATCACTGCCATGGCCGGGCTCGGTGAGACCAAACGTGATCCTGACCTTGCGTTGTAGCCTCCCTTCGATCAGTTCCTTCTTCTGCTCCTCTGTGCCGAAGTGTTGGACCATGATCACGTCTGGAAAGTTGCCAACGACACTGTGTTCGTTCTGCAGGTCATTGAACAGTCCTAGACCCTTACTAGCCAAATGCTCTCGAATAACAGCCATCCACAAGTTACTGCCACGGCCAGTTTCGTCGTTCTGTCCACCATATTTTTTGGGTAGTGAGAAGCGGAAAAAGCCAGCCTTGTCAGCTCGACGAGCACATTCGCCTAGCAAGTCCTCCCACTCATCTCGTGGAAGTCCGCCACGATCCCAGTCAGTCCTGCTATGCTCGCGGCGATGGTCAAAGAAGCGATCATTATCATCTTGTTTCTGCAGCGGTGTAATCTCGCGCTCAATAAACTCCTCAAGATGGGCAATATATTCAGTCAATGCCGGTGGGACTTCAAAATTCATCGTAGACGCCATGATGGTAAAGTTTGCATACAGTAGAAGATGTAGCCTACCAGGAAACTCTGCTGTCTACATCGCTGTGTAATTGTCCTTCTTTTGCCAATGTTGGTGTACAGCCGACACGACACTCACCTCGGGCTAGAGATGAGGAGCTGAAGTGGCGTGAAGATCAGAACCGAGCTTAATCTTGGGCGGCTGAGTCAGCGGCACGAGTGGAACACGCTAAGGTCTAAATACTTGGGATTAAAGATAATAGTCAACCTTTTATCATCCCGGAGACACGGTATCGAAGACGAAATGTGCACATTGGCTAAGCATTCACAGCATGGGGAATCGAAGGATGACGATGACCTCAACTCTTTCGACGATTGCAGGCTACGTCTAGCCACAACAGAAGGATGCCTGAGATCGGATGAAGTATCCCATTATTTATGAGACACCCTCTTATTGGATGAATGAATGCTGTAGATGCGCATGAACGGACGGGATGCCCGTCTGCGGCTGCGATGGCGGCCGGCTTTGCTGCATCGAAGTACGTCTCCATAAGCACTATTGTTCCTGCTAGCTTACTCCTTCTGGTCCTCGGAATGTGGTTCTTTCTCCTGCTTGCCTCCAGTGATGTTACCGGCGACATAGTTCTCGGTACTCCTGTCATTATTCGTGGTGAAGAACGACAGAATCAGGGCCGTGCCCGAGAATGCCAAGGACACTAGGAAGACAGTCGCTGCGGCCTGCCTGAATGCCTGGCGATATGGCTCCTGGACTGCAGCCTTGATATTGTCTGTCAATCCTTGAACAGCCTCGTAGCCTGCGGAACCTTGGAGTGCGGCCGAAAGGGCAGCTAGAGAACCCTCTGGCAGACCGAGTCCAGTCGCCACAGGATAAACCTGCTTCGGAATCGTTTGGACGAGACGATTGTTGAGCGTTGCTGTATACACAGCGACTGCAATAGCGGAGACGAAGTTACGAGTAGATCCAGAAAGACCCTATGGAGTGACTGTCAGCTCTTGCTCATGGAACACTCAGCCAGCATTCTGACTTACGCCACCTTGCCCAATCTCTTCTTGACTCCTCAGCGGGAATGTCGATGTCGTGATGGAGACACTTTCTACTATTCCCATTGCATAACATCCAATGATCAGCAGAGCTTCGGTTAGCGGCCGATTGTCGATATCCGCAGCGCAGGCAGTCAGGAAAGCGACGCCAATAACAGCTGCGCCAATCATGGCCCACTTTGGGCCAGTGAACCAAACGATGAATCCATCTATGCGCCGTCAGCAAGTACTCGGCCGCTGTCGCATACGGTCTAGCGAACTTACGGCACATCTGGGCAAACACAAACGACATCGGTGCCAGACCAGCCAGTGTACCAACGTTATACTGGCTGATTTCACCACGCCCGAAGTATATGACTGTCACGATCTGCGGGAACACGATCGAGAAGCCGTAGTACACACCAGCAGCAATTCCAGTGTTCCAAGCTGCCGACTGGAAGCGGATGTTCTTGAACAAGTGCAAAGGCAAATACGGTTCCTTGCCTCGCTTGTGAATCCAGATCTCATACGCTGGGAGGGCAGCGATCAAGGTCAGGCCGCCGATAGCCATGGTAGCGATGACGTTGGCGGACTTCCACGGATACAGCACACCTCCCCAGTTGAGGCCGAAGATGAATATAGCAAGACCACCGCTGTAGAGGATCAGGCCGATCCAGTCAAAGTGAATGAACAAGTCCTTGGCAAGCTTCTGTCTATGCAGCATACTGAACGTCGGAGGATCTGGACAAGAGCATTAGTCTTCATGCATGTTACTGAGAGACTGCATCAAACTTACGATAGAAGACAAACCACGAAAGGACGCTGACAGCATTGATGGCGATGAGGAAATAGAAGCTACTTCGAATCAGCATTGCTGGGTCAAAAGCATCACGTACAAGGACCCACCAGTTTCGCCAGCCGTGCGGATATGCCAAGAACGAGTATGCTACCCTTGCAGCCAACGGACTGGTCGGGGTCGTCATCAGATAGCAGTACGAGTTGGCCAGATATCTGTACTTCATGGGCACGATCTCAGCCACTACCCAGAAGAATGACTGCTGGAAGGCCACGGAGACACCAATCAGCACCTCGGCAGCGATGAGAGTGTTCACATCTTTAGCGAAGGCGCCAACGATGCTTCCGATCAAGGCTAGGGATGAGCCGAAGATGAAGAACCAGCGTCGTCCGAAGATGTCTGATAGCTGGCCGACCAGGAGGAAGAAGACAGCTCCCTGTGATATTCGTCAGCCTCCAGAAAGTGCGTACTACGCCCATGCAAAGCTAAACGTGAGGGCACACTGTAGCGCCCTCCAAGTGCTCAGTTCCGACATAGACAGTGGGAAATGACGACCCGGGTATGTACTTACGCAAGTCAAATTTGCAAGTGGTACCCAATTGATATTGGGATCAGGACCAATGTCTTGGTTGATCTCTGTCAAGACAGGTGCGATCAGACCATAGCCTAGACACGATTGTCAATTGAGTCCGGCCCCTCAGCAGATGCGAAGATCTCTCACCTCCTATCCCGCCCATGAACGCCATTCCGATAGCGAACAACGTGCCAATATAGTTGACGGATAACCAGTACTTTCCGTCGATTCTTTCGCTGTTGCGTCCTTTGGCTACGTCTGCTCGATCGTCGTTATCACGATGGTCGATATATGATTGATCATCTACACCATGAGCAGCGCCAGTCTGTCTGAGGCCTCCATGCTCGATCTGGTCGGTGTGACCGTCGCCATAGTCAGTGCTGGCCTTCTCGTGCTCGGACATGCTTAGGACGGGGTTCGGACGTCTGAAGAAAAGACACAAACTGAGGTGGGCGGATTGAGAAAAAATGAAAACTTGGAGACATGGGAAGGAAGTCCACTCTTTACTCGCGATACCACAGCGTCTCACCTCTTCTGATTAGCACTACTACGTCGTCGCGTTCGAGCGTCCGGCGACCAAGTGCCGAGGGCGCGAATTGATCTCCACAACGACGTCGTGCCCATTCTCTCCTAGGAGAGCAGTACAGTGCATGCTTCCTGTGCGCGGGGGCGAACAAAACGATCGCTGATTGATACAGGCAGTGATCGCAAGATAGTGCAGAAGATCTACATCAAGCGAGCCCGTATGGCTGGTACAGTTATGCATATCGCTTTTCAAATCTTTGGGTGCCAATGAGGCCCCCGCATACCCCAGTCGGATGATGGTGTCAACCGGGATCCGAAGTGCATGCGAAGGAGATCTAGGTTTGTATCCTGTGGGGTATCGGAGCTGTGGCCGCGAGAGACGGACTTCATCGATCCAATGGTCGGACCTTTCGTGCGACAAACCAGAGCTCGGCGCAGAGATTATTGGCCGTGCTTCCTGCGATGTTTGTGGGACATGCACTGTCGTATGTACTCCCAAGAGAAAGCTTCCGCCGCTGACGACGAGCTCAGAGCTGAGCATCCTCTGGCGATCCTATCTGTACCAAGCTTGAGACTTTATTTCCGCCGGATGGGACCTTGTGGGCTAAGCTAGCGACCTTTCCAATCTCGTATAGGGGAGGAAAGTCTAAGCGCCTTGACGCGCAGGGACTCGAGTGCACCGTACCGCCTATCTGGGCTCACGTGTGGCCTGCGGAAATATGTCGACGGCCATTTCGTGACCTTGAAATGGTCCAGAAGCAGCCCGGCGAGCTTCAGGGTCTGCAGATTGCGGGGAAGACATGTGTCGATGTGGAGTTATTATACTGTTGGCCGACCACTTCGAACTCATCTTCACCTCAGAGTGAAGGCATATTTCTAGAGCCTGTTCAGAAAGCACTTCTAGCTCACACTCAGCTTCGGATCAACAACATGGCGGACAAGAGTTTTGATTACATTATCGCTGGGTAGGTGCGCCAACAATAACTCTTATGGCAGGATGTCGCTGATAGTAACGAAGTGGCGGAACATGCGGCCCCGTAGTAGCTGGCCGATTGTCTGAGGATCCACACTGTACTATCCTCATCATTGAAGCTGGCTCAGACAGCGCCAATGTCGACAATATCCAGATGCCAGGCGCGTACGTGATTACCGTACTTGACGTTCCCTTTGCTCCCACTTACATTCACGCAGATGGACAAAGAACCACTATGGACCGACGGATTGGAACATCGTTACTCCACCACAGCCTGGACTTCAGAACAAAGAATGTAGACTTCCGAGAGGCAGGTTTCTAGGAGGGAGTAGTGGCTCGAACGGTACGATCTGTGTTCGCGGTGTCCCACAGGACTACGACGACTTTGGATTTCCTGAGTGGAGTGGCAAGGAGATGTTCCGTGCCATGCGTAAGAGCGAGAAATTCCATCCTGCTCATTGGTTCCCGCACAATAAGAAGGCACATGGTTATGGTGGACCACTGCACATCGAACCAGCTCCAGCACTTTTCCCGATCGCTCACAATCTTCTCGAGTCTTACCAGTCTAAGGGACTACCCTACAAACCTGACATGTTCAGCACAGGTGAGGCATCAAATGGGTGCGGCCATGCCATGCGAACCACGTATCAAGGCTCAAGGACTACTGCGGCAGACTTCATCACCAAGGACAAAGAGCGACCGAACGTCACCATCAAATGCGATTCGACGGTAGACAAGGTCATACTTGAGCGCGGTAGTGATGGCTCGCTTGAAGCGAAGGGCGTCGAGTACTTGGACAACGATGGCAACCGATATAAAGTCTACGCGAACAAGGAAGTCCTGCTCGCCGGCGGATCGTACAACACACCAACCATGCTCATGAGATCTGGAATTGGTCCCAAGGAGGACCTAGAGAGGGTCGGCATTCCCGTCCAACTAGAGCTTCCAGGCGTGGGCAAGAACCTCCAGGATCATCAGCTCATCTTCACATATTACGAACTCAGCGAGGCCGATCTGACGGACGACGCTAGGGTGAATCATGATCCTGAGTCATATGAGACCGGCTCTAAAGCATGGAAGGAGAGCAAGTCTGGCTGGCTCTCCACTTTCCCGTTCGGCACTTTCGCATTCGCTCGTGTCAACGACCGTCTTGAAAAAGAGAGCAAGCAATGGCGCGCCATGAACCGCAAGCCAGGTCGTGATCCAATGGGCCTTACCGAGACACAGCCAAACTGCGAGATCTTCAATACCGTATGCTACGGAGGTCCTCCAGAGTACACTGACTTCCCTAAAGAAGGACAATGGGCATTGGCAATGTGTGTCTTCCTCTGCGGTCAACAGTCACGCGGCTACGTCACGATCAACAGCAAGGATCCATTCGAGCCACCATTCGCAGACCCAAAGTACCTCGAGGATAAGCGCGATCTCATGATGCTGTCCGAGGGCGTGCGCTTCGCCAATGAGATTATCACCGAAGGTGCCGGTACAAAGGACATTATCAAGGGCTCGTGGCCCCCAACTGCCAAGCACCACTTGTACAAGACCAACGAGGAGTGGCACGACCATGTTTCGAAGTACGCATCCACCAGTTACCATCCCGTGGGTACCTGCAAGCTCGGAAAGAAAGATGACCCGTTGGCCGTGGTGGATCAGCATCTGCGTGTCTACGGTGTCAAGAACCTTCGCGTGGTGGACTGTAGTATTATGCCAACGAATATGTCTGGCCATACCCAGATGCCAGCTTACGGTATCGCTGAGCTTGCTGTGGAGTTCATCCAGCAGGAGAATGGTATGAGCAAGAAGGCATCGCAGGGTGACAGCGGCGAGCTTCGGGCGCAGTTGTGATGATGAGACCCTCGGAACTGTCAATTAGCTGAGGCACAGGATATTTTCCTCAGGCGTTACCAATATTGTATGTACAATTTCTGCTATGAGTGTCCGTAATCCGTTGACGACCACGGAGTCTGATGTTTTGCGTCTTCCGACTCGCCCTTGTCAAAGAAACGAAAGCTAGTATTGCTGTGGTTTGGTAACATGGACAGAAGCGAACCACAATTTATCCGTTGCGATGTTGGTGATTATTCTTGCTAGACTACATCTCATACTGAGAAGCTGCAATTGTACTACAGCTTGGCCTTGTCTTGCTTCGGCGGTGCCATATCCAGCCACGAGAAGTCCTATGTGATGTTAGCAACGCATGCAGAACAGTACGCTTGAGCCGGGACTCACCATTGGTAGATCAGCCTGTGGGTCAATGATGACATTTACAACCACAGGTACCTTCGCCTTGAAGCCAACTCCGGTCGCATGTGCAAGTTCCTCAGGCGTGCGCGCCACGAGACCAATGCCACCAGCCATCTCAGCAATCTTTTCGTACTTTGTCTGATAACCTAGCGACCACGCGGTCAGACCCTTGCCACCAGCCATCTCAGCAATCTTTTCGTACTTTGTCTGATAACCTAGCGACCACGCGGTCAGACCCTTGCCATCAGTGGTGGTGCCCTCGACCGTGTTCTTCCGTCGTTCTTCCCAACTCTCCGCATTATCTGTGTCACCTCTATATAAGCCACTGTTGTTCATGATGAAGATCAGAATATCCATCGAGTAGCGCGCCATGGTTTCCACTTCCATGCCGGAGAAGCCAAAGGCGGAGTCGCCCTCGATGGCCACAATCTTCTTGCGCGAGCCTTGTTTACCTGCCAGGCCTTCAGCACCTGGGAAGTTGTATGCAGCATACGAAGCGATGGCATATCCAAGCCCTACGCCCATGGTAGCGTAGGTACCAGCATCTAACCGTGTCCTAGGGTGCTCCATTGTGAACATGGACCTTGCAATGTCCATGGCGTTCGCTCCTTCCGAGACATAGACGATGCCGCCGTCCTTGGGATTTGATAGCTCATCCAGCTTCTTCTTGATGATTTCGTATGCTCTCTCGTAAGTCACTGGCACTTTCTGCACCGCCGCTTTCTTCGCTGCTTTCGCCTCGTTTCGTGACTTCGCCGCCTGGAGATTCTTGAAGAAAGCAGTCGATTGTCCTTGCCACTGCCAGCCGTCAAGAGCAGAGTTGATTTGGTCGACCACAACACCAACATCTCCAACGACGCTGAGCTCTGGATGGCCTCCATTCTTGCCGAGCTCGTTAGGATCGATATCAACCTGGATGATCTTGGCGTTCCCATTCCACTTTGGTGGCAAGCCGAAAGATAAGATCCAGTTTAGTCTTGCACCGAGCACAAGTACAACATCTGCTTCCTTGAACGCGGTCGAGCGAGCTGCAGAGTAGTTGTTAGGACTTGAGTCAGGGACAATGCCTTTGCCCATTGGCGATGGCACAAATGGGAGGCCAGTACTGCAATGGTATGTTAGAAACAGCAAGCATCCGTTGTAGGTAAGCTACAACACACCTCTGGACAAGTTGATTGATCTGTCGCTCAGCACGTGCAAATGCTGCACCCTTACCCAGTACTATGAAAGGTGCCTTTGCACTCTTTAAAGCCTGAACGATCTCTCGAATCTTGCCTTCAGGCGCTGCAGACTTTGGTGGGCTTGTGATCCGCTTTAACTGGTTGCGAGGAACATCGAAGGTGCCGAGAATTAAGTTCGCTGGTAGGTCAACATAGGCAGGACCAGGTCGTCCAAAGCATGCTGCTCGGTAGGCATCGTTTATAAATTTGGGAATGACGTCCGCCGAAGGAGGTCGCACTGATAACTTTGCATGTGGTGCCATGAGTGCCACCTGGTCAACATCCTGGAAAGCACCTTTGCCAGAGTTGTGTGTTTCTGCAGCGCCACTCAACACTAGCAATGGGAAGGAGTTCGCCATAGCATGTGGAACCTATATTCGCGTCAACCTCTTCATTCTCTCATCTCCAACATAGCGACATACACCTGCGAAGACGTGGAACGCTCCTGGCCCACCAACAGATATGCATACTCCTGGCCTGCCACTGAGATATCCATATGCCGTGGCAGCATAGGCAGCTGCTTGCTCATTTCGAAAGCTAATGAATCGGATACCTAGATAGAGACCTTCTTGAGCAATGTCTGTGACCGGTAGACCAGGTGTGCCGAAGATGACTTTCACACCCAGATCATGCAAGGCCTGAGCAATGATCTTTGCTCCGTAAGTACCACCCATATTGCGGACGCTGGTCCAAGGGATGTCCTGATATGCAGCCTGTCTATGAGCTTCGATGTTGCTACGAGTGAGGCCAGATGATCAACGTCGAAGTGGTCAAAAACGACAATGTAACAGTACTTCCTCACCCGACGATGGCATGTCGTCTGGAAATCACTACTGCGATCTCACAGCTACGCCAGAAGCCGAACTCAGTCCTCGGCTACAGACAGCCGAATCAATGCTGGTGGCCATAGCAAGTGCTGCGCTTCCAGTGTGAGCCTTGGGAATAATAGATGGCGGTACCCCGCGACAAGGTGAGCGCTTGAGATTTCTAGCTTTGTCGATCGAGCGGAGAAGATGAGGATAATGACAGCTGTGCCACGTGACATTCTGCACAGACGGTGCAGCGGAAACTTTAAAATCTTAATACATGGCCCTTGCTCTGCCTCACTTCTTTGACAGCTAGATTACGACAAGGTACCCCGGCCTTGGCACCCTGCACCGGGCTTCCTACTGCCACGAGACTGCGTAGATGTGGCGGGCATGAACATAGTCTTATCGAGTATACACAGTCGTCTATATCAACTTCTCGACAATTTTCCTCAGATCTGATTTCGAGATCTTCCCTGAAGCCGTCTGAGGCCACTCCGCCGGCACCTTGCCATCATCACGCCCTAACCAGAAGAAGTACCTGGGTGCCTTAAACCTCGCTAGCTTCTCGCGTACGAACGCTCTCAATTCATCATCGCTGGGGCGCGAATGGCCGTCTCGTAGCTCAAGGTAAGCACCAAGCTCTTCACCATATTTGTCGTCCGGTACTCCAACAATAGAAGCTTGTTTCACAGCCTCGTGCTCCACAAGTCGATCCTCAATCTCCATGGGTGCAATGTTCTCTCCTCCACGTATTACTAGATCCTTGATCCGGCCAGAAATGATGAAGTAGCCTTCCGAATCTAAAAAGCCTTCGTCGCCCGTGTGCATCCATCTCCTAAGACTGCCATCGCCTAGCGCACCCACACCATCATACTCGAGATCTTCTTGGTGGTATTTTAGCGCCTCTTCTGTCTTGGCTTTGTTGTGTATGTACTCTGCCATCTGTCCGTAGCCACTGACCACTATCTCGCCTTTCTCACCCCAGGGTAGGACTTTGCCCGAGTTTGGCTCTACGATCTTCGCAACAAAGTGTGGAAATAGTCTACCGGCAGTCTTGATTCGCTTTTCGTAAGGATCCGTCCTAGAAGTGACTGTCAGGTACCGCGCCTCATGCTTCAAAACATCCTACCCTTCATACTCACTCATGCATCATAGACACGAACGAGCTAAGCTCCGTCATTCCCCAACAAGTGTATAGCCTGGGAACTGGGAAGACCGTAGTGATTCGTCGTAGAAGATCTGGAGGCATGGCCGCGCCAGCAATGATGCCAAACTTGATCGTCGACCGATCAATCGAGTCGAACTCCTTCTCTGCCATCTCATTTACGAACATTGTAGGGACGCCGTATATTGCCGTACACTTGTAGCTCTCAATAGCACGCAGGGTTGCTTTTGCGTTGTAGGTCTCGCTCGGTAACACTAAGCACGACCCAGCGACGGTGCTTGAGCTGATACCCACAATCATGCCGAAGGAGTGGAACAGTGGTACTGGAAGACATATCATATCTTCTGCTTGCATCCGTGTTTGCTGCCAGATGTATCTGCCGCAGTTCATGATGTTGTAGTGTGAGAGTGATACTGATTTCGGGAGACCAGTACTGCCTGAGGTGAACTGGACGTTGACCATATCGTGTGGCGAGATAGAGACTTTAGGTAGAGCTGCTGCTGTTGCTGAGAAAGGCTTTAGATATGCTTCGTATTCTGTCGATCTTGCTAGAGCTCCAGACAGATGGTACTTCTTCCCTATGTCGCCCATGATCACGAATCGTTTTATTGACGAGATCTCGGAGGCGATCTTCGGTAGTGTCTTGGTGTTGTCGATCCGAGCGAAGCCAGGTGAAGCTACAAAGACCTTCGGATCTGTTGATGATATTAGCATCCACATCTACAGTGGGAACAAGATTCGACGCACTGACGGCCTTCAGCGTGGCCAACATCTCTGACTCTGTGTAGGCATAATTTAGCAGGACCAAAGCAGCACCTAATTGTGTACATGCGAAGAATGTCTCGAAATACTCGACTCTGCTTCCCAGGGATATAGCCACAAGATCACCTTTGCTAACACCATCGTTTGCCAGTGCTCGAGCGAGCTGTATACTGCGATCTCGAAGTTGTCGCCATGATAGTGTCAACCCCTGAGGATGTGAGACGACTGCTGGCGCACCACCCCGTATCTCAACGTGGTGATCTATGAGTTCGCGAAAGGTCAGGGTCAAAGGCACTGGAGCAGCGGGTCCCCAGACGATTGACGGGGAACGTTCATCTTGTGATAGATCTTGGGGAGAGGCTGTGGTGGCCATTCCAGGGGGGGAGCAGTAAATGGTGGTAATCAGAGACGTTGTGTGACAAGCGTGGTGAGGTTGTAGTACTGTCTCGACCACAGGAACCGCGATCCTCCATGCAGCCCAGTAGTCCGCGATTGATTTTACAGCTTCGCCTTCGGTAACCTTTCGGAAGCTCTGACCGTACCAAGGACCATCTGCATGATGATCGTGTGTTCTGGGATCAAACGTGGGGTTGGAACTGGCTGGGACGAATCTGCAGCAGGCAACTCTAGCCCCGCTTGCCCCCTCTTGTCAAATGCTGTTCTTCTTCGCTACCGCCAGACTATTGCATTTGATCATGAGTCGTGACGCAGCATCTCGCGAGTCTAAATTGGAAATAAGATCTCTGGCCGTGTAGTAAGCACGTCTGTGGTTCGATCTGCCGACGGAGTTCTGGCCGCAGGACGGCATGGTCAACCTCACTTGAGGCTGTCGACGAGACCCTTACCGGTGTCCGAGAGGATCATGATATGATAGTGTGGTCGGTCATCTACTTCCCAGTGTGCTAATACCGCATTGCACTCTCCTCAACTCTGCCCTGCTAGCCAACCCAGCATGCAGCTGTCTGAAGCCCACATCGCGGGCGTGGGCATAGCAGAACATCAATCATCTTCAAGCCTCCAGAGCCTCGCCATCTCAGCCTCGATAAAAGCTCTAATAGACGCCGGAGTCACATACAGCGACCTTGATTCCCTCGTACTAGGCTCATGCCAAGACCGGCCGATACCAAGGTCGGCACTTCAAGCCCTAGGACAAGAAGGCGCACCAATATACGAGGCAGACAATGATTCCGCCTTGTCGACGGCATTTGCATGCATACGGTCTCGATCATCAAACTGCTCGCTTGTCCTTGGTCTGGACAGAACAAATGGACAGGGGAACGTAGTAGTCGCCACCATCGTGGTGTCAAACCATTTCCTTACCTCTCACGCCTACCTGAAGGACCAAGCAATCAGTGTTCTCGGCTCCTCGCTCTCCAGTAAAGCCTCTCAGGACGCCTCTGCTATTCTCCGGAGGACAATCGAGTCTGCTCTCCGACAAGCACGACTCGGATCGAAAGACCTACAGGTTGTCCAGGCCCAAAATGTGACCAAAGATACTGCAGTAGGCAAGGCGTTGGCAGCAAATCATGTCATACCGCCCTTGGGTCAGCCGACAGCTGAGCTGGATGGTTTGATGGGTACAGGTGCCAGCGTAGAAACGTCAGTAGGAGAGACTGGTCTTCTCGCACTGGTGGATCTAGGTAAGCTTCTCACTGGCTTACAACTAACGAAATACAGATACTGACAACTCAAGCAGTTTACCGCCTCCGCGGCTGGTCCCACGCTCCCAACAAGCCAGTTCCTCTAACCCAACCGCAGCACGTACTCCACTATACACTCACACCGTCTTCAACCTCCAGCGTCCTAATCCTTGGTCGCTCAGATGGCAAGCCTGCACCCCTCTGGAATGCCGTGAAGAGCATCCGCGACGGTCGTGAGCGATTAGGCTACAATCCAGCCATGGAGAATCGAGGAGTAACGACCGAGGATCTGGAAGCAGTGATAGGAAGGAAGGGAGGTATGCTGGCGGAAGCGAAGCAATTGAGCTTACCTGCCAAGGGAGGTGATCGCGCGGCATTGGCGAGGTTGTAGATAGCGTAAGTAATTGATCAGCATAGAAAGGACTTTGTTATACACAGCGCGCGCTGTATGCTATGATCTCTGCGCCTCGATCCATGTCGATGGCAGAAGGTAGACAATATGATACATTCATCCGTCATCACATCTCCCGCTGCCGTCAACTAAACTCTCGCTCAAGCGATGTCATCTCTATACTCCTCGCAGCATCCATTCACGCAAGCGCCCTCTTAATCTCTCCAACCTGCCTGTTCAATTGCGCCATACTCTTCAACGCAGGACTGTTCGGCTGCTCCTCGGACAACACCATGTAGGCGCCCTGCAGCCTCTGACTGAGCACGTCCATGATATGTGGTACTACATCCGAGATTTCCGCGTCTTTAATATTCATCTGGCTGAGGACGACCTTGAGCCATTCCAGACGCTCTTTGGTATTCGTGTCGAGTGTCGCAGTCAACGCAGCGGAGACGGAGAGGGCGACGAGAGGCGAGACGCGTTGAAGGTACTGCGGATTCACGCGGACAAAGAGATTGTCGAACAACGCTGCCTGGTTCGCACTTTGCAGCCAGCGAACTGTAGCGTTCTCGTAGTTAGAGTCGACCAACAGTTGCGTAATCTCATGAACTTCGCGCTCCTCAGCTGTCTTCTCCGGATCACCTACAGTGGTCGTCGTAGTCGAAGTATCAGACTTGTGAGAGGTGCTCTGAGCCGCAGCTTCCTCTTTCCGCTCACGCTGGAGTTTGAGAATCTGCTCTTGGAAAGTGCTCTGGCTGTCGGCCATGGACTGAATCATGCCCGAGAGGCTGCGGACGAGGTTCGAGAGCTCTTCGATCTTTTGGTTAGCTTGCTGGCGTTGGTTGTCTGCCTCGCGAAGACGATCGTTTGTGCGCTTCTCGAGGTCGGCGACCATTTTCGAGCTTGCTTGAGTTGCCATGGTTGGTAAGGACTGCTGAAGCAGGCCGGAAACTTGTTGCTGCACCTTTGTAGCAGTGCTTTCTGAGACGGCGCGGGCAACCTACAGAAAGAAATCTTTGTTAGCGGTTTTCGAGGAGCAGAGCTTGACATGGCGGAACGTACCTGTTGGTCCTTCAAAGCACTCTGCAGAGCAGACGGTAACGCTGCCTTCATTTCACGCGCAGTGATCGAGTTGAGCTGATTGGGCAGGATTTCCGCCAACTTGCGATCGATACTGTTCCCAACAGATGCCACAAGAGCAGGAATAACCTTGTCAGTGATGTTGGCAGTGATGATGCGTTGCAAGCTCTGCTCGACATTCTCCGTAAGAGTCGCGGACACCAGGCGAAGCATAGCATCTTGTCTAGCAGCACCTGAAGCTTCCGAGACACGCTTGTCGGCATCGAGGCGCTGGTAGAGGGAGCTGAAGTGCTTTGAGAGCGCTTCGGTGTCGCTTGAAGATGCAGCGGTTTGTGCTGGGGCACTTCGAGATGCAGCAACTGGCTCAGACTTGGGTGCGTTGATCTCATCGGCGACTTTAGTGTAAGCCTCAGGCGTGATCAGAGGCGGGTTCGTTTCAGATGGAGCCTCGGGGATCTGCAAGGATTTCTCAATAGCAGGCTTCGGTGTATGCTGGTCACCGTTAATGGCGGGCGCCGACGAAGCAGCAATTGGTGTACCGGTAGGCTCAGAAGGCTTCAAAACAGCCGGCTTCGCATTCTCCGCCTTCTTTACCTCCTTCTTCACAGCTGGTGCAGCGGCCTCAGCAGGTACACTGACTGGCTCCTTTACGGCAGTCGGCATGCGCAGCTCGGCCACAGTAATGACGCCAGCCTGCACGGCATCAATAGGGTTCATCATCTTGCTGTGAGCATCCCAGCCCATGTCGATGCGCTTAATCGGGATACCAACGACACCTTTCGAGTGCATGACATACAGCTCGAACAAGGTCTCATCAGCTGACCCCTTCTCAGCAGCATTTTCCACCGGTGTTCTCAACATATCGATGCTCCGAAGCTGGCCGACCTTGGCAAAGGAGAACTCCCTAAGTCCGCTCATTATGGCCGTGCTTTCGGGCTTAGGCAGGCTTGGATCACGACGAGCCAGCAGGTCGATGTACCGTGCTTGATCCATGAGGGCGATGTTGTACTTCGGTGCGCTGAGATGAATGAAGTAGATCGTGTTCCGTGTTGGGTGGCCGAGAGCGATAATACCGGTCTTGGGATGGTAATTGATGCTAACAAAACCATCGCTGTCCTTTTCGTGCGGTAGACGGAGCTCTTGTACAGCTTTGCCCAATCCAAGATCCCACAGCTGAAGGATGTGGTTCTGCTTGAAGCCAACGAGCATATAACGTAAAGCCACTGCCTTGCTGTGAGGGCGCTCTTTGTCAAGAAGCATAATCGAAGACACCGAAGGCTTGTCATCTGACTTGCTGCCTGAAGTTACAGCGGTCAAGCTCCAGATGGATTCCTTGAGCTCGACCGGCGCATGCTTAGGCTGAGCAACGTCCTTGGCGCGCGCAGCGAGATCCTTGATGTCCCAGAACTTGACCACGCCACTCTTATCCAAGCTGGCAATAACTGTATCGTCCTCAGAGAAAGCAAAGTCTTTGCCAGCCTTGCCAGTATTGATACGTAGACCGTGATCGGCGAAGTACTTCTCGCTGTCGATCTTGCGAGACTTGTGATCGCAGTACTCTCGGTCCTTAGCAGTCTCAGGCGCCACAATGCTGATGGTCTTGCTGCGAGCAAGAGCGAACAGCTCGGTGGAGCGCGAGCTACACTTCGCACGGGTCTTAACAGGCGAGCCGCTCGTGTTCTCCTCTGGCGTCGCCACAGCTGGCATAATCAGACCTTGAGCCTCAACGTCATCCTCGGCAAACAGCTCAGGGCCCGACTTTGCCAATGATGTCCAAAAGACAGACCCATTGATACCAGTACCGAGCACGCTCTCCACATCGCCACCAGGAGCAGAAGTGCAAAGCTGTACACTGAAAACGCGCTCGCCACTGTGACGGAAGACTTGCTTATGATCTCCGGTATCCTGACGGATGATGCGGAACCCGGCGTTGTCCTTCTTGGACGCAGTCTGAGCATATACTATATGCGACTGGCTGGCGGTGACAAGGCTGCGATCCATTTGGTCAAATTCCTTCTTCAGCTGAGCAATGACCATGAAGTCGTCTTGGCGAATCGGCATGGCGGAGTCGCCCTGGATTGTGATAGACACGAAAGGCTTCATTGGGAAGTTGTAGACCTTGACGTTGAAGTCCTCCTTCATGCTCTTCTCTTGTGCGGAATCCTCTGCACTTTCCCAGCTAGACTCGACGTCGTCATTGTCTGCTGCAGGGGCTTTCTTGGCTTTTGCCAGTGCGTCCTCGACCTGCTTGTCCACTTTCTCGCCTACACCTTCTAATGCTTCTGACACACTTTGGCCCTTAGTATCAGCCGAAGAGCCGAGCTTCCGAGTCTTGCTGGCGGGCCCTGAGGCGTCTCCATTGGTGGCGGAGGAGATATCGCGATCGTGCTTCAGGATCTCCACCTTTTTGATCTGAGCCTCAGGGTTGGGTGTGCGATTCAGTGGCGAAGAAGCATGCAGCTGATCGAAGGGATTGACATAGCTGAACATGCTCGCCTTGCTCGGCTGAGGAGCGTCGAAGGGCGTGGTCTCTCTCGAAGCTCTGCTACCGAATTGGCGCGCAGGTGTAGGCTCACGAGATGCTGGCTGAGGTGACTTGGTATTGAGCGCCGCCTCGGAGAAGCTGTTCGCAAGCTTTTCCACAGACACATCGCGCTCAATCGATGGCACTGGTTTGTCCTCAGGAGCGGGTGACTGAGTTGCTCTTGCCGCATTCGGCCTCTTCAACAAATTGAGAAGGAACTCCTGCTGATTGCCCGAGCCGGCGTTTGCATTGGACTGGCTGCTGCTCCGACTACCGATATTCTGCAGGTTCGCCATAGCGCCCGCCTGCGTGTTCGACTGGCTGGTGTTGCTGTTGAACTTGAGAAGATTGAGCAGATTGTCAGTTCGTTGCCTATCGGGCACGGGTGTGACGGAGCTTGATGCATTGATTGGCGGACTGAACAGTGGCGATGCCAACTGAGGCTGTTGGTATGGCAGCTGTTGTGGGTTCGCCCATATCGAGGGCTGTTGCGTGTCCTGCGACTGCTGTTTGTGCGAATCTTCGTCGGAGCGTCTGAGGCGTAAAAAGAGCTCTTGGAGGTCGCCGGAGCCTGCCATGTTGGCTGGCGCAGTGGCGCGATTGCACGGTAAAGACTGTCTATATGTGGAGGCGGTGCGGTGAGGTGGAAGGGAAGAGTGTCAGTGTTTGATGATGACGATGATGATGAAGGTCTCACAATTGAAGCTCTGGGATGGTTTGAGCTGGCTGCATGGTCCGTGCTCCAAGCTAGTGAATACGCTACGAAAACTGAAATGGAGCATACTACAAGATCACGATGTCTTGCATTACATTCTATGAAATGACGGATCAGGTGACAAGAAAATACGCCCCTCCAAGCGTCGACCCGACCGCCAGAAGAGTCAAGAAGCCAGCTCCTCCTTTATCAGCAGATTTGATAGTGCGAGTATACTCACTGCCCAATCCCGGGTTGTCACTCCCGGATCCAGCATTGGGATCGCCTTGACTTGTCCCCCCAGTGTCACTGGTGAATGGCGCTCCTAATCTGCTGGTCTGGATCAAGTTGGCCTGAATGACGGACAAAGCACTCAGCTGCTGACCAATGCCATACGTGCCATCCCACTTGGTACTGTTCCATTCCATACCACATGTCACGCCATCACTTCCACCATCGCATTGCCCCGCTACCCCTTGTGCCGAAGCTTGAAGGTACGGCCAGACTGTATCACTTGTGGTCGAGACCAGTTGTGCGGTAAGTGACAGCCATCGCATCACGAAGCCCTTGAGGAAGAACCCGTTGGTATCTCAGCTCCCGTGAGGCTCACAAGCGACCTCGACGGCGATCTTGTTGCCCATTGACGCCGGGAAGAACTCTGTCAGAGTCCTGTTGAGAATACCCTGGAGCGGTGGCAGCCATCGATCATCCTTGGTGTGGTTATATAGGTACGCCAGACCACCGAGATAGATGCCGTAATTATACGACCATTGCGTATGATCTGCCAGCACACAATTTGCAGTGTCATCCGTTCCATCATTGATGGCGTAGGTGGCATTATCAAAGAGTACAGATCCCTCGAACCACTCCCAGCTTTTGGTCCCCCAATCGACATAGGTCTGGTTGCCAGTATAGCGTGCCAGACGGGAAGCAAGCTGGAAGAACCCTCCATTCGCGACAGAGTTCTTGTAGTTGTACCCGTTATTTGTTGGGAAAATCTGCCAGCGAAGTCCACCGCCGCAAGTCGTGGAGTCCCAGCGCCGAGCTTGTTCATTGAAAACACCCTGTGCCATGGCCAACCAAGATGGATAGTCGGCTTCCAGACTTGGGAAATTGAATTCAGCAGCGGTCATAGCAGCGAAAGCCCAAAAGACCTGGTCATCATTCCCTTCGGTCGTTGTCTGGTTGGCTGGCATGAAGATCCCTTGTTCACCGGCCTGCCAATCCATCGCTTGGATGGTATTGGTGTTATACGTCGTGTCGCCCGTCGTGTACCAGTAGTCCACCATAGTCATGAACATGGCTCCGGCGTGCCACCAGTAGTATGGTGATGGAAGGTTACCAGGCCAGTTTCCGGTTTCATTACCGGAGTAATACTTCATCATGCCATTCGCCACGGTGCCTGAGGCGGCCTTGAGCGATTCGGTGCTGGTGACATCGAGCTGTATGGCCAGGCATGGTTGAACAATCACGGTCAGGGTAAGCCATACTTGATACAATGACATTTGTGATCTCATCGTCGCCTTTGGATGGCATTCAAAGCCGAACAAGCCTTATGACAGTAGAGCCGGGGGATAAGAGGCGGCGAAACGCGCATTGTTGCCTACCACCTACCTGGATGTATTACAGAGCACGAGAGCACGCGTTGTATCTGCAGAGACATCGTTCGACATGCTGGGATGAGCGTAATCCAGTGGTCGGAAGATGTGCCGTCATTTATATGGACCGCGATCCAAGTATAGCTGGAGTTGACCCATGCTACCCGCTATGAATCCTCCGTCTCGTCTCGTACTGCTCAGCCTTCGAATCAGTGTTGACCGCGCGTTCTTGAGTTCCTGTCGTGACGAGATAACACGGCTTGTCTTCTCTTGGCGGCAGAATGACGTCGGCAAAATGATTTATCCGACAGGAGACACGGGTTGTACGTTGCGAGAAGGCATTAGTCTTCGATTGTCGACGAGCAGACCTCAACATCCACTGTAAGACCTCGATAAGATGCTACCAGGCACTACGACGATATTAATGCGACCCACCATCTCCAGTCTAGCTGTCGAGCACTCCGGGATCGATGCTAGATTGGGACTGTGATACATCTAGCATCGATCCCCGAGTGCTCATCAGAATGCCTTGACCCAGATTTCTGGTTATGACGCTCCCAGATATGGTAACGAAGCATACAACCTCGTCTGCGGGTAATCTTCTGGTTGGTGAGAGCCGATGGCAGTCGGGTCGTCCGCACTTGCCGTGACGCAACACATCTGCGGGGCAGTACGAGGATTTTGTCTCTTGGTCCAGGTCGAAGCAAGAGTATGTCCAAGAAGTCTAAATAATCTTCTGCAGACATCAAGGTAGTCCAACAATATTCAACTTACTCGAAAATGTCAGCTCCTCGAAACCCACCCTTCCGTGCAGGTACTGATATCGTGTCATGCTTCTTTGACATCGTCAGGCCTGCTGACACAGCTTAGAGCACATTGGCTCCCTGCTTCGGCCAGACGAGCTTGTCAAAAAGCGATATGCTGTCGCCGAGAAGTCTACACCTCCAGAAGAACTCAAGCCCATCGAGGAAAAGGCTATAAAGGACATCGTCAAGCTTCAGGAAGAATGTGGAATCCACAGTATCACCAATGGCGAACACTCCCGCCACCAGTTCTGGGGTCAGTCGTTGTTGTAGCGGACCTGCACGAGCCATGGGGTACGGTTCTAACAATCCTGTACAGGCACATTCTTCGAGACACTGCAAGGCATGGAGGAGATCAACCTTCGAGAGGGCGGCTACGACCAGAGCATCTTCCGAGCATATGCCCCGGATGTCAAGTCATTCATGCATGCCAAGACTGTACCTAACCAGGTCACGATCGCCACGGGCAAGATCAAGCACACTGGCACGTCAAGCTTCTTGCCAGAGTTCGAGTACCTGAAGACGTTGGTTCCAGAATCGGAGTGGAAGAATATCAAGGTACGCATTGCTCAACTAGTTGCACAGTCCTTGACTGACCTATAGTGATGCAAGCTCACTTTGACAAGCCCGTCGTGGTATCACTTTCGTTACGGTCCGAAGAAGGCATACGTCGATGGAGCGTACCAGAACGACGACGAGTACTTCGCCGACGTGGCCGAAGCTTACCAGACGGAGCTGAAGATCTTGTACGACGCAGGCTTGCGGAACGGCCAAGTCGATGACCCCAACCTTGCTTGTAGGATGTTTCCAGCTGTACGTTCCGTGACCAAATTGTCGTAAGCTGACGTAGATTTGCAGACTTCTGTTCGGAGGCCATGCTGGAAGGCTGGAAGAACGATAAAGAAAACTTCCAAACGGCCGAGGAACAGCTCGATGCTTACATCAAATTCTACAACCAGTGTCTCGAACGACCGTCTGACTTCCATCTGGGCATACACCTATGCCGCGGGAACTATATTAACTCTGCCCACTTCGCTGAGGGCGCCTACGACAACATCGCCACAAAGCTCTTCAACAACCTCAATGTGTCCACATATTATCTGGAGTACGATACTCCCCGTGCCGGTGGCTTCGAGCCGCTGAAGCAGCTACCAAAGAACAAGAACGTGGTGCTTGGTGTAGTGACCTCCAAGTTCCCGGAGCTCGAAAGCCAGAAAGAAATGGTCGAGCGTGTGCACAAGGCTGCAGATTATGTGGCCGAGGGATCAGGGAGTAGTCGCGAGGAAGCCCTGAAGCGTCTAAGCGTATCGCCACAATGCGGGTTTGCTTCACACGCCGAAGGCAATTCTCTGAGCCATGAAGACATGCGTAACAAGCTGAAGCTGATCCGCAGCATTGCCGACGAGGTCTGGCCAGGTCAAGCTTAGGTTGGAATTACGCAATTGCGATGATACCCGTGCTTCAACAGCGGCAGCGATGTGTAGAGGAAGCAGGCTTGAAATGTATGTACAGCTCAACCTCACAGATGACCATAGGTAGAAGCGCTTTCATGGCTACCTAACAAAAGCGAATCGGGTCTAGACTTCACTTATTCTATGTGACGGTGAGATCGACCGGTCAAACGATTGCATGGAAGGAGCATTGCTACTGCTCTGGCGCTCATACGAGGGTCTCTGATGGCCATCTGGAGCTAACAACCCGCGCCGAACCTCACTTGGGGACCCTCCGCTGCCTGCATCAGATGGGCTGCGGTAGTGCTCGCTCCAGGCCGTGGATGGCGGAGACTGGTTGGCATGATCCTCACTAGCACTGCTGAAGCTGACCAGTGGTATTTCGCTATCTGCGCGCCTTCTGACTGGACCTGGTGTGGCCAGCGAGAATGCTCTCGCCGGATCAACTCGATTTTGTCGATTGTTCATCGGAGATACTGCCCAGCGGAGACCAATGTTTCGCGGTCGGTATGTTGGACTAAGGATTCCCAAGGTCTTACAAAGCTTCACCAGGACGTTCTCGATGCTGTGTGTGATGTCGTCGATCACGTACCATACCCACCGCATTGGGTATGTGTATTGCCTGAACCTCCTTACTCGACGTAGCCCGATCGCCGCATCGTGTGCGTTGGCAGTGCTGAGATGCGATTGCTGCAGAATTTGTCAGCATAGACCCATAGCCCCGTTCAGCTCGACTCACCAGACACCACTCCAGCACAATGTAAGACATAGCCAGGCCTGTAATCATGACCGAGATCGTCGTTCCTGTAGCCCAGTAATAGCGGACGTACTGTCCATTGGACACTACGCTCCACTGAGAGAGATCAATGTAGCCTCCTCCACCGGCATAGATACTACTCATACATTCGCAAGTGTTGTCGCTGCCAAAGGTCTGAGCAAGCATTCGATACGTCAGCCAAGCAGTGTTAGTCAACTCGACAGGCTTGAAGAAGAGACGATCCCAGCGTTGTTGTGGAGTCAAAGCAGTCAACCTTGCTCCCAAAGCAGTCAGCCTTGCCGCCAAAGCATGCCACCGATCAACCATTTTAACAACGGCAGGTCGTGGTAGTATCGCTCGTGCGAATTGCATGAAGCCTACGCAGGTCCACTCTAGGCCTGCTACCCAAGCACGTCGCACAGCTGCCCGTGGCCCTGCAAGCCTGGTTCCGTCTAAACCCACGCTTGTCGCTCTGCGTCCGAGCTGCTTAAGCTCATTCTTCTGCGCATCCCACCACCACCATAATCCGATTTCGATTACCAGAAGACCAAACGCTATGGTACCGAAGACCGTATATCCAAAGCTTCTACACCCTAGTCCCACGGTCGGAGTAAAGTAAGATACAATCCATGCCCCAAATGTAGTTGCTTCAACACATACTACTGCGACGACCACCTGTTGCAGCTCGCGATAGTCAAGCCAGTCCAAGCCACCGCGTATATCGCCGAGAACCAAGTACGTCCGAGCACGCTTCTCATCTCTGAGCCAGTGACGTCCACTTTCAGCAATGTAAGCATCCTCTATGTCGCAGAGGATACCATGAGCGGCGCCATAGTGCCACTTCTGTCGACCTTGGCCGGCGAACTTCTCGAAGAATTGTGCGCCTTTCATGCTGCCACAAGCTAGACTCAGCTTCGCAATGTCGTGCCGCATTTGCTTTCGCTGTTTTACATCGTCGATGGTCAAGACAAACCTTCTGCAGATGTCTTCGTCCATAAGGGATTGTCTGACATGATCGACGAGCCTATTCAACTTCTTACGAATATCGTCCGCTGATACAGGATTCCGGTCTACGATGCTGCAAAGTATGACAATCGGGAGCCAGGACAAGAGTAAGCCAAGTGCCAGGTCGTGTGCCACAGCATCCTGGCCAAGGAGGCCAAATGAGCTTTGAATAGATATCGCTAATGCGAACAAGAACCACATTGTACTCACAAAAACCGGCACAACGCCTTTCCTGCGTGTCTCTCGAAGCTGGCGGGCAAGCCTTTGGCGCATTGAGTTGAGTTCTTCATCTGGCTCCAGTCGTCCTTCGGCGTCAGCCGAATGGTCGAAGTCTGCGAATATAGCTTGAGACGAGGACAAAGTGCTTGCCACTTGCGGCTCGAGGACTGGTTGCGCATGGTGAAGCTCATCGAGTACGTACTGGCGTTTGAGCAGACGAAGATCTTTGCTGAACAACGTGACCCGCAACAATCCTTCGGCGGCCTTGGAGCCTTGACGATTGATCTTCAAAACATCCCCGTTTATACTATATTGGTTGAGCGTGGCCAGAAGGTACATGCTGTCTCTCATGCTTGAGAAGTTACTGCTGGTGTCCTCATCGTGGTCGAGGTATTCACTGGCCATATCGACCATAAGAGCGCACCTGCCAGAGACCTTGATGTTCCATAGCGTGTAGCTCAGTGATGCGATAGGGCTACCGATCCACCTCGCTATGGAGAAGACTGTCTCCAAGAATGCCTGATCATGATCTCATATCAGTAAGTAGGGCCGTAGTGCGGTTCGTCTGCAGCTCACATTCGAGACGAACGGTGCCTGGAGCAGTACGCCGATTACTGGCAGCACCCATGTCGTGATGGTACTGCTGCTTTGCGCCCAATCGTAGTAGTCACTGCCAGTACCACATAGCTTTTGGCAGCCGGGGTAGCTAATCTGAGTGGTCTCGTTCTTGGGGATGAGTCGTACTGGCCCTGCCCATCCATACAAAGCTTGCGCCGACGCGTTCAGTGGTAAATTAGCAGAGGCGCATGCGGTGAAATTCGTGTACCCCATCAGTGTGCACTCGTTTTAAGCGTGAAGGTATCCTCGTTAAGTGATCGCGTGTTACAAGAAGATGAGCTACAGCATACTGAGATTGTGCCGAGCATGACTATGGATAGTCACTGGCACGCATGGTGTCATACGAGACATGCCGATGCCGTGACCGTGGGTGTAGCAAGGCTGCAGATGCGGATGATTCAAGCCAATGTGGCGTTCATGCGGCGGCTCCAGGCGAGAGTCGCTGCCTTCGAGGACTTCACCTTCGTTGCCCTTATCACTCTATCAAAAGATATGTTCGCCTACCATCTCAAGGTAGAATCCCGCGCACCACCTGAACATTGGCCTGTTGCGAAGGTGGTGGTCATCAGACGGCAAGGACATAACCATATTGCAGTCGTCGTGGCGGAGGTCTGGAACCTGCAAGGCAAAACAAGCGAGAACTGCGGCTTCTTTATCCCGACGCTAGTCTTTGAACGCTGCGCCTACATGTACAGCTTATTATACACGCCACCAAAGACAGCACTGCGCTACCCTTGTCAGAATACCGTAGTGATGCAATTGAATAGGAGAAGCGCGTCTATCGGACGAAGCTGGAAGGAACCTCTCGCTCTTACTTCCAAGCTGCTGAAACACTCATACCAGACTCGCTACTAAACTCGTATTCGAGCTCAATTCTCGTCAGACAGTAATTCTCAATGCTAAGCGGTGGCCTATCGTATCAACCCCTGGACGAAACAGAATCGGAGCCATGTCTACTCGAATTCCCTCCATCCCTCGCGATGAGATGCAACCTGAGCAACAAGAATTCTACGACCACTTCAAGGACACCGTGAACAAAAATGCACCTCATCCAGGAGCTGCCGAACGAGCCAGTAAGACACTCTTCCCCGTCCTGGCTGTGCTACCAAAGACTGGCCGAATGTCTGTAGACATGCTTGCGAGCATCGAGCAGGAGGCTCACGGGCTACCAAAGGACGCCATGGAAACCGTTTGTCTCTTCTGCACTACATACTTCAAGTCTCCATACGTGACGTTCGCGCACAAATCCCAGGCAATCAAGCTCGGTCTACTCAGCCTGGGGCAAGCTGATACTATCACTTCTGGCGCGAAGCCTGGAGATCTGAACGATAGTTGTAGCCTTGCATACGACACCGCACGGTATCTGTTGGAGGTTCGCGGGTCCTTGTCATCAGATCTATGGGAGAAATGCACGGCGACTTTCGGCAGGGAAGGCACGGTGGGTCTTATGCATCTGGTTGCACTCATGTTCTGGACGAGTATGGGCTTGAACCTGGCCGATGTGCCGGCACCGCCGCCGCCCAAGACTGTGAATACTGCCGCGTCAACATCGGCACGATAGATGGTATTGTAGTCGGAGCCGAGACCCAGAGTCAGGATCAGAGCGAGCATTCATCTCCATGGTCAACCTCAGGCATACATTTTTCACGCGCGCCTCGGCACGTAAGATTCATCCCACCTACCGAAAAGAGAGCACACCCACGATCCCGCTCGCTTCGTGATAACTCATGACATTGCATTTCTTCACACTATGCAACTGCCGAGAAAACGCTCCGATCTTCAACCAAGCTGTCCAGTACGAACAGCGGCAGCCGCCGAAATGACCCCACATGGCGTAGGGCTACCATACGTAGGCTGTCTAGCTGGTAAGGTATCACTGTGGATGGGAAGGTGGAGTGAATGTCAATATTTTCCTAGTTGTCTGCTCCAAAGCATTGTCATCTCTTAGCATCATTATCTAGAAGTAATCATACTACTACCGCAACCATGACAGTAACAAAACTCCCTTTCCACGCCGACCACATCGGCTCCCTCATCCGCCCAACCGCCGTCTCCGACGCCCAAGATTCATTCGATGCCGGCAAGATCAGCCAACAAGAACTTCGGTCAACCCAGCAAAAGGCGATCCAAGACATCGTCAAGAAACAACAAGACCATAATGTCCGCGCCCTCTGCTCCGGAGAATTCGACAGGAAATACTACTTCTCCGGTTTCTTCGAGAAACTCGAGGGCTTCAAGGAGGTATCTCCGGTACCATGGGATCTTGCACGCTTGAGTGCGGCCCCCATCGCGGCGTTGAAGAAGGCCGGGAAACAATATCCTATGGCTGCTATTTGCGAGGGGAAGATCAAGTACGTCGAGTCGCCGTATCTGGATAACTGGAAGTTGTTAAGGGAGTGCATACCAAAAGAGCAATGGAAAGATTGCAAGTTCACCATGCCACCGCCTTGCTACTTCCACCTGAGATTGGCGAAGGGGAAGTGCTATAATACGGATGTGTATAAGAACGATGAGGAGTTCTTTGAAGACTTGGCCAAGGCGTATAGGCAGGAGATCAAGACGTTGTATGGAGAAGGTCTGAGGAATCTGCAAATCGACGATCCGACTTTGGCGTATTTCTGCTCGGATGATATGTTGTCCGGTTTGAGGGATGATGGAGAGGATACCGACAAGATGTTCCAGGCGTATCTGAAGGCGCACAATGATTGCATTGCTGAGAGGCCAGATGACATGCATGTTGGTCTCCATGTCTGCAGAGGTGAGTTCGAATTATGCTGCGTGTTCTGGTGAGACGACACATTGACTGATCCCGTGAAGGCAACTTCTCGAAGTCAATGCACTTCAGCGAGGGTTCTTATGAGAAAATCGCCGAGCAATTCTTCAAGACGCTGAACTACGACACCTTCTACCTTGAATACGATAATCCGCGATCCGGCGGCTTTGAACCTTTGCGCTTCTTGCCTAACCACAAGAACGTTGTTCTCGGTGTCGTCACAACCAAGGAACCAGAGCTAGAAGACAAGCAAGTCATCGTCGACCGCGTAAAGCAAGCGGCTGAGATTATCGCCAAGGGTCAAGGTAGGAGTGTGAAAGAGGCGATGGAGAATATCGGCATTTCGCCGCAGTGTGGGTTCGCTTCCGTCGCTGTTGGTGCCGAGGGCATGACAGAGGAGAAGATGTTCGCCAAATTGAAGCTTGTTAAGGATGTTGCTAAGGAGCTGTGGCCTGACAGACCTTGATGAGTAGCGATGTCATTGGACTGGTGAATTTGGTTCTTGCATTTCAACACTTGCATGATGGGTGGGCAGCATTTCAACGAGCTGGATGGTGCATGGCGTCGATGCGAATGACGTGTTACAATTATGATAGTCCTAGCCTACGAACTCGCACGGCATGCGTGCCACCATGACGGTGCACGTCGTGTTTGGTTGTACGATGGTACTTGACACGTGAAAGTCGCATGGCATGCTCGGTGTCCTTCACATGCGATTCTGCGGCTCTTCGATTGTTTCGTGGATGGCATCGATCGCCACTCGTTGAGCCTATCATGTTAAGCTACGCAAGCAGGTGGACAAGTCTCTCCACTCGACCGTGTGCTCGTGAGCTTATCATTTCGAGCCGCATCACGAAAGCAGGACGATACGACGTTTATGCCCGCCATGTATCCGCACATGGCAGATTGGTCGTCCCGTCTCTTCGGACTTGAAGTCTGCTGATCCATAGCGGTGAGATGGGATGCCTTCCCGGCTTTTAATCGTGTCTTGGGCGCCAAGTCTCTATTCGTTGAGACGATGACCACTCTCTGGTCCGAACACGTTGCGACAAGCTGGGCACTAGCGGGACCCAAATCGCCTCTGGGCGATGGCAATCGATAGCCGTTTGCCTTCCTATCAGATCAAAAGCGTTCGCGGATGTGTGTAGAAATAGTCAGGGAGGAATACTATGGTTCCTGAAGGGCGTATCTGCATGTCAGCCAGGAAGAAAGTGTGCATGTCTGACAGCTGCTCAATGCAATGGCATGTCCAGATCCCGGTGGGGCGATCGTTCAATGATGATATGCAGGGTCTAGTCCCCTCCGCCCAAAAATCTGGACAGAGCAGACCGCACCTTGGAAATCAGCTAACAAAACTATTCCCACCGACTGCACTCTCTCTTCCTTGCTCCACAACATCAGAGTCGTTCTTTTGCCAGATACATTCGTCCTGAATCTTGGGCAGCGCGTGTCCTTCGCTTTCATACAAGCATTATCACAGATCTCCCACCCCAACATCGCCAAGTCAACGCCTCAACGAGAAAAGACAGTTGTTACCACATTCGCTGTGTCATCTTGGAGTGTCTTCGTCTTGAGACAACATCAGGACACCACCACCACCACCACCGACATCCACGACCACTCATCCACGATGAGCACAGCAACTCTGCGCGGCAGAGCTCCTCTGCGGCGCAATGTGTCCGCAGTCGAATCCGTCTCATCCACCTCGGACAACTCTTCCCTCAGCACACCTACTGAGTCGCCGACAGCCTCGGCATCCTCCACCTCCCTCTCGTCCATGGATTCCGACGAGGATCTTCAGCAAAAAGAGTCGAGCCGCCAGCTCGTAGACACATACGGCAACGAGTTTAAGCTGCCCGATTACACAATCAACGACATCCGCAATGCCATCCCCAAGCACTGCTTCGAGCGTTCCGCCTTCCGCGGCCTGGCCTACGTCGCTCGTGATATGGCCACCTTGGCTGGTACTTTCTACCTCTTCAACGCATACTGCACACCCGAGTATGTGCCCTCGTACCCGCTCCGAGCGGCACTCTGGGCCGGCTACACTGTCATTCAGGGCCTGGTAGGTACCGGTCTCTGGGTCCTGGCTCACGAGTGCGGTCACCAGTCCTTCTCGCCAAACAAGACGCTCAACGACACCGTCGGCTGGATCTGCCACTCCGCTCTTCTGGTGCCATACTTCAGCTGGAAGATCAGCCACGGCAAGCACCACAAGGCTACTGGCAACATGGAGCGCGACATGGTGTTCATCCCACGCACTCGTGAGACACACGCCGCTAAGTCTGGATTCCTGCTCCATGAGATGCATGAGCTGCTGGAGGAGACGCCGATCTACACCGCACTCATGCTCATCGGTCAGCAGCTCGTCGGATGGCAATACTACCTCCTCGCCAATGTCACTGGTCACAACAACCATGCCAAGCAGCCAGAGGGCAAGGGCGCCGGCAAGAACAACGGCGACTTCAGCGTCAACCACTTCATCCCAAGCAGCCCGTTGTACGAGCGTAAGGATGAGAAGCTCATCTTGTTGTCCGACCTTGGTCTCTTGATCACCGGCTCAATCCTGTTCCTGGTCGGGCGCAACTACGGTCTCACCAATCTCCTTGTGTGGTATTTTGTGCCATACTTCTGGGTTCACCACTGGCTAGTCGCCATCACCTTCCTCCAGCACACCGACCCATCGCTTCCCCACTATAGTGGCGAATCCTGGAACTTCGCTCGTGGTGCCGCCGCAACTATCGACCGCGAGTTCGGTTTCATCGGTCGTCAGATCTTCCACGGAATCATCGAGACTCACGTACTGCATCACTACGTTTCCACCATCCCCTTCTACCACGCCGACGAGGCCACCGAGGCCATCAAGCCAATCATGGGACAGCATTACCGTGCGGATGTCGAGGGTGGCTCCGTAGGGTTCCTCAAGTCGATCTACAAGAGTGCGAGGTGGTGCCAGTGGGTCGAGCCAAACGAGGGTGCGAAGGGTGAGAATAAGGGCGTGATGTTCTTCCGCAACAGGAACGGCCTGGGTGTGGCGCCTGCGAAGCTCGATGCTTCAAGCTAGAAGAGCAGGATGGTGCAGGTCGAAGACGATAACGAGTAAAGATCCAGCGAGCCACTACGGCCGGATCCGCGTGGAAGATGACTTAGAGGTTATGATATGTGTCTCTCGTTCAAGCGGGCTCTGGTGGATTGCGCTTTAGCGCGGTGTTGTTGTGGGAAAGCCTTTGGTGATTGAACATTTTTGTCCTTGGTTGTTACTAGACGGCTAGAGTCGGCCATAGACACCAGATTTAGATGCCCATTTGTGGCAATAATCTTCAGAACTTGGAAGCGGTTCCTCATGTTCAATTGAATCAGGTCGAAGATGCAGAGCTTCGGATGAAGCTGGGTTGCTAGACGGCAGATATGTCTAGTGTCATCCACACCTGATGCTCGCGTGACATCAGGCGCTCGGATTCGCTCATGCGTGTGCTCTCTTTTGTGCAACCTTCGAGCTTGAACTTCTTCAATGTAATACCGCGGTCTTCTTGAAAATGAGAATCTGCACGGCGGCTGCAAGATCTTGCTTGATAAGAGTGTCAGGCAATGATGGAAATCGATGACAGTACCGGATTCATGAGCGTATGAGAATAACAACATGGTGCGCCACACCAGTGCGTACGGAGATACAGCGAAGACTATCGTGATACATTTCTCATGATATCATGGCATGGGCACCATAGCCTGACCAACAGCCCACTCCTCTGCCCTCGAGCTCAGGACGGCGCAGCAGGGTAACATCCATACCGAGCATCACCACTATCCCACCCGATACATTCCCAGCACGTCAACAGATTGCCCGGATCAAGCGTCTTCTTCATAGACAACAGCTTATCGTATTTCTCCTGGCCCCAGAAAGCCTGGATATAATTATCCTGGAACACGTCCGCTTCATTTTGGTACGCTCCACTGTTCGGCGCCACTCCCTCTAGGATCTTGGCGGCAGAGTGTGCTGATGCGAAGGCCTTGTTGATGGTGCCTACGTCGGCATTATTGGCAAAGGCTTGGCCGACAATGACATGCCAGAGTGTATCGCGCCATGCTGGAGTGACCGAGGAAGCGACCGTGTCGTTGTCCGGATATGAGGACGGCGCCGTGACGAGGAACTGGTACGGTGCACCGTAGCTCACGACCTTTAGGTCCGGGTTGGCTGTCGTGCCGGTAATGGGCTCGACTTGTTTCCCGACTTGCTCCAGTGCAGTGGTCAGGCTTTGCTGGCCGCTGGTAGAAGTGAAGAGTGATCTCGGCATCAGACGGCTGCCTACTGCGAGACCAATCCCGACTTTCTCCTCGTTGGGAAGGAGGTATTGGTTGTATGCCTGGTAGAAGGACGGACTAGTATCGACTTCGTTGTTCAACGCGATGTTACCTAGAGAAGCGACGTAATCGGTCATCGGCTTGATACTGGCGACTGCCTCCGCATGGGTAAGTTTGGGATTGAAGAGCACGAGACCGCTGACGAGTATGGACATTGCACCGGGTGAGATATACCCGCCCCATCCATCTTTGGCCCATTGATCGCCATTCTGGACAGCGACGGCGATGAACTTGTTGATGCTGTCCAGATCAGCAGACAAGAAGCGTATATACGCCACCTGGAGTTGCGTCTTCGGATGCGCAGTCGTAGTCATCTCGATGTTGACGCCGAAGGTGGACCCGCCGCCTCCTCGCAAGGCGAAGAAGATGTCCTGATTCTGGCAGCGATTGGCGGTCACATATGTCCCGTTCGGCAGGACTGCCTTGATCTGCAGTACATTGTCGACGCCGAGGCCGAGAGTGTTGCACAGGGCGCCATGGCCTCCGCCACTGATCCAGCCTCCGACTGCGCCTACGGTGCGTGAGGAGCCACCTACGATCGTGATACCATTGGCCTCGGCGAAGCTGTAAAGGTCACCGAAACCCTGTCCAGCTCCCATGGTGACGCCATCGGCTGCGGGTGCAGTACAGCCGTCTGGGACAAAGTTCCTCGTCAACTTCATGGCGGGCTGTAAGTTGTGTGTCCACAGTGCCAGGGAGTTGGGAGCGGATGAGCGGCCTTTGTAGTCGTGGCCGGAGTTCTTGATTACGAGTGGAATGCCTGTCTTGTTCACGAAGGCCAGAGTGGCCTGGACATCGGAGACTGCTTGGACATCGACATAGTAGTCTGGTGTAGCGCCTTGCCTACAGTTGGCTGGTGGAGTGTAGTACAATGGATCTTGAGGCAGGTTGAAGTCGAGACCGCACTCTTGGGCTGTGGCTTGACAGTATCCCCAGTTCGTCTGTTCAAGATGTGAGACAGGAATGTGTGGAGCTCTTGCCGCAACATACTTACATTCATGTATCCGCCAGGCTGACTGGCTACGTAGACTTCATCTGTGTAGCCGTTTTGGATAGCAGAGCATTGAGCAGTGTTTGGTGCTGATGTCTTGCCTTCATACAGACTGTAGCATGGCTTGGCGAACGGATAGTTGACATGCAGTCGACCATTGACGGACTGGTTGAACGACACCCATTGCGCAACGGTGATGGACGATATGGGCGTTGACGCTCTGCGTTGGGGACCCGTCGGTGCTGCTATGGTCCCACATGCTGCCAGCAGCAGGCTGGTGATGAATCGTAGGTAGGTCATGTTCGAATCTGAGATGAATACGACTCTAGGTCAGGGTCTACGTGCTGGCCATCGCAAGCATCATATCTATAGCTGGCTGAGCCACCATACAGTGCCATGCCGAGGCTGGAGAACATCTGCGGCAGTTCTCAAGAGCTTCATGGTTACAGTGCATAGCACTAAATGCGCCTCGAAGGTGTAATATATGTAGTAAACTGAATACGTGCCGCGGTGTATCTATTGTGTGTCCGGGTACTGGGTGGAAGTCGTCGAAGATCGACAAGAATATGCAAGCCAATGTCACTAGCGTGGAGCGTTACTTCCCGAAGGAGTATCGCAAGCTAGAGCAAGAGCCTAAAAGCCTTGTGATCGACGACGTCCGAAGACGGACTGAGAAGATCTGCCGGGTGCAGGCGTAAGCGTGAATTCTATTGTCGGACGTCGTTGTGGAATTACTCACGACAAGCAGTTGACCAGGATAATTGAACACCGTCCTTTTCCAGTCGATATTGAAGGAGCTATTCGTCTTCTCCTTCTATCATCCCTTTCTTCTCAGTTTCAAGATGAGTGGTGTGGTTGGGATGGCTTGCCGTAAGTGCCAAAGTTCTACAGAGTCCTTCATGTCGGCCATCTTCATCCTCTGCACCCCTCACCTCAAATGGGACTGCGCTGTACTAAGAGGCTACCAGTATAGCAGGGGTCATGTTCTGCCCGTTCTCAGCTTCTACACAGCTTCCCACGTACTCCTCACTCCTGCCACCTTTCGCGACGAGGCAGCGGTCCCTTTTCAACCATCCACTCCTCATCATCTTCATGCCACTGACCAGGATGCAAGCAAGGACAGCCAGGACGGCGACACTCCAGGCTGTTGAGACACATCTTCCGCACGCAACGCTCTCCAACATCCTTGCAGCTCTGGCATTGACCCCGGTAGTCGCAATGACTGCTTGTCAACCAGCAACGTACGCATATGGCTTTTCGACGATAGCGCATGGAGTCGATGTCGTCGACGGGTGGGCTTCGCTTTCTTGGATTGACACTGGTGCTTCGAGATGCGCTGTAGCCTTCTTGGTCGTTGGAAAGCAGTCTGCGATTCGTGTTGATGTCCTGGGCAGACGGCGAGGCTTGAGCTTCTTGCCTGTGTCCTGGCGACTCGCCATCTTCGCTCACATTTCGATATGCTTTTGTCTTGGAATCGTAGCGCTGAGCGTTATCGAATGGTGCGATTGGCCTCGGAATCCATGCGACGGGCAGTAAGTCCACGAATCGAATCTTCGTTGTACGCCACTTGAGAGCCTCTTCCTGACTTCCAGCACCGACTCTCATGTCGTCGTCGAGCATGTCTACCCAGTCTTTGTGTGAGCTTGGTAAGCGTGAGAACCGGGAGACCTGGATCCGCCTGGATGGTGCCCGTATTACACCTGTCGCAAGCTCTTGGGGCGTGTCTCGGAGCTCGTTGCGTGATGTAGCTGGCTCTACGTTGTGGAGCGAGAAGGGCGAGCCAGCATTTCCATCTGGTGGTGTGGCGGCTGATGAATCGTGGTGTGTTTCCTGCACCTTTGACTGATCTGGTGTCCTGGGAATCATGTCACTCAGCAACCGCCGCTCAAGCTCCGCCTTCTCCCTCCTCAATACATTGATACGCCTATCTTTGTCTCGAGTTTCGTCCACCAAATACCGAATACGTTTCCTAGAAGCCTCTACCTCAACCCTTCCTTCTCTATTCTCCTGCTTCAGCCGATCCACGTCTGCCTGCATAGCTTTGACAGCCGCGAGGAAGGTCTCCGATTCCATGGCTTCTTGGGTGGCGGCCGTCTGTTGCTTGTTGTTCGTCTTACAGCTGGTCTTGAAAACAGAAGATCGGCTACCGGGAGTGTTACAGTTGGTACCAGGCTCAAAACAATGTTGTTGGGTCTGCAAAGCTCGGGGCCAAATCTCAATGAAGCTTTGACGTTTGTGGTGCCTTCCCAAACGAGCTGTCTGTCGTCTAGGCAGCCATAAGCCCCACTAGCACCCCCATTGAAATTGCTCGATCCGTGTGAGAGATTTTGCAATCGACGGTGCTGGCGCTGGACTCCTGCAGGCATCCGAAGTGGAACTGCAAGTAGCCGTCCCAGAGCCATGAAGCAAGAAGCGTCAACATTTCGTCCACAACACCTTTGCTCGAAATCAATCCATGTGGTCTGACTAGTCGCTTGAAACAGCACCACGCTATCTTCGATGTCCGCTATCACAATGGTGCTCTTACGCGGTGCCTATACTATCTCGCATTTTACGGTCATCATAATTCTTCGAAGCGAAGGGCATCATTCCCAAGCATCATCGAACTCACTATTACCAGCATCTTACCACACTGCTCCTGCGAATTTTCGGGCGTCCACACCTTTTCACACCAAAAGAACGACAAACAGAGGTCAGCGAACAAAAGGAATCTCGCATTCGGAAGACGAAACATTCGACCACCCGTGCGTGCGGTACGGCCAGCCGCAGTATCAACATCAGGATATTCGGCCCCGAAACTCCCCATCTTCCTTCCTTCAGCTTGCTAGCTGTCTAGGGCAGAACAATTTCGGCGCCTCTGATGGATTACACGGCGCAGATGCCGCCTCGCGATAGTGTCGCCATTGGACTTGACTTAGCTTCGGGATTGGGTGATTCGGGCCCTTGTACCTACCGGACGGCCGCAAAGGGCAGTGCATGGAGCAGAAGCAAAGGGTCGAGTAAGGTACTCGCATACTGTAGATTATGGTCGTGTGCTTGTTTGAATGGGATATAGGTACAGAGACGCCGCACCCTCCCTTCCGTTTACTCCATCACAACTCATCACGTACATAAGCCCATCGTACCAGCACATCTACCAACTCACAGCACCTGCACCGCAACAATACCACACAGAATCAAGCTCAATACAAAGACCACACCTTTCAAGAAACAAAAATGCACCAAGCGCAAGTCGAAGCCTGGGGTTCAGCACCCAGATACATCTCTGTCCCGGACCTCCCACCCCCAGCCGAAGACGAGATTCGCATCAAAGTCCTCGCAGCCGGCGTGTAAGTCATACCCCATACCAAACCCAATACCCGCACTCCAATCCAAGTAGACTCAAACTTACACGCAACCAGCCACCAAGTCGTCCGCTCCCGCGCCTCCGGAAAACACTACACCTCCGGCACGCCCCCCCACATCCCCGGCGTGGACGGCATAGGCGAGACGGAAGATGGAAAGAGAGTCTACTGGTTTAGTCTGGACCGGGGTTGTTTCGCCGAGTGGGTGAATATGCCTAAGCGGAATATTAGGATGTTGCCCGAAGGGACGGATCCTGTGCAAGCGGCGGCTGTGATCAATCCGGCGCTGAGCAGTTGGATGGCGTTTCAGAGTCGAGTCAATCTGCCTTTGCCACAAGGGTTTAGTGTGCTGATTCTTGGTGCTACGTTGGCGAGTGGGAGGGTGGCCGTGGAAATCGCGAGGGGGTTTGGGGCGGGGAAGGTGGTGGGGGTTGCGAGGGATAGAGGTAAGCTTGGGTCTGTGGAGGGGTTGGATGAGAGGATCGTGGTGGCTGAGAAAGTGGAGGAGACGGATTTCAGCAAGTTTGGAGATGTGGATGTGATACTCGACTATGTGTACGGTCCTCTCGGAGCCCACTGCCTGGCCTCACTCATGAGCAGGAAGCCGACAAGCTATGTCCATATTGGCATGCTATCAGGCCAGGATCTGGTACTTCCCGGGGCGGTGATTCGTAGCAAGAATCTGACGATTAGGGGTTCCGGGCCGGGAAGTTGGGCGATGCATGAGATGGCGGAGTCTATTGATGGGTTGTTGGGGTTGGTGAAGAGGATTCCGAAGCAGCCGATTAAGGCGGCGAAGTTGGAGGATATCGAGACGGTGTGGGGAGAAGGTGTTAAGGAGGGGAGGCTTGTGTTTGTGCCGTGAAGTGAGAGTGTAGAGGGATGTGATAGAAGTGTGGATAGTTTGATAGCATTAATTACTGCGTTGCTTTCGGCCATGCACTTGTCATGCTGCGCTCGCATGATTGTGATAATGCCGTGCCGCTTTCGAGTATTTGCACTGCCCGATGAAACTGTGAAGGGGATTTGTAATCTGATATAGATGTAGCGACCGTCGGTAAGGAGCATCTTTCGTCGAATCCCGCGTGACCGCAGAGACTCTCCATATATCCAGCTACGGCGCACGCGATACGGTGCTCTCCGAACATTTAGCAGAGGCCCATCCACGTAGACATATTGCTCGGAAAAGGAATATGAGTGGAGGGCCTACAATAAAAAACGTCGTTGAATGAGTTATGGAGAGGAAGGAGAAAGGGTTGTGGGAAGGGCGAGAAAGTTTTGTATTCGCTTGCTTTGCGGCTCTGTGGAGGTGAGTACTGGTGCTGGCCAATCAGAGGAGGAGGACTTTCGATGACCTGTGCTTGTCTCCATATCGCCGCTTTCACGTTGCTGTAGAGTGTAGATATTGCCACCACCGGCATCTCTCACCTTCACTCTCCACTCACCCATCCATTCACTCTTCCACCGGCGCGACAAGATGGTGCGGCAGCAGGTCCTGCAGTCGCTGCGGCGGACACAGCGTTTGGCACAGCTCAATGGCAGTCGGACATTCAGCAGCAGCGCGAGAAGGGCAGCGGAGGTCGAGCTCACGGTTGATGTATGGCACGCTAATATACGCACAATGATATTGCTTGGTAATAGTGCTGATTGTGTATATGATGACAGGGCAAAAAAGTGTCCATCGAAGCCGGGTCCGCGCTCATCCAGGCGTGCGAAAAGGCAGGAGCGACCATCCCCCGCTACTGCTACCACGAGAAACTCATGATCGCCGGCAACTGCAGAATGTGTCTAGTCGAGGTGGAGCGGGCGCCGAAACCCGTGGCGTCGTGCGCGTGGCCGGTGCAGCCGGGCATGGTGGTCAAGACGGATAGTCCTTTGGCACACAAGGCGAGGGAAGGCGTGATGGAGTTCTTGCTCGCTAATCATCCGCTTGATTGCCCCATTTGTGATCAGGGTGGCGAGTGTGATTTGCAGGATCAGAGTATGCGGTATGGTTCCGATCGAGGACGCTTTCATGAGACGGTGGGGAAGAGGGCGGTCGAGGATAAGAATATTGGCCCATTGGTTAAGGTCAGAATTTCCGTGAGATCTCAGGATGTGGACATGGCTGATATGACTGTAGACATCCATGAACCGCTGCATCCACTGCACACGATGCATTCGTTTCGCCAACGATGTGGCTGGTGCTCCTGAACTAGGCTCGACTGGACGTGGCAACGACATCCAAATCGGCACATACCTCGAGACTGCTCTCGACACCGAACTTTCTGGCAATGTCATCGATCTCTGCCCTGTTGGTGCTCTCACATCAAAGCCTTACGCCTTCCGAGCACGACCATGGGAACTCAACCACACCGAATCTATTGACGTGCTTGACGGCCTTGGCAGCAACATCCGCATCGATGCTCGAGGTCTACAGGTCATGCGCATCTTGCCACGACTGAACGACGACATCAACGAGGAATGGATCAACGATAAGTCCCGATTTGCATGCGACGGCTTGAGCACACAACGCCTCACCACACCACTGATCCGACGAGACAACCAGTTCCAGCCTGCAACTTGGGAGCAAGCACTTGTAGAGGTCAGCGAGAAATTCAAGGCGCTCGCACCCAAGGGTGATGAGGTCAAATTTGTTGCTGGCCAATTGGTTGAAGTTGAAACCCTTGTCGCCGCAAAGGACTTGGCCAACAAGCTCGGCTCAGAGAATTTCGCTCTCGATCAACCTCAGGGTTCAGCACCCCTCGCTCACGGTCTCGACGTCCGCTCAAACTACGCTTTCAACTCAAAGATCACTGGCGTAGAAGAAGCCGATCGCATCCTCCTCATTGGCACGAACCCTCGCTGGGAAGCCGCCTTACTCAACGCCCGTATCCGTAAACAATGGATGCGGTCCGACCTTGAAGTCGGCGTGGTGGGAGAGGACTTCGAATCGATCTTCGACTACCGCAAACTCGGCGCCAATGCTAGTGACTTGAAATCTGTGCTTTCCGGAGATTTCGGCAAGGAGCTGATGAATGCTGAGAGGCCGATGATCATCGTTGGCTCTGGCGCCGTAGAGCACGAAGACGCCAAAGCTATCTTCGAGACTATCGGTGGCTTCGTGGACAAGAACAAATCTAAATTCATCCAACAAGAATGGAACGGCTACAACGTCCTCCAACGCGCCGCTTCGAGAACAGGAGCGTACGAAATTGGCTGGTCCGTCCACAACCCAGAGACCGCAAAGCAAACCCCCAAAATCATCTGGCTCCTCGGCGCCGACGAAATTTCCCAAGAAGACATCCCCAAAGACGCGTTCGTGATCTACCAGGGACACCACGGTGATCGCGGCGCCCAGCTCGCCGACGTCGTCCTCCCTGGTGCAGCCTACACAGAGAAACACGGTACCTGGGTCAACACCGAAGGCCGTGTGCAGATGGGACGCGCCGCTACTAGTATCTACGGCGCGGCGCGCGAGGACTGGAAAATCATCCGCGCCGTCTCCGAGGCGCTGGGGAAACCATTACCGTATGATGATATCGAGACCCTCCGGGATCGCGCGGCGGAGATTTCGCCTGCGCTCCGATCCTACGATATTATCGAACCCGCCTCCCACGCTGTGCAGCAGTTGAGTCGGGTGCAGTTGGTTGAGCAGAATAAGGGGTCTAAGATCGGGGGTACGGCTTTCAAGCCCGTGGTTGAGAATTTCTTTTTCACGGATTCGATTTCGAGGAGTAGTCCGACGATGGCGAGGTGTTCGGCTGCGAAGGCTGCTAAGAACCCGTCGATGAACTTTCTGGCGCCGGGTGAGCCGGAGGGGCAGGTGTTTTATGGGCCGCAGGATGGGGCGGCGAGGGAGTTGGCTAGTGCGTAAGCCGGTGAAGTGTTGTAGTGAAGAGCTGGGACATTGGGTTGTGCTGCTGTGGTTATATCTTGTGGCGAGGTAGCAAATTGAGGATCTGTTCAGTTCGAGGGAGTTCGGGCGAAGTATGGTTGTGGATTTATACCTAGTGTATGTACAGCATCACAATCTATTTCCAAAGGCCTTTTTCCACATGTCTCGTCTGATCCCCACTTGCATCGGGAGAACATATCGACGGGGCTTGCTGCGACCTCCGAGCAGCATGCTGGACGCGGCTGAGATGATGGATCTCTCTTTTTCTCTGTCTCTGAGAACAGATGTCCTCTGCTTTGTGGTGAGGAAGCTGATCATCCTCTTCTCCTCCCATATCGTGCTATGGCGCGCTATGTCATGCCATGCCATGCCATCAGGGTAGCCTTCCACTCTCTGTTGCACCCGAGGTTGAGACAATTACACTGTAGCGCCGTCAAGTGCCTCCTCTTGAAAGAGCCACCGGAGGCGAGCGAGGGTCTCACCCGGAACTCTCGAGCTTGTTGTCCAACACCTGCTTGACGAGGGCATTCCGGTGCAATGTACACCCCTCTGTCCCTCCTCCGAGCTCCGACCTGATCCGAAATCGTTCCTGCTTCTCTGTCGTCCCAGATAGCTTTCGTCCCAGATAGTATTCACGCGCGTGGCCTCAAGAAGCGAATACAGTCCCAGTAATCACATCAGTACAATCCACCAGATTCGCCTTAACATTCCTCGGGACGCCGAGCGTACTCATGAATTGAAACGCACTGCTAAAACTCGCTCCCCACGCCGCTTGCGCTCCGACAAAGGACTGGAACTGCTTCCCTACCGCACTAGAGGCATTCTTACTGAGGTTGATGTCGCTTTCGAAGCGGCCGTATCCACCTCCGTTCGCCGCAGGCGAGTAAAGCGTTTCGTTGTAGTACAGGACATCCCATTGTCCTGGCGTGGTATCTTGTGGTGTACCCACCGGAATACCCTCGGCCGTCTGGAAATTGGCCTTAGAAGTCGTATGGGCACCTATCAGCGCCGCTAGATCGCGAGCAGAGAACCCTTTATCCGTGAACAGAGCGAGAATAGTATCGTGGTCTGCTCCCGGCCCGAAAGCCACAGGGAGGAGATTCGGTGGTGCCGCGGTCGTAGTGTCCTGGCGGCCGACGTAGACACGCCCGAATTGCCCGCCGGGACAGGCTTTGACGCCTAGAGCGCCCGCGACTTGGATTAGATCGGCGGCTCCTACTGCGTAGCCGAGGGCTTTGTATGCGTTGTATTTCGCTGTTAGGTTCGCGTGGAAAGGTGCTAGGCCGTCGTTGTCGGGTGTGCGGTTTATTTCTGTTGAGGAGAGGAGGAGGGAGCCGTCGGCGCCGCCGGCTGCGGGACAGTAGAAGGGGGTCTTGGTGCTGTAGGCGGCGGCGTCGTGGAAGGCGTAGCGGATTGCGCCGCGGGCTAGGTCTGTGCAGTTCCCGTCTGTGTCGCGCATTAAGGGGGCGAGGTCGGCGATTATGTTGGTCCAGAAGGTTGGGCAGGCGGTTGAGGTTGGTTTTGTTGTGGCGCAGGAGGTGCCTGTGGAGAGGGTGGAGGTTGAGAGGGTTGAGCTGGAGGTGGTTGTGGGTGTTATGGAGGCTGGAGAGGATGTGGAGGATGTGCTCGGCGTTACGGTGCTTGATGTCAGACTTGAGGTTGTGGATGTAGTGGTGGGAGCAGACGAAGAGCTTGTGCTTGTTGATATGCTTGAAGTGGACGTCAAGCTGCTGACAGAGCTGGTCGAGATCGAGATCGTAGTAGATGAGGTGCTGCCCTTGCTAGTGCCTGACACAGATGAGGTCGAAGTCGAAGAGCTTACCGCTGAGCATGCTGTCAGAAGTGGACTGCTACCAGAAATATAAAGGTTGAGCCTGTCAGGGCCACCGCAGGTTTCGGCATTATTGCCTTTGCATGGCATATAGCAGGTCGTCTGATCAGAGGCACAAGTCGCAGCATTCAGGATTGAGCTGCCACACCAACATTCTTGGCTGTACTCAGTTCCGCCAATGGTGAAGCCATTGCTTGTACAGACCGCCAAGCAATTTTCGATCGTCATATTGCTAGAACCGCCTTGTACGGACTGCTGTGTGGCCAATGTACGGTTGGCGCCGTTATCTGTCCAGCAGCCCATAGCAGTCCAGCCAGATGGTATACCTCCAGAGCCAGTGCTCGGTGGCGAGCTCACAGTCGTCTGATAGATGTTCAGCCGATCAGAGCCTCCGCAGTATTCGCTACCATTACCAGCACATAGCATGTCGCAGCCACCCGTAGCTTTCGAGCCAGTACTTCGGATTGTGCTATCACAGAAGCATTGTTGACCATACTCAAGTCCGGCATAGCTATACCCGCCAAGTTTACAAGCTGCCGTGCACTGCGAGACACTCATCCCACTCGCACCAGCTGCAACGTCCTGCGCCGTATTGAGTGTTCTCGCGTTGACAGAATCAGTATAGCATGAGACGAAAGTCCAGCCATTTGGCCCGGGGTTGGTAGACGGTCCTGAAATGGCAGCTCCGGTAGTGTAGACGCTGAGCCTATTGGGCCCGCCGCAGGTCTCCGAGGAATTGCCAGCACAAGTCATCGAGCAGTCTGTCTCTGGCTCCTTGGTGACGCCAGCTGGAAGCGCATAGTCGCAGTAGCATTCGGAGCTGTACTCAACACCAGCCACGGCAAAATTGTTCGCAGCACAGTAAGAAGTGCATGTTTCTACCGTCTGGATATCGTAGTCCGTATAAGACGGGTGCATCAAGATCCGGTTGTTTACATCGTCGTAGTAGCAACCAGCATAAGTCCAAGAAGCAGATGCTCGTCCTCCAATAGCCCCAGCAGTGACCAGAAGCAACGCAGCTGCCAACGTGAGACCCATATCGCCAGCCTTGACGAGTTACAAACACACAATAGCAAAGCGCACATCCACCTACCTCTTTAGAAGACACCTACCAAACCACCGCGGGTGGCACGACAGCCATACATACCATAAATGAAGAGGCTCTCGCGGCACCCACGCGGCCACTGGCGCCATGCAAGCAATCTCAAGCCGTGCACAAACATAGAAACGCCATGATCCCCAAGTAGGAAGCTAATATCTGGTACTTCCGTGTTTTGACAAGCTGAAGTCAGCATGTGGCTTGTCGGGTCCCAAAAAAAGGGGGGCCTACGCTTCGTCCCGCTGTTACGCGTGAACACGCTATTGTTGGTCCGTGCAGACGTTTATCAACCGGCAACAGGCGGCGAGATGTCTGGCCGGCGAGTGCCTCTGGCGAAGCGATGCACACCAGCTGCAGCTTTGTTATCATTGGGTCCATGGTCTGGCTTGATTGACGGTTGATCGGCGTTCTATAAGCTACATGCATTTGCTAGTCTACAGCACACCTCTAGTGACCCAGTCCCATTGCAATCGTCATTTTTTTATTATGTCGATACTAAGACACCTCCATCGCATCCCCATTACTATGCCCATTCACCCCACCCAGCGTCACACCACCATCCTCACCAATAAACCTCTTCTCAAACTCCGCCACGAACTTAGCACTCCTATTCGGATCATAAAAAAGCATATAGCTTCTCCGAACATCCTGCTCATCCACCTCCTTCGCTCTCCGCTTCTGAGCAAGAAGATGCGATGTCGTGATGATGTTGCTGGCATATCTCAGCCCGGTCTCCGCGCCGAACTTTGTGAGCAGCGCGAGTGCGTTGGGTGAAATGTCGATTTCTTCCTCCTGTGCTCGTATTGAGAGGATTTCGCGGATCTCGTCTTCGGAGTACGTTTGTGTGGAGATGATGACTACGCGGTCTAGAAAGTCGAGTGGTAGGCCGTGCGGACTCTTGTAGTTCGTTCCTCTAATCGTTGTGGAGCCACGATTCGATGCCATGATCACTATTGGTGCTAGTTCGTCCTCGAGTGCTCGGTTGATGAAAGAGAAGCATTCGATATCCAGCATGTGCACCTCATCGATGAAGAGCACGCCCGGCACAATCTCAGCCTTGCCTTCTTCTCGCCATTCCGCAACTTTCGTGTTGATTTGTTCTCGGACCTCACTCCTGATCTCGCCTGTATCACCTGAAAAAAGAGCGAGGAAGCCTTGCGTTCTGCTGTTGATGACGTCGATCTCATGCAGCGAGACAGTGTGAACAGTCTCCCGTCGTACTTGCAACTCACCATCGGGACATTGCACGAACTTCGTGTCCGGGCCCATGGCGTCGTAGTCTCTGCTTCTTGTGTAGCTCCGGCCCAACTTCGTTATCCTCCCGGAAGCCTTGTCGATGCTAATAACGTCTCCAGCCATGACCTTCTCTTTCGTCATGCTGTCGATCATGCGCGTGCCCATATCGTACAAGGTCTCCATATCCGTTGTCTTCAGCGTCAGCTTCCCGCTCTTGTTGCTGCCAGTGACCGATCGATCAATCTGGATCTCCACGACCTCACCCTCAATGACCTCACTCTCTTCCCGTATCCTCACACCGATGCTCTTCCTGAATGCCTGCTCAAGTGCTTCCGTCTTGCTCATCTCCAGACTGAAGATCTCTGAGCTGGCCAGCATGGTGAACGGCACATCCTCTCCCAAGCCTTTACTCATGCCTATCGCGATCGCAGTCTTTCCTGTGCTGGGTGGGCCTGATATCAAGACCGCTCGCCCAGCAATCTTGCCCTCCTTCACCATCTGCAAGATCACCGAGGCGGCCTTGCGGGCCTTTTGCTGTCCCACCAGGCCATCCGCTGTAGGTTTTGGAGTGAGTGTGTCCGGAGTGACGCCCAGACCACGGATGTGTGAATGAGCTGCGATGAGATTGAGTGACTGAGTAGTGCGCGAGTCGGAGACGGTGGCGATAGGCTATAAAGCAAGTCAGTCGATGATCGCGTGAGAAGACATTATTGCTACTGACAGCTGCCATTGCGCCGGATGTGCGCTCCCTGGCGCGAACGATGTTAGAGTCTCGCAGATCAGCAGCACTTGTGTAGAGCGATGGTCCCAGGCTGTGGTTCTCGATCTGCAATGTCGGTGATGGGTTAAGTCGGATCGTCGTGGTTTGTGATATGTTCAAGCCAAATCACGAGATTATTGGAGCAGTTCTGTATTCACAAGCTAACACCAGAAGCTCGGTCCATCTGCGGCGCGCTAGTAGATCTTAGCGTGTTTCTTACGACAGGGATCCAAGTTCGTAAAAGACATGAAACGCTTCAACAGCAGTGTAGGCGAACGATGATCAGGAGCGATAGTGAAGCGTAAGAGACTAATTAAATGAATGTGCACACAACCATCTTGGCATTCACTTCCCTGCTCATGACGAACAGTCTAGAGCCTCCAGTGAGTGTCCCTCGTTCCTGCCTTCTTCGGCGTTGTCTCACGACTTTCCACATGCAGAATTCGTAGGCCCCACATGCCTGCTGCATATATATAACCCACCTCCTCGCTTGTTTTGTTTCTTTTACCTTGCATCAACACTACGATTACTTCCTGCAGGGTATGTTTACTTCTCGCTTACTTGCTCACCTCATAAAAAGAACTACTATAGAGCTAGCCAAAATACAATAAAAAGTACTCTGCACCGCGCAGCTTCCTTCCAAACATTATCTAACCTCTAAAGCTTCCGAACACTATCAATAATCTATGATAGTTCAAGAAATGTTACGGACACTCACTAACACACACTATAGTCACTCACCATGGACCCTCGCATTAGAGGTCGTAACCCTGACTATGGCAAAAGACCTGCGAGCCGTTCGCCAGAGGGTGGTGTATCGAGAAAGTTGAGCAAGACGAGTCCTCGCGAAGGCTCATCGACGCCCAATGCTCTTGATGCCGCCACCTCTCGCCGGTCCTCAGTATCTACGACTACGGCGGCAGGTCGCCCTATGCAGCCTCCGAACGGAAGTGGTTTCAGAGGGGTCTCTCAACGGCCCAATGCTCAGAAAGAAACTGGTTCGAACTACGTTGCTTCGCCCGACAGCTTAGGCAGTAAACGAAGCCGGCCCGATGAGGTTCACAGCGGGCAGTCGACACCACGAAGCGCGAATGGAACAACTACGACCCGCCAAGACTCTACACTGGCAATCAACAACACACCCCTAGAGTCAGGACCCGACCACTTTATGAAATGCATGATCCAGAACACAGAATTCTCGAAGCTCTCCAACGCGCGCGATCAGGCTGAAGCACGTGTGAAAAAAGCTCAAAATGATTATCAAAGCATGTCAAAACACTTTAATGGTTTTCCTGTGATCAAGGAGCAGAAGGCACAAGCCCTCGCCGATGCTAGGACAGCTCTGGAGACTACAAAGCGTGCCTTCGAGAAGCAGCATAGCATCCTGAGGCAGCTGTCGGATGGAGTGGGCAAGTTTCCTAAATCAACCGAAGTTAATCCGCCTAGAGACTCTTCCGGCGAGACTATCACAGTAACTATTGAAGACTTCCGGAAGTTGTGCGAAAGAATATCCAAGCTGGAATCAGAGGCTGCTGATGCGAGCGCCGACTCTCGGACAAGAGATAGAGTCTCTACGCTGGAGGTCAAACTTAAAGCCGGGCCTCATCGCGAGGAGATGGCAAAACTTAGGTCGGAACACGACAGCCTACGTTCGAAGGTCGAAGCGAGCCAAGTCGAGATGCAGCAGCTCAAATCAGAGACGAAGGCCGGAAGCGAAGCAAGCCTGACCGCGTTGCAGACCGTGAAACCACTTGCGCTCAAAGTTTCTTCCGACCTAGGCCAGATATCGGCTATGCAGCGTGAGATCAACAATTTGAAACGCACAGCCGTCGAACTAAGTAAAGACGTCCAGTCAGGTAGAAACACATCGCAAATTTCCGGTAGAGCTGTTTCGCGGGAAGACAATGATGCAAAGCAGTCGGTCGAGAGACTGTCACGCGATGTTTCCTCCTTTGGCCAGCAGCTTACAGAGCTGAAGACTGGGCATGACATCCTGAGACGTCATGTCTTGCCTATGGATGATGCTGCCCGTTTCGCAAAAGACGACCAGAGTATTTCGGGCAAATTGAGCGTTGCCATAGAAGATATTGCGGCTCTCTTTGGGCTTATGGAAGCTACCGTGGGCGAAGGAGAGGTGCCCGTGGGCAAAAGACTCTTAGAACTCGAACGATTGGCCGACCAGTTCTCAACTCGACTCGATCAGGTTCAAAGTGACGAGGAGAAGACAACGAAGGAGATAAGAGGTCTGGGTGCCACATCTTCAGCACGCTCTGACACCGACACTGCTGCTACGACGATCTCAGACACCGTCCCTGAGGCAAACCGATCATCGAAGACTATGCTCGAACCAATAGAAGTCGAAGTCAAACAGCTCAAAACCGAGGTCGAACAGCTACGAGCCGACAATGCACATCGAGAACAAATGAAAGAGCAGGATGACGAGGTAATCATCAACCATGTCTTTGATACGAGCGAACGACAACTTGCGGAACAGAAGCAATGGGTCGAGAGCGAATTGACTACTTTGAGGGGCCAAAACACCAGGAACAGAGAAAGCGACTACAAGCAGATCACAGCTTCGTTGACGGAGTTGGCCAGGTCGACTTCTGACACCTTCAAGGCTATCAAGAGTGACGCGGAGGATATGAAGAAAAATCATGCTGAGCTGAACCAGCAGATCGGCGACTTGGAATTGGTGCGTGGGAATATCAGTGACAACCGTCGCCAGATCGGCGAACTTGCAACGGACCTCGCGAACAAGGTCGACCGGACGCAATTCATTTCTTCTCAGGACACATTCAATAAGGGCCTAGAGGGCATCCTGAAAACTCTCACAGAACAGCAAGCATCGATATCTGCTTCCACTGCCCGCCAACAGCCTCCACGTCTACCGAACGGTACGTCACCAGCAGCAAGTAACGGGTTCCAACCACCTGCTATGCGATCACCACAAGTAAACGGTATACCCAGAACGAATGCCGTCGGAGCACCTTCTGGCAACCCCTCCACGGACCAGAAATTGCAAGAAATGTCCCAGAAAGTTGAAGCCCTAACCTACGCTTTTCAGATGTTCCAACGCCAATACAATAACATCACCTCCGACGACATGGCGGCCAGAATGCTCGAACAATTCGGTGATGTCTGGCCGCATGCCAAGAACTATAATTCTGCAATTGCCGACCTGAATCGGTTGGTGGCGCAGACTTCTGTGGCGGTTGAGAGGGCGCAGGCCGAGGCGAGGGAGGCGGGAAGGGGCGCTGCTGAGACGAAGACGGCGCTTGGAGTGGTTGAGGTGGATGTGAAGGGGTTGAAGAGTGAAGTTGGGGGGTTGAGGGGGAGGATTGCGGTGCAAGAGGGGGAGAGGGAGGCTGTGAAAGAGTTTTTGGAGGGGGGAAGGAAGTGAGGTGCGAGTTACAGAATGGTGAGGCTGGTCGCGATGTTGGGCGTTTTGATGGGTTGTTGTCGTTGTTGTTGATGATTTCGAGCGTTTCAGCGTAGCATATGATACCCCCCTTTTTATCTCTTCCTTGGTGTTTGGAATGTAGGAGATAGAAGTGTTAGAGGCACAACGGACGGAGAATGTAGACAGGAAGCTTTCGAAAAGCTCCGAAGCGAGCTGGTCTAAGCAATGAGAATGCATACGGACACCAGACACCTTGCTAACAATCCCCAGTGACAGAAACCAACATGGCCTCAAGCCCCAGCGGAAGATGGGCTTTCCTTAGCCTTCCTCTCCGCCTCCTTAGCCTCATGCTGCCTCCTCGCCCTCTCCTCCGCAGCCTTAGCAATGATATCCCGTCTACTAAGCAGCTCCCCTCCCGACCCCGCTGCTACGCCCCCACCACCACCACCACCCCCTCCACCAAGCACATACTCCCCACCCGTCCACCTCCCATGATCATGCGCCGCCCCATCCTCCTCCCCATCTCCCACCCCAACATCCCCCGGATTGAAAAACTCTTCCCGCCCCACACTATGTCCCCCCCTCCTCCAATCGTTCTCCTCGACTTCCTTCTCAATCTCTTTACACAGATCCCAAAACCTCCTATCGTGATCACCCCAGACATTATGCGTGAGTTCGTGACACAATGTCTTCCTTATAACCTTGTAATCCCGATACCCATCATAAGCATCTGTGCGGAGCCGGAGCTCGATGACTTCGCCTGCGTTGCGGTTCAAACCCAAGGTGCGGCTGGTATCGGTCGTGTGTTCCACGGGGTTCATTTCTGTTAGCAGGCCGACGGCGAACCCGTGTTTGCGCATAGTGTATTTTATCCCAGCGTCGTCGGCTAGTCTTTCTAGGAAGCGATGGGATTTCTCGGGGTTGGTGAGGTAAGGGAGAGGGCGGATGGTGTGGAAGCGGTAGCGGGCATCGTCTTGGACTTTCTTCCAGTCTTTGCTTGTGTTCGCTTTGACCTTTCTACCAGCATTCTGGGCTAAGCGACGGCGTTCCATCCGGGCTCGGCGGTCGGAGATGTCGGTTTGGAGCTCGTGGACTTCGGCTGTTGTGGCGCCTATGAGGGCGATCTTCTTCGATTGTAGGGTCTGGAGACGTAGTTCGGGGTCTTTAAAGGGTGGTTTGAGCAGCCCGATGTTGGGGGAGATGAGGAATTTCTGGTTCGAGGGCGGGATGTGGAATTCCTCGGCGACGTCGTCTGAGAGGTCTTGGATCGTGGCGTCCATGTGGTGGAAGGCGAGTTCGATGGGTTTGTTGTGGAGGTGGAGGGTGATTTTCAGTGCTGGCTCTGGCTCATGGTCATCATCGTCAACATCGGAGGCGGTGTTATGTGAGTCGAGATCACTCATGGCTGCAGGGATTGTGAAGTAGATAGGAAATATGGATAGCAGGTATGGGAAGTAGATAGGAAATATGAATAGCAGGTATGGGAAGGTGGTGTTACCTACTACTGACACTCCTACAAGTCGAAGACTCACAAACAATACCCGTCTGACGCCTTGGACAGTGGTGAAGGACAAGGGCTAGAAGGCGAAAGAAGGCAGACGTGAGGTTCGTCATCATTTCTTTGTCACGTGCGGGATTGTTGTCACGTGCATCTCCAGCCATTTCTGCACGTATAAAGTACGCAACACGTTCCATACCAACGAAGCTCCTGATGCAATCGAGACCGGAAGCCTGTTGTAGCCCTTGACGTAGAGTCACGCAGATTCACAGGCCCATACAATCTAGTATGTACTACTACTCTGCCCTCTATTCCATCCATCCTCGCAAAATGGGTATCTACGCATATCCCGAATCAAACTCCAAACTCACATCAAGCCATGCATATGGTACAGAGCCAAACCCGGCCCATCCCAGCCCATATCATAAAGTCGTAATCGCAACTCTCTTCCCACTCCAGCAAATCAGCCTGACCCTTTCCCGACGCCTTCGATAATAACACCATCCTCGTTCTACTGGCTCGACATCGCAGACCTCCTTGGCTGCTCATCCAACGCAACATCTCCATCAAGTCGCAATTGAAGCTCGCAACCAAGTTTCTTCCTGTCGATCCACTCCCGTAACATACCAAACCCAGCTCTAGCAGCCACCAACGGACTCATCTGCACCCCAAACCCCATCTTATACCCCCCATTGAACCTCCCCGGCCCCAAGTCCTCAGTCCCCGGCATCCCAACCCTCAACCGTCCAGCCCAGCTCAAGGGGAAAACTCGCATAACCGCATCCAGATCCAACCTCAACTCCGTAATCTTCGCCTCTCGCACCAGGACACCCACCACTTCACCCATATCCGTCCCACCCAAAGTCTTACCATAAGCCGCGCTCAGAGTGAGGATATGTCCAGCATACACCACACCCAGATGACTCGCCAACCCCGCCAAAACGGGCTCGACTTCGCACGTCCGTTTCACAAATGAGAAGAATCCGTGAAGGGATTGCCAGTTCCTGATGGCTGGACTCTGCTTGGGTTCGGCGGCGAGTGCCGCTTCGTCCGCTGAGGTGAAGGCTAGGAAGTATGCCAGAAGGGACTCGATGGCCTTGATGGCCGCTAGTCTCTGCTCTAGCACGGCGTTTTGATCACCAGAAGCAACAAGCTTAGCCTTGTTGACATGCGCCGAAGCAGCATGCTTCAGCTCTCGACCGAGCCTCTCAAGTCGCTTCTGCTCCGTCTCCCATGCCTGCTGCTTCTGTGTCTTAGCTTGGCTCGAAGGCGCTCTGGTAGGCTGCGACGTCTGGCCGTTCGCCGCAAGGGGCGTGCTCGATTTGGCGGATAGTGGCGTGTTGGCATTGCCCTCGTTCGACTGCTCGCGGACCATGGCTACGGCCGAGAGCATATCTTTGCGTACTGATGGGGTGGCTTGCTGGGACTTGAGTAAGGTGGGCGAAGATAGATCAGCCGGGATGGGTGTGCTTGGCTCCTTGGTAGTTGTGATGGCTTCAGGGATCTTTTTTCGCTTGGCTGGAGGACCTTCGGCTTCGGTATCGGGCGATGTCTTGGGAGGCTCTTTGCGCTTGAGAGAAGTCTCGTTGGCTTTCTTTGGTTGCTCTGGCTTTTGCTTCGCTTTCGCTGCTGCAGTGTCGTCAGATGACTTGCTAGCTGACTCCTTCCGTCTTGCAGGAGGTTCGTAGCGTTTCATCTCGGGTGCCTTGGACTTGGCTATCGAGTCTTCCTGGGATGCTTTCCTGGTTAAGGGTTGCTTTTCTGCGACGACTGATGTGTCGTCCTTCGTTGCGGCATGAGTTGGCTTCACCGCTGCTGCCTTCTTCGGCACCTCTGCTTCTGCATACTTGGTAGCAGACTGCACCGCGTCCTGCTTCGATCGCGCGCCATTCAGAGCTGTACTCTCCACTTCTGGGCCTGCGTTCTCTAACGCCCTCTCCTGACCCAGTCCGCGCTTACCATCTACTCCTGCTCTCTCGACACGTCCAACTTTCTGAGCAGTACCTCTAGCAGGCGGTCCGACTTCCTGCGCCCCACCCTTACCACTCACATCCTTCCGCCCGACCGGCTTCTTCTCTGCCGTCTTTGTAGGCTGTTCGGCACTGGTCGAAGTTGGTGGCGATGCAGGGTAGTCCTTTGCAGGATTTGGCCTCATCTTCAAGATGCGCCGAATACCTTCACGCTGATGTTTCTTGTACTTCATTCTGACGATTCGTGAAGGCTTGCCGGAACCACGTCGAGTGTCGAGTGCGTTGCCAACGACAATCTCCTGCGACTGTGATAGCTCTGGCGTCTGGTCTCGTGGTGCAGACGTGGTTGTAGGCTTGGCGCGCTCCTCACCGTCCGTGCGTACAGCAGGCGAACTCGAACTCGCACGAAAAGCATTCCGTGGCACAGGTGATTTCCGCTTGGCTTGAATTTCGCCATTGGGTGGTGGTGTGAGAGTGCCGTTCTTGCTCGCCGAACTTGGAAGTGATAGATCCGAGGAGGAAGACGCTTTGAGCTGGTCGCGGGCTTTAAGTGTGGCTGCGATGTTTGCCGGGATGGTTGGGGATAGTCGACGAGGTAGATCAGGCACTCGTAATGGGGATAGCTTTGGTGGCAGGTCCTTTGCTTGGATTTGCGGTAGCATTGGTGGCGATAGCTTGGGAGGTAGGCCTGTCTTCTGCGAGTGTGCAGGCGGCGTTGCTGGCCTCTTCGCATTCCGCTCAGCAACAGGCTCCTTCCGTGAATGTGATGGTGGAGGAGAACTCGTTCGCGCCTTCTTGACTGCAGGCTGGTCCTCCACCTGTGACTGGTCTCCCTCCTTCCCTTTCTGCTTTCCCTCCACATCACCATGCTCCTCTCTCTTCCGCTTAAGCTCCTTCTTGACAGGCTGCGACTCAGGCAAAGGCACTTCCTCCAGCTCGGTAACCGCAGCAAGGACCTCATCCGTCTCAGCCTTCACCCTCTCAATCGGTCCCTTGACAGCAGCATGAGGTCTGCCCTCGGTCGCTGCCTTCGGACCAGGTGTACCAGCCTGCGCCGGCGTCCCCGCACCAGTCTTACTTTTCTTATAAGCATCAAGACTGATCTTCTTCTTCGGCGCGCCAGTACTGGGCGTACTCGCTCCTCCAACCTTGGCCTTAGACGTCGCCGTCCCCTCCTCCTCCCGCGGCTCGCTATTGTGCAGCACATACATATCCTTGCCATGTTCGTGATAGATGAAAGTCTGATATTGCGTATACTCTCCCTCCTTCCACTCAAAGGGTGTCTGATTCAGCCATTGCATGGCCTGGTATTGGTAGGCATGGTGGTAGCGGGGCTCGACATCCTGTGGGATGGTGAGGACATAAGGGTCGGCGGGTGTGAGTGTTCGCATGCGGTCGACCGCGTTGTCTATCGCAGCGAGATCGTCCTGGTCGGCTTTGCTGAGCGGGGCGGATGTGGAAGAAGGTGGTGGTGCTGTCTTGGCCGCCTCATTTGTCGCGGGCATGACAGCGGAGTCGTGTTAGACGAATGTATATTGTTGGCCCGTCTACACAGGCGTGTCGGAGATATATGGTATCATTGAGAGACAGTCGCAATGTCGAGGTTCGCCGCGAACGATATGTAACTCTACACCTGTTGTCAACATATGAATGGTGGTGCGCCATGTGATTGTTATTGTTCCTTACATCACTTCCACCCTCACTAGAACTAATTGTTGTCTCAGCCTTTGTCTGTCGCCGCGCAGTTGACGGCAACCTCACGTCGTTCACTATAATACAGCGCCCTCATCTGCCAGAAATAATACAAGCATACCCACTCTCGCGCAATGTCAAGCTGGAGATCGAATAATGAGGGCTTAATCAAGCGCTAGCACATCACCAACGCTCGATGCCGCAAGCCGTCGTTCCTGCACCTGACGCGCCCCGACCACTCGGGATTATGTCGAGATAGCGTCCTGGGCTGACTAAAAATACATATTGTAGAAGCCCTGACACTATATTCAAATAGCATTTCCAATGATTTTATAAATCCCCATTATGATCACCGTACAAGCTACAAGCTGCAAGTAATCGAGAGGCAAGTGGGGTCATAAGGCGCGAAACCTTGACGAGACGATCGTCGCCTACATATATCATCATAGCAGTATTCCCGTTCTCCCGTTGATTTTGTTGAATTATTCCAATCTTCCATCCTCAATCGGATCATCCAGCCTTTCCACACCAAGATGGCACAACAGACCGTCTTCCGCCTTCCCAGCAAAGGCGCCGGCTACGACAAGCTCTCAGAACACTGGGAAGCAGTCCCTAAAGTCCAAGCCCATGAAGTCCTGCTCAAAATCCACGCCACCACGCTCAACTACCGCGATCTCGTCATCGCGAACGGCGGCTATCCCTTCCCGGTCAAGGACAACGTCGTCCCGCTCTCCGATGCAGCAGGCACGATCGAAGAAGTTGGTGAGGCGGTCCAAGACTTGAAGAAAGGCGATTGGGCCATTTCCAACTTCGATGTCACGAATCTTTATGGCCCGCAGCCAAGTGCGACACCCCTCTCCTTTCTGGCGATAGTACTATCACTGACAACGCACCAGATTGGCTCAACGGCCTCGGCGGCCCCATCGATGGTGTCCTGCGCCAATACATCGCCATCCCCGCCACAGCCATTGTCAAAATCCCCTCAAGCACCAAACTCTCTTGGTCTCAGCTCGCCAGCCTCGTCTGCACCGGCACAACCGCCTGGAACGCCCTCTACGGCAATTTGCCCTTGAAACCAGGCCAGACTGTCCTCTTCCAAGGTACCGGTGGCGTGAGCACGACAGGTCTCATGCTCGCGAAAGACGCCGGGGCCAAGACGATTATCACGTCGTCTTCTGACGAGAAGCTGAAGATGGTGAGGGAAAAGTATGGTGCGGATTATTGCGTCAACTACAAGTCCACTCCGGATTGGGCGGCTAAAGTCAATCGAATCACTGAAGGTCATGGCGCGGACTTCATCTTTGAGAATGGTGGCTCGGGGACGATCGCCCAGAGTATTGCTTGCGTGGCTCGCGGGGGCCAGATCGCAGTCATTGGGTTCCTATCGCAGGCTAAGGAGATGCCGGATGTGGCGGCCTTGGTGCTTGATAAGGGGTGTATCGTGCGCGGTATTAATGTTGGCGCGAAGCAGTTGACGGAAGATCTTGTTAAGTATGTCTGTGGTAAGGATCTCTCGGTGCCTGTCGAGAAGAATTTCGGGTTTGAGCGAGGACAGATCTTGGAGGCTTTCAAGTATCTGGAGAGTGGTGGGCATGTTGGCAAAGTGTGTATCGAGATCGTGAAGGCGTAGATACATGTAGATATTTGTAGCCTTGGCGTGAAGCTGAAAGTCGTCCATCAGCTGTCGTTGCCTTGGCTGCTCCATAGTGACGTGAAGCCGTGATACATACTCGTTCATGCGCATGTCTCTTCCGAGTCCCAGTCAACCCTATTCGAGGTTCAGCCAGGATGCCAGGAGGAGAGGACGTCAACATTCTGCTATCACGCATCCAGCCGAAGCGTAAGAACGAGCAAAGTGATATACGCCGCCACGCTGAGGGCAGTCAGGACAACGACAACGTTACCACTAGTACGAAAACTGCGAATCAAACATCAGCACGACCCCATACATCAGCATTACCACGAAGCAACGACAGATTACATACCGTTTCCGACTCAACCCACCATCCCCAACCTCACTGAAAAACTGCCGGTTCCCCTGCATCCGCCTGTACCCACTAATCGCCAACACTCCAGCTCCATAGACCGCAAACAAAGCTCCAATGGAATAGAATTCGCTGGTGAAGATCTTCAACACGATCAGGGCGAAGCTGAATTGGGAGAGGGCTGTGCGGATATATGCGCCTTCGAACGTGCGTTGGGCTGCGCGGATCTCGACGAGTTCGGCGGGCGAGAGAATGACGCTGCGGGCGCGGTGGAGGCGCAGGCGGTAGTGAGTTCCTGCGTTGCGTGTCTGGGGGTTTTGTTAGTGGGGTTGGGGCATGGTTTGTGGTATGGTATAGTGGTTTCTCTGGTGGCGGGAGGAAGGAGCGGTGGACTTGCCTCGAACATTTTCACTTATGACCTGGGCATTGTCTGCTATGTGATGTGTTCTAAGATCTGAGCCGTGGGTATGTCTTCACCAGCAGCGGTCTGAACAACGAATGTCACGTCAGCTCAGGTCGAAAGATCGACATGCCAAGGCTGCTACAGTATCGAGACGAGTCCACAGCTTCACTCTACTTTCCATCCCCGCAGGATACAGTACCATCAACAATGCTTCCATGCAACGTTTCATTTGGAGTGCATAGTCGCGTGAAAGTGAAAGAAGGCGAGACATGGATGCGAGCTTCTCGGTAAAGAACCCCGCCAGGAGTACGGGAGGAAGCCAGTGGTACCCACCCACCCACTACTACCCCCGGCTACCACCCCTTTCGTGTGCGAGGTAAGTGCGGTAGTGCGGCGGCCCCCTTCGTCATCCGATCATCTGCCCGCATCATCTCCTTCTCTCCCAACCTACACTCCCTTACTGTCCACCATTACTTTCTTCCTACACGACTTCAGCTACCGCGTCATCATCGCGTCTCCGGCTTGCAGCCTGGCGGAACTTTTCGCCCACAATCACATCCTTGAGAGGGTCTTGGAATCATTACGCACTATCACCATCACGACAGCAAGACCACAGAACGTTCCAATGGCCGGATTCGTGTCCGTTAATAGCCCGACTGAACACGCCCCTCCTGCTGCTGTAGCTGCTGTAGCTGCTGCCCCACCCACTACCCCAGCTTCAACAAATGGCACAAAGCGAAAGCGTGATGCCCAGGTGAAGTTCTACGCCGTCCGTATCGGCAAGGCTCCAGGCATCTACAGCACATGGAACGACTGTCTGGATCAAGTTCGAGGCTTCCCCAAAGCCACCTTCAAATCCTTCACATCCTTGACCGACGCCCAGCATTTCGTGGAAGGCGAGAGTGACCATATGAGTGGTGTGGGAGGCGGTAAGGGAGGTATGGGCGCGCCGCAGAAATGGTATGGAGTGCAATGCGGGCGAGTGCCGGGAGTGTACACAAGCTGGCAGGACGTCCTCGATCAGATTCGTGGGTGGAAGGGGCCGAAGCACAAGGGCTTCAAGACACGTATAGAGGCCGAGCTGTATGTCAAGGAAGGTCAGCAACCACACGGCATGAACGGTGATGCGCCGATGGAGAGTATAGAGACGTCAGAAGGACCTGCCAAGAAGAAAAGTAAGAAGTCTGGCGTGGTGAAGAACGAACATGGGGAGAGCTACCCGGGGGAGCAAGGCGAGTATGAGCCTGGCGAAGCACCTCTGAATGGTGCAGAAGACGACTTCGACACAGACATTACCCTCGACCAAACCACTGGCTCGCTCCGCTACAAGAACGCGGAAGAGACTCAGAAAACAAAGTACCAAGCCTCTCGACCTGTCGAAAGTGCACCGGTCCGCATATACACAGACGGCTCCTCCCTATCCAACGGCCAAGCAGGCGCCATAGCAGGCGTAGGAGTCTACTTCGGCCCGCTCGACGGCCGCAACATCTCCGAAGGCTTGACGGGCACGAAACAAACCAACCAACGTGCCGAACTGACCGCCATCCTCCGCGCGCTCGAAATCGCGCCCAAAGACCGCAAACTCATCCTCATCTCTGACTCCAATTACGCCATCAAATGCGCCACAGAATGGTTCACCAACTGGCGCGGAAACGGCTGGCTCAACGCATCGAAGAAACCCGTGGAAAACCGCGATCTAGTCACGAAATTAATCGATCTGCTGGAAGAAAGGCACGTGATGAATAGTCATCGCTCCTTCGGCCAAGAAGACGAGAGCGTGGAGGAGGATGGTAAGGCTCCTGGGCCTTGGGAGCGTGGGCCCGCGGGGGTGAAGTTTGTCTGGGTCAAGGGGCATTCGAAGGATGAGGGGAATGAGGCTGCGGATGGGCTGGCTACGGCTGGGGCGAGGGAGGCGAGGGAGCTGGTTGATGGGGATAACGACTTTTAGGTGAGGATGGCCCGAGCAGCGTTGTGCTTGCTGGAAGGAGGTGTTGTCGGTGATGCCCCCTGAGGATTTATGATGGAAGGCAATATCAGAAAACCGCTGGTCGGCTGTCTGTGTGCCGGACGAGCTGGGTCATGTAGGCGAACGTCGACAAACAATTGACTTGGAGCAGTCCGATCTCATCAGGCCAAGGTGTCGAAGACATCTCTATGGCGCGTGTGGCCAGCTTATCGATACACGTGCAGTGATCGTAAGCTCTACATATCTACTTGAATAATGATACAAACACCTCCCCACACCAGCCGCTTCTCAGCGCACCATAGCACATCTCCTCACCGCAAACTCCCAAGCTCACTCATCAAATCGCACAAACACTTAATCATCTGCGGCTTCCCAGCCCTCTCCTCACTAGGCGCATTCCGCTCCAACACCTCCACACACACAGCCATAATACTCTGCGGATTCTTCAAATCACCCAATAACGGCACGGCCGAAGGAGCCTGCTTCGACGCCGGGAGCTGCAGACAAGGGCGTCCACTATTTAGATGCACGAAGGCGTCGGTATCGGCGGTCTTGGGTCCGTCGAGGAAGATGATCGGTGGTTTGCCGTTGGCCATCAGGCCGGAGACGGTATCGCGTTCGACTGGGCCGCCGGGTTGCGGTGAGGAGCGGGCGGTGCGACGTGCGGCGTCGCGTTGCATCATTGCGTAGGCCCAGAGGATCATGGAGGCGTGGTAGGCGAGGAAGGAGTCGCAGCCGCGCAATTGGTAGGGTGGGGTGACTTTCGCCCAGCGGATCACTTGGGCTGCATGCCAGATGGCTGTCCGGGCTTGCTTGCTTGTGCTCCAGCTTTGTAGGGCCTGGTAAGCGCGGTGGGCTTCCTCTTCGCCGCATTTTCCTGCGAAGCGGATCACGTCGTCTAGACTTACGTGGAGGGTGCTGAGGAGGAAGTCTTGGAACATTTGGGTTGTTGGGCTGGTTCCTGCTAAGCCGGGACTTGTGGCTTGGAGCAATTGGCAAAGTTTCTGGTGCCGTGATTGCAGCCATAGTGTTGCTGATGCGTCGCTGGTGCCGTGGGCGACATTGAGGACTGTGGATTGTTGTTGGTGTTCCCATACTTGGGCGGCCAGGCCGTAGAGATACGTGGTTATTGCCAGCTTGCCATCGATGTCTGGTGGGAGGCAATTGACCAGATCTCCATCTGTCAAGAGTGATCGGACAGAGACACGTTGTTGACGCACACCATGTGTCTTGGCGAGATATGCTGTACGCCATGTCTCTGCCGAAGGCGCCAGCCAAAGCTCGCGATTCGCTGGCAGCGGCAGAGTCAACTCAGCGTACGAGATCAGTGGATTTCTGTGCTTGGTCATGGTAATTAGAAGGTCGTGCTCGAGAAGATGATGCACTAATCGTGTATACGATTGGATCTCTACCCATCGCCTCCACTTCTCTTCAGTCTCTTCTATGGTATCACTTGCGGCTGGGATGATGACAGAATAGGCGACACTGTCAAACTTTCCAAAGCGTCGCAGTGCCGTGACGAGAGGCTGGAGATGACTCTCGGCGATCTCCATCTTCCTCTTGAAGCCGCAGAAAGCGCAGACGTCCAGCCAGAGCATCATGGCCTGGAGATACTGCAAGTCTCTGATGGCACTGTTGTCGTCTTCCACAGACTTGTTCAGCGCTTGTCGGACGATCTCTAGGAGCACGAGTCCAGTCCGAGAGATGGCTTTCACACCAAAGCAAACACAACCAGCAGCCACTAGTGCTGTCAGTAACTCTGGTCTGGCAGTCTCTGAGTGGAAGAGATGTGGGTGTATCCATGCATCGGTCTCGAGACGCTTGGCAATACCCATCTTCATAAGCACTTCCAGCAACTCCGCAGATGGAAACGATGCCATCGAGACCTGCGATTTTGCGGTCTTCAGGATCAGCTCGAAGATGCGGTCCCGCGAGTTCATGGACAGCTTATCTGGTATGATCGATGCCTCGGCAAACGGCTGGTGTGGCGAAGATGCAGAGTATAGCTTGGTCTCATCTAGCTGGATACTTGAGTGCTCGCTGAAAGCATTCTGCCGCTTCTCCGGGTACCATAACCATGGTGACTGCTGGTAGATCGCATGTCTTTTCCGGGCGTGTTCGCTCCGACTCAATGCCTGGCCAGAGGAGCTTGCGGCTTGCACGACTTCGTTTGGTACACTCGTGCTCGGCGAAGGCCACGGGGGTATAGCGAGAGCCTCATCCATCGTCGGCACAAAATCTGTTCCGAAGATGTCCATCTCACCGAACCAGTCTTGGTCCGAGAAGAGGTTGGAGATATCAGGAGGCAGCATGGTGTTATCAGCTCCATTGTAATCCGGACCAGGTACCATGATCTGATCGAAAAAGGAAGGGACGTCACCGTACCCTGTATCATCAAAGGATGTAACATTCTCGAGAGGATCCCATTCGTCGATAATCGGAGCCATAATGGAGTGAACATGGTTTTGGCCATCGGCCACATGGAGAATATCGCCAGTGGTCTGATTTGGTGCTGGGGTTGACGAGAGATTACTCTGAGATCGCTGATGTAGTTGTGGGCGCTGCATCGCTACTCCACCTCCATGTCCATTTGGCGATTCAACCGATGGCGATACAAGCTGGTCGAGAGAGTCGGAAGGGCAGGCAATATTGCGCTTTCGACAGCGCTGACCTACACCTCGATAGATTCAATGATCAGCATATGTTCCAGGCAATCCTACACGGTTTACAACCTTGGATTTCTTACAGGGTCGATCATTGTCACACTTCACCTGCAACTACTGTCAGGAACACAACATCGGTACCGTAGCGGTCAAAGTCATGGATCACGTACCTTGGAAGTCACGCAAGCGTCGCAGGCCTTGATGGCACGCTGTAAGACCCGAGCCTGCGAATCCGACTCTACGGCTGCGTCTTTCTGGTGCTTCAATTGGTGGCGTAAGAGGAGATCTCTGAAATTGAAGAATGATTAGTCTGCGCTCGCCCATACGATGCTGGACAACTTGTAGTGAGTTGTGATTGCCGTAGACTGATCAACTTTCTTTGGAATACAAGCACGGTATACCCAGAGCTATTCCTTAAGTGAGAGCAACGAACGTATCAACCTCACCGAGAAGGTGACATTTGTTATTACGAGCCAGTCGGTGCAATTCTCAGACCCGAATTAAGGAACGACATAGGTTCGCTTGTGCAAGAGAGTATATCGATCAACGCTCACCTTCGATTGAAGCCTCGTGGGCACTCGTTGCATTTGAAGGATCTCTCATTGCGATCTATTCATCGTCAACTATGCTTGATCGTGTACGACAACTAACCACACCAGTGAGGCCTTACGAGAATCAAGATGTCGGGACAGGTGGTCCGCTCGCTCGTATGAGCGTGAGCATACTTGACAGGCGAATGGTGGGCGTGACTGTGCATCTCCATGGACATCGGATGATGAACGCGAGCGTTTGAGGTCGCTTAGGGCCATAGTGGGATGGTCAAGGAATGCGGCTTGGGTGGGAGAGCTGCATTCAAGAGGAGAGTGTTTCGGATGTCCTGGACAAGAGGGGTTCGGAAACATGTGGAGATGAGACGGAAGTCGAAGTGTGGCTTGATGAGATTTTGCGAGTCATGGGAATGGTCAATCATGCTTTGGCTGTCTGCCGCGCAAACCACGTTTTCGCACCCGGATACGTGCAATTGTAGTCCATGAAGTCCGCTGGGCTCCTGTAGGGCTGTCAGCAGGTCCAAGATGCGTTAATGTCTGGCATGAACACTCACATCTTTACCTCCGTGGACCCTTTCTCAGTGGCCGGCTTTGCGCCATCGCGTGAGTACTTTTGGATAAGACTGGCTCGCTCGTAGCGACACTCAACGATCTCTTTCAACGACTGCTGGACGCGTTCGACAGATGGCACCGTATCGACATCCGCAAAAAAAGCACCCAGAGCCTCCGCGTCCTCCACTGCCTGTGATGCTCCTTGACCTTGCGTTGGAAGCATCGCATGTGCAGCATCGCCGATCAGAATCACACGCCCTTTCGTCCACGCCGATAGCGGATCAGTATCTCTAAGCTGCCATAGACCTAGATCATCCGCCTGCTTGAACACGTCTCTCATCCACTCTGGGAAATCTCGGTATGTATCCAGCATTTTGTCCAAGTCACCACGCGACACCCAAGATTGTTTCTGGTTGGCATCCTCGTTCATCTTCTCGTCTGGTACGAGCCCTACGATGCTGAAGATGTCACCTTGCCGGGCAGGACCCATTATCAAGCGGCAGCTGTGCGCCATCATCATGGATGTGGCTGGTTCTCTCGGCTTGATGTGCTCGCAGAAGGTCGGACATTTCTGTTCTAGTACGGAATTCGGCAGTACCATACGATAGGCCGATAGTCCGGTGGGAATTGTGTTGATGTGCTCGCCCACTACGGCATCGCGCAGGACGCTGTGTATGCCGTCTGCTCCTACAATGACATCGCCATATATCTCCTCGCCGCTTTCCAAGGTCACCGACCCAGTCGCACAATCACAACTGGCCACTCGTGACGCTGTCCGCACAATTGCTGGTGGGCCACTTCTGTCTGGGTCTAGAGCTGCAGCTTGCAATGCCTTGTGTAGATCCTGCCTGTGATACATCATCCGGTCACCGCCATACTCGGTTTTGCTAAGAAGTGGTACTGAATTCACCATCTTGCCTTCGACATTGAATATCCGGAAGCCTTCGTCAACCATGCCATCGGCTTTATCGAGTTGCGCTCCCAGCTTCCATTCTTTGGCAAGTATTCGAGAGGCATTCGGTTGCAGGGAGATTGTTGCGCCAATCTCGGACAATAGTCTTGACTGTTCCAATATCGTTACTTGTCGACCAGGTCCACGCAGCGCAATGGCAGCGCAAAGCCCAGCTATACCACCACCAACAACGACAATCTGGAATGGCACCGCTGAAGGCATTCTAGAGGCTGATGACTTGCTCTAGTTTTGTCGCTGGATCGATCACGAAGCTGTGTTAGAGAAGGAGAATGGCATCTCAAAGGGAAAGGACTACGAAACCAGGCCCTCATCGACCACATAGCAGCGTTGCTCGGGCGCTGTACTGCACGAGTATCCGGTGGGTGGGGCAGAAATGTTCTCGATTCGTGGATCCTGCAGATCACGCCCACATATCCCCGTGATCCAGGGACTTCCGATGGAAAGAGTGGGCACTCACACCATTCCCTTCCAATACTCTTCGAAATGTCAGTACAAGACACATCAAATCTACCAACAAGATTAGCCAGACAGTCCTTACATCAATTAGAAGACATACTTCGATATCGAACACAAACACAATGGCAACGACCACGATTCAGACCGAGCAAGCTCCACCCGCCATCCGTCCAGCCCAAAGCCGGCGGATGAAGGTTGATGGATCCGACCCAGTGTTCGGTGACTGGAGAGACGACTTGGTGAGGGACGGATAGTGAGCAGAGAACCGCGGAAAATGTCTCCAGGAAAGATTGCTGACCTCTATCAGCGCTGTCATCAAGGGTGCCATCCCTCGCGAGCGAGCAGACAAATATGCCGACCAGATGTACAGCTGGCTCGAAGGCTTGTGAGTCGCTGTCTCGAGCGTCCGCGATTGGTACTCTTACTAACATGACCTTAGCAATCTCGGCTTCGACCGGAACGATATGTCGACGGTGCACAAAGACAACCTACCAGCGATCAACGAGAAGGGTATGTGTTTGCAGTATGGCGTGACACACGAAGACTTCGTATGGGCTGTCCGTGGTGAGCCTGGGGTGGTGGGCGCGTTCGAGTCGGTCTACGACGACCAGGATCTCATCGTCTCCTTCGATGCCATCAACTTCACACTCCCAAAGTATGTCACCTTGACCTACCCTGAATATCGACCCGTGACGCTCTTAGCTGACATGGAATTCCAGGCGTAAGGATATTCCAGCAAACAAGCCTTGGCCTCACCAAGACCAGGACCCGCTCATGCCAGGCTTCAGATGCTTGCAGGGTCTGGTCAACCTCCTGCCCAACGGCCCTGACGACGGTGGACTCATCGTCTGCAAGGGTAGCCACAACCTATCGGAACAATTCCACAAGGAGTTCATCAACGAGCCTCGCATCCCTGCCTGGACGCCAGAATGGTTCGGCTTTACCGACGCAGGCATGGAATGGTTGAAGAACAAGAATTGCGAATGGCTCAAGGTCTGCGCAGAGCCAGGCGACCTGTTGGTGTGGGACTCCAGGACTGCACATTACAACTTGAGCTCGAAGACGAATCAACCACGGTTCGCCATCTACACATGCTACATGCCTGTCAATGATGCAACGCAAGAGGATTTGATCAAGAAGAAGGGGGCATATGAGCGATGGGTCGGCACAACTCACTGGCCCAATGCCAGACACACTGGCAGCAATGTCGCCAAGCGCGATGGCGAGGATGACCCACACAACAGGTTCGAGCCTATCAACAAGCCGCAGATGAACGAGCGCACATTCAAGCTTACTGGTATTCCGTATATCAAGGCCGAGGCGTAGATATGAGCACACATATACCATGTACGACTTTCGTTTTAGCTTATGATATCACTGCCTGAAAGTCGCCTTGATTTGCCACCAACGGACTGTAACCATAAGCTACACTTATGGGCCATTAGACAGCGTACACGTTACTGATCACATCTACTACTCTTGACTCAGCGTTTAGGGGCCCGCGCCTGTACCTGGAACCACCTGACACATTCGAAAACCGTTATAGGGCATGCCTCTGTGCGTCAAGAAGCCGCAAAAGAAGCCAGACTTCCTTCTCTTCTGGGGGCCGGGAAAGTTGGGAACGCAGATCTCGATAACACCAAGAATCATCCGATCTGGCCCTGGCCACCGGCCCACAACGCAAAAGCCCCCAGTAGGCTTCACAGGCCATTCGTAGTACGGACCATCGTAACCGGCAATGTCGCATACTATGGGGCTCAGGTTTTCGACATTTTGGAAAATGTCCGGATAACTATGGCCGTTGGCGCCTGTAGCCTGCCTATCGAACAACAGCAAGGCCTGTGCTGAGAAGATATCCGGACCATAATTTTCGGGGTTGAAGACACTTTGACCTACAATGACCCATATGAAGGGCTTCGTTAGCAAGGGCATTCTGCCATCGAGGAGAATAGGCTCAACTGCATTGGTCTGGATGGGGAGGCATACCACCGCAGTAGTGGGACTGCGTGCTTGGTAACTGCCCGGCTGCTCTCTCGTCGGGGACCAGCATCCCGGTAGAGGTATTAGAGGCTTTGTCAGGTTCGACCCAGGTCATGTTCAAGGCTTCGAGGTCCTCCAATTGAATGGCTGTGCCGCAGTCCGCAAGAACGATAGTGTACAGACCAAAAAGTAGGGAGATGTAGTGGAAGCAAGTGGTCAGAGCCATAGTGATGAGATAGCCTCTAGCAGTGTCGTCAAAATGTTAAAGGGGAATTGTAGGAAATGTAAGAGAGATTGAGATTTTGGGTTGTTCGAGCAGGCGTTTATAACATGCTTCATCTGCTTCCCTGGTGCAGACTGCTCGAGAACTCACAAGGCCCACAGCAACAATGGATGTGTACCTTAGCCCTGTACAGATACTCATCGTGACATCGAGCTAGGCCTTTAAACAAAGAGCCAGGGAAAAATCTGTAGCACCGGGCTGAAGGAGTATCCTGTCGTCGTTGCACGAAGAAGCACGAAGAGAGACACTCGCGAAATCCGGCGGATTTTTAGCCTCATCTTGGAACCAGGCGCAGCATTCCAAACAGGAGTGAAAGACATCTGTCACACAAGTGAGCCTCGCGTGTTCTTTTCGTTCTTTGAATGACCTGGTTCTGATGGAAGTACCTGCACCTTGACGGTGAGCCTCGATTCCTTGTTGTTAACCATGCTGCAAGGTCTTCTGGCTCGAATCGTCTTGCTCAAAAGTTGTTTTTGCAAATCCGATGCTGATACTAGCAAACCGTGCCTGGGCTCGGCAACCTAGATACGGCAGGCACATTGGTGACAGCTTCCCATGGCTTGAAATTGGCTTGGTTACGGGGACTGCTCCATCATAATCGCCCATGACTCATCGAAGTCGTACTCAGCAATATCCATCATTTGGCGGAAGTGTGCTTCGGGTGCCACGTCTGGCCAAGGGATACTGTAGCAGCTCGTGTTCGATGGCGCTGTGACATCTTTGGGATTGAGCGTAGCCAGCTGAGAACAAGCGCGTCCCACAATGTCAATTCGAAGGTGACTTCCTTGGTGAGGACAGATCTGTGTCAGTACTTGCTCTGGAGAGAGAGAACACATGCAGTTCATGTTCGTCGCTTGACCACTCGTTCCCGGTTTCGGGCTCGACCTCACCAAGTCGAGGCCCTTGTCCGGAAAGTGAAGACGACTGACTCGACATCCATGCGGGGAACCTGTCAACGTGGGGCTAAATTCACGGAGACTGTGGGCGTGCGAAAGTCAAAACCTGGCCACGAGGTATCCCAACCCTCAGACGAGAATCAAGACATTCGGTTCGGGGCGGTTGAGAATACAGTACCAGACTTCTCGGTCGGGACGACGATGGTGCCATGTGGGCGTTGCCGAAGGCATACATATGCATACAGCACCATCTTCTGCGTGGCAGACGAAACTGTAGACTTTCTTTTGAACGGAACTAGCTACACACCTCTTGGGACAGATTAATCACGACGTGCGTGAGGAACCAAGACACAAACACTCACCATGTCGCTCCCCGAAAAAGCCGGCATACAAGCCGAATCCATCGAACTAGCCAAACCCACCACCCTCCACCTCCCCAACCACACCGGCGACGTCGACCTCCTCGACTCGACCGGCAAAGTCCGCCGCATCCCGATCCCCTCCGCCGACCCCAATGATCCTCTCAACCTGAGCAAGTGGCGCAAACTCGGCATCATCATCACGACCTGCTTCTACGCCATCTTCTCCTTAGTCCTGGTAGGCGGCGCGGGCTCGATCCTGCCCTTCTGGATCGCGCTTTATGCTCCGCAGGGGAAGTCGATCCAGCAGGTGGTGAATTTGACTACGTATCCGAGTTTGGTTATGGCGTTAGGTGAGTCTGGAATTTCCAGCATACGGTAACCCGTCCATCACTGACACAGACCGTGGCGCAGGCGCCTTCGTAATGCTCCCGTGCTCCATAATGTTTGGTCGCCGCCCGGTCCTCCTCGGCTGCTGCGCCCTGATCTTCGCCTCTACCATCGGCGCCGCGAAGAGCACAACCTACAACAGCCACATGGCGTGCCGCATCCTCCAAGGCATCGCGACAGGAGCCACCGAATCCGTGCTCCCGCTAATTATAAGCGACATCTCCTTCCTCGACGAACGCGGCCTTCTCTTCGCCTGCTACTGGGGTTTCCAGAACTTCATCGGGAACATCTTCACCATCACCGTTGGGTTCCTGGTGGCCGAGACGTCGTGGAGGTGGTTCTATTGGTTATTAACGATTCTGGGGGCGGTGGGGTTCGCGTTGATCTTCTTCTTGGTGCCGGAGACGAGGTATTCGCGGTCGCCGATGGCGATGGAGGGGCAGGTTTGCTATACGGATGAGTTTGGACATACCATGCTTCTTACTGATGCCGAGGCACGAGAACGGTTTGGCGCTACGCTGGAAGGTCAGGCGAATAATGAGTTTGGCCCGCGTGTGTCTTATGTCCGCAGTCTGAACCCGGTCACTTCGGCTGTCCCGAATGCTTTCCGGGTCGGAGGCGGAGCACTTGTCAAGATGGTGTCTTCCTTGAGCTCGCCGGGCGTTATCTGGGCGATCCTGGCGACTTCAATCAGCCTCGGGGTCACAATAGCCATGTCACTCACCTACGGCGAGATTCTGACGACCGACTTCGGATGGTCCATGGCCTCAGTCGGGCTCATCAACTGCGGCGGCTTTCCCGCGGCCATCGTCGCAATGGCATTAGCAGGTCCTTTGTCCGACAAGCTCATTCTTTATATGGCTTCGCGACGGGGCGGTGTCCATCGGCCAGAGGATATCCTGATTACGCTGGCATTTCCGTCCCTAGTCAGTGCGATCGGCATTATCATCTATGGTGTGACGGCCCAGAATCCTGCCGCTCATAGTGCCTGGGGTATCATCATGGGCTGGACGTTATTCAATATTGGCTTCATCGTGGCGCTCGTCACGGGTACGCACTTTGCAGCTGAAGCGTATCCGCAGAATCCAGGTCCTGCGCTCGTCATGGTCGTCGGTTCGAAGAACATCGTATCTTTCGGTAAGTGGGATGAGAGAAAAGCGTCCGAGTTGGTGAAGCTAATGGCGAGAACAGCGGCATCGTTCGGCATCATTCCACTGGTCCACAGGTTCAATTACCTGACAGCATATATGATCCTTCTGGGTGCATTCTGCGGCATATTCCTGCTCGGGATTCCTGTCTACTTCCTCAATCCAAAGGTGAGATTACCAAAGCCGCATGACTTTACATACACTGCTGACAGCATCGCAGTGGCGTGCTATGGTTGGCAAGAAGCAAACAGAGTAGATAGCGAATGGAGCTGCGATTGTAAGCCCTTGCTCCTACGTTTCGCGTTTCATGATGCGACGATATGCGAGACATATGCAAATGATACTGAACCTGAACATAAGCGATCAGAAGTCCCCCGACGTGCCATTGGTGCTATCGGCGGTCGCAAAGTCACACATCGAGTCGATGTGAAAACTGAGCCAAATGTACCGAACTATCCCGAAGGAAAACGTCCTGATAGGGTACGGTCATTTCGTGGTAGAATCATGTCTTCGTTTTCAGGTCTTCACAACAAGACGCAATGTTACCGCTGATATCTCGGCCTTAGCCAGCAGGATATGTCTAAGCTTGGTGCACTCAGTACGGCCTTGAGCTGCGCTGAGCCAGGTGAGCCTCGTCATGCCGCGGCGCTGTAGCGGGCATGGCAGTAGTCCCGGCGAAGGCGCAGAGCAATAGTTCGATACCTGTATTTCGAGCACGAGGCTCGGCGACTACGCAAGCAAAAGGCCATATCAATGTCGAGGTGGCGGTGCGGCTGCATTGTGACGTTGATGGCGTTGGCTTAAGGTGATCACGCGCCACGATCGCCAACCATGTCTTTTGTTGTTTTCCAGTCCGAAGAACGAAGAAGCTAGAGGATGAGTTCCATGTACTGCGAGCGTATGGTCTATCACAGGGTATCCTCATCGTGTAGTCTCCGTTCCTGCCTTCGGTATCATTACAAAACGCACACCAAACGAAGCAAGTCAAAAGCCGAAAGTAATCGCAATCCAATCACTACCGAAACCACGGCAGTCGCCTCGCACGCACCACCGACGCACCACCGACGTCTCGTTCGTGGCTGATGCTTGCCCTGCCGATCAATTATTACAATTTTGAGGGTGGCCTGCTGATGCGACCGGGTGTCTGAAACGCGCCTCCATATGAACCAATCCATCTTTTGCCTGCGCACAATACCACACTCTCCTTCACTACATCTACGAGTACTCTACGATTACAATAACTACCGCCCACGATATCCTTCATTGTAACTCCCGGCGAGTTGTGATATAGTAGCATTCCATCCCTAACCAAATTCCTGGAACCGATCGCGTCCAAGACACGCGCCGTGCGCCCCCGCCATCTCTTGGTCAATCGAAGAGACGATTTGGATACTACTATCGATTTAACCTCACGAACGACCGTTGCGACCACGCGAGAGCGACTAACTGAGCCGACATGGCAGGTTTCGATGGAAGAGTGATAGTGCTTGCGCTGCGGGTGGTGCAAAGCATACTAGCGATCATTGTCCTCGGTGTAACAGCATATGGTACGCTATCCACCTAACCACAAAAACTACATGACGATCGCGCGCACCATACTGACGACTTGATGTACAGTCGCCAACTGGTGGACAAACTACTGGCACGCCCTCGCCCCCTCCCAAATCAACTTCCTAGTCTTCACCTCCGTCTGGACCATCCTCGCCCTCCTCTACCTCATCATCGTCCCATGGCGCTTCTCCGAAACCGTCGCGCACCATAAATTCGCCATCCTGGGCGTCGAGACCCTGACCATGCTCTTCTGGTTCGCGGGCTTCATTGCGCTGGCCGTCTTCTTGAGCGATCGCGTGTGCTTCGGACATGTGTGTGCGGCGGCTAAAGCGGCTTGTGTTTTCGCCGCTTTTGAGTGGTATGTCTGATCTCACAAGTCGTGGAGAAACCCGGTTTCTGTTGCTTCTGGGGTACTTGCTAATTGGGGTTTTTGCTTGCAGGCTCACGTTCGCCGGCACAACGGCCATGGCAGTCCTTCACGTCCTGCGCACGCGCGGCCGCACGAGCAACAACGGCAAGGCTGATCCGAACCTTAACATTCAGGAGGGTGTGTAAAGCAGACCGAGGCATGGTGAGAAGAGTCGATATCAGGAGGCTATGCGGTCAGGACTAATGAAGGCATGATATGGTTGGAGCCCATGGATCGTGGCAGCTTCTTGGTGTAAGGGAAGGCCTGGATCTCCCTCTTGAGGCAAGATTGGATAACGTTATTGCTTGTTCTACGCAGCCCGCTGGTGTTCCCTGTAGCGAAGATTATGATACCCACTCGCAGATTTCCGCGGGTTTCCTAGCGTGGCGCAAGTAGGGTTCAAATCTGACCTTTCGTATCTCTCTTATTATGAAGTACTCATCCGGACTCCCTCTTACGGCATTCACTTCCTTTGCGCAGGACCGCGCTCACCCTCATGGAAAAGTCGGCCAAGAAGCAGTCTCCGAAGATGTAGTTCGAAGTAAGCAAAAGACCATTGCGATCAGAACAAAGAAAAACGTCTATTAGAGTCTACGGTATGGAGGAGACGCTCACGATATCCAAACACGCTAGAAACGCAGCAGTACCCTAAACAAGACAATCTATCCAATCTCCTTATGCAAAGCTCCGCACAGCAGTATCCCCATTATCCTTGTGCCAATCATACTTGGCAAACTCCGCCCCTTTCGCAGGCGGCTGGCTATTAGCAGTACTGTCAGTAGTAGTCTTACTACCTGGACCAGCATCCACACCACTCGCTTGTCCCGTCGCACGATCAACATCCATACTACGGCCCGCCTCGAAAGTATTGCGTTTCTGTTGGACGTGGCCGATGGCTTCTTCGGTCAGCTCTTGTCGTTTAATGCGTTCCAGAACATCCTTCTTGCGGGTCCGGTGGTCGCCGATGGAGATTATGATGCCGGCTACGATGTTGGAAGTCAGGGAGCAGGCGAGGATGGAGGAGGTCAGGGCTTCGGACCGGACGTGGTAGTCGATGGACCAGGTGCAGGATCCGAGGGCGATTTGGAACAGGCTGTGGCAGTCTAGGAGGACGACGACGGTGATGAGGAGGCGGAGGGGGAAAGCATGATGGGTGGCAGTCTCGTGAGGCTTGTAGAAAGTGTGGGCTTTGCTGAATTTGGCCTGGTGGTATGCCAAGCGTCTCTGCTGGCGTGGCGATAGGACGGAGAACTCGGCCGTCTCTTCTTTATCGATGATGTCCTCTGCGTTGCCGTTGACACGGCGATCCGGAAGGTCGTTGTGATCTACCAGTGATGGCAGATTCTTCTCCTTCCGCAGCCGCCAGGTTAGATGGTGGTAGTGTGCGATGAAGCACATGTGGTATGTATCCACTGCTCGGAACGGTGCCAGACCGTCTCCCATCAAGGCGAAGAAGGCGACCAAGACGTTGTCGATGATGTTGATGAAGTAGTCCTGCTTCGAGCCAACGTAGATCCAGCCGATCAAGCAGAAGACCCAGGCAGCACCAAAAAGTGTGACGAGGGTGGCGTAGGTGGTGACGAACAATCCCAAAGGTCGGCTAACATACTGGCGGAAGCCTCTCATGCTACGCTTGAAGCCTTCACGCCGAGAGTGCATCAGGTGGCGTACGTGATCATTCAGCTCGTCCACATCCTCCTGCGTCCAGCCTTCCAGATCGACACCGTGGGGTAAAACAGCATAGTGAGAGTCGGAGAGCTGAGAAGAGATGGACGTCTTGCGCTCTCTCTTCGGCGAGCTCAATTCGATTCCAGCCTGGCTGTCTTCCTGCCCAATCGTCGGCAGTCGTGCATTGGGTGGTCGTGCTGTGGCTCTAGTACCTGCACGCGAGCGTGGTCTACCTCCCTCGAGATCGGTTTTTCGTGGCGTTAGAGTGTAAGTTGGCCTTCTGTTGATCAGACCGCCAAGGTCTGGTACGAATAACGAATTCTGAATGTTAGTAAGTGTGCCAATGGCGCGTACTTCTGGGTCTGCAAGGCAGGTCAGTATACATCGTCGCAAATATTTGAGTCACTTTGAGCGTACCGATGAGATCCAAAAAGTCCACAACATCTGAATCGTAGACATCCGGCGCATTATGGTCGTCAGAACGATTACCCACTGTACCACTTCGGAAGCGTCGGAGTCCTCTGTTGCGCTGCGCTGCATTGCCAGCACTATGCATAGCAGTGGTAGCGCCTGGAGTTGGGGGTTGCTCCATTGGCGTGTTCAGACCGAAGGGCGTAAATGCGCCTGGCGTCTCGACAGCCTCATGATAAGGTGTCTCTTGTGGCAAAGCCGAGCCTTCGTTGATGGTCCGCATATGTGGTGGAAGATCTGCAGTCCGCTGCCGCGCAAGCTCATTCGATGGCGGCTGGAGATGCTGCTGATAGCGCTGGGGTGCGGAAGAACTTCGTCGGCGGCCTCCAGCGAATGCCTGGTCCGCGACATCTACGCCCTCGTCGCTGGCCTGTGACCCTGGTCGCGGTTGTTGCTGTGAAAGATGCGAAGGAAGTCTGCGGATCCTGATACTGGAGGGAGGTCGTAGGCTGTCACGTGATGAGGCTGTACGCATGGATCTTCCACCCGGGGATGGTGGAGGCACATTGAGCCGGTCTGAGTTGACAGCGCTGTTGGGTCGTCGCTGCTGCACGAAGTAGTCGCCCATTGTGGCTGCCCAGGTCCGGCAGCGCCACCAAGCTCAAATCTCGTAGTGGCGGCTTCAAAATTCCTGCGGCTCTGGTCGGAGTATGGTAGAGGCTGTTGTCTCCAGGCTAGACCGTAGCACCTTCAGAAGCGCGATTGACTCCCACAGAACATGCAATGTCGTTGCACAGATAGCGATGGGCGGAGATGGAGGGAATGCTGCAGCGGAAGGTCCGGATGAAGCTTAGAGCTTATTACGCTTAGTGTAGTAAGCAAGTCGGTGACGCTTGGTAGGTCCGGGACAGAGTGCGAGCTATCAGCAATATCCGAAGAGCATTAAGTCAGCGTCGCCGGATGCCAGAGGAACTCAGTGTTGGCGACAGTCTTTAGCAGGCACATCAGCCGGCTCGACCAAATTATTAGCGCCGTCGTTGTTGCTGAAGATGCCTTGTTTGAGAAAGGAGAGATAGAAGCTAGCCCTGTTTCAGACGAAAAGCATTCCCGCGGCTGCCGAGAAAATGCTTAGATGGAAATTTGTTGCTATGTTTACCAAGCGCGTCATCACGGCTCTACGCGACGTTAATAAAACCTCCGTTGAGATAGTACTTTGCGCACGTCCGACGTGTTTGCGACACAGACGATGGTATGAAAGGAACGCGACAGAGGGTGATTTCGACCAGCAAAGTTGTACCTCTTCTACTGGACTAAATGAGATCATGATTGTAGACCGCATACCGGCAACCCAAAACTTCGGTTCCAGCAACCTGGACTTCGTGGTAACGGGAACATAATTCTTGAACAGTCCGCAGACTTGAATCAAGCGAAGATCTGCTGCACCTTTGAGCCAGCGAGGTTACCCTCAATGCCTCACCCAGCCAAGACGATGTCCAAGAACGCGCACTTGTTTTACAGAAGCACTGCTGGAAGCCTGAAAGCTACGGTGGCCCGATAGAGGCTTTCTGCGATCTTTATCAGCACATGCATGCCTACTGGACTATATACGCTTCGAGCCGCTCAATCAAACCCATTCTTCTTATTGAACTCATCCACCATCTGTCTCGCAGCAGTGACGATCTGGACGGCACCAGGACTATCGCTGTGGCAGCATAGACTGACATCGTGGTCGCCGAGAGGCAGATCTACTTCTTCACCACTCACCGCTGTCACGGAGGAGTTATTGACCTGAGATGAGATGTGCTTCTTTGTCTCCTCGGGAGTCCAGGCTCTGCACGTGGATCAGCATTCATCGACATGGACGGGAGCGGAAGCATACTTCTTCTTCCGGTCGATCACGAGGGTCTTATCCTTGTTGTACTTGACATCACCTGTGCACCTGGTCAGCTTTGGTTGAGAGTGATAGGGACTTTACCATACCATAAAGCTCGGCAACGAAAGGCAGTCCCAGCTCCTTAGCAACTTCCTCGTGGAACGTCCCCGCCAGACCAAACACAGGTGTGCCCCTGGGAACGCCCTCGTACACTGCACGGCACACTTCGCGATCACGATACATCATGCCGTAGAGAACGCCGTGAGGCTGCATCGAGATCAGCTTCATCCGGGACTGGCAACGACAGACTAGCCGACCTTGACATGATGCAGAGGCACATCCTCTGCTTCCAGGAAAGCCTTCAATGCACCGACTTGGTAGCGGATCATGGCCGTCAGTTCTTCCGGGCTCATCTTAATCCTGCACAATTGTAAGTCTCCGTTTTGCAAAAGTAATGTAGCCCGCTCACTCTCGTCGGCCAAAGCCTTGGATATCTGGAAGACCAGGATGTGCACCAATCGCGATGTTGTGCTTCTTGCATGCTCGCACTGTTTCCTGCATGATCAGGGGGTCGCCAGCATGGAAGCCGCAGGCCACATTTGCGTGATCGATCAGTGGGATGAGTTCGTCGTCCGGTCCACACTTGAAGTTGCCGTAGCCCTCGCCGAGCTAAGTTTGTCAAATTCATATTGCAGGTAGCGATCGAGGACTGCGACGCACATCAACGTTTATATGGACTTTCTTTCTGATTGGGCCCATGATTCTTCTTTGGTCGATGCTGATATATTATGTCTTCTTGCTGCAGGATGTTGTTTGCGAGCACAAATGCAGCAGTGGCCGATATATGACGTTGCTGTCGCGACGACGCTATTACTATGGACCTGCCGAGCTCGTCTGCCCCTCATGTGCGGAGAAAGACGAGCTTATCATCGCAAGATACCACCTACGTCTATGCAAACTCGATTGCGGAGTTCTTACGCGAACGTTCTGAACATCTCGATCGTATTGCAGAAGATCTGACATGCTGACGGCTTTGCAATGATGGAGAAGATCAAGAGTGTTTTGATTGCGAATCGGTAGGCGAAGCTCGTTGAAACATTTGACGATTATCCATACTGACGTCCGGCAGAGGCGAGATAGCGTACGCATAAACGCTCGGTTCTATTCGCCACGTGGTTCAGCTGATAACATTTTCCCATACAAAGTGTCCGGATCATCCGCACTGCGAGACAACTAGGTATACGAACGATTAGTATTTACACTGCTGCAGACGCGGTATGTCGCACCCTTCATACTAGTATTCGTACCTAGGTCGTCACAAAGTAGTCCCGGAGTCTATTGGCAAAGGATTCGGTCGATGCAGTATCAACGGGCCGCTCTTCAATTCCGTGGGCGAGCGCTGTGTTAGACCAAGGACTGATCATGATTACATCGTACATAGGCTTCTCTCCACGTCTCTCAAGCAGATGAAGCCGTACTTCTACCCGGTTCGAACAGCACTGCATACACGGACGGCGATGCGATCATCGGAATAGCAAAAGAACAGGACGCCGATGCTATCATCCCAGGGTATGGTTTCTTGTCGGAAAACGCTGATTTTGCAAGAGCGGTCGGCGAAGTTGGACTAGCCTGGTGCGGTCCATCCCCAGAGGCCATTGAAGGTGGCTATTACAGACCATGGTTTCATCGCATACTAGCTGACAGAACATACTCTAGCCTTTGGCATTAAGCATGTTGCCCGCGAGCTTGCAGAGAAGGCAGGCGTGCCCATAGTGCCGGGAACCAAAGGCTTGGTCGAGAGTGCCGGAGATGCCATAAAGGAGAGCGAGCGCATTGGTTTCCCCGTCATGCTGAAGGCTACTGGTGGAGGAGGCGGCATGGGTCTGGTGGTTTGTCACAACGCAGACGATGTACGCGAAGGCTTCGAAACTGTACGGTCTCGTGGAGAGACACTTTTCAAGAGTGAGAAATGGTAGCCATACTTCGAGATTCAAGCTGATGGCACTACAGATCCTGGTATGTTCATTGAGCGCTACATTGCCGAAGGCCACCATATCGAGGTTCAGGTCTTCGGAAACGGTCAAGGTCAAGCCATTCACTTCGGAGAGCGAGAGTGCTCCATACAGCGACGCAACCAGAAGGTCATCGAGGAGTGTCCTTCACCCTTCGTTGAGAAGCATCTCGAGCTGCGTGAGAAGCTGGGCGCCACTGCCGTCAGCCTCGCAGAATCGGTGAAGTACGGTTCGGCAGGGACCATCGAGTACATTGTAGACGACAAGACTGGAGACTTCTACTTCCTTGAGATGAACACCAGACTACAGGTCGAACACGGCATCACAGAGATGGTCTATGACGTTGATCTGGTCGAACTAATGCTGAGGCAAGCGGACGCTCAGCTGGCAGGTAGGAATGGGCTATCGGCCGAGCAATTGAAGGAACATCAACCATCAAAGCCCATAGGTGCCGCTGTCGAAGCCAGAGTCTACGCCGAGAACCCTTTGCGGGACTATGCGCCCTCTCCAGGCTTGCTTCAAAAAGTGGAATGGTCAGAGCTCGAAGGCTCGAGAATTGACACATGGGTGTTCACCGGCACCCAAGTATCGCCTAATTACGACCCGCTACTGGCCAAGGTGATGAACCATGCGAAGACGCGCGAGGCTGCGATCAAGGGTATGGACCTTGTCCTATCACGCTCGAGCATCTGCGGGCCACCAACAAATCTCGACTTCTTAGCCGGTATCATGCAAGATGAGACCTTCAAGTCAGGACACACGCTCACTTCATTCCTGAAGAGCTTCAAGTTCCAGCCGAGCGCAATAGATGTGATCAGTGCGGGGGCCTACACGCTCATACAAGATCTGCCGGGTAGACCGAGTGTGGGCAAAGGTATACCGCATAGCGGGCCTATGGATCCTATCGCCCTCAGCATTGCAAACATGCTTGTTGGTAACGACCGAGGGAAAGAAGGACTGGAGATCACGCTCAGTGGACCAGAGTTGCGGTTCGTCGGTCCTGCTGTAGTCGCACTGACTGGCGCACCTATGGAGTTCAAACTCGATGGCGAGGATGTTCCGATGTGGACCAGGAAGCATATCAAAGCTGGGCAGCGGCTCAAGATCGGCAAGACTATCGACGGCGGATGTCGATCGTATCTGGCGGTGTACGGTGGGTTTCCAGCTGTAGCGGACTACTTCGGCTCGAAAAGCACGAGTCCACTGGTCGCTATTGGCGGCTATCAGGGCCGAGCTTTGGCTCCGGGTGATCTTTTAGCTATACAAAAGGATCTGCCCAAGAATCTCGGTGGCCATCCTTCCCTCCCAGAAGAGCTTCGACCCAAGTACGTTGAGCATTGGGATATTATGTGCATGCCAGGTCCACATCAAGAAGGCTATCTAGACGACGAGGATGTCGAGATGCTTTACTCCAGCGAGTTCAAGGTATCCCACAATGCTAGCAGGAGCGGCATCCGTCTTGTGCCTCCTCACGCGCCGAAGTGGGCAAGGCCAGATGGTGGAGAGGGTGGAAGTCACCCTAGCAACGTGATCGAGTACGGCTATCCCTTGGGCACTCTGAATTGGACTGGAGACGACCCTTGTATCTTCCCAGTGGACTGTCCGAACTTTGGTGGATTCGTCTCGTCCACTACTGTCATCAAAGCGGACTGGTGGAAGCTTGGCCAGATCAAAGCAGGCAACACTATGCGCTATATCCGTGTCTCCCTGGACGAAGCACTCGAGTTGCGCAAGAACACGGAAGCATATCTCACGACCGTACAGCGTGGCATTGAGAGTGGCGGCTTCAACGACGTGAAGCCTCTAGATGCGAGCTTTAAGCCATCTGGAGAAATTGGCCAGGCAGTAATATGGGAGAAGCAGGCCCAAGGTAACGAGCCACAAGTCAGATATCGCCAAGGTGGCGACGATCATCTACTTGTTGAGTACGGCAACGAGCAGTTCGACCTCAATCACAGATGTAGAGTCACTGCTCTCGAGAAGGCTCTTCACGGTCGCGATGCGCCGTCATGGCTCAAGACACATCTCATCAACACCGTGGGCTGTTGTACGTCTCTCCTCATCCTGTACGATGGGTCAAGACTACCTCGCGATCAACTTGTGGCACATCTGCAGGGCCTGGAAGGAAGCCTCGGCGACCTTAGCAAGATCAAAGTGCCCTGCCGTAGATTCAAGCTACCATTGTCCTTCGAAAGCAAAGAGCAGACGGAAGCCACACAGCGCTATATGGAGACACAACGACCACAAGCACCATATCTGCCCGACAATCTGGAATTTGTTGCAAGAAACAATGCTTTTTCTGCAGATCAGTTGAAGCGCAATATGCTGGAGGGCACTCTGATGGCAGTCGTCGTTGGCTTCTTCTGCGGGAATACAGTTTCGCTTCCAGTCGACCCTCGTCAGCGCATGTCATGTCCCAAGACGAATCCTTCGCGAGTATACACGCCAGAAGGTACTTTTGGCTGGGGTGGTAGCTGCGCCAGTATCTACCCTGTAGACAGTCCTGGAGGCTACATGATGCTGGGGAGGACGGTGCCGTGCTTTGATTACCTTGGCTACAAGGCAGGCTTCTCGATCGAAAAGCCCTGGTTGTTCCAAGATTTCGACCTGCTTACCTTCTACCAATGCACCGAAGAAGAGCTTAACAAGCAATTGGGCCTCTTCCGAGCTGGCAAATTTGAGTTCAAATGGGAAGATGTCGAATTCGACATGGCCGAGCACAACGAGTTGCTCCAGGCCACAGCAGAAGAAGTAAAGGATCTGCGTCACAGACAGGCTGACGTGCAGAACGAGCTCATCACGGCGGAGAAGGAATCGCTACAGAAGTGGCGGGAAGACAAGGAGAAGAACAAGCTCGATATCGGGACGATTGATTCTCTATTGGCGGGTGAGTCGCATTATCTTCATTCCCTCGTGGCTATATACTGACATGTCTCTCAGATCCTGCCATCACAACCATCGATGCACCTGTTGATGCGAACGTATGGAAGATCTTGATAGAAGAGGGAGCGACTGTCAAGACCAAGCAAGATATCGTGATACTCGAAGCAATGAAGCTTGAGATAAAGGTGCAGGCACCTGATGACATGAAGGAGGGCAAGATCGAGAAGTTGTTGGTGCAAGCAGGCGAAACGACAAAGGCGGGCGCGCATATCGCGCTCGTTAGGCAGACATGAGTACTGCCACAAGCCGCATATTTGCTGTGAACGGTGATGGTCCCCCTGAGTACATCGCTACTGGCAGATAGTCGCTTCCGCTAGGACAAAAGCTTGGGAAAAAAGTGCACGTAATGAATGGGTGCAGGGATACTGTTACGGACATGGAATTCAATCATCAGTGACGAGTCAGGAACTGAGGCCTGAGGCCAGCAGACTAACTCTGGGGCTGGATATGGGATCACTTCATCACTAGGTGATCGAGTGATCCGGATTATAATCACTATAGGTGACCATAATCGGGTCGCAATCACCGTTGGTGATCGCGACTACATACGAATCTCCTATGTATATAGAGTAGACGTTTCCTATGTAGGTAGTTCGTGTTCAACCTAAGTTACCAACCCGCCGAAAGGTCAAACCTTAGAGCAGTTACTTACCCGACCTATCGCTTGGAACTTACTCGTCTAACGAGCTCTAACCCCCTTATACCGCAGGTGCATAACATTTTGAACACCCTCATAGCAAGTGAGTACCCTAAGCAAACAAATAGCTCCTAACAACGAAAGAGACGTTAGCATAGCTTCGACCGCTCGAGCTAGTGCCTCTACTAATGAAGACAGGACAAAGTATTCCGCTAAACCGGACTTCTTCTATGGGGATCGCAACAAGCTCGATAACTAGTTAAACTAGATTATGCTATACTTCTCCCTTAAAGGTATTATAAGCGAACAACGACGCTGCCGCATCGCAGCATCCTACCTTCGAGGCGAAGCTCAAAGCTAGATACGTCCTAAATTGACTATAGTTCTACTCGAGAACAGAGACCTAGACGGGATCTTTGCCGACTTCTCGGAGTTCGCCAAACAGGTCAAGGGAATCTATAGACTTAGCAATAACTAACAAGTCGCTATCCGGAACATCTAACACGTTACGCAGAAGGCCTCTGCATCCTAGTACACCGCTAAGTTCAAAGAGGTTTCTACTCGTACTAGATGGGACGGCAATACATTGAGATCTATGTACTATCGAGGACTCAAAGACAACGTTAAGGACGAGCTTATAAGATACGGAGGACGCTAAGACACCTTAGAATACTTGTAGGAGGCTACAATCAAGGTAGACGATATGCTCTACGAACGATACATAGAAAAACGCAATACTAATTAGGACCGCGGACGAACTGGCTATGCTCCCTACGGCCGGACCGGAGGATAGCAACGTCGCGACCCTGACGCTATAGAACTCGACGCCACTTAACGCAAGTTTGGAGGAGGCAAGAACAACAGAGCAGGAGCTAAGGGCAAGAACCACGCCTAGGGTAAGAAGCAAGGACTAAAGTGCTATTCGTGCGGAAAGGAAGGACACTACGCACGCGACTGCCGTAGCCGCAAGGTGCAACCACAGCAGAACTACAGGGCGGATCTTAGGGAGGTCAACGCTATGGAGATTAACGTTACAGAACGACGTGATCTATTCGCCGAACATATTTAGGAAGCTATTAACGTCATTTAGTTAGGAATGCACGCTAGTGAGGAATTAGCCAACAGCAGCGCTGTACGACAAATACAATCCGAGATCGCTAATACGATGGGCTTAATAAGGAAGCGACACCCCAATCGTAAGGACGAAATCATTGAATGGGAGAACAAGTTCCTCGAACTACTCGGAACGGTCTCTACGGACGACATTTACGTCATCCGCGACACGATAATAAAAATCGGAAGAAGCGTCGGAAAAGACCTAGATGACGAACACAAACAACTACACTAGATAGGATGTTACAACGACTCCTATACGACTTACTACTCGAGCAAGGCAGACTTAGGATAGTTCCCGAGTAAGCCTCGTCGAGAGTTCAATTCGACGGAATTATAGGGATCTAATAGTGCTGCGTATTAGCCCCCTATGTTCGAACTAGTGCTAGTTCGACAACGGCAACTACAGTAGGACAGAGACGACGGCATTTACGCCCGAGGAAGGTCTCTACCTCTACTTAGGTGGGAGGATACAACCCTGCAAGAAACACAACAACCTTAGGAGGAGGAATCCGACGACGAAGAAGAATTAAGACAACTAGTCGTAATGTACGATTAGGGAAGCTTCGCGCTGACCCCTGTTATACTAGACTCTGAGGACGGTTACGAGGACACGCCCGAGTTATTAGAATACGAATACACCGACGACGACAATAATAGCGATAACGAAACACTTAACTTCAGTATCGACGTACTAGAACCAATCAGACGAATAATTCTTACAATAGTTAGACAACACGAGGAAGTCTTCCCGAAGGTGCAAGGGAAACGACGACTACATCGAAACAACTTCGACTTACTACTTAATAGCCTACGGAGGGAGTTTTGGGACTATCGACAAGTTAACCTCGACGGAGGACATCACTACGTACGAGACACACCCCCGATAGGAAGCAAGTTCGATAGGTCTAGAGGATATTACGTCCTAGACGGGATCTACATCAGCAAGAACATACGAGACTACGTCAAGGTGCTTATATAGCGATTCGACGAGATCTACATAATACAGGAAAACTAGCAGAACGACCTTATTACGGAACAAGAGATGATCTAGCAGTGCAAGACTGCGTCACATAAGTGGTTACACGCTACAACCTACAAGATCCTACTACTACTAGTGTAGAAGGGACAGATTTTCGGTAAATTGTTACTATTAACTAAGGGACCAGTATCGACAAGTACCGAACGAGGAAGAATCACACTATAGCCTAAGGATGGACCCCTTAGTTAGGAAGTCTGCCTTAAGGACCCCGAGCTTCTAGCAGCTCTAGAGACAAAAAACTAGGAGAGCCCGTTAGTAAGAACAGATTACGGGAACTTAACAACACGAATGTTTAACAGACTTCAGCAGCAGTCCTACGCACCAAATGCATCATACAAGGACACGAAACAATAGCAATAATCGACTCCGGAGCTAACGGAACGTTCATATCAGCCTAATTCGTGCAACGACACGGGATCGCAACCCGGAGAAAGAAGAATAGCGGGTACAAACTAATGGCCGTCGATAGCTCATCCCTACCCGACGTAGATAGTAAAACGATGCTACTATCCCTAACGATGCAACAGCACCACGAGACGATAGTCCTAGATGTCGTGCCTATAGCCAGACACGATATCGTATTGGGCACGCCTTAGTTAGAACGTTACAACCTACATATAGAGTAGAAAACGAGAGTACTCACATTTGAGCGATGCGTATGCGTTATCGATATCGAGCCTACACGCCGGTAGAGTTTAGCGGTAGATAAGGAAAGACAGCATACACATATAGCTAGTTAACAACCGGAACAGGAGCTACGTAGTAGCCCAAGCTCGACAGATGCCGGAATGGATCTACCGGATTAACAAGTTAGAGCGAAGGAGGACAAGAACGCACCTCCAGGAATCCCTAAAGAGTTTACACGATGGAAACGCCTCTTTCAGGAAGAGACAGGGCTTGCGGCCTTGCCTATACACAGACTATAGGATTACAAGATACCAATCCAGCCTGGTAAGGAACCACTATGGGGACTACTTTATGCATTATCACAACGAGAGCTAGAAGAGCAGCGAAGCTAGATAGACAAGAACCTATCTAGGGGATAGATTGAGAAATCCTAATCGCCTGCCGCTTCACCCTTAATGTTTGTTCTAAAGAAAGGAGGAAAATTACGCATGGTTATCGACTACAGACGACTAAACTTAATAACGATCAAAAACCGATATCCGCTACTAAACATCGAAGAAATGAAGAACCGACTTACGGGTTCTACATGGTATTCGAAGATCGACCTACGGGACGCCTTCTACGCAGTACGCATAGCACCCGGAGAAGAATAGAAGACAGCCTTCAGAACGCGCTTCGGACTGTACCAATTCCGAGTTATGCTAATGGGCTTGACAAATGCGCCGGCAACGTGCTAAGAAGTTGTTAACGACGCTCTACGTGACGTCCTCGATATTATAGCAATCGCCTATATGGACGATGTGCTAATCTTTACGAACGGCCCTCGAGAACTACACGCTAGGCACGTCGGCGAAGTACTCGAACGCCTTAGCAATTTAGGCTTCAAAACTGCACCCGAGAAGTGCAAATTCTTCTATAAGGAGGTCGACTTCTTAGGCTTTATCGTTAGAGTTAATAGCATTCGCATAGATCTAGAAAAGATTAAGTCAATTATGGAATAGCCTATACCAACGACAGTCCGAGACATTTAAGCATTCCTCGGACTAGCTAACTACAACCGAAAATTCATTAAGGATTACTTAAGGATAGCTATACCCTTAACTAACCTAACGAAAAAGGATATCTAGTAGGATTAGACGACGACACAGGAGCAAGCCTTTTAGGAGCTAAAAGAACTTAGTGCATCCGCACTAACGCTCGCTATGTTCGACCTAGAACGAGATGTTATTATCGAAACCGATGCCTCCGACTTTGCTATTAGTGCTTGCCTTATACAGGAGCACAATAGAAATCGACACCCAATCGCGTACTTCTTAAGGAAGATAACGCTAGCGGAACAAAACTACGAGATTTACGACAAGGAACTGCTTGCGATCGTCGTAGCATTGCGACACTAGAGAATATACTGTAAAGGAGCTACAGGACTAACTATCTACTCGGATTATAAGAATCTGCAATTCTTTACAACTACCAAAGATCTTTCGAGACGACAGTGTCGATGGTCAGAGCTACTTAGACAATACAAGTTCAACATCATTTATACTCTAGGAAAAGACAATAGGCGCGCCGATGCGCTAAGCAGACGAAGCGACTACACGGAGGGCAACGAGCCCAAACCAAAGCAGGTGCTGAAGGTTAACAAGGACGGAAGCCTTAGTGCAAAGACTCAAGAGTTCAACTTGACTCTTCGGGTTCTGCGGGACGACGACGAAGAATTTCCGGTCGAGCATAGCAAGTACAAGGTACCGCCACTTAAGGAGAACGACTGCATACGAGATCACCATAATAGAGAAGACTGCGGTTACCCAGGTATT